CCCAAGGTGAGGAGGGTAGTGCACTCGCGGACTGAAATAGTCTCCTCGCTGGTGGGCATCACCGTGACAGAATACACCGTGCTCGCTGCTGTTCCAATTGAGTCTCACGTCTGAGAGCGAATCTTGTTTTGGGCATGTGTGAAGGGGGCATTGGCAGGCAAGGGTTGGATGGCAGGAGTGTAATGTGGGTATACTTACTATCATGAGGAGGGACGTCCAAGGCAGAGGCTTCATCACGAAGCTCCAGCACCTGGTTGTTTCCACCCGCAGCAGACGGGTATCCGGAGTGGCACTGAGCAACGACGCTGAAGCCAAAGACACAGGCGATAACTTCCATCTTCCCGAACTTCATCTTGAAGGTTGGGAGAAACAGTTGAACGAATGTGGGATATTGGTTGAGAAAGAAGGCGTCTGTGAGGTTTGAAAGGTTTGCAGACAGTAGAAGGAGTGTGGGTAAAGAGTGTAGTGGGTAACAAGGTGAAGTTGGTTGGGGGCACACTGTTTATACTGCGAGGCTAGGAAGGTCTTGGCGACAGTGAGGTCGAGCGTCACGTCAACAACAAGTATCCAATGAGAGCTTGGGTAATAGTTTTACGCGTCTAAGTGAGAGTGGTGAGATTGGGAAACAGAGCCTTCCTGAGCGCCTTTATGAATGCCCAGATTCAACGATCAGAGAACTATATGACCTTGAAGAGTGGGATGGAACATGTATTCTGCACTGCGTTTGCTAAGTGAAATTTGCCCACGCCCGGCAGAAATTTTGATGATACTCGACTAGTCAACCTTTCGGATTGACCTTGAAGAAGTAGATGTAGAAACATCGATACTTAGAATGAATATTTTGGATTCCTATAGTACAGTGAACTCCAGCAAGTAGTTTGTCTATGGACACGAGATGAATTCTACCAATGAATCATAAACATACAATCTCCTTGGGGTGCATGCCCCTCGGAGTATCATACAGATAACGCCAATTTTTCATGCCCTCTCCTCGCAGGTCCAGAGTATCAAACCTCCAAACGTCCCAACACTGACGACCTTAATCACCATACAATTCGATAAGATGGTTAAGCATCTTGCGTTTCAAAGCAAGCAATTGTGTTCTAGTTATCTTCTCACTTGCACCATCGCTTGCAAGCGTACCACCTTCAGCAGGTCCATCTTCGTCCGGGATGACAAGGTCAGGCCTCATCCCGAAGAATGGGACGCCCAAGCGTCCAAGTTCCTCAGATTGGGCATCGGTCATCTGCTTGCATGCTCGATAGACCTTGTTATAGAATTGATCAAGCTCTTCTTTGTCACGTTGGGGAGTCTTGGTCTCATCGTCAGTGTAGTATGGCGAAAACAGTCACACTGACTTACTCGAAGAAGTGGAGCGCTTGCAAGAAAGGATCTACAATAGTCAGCCCTATAATAGAAGTGGATGTTGCGTTACATACATAGCAGCTCGTTGAGTCAGTTCATTGTCTCTTTTAGCTATCTGTTCTTCAACGATGCGTTCACGACCATTGTTCCTACAATGACACCGATTAATTATGGGCCCAAATAATTTGAAAATGTGGCAGCTCACCAATCTCGTATGTTACGCTCTTGGTCTTTGATTAACTGTTAGAGCTTAGCATCATTCTAGGTCAAAACATCGAGTCTGGAACCTTTTGCACAGCTGTCCCAAATGCAGGGTTTTGAGCAGCAATCTTGCTTACAAAGCGTAAACCGAACTTCCATTCCGTGATAGTAGAGCTTTTCGAGACATCAATGATGGGTGTCGATGTTCGTTGGGCTGGAGGAACTTGACGTTGTTGAGGGGGCGTGGCCCGGCCTTGGAGTCGGGGATCTAATGATGCATTGCGCCCGAATGAAGTACTGGCTGATGTAGAAGAATTTACATGTTGTTGCTGGTGATCATTCGTGGTACCATAATGTGCTTGCGGATATGACTGGGAGCTATCATAATTCTGGGGTATGTACTGTTGCTGTTGCTCTTGCTGCTGTGGATCTGGTGCCGGCAGGGTAGGGAGTTGTGGCAATGGTGGCAGGCTTCTCAATGTCTTCAATATCTCTTCCAAATCCAGCTGGGAACCATTATTGTCCTGAGCCATGCTCGAGGTCGATCTCGAATATATATACAGACCAGTATAAATGAACTACTTGGCCTAAGCTAGCTTGCTATCGGAGACAGTGGGTAGTAGATGGACACAGCGAATTATGACCTGGTCACTGCGATGTCGATGGCCTCAGACAAATTCCACTGGACTGTTATATTGTAATCTGGGCGCAGCCTCTTTCCCCATCACAAGACCCCAGGCCCGAATGTGTTGACATGTAGTTGCAGGTGTAGAACTAAGAAACCCGATTTGGACTGGCCTTGAAGACGCTCGGACCCAAAATGTACGGCATTCTCCGCATCTACAACTTTTACAGAAACATCATTCGACAGCCCGCACCCTCCGCAACTGCCAGTCCTTTTTCTTTTGTGACTTCCACTGTCCCTCAATTGCACAATGGTCAAGTCTACAAAGGACTCGACACGATTTACGGCGACTGGAGTATGGGCACATACCAAGCCAGGCGGCCGAACGACAACGCTTCAATTCGCGGAGCCAGCGCCCAGAAATGAAACGCCACAGCAAAAAGTGAAGAGATTGAGGGAGGCTGCCAACAGAGCGAAAATGGCACAGGTCACCAAATGGGATGTCATGTACTTCTATGGGAGAATGGGTGCAGATTTCGCACACAGAGCTGCGGTGTATGGAATTGTTTTTGCGACAGGTAAGACAAGCACCATTTGTGGCTCCATTCGCTGCCCGTTCCGATCGATGTAACATAGCCGAACCAACCACTAATGTTATATAGGCTGCATTGGTGTTCTCGCCGTCTTCTCAATAGGAGACATGGTTGTCTACAATCGTCGAAAGCGTGCAATCTATTTCCAGCAACAAGAAGAGGAACAAGCGAAGATTCTCGCTTCGGCTCGAGCCGCTGTCGCCTCGGGCTATGCGTCGCCTGCCCAGACCGCATTGGTTGAAGGAATTCGAGAGGAGGAGGAGGCAATGGCACAAAAGAAGAAGGAGAGGAACGTTGGATCAAGGATGTTGTGGTGGTTGCATGGTGACTGGAAAGAAGACAAGGCACTGAAGGAACAAAGGATGCTGGCCGTCCAAGATGTCAAGAACGAGCAGGCAAATCTGGGCATCACCCAAGCTGTGCAGGAGGCCAGGTCGAATATTTCGGAGTCAAGTACTGCAGTCGTGCCAGATGGTGGACCACTAGATCAGGTTGCAGCAAATGCGGCTAAGTCCGCAGAGGAAACCAGTAAGGGTTGGTTCGGATGGGCGAGCGGTGGCTCCAAAAAGTCGGATCAATGATCTAGTGGGACTGGCGGTGTCGCGTCGTTGAGGGCCGGAGGTGGTTATCTTCCGTGTATCATAATTGATCTCCTAGCTTGTACAGTCTGTACGCTATTGTTCTACTATCTGTATTGCATTATGGCGTCACGGAGGCATATATTGCATGTAGATGAGCTTAGCTTGGGTATCTGTAAAATTTCATCCATGAATTTATGTTCACGTTCTTGTAGTAGAAACGCCCCGTATCGTATGCTGAACGCCGACGGTCGCCACATCTCTTTCACTGACCTGATTGACCAGACACCGGAATATATGACGTTCGTTCTCGTGTCCTCTGAGAATGTGTTAAGTAATGCTACCAGTTCGTACTTGGGAGATCTACTTACAGTCGTCCACTGATCTATCCACGGTCTTACAGCTGCGTAACTCAATAACCCGACGGTTGCAATTATAAATATGAACACTACTGTGCGATCCTTTGCGGAATCCCGTTCTATACGTCGTTAGGAAGACGGGTAATATTCTCAATTAAGCTACTCACGGAAACAAGCTGTGAGCACATTGTCCTCCTTCTCGCCTTTACAGAAGCTGTAGCTTAAACAGAACTGTCGGTTGCAGTCATTGCACGTCTTTTTGGCTGCGCGATCTTTTATGGAATTTGTAGAAGGCTTTTGGGAGTTCACGGGAGAATCGAGCGCAACGATAGTGCTATTTCCGAAGCATGTGCATTTGCAGAACGATGTAGGTGCTTTGTCGTCGTCAGTTCGGAGGCCATTTGAGAGGAAGGCCAGACTTACTTGAAGCTAAGGCGAATTCGAATGTGAAGAACAGAACCAGCAATATAAGATACCAGTGATTGCGTCTCTGCATGATTGTTGACTTGCGCGGTCACAGTTTAGAGACAGGCAACATTGAGGAGGATTACCTTTGCGGAATCAAAGCTCCCTCGCCGCTGACCAGCGCCCGGGCCACCGGGACCGGGCCTTAGCTAGGTATTCGATTCTTCCCCTCTACTCGTAACACTTCAACAACACTCTTCCAGATCATCATCCATCCATGCCGGGCCTTTGGTGCTGGAGTAGTACTATACTTTCATGAATATGCCATTTTTTTCTTCGTGAGTAGTCTGCGTCTATTGTGGAACCGGACTAGATCCACCTCGTGTGACAACCATCGTCACTCACAACTCAATGCCCGCTACAATCGCGAGCGATCGCAAGAAGGCTGGAGCTGTCGCAACGCGTAATTCTGCCAAAGAAATTGGCGGAGATTCACAAGTAGACGAAAACGCCCTCGTCCGATTACACGTTACGCCGTTTACGCCTGCGCTATTGAAGGTTTACCTCGCTCCATCCGTCTTACCACTCGCACAAAATATCTCGTATCACACCGTCGAGACCTTTCCCGATAAGGGCTTTGGCTACGTGGAGCTGCCTGCCATGGAAGCCGCCAAACTCAAGAAGAAACTCAATGGCTCTACTTTGAAAGGTTCTAAAGTCAAGATCGAAGAGGCAAAGCCTGAGAAGCGAAAGGCCAATGACGATGCCCAGGACGACGAAAAAGCCGTGAAACGCGCGAAAAAGGAGAGAAAGAGGAAGGAACAGGGCGTGATTGAAGGTGCAGAATTGCCAGGCGATAGGAAAATCAAGAGGGGCTGGACAGAGCCACCTGCGAAAAATCGAAAAGAAAGGAAGGACAAAGATAAAGACAAGAAGGATAAGAAGGACCAAAAATCAAAACAGAAAGAGTCCAAGTACACGAAAGAGCCGGAAATGCTGTTCAAGACCGTATTGCCACCCGTTATTGCCACTGAGATGGCCAGCAAGGACAAGTCGAAGTCGAAGAAGGACAAAAAGTCGAAGAAATCAAAATCTCAGCAAGAGACAATCGTACATGAGTTTACGAACAACTCAAAGCAGCCTAGCTTCCTCAAAAGTACTCAAGTCGTTACGGAGGCTAAGCCAGCGGTCGAATACATTAATGGTAAAGGGTGGGTTGATGAGGATGGTAACGTCGTTGAGGCCGAAACTGGAAAGGCTAGATTCCGGCGGATCCTAGAACTAGTAGATGTTGAGCCTATGGAGAAGAAAGACACAGCAGACCCTGGATCCGAGGCGAAGAGCAGTAGCAAACCCAGACCAGCGAGAGAGAAGAGGGTGAAGAGGAAAGCAACCCCATCGCCTTCATCGTCTGAGTTGGAAGAATCTTCCGTGGTCTCTTCCTCCTCTGAGAGTGAAGATTCTGAATCGGAAGATGAGGCAGAGGCAGTCAACGAGCCTGCTGCATCATCGCCTCCCGCCGCTGAAAGCACTCCTGAAATCGCCGTGACTCCATCATCCCCTTCTGGGCGGAAACCGGAGGTTCATCCGCTTGAGGCTTTGTTCAAGAAGCCCAAACCAACCTCCATCGAGCTTCCCAACACTCCGGCAAAAGGTCTGGCTCCCATAAATACTTCGTTCAGCTTCTTTGGAAATGACGACTCCATGGAAGTTGACGCCGATGCATCCGGCAATCCTCCCGTCACTCCATTCACGGAGAGAGACTTAGAGTGGAGAGGTCTGCGAAGTGCTGCTCCAACGCCCGACACAGCAACTGTTGGACGTCGATTTTCTTTCTCTTGGCGCAAATCCAGCCAAGAAGTGGATGACGAGGAAGATGACGACGATATCGAAGCTGGCAAGCAGTTGAACAGTAACACCAAGGCTAATTCCTCTGTCGCACATCTACCTGGTCTAGCAGAAGAAGATGAAGATGAAGCCAACGAGCTCGACGTCGGCGGCGAGTCTGGCGATGAGAGTGATAATGATAGACAAGCAACACCAACCCGGTCCCAGAAAGGAAAGGCAGGCTTGAACGAGGAGGAAGATGAAGAGAAAGAAGAGAGCGAGTTTGCGAAATGGTTCTGGGAGAATCGAGGCGAGAACAACCGGGCATGGAAGAAGCGGAGACGAGAGACATTGAAGACGAAGAGGCTGCGAGAAAACAAGAAGCTTAGGAGGGCAGCGTGATAAGACGTCCATGTCTGGGCTTTTTGTAATATACCCTTCAGCCATTGCACCAATAACTTGGACGCAACGGACACTCGTAGTTGGATATGTGAAGATTGTTGCTTGCGACGGTCAAGCTTCTTGAACGTGGAATTGTATCTTGAGTCTTTATTGATGATCATACAAAGCATCGATCAAGGCTTTCAACTCTGCTTCAGCCCCAAATGTGTAGCCAAAATTTAGAACAACGCAATCCGAATTTTAGTTAAATAACGAAGCGTGGGAAGTGTAGCCAGACCTTCCAGTGCAAACTTTTCAACCAAGATGATTACGCATCTAATCCTTTCCACCGGACATGCCTTTCCCCATCCTCATCATACCCATCCCAAGGCATCTTCCTGGTCGGTCGCTCCAGAGCGTGTCCGCCATCACTGCTACTTGTTGTGCTCCGTCGGTCTTCAATGGTTCCATTGCTCCAGAGCAGGTTCTCGCCTATCATGCCTCTTTCCGTTGCTGTTATTATTTGCTCCGAAGGCATTGATATCGAAGATTTAGGAGAGTCTACTATAAGAAGCAGTGTTAAATAATGAATTGGCCAAGAGGGGGATCTAGTTCGGGGAGCGCTTACCGTGATTGGAGGGTGCATGGTCGCTAGTGTTCGAGTTTAATCTTCGAACGATTGAGGAGGACGAAGGATGTAATGTTAATCGATGTGAAACCGTATTTCCCATGTTAGATTTCTTAATCAATATCTTTATGGCTCGATTTTTTGTGTCGTGACTTTGAAAAGCTTTCGTGAAAGAGGGTTCTTGAATGATTATGGCTTGATAGAGAGTCACGAGTCAGTAGGTGTTCAATGAAGTTTAGTAGGACTAGCCAGACATTAGGGTAGTATTATGAAGCAGGAAACTAGCAACTACTTTACGTTATTGATGATTATTATATAGATCTTGTGCGGAGACTCTCATGGCATCAGCGAGCACGATTTCGAAGGGTCCCCTTGCTTGCTTTTTTCTAGTACACGTCCATGACGTCGATTCAAGATAAACTCAACTCCCAAGCCCGCAAAAGCAACCGCAGCGAGCCAAAAGCATTTCTAGATAGATCCATTGCGAAACAGTTACTCGTACCATTATGTCGGGCATTCCATACTAGTCAATTCAGGATAACCTATGGTAGTGAGACAAGAGGTTAGCGGGCTCGTAAGCTGAAATGCAGGTAAGAACCGTCAACAGTGGACCATGGATGAAGATATCGATTTTCAATAATTGCTAGAAATTAAGCAATAGATCCAAGATGTAACTTTCATCCAAATATGAGGGTCTCGCCCAATTCATGCACATTATATGCTGGTCTTATCGCTGGCAATTGCTCTAGAAATAAGAAACTATAAACAGAAAGGACAGAATTGCACGATCTATTGCCTTGTGTAGTCCCTCAAACAACGCCGATCCCAAAAAGATTACTCAAAGCACGAAGTGCTGGCATGCTTGGCCGTCCTTAGCTGTAGTACGCATTCATCATGCCCCGCCTTCACGGCGAAACCTCGATCAGGCTGTATCGTTTCCCGTTGTTTCTCCATTCAGGATGTCGCTCTCACTAGTTGGAGCACCAAGCCTTCCCCGCTGGGTCGGGGTGTTGGCATCATCTGGAGATCTGATCAACCTCTCTAGCTCTCTGATCCTCCGCTTCAACGCATCATTCTCCCGCTTAGCTTCTTCGAGCTCTTGTCTATAATGTGCGACCTCCTCGTATCTTGGCGTACTGACAACGCTTGCACTCCGTGCTACTTGCGGATTTGCACTTGTCGACGGGTCACTTGTTGCGGGTTGGGAGGACATGGAGTAACGATGAGGAAGATTCGTGGTGCCGGTTGCAAACGACGTAGGCCCACCGTACGCCGCGTTTATGCTGGCTCGTGAGACACTGGACGAACTGCGGTGTCGGCGAGAAGCTGTGGGATGCGTTGCGCCAGCCATAGGGCCCGTATGGGTTATCGACGGGTCGTTGACATCGAGAAGGACACCAGATGTAGCGCTAGAAGCAGTCGAGGCTACAGATGCTGAATGGGCGCGAAGAGCAGAGAGCTCACGGGTCAAGCCTTAAGACAAACGATGTAATCAGCAAAAAGTGATTAAGGATAGAAGACTTCGTCAGATTGTATCTTCTAATCACCGATTCCGATTATGTGTAAGGTCTGCTCTGGGGTTACTCACGGTTTACCTATGCAACTATGATGTCAGTCTTTCCGCTCTTCCAAGAATGCCGACCCGAAAGAAATATAACATACCACAGCCTCTTGCTCTTTTTCAAGCTCTAGATGTAGTTCGGCAGCCGTAAGTGGCCTTGGATGCCTCATAGGCACTCCAGTAGCATCGACATTCGGCACATGTGCCGATGACCCAGGACTAAGAGGAGGAAACGCACTGTTATGTTGAGGCATCTGTTGAGAAGATGGAATAGTACCCCCCGGAGAAGCAAGAGGAAGCGGTGGAGGACTCATGGGGTATATTTGCGAGGCTCGTCGTGATGCTGGTGTTGAGGATTGTCGAGAATGCGGAGCTGCAGCTTGCGTAGTTGGGGCTCCACTTCCACTTGGTGCTGCCTGTAACGTAGCTCCATTGCGGGGCGACGCAGGGACAGAATTCAGATCCGGAGCCATTTCGAAAAAGATTTGTCTACGTATGCGATGAGAGCAATGCACTTGCGCGGGTGCGTAAGGGCAGCGAAGCCTGACAAAGAAGCGCGGAGTGCGGAATGTGGAGAGGCAATGCGATGCGATGCGATGCGATACGGAGGGCAGAAGCAGCAACCACAACAGGTGTTGAAAAGGGTAGGTGTGCGGCTACTCTACTGCCATAGTTCTGTATTGTTATGACTGCTCACTCGGCTCAGAGCGACTTGTCCAGCCTGTGCTTGTGGTGATCTTATTTGTGACTGGTGTTGTTGTGTTGTCGTTAAAGAGCGGGGGCTTGTCCCGCCCAAGGTCCCCGAATTCTGCCAGGGTCAACCTATAGATGAAGTGCTTATTTCCTGACCTTGATATTTCACGTCGTCCGTATGCTGGTTTGTTCGATGCAACTACATAATATAGATAATTTATCATTCCATTTGTTACTCTCGTGGCTTTTATTTAACAAGCAAAGCAGCGACATGCTTGTCATAGCCTTGTGACTTGCTTCTACCCGCCTTATCGTTGTTCCATTCATTATGATTCGACTTTTTATCATGATGCTGAACAGTTCTACTCGCCCAATCGATGTGAGCACCCTAGCCAGAATCCCACCGCTCTTGCTGCGGCTTCATTTTGCCCAAGCCGTTGGGATTATGCATTTCATCACATCCTTATGATCCTTTCCCAAACTCCGAGCCGTATTGGTTTTCCCTCGGTGTGCTCCCCAGTTTCAGATTGGTAATCGGCACCAAACATTTATGTCATCGACTTATCTAGTACGTCCTGGCGAGGTTTCGGAGATACCAGTCTACGAGCCTCCTGCCTACCTTGGCCTCAGAGACGTGGATGAGATCCTGCGACTTGTTAGCTTTAGTCAAAACTTCAAGGACGAAATATACTTACGCCTTCCATAGCGTAATCAAGATCGCTGCTGTGGATGACTTCACCCTCCAAAAGTCCACCCTCGCTCCACCTTGTCTGCCTGTTCCTCTGCTTGTTAACTAGGAGCCAGCACCTCAGTTTCTCTGGCTCGACCTCGAGGAAACCGGCGAGTTTCTTGAGATCCATGGTGGTGTAAAGCTTGAGGTAGCTCTTAACAGTAGGCGACATAAGATTGTTCTTGACCTCGTCCATGAAGATACGCAGGTGGTGCTCGACAGGGTCGATGTTGATCTCTGGATTGTCGAAGTCGGGAGGGGTGGGGTTGATGAACTTGGGGCAGGCAGAGCGGAAAAGCTCTTCGAAAAGAGGAAGAGACTCTGGTCCACCACGCTGGAGGCGGTTGAATTGCTCGCCGTATTTCTCGCGCAGAGCGGTGTGGATTGTGTCATCCAGTCTGGTGGGCTGGAAAGCAACGCAGATGGCGATGAGTGCGTACATCTGATCGTTCTTCTTTGTGATAGAATCGTACTGAGCGTTCTTCTGGAAGTTCTTGGTCCTTGAAACGTAGACAAGGATGTGGCTGAACATGCGGATAGCATCTGCATATCGGCGCATCATCATGTAGGAGAAACCGACATAGTAGTAGGTGGTGAAGTGAGCGGCCATCACGCGTGCGAACATGGACTTCTTGTTGAGCTCGATATCGTCCAAAGTCTTGAGAGCGAGGCTGAAATCTCCAAGCAAGCAGTGCACTCGCAGGAGACCAACGATGGAGAAATAGCCAAGCATCTTATACAACGGCCTCTGACCGTACTCGCCAGCGTACGCGCTGGGATCCTCTCCACGCTTCATAGCTGCCAGTTGCTCACTGATTTGTGACCTCTGGATAAGAGAGTAGAGAACGTTGAGCACACTGTAGCAGCCCCATGTGTTTGGGTTTTCCCGCAAAAGTTGGATCTCCTCCCCATTCTCGCCCTTAGTAGCGACTTTCTGGCGGTAACTGCAGAAGCTGTTGAATTGGTAGATGAACTCGTCGATGACATCCCATGCCCAAGATGACTATGCTACGTTAGTACTGAACCAATGATATTCCTAGATGTAAGCTTTGAAGAACGGATTCTGAAGGTAGCAGAGTATATATTCCACCGATCTCTTCCTACCACTTGGAAGATGGAAAATCGTCTTCTTGTCCGCCTTCAAAGCAGCATCTAATCAGTGATAGGAATCTTACGTTTGGTGCCTCCAAATCTACAGGTCCCTCGGAGTTCAAGATGTAGTGGAAAAGGTTGCAGTAGTTGTCGTAGCTTGCGAATTTCGTCTCCAACGTGGCTTGGAACTCGAGCGGGGTCGCTGCAGCCTGAAGTTGCAACTGGATGTCCTGGCTGCCCGCGATGGATGGTATCCTGTCCAAATCCTCCATGCCATCGTAGTTGACTTGCTCGCGGTAATCGTTCGCCATCGTCTCCTCCTCCGCATCGGAGTCAACTCCAGGACGCACGGCGGCCTCACCCTGGTAAGCACCCCGGAGAGACATTTTCGTTCGATCGATTGTTTAAAGGAGCGGCGGGCCGCGGGATCGAATAGGTGTGAGAGTTGTCGTCCTGGCGGTCGTGGTTCAAGGTGCCCCGCGCACATATCGTAGAAATTCGCGATTTACGCTCGCTTAACTTTTGGGACTATAAATGCCAAGACTATGTCCACCAAAGGTGTCCGCCGCCACGTCTTTGCTTCATTCCAAATCGCAATATGCTTCAACGTTGGAAACCTTCGGGAAATCTCTCCTGAATTATGTATCGCCATGATATTAACTTGAGGCTTTTGAGGTAAATTGTAATTGTACGCGACGTATAGGTATTAGAGCAGCAACAGGCAGAGAACGAGTCTCAAAGGACTGTGAGGAGTCCATTGTCAAGCACTAGATGTAACAAATGCACTTCACAGCTTTCCCTTGTTCGCGGCCTGATCCTTCTTTGAATGCCTATAATCATAATGCCAATCATCCCGAGCCAAATCTGCCCTGACCTGATAGTTCTTCTCCGCATCCTCTAAAATCTGCATGTCGATGTCCACAACGCTCATACCTTCTGCACAACTTCCGAGCCTCGTTAACGGTCCAGCGAATGGAACTACGACCTGGGATAGACCGGCATAGCCGCGACCTGGTGGCCCACCAGCATTTGCAAAGACGATGGCTGAAGTAGAAAGTCAGTCAAATGTCGAAAGCTCGCCCCAGCACACATAAACTTTGGAAAGCATACCGCAGGTGTTCTCGAAGGCCCTTGCCGTCAAAGCACTATCCAAGAACAAGGCTTCGGCCGATGGGTTCAGCGCCAACCCTTCCTCGTTGCAATCCCTCAACGTCCAAAACGTGGGAATGATGATTAGCTTCGCCTCCTGCGCGATCAACTCACGGAAAGCCTCAGGGAATGCAAGGTCCCAACACACCAGTAACCCTACCTTCCCAACTGGCGTGTCAAAAACCTCGTGGACATCTCTTCCACTGCCCGTCAAATGCTCACGTTCGGGTCCCCATAGATTCTTCTTGACATACTTTCCCACAATCGCACCAGTGTGATCAATGAAATAGGATACGTTGAGCAACCGATCCTCTTCCTTCTCAGCACCGCTATGTGTCTCAACAATGGTGCCTGGGACGATGCAAATCTCGCATTCCTTGGCTAATTCTTGATATTTCTTGAGATAGGTCTCCCATTGCTCGCACAGGCCGATGAAGTTTGGGTCTTTCGGTAGCCAGTTGGTAAGATGATATTCCGGTAACACCGCGAGTTCTGCACCCTGTTGGGCGGCAGAACGAATGTAGTTTGCAGCTTTATTGAAGTTATGCTCAAGTTGCAGAGGCTGCCCCAATGTTAGTGCATGAGAGGTATATGGCTGCAGGTGAATGGGATGGCAGGACGAGTCAACTAGCAAGGCGGATGGTAGCGGACCTTTGGGTAGAGCTGAATAACAGCGACCTTTACTATCGGTGCCATAATTGATCCTAATTACTACGGGCGTTCGGCCAAACGTGATATGCCATGGACACCGTGTGAAGCAAGTTCCAGGGGAGGAGAGGGGGCAGAACTACTCGTACTCGGCTTTAACATGGAGTTTAAATTCAGCGCTAGCTAGTCAACATTCGTAGTATACTTTCAATGCTCGCTATTGGTCACACCTTTCCAAGCGGGCCTTGACAGATAATCATAACGTGAGGGCAAGATCGTTTACAGACCCGTTCTGTAAGTGTGAGATAGAAATGTTGTCCGATGCTCCGTCCCCCAAATACCTGTTCGCTGTTCTCTGTTCTCTGCCTCTCCATCTTAGTTAGGCCCTTAGGTGGACAGTGGACTCTCCCCAACAAACTGCCACCCAACTTCACCCCCATTCTTTCCCGTGCTTCGAGTATCCCCCATTCGAATCATTCTAATTCCATCTTCCCTGATAAGTCGATTCTCCGATTCTTTCAGTCTTCCTATATTGAGATTACTCTCGCATCTTTCCAGAAACCTCATCCAGTGCGCTCGATTTGCGAAAGTGTAGACGGTGACTACATCGTATTCAAAGCTATCTTGCGAGACGAAAAGGTAGTCGTCGTCTTGTCGAGCTTTTGCGTCCGTCCTGTCCACGTAGTGCCGCGTATGTGATAGTGGAAATTCATCGCCAACTACCTTCTTCAATAGTGGGATGTGTACTGTTTCGTAATCATTTTGGAAGGTGGATAAGCTCAGGCCTGGCTTGCGAGATAGAAAGATGACGATTGTGTAAGGCATGTCCCGCCAGTAGCTCATAGAGCTCTTAATGAGGAGTGGTTTGAAGTTTCAGTTCTTCATTTGTTATATGTGATGATTGAGAAAATTTGGGGGGAAATGTGAAGAGCATTTGTAGACGTGTAGGTATGCCGGAGTTTAGAGGAGCCAGCCTTAAGCCCGCCTTAGCCCGCCTTTTTCGTTTGATAACCCGGTATTGCGAGCAGGAACATCAGCACTGCAGTGATTTTGCGCGAATGAAATGGCGTCATGCACACCAAGTCCGTGGTGGTTGGAAAATTGTGGCGTACCTACCTAGGTACTTACAACTGTGGAACAAAAGAATCATATGAAATCGTGCTCCGACACCCCGTCACTAACCAGATGTGACGAGAAGAGATGTAGGAATATCCTATGCCTGTATTGAACTACACAAAGTAAACATGGATTGTGTTGAGACTGCGCATTAGTTCCACCTGATCGTGTTGGCACAGAATATAACATGGGACCAAAAACAATCATCGTTATACTCTGCTTTACTCCTTCGACGCAGTCGTTCCGGAACCCACTAATTCGCCATGACAACGTCGGTCTAATCATAGTTGAGTATGCTTCCACTGCTGCAAGAAGAATCATTGTCGTCACCACCAGATACTGAATCAGCATCATCCATACACAACATCGTGTACGGGTTCGTCATTGGGGAGGTCTGAGCAGGCTGTGGCCTCATAATGGGCTTGGTGCGCGTAATGTATCTGGCTGGTGGCAGAGAGGCGGCGCATTGATCGGCATGCCATTCCAAGCGTAGTCCTTTGTATACTGTACGTGACATCAGGCAGGCCCTCGCAGAGATGGCGTTGTGAACAGAATTCGTCGAAATCAGAACGTCCCCATCCTTGAAGGTGATATCAACTACCTTCAGTTCATGAATGTGATCTAGGTGATCACGTATTTGGTCTGCAGTGAGATTTCTCCGGGCTGCGTCACGAACGAGGATATTTCGGGTAGCACCACGGGCGATGTTGTATGCAACATAGGGGGGAAGGTTAAACTGATGGTGATTCCAACAAAACTCGAGCTACTGTATGTCAGAAGCGGTTTTAGACAACGCCGTAATGAACTTACTCTCTTCGTGTGAAGATAAACATCGTTTCGCTTCGCGTACGTTAGAAATTCCTGGGCACCTTCGACAAAGGAGACAGTTGCGGTCCGGTCATTACGTAGTCGAACGTCAAGGAGCCTTCCTCCACGAATGACCGAAACTAGGTCCTTGTAGGTTGTGCGATCAGACACATTTTTGACCAGAATAGTACGACGGTCCATGTCCAGTAATGACTGCACTGAATGATTCCGAACTCCCTGTCCGTCACTCTTCATTGTATCATTGACGGAATCAGCCACTCCACATGCATCTGTGTGACCATACATATCGTGGAGATATACTCCAGGAGACTCTTGGCCTTCATCAAGGGTAGAAGTGTCCGACACAGAGGCTTGACCAGTAGGGCATCTCTGCTGCGAACAGGCCGAAGGTTTGCAGTTGCTATTCTCCCATTTATCGTTTCCAAAGGTTCGTCGTGCGTGTTCCTTCTCGGTCAAGCCAACATCTCCTCTCAGGAGAGTCTCAAGTGTTTCTACGCTAAGGCCACCCTGGAAGAGCACAGATTTGAGCGTATCTGAGCTTGTTAGGATGATGGCTGCAGAATGGCCGGGTTTTAAATCCGAAAAGAGCACGTACTGAAGTCTCGTACCGCTTGCATCTGAACAAAGCCACCTTGTTAGCATATTTGAGACAATCAAAGCGGGCTCCCGCACCCGTGAGAGGAAGCAATAACTAGAGCGGGGTTACTAAGTTACTAAAACGTACCATCAATTCAAACTCTACTCTAGGAATGGTGACTGTCTTCGAAGACCTGGTGGATTCGTGGCGGCTGGATGGGTGCTGTAACTGTCAGTCGAGCTAAGAGTCCATGCTCATAAGTCAACAACAGTTGACCTCCCCTGAACATACATCATTGGCCCTGACTTCCAGGTCAGTATCTATACGTTTCGGAGGTGTAGGAGTTTGGGATATTACGCACTGATACGGTAGGCTTTCGACGTAGGAATTGTCCATCATTGGGGTCGCCATTGTGGATATAGACAGCTTGGGATTGTGCAGAATTCGGGCCACAAACAGTGGAAACGATAATGAAAAGGAAACAGGATGTCAAACTTTTAAGAGAATAGGCAAGGGCCAAGCTTGTTGCTTTTTGATGCAGGTCCAAGCTTCGTGCAACTTCCCTTCTATATATCTGCTGATAGCATTTTTGCTGCATTGAGTAGCGTATGACCAAGCCATAGTATTAACGATTGAGCAATGTCCAGGTCTGCTTCTGCAGACGGCAAGGCCGACCCCGCACTTGTAAAGATAATGTCATGGTGAAACACTACCTGCTTTTATGAAGGGCCATTAAAGGCTTGAGCAATACGGAGCACATCTTGATTGACGATGCTACCTATTTATAGCAGTAACACAGCATCTCAAGTGTGAACAGAAAATGACAGGTCTCATCATGATCAGATGCAACAGACATAACCGCCCACCTTCCTAGAGATGATACAACAAATATAGAAGACGGATATGCGGACATCTTGCGGCACAGACACAGGCAGTGGCAGAATGAAGAAGTAAGGGTAATAATTGTGATGGAGGTTGCAGTGCAATGCACTTGGCAGGTCTCCCCAATTAGGCATGGCACCTTCTGGAGCCGAGGGGAATTGCAGGTCTCTGCCGCGCCCGCGTCATCTGGAACTTTTCGCTCATGGACACCACCGAGCCCTTTGCGTCGCAGCATGGCCGTCACCAGCTAGCACAGCAGATGAAAGTTGAGCCTGGCGACGGCCTCAGCTCCTATGTCTCCCAATTGACAGGAAACCCCTTCTTCAGTGCCGTAAGGTCCCTTTGTTGAGATCATCTTTGCGGCGTGCTCACTGATTTTCGTAGGGTTTCGGCCTCGCAGCCCTCGCCGCCGCAGCGCGCATAGGCCAGAAAGGAATTCAACATGGCGCCTCGCTGATACGCCGCCGCATGCTAGTCGATCTCGAAGTCACTCATCACGACGATGCCTACCCTATGCTTCTCAATTGGATGACTGCTTTCCACAGGGCACAGCACACGGGCGCCCAACTCTCGAAGAGCCCCAAGAACACAGCAAGCGGAGGTGTTCTGTCCTCACTCATTCAACGATTTAATCCTCGCCTACACCACCTACAAGTCCATACCGTTTTGCCGAAAGATGGGCCATCGCACGCTGCACATTTCTCATTCGTTCCTGGTCATGGAAGACAGATACTCCGATACGGCACATCCTTCATACTGGTCGACCGGCAACGAGAGAAGACCCTCAACATCGCAAAGGGGGAGCCATTCGAGACGATATCTTTAACCACGCTGTATTCTCAACGTGAAGTCTTCGAGCAAATCTTCACAGAGGCTCATCAGTTGTACCAACAAATGCACGAAGGGAAGACAGTGATATACACTTCAATGGGCCCGCAGTGGCACCAATTTGGGGAGGCAAAAAGGAAACGTCCACTCGAATCCGTAGTGCTCGAGCGCGGCGTCAAGGAACGGATTGTGCAGGATGTGCAAGCATTCTTAGAGGCGCGGACGTGGTATCTGGACAGAGGTATCCCGTATCGCAGAGGCTATCTACTATACGGCCCTCCTGGAACAGGGAAAAGTTCCTTTATTCAAGCATTGGCGGGGCACCTTGATTTTGATATTGCGATTCTGAATGTTAGTGAGCGAGGACTTACCGACGACCGTCTGAACCACTTGCTGACGAAGGTTCCGAGACGAACCATCGTCTTGCTTGAAGACATTGACGTCGCATTTATGAATCGCAAGGCACCTGGATCAGATGGGTACAGCGGGGCTACGGTCACATTTTCGGGACTATTGAATGCCTTGGATGGTGTTGCGAGCGCCGAAGAGCGCATCATTTTCTTGACGACAAACCATGTCGAAAGGCTAGACGAGGCTTTGATACGGCCTGGTCGGGTCGACATGACAGTCAGGTTGGGCGAGGCGACAGAATATCAGATCGATCTGCTATGGGATCGATTCTACGCCGAAGTGGATAGCAGCGGTGAGGCAAAGAAGCGCTTCATGGCTAGAGTGAAAGAATTAGGGCAGAGCAATTCGCTGAGTACAGCAGCGCTGCAGGGTTTGTTTCTGTATAACAAGGACGATGCGGATGGGGCGATCAAGATGTTAGAAGGCCTCACCGCTGGTCAGGACAGCCAACCCGGACATGTGGACATCAAAGGGCACGTGGATGTATGATGATGTGGGGTGGTCGGGATGGTCAGGCTGTGTGACGTACGGAGAGAAAAGTGTGTGTACAACGAAGACGACGACGATGGACGTATGTACGAGTATGTGTATCTATATGTATCCTTCATATTACATGCTGTTTACTGCACATATAATGTAGAATATATTGTGATAAGGTCGGATAATTTATTAGAGTTTCGCGACGAGAACAAAGGAAAAGAAAGCAAAGGGGAAACGGCCTGAAACGGAGTGACTTCGGCTGGCACACTAACTAGTACTGTAGCTAGGTACCTACTGTGTAGTTAGTACTTGTAGTAGGCAGCAGACTACGACAGTCGGCTTTCCACTGTTCTGCGCCCGTGAACACATTCCATCAGCGATGTTGATTGAGCCATCATTACTCAAAGTCGACCCGCCTATCGCGCCAGAACCGATGACCAAGAAAGGCATCAAGCTGATGAACCCTGCAGTGCCTTGCATTGCGAAGAACGGCCTAAATATTCTGCACGAAATCTTTGGTCTTGGAGTCCAAACTCCCCCGACACCCAACTTATCGGACGTAGTTCTTATCGCTATAGACTTCGAGAACATCAACACCATTAAGAGCGGATTTGCTGAAAAGCGCGATTGCCAGATTGGTCTTGCCATCCTCGATACGAAGGAAATACACCGCCAGGCTCCGAATACGCTTGTGTCTACTTATAACCTAGCCACAGGGTCTCCGTTCAACCTTAGAAAGGCTAGCGAAAAGTTCATTTTTGGAGAGACAATCACGATTAGTACAGCAGATGTTGCAGAACGCATTCAGTCTTATATTCCCCCGGCTCGGAATATAGTCTTTGTAGGCTACGGAATTATCAACGACCTCCAAGCTTTGCAGGCACTAGATTTCCAGTTTCCAGCACTCCTTTCGAGCGTCCTGGACACTTCTCAGGTCGCTAATAACGTCTTTGAGATCTGGGGTGGTTCTTTGGGTGACTTACTGCTTAAACTGAGTTGTTCATTTAATCGACTCCATTGCGCTGGAAATGACGCAAACTTTACCCTAAGAGCTTTACTTCTTCTAGCTTCTGAAGGATTTACTCGCCAACAGCGATTTCAGACCGAGGATTGCGATACTCTTGCAATTTTACGGCAAATTTCACATGATCCTATACCCTGTTGGACGGACCCAGAAGTTGCAGCTCTGGAGAAAAGGGAGAAGAGGAGAGAAAAGAGTCGGAAGCACCAGTCAAAGACGTGGAGCAAAGAGAAGCAGGCCGAGATTCGAGCTGCTCGACAACTCACCAAAGAGCGAGACATGGCATTTAGCTAGGACCTAAGAATTCGAGGGTCGCAGTGTGAGGTCAGTTTCCCCCTAAGAGGATAGCGCATATTGTAGATATATGTGGAGAATCGGTTCCGACAAACGCGATGGACAGGGTAATGGGCAAGGCCCTATGGCAACGTGCTGCTGCGTGGCCCTGTCAGTCTACCAGTAGCCTGTAGGCCATGCCGCCCATCCATCAGTCTTTCTTAGGGCCGGTGGGTTGGTACGAGTATGTATCTGATCTGATGATGTGCATGCATTGCAGAGCGCAGCGCAGCGCAGCGCACCACCACACCGAAGAGCAGAGGGTAGAGCAGAGCGGCCCGACATGACTGGGGCTGGGCGTGAAAAAACAGACGTCAGGCCTACGGTGTACGACTTGTATGACAACAATAAGTAACTATCATAGCTCGTATACGGAGTACTGAAATCTTCATTTCTCCCCCTACCTTGTCTCATTACCAGTCATCACTAAAATGAGGGGTCCGGCACATGGGCCGCCTTAAAAGCACTGATCATGAGTTTGTACACAGGAGGTATACCCTCAAAGGAGGGCAGAGGGGAAGTACTGTGCAATCAATATTGTTGGAAAATACTCCATACATACCTACGAGTGATTGATTCATACCCACCCCCACCTAACATACCTACCTGTTACTGTACGGCGCACGCAGGAATTAGTCAATTAAATTATTACTATAGGACAAGGGAAGAATAAGGAAAGCAAAACGACATACCCATGCCCGAAACCCACAAATGATGATGCAACATGCCTCGCTGAACTTCGGCGCAGTAGCCAGAAAGGAACAAACGGCTAGATCCGCTAACCTCGTTATCTCATCAGATAAAAAAGTCACTCGCACACGCAAAAAAAGGATCCGCTAACTGGGACCCGTCGCTGGATTCCTTGAACCTTACTCGTACGCTTGCCCGTCCTGGTCCCGCTCCTAAATGCTTGTCACAGTACACTACTTACCTGTAACAGCACTTGCTCTCACACACTCACTCGCCGCACGCCGCACACCTCACACCTTACACACACCTCGTACGCGCCCATGCCGCCAACAACGCCAGCGCCCACGCCAACTCAGAAGACTTATGGGGTCTGATTCCCGTCCTTTGCGGGTCACTTCTCTACCCGCCTCACCAGGCAACTACGAGCTCCAGGCTCTCGAGGCTGACAGTGGTGACCGTGACCTTAACCGTGACCGTGACCGTAACCCTGGCCTTGAAAAAGCAACCTCTCATTCATCACGCCGCCACCCCCCTCACACTCCTACTACTACTACGACTTCAGTCTCTTCCCCATTCCATACTGATGACGCTCTTCCTTCCAGCGTCTCTCCCCTCCCAGATCGAACCATGTCACGTACGCCTCTCCTGGTGAGATCATCGCCGGCTCTGGGTACTGGCTCCTACGGCGGCCTTCCCGTCGCTTCTCTCAGCTCCAGTCCTGGGGAGTCTGATGCTGACGACAGTCATGTGACTGATAAATACACCTCTGCCTCTACCTCTCCCCGGAACATCAAGAGAGGGAAGAGCAAGCTCCAGTATAGCGAGCCAGCAGTCGGCCAAGGCCAGGACGAACACCTCACCCAGCGCAAATCCAATCAGACCCTCCGAGCAAGGCGGCGCAGTAACGCGCTTGATGAAGCCCTCCAGGGTCAGCATGAATCTGGTCTGGAAGCTCGGTTCAACGCAAGCGGCGTAGCCCCGACAGCTTTTGAAGGCCTGCAGTCGTCTTCTGGTAGTAGTCATATCACCGTCGAGGGTCCGGAGGAGGACGAATCTTCCGAGGGTGACGAATTGCACGATGTCAAATCCGATGGCCAACCCGCAGACAATTCGCCCTATGCCCAAGTACGAGCATCGGTTGCTGCGACAGACGATATCACTCTTTCCATCAACACCCCTCGAATGTGGAGCCTCTCCATGGTATTTGCAATCATTGGTTCTTCCACAAATCTATTCTTTTCTTTGAGATACCCGAGTGTCACCATCACTCCTATTATTGCGCTTTTACTTGTTCATCCATTGGGCCTCTTATGGGACCAAATCTTCAAAAGACCAACCGACCCGCAGGAGCAGTTCCAGAACGGGTACATCTCTCTCAATGGCGGTCCTTCATCGAACCATTCCTACGCCGATGGCAGCCGACCAGGGTCAATGCAAAGCTCCCATAGGTTCCCGATCAAATCTCGAAGGCAGCGCTTCCGTCTCTGGCTTGCACAAGGCCGCTGGAACGAAAAGGAGCACTGCTGTGTGTACATTGCGAGCAATGTATCGTTTGGTTTTGCATTCGCTACTGATGTGAGTAGTACTAGGTGCAGCGGTTTGCGCCGACGCTAACAGCTAGTTAGGTGATTGTCGAGCAAACCAAGTTCTACCACCAGGATCTCGGGATTGCCTATCAGGTTCTGCTTACGCTCTCTACCCAAATCCTGGGGTATGCACTTGCTGGTCTTACTCGCGAGTACTTGGTCCGTCCTAGTGGGATGATATGGCCCAGCACTCTGGTTTCAACGGCTATGTTCACTGCATTGCACAAGAACGAAAACAAACCAGCCAACGGGTGGACCATCTCCCGTTCCAAGTTCTTCCTATATGTGTTTGGTGGTTCCGTCGCCTTTTATTTCCTTCCCGGGCTTCTGATGCCTGCGTTGAGTACTTTCAATGTCATCACTTGGTTCGCGCCCAAGAATGTTGTCATTGCAAATCTGGTGAGTATTGTAAGCCAATGCCTCGAGTGATTTCGAAACTGAATTTACGTAGTTTGGAGTCTCCTCCGGCCTTGGAATGTTCCCAATGACGTTCGATTGGTCCCAAATTGCCTTCATCGGGTCACCATTGGTGACGCCATTCTGGGCCGCTTTAAATATTGTTGGTGGCCTCGTAGTAGTGATGTGGATTGCCGCGCCCTTGATGTGTATGTTTTGAGACCCATCACATGGAAGTTTGAAGCTTACAAGACTACAGATTATGCAAATGTGATGTATTCTTCGTACATGCCAATACTATCGGCCGCCGTTTTCGACAACACGGGTAGGCCGTACGATGTTAGCAAAATCCTGACTGAAAACTTCCTCTTCGACGAGGAAGCATATGCCAATTACAGTAGAGTCTTCCTCCCGATTACCTACGTACTCAGCTATGCCCTGCAATTCGCGGCCCTCACGGCTTTGATATCGCACACTGCGCTTTGGCACGGTAAAGATATTGTGAGGCAATGGCGACGCTCATGGGCAGAGATTCGTAGGACGGCAAACACGGATTACGAGCCTTTGCCAGCTAATGCAGGTAGCAACAGCGCTCCCATTTCGCCTCGCTTGACACGGAGTAGCGAGGAATCTGAGCCGGGCTTGGAAGATCTCCTGAACTCCGAGGATGTCCATAACCGACTGATGCGACGTTACGAGGATGTCCCTATCTACTGGTATATTCTTACGGGAGTTGGCATGGCTGCTATTGGGATGTTCGTTGTAGAATAGTAAGTTGCCGTTGTCCCCTTACTCACTCTCATTCATAAGACTGACCTAACCCGATAGCTACCCCATTTACCTCCCCTGGTATGGTCTACTGCTAGCACTTAGCATCGGCGCAATTCTCTTCATTCCGATTGGCATCGTCATGGCCATCACCAATCAACAAAGCAGTCTGTACCTCATCTGCCAGCTTATCTGCGGTGTAGCTTTCCCGGGCCGTCCGGTCGCGAACATGGTTTTCACAACCTACGGTTACATTACATCCACGCAAGGACTCAAGTTCTCTTCTGACCTGAAACTCGGTCACTACATGAAGATCCCACCGAAGATACTCTTCAATCTGCAGCTTACCGCCACTATCGTATCAAGTCTTACCCAGATTGGTGTTCTTAATTGGATGCTGAATTTTATTCCTGGAATCTGCACGCCACAGGCAATCAACGGCTTCACCTGCCCGATCGCGCGTGTTCATTTCAATGGCAGCATTCTCTGGGGTGTCGTCGGTCCCCAGAGGTTCTTTGGCCCCGGTGCGCTTTATCGCCCACTCGTCTGGGCTTTCTTGGTGGGCGCACTTGCGCCGATTGGCATTTGGTTAGCGGCGCGCAACAATCGCAAATCCATCCTTCGCAAGGTGAACTTCGCCGTTCTCTTTGGCAGTCTTTCCTGGATTCCCCCAGCCACCGGCCTCAACTTCTCCGTGTGGGCTATTGTCTGCTACATCTTCAACTACGAGCTGAGGAAGCGGAAATCTGCGTGGTGGAAGAAGTACAACATGACGTTGAGTGCCGCCCTCGACTCAGGTGTAGCTTTCGGCGTGACGATCATTTTCTTCTTCATCATCTTCCCTGGCTGGATGAGCGGATTCAAATGGTGGGGTACGGAAGTCTACAAGCAGGTAAGCAAGAGCTGCTCTATTTTCCATTCGCAAAAACTTACATGAACCAGGGCTGCGACTGGACAGCTTGCGCCTACAAAAACGTGCCAAAGGGCGGGCATTTTGGCCCAGATGCATGGTAGCTAACAACTAACACGCAGCTACCGGGCGACACATGATGATCTTCTTCCCTGCATCTACACAGGGGGCATTCTTCTGCAATCATATAGCACATTGCTGCATTTTGGCATCGCGGCTACGGCGTTTTCTTGGTGTTTTGGGAGAGGAGTTGTTTCGTTGGTTACCCAACTCCCTATTTTTATCATCATCATTATCATCATCATCACCTTTTGGATCCTTGTTTCTTCTTCTTCGTTTTCTTGGCTGCATCGGTGGGAATCGAGCGCAGTTACAACATCAGCAACAACCATTTAGGGGACACCAAAGCGTCCACTATCCTTATATCCTCACACGGGGGTTATTCCTCGCCCTCTTGTCTTCGCTTCCTCCTATTTTGTTTTCTTCTTTCTTCCAGCGTCGCACACGCATCGCATTGCATATGGCTGCTGTACCGTTAATACGAGGGGACAGAGCTTTGGTACTTGGTATAGTCATTTTTGAGGAGCGGGTGTTGGAAATCATGAGAAACAAGGCCTGGATGATTAGAAAAAAGGAATATGACATCATTACAACCATCACCATTACAAACATCTCATATTTTCATTTCTGCAGTGGAGTGATTTTGAACGGTTATCTGATTAATGGCTATCTAAAGGTTGGAAATTGCTGACCTTAGTAGCAGGGGTATCTCAATCGAATCCCGGAAAGGGGGCGAAGGTATCCATCTTCATCTCTGTCTAATGTCTATGTATATATTTCTGATTTCTGCTTGTTTCACGACGACCATCCTCCCCATGCTCAGCTGCTCTCACTCCTTTGAGGTGCCCAACCCTTCAGCCAGGCCCTCGCCTTGTCCAGGTCACCGTTCTCGGCTTCCAAAGCGGCCACACACCACTCCATCGAGTATCCGCCCTTGCCGTCGATACTCGGCTCGGCGCTCAGCAAACCTGCAAGGTTCCTCCTTTGCTGGCTGCCCTCGTCAGTGCAAAAATGCAACGGCGTCGAGTAACCCTTTCCATCCATGCCATCGAGGAATGGCTTCACCATTGGGATAGCGTCTTTTGTGGCGACAGCGGAGTCTCCCTGGCCTGTGTTTTTCCTGCCGGACCGGCAATACTCGTTCTTGCACCATGCTTTTCCGCAGCCGGTCAGGAGTTGGGATAGGTAGCGACGTTCGACACGGCGGCGCAAGGCTTTGCCCTCCGGATCATGCAGAGATACGTACAAGGGACCGAAGCACACACTGCAGAGGCCTACTTCGTTCCCGGGGCCCTGACCTTTGCGGGTGCCCGCGCGTGTGTCGCCCGTCTTACTGACACCGTCTTGCGTCCTGCCGCAGTTGATGTTGCGGCATAGCCGGGGAATGGGGCGAGAGAAGCGCTCAAGGTCGTGATGGCGAAGGTGAGTTTCCATGTCTCGAAAGCGAACGATTTTATTGCACAGGTGGCATTCTGTTGTGCGGCCGCCATCTGCGAGTTCGTGGGGTGTGAGCCCTGAGAGGAGGAGCTCAGCGCTCGGTGGCTCGTTGGGATCGCCTTCTTGGGGTACTTGTAGGTGGCAAAAGCGGCATAGGATGAGTTTTCCGGGACATGTGGTCGTCTTGTGATGGGAGAGAGTGGGTATTGAGGGGAATTCTAGTCCGCAAGAGGAACAAGACTGCGGAGAGTGGAAAACGGCATCGTGTTTGTGGCGGGCCTGTGTTGAGTTTCCAGTGAAGCTGTCATGTGGGCAATGCCAATGGTTTTGGAATTCTGGAGATCGTTTCTGGAACACCTGCCCACACCCTTGCGGGCAGATGATGTTATTGCGAAGACAGAAGTTTTCGTGGAGGAATAGTGATGATTGTGGAACCCATTGATTGCAGTTCTTGCACTGTACCTCTCCGGGATTTGGTTGTGCTTCAGAAACTCCATTGGACTGGGTTGGTGGTCGTAGTGAGGGATCGAATATCGAAGCCTGCAGCTGAAAAGATTTGGGTTGAGTCGATGCTGATTGAGAGGGGTACGCGCGTATTGAGATCCAGATCGCCTCAGCGTCTTCAAGTTCCACGTTGCTTGGTTGCAGCCGTATTCGCGCTGGATATCGTCCCGAGAAGTCGGCAAATACGTATTCATCTTCTCGCGGTCGCACCCGCTGTCTTGATGAGTAGGGACTGACAAGTAGATCGAGATCGTCGTCTTCCTCTAACGCTTTAAGAGAGATCTCGAGACCCTGTGATCGATCCCAAGATGATAATTCGTAGTCAACGTATTCGCCTTCGAGTATTTGCCCCTCCTGTGGTCGAAAAATGTCCAACTTCCCTCCCACGGAGCTACCTTTATTGGTCCCGGGGGCTCGCTGTGCTTTGGCAGCGATGTGCTTGAGAGTTTCGCGAGCTTGCTCCTCATTCAAAGCTTCAATATCCACTTCCAAATCGGTATCCACTACGCAAATACCATCTCCTTCAGGTTTGAAGCCATCGACCAGGAACCGGAACTCCTCACGCTTACCACCCGATGCCCGACCTCCATTTACCACCAGCACTTCTCCATTTGTCAAGGTCGTGAAGTTCGACCGTAGGTATTCCTCGAGTAACGATTTCCAATCTTCGGGGTCGTATCCAGCCTCGAGGGGGCGTAGCTTCACGAAAGTACCTTTAGGTAACTGTTGGGCATGCACGGTAATCCTGGTTGCGTCTGTGCCATTAAGAGCTACATGACCTGCCTCATCGACTATGACATCGTCGGAGCCACTATCTGGACTTCCGTCTCTCGACGATGTTGTAGATGTCCCTTTGATACCCAAGGCTTCACTCAGGAAAGTGCTTAGAACGATTTGGCCTTCCTCGGCTGAGAACTCCCGAATGCCTGCATAGACAAGTCTACCATTGTCGGGATTGACTAGTCGGAAGGTAAGCGGGTGCGGTAATTGCTGATGGCGATCTTGGTATTGGGCGCGGGCTTGTCTCTCGGCGTTGAATGTATATGGGTTGAAAGGGTCGAAGGACGTGATATGACGTTGGTCGGAATCGACAGTGACGACGGGAGCGGCTGCGAGTATCTGTTCTAAAGCTGAGGGGGGAAGGAGTATTTTATCGCCGGGGAGAGATCGTGAGGGATGCGCGACGGTAAACTGAGCGGACCAGGTTAATTCTGGCGATTCGGCGGGGGCGTCCATCGGTGATCACCACGCGTGAATTGCACGAAAGTCTAGGAGAGTATGTAGGGACACGTGTGTATAGGAAGACATATATAATCGAGAAGAAGGTTTAACGGTACATATTAGACGTAGAAGTGAAGTTTGTCGAGCACGCGACAGTCTTGAAGATGAGAGATGGAAGATGGGAGACTGTGGATGGAAGCGCGTGCTTACAGATGATGCGGCTCTTCTCGAAGCTTCATCCCAAGGCTCAGGCAGGAACTGACTAGGCAGGCAGTGGCAGGCAAATCGGAGGGGACGGACGTGACGTATCTCCGAGATCCTTATCGATAAGCGATAGGATGGGATACTGTAATGAGTATCTTATCGGGTCAAGTCTGAGTCCGAGTCTGAGTCCTCACCGACTCTACCCATCATCTATGTGGGTGTATGCATTGTATGTACCTCACAATTATTGTACGAGTACTGTTCAACTTGTATTACTGACTGTATGTATGTACCTACCTAGGTACCTGTGTATCGTCCTATATATCGTTGAGAGTTATACCATTTGGGTGGCATGCACCCCTCCGCTCTTTAAATGTCCGAACCATAGTTAACTTATACTCGTACATACTGTGTACATCTACCCATGCGACTAGGTACATAATATGATGGACTAATACAAAGTATGTACATAAAACTCCGTCTGTGTAAGCACGCTACAATTTATACGAGGCTGCCAATCTACGTGTGCCCTCTGGTACCATCAACAGTCCTTTCGATTAGTTATGCCGGACCCTTCGGCGTTTGCTAATTCAATCGCCGTAGCTAACCATTACTTCAAGGGGGCAAAGGCTTGTCCATCACGCAAGAAGGATCATCTCCCATGTTTGAGTCTTAACGGTTGTCGGTAGGTGCAGCGTCCAATCCCTCTCAGATTGGAAGGGTGGGCCAATGCATTCGGAGATGGATTGGTGCATATGGTTCCGCGTATGCAGCGTCTGGACTTTCCATGGACATGGACAAGAAAGAGATGGACACGCAGGACGTTGCAGGGCCCTGGAGAGAAAGGGTCCAACACGCATGCATACGATGGCAATAATATAATGCATATATCTAACTAATGATAATAATAATACTCATAAGCCGGCGAGCAACGGCATCAGCAACAGTAAAAGTCACAGCAACCACAAGCATCAAGTGGATCCTTCCGGGAACCAGTTGGGTGGGTGGGATGAATGAATGTGTGGTCATTCCATTCACTAAAACAACAACCACCGGCTGGAGATGCCCAGATGCCCCGATGACCCCTCCACTCTGGTGTGAATGTGATGTGATACGACACAGACACAGACACACACGCAGTCAAGGCGGATGTTATACAAAACCTTCCGAAACGGAAACGGCCGTCCATCCCTTTCACACTTTCGGTGAGAGCTCGCTTGGGATAGGCACATTCTGTACGAGGCCATGAGTATCAATTATTGTTGCAACTCGCTTGGACGTGCCCCCCCCCCTACTCCGTACACGGGACCTGTAACCATCACCATATGCCAACTAGTAATGTAGTCACCATACTTAAACAATTGCTGTTCGACTAACCCAGTATGTATGATCTTGGAAGTTTCATTATTCCTCAACCTGAACGATAGATATTACGAGGCACAACTTAGTTTATTACTCCGCACATCTTCTGCACATCTTTTGATCCATGCCATGCCACACTACGATTAGTTATGTGACCATCGACACGCAGGTGGCGATTGATTGTTTGGCCTCTGTTTCCATTTGTGAAACATTAACGATTCTCCTCAAGACGCCTTGGCTATGCAGATGCCCCGTTCGCCTTGATCGTCCTGACCTCAGGATTCGCCAGCGAGGTCTTGGAAATTCATCTAGATAGAAATGCTCACGGACCCTGTCTTCGCTGGTTAGATACCATACATTTCATGTTACCGTGACTGCAATGCTAACTGCGATCACCGCAGGGGAAGTGTGGATCGAAGGTCGAGGTCTCCGAGACGAGACGATGACCGACTACACCATTTCTCTTCTTGGTGTAGGAAACCAACATACTCTCTACTCTCCCTCTAATGTGTATTGCAGTTAATGTGTACACAGCAGTATCTACGGACTACGACTACCTAAAAGTGCTAACTAACCATTACTTGTCTCTCTATTATTGCATCCAACTCAACCCCACCCTTCATCCCCCCCCCATTCATCCACACTAAGTTCTTCCATTCACACACCATCCCCGTCCATCAGCCTGCAGCTCACTACTCACCTAACACACCCACTCCCACACCCACCACGTCTCAACATCGCCGACGCCCTCGTTTCTTTTGTTTCTTTTCTCACCACCCACCCATCTCTCTATCTATCTATCTCCCTTCACTATTCCTGGTCTCCCATCAAAGAGGCCGGCACGTGCCCCCTTCCCCCCAAACAAGTCGGGGGATTGATCGTCCCCGCTCTACAATAAAGCTTCGGTGAGTACCCTTCTGACAGCTCCTGTAGCTCGATTATTTCCTACTTTCTACTTCATTACTTTCCTACTCCTCCACCATGGGCCCTCTCATCCTTCCCGAAGATGGCTGTCTTCCAATGTCTCTGGCGGACCTCCTCTCCAATACTCTGGTCTGGCGGCAGACTGCTCCATACCTACCCGTCGCCTCTTTGTACGCTCTAGCAGCCGCTTCCAAGTCACTCCACCGCATCGTGCATCACTCCCCCGAAAGCCTCCGCTACCTCGACCTCTCCGCCGTCAAATCACTCGCCGTTCCCTATGAGCCATTCGACGTCGGCGGCACTAGCTGGCGCTCTGAGCGCATGGATGAATCTCTCACCGAAGACGAATTCTACTCTGGCCCGCTCCGAGGTGCTTTCTCGAAGCTCAATAGGCGACGCATGCTCTCCAGTGTCCGCACCCTAGTCTTGGATGGCTTGAGCGTACCTGCAGACCTCGTTCGCGAGATTGTAGTTGGCGATAATTTCAATGTCCGCATCCTCTCAATTCGGGAGGTCAAGAACTTGAACGAACGGAAGTTGATGCAGGCATTGCGATATGCTGTCCGGCCAACCCGCGCAGAAGACACACCCAAAGTCAAGGGCATCTACTTCTTCGGGCCCCGAGACCCAATTCCTACCCAGGACCCCCAGAACAAGAAGAAGCCTACGCCATCCGTCAACCGGGGAGTCCTAGCCTCTCCAGGTGCACAAATTGGCGCAGAGTGGAATCAGAAATCCTCCGATGCGCTGAACGCTGTGTTGACACGGGCGCAAGACAAGTGGTACCAGCCTTCCGGCCGCATGATCGCCAAACGGCCTTCTCTCGAGTGGGCTGAGACACTGAAGGCTTGCGAAGGCATCATTGCATTCGATGCTGTCCTCTGCCGGGGACCACGACATGATTCCACCAAAGCATTTGTGGGCAATGACAGTAGCAATCCGTCTTCATTTCTGGCCCCAGCCATTGCGACTGTAGCCCTGGGGACAGCAGGATGTGAAAATTGTCACGAATCCCCGGAAGGTCCAGCCGTACCGGGCTACTCGCCATCCTCAGATCTCCCACTTCTCACACCTGTACCATGCCATTCGAGCACCGTACAATCTGCACAGAAACCACACGCTACCCATCATTCCGAGCCACCTGTGTTTTTCGCGAGATGTGAGGACTGCTTAAAGGGTCGCTGGTGCGAGCGATGCAACAAATGGTGGGACGAGGGCTGCTATATTGGATCCAACATTAGTCAACGCACCGAACTCCAACAAACTGAATATGCAGAGAACATCCTGGCCGACGGATCCACCCATTTGATCCAGAGGCAAACCACCAAGGTACATATGGGTCTTTGCGTTGCACACTGTCTTGTTACCGAGATGATGGCTGGCGCTGGGAGTAACGGGATGTGGGGATGAATTATGTCGACCTTGGTGCGGAAGGGAGCGGTTTCTTACGGCGGTTACAACGTAGTTGGATTCCCCGGATCCCAGTCTTCCTGACTGGCCCTTGGAGCCTGACTATGGAATAACAGCACACGGATTCCGGACCTTTCGCGCCAAGGTAAGTGTGCAAATCATGCGTGAGAAACAGGCTAACAATTCATCTTAGATCATTGGTGTTCATCGAGACTGCTTTGGTTGCGGCCATACGGTATGCTTGAGCCGATCAATGTATTATTCTGAACATCTGAACTAACGTTTGTGGTCAGTGTATCGATTGCAAGGATCTCTCCATACGTCGATGCGAACATTGTCGGAATGAATATTGTTTCGAATGTAACGACTCCTCATCAGCCACAAAGGTCAGTCTTCTCCCTTATTAGAATCTTCACCTTGCTGACGACGGTAAAGTGCGACTGGTGTAATTACACTTCGCGAAGGACCGTGGAGATGTATTGATGAGATTAGGTCAATTGTGACTTCAAAAGCGCAGCTCGCCGTTAGATCAGGTATCTTAGAGGAACTTTGCGAGCGAATTAGCTTTCGGGCGTCATTAGGCCATGGTTGTAGGAGTTCTATTGGTTTTTTGATGGCGTTATATTTGTTACTCCGCTCTAAGCATTTCACATCGCAAGCAAGATACCCCGCTTATTCAGCATCCATTATACATAGGCTTGAATACATGATAAATTATGAACTCGACCTTTCTCAAAAATCCCCGATCTCCAATCCTGCGTTGTTTTTGTTTGTCTTGCAGCCCATTCTACTGGGAAACGGAGCTGGCACGTGACGGGAGCTGATCATTGATCGGCGGAACACTTCAGAACCTCCGAAGCGACACGAATAAACAAGTGGCTGCAGCGTGCTACGTTCCGACCCCCCATACCCAGCTCACAACAGCACGTCAATTCACAAATCATACAATCGCTGTCGTTTCCTACCCATCGCCAAGATCCCTTGAATCTGGCCTGTCTAATAACTAGATAGCTCTCTAGCAGATTCCCAGGCGTCCCGCACGAGTCGCACTTCCATCGCCGCTGCTAGGCTTCAGCCAGCTCCTTCGAAGAGGACCTTCCCGTTCGCGTTCGTGGTCCATCCCAACCTCACATCTCATTCTTCATACAATGGCACAGTATGGTTATGGGCAGAGTCCCCAGTACGGGGGCGGTGGGGGCGCACAGAACCTCCAATTCTACTCATCCTCCTTCACAAACCAACCCGTGTCGGGGCATTCCACGCCTTTTCAGGCTGGCTATGGTGCACCGCAAGCTCAGGCATATCCCTCACAATACGGTGCAGGATTCTCAGCTCCTGGCGTGAGCGGACAAATGGGTGTGGGAGTTTCGGGTTTGCGCACAGGATGGCTGGCAGCTTTCGGCACAGAAGGATACGAGGGGGAACCGCCATTACTGGAGGAGCTCGGAGTCAACTTCTCGCATATCAAGATGAAGACTTTGGCGGTGCTCAATCCGTTCGGCAGGATTGACCAGCACATCATGGATGATAGCGATGTTGCGGGGCCAATACTTTTCTTCTTCATATTCGGAACATCTTTGCTCGTGAGTAATCTGGCCGAGGAATACATAAGGAAACTTGCTGATGTCAAGATAGCTCTCGGGGAAGCTCCACTTTGGGTACATTTACGGTATGATACATTGCCCACTCTGCAAACGAAATATAACCACTGACGTGAACATAGGTCTTGCTTTCATTGGCACACTTATGCTTCACACCATTCTCTCCCTCATGTCCCCTCCACTTGATCCAGCAGAGGCCGCAGCGAGCCAGGATCATAGTCACCGAAGCAGCTCACACTTCTCCTCTTCTCTCACGTATCCTCGATCTGCCTCCGTTTTGGGCTACTGTCTTCTTCCTCTGGTATTTACTTCCATGGTTGGCATTGTCATTCCCATGGATGGTCTTTTCGGATACCTGCTCACTAGTCTCGCAATCGTCTGGTGCTCTTACTCGTCTAGTTCCATGTTTACAGTTGTTGGTGAGTAGCCTCGCATTCACAAATTCTTCAAGGCTCAGAGTTAGCTAACACACGTAACTAGGACGAATGACATCTATGCGTGGTCTTGTGGCTTATCCCATGGTGCTCTTCTATGGAAGTTTCGGTATCATGGCTATCTTCAGTTCTCGGGGAACCGGACAACTTGCGAAGGCAACAGGCGGCAGCGCATAAAGGGAAGTGCGATGCACATTACAAAAGGGTCAAGGGGGCGAGAAGTGAGCATCATATAGAAGCAAAGGGAATGATACCATGATTGATTGTATAGCATATTTTGATAGTAAGAAAAGAAAAGTTGAAATGCGATGTATGGAAAGCATGGCAAATGACCAGTGACCCACCCAGCCAATCAGAGTGGATTGATCAAGGATGATGACGACTGATGGAAACCCTGCACCTCCCGAGCGGCCAAAAACTTCTGGCTCCTCACCCCCGACAATCTCCGCATTCAACTCATCCATCACTAACCTTCCAACAAAATTTTACTTTCCACTTCCCACATTTTCTCAATCATACATATTCAAGATGGGCTGGTTCTGGGCTGACACAACACCGGAAGCACCAGTTGCACCACATCCAGTTCCTCGAGGGAACGCAAAACCACCGGTACGGTTTTTTGCCTCGCGCGCAGCGTCTTTTTCGAAGGCTTATCCAACTAATGAATACAAAAGCCCAGTTGTCCTATGCACCAGAAGACACAACCGCCTCCTCCTTCACGAGCCCCCGACAATGGGTCGGTTCCACAGGGTGCATGCCCCTACGTCCCATCAGACAAGTCTGCACCTGCGACCAACACTTCCGACGACTCAACGACTCCCCCGCCACCAAAGCAAGGCCTCCTCTCCCGTCTGAATCCCCTTAACAACATGCCCTTCGATATTTCTAATAAGCGCGCCGACCAACAATCACAAGACCTCCCCTTGGACCGTGAAGCCAGCACAATTCCCAAAGGCGATGGCTCGCTCTGGGAATACCCATCACCACAGCAGATGTATAACGCCATGCTTCGAAAAGGCTACACCGACACGCCCGCCGACGCCGTGGAGAGTATGGTTGCCGTACACAATTTCCTAAACGAAGGCGCCTGGGCGGAGATCTTGGGCTGGGAGCGCAGGTTCGGCAAGGGACTCGCGGCAGGATACCAGATCTGCAAGCGCGGAGAGGAAAACGCAAACATCACACTGGGCACAGAGGATCCCTTCGATACCACCTGGAGTGACAAGCAGGCGCCGCCTCCTAAATTGCTGCGATTCACTGGACGTCCCGGGGATACGACACCAAAGAGCCAGATCCTGCAGTGGCTGGGTTGGGCGTGGCCGGAGAGGTATGGGACGCCTGCACCTTTTGATCGCCACGATTGGTTCATTCAGCGATGCGGGGAGAATGGGTGTGAGGAGGTTCGCTACGTGATCGATTATTATGAGGGCGAACCTGAGCCGACGGGAGAGCCGGTTTTCTTCCTCGACGTTCGCCCGGCCGTGGACGGCCCGCGTGCGGCAGCGGAGAGGAGCATCCGCTGGGGCACTGATGTCTGGTGGAGGGCCACCGGCGGCGTCGTGAGAGAGGTCAGGAAGGCCGAGGCTGCGAGGAAGGCAGCAGAGGGGGCAGAGGAGGCCACAACACGACGATACAACTAGTGCCGTATACTTGCGGCCATTTCTGACTTTACAACCACGCCGTGACGGGTCCGTCAATACTAAGACAAAGGCATCACGATTAAAGAACTTGGACGGAACGGGGGACTTATATCATCAGCACTCTTCAGTCAGTGTCCAAAGGCGTTTTACGAAGCATCAATCGGTTCCAACTTTTTGGGATTGCATGGAGTGGATATGACTATCTATTGGTTCGATCTTTCCTTTTTTTTGAACCTTTTTATTCTTTTCATTGTACTCGGCTTACCTTTTCTCCAATTTGCCAACGTACTTGATATTTCTTCTGTTTTCCCATCGGCTTGTGACAAATAACGACCCACGCCTCTCTTCTCCCTTGGCCGTTTCTACATGACTATTTTGTACCATTCTTGTATTGTAAACAAATTCAATCATGTGTTAATACCACTTCCCAAATACTGCTCAATCCTGAACTTACCAGCCCAGTCTAGCCGACGAGCATTGAAGCAATAGAGTACGCGCAAGATGATCCCCAATCTCCAGTAAACAAATATTGAATATATACCCGTACTGATTAAAGCCAACCCGAACATCATCTTTGACCGTCCTTTCTCCAAGACTTCAATACACCACCGACCCACCCATCCTAAAAGAGAACGAACAAGGTTCAGACCATCACCACAACTATCGAACACCAGAAACAGACACAGCTCGCTCCCTGGCAAAACGAACAGGCATCTTCCCAACAGAAAAGGAAAAGAATAAAACCACACCAGCACCAGCTGCCCAGCACCCACACCGACCTCCTCCCAAGACTTTGACGTCGTCCAGCCTAGAACAGCACCACTCCTCGCCTAACCTTGATCATGGATGGAGGAAGGATCTTGAAGGAGTCAGCCCGTAGCTGATACTACAGTGCCTACAGCATGGGAATGGGACCGTGACCAGGGGGGAGGTGTGAACACGACTTTCAATGTTATGCCATGGGTAGTTAGGTAGTAGGCATGTGTCCCCTTCCTTCCGCGCATACGGTACGATATCGTATCGCCAACATCAACCAATAACCGCTCTATGAGAGGACCCTGAATTTTTGTTTGAAGGAGTAAGACGAAAAGGATCAGTGGAATCCTCATGCGAGTCAAGGCCAAGGCACGACATAGAAACGTAACGGGCGAGCTGCGGGGTGCGGCTGGGCCCCTTCCATTATCCTCCCTCTCTGCTGAGATGAGGAGTAGGAGGAGGAGGTTCCTATCACTCACGTCATTGGCAGCGGGTCGGATGTAATTAGCATGCGAGGGACGAAAAGGATACGCCGCACGCCGACAAGGCTGTAATTAACTATTATTGACTTCAACTGTTTGAAGGAAGAAAAGAAGGGTGGATGGAAGGATGGAAGTAAGGAATCGAATCACCAACGGCTAGTCTAGTTTGAACGGTGATGAATAATCGGGCCATGATTCCGCGTTAGGTGGGTGGAAACAAACTGTGTAGGTGGATAGGAAGGGGAGGGAGATTGTACAGAGCGTTGTATGGGAAATTCTCCTAGCGGGGGGACCATCTTCACCATCTTCACTGTGCGTGCGGGTTTGCCGCCCACGAGGGCCGCGGCAGATCGAAGAGATCGTGCGATTATCAGGAGACATCTCGTCCCCCAAGACGATGATTCATCGCGCCCCTGGCAAGCTCAGTCATCCAGCGCGATTACCTAAGGAGTTAATGTGAACGCCATCCCGTCGACGCCTCCGCTTGAGATGCAGATTGCGATGCAGACCCCCATCGAAGACTGGGATGGGAAAGATTGGGGATTTGGGAATACCATTTTTTCCCACAAATAGACAGCACAGGCGTATTGTTCGTACAGGAAGCTTAGGCGCAAGAGTCATGTAGCCAAGATACTTTGTAGAGGAAGAGATTAAGAACTTGTACTTGTAAAACAGTCTTGCTGCGACTCCGACACTAGAGCTTACACACACCGATACGGAGCTGTATATGAAAGAACAAGAACATTTGGGATATACGAGCACCTGCGCCTTCTGGGCCCCCAGGGTGTTGTTAACATACGTAGCCTGCTCGTCAACAGGACTGTCTCACTATGATATATCGCAGAACAACGATAATGAGACCAAACCCCCAAGACATGATGATATAGCCCGCGCCCAACGCCAAAAGAACAAACGAGCCATTGATTTTGCAGCGACTAGCCCCTGTACATGCACGTGATATCATTTAAAAAAAAACAGAAGTGGGAATGATGAATGAGAAGTCGAATCGTCCGAAAAAACTAGTTCCTCCGACTCGACCATGAGACCGAAATATGACATTAAGCAGCAGTTTCCTTTGCGGACTGCTGTAGCTGGCTGGCGAGGTGTGCAAAATCATTCCCCGAATCTGTTGTCACTATAAGCTACTCGTCGATCCAGATGAGATGTCACCAACTGGGCCACCTGCTACATATGAGCGTTCAAGAAACTTGGAGCAGGTGGATGTAGAGAGAAGTATGGCGAGAAAGAAAGTGGCAGCTGACCTTGCTGGGTCGAATCGTCGACCTTGGGGCGCTTGTCGGCATAGTCTCCTGTATCAAAAGAAGGTCCATCCGAGTTGGGATGCTTTCCATTGTTGACAGGTGGACCATGCTGCGCTGCGGCAGCCGCTTGTGCAGCCATCTGTAGCTCTCCAATCTGACGTTCTGACAATCCACCATTGTTCGTTGGGCTACTTTGCTGTTGCTCTGGCTGCTGGGGCGGTTGCGGTGCTTGGACTATTGTGCTTGGGGGTTCGGGATGTTGGCGGGAAAGGTCGACGCCTGCTGGGGCCGGAGGGATCTCTCCCTGGGATTCGAGTAGACGAGATTGGAGGTTGATTATATAGTCGCGAAGTTGGTAGTTTTCGTTTTGGAGGGCCTTGTAAAGTTCACAGAGTTGCTCGAACTCCTTCACTTGGTCCTTGAGCTGCTTGATGTACTCTTCCTTGCGTTGGCGGAATGCGCGCTGCTGATGTTAGCTACGAACACGGCGAATCGATGTTAGGGTTGCATTGATACGCACTTGGGCTGCCCGATTCTGAGCGGCGCGCTTCGATGTGGAAAGCTCTCGTCGTCCCTTCCGGCCTTCGCTCAGGTGGCCATCACCAGCTTCGCCCTGGCTCATCTGGTAGGCAGAACCTGCAATTGCAGGATCGATAGCGTGTTGGGGGCTGCCGGGATGGGGATGTTGCTGTAATGGCTGGGACGCAGTGGGTTGTCCGGCGCCTGCAGCGAGGAGATGTTCTCGTAGACCTGTGTAGCGACGCAAGTTAGTAATGGGCGCAACGAAGAGTATATGCGGCAGCGGAGCTGAGCGAAGCGGCAAGATCAATTGGAGGGTTGGGAAGAGGAGGCGTAGACTAACTCATCTCGATGTTTGGCTTGTGGTCCTGGAACAGTCAGCAATTTGCGAAGGTCTTCGGAGTCAGCATTGGGGATGCTCAGCTTACCTGAGCAGGTTGCTGCATGTTTACGTCGAATGTGCGAATGGACGGGTACAAGGTAGGTAGCCCGTTCGGCATCAAATCGATGTTGGCGGATGAAAAGCGAATCGAAAGATTAGGGCGCGCAGCTTGTTGAAGTGGAAGATATGGGTTAAGATTGATGCGCAATGTGTCGCGTCGCACACAGCGTCAAGGTACGGTAAATTGATGACAAGCAGCTGGGGCGCGGGTGGTGGGTGTGGCTGTTATTGTTGATTATTGAGCAGATAGTGGTGTGGGGTCACGGAGCTCCGCGAGCTGGAAGGAGGGTCACGGATTGGGCTGCGTAATGTCACGGGTACTTGGGATGTCCAAGAATTATGGTCGCAAGCGTAGCCGGAATGACTGATGCAGACACGGATGGTGTTGGAGTTGAGGATTGGGATTAAGGTTGATGTAGGTGTTGATGTTGTTGGTCCTGGATGTGGGTTGCGGCGAGGGAGGCGCAAAGAGTAGCAGCACCTGTCAAGCAAAACGGAAGGTAACGGTCAGCATCTTTACACGAGGATACCGACGCGCGACGCGCGGGCGTCAACAGTGCATGTCCATAAAAGATATGATTGCATGTACGGAGTAGAGGTAGGCAAGACAGGATGGGGATGATGCGATGCGATGCGCGATGTGCATACGTTACGGGCGCAGGCGCATACACATACACATACACGCAGAGAGAGTGGTGGGTATGTATATACCAACCTAGATACCTACCTAGGTAGGTAGTTGTGCGTGCGTGCGTGCGTGTATGTGATAATAGAGAAGAGAGAGAACAGAGAGAGAACAGAGAGAGAACAGACAGTGTTTGAGTGACAAGCTGGGGTAGGCAAGCAGGCACAGACTGTTCAAGAGTGAAGCAGTAATTAACTACAATAATGTGCAGTGCATGGCTGGCGAATAATGGAAGATGATGAAGACGGATGGGAGATAACTTTTGATGGAGAGGCGGGTTGAAGAGATGGCTGACTACTCACCAGTGGACTCAGTGTATAGGTGGGCGGTAATGGTAATGGTAATGGTAACTATTGGGAATTATTGGAGTATTTTGGGTGGATGGAATGGGTGACTGAGGAAGAATTGCTGAGTAAGGAAGACTTTGGGGGGGAACGAGGGAGATTTCACCTTTTTAAAGTAACTCCTAAGGGGATGGAGGGGGGATGGCCCGAATGGGTGATGAGTGGATGGATGGATGGGAAGGAACGCGCACGGACTGCCGATGCCCTACCTTTTGCATTTCTTATTTAGTGTGCGCTACATGGTAGGTGGTGGTGGTGGTACATAGTAGTGGTAGGTAGTACAATAGTAATTACCCTATTAATACCAACCCTACTCTAGTTACCACTCCCGCCCTTCCACCCACTTCCACTGCCCTAACTAATTAATAGGTACAACTTACAAGAACATAGGTATTCAATACGCACACAAATACGCCATCATACGCACCTACATAGGTATCGGGTACATTACAACTACAAACTATGCTACTACACTACTGCTGATTTATACTTCATTACTATTTCTCACTACTCTTACTACCACCACTACCAGTACCTACCAATATGATCAAAGCATTATTGTACAATTACCTACTTCATGCTCGTACATTCATTCACTTGACTGCCGCCGCTCTCCATTGATACACCATTTGACCAACCAACCAACACCCTTTACTAGTCGCTCTGCAAGTACTCCGTCGGTCAAGGTGATATCAACTCCACATAGACTACCCTCGATATCTTGCAATAGAACAGTTCTACGTCTTCTCTTGCACACCCTACCCAGCGTGCCAGCCAATTATTACGTCCCCCTACTCGTAGACATACTATTCCTCTGTACTTGCCAATGCCCATCCTGCAGCGGGTGTTAGACCCCCCCCTCTGCCCTCTGCCAGTCGGATTATGTCAAGGGTTTGCCTTTTTCGCGTTCAAGGATGTCGATCAGCCGGCAAGCATAGCAGCCACTTGGTTGGTTACTCGCTCTCCTCACGTGTCTTGAGATTACAGTCGAAATAAGTAATGACCTAGGTATCTGCTACTTTTACGGAGTACCCAGAGGGCAATCACCAGATGTATAGCCTGTCAATTGCGTTGTGAATAGGAATAGAATGGTCTTGACGGGATTCTGGTAACCCTCCCACTACGCTATTACAGCCATTGCCCAGTTGGTTGCTTTTGGCGCTTCGACCGCTAGGATCTATCAAATCAACTACTGTGTAAGCTACACTTACACCTACCTACACAGTGCATCTACGAATAGGTGATTACGACAACGCGTCAGTGTGCTACCCTTCCCGAACGGGATCTCGGGACGTATGTACGAGTGCTTGTACGTCTCCATACCACCTCCTACCTCGTACTGGTACTAAGTTTCTGTCCTGTCTCGGCCGTCTTGTCTCCGTCCCTGGTCTCGGTAGCCTCAAGGTTGGCCCAGATCCAAAGCGCTCTACGCTGGTATTCGGCATCATCAACGCGGTGAAGCCACTCGAGGCGAGAAACTTTACGGTCATGCTTATTGCACGGCTCGCGCTTTCGTCGTGCCGTGTTTGGCTTGCTTAGGCGGGATGTGTGCGTCGGTCACAGCCGTTTCTGATATTGATTACTCCATACCTATCTATATCGCTACGTCCAACTTCGTCCGGAGTCGGTCGTACAAAGGTGCTAAGGTGGCGGGTGGAGGATGCCGTTCTGTACAGGTTGCGGTTGCGGTACATGCGATTCGATTACCTACTCTAGGTACCTACGCTACACTGCTACAGCGAGCAAGATGTTGTAACTCGTGGTGCGCCGTGGTCTCATTCGGACTAGTGCATTTGCTTACAAACCTTCATTCACCCTATTCCCTTGGCAGGCCAGGCTCGTCCGACGTATCCGGGCGACTATTGTTGTGCATCATCATCATCGGCATCATCATCATCATTTATCCCACGCAGCTGTGCATCTAGCTTTGCGCCGCTTCAATAACTTAATACAGACAAATAGCAAATAACAAGCGAAGAGTTAAAGCTCTTACGAGTATTAGTTACAATCCATCGATAACCACTCACCAGTAATGGCCGGAATACCAGTTGGCTCGATTCAATCCGCATCCTCCGAGAATAGAATACTGAAAATCAGAAAGAATGAAAAACATCCTCAAAGACCCTATCCAAACCCGCGTTGGCACTGCAACTAGTAGTAACACCTTACCAATCTTTCATCAACTCGTGCCCACACAATTCGAAGTTGACCATAAACATGGGCTAACCATATCGGACAAGCTTTTCGCGATGAGGTATGATGTAATCAGTCGCCAAACCTCACATACATCCGAGTCCCCAACTAAAATGCCCGCGGTCTCTCTGCCACATGCATGCCGTCCGCCCCAACTTCAGTAGCAACAATGGAGCTAATACCAAAAGAAAGGAAAAAGAACATTCTCCTTATCTTCGTGCCGACTTCTAAACTCCGCACTGGTACTTATCCGTTGCACCTCATGCTCCAATCCTCTATTTGCCCCATGTGAACTCTGGCTGATAGGCTGACGCGCTTATGCTACACAAACGGCAGATTTCCTATTAACGCGACGTCGGTCGCACAAGGTGTTAGCAGCTGTGACGTCTCGGATGAAGCTTACATTGTCAACAGCCTCTATCGGTGTCCTCATGGGAGTATGGAAATGATCGACAGTGTGTATGAAGTCTAGGCCTGCGCACATCACGATCGTTCAACGCGAACAGTCGCTATCCTCCTTTGCAGAATGCTCTCTCATCCATGCATCGGACACTTTCAGCAACGGTCAATGTTGGTCAATGCGAACCACGCTGGTAATTGCCCGGGACACTCGATTCCAAGCCCCAGGACGCAGACACATGACTCTCAAATGGCATTGCTGGAAGTGGTACATCGTGGAATTAGTCACATCTATCTGGTAATTATCGCTACGCCGCAACCAGAGGGATTCGCGGGACAAACGTGCTCCTCGCCCAATGCGATCCTCAAATAGGTGCCTACATCGATGATCTGCGACTTGATCGTCGTTGTGCCCATCACTGTCGACAGGTTCACGCGAGGACTGTAATACGAGTATATACTAATACGAACTTTTTCTGTGGCATGTACCTTCCTATTGCGCCTTCAAACCCTGTGTGTTTCTGTTTTGCTGGGGGCTAGAAGAGCCATTGGCTTCAAGATAGACAGTATACCTTAATGATCAGAAGATATATCTTTCGCAAGTCAAACTTTCTGTCTTTATGTCGCGTATGTGGTCAAAATTGCCTTGCAGATATGGGCGGTGTAAAAGCATCATCTTTTGTCGTCAAGCATTCAGACCGCATGTTGGTACACGCCAGCCAGCTTGTTACCAACTTGCCATGTCAAGGATGGCCCTCAAGCATTGCTTCCCGTTCCTAGCGTTGCAGCTGTCTGATTGTTTCACGTACCGAGTCGCCGATGGACATCATGCAAATGTAAAATCACTCAGACGGTATTGGGTCACAGTGGGGCCACGCCTGAGCAGCTGGCGGACGATGCATCGACGTCGGATGGAATCTAACAAGTGAACAGATCGTAGGATGTGCTTCAAGGACCTAAGTACCGAATCCAACTTAAGCATGTGGAGCGTCTCCACGTCCACGATGAGATGTAAGGCCTACTAGTCGAGCATGCAGCGGACAGTCAACAAAAAGGTAACGTACAGTACATATCCTGCAGCTACTCAACCTCGCAGGAATCGCCCAACGCCAATTCTGTTCGAACCTCGAAAAGGCACAAGCACCGTGGTCTCCACGATTTTTTCGCTTATAGTAGTGCGCGGAGAAGCTTCAATGGAACAAAGTCGAGTCCGCTAGTGGGAACGTACTTGGGTTAGTGATGGTTACACATCAACATCGTTGTTCAGAGCTCAGACATATTTGGCCACCACCATCTTCTACCTACAGTTCTACCCAGCATACTGGATCTACCAGTATACGCTATACTATACTTTATATTGCGGCAGCTACAGTAGTTAGTTCGGGCGATTACTCATATTTTGATCTCGAAAATGTTAGCCGTGCCCTTGCAGGACTATTATTTTATACCTGGGTGTAGCAGATGAATAATTCACTTTTTCGGAGCTACACTACAGGCACACTGCCGTGGCGGGGCACGATATATTTAACGACTCAAAATCGAATATCTGAGTGATAGTTTATCTATACTGATCGTAATGTAATGGTAGACATCAACAATTGACCAATTGCTTCACCTCACATTGTCTACGTCTAATCAATATCACTCGCTAAATGCTACTTACAAGACGTCAGTCATGAAAAGCTCCACATTGTCTGGCTCTAGTGGATCACATTTATCCTGCCGAACGACGATGGCATTCCTATTTCGACATTTACTCCCATGAATCAGGCACTTGCTTCAACTCTAACTTCATCGTTAGCTCGGCTAGTACACGTTCATATTTCTGCAGTAAAATGTGTCGGTCATCACTAGGCCCCACTTAAGTCCATCAATTAGGACTAATAGCCAACAGTGATTCGGGCAGTATTGGTATGCTATTTCGAAGTGTCCATAGATTCAGCTTCACGACCTCTTACATGTTGGGACAACATGATAGCTTCATGGTAACTAGCCATAGGGCTTATGAACTACGTAGGGTACATCACGGATGACGGAAAGGCAGTCTCCGGTTCAGAAACGGCAAAGTCCATCTCAGCTAGAGACAGACCGCCTAGTGATATCTTCAGACACTTACTCACTGCTCTGTCAACAACTCAATACTGTCCCGTGCGGATGGCAGCAAAGTCCGTTTCCGGGAAGTCTGGCATGGGACTCTCATTTCCCTCACCATTGCATTTGCGCTGCGGACTTAGAAATTCCCCTACTTTTGAGAATATACCGCGACGCGCCAGGTCCCCAAAGTTTTATTGTTCATCTTGTTGCAGTGCTTTCTCTCCCAAACAACAATTACTCTCTCACGCATGAGGCAGGGCTGCTTGTTCTCATAAAATCAAAGTCCAAACTTTCGTCTAGCCGAGACTAATAACTTCAATCTGCATTCCAAATGCTTCAGAACCCCTATGTAGATATTTCTACTACTGTGGTTGGTAAGCCGATGTAGTTATTATCGATATGAGCGTAATCACAGCTCGCACGACAAGTCATCGTGATGACACGTTGGGCGCGTACGCAGAGCTTGGCTGACTGTATCCACACACTGTAGTAGACAGCGTTCGCTTTTATTATCGCGAAGTACATTCTTGCTCCCAGCAAAGAAGGTACGTGCTTCAAATCTCGACGTTAGCAGGTAGTCTTTCCCTAATTTCTTTTGGCATTTTATCAGAGTGGCATATGCGAGCAGAAAGAAGTTTATCGACAAGTTTCTCTGTGTTAGAACAGGGGATAAATCGATGCCGCGTACATGGCGACTTACTCTAAGCCTCCCCTCAGAGCATCCTAGAGGTACGTTCTCAGCAAAGTGAAAGTCGTTGGCAACCCTAGAGTAGTCAAATAGGATACAGTTGCTCGTGAAGGGTTCTATAGTGTTCTAGAGCCAAGTAAAGCCTTCACTTTACGCTCCGTGGATGCTTCAAGTATACAAGTACAGCATCCCAAGACAGTGAGCTCATTTGGTTTATGATGCAGAAGCTGCTCAACGCTGTTGTCTGAACTCACATCTTCCTTCACGGTCTTACATGTAACCAAGATGTCTAGAAGATCAGCCGAGAAATCGCTACCGAGCCCTATTGCTCCGGACAGCTTAGTCTATCTGATAGCAAGCAGCCGAGTTCACGATGTTGAGCGAGTGTGGCTAATAGAATAGAGAGTGATAAGGGTGTACTGTCAAGCTTGTATTCAAGGTGAATCGAAGTTGTTTATCTAGATATCTCGATGACTAGTCTCAGCTAGCAGGCTAGATACCATTGACAACTACTTGGAAAGGTAGCTGGGACATGCAATATTGATCCTGTACAGTGAAGTAGTCAAGAGCTCACACCCATTTAGCAATTGGAGATAGGATAGACGTGCCGTGTATGGTGAGCCATAGGGCACTATAATCAGAATATGACACGACAGTTAATTGACATAGTAAAAGATATTTCCTACTTGCTATATCTACATCTACACTTATAACAGATGAGATGTAATGAAATGCTTCACTCTACATCCTTCACCAACACTGTAGGGAATAGATAGGCACGAGTGTTTCAAGCATATCTTATTATGCACCAATCAGTAGCATGCAATTCAAATCCTATCTTAGATTTTTATAGTCGAAGTAGTTAAGTATATTGTTAGAAGTATTAATATTATAAAGATACTGCATTACTTTTAGCTAAATAAAAATAAAAAACAAGTTAAACGTTACAATATTAGGAGTAGACATGCATAAAAAAAGGATAGAGGATTATTACTAGTAATAAGAAAAGGTTATAGGTTTAAACCTACTTCTTTTGCTATATTTAATAATAATTTATGCCTTATATATATATACAAGAGCAAAAAAGAGAAGACATAGAAGTCTAGTCTTCTACAGATGCAAAAAGAAAATTGGAGACGGCGGGAATTGAACCCGCGACCGTTCACAATCATATGGAAACCATGCGAAGCGAAAATCATACCCCTAGACCACATCCCCGATTTCTATAAAAGATTTTCAAACAAAGCCAAATATGTAGTGACAATATGGCGCTCAGAATGACGAAAGTGTGTTCTTCCAGTGAGATGTTGTGGTCAGACCTTTTCTCGCCCCTAAGAAAGTATCCACATCAAGTCCAGATTTGACTAAACTCGCCGTGGGTCGAATATATCCCTTGGCAAGGATAGGGCCAGACTTGCATCCTTGTATAACACCTCTCTAAATAACCAGCTATATTCATTCGCTGTACAGCAGTTTAGACAATTTTAATCCTAGATCTATATTGAGCTACCGATGTTTGTTTATTGACGAAGAGAAGTTGGTGATGAGGTAAGTTGTTTATTGAAATGTTACTGTCGTGAATGTGACGGTGGCCACTATTGGTGCAGCCGTATGCTCTTTGGGGGACTAGCTCCAAGAATGGAACGAGCCGAACGTCGCGAGCTGTTGAGCGTCCACCGCGACAATTATCTTCAGAGCTCACAACCATTACGAGCTGTCAACACATCCGAACATCCTAACCACACCTATCGTAGTCTCGGACTGCAATTCGCCATTTCTACCCTCGGAGTATCACGTTCATATGCGCGAGTAAATAGCAACATCCTGCTCAGCAATCCAGTGAGCGACGGCTCTGCAACTCTCGCGCAATTGCTCACGAACTCCCTACCCGTGGGCTGTAATCGCCAATCCCGACGGATCTTGTTTGCGCCTCATTTCAAAAGAGCTCCGGCTTCTGGAGCTACAAAGCGTGTCTACAATAATCTCTCATTGAGCATCGCCAGTCAGCAGTAAGCTATAGGCGGGACGCGCAGACATATATTGAAAATGGTTGGCAAGAAGTCTGGCCGAGCCCAACTTAAGGAAGAAGGTATTTCATGTCCTAAATTCTTTCAAATTTGGAATCAGTCCTAATGTTCATAACAGGGCTCGAACGAACGGATAATAACCTCGACCTCACAACATGGCCTCAAGTATCGATGATCAACCAGAAGAACTACTATACCGAGTTCCTGAAACGCGAAGAACAATTTCTAGCCTTTCGAGCTCCTCAGGAGGAAGCCACTGCACGCATGGTACAACAAGCGCGAGACAAGGACCGCGCATTGGCATTCGGTGCGTCTGTTGACGGCAACATAGATCAAGCAGAGGAACAAACAGAAGATGTGGCAGCAGCGTCTACGCAGGACTACTCCTCCAAATTGGTTATCCTTCACGTAGGGAGTCAGAATCTGAGGATCGGCCTGGGTACCGATGCCCTACCTAAATCCGTGCCCATGGTCATTGCTCGGCGATGGAATGAGAGCGAGTCTGAAGAGGGAGACGGTGAACCATGCCCCAAGCGACAGAAGGTGGATGGTACAGCTGCTTCGCCAGAAAAGTGGTTTGGCGAGGATGTGCGGATTCCCCGTCCTGATTTGTCGGTCTACTCGCTAATATCAGATTCTAGTTTGCCAATCAATACCAAACGATGTGCTCAGAACTGAGAACTCGCATGCGCAATAATAAGCGCAGGGTTCTGCCCAATTCCAAGGAACTCGTAGTAAACTACAACCGACGCGCAACGGCCGAGCATATTTCTGAGCATAACGATGTTATCCAGGTTGAATGGACAGAATTGCCGACGGATCCAAAGAAAGCACCCGAGTACTTCACAGGAAATGATGCCCTTCGTCTTCCTGAGAAGTCTAATCCTAGATATAAGCTGTTCTGGCCCATCCGGAATGGTACTTTCAATGAGAAGGACTACAACACGCGGAGCCAGATTTATCACGATATTTCAAAGATATTCGAAGATGCACTGAAAACCCAATTGGGGGTTGCTGACCCGAAAGATCTTGCGAATTATCGCTGTGTTTTCATAATCCCTGATCTCTATGAACGAGAATACGTGACCATGATTCTCGATATCCTTATCAAGGACCTTGGGTTTGGGAAGGTCTGTCTACAACAAGAGAGTCTATCAGCTACATTTGGCGCTGGGTACTCAATTGCGTGTGTAGTCGACATTGGTGCTCAAAAGACTTCGATCTGCTGCGTTGACGAAGGTTTGTGCATTGAGGAATCGCGGATAAACATGAAGATGGGCGGTGCGGATGTATCGGAGACATTCATCAAGATGATGCTCTTCGATCATTTCCCATACTCGGAGATGAATTTGAAGAGGAGGTACGACTTCTTGCTAGCAGAGGAACTGAAGCAGAAGTTTTGTTCCATGGATGAATCCCAAGTTACAGTCCAGACACTGGATTTTCATTTACGAGCTGCCGGCCAGAACACGCGACGATATCAGTTCAAGACCTATGACGAGACAATGCTATCCGTGATGGTAAGGGCGATATTCGACACGACCTCTATGTGCAGACGCTAAACTTGTGTGTAGGGTTTTTTTAAGCCACAGATATTTGATCATTCGCGAAAATTAGAAGGACGCAGGAGTGTCATACAGCGCGCGGTTGATCTCTACGATGGCGCACCTAATGATCCTTTATCGACTGCGCAAGAGACTGTCATTAACAATGCTGCCGGACAGGCACCGGCATCCAATGGTACCCAGGAGGCCACCAATGGGCCCCCCGTCATGGCCACACCAAGTCGCCATAATCTCATCAATAGATTGACCGAAGCCGAGGGCACGCCTCGATCGTCTGTAGCTGGTTCACCAGCTCCAGAAGGAACGCCGAATCCTGATCGCGATACACCGATGGGCGAGACCGATCAACCACTCATATTCCGGGATCCTATCTTAGAGAAGACCAAGGCTGCAGAAGAGAGAGATAAGGTCGTCCCTGTTATACCTCTTGATCAGGCAATTCTCGAAAGCTTGACTCAAGGTGCTCGTGGCGAGGAACGGAAGATGCGTGACTTCTTCGGTGGCATTATGCTTATCGGTGGAGGTAGCAAGACGCCAGCTCTCCAACAGTTTCTCGAGACAAGACTCAGGGAACTGCGACCTTACTATGGAAAGGAGATTCTTGTCGGAGCGCCGCCGAGGGATTTTGATCCTCAAGTAGTTGCCTGGAAAGGTGGAAGCGTCTTTGGCAGGCTGTCAACGCATGGAAACGACAGCTGGATCAGCAAGTCTGAGTACAACATCCTCGGCAGCAGACTGTTAACGCACAAATGTATGTTCGCCTGGTAGAGGGTGTCAGACCATATTTGGTCAAGCGGGAACAATATACATCTAGAATCATCATCACTATCGAATGTTAGCTCAATATTACTATTTATTCCCCCAACATTGCAATAACGACGTCGTTAACCGTATTTGTCGGGGACTTGGTAGGGGAGTTTGTAGTGGAGCTCTCAAACAGGTCTAGTGCGAAGACAGCCTTGGCAGGACTTCTTCAGCTCAAGGATAATAGATTTTCCGCACTGCGCGTTGGGAGCTCCAACTTTCTTTCAGGATAGCAACGTCGCGACACAGTCTCTAACCCAGCTCCAACGTTGAGGAAGTCGCCTTTTCTCAATTCTCAAGATGTCATCAGCTAGGACAAGCTACCAGCAGGATTACATCGCGCGCATCCGATACTCGAACGCGCTGCCTCCTCCACCATGTCCACCAAAGCTCCTGGACATTCCCAACACTGGACTCTCCAGCGGACAGTATACATCGGCTGGCTTTGCATCGAGGCTGGCCCGAGAGCAACCTCTGAATATAGAGGCAGATGCTGAGTTGGGCATGCCAGTGGATTTAGTTGGTATCCCAGGCGTCTTCGATGGCGATGAAGCAGGTATGACTTCACAGACACCAATCTTCGCAAGACCCGATTAACCTGTGGATTAGCAATACAAGCTCTGGACCGACCACCTCTACTCCACCCAGCCGATCGCGCGCTGATGCGGCCTCCGACAGCCTTGGGCAAACCAATGGCAGGCCCGTCTGGCATATCATTCCTTCGTAAAACCGAGTACACCACATCATACCACACAGGAGGCGCCAAATTCGAATCCAGCAACTCCTCGAATACAATGCGCGTCAAAGCTAAAAGACGGCGACCAGCGGACGTATCTCAGGACGACCCAACCAACATCAGTAGACAGATCTTGAAAGGATTCAACATTGCATATCCTGCCGATGCATACAATGGCCCAGACACAGGAGACAAGCTTCGCGCGGCCGACATTCTGTCGGAAGAGAGACAAGCATGGAAGACACCAAAACACCCACTCAATCCTTCATTGCAGTTGCTCGATTCATATCCATTACTTCCTGATTGGGACGCAGTTCCTGATACGGGCTCCTACCAAGTCATCAAGTTTACAGCACCGCCCGTTCGCAATGCACGTGATCAGAATTATGACGAGCGCCTCGACGTTGCCCTCCTGCGCCCCATGGGCCAATCCATCGAAGACAACGAGACGTATCTCAAGGAGGTCGAGGAGCACAAAGAGGATCCTACGTTACCTACACCACTGCCCCGCTACCACTTCGAGTTCTTTCTGCCGTCGAGTAGCGACAAAGTCAGAGGGATCAAGCGCAACTTCAGCACAAACGATCCCGACAATGAGGACGAGATCAATTTTGACACGGGAGTGGACGATGACGGGCGGCCGAGGAAGATCTTCAAGTATGAGCGCATACGAAACTACGAGACAGCCAATCAAACCGGTGACCCGGAGCACGAGTTCAGTGATGTGGTTGCCGTTGCGCTACATGACCCGGAGAGTCACGAAGACGAAGCACTCAGGACGAGCAAATTGCAGAAGGCAGCTTACTTCTATCCGATCAAGCAAAAGATTGGCATCAGGCCGAAGAGGCAGGAGAACGTCGAGTTCTTGGGCGGGGAAACGCAGAAGGTAGACGTTGTCGAAACCATTGCCAGGAACCCAGAGGTTGAAGTGGAAAAGCGAGAGAATTGGCGGAAGCAGTACGATATCATCGAGACGTAGGGCGCATGTGCTGCATCCTTGTCTACTAATATATCCATGCCTATCATCGGGTTCTCTTTCTATCTTCTTACATTGAAATCACAAAGCGTGGCGTTGGATTGCTTTCCGGTTGCTATGGGTGGGTGCGGGGATGCATATTGGCGGACAAGGGTAGGCTTTTGCAGTTACATAGCGGATACTTTGATAGATGTATCATATTGTGCAATTGACTGATCCGGACGGAAAGAGAGAGAGAGATAAAGAAACGAAGGAAACAACTTTCTCTGGCGTGCAGAACCCCCGCTCTCTGACCAAGAAACGAATAGGACATGGCGCATAGTTAGTTGGTCGTAAATATATGACATTTGTCGCCAGTGGTTGGCTAGAAGGACAAACAATTATCAGCCTACTCGGGCAATGTAGTGTTAGTCTCCGGGAACTACGCGTACGGAATACTTCCATTCGTTCCGCTGCCCGCGTAACGTAACCCCTGACGTGGACGAGGTGCATGTACTTGTACAGTATGAGTAAAGTAGATTGTTGGAGGCAAATGGTAGTAGGCTCGTATCTACAAGTACCATAGCCACAACAGGGCCGCGTTGCGACCAACATTTTTGGCGTTGGGCCAAGCGGAGAGGAGAGAGAGAGAGGGGGGTAGAGACAAGGACCAACAATACTCAGTATTGATCGGTAGTGACAGGTACAAAGTCGTTCGATGGATTATGGGAGCGTCTTTCCGTAGACCGACCTAATGAGACGAGCGTGACGTGACGTGACACGATGAGGGGAATTCAGTGTAGACCGAGTCTGGCTACCTACCTAGGCTAGGTATACACAGTGACTAGAGAGAAATATGGGAGGATGATATCCACTTGTAGGGCCCACGGTAAAAGGAGGATCCGACAGGGGAATATCTGGCCATTCGTCGAGTCTTATACAGTATGAACCTGCGAGTACTGCCGAGTAGTCACTACTCGTACATAGTACAGGGAGAGGCAAGCGCAGGAACAGAAAAAAGAAAAGGTCGAGGGACTCTGGAGGCGGTGAGAGGTGGGTGAGAAGGCTTATTCACCGATCTGACCGATTGATTGGTCTAGCCCTATCATTTTGCCATGTTCTCTCTCTCCCTGACCCTGAGGCCATACCCGTTTCGGCCACATGGTTTAGTTAGATCATGTGACTCTCGGAAGGTAGATATCCTTTTCACCCTGAAGTGGTGTGGTTTGGCTGGCGGTGTTTCCCGTCCTCCCATTTCCATTTCCCTGTAGATCGTTGCTCCCAATTCACTAGCAACCGTCGTTAATCTTAAAACCGGCCTGTCTCTCTCTTTCTTTTCCCTTTTCCACAACCACAACCTCCCCTCTCTCACTCCTTCTCTTTCTCTTTCTCTCGGTCTCTCGGTCTCTCTTTGGTTTGACCTCACTTTCCCTTTTCGAAAAAGGATTCGTCGCGCGACCGTTCCTCTCGAATTTGTAGTTGCCGGGGGCTTTTTGCTCGTTTCCCGTCCTTTTGCCGCCAACATGTAGGTCCTAATCCCCTTGAGGTTTCTGCCGCCTCCTATCATCGTATTCCCTATTGTCCCTGCAAACCTCCCAATCTCGCCGTTCCAAGACTGATCACCTCCCGACATCAGGAATTCCACAACCATGGTGCCGCCAATGGCACAGGATACATACTGGGGCTCATTCGAGGAGATCTCCAAGTACAACGTCCAGCTCAATTACGCCGAGAAGCTATGGCTTGCATGGTACACGTACATGCAAAACGATGTGCTGGCCACCGGAATCATGTCCTTCGTGATGCACGAGACAGTCTACTTTGGCCGCTCGCTTCCCTGGATTATCGTCGACATGATTCCGTGGTTCCGGAGATACAAGATCCAGCAGGTATGTCGGCACTCGTTGGCGACCATCGCAAATTGATACTCATTTCTCTGCAGGATAAAATCCCCACCGCTTGGGAACAATGGCAATGCGCTCTCCTCGTCCTCTTCTCCCACTTCACCGTCGAACTCCCCCAGATCTGGCTCTTTCACCCTATGTGCCAATACTTCGGACTCAGCACCGGTGTTCCCTTCCCTAGCATCTACACCATGGCCTATCAAATCGCCATATTTTTTGTTCTCGAGGATACATGGCACTACTGGACCCATCGCGTAATGCACTGGGGACCCCTCTACAAGAACATTCACAAGATCCACCACCAGTACTCCGCCCCCTTCGGTCTCGCTGCTGAGTACGCATCTCCTATCGAAGTCATGGTTCTTGGTCTCGGCACGGTCGGATCGCCAATTCTCTACTGCGCCATTACTGGTGATCTGCACATTTTGACCATGTACATCTGGATCGTGCTCCGTCTCTTCCAGGCCATCGACGCTCACTCCGGCTACGAATTCCCCTGGAGTCTGCACCACTTCCTCCCATTCTGGGCCGGCGCCGAGCACCACGATGTTCACCACGAGAAGTTCATTGGAAACTACGCGAGCAGCTTCAGGTGGTGGGATTACTGCCTCGATACCGAGGCCGGTGCCGAGGCCTCCAAGAAGAGGCGTGAGAAGAAGCTCGCAGCCGCTAAGAAGAAGGCATTGTAGATCATTCTACAGGTTCACGGGTGTGCCAGTGCTGCCAATTCCCAACATTCCACCGACACTAGATCTCTTGTGTTTGCAGAATTGCTCACATCTTGCCACCATTTCGCATTAATGTAGCATCTGGATTGGCGTTGTTGAATGCATATTTGTTCCTGGTGTTCGATGGACGCCGACGTTTCCGGCAAGTCAACCTCTCAAAAAATCTTTCAATTCGAAAAAAATCGGCGGGGACTGTAATGGCGCGATGGGGGCTCATTATTGTGTATATATTTCTTTTCTTGTTAATGGAGAGGGGTCCCCGCTGCTTGATGCTAGACTACAACTACATAATAACAGACACGATCGTTTACGACAATCAATTTTCTCTACTCTGTAATATTGTGCTTCGGATCATTAAGCACCGAGCTGTGCATTTATTTCAGATACCACCTAGCTACATGCAAACGACCGTGAATGCTTATGGGACTTGGGATTCGAAATAGCCCCGAAAATGTCTACAACTGACTATGGAATAGTGTGAGGCATGTACTGAAGAGAAGACCTCGAGCCCAAGATGATTTGCATACAAACATCAAACCCAGTATCGAAGCATCTGTCGGATCTAGCATTCAAAGAGGTAGCCTATGTATTTGTGGACAATTTGGACAAACCGATTCATCAATTTTGTTGCGAGGGAACAAAGTGACCACCGCACAGAGAGCTTTATCAATTGACGGCTCAACGAATCTAACCCTTGCTGATAAATGGTATTCTGGTAATTTTTGAAGTGGGAAAGATGCCTGTATGATTTAATGTGGATTTTGCCTTTTGGTGTTGCATAGAGCGTCAGGGTGTATGGTCGAAGTTGGTCCGGGAGGGGGCTCCCTCAAGTAAGATGTTGATCATATCCATATTTACGAGTAAGAGAGATGAGAGTAAATGATTACAAGGAATTCTAGCATGTGGTCTGTATCGGGGGCCATGGAAGAAAATCTAGTATCAGGTAAGCGTTGACAATTTCATTTTTGCTGTTTTACGTGAGGTAGCACTACCTATTGGATCATGAACCAATCCCACAAACCCTCTTGAAGTCGTAAGCAAAGTATAGTACGCGGTAAAAAACTCCCGCATACCCGCCCACCCCTCACGATCGAATTTCACTATGCGATTCTCTGCAATCCCGATCAGTTCAAATCGCGCTAATCCGAGTGAGGAATTGGTTAAACGTTGGCCCACTCTGCCGCCCCAGTCGTGGCGCGAACGGATATTGGATTGGCATGTTAGCATTGATATAGGGTGTGAAATTCATCTTATGATTTTACGACGACAGAATGGCCTCGCCATGATTGATTCATTATACTGTGTTTCATTTACTAAAACATGATTCTCATAATCGAAGAAGAGGTAGTAGAAAACAAGGGCCTCTGAATCGTCCCTTCCCTAGCATTCATTCTATAGCACAACTCGGTGCCAATTGGAGCAACATATGGAGGGGATCGCTCATTTCTTGCTGGTAGTCTCGGCAGCATGCTCTGCGAGAGGATGAGTTGGGTTTGAGCTCAGGTTGGCCCTCTGGTCGGCGGACGACTCGTTGGTCTCGGTGCCGGCCTGGTTTGGCTTGGACGCTGGGGGATCCTGCTGTTGAGCTCCGGTCTGGCGCTCAGGCTCGGGGGATTGGCGGCCGCCGACGGGGTTGGGTGCAGACATTCTGAGGTGATTCTGTTTTGAGGAGATGGATTAGATTTTGTTTGTTTGGTTGTGCACATAAGAGGGAAGAATCGTTGAGGACTATATGAGTTGCGACGTACGGAAGTGTTTGTTTAGGACGGTCTATATAACTGTTAGGGATCTATCTGTGGAAAGACCTGAGATGGCATTACCTGAGGAGACAATAGTTTCAAGTTGATTAGGCAATAAGAAATTGGATTTGTTGAGTTCAGTGTAGATGTAGCGAAGGCGTCGTTCACAACTCCCATATGTATACCTACGTTTGCCCCACTATGACGTCGCCCTTAGCGCGTCACATCGGGGATCGCATGGCATCGCATCGACGTCAAGTTACGCCATTTGAAGAATCGCGTGGCTGACGAAGATTGCTGATCGAGCAATCGGGCTGTAATAATTGATTGAAATAGATGTGGGGAATGGGGAAGTTTGCATGCTTCGCACTGCTTCGGTTGGTACGAGCAGGTCGTGGGCGATACGAAGATGCATAACGTATTGCCCATGTCTTGGGTATCGGGAAGTGAAAAGCTCGATGTTGATTCGCGCTATAATATATCTTCTAAGCAGATATCCTTGTTCAAGAATCGCCAGCCAAGTTAAATAACACCAGAACCGCATACATTGCGCCAAATAATGCAATAAAAGAGCCAGGCATGCTAACTCATCTTTCCCAGTTCGACATCTCCATCCCCTAGATCGTCTTCGTCATCCCATCCCTGTCCTTTCACCCTCTTTCCTATCCAAAGACCTAGCACTGTCAGCGCACTGGCTGCTAGAAACCAGCCTTCGAACCATCTCTCAGTGAACGCGGGCTCGAGAGGGGCACCCAACGCATCTGAAATGGCACTCTTCATCTCTGCCGGCAGATTGCTGCGAAGTAGAAGCGCGGAGCTAATGACGTATGTTGCAGATATTTGCGATATGAGCAGCGCAAAGTTGGCACGAGCGTGATGAAGGACACTGGGGAGGACCTTCGCAAATAGCATGAACGTCTGAACCACGCTGTTGAACGATGCCAGGAGCATCACGCCCGATAGAAGGAAAGATATGGTACGGCTCCATGCAACACGGTCGATATTTGGATCCCAATGTTTTGCTAGGAGAGCAAGAAAATTGTTGATGGGATCGCTGTTCGAGAAGCTGGTAGTTGGAGAGGAAAACCGGCGCACAGTCGCTAAGGCAGTAGCAGCCACGCGGTAAAAGCAATACAGAGCAAAGATGTAAGAGAAAAGATTGAGGAAGCGGCCAGTTACGGTATGGGAGCGCTGTTGACTTGAGCGTCTGTTTTGCAAGACCAAGAGCGAGTTCTGCAATGTGTTCTGCATAGTTTCTAGGCCTTGGATTTCTAGCTGTAGTGTGTTGCGCTCTTGAACGTCTGGGTTACCCCGGATCGTGCCCACAACACGGGACATAAAGCCTTCTTGAGGAGCATCAGACATCTTCCGCTGTAAAGCTCTTAGCCGGCTTTCTTTGATTGAGAGCATGTCCCTGGTAGCGTCAAGACCAGCTTGTTTACGGGCAATATCCGCCTCCGTGACCTAACCACGTCAGCAAAGGTTTTGAATTATAATCGACCTGATTCTCAGGAAAGGTCATGAGTACTTACAGGGCGGTACTTAACACCAAATGTCTGCCAAAGGGAACTGACGGCCGCAAATCCAGCCAGGGAGGCCATCAGACTGATTCCAATTATCCCAACCCGCTCCAAACACCCTTCGCTGATTCCATGGTCGCGAACATATGACTTTTCATGCAAGTACTGGCCCAATAGTCCCCTTCCCATGTACCAGAATGCAGTTAACCACAGCGTGAGTCCAAGGAATTCCAGTATCCAAGCCATCCTTCGCTGTCTACCGTTTGCTCCACCGACGCTCCATCCTGCCCCAGATATTACAGAGTGTATTTCAAGAGCCGGTGTAACCACGACCAAGAGGAACATCAGAGAAGGCAACGTAACCCTAAGTGCCGCGGCTCGCGTTGTACGATTGATCGTGTTCGATATTTCGCAAAGAATAAGCTCGACCAGCACGGCGGAGAGGGCGATATTGGTGGAGAACGTAATGCTTGCTATCGCTCTGGAGGATATCGTAATTCGCTTCCACAATGGGCTTCGTTTTTGCATCGAGAGACTAGGCAAATGAGCTCCTTCATGATGGGGTTTTTGCTGGGCGCGGCCGGATAAGAGTGGAAACAATTTATGGGAGACGGCCACGGCGACGATTATGAAGGTCAGGACGAAAGGAAGGGCAGAGATCGCCAACGCGGATGGGCGCCGCTTGACCAGATAGTCAGGAACGCATTCATCGCAATCGTCTGAGGGAAGCATCTGGGGCGGAACTGGGATCTGATGTGCAGGCTGTAAGAACGGTCGGACGCCTACTTTACTGCCACTTCGTTCGGGTCGTAGGCGAGGAGCGCACTTTCCATCGACTTGGAGTCTGTATGTCGATACAATGGGTCATGGCAGGGAGCCAGATTGATGAGGCGAACGCAAGGTGACAGACAGAAGGTGGTGCCGGCGGTTCCTGAGAACGACACGCGGAATGCGTTTCGGGAATCCTTGTTAGGCACGGGGCCCCACTTACTTGCAGACGTCATCTTCAAGATCAGTCCCCCAGCGAGGCGCCCCATCACGGTATTTATAGTTGAAAGTGGAAAGAAATGATACCTATTGTTTTGAGGTCTTCATTGATATGTACCTAGGAATACTTGAGCGGGTACTATATCATATAAGCCCAGTGTCTAGATAAATGGCAAGAACAAGCTACTGCATACAGTGGCTTTATTGTGGTTGTTCTATGCTTTGTGTTCGGAGTGAATATCAGCCTCATGAAACGCGCGGCTCAGCCCATGCTTGCATGTTTCCTAATCGTGTTTCCGAAACTTGACATTTAAGCGTGCTATATGCAGTGCTGTAGCGCTTCCAAACATTCTATGTTGCTGCCCACTCTCGGTCATAATTTCGACAGCAGCGTCTTCTCTATGTTTCGACTCCAGTTGACAATACCTAATCCTGCAAAAGCTTCTTCATGCTAGGCCTCTGTTGGGGGCTTTACTTCTGTAGCCTTGGTGCTTTCGTCCCCGGACTTGGCCGCCGCATCGGTCGAGACAGCGGGCTCAGTTGTTGGAACCCCGCCTTGGTCTTCTTCGTCACTACTAGAAGAGGAGTCGGTGATATCGGGGCTCTCTAGATTCTGAAGCTCGGGGCTCTTCATCACAACTCCTAGGCTGCTTGGGTTGCGTGCATCATCCGTGCTTGAGGTACCCTCGGTGTCCACACTATCCACTTTTTCAACACTTGTGCTCGCTCCGTCCTCTACGCCCAGGGCCTCGCTGCCGACTTCTTTCGTATCAGCACGCGGTGTGGCAGTCTCGACTTGAGCCAATGGGCTGGGATCGACCTGAGGTTTGTATCCTATCGCAGCAGCAACAGCAGCAGCTTCGTCGTCTGAGGCAGGATCCTCCTCAGCAATGAAACTGTTACGATTGCTTGCATCTAGTAGTGGGCCACCTTGCGAACCACTCTTTTCCAATAACTCCCGGTATGCGTGTCGGCTTGGATCTTGCGCACGCTTCACTCTCGCTTTGTCTCTCTTGGAGGAGGGCCGGACGACGATGACCGGGACTGGAGAATGTTGCAAGCAGTATTTTGACACTGAACCTGGCAGAAGGCCTTGGAAGCCGCCGAGACTGCGGCCTTTGGTACCGACAACTAGGATGGCTGGTTCGTACATGTTGATCTGTGCGGTGTCAGAATTTCTGTGAGTGATCATAGTTTGGCATGAATTACCATCTCGTCAATGACTTTCTGAACCTTTCCTACGGCGAATTCCAATATCAGACTGATTGCCTTATTTTCGTGATTCTTCTCTTGCACCTGTCGCATCAGAGCCTCTGCCTCAGAACGATAGCGACCTTTCTCCACACTGCGATCCCCTGCAATGCTATCGTCCTTTTCCACTACCCTCAAGCACACGATCTCGTCACCATCGTCAACCAACTCATCTATGAGCCACTGCAATGCATACTCGGAGTACTCGTTGTCATCGCACCCACAGAGAAATGTCCTCGAGCGCTTGGTATATTCATAATCCTTATGCTTTGCGATCAATGTGAACGAGTTCTCTTCAATGAAGTCGGCCGGTCGGTCGAAGGTGTCGAAGGAAACGCGGTTTCGGAAGACGCTGCGAAGAGATGTTAGCGAATGACTACGAATTGTCTTGAATGAGGATCATAGGAGGCAGCCGAACTGAATGAAGGCTCATGAACCCATTCCTACGATCGATAAAGCATACTCTGGCATGTTTCCTGGCCAGCGGCACGTGTGCGCAATCAAGATCAAGGCTGAGTCGGGTGACAAGGAAGAGGGTGGGCATTCCCGCCATTAATAAGACCCTAGAGAGGGGCCATGGGGACGAACCGCTACTTACGGTGGTGGGGGAGGTGAGGACATCCGACGCCTCTCACGAGCTGGCTTTTCTTTCCCCTGTGGTAGTGCAACATTTACATGCGGTTTGAATTGAATCGATAGCCGTCGAGGCTCCTGTGTCGTGTCCGGTTCCATGGCAGTGACTGCGACAGGACTCACTCCCTGGCGGTCTGCTACTGGTGCGGGCGAGCTGTTGCTTAGTGCGTTGGACGTGGGGGATTCGCTCATTTCGCTATCGGGGGTAATCGAAGAGGCACGAGGCCGTTCAATGATACTTTGCCTTATGGGCAAATGCGACAGTTTGGTGTTGCTGCTGCAGGGTTTGCACGCGCAAGGTGCGCTTTCACAGGTGTATTGCTGCTGTTGTACGTCGCAACCTTGAGTACTTGGTGCGGGGGCGCCGTGATGACGAAGGATGAGTTGTTGTGCAAGGGCGTGACTACGAATGCCACGATGACTACCTACCTACCTACCTGCGATAGGTAGACCGTAGGCGCTTGGCTATCACTCGGTGTCTGCTGAGAGTCGCGGCTACTGAAGCTTTGATGCAATTGCGAACGTCAAAGCTCGTTGGGTTTGGAGAAGACTGTATTCTGGGCTTCCACTCGATCCTATAACACGTTCCGAGGCTGCGTCAGGCTAGGAGACGAATGCTCAGGTGGGTAGTCGAAATAAAAGGGTCCACTCGAGAGATTGTGGTTTTATACTACGCTGGTGGGAGCTCTAGGATTTTAGTAGTGAATGAGATGAGGTAGGTAGTCACGGTAATTGTTCAAAGCTTGGCTTCAGCCATGTCCATTCGCTATGCTCGATGCCATGACTTTCTGCCGCTTCGGATGTTCCAGCAATTGATTAAATCTTCCACAATCGTGGTGGGCTGTGGCTGTGTGTGGCTACTTTGGTGAGGTGGCATGGGTTACACATATCCTCTTGGCATCTTCATCATCCATCTCATTCAGTACAGTAAGTAGTAAGGAAGCCGTGAAGATGAATAGTGTCATTTGCGTTCATGTTGAAAATTAACAGCCCGGCAATGTCAATAAAAAGCGAGAGTGGGTATTCAAACATCACTGTGAGTCTACGCAGAGTGCTGTCTTTGACTTGAAGACCAAGTTACTGTCAAGAACGACGAATGGTACTAAGTAATTGCGGGAAAAATATCCTCTCATATGTATTGCCAGAAGTCTATCGTGAATCTAGTTGCCAATGCTTTTTATAACTTCCCAGTTTTCTATGCGGATAGAGACTTTGCCTCGCCATCCTTCAACTTGCCAGCACCAACAAGTCGCTTAACTTCATCCTGGAAGATCTGCGTGATGACACCGCCGTCTTTCTGGCCGTTCAGCTTGCCGGTGAGAGTGGCCAGCTCCTCATTGTCAATCTTGGTGATGATGAGATCAACATCGTTGAGGGCAGAGTCGATCTGAGCGGCAGGAGCATCTCCACCGGCGTGGAAGTAGTTGGCATCCTTAACCGCACCTCTGACCACACGCTTGTTCTTCTTCGCAGCGTTCTTAGCTGCCTCCTTTGCCTTCTTGCCCTCAGCCTTTTCAGCTTTCTCAGCAGCCTCCTTCTCCTGCTGGAGCCTGGCAGCCTCTTCTTTGGCCTTAGCAGCCTCTTCGGCAAGGCGCTTCTGCTCAGCTTCCTTCTCGAATCTGCGCTTGTTCTTCTGGGCGTGCTCTTCCTGTCTGAACTTCTTGATGCGCTCATCAAGGGCCAATGCATCGTCAACCAGCTTCCTAAGACGGGTGGTGTCCTCGGTCTTCTTTTTACGGCGTGCGTTCTGGTTCTTGCGCTCAACGTGACGCTTCTGATCACGATTCTCATTGTCGTCCGGCACATCCTCATCAAGATATTCGAAAGATCGCCAGCTGTCGAAGTTGTACCAGAAGTTGTAGAACGCCTCGACCTCGGGTTTTGTGCTCTTTTCGTTGCCAAGCTTTGGTACAGGCTGATTGTTGGAGAAACGGCCTTCGGACTCGAAAACCTTGCCCCAAAGCTTGTAGAAGTTGCCCTTTTGCGTTTCCTTTTTGGTCGGGGGCTCCACCTCGGCGGCCTCGTCCACGGAGTCGAATTGACGGCGCTTGACAGGGTCGAGAAGCACCTCGGTGGCCTTCTGGATACACTTGAAGAACTGGTCGTCTTCGGTTCCTCCTGCTGCGGCTTTCTTATCAGGGTGATGCTTGAGCACTTTCCTGCGGTGGGCCTTCTTGATTTGTTCCTCAGTGGCGCGGTGACGGTACCTGGCTATGCCCAGAACAGCGTAATGATCTTGGTTCTATAACACAGTCAGTTTTCTGCTAGTGACATAATTTGGGTAGGAGAGCGAACCTTCCAGTCTTTGGCTTCACGCTGGAGAAGGACGGGATCTTCAGGCTCGCTGATCTCGCCCTCATCGTCGTCTTCAACCTTCTTGACGTTTGCCTGGGCCTGGATGCGGTCATCCTCAGAGAAAGTGCGCTTATGTCGCTTCTACATGGGCCAATAATGTTAGCAGACATAATGTGAATCCATGGGCCTTGACGTACTCTGCGGGCATGGGCAAGGAAGTGGGGTCCAACGGGCTCGATGTTGCGGTCGTTGGCAGCGCTGAGTTGGCTGATGGGCTTGAAGTCCTTCTCGCCAGCCCATCCCTCCGGTAGGACGGGAAGGGGGAGGTTGATCTGTACAGTCGCCATTCTTTGCAGAGTGTCGTTGTCAATTAACGGCGATGAAGTGGGATGGTGAGCGGAACAAATAATTTTCTAGTAGTGAAAGTCGGTCCGCGAATTTACCGACGCCCATCCTTGTCGCATTACATGTGGCTTAGCGTCGTCGCCATGTTCCGTAGTAACGTCGCAGAATAGCTGACGGCAACCAAACGAACAAATCAACAATGGCATTCTGTTAACTTTTCTTCTATCAATTGCTAGCGCTGGCTTTCATCAGATATAGCGAACATGTTTCAAGGATTTCAGGTATGAGACCTCTCCATCTGGATGCGTCTAAGCTCTGACAAAGCTGTCCCTTAGAGGATCAAAGGTGCCATCGATGCACGATTAGCGGAGGAGCAGGCACGCCAGAAAGCTGAAGCCCAGAAAGGAGGATCACGGCCCGGCTCCGCGCCTCGAAGATCAAATTCAAGGAATCTTTCTCCCTCAAAGCGACCCTCTCGATCGAAAGATGGAGATGGTAGCAGCAAGGCAGTGCTAACAGGAAAGGGACCTGACCCTTCAGAATTTGACCCAGAGTTCGTGATAGGGGACGAGGATGATCAGCCGAGCCGCACCGCGACACCCCGACCGAAGGAGAAGGAAGAGAATGCAGATGAAGCTTCTGGTGTCACAAATGAAAAGGAGGAGGGAGGACAGTCAACGGGAGCGGAGGAGAAAGCCACACCGACCGCTGAGATACCCCCAGAAGTCCAGACTCGTCTACGAAAGCTAGATAAGTTGGAACCAAAGTACTCAGGTCGGATTCTCCCATTTCAGTTCGAGTGCTTGCTATTAACAACGGTGCAGAGCTCTTAAGGTCATATCGAATCGCACACGCGCGTGTCTCTGCTATAGAAGCTTTCGAAGCGTCTCTGCGTGAGCACACACCCCTGACATCCATAAACGAGCCCGCCGGATTCGTGGAATATCTCGGACAACTAAATGTGAAGAGTGACATGCTCATGGATGAGCTTAAAAGGGTGTCAAAGGAGCGCGATGAGATGAAGAAGAACCTGGAACAGGCGGAAAATAATGCAAAAACTGCTACGGAAGAGGTAGAGAGGTTGCGAGCCCAGGCAGCGGAGAGCGAGAAGACGCCCCAGAAAGAAGCAAATTCCACCGATGATCCGAGCAAACCATCCTCCTCAGAGGCGCACGACGCTGGAAAAGAGAATCAAGATGACGAAGATTTCTTTTCTTACGACAGTGAGCTGCCGAGGTTGCAAACTAAGCTTCAGGAGAATGAGGAGAAGGTTGAGAAGCTCGAAGAAGAGAATACATCGTTGAAGAAGGAACTGTCTGTGGCGCAGGAGTCGGCAGAGTCTTTCATGAAGAACTTGGAGGCGACTGCGAATGATTACCAGACACTAAAGGATGCTTCCAACCGATCAAAGAAAGAAGCGGAAGACCGCCAGAGCGAATTGGACGCAACAGTGAATGAACTGCAGGCCAAAGTCAAAGCTGCAGAAGGGGATCTAGAAAAGCAGAAGGCCGAGCAAAGTGACAAAGAGAACACCATTTCCGAGCTTCAAAAAAAGATTGAATCAACCACTAAGGAGCTTGAGGATTTGCACGCGACTAGAGGTGAGGAGCTAGTTGAGAACCACGACCAAGAAGCACTTCGTGCACAAGTTGATAAATTGGAGGGTGAGATCACACAGCTTCGCGAGGATCAGACAAAGAGCGAGAAGAAGAATGACACCCTCAACGGACTCGTCAAAAACCTTCGTGATCAATTGAAAGCAGCCGAGGAGAAGCGCGATCAGACACAAGTAGAGTTGGAAAAGGCCAAACAGGACCTCCAGGCCGCCTCCAAAGATACGACCGACCCAAAGCCAGCGGCACCTGCAACCACGACTCCCATCCCCGTAGTTAAAAAAGACGAGCCCGCTGGATCGAAGAAGAAAAATCGTAAAAAGAAGAAGGGTGGAAAAGCAAATGAGGCAGCAACAGAGGCGACGCCTAGTGAGGCAGGCAGTGCCAGCGGTCTGTTATCCCCTCATATTCCCGATGCGCCCGCTGCCCCATCTGGAGACACCGAGAAGCAGATTTCAGAGCTGCAATCCGATCTTGATGCCAAGATAGCCACCGTTGAAAGGCTAGAAAAGGAACTCATCGAGAAGGAGTCTTCCATAGACCTTCTCAAGAGCAAGATGAAGGATCAAGAGGCCATGCAAGAGGAGGTGGAGACGCTGAGACAGGACTTGTTGGATTTCGGACAAGAGCATACCGAGGCAAAAGACAGGATCAAGTCGCTGCAAGCTGAGAAAGCTGCTCTTCAGGAGAGGATGGCTGCCTTGGAGAAGGAGATTGCTGAATTACGCACTGGCAAGGCAGCTCACGCAAGCTCCGAGCAAGACAGAAAGACTCTAACTGCAGAGTTTGAGACATTGAAAGCGAAAGCTGATTCACTGCAGACCGACCTTTCTGTAGCCGAGCAACTTGCCGCTTCAAGGTTCAAAGATCTTGCGGAAATGCGAGAGATTCTCCAGAAGGCACAACCGGAACTTGTGTCTTTACGCAAGGAGGTAGTGGAGTTGCGGTCTACCAAGGAAGAGCTGTCGGCCAAAGCCTCTGAGCTGCGAGTCTTGGAGGGCCGAGAGAAGGATCTCAAGACAGAGATAGCGGCGTATCGGTCACAGGTGGCCGACAAGGACGGTGACATCAAGACACTGAATGAGAAGGTCAAACAGGAGACTACCCAACGCCTCGCTCTAGAAGAAGCAAACAAGCAGAGCCAGAAGGACCTCCAGAAGTCCGAGATTGGCCGAAAGGATGTCATCGAGCACCGTGAGAAGTTGTCCAAGGAAATCAGCAAATCTCAAGAGGAACTCAAGGCCTCGCGCGGTACCATTCGAGACCTGGAGCAACAGGTGGCCAAGCTTACGCGAGAGGCTGGAAGCTTGAGGGATGAGATACAGCTCAAGTCAGCACAGTATGCGAGCGCACAAGAGCTCATGAACAGTATGCAGGATCAGACGCAGGAGATGGGTACGCAGATGAAGGAAGTGCGAGCTCGAAGCGAGAGTTTGGAAGAGGAACTCGCTGACGCACATCGTCTGTTGAGTGAGCGAAGCCGAGAAGCGGAGACTATGAGGAGACTCCTAGCGGATGCGCAAGGACGTGCTGATTCAAGGGTCAAGGAGATGCAAGAGAGGCTTGACTTGGCTGTCGAAGAGAGAGACCGTGCGGAGGAGCAAGCCAACAATTTCGGACGAAGGCGAGCTCGAGAATTAGAGGAGCTCAAGAACAAGGTCCGAGATGCCGAACGCGCCGTATCCCAGGCTACAGAGGACAAACATGATCTTGTGGCCGCCGAACAGGAGTTACGACGACAGAAGGAGGAGCTAGAGCGGCGAGCAGCACAGGCACAGGAAGAGGCAACCGAGGTAAAAGAAGCCATGGGCCAGCTCCGGGATGCTCTAGACGAGAGCGAGAAACAAGCACGCGAACTGGAGAGAGAGAAGGGCGACCTTCGCCGGGCATTCGACGAGACGCAAAGTCGACTCGAGAAGCTACAAAAGTCTAGCAAGGTCAGTGTCTGACAAGTATGACAAGGCACACTACTAACAATGTGTATAGACGATGTCTGAAGAGCTCCGCTCCCTGCAAACCGTCAAGTCACGGGCGCTTGAATCCACCGTGCAATCGTCACGATCGTCTGCCGAGTCTTCGCGGTCAAGATTAGCATCTCCCACGCCGAAATCGCGGGCGCCGTCCACCCAACCTGGCGAGGCCTCAGCAGGCGTGGACTATGTGTATCTGAAGAATGTGCTGCTGCAGTTTTTGGAACAGAAGGACAAGAAGTACCAACAACAGCTGATACCAGTGTTGGGTATGCTGCTGCATTTCGATAAGTACGGAACCTGGAGCATGCATTTAGCAAGACACATGGGCTAACCACTTCCACAGGAAGGATGAACAGAAATGGATGGCAGCTGTATCGGCAAGATAGACGATTCGCATATGTTCGTCTCTATAAATGTTCTTTCACGAAGCATTGGGGATCAGGGTCGCCTCTGCTTAGGTAGTACTCCCGCCGGTTTGAGGCCGCATCATAGTCCGTTTTGCATAGCGTCAGGTGTTCAAAAGAACCTGGTAGGTCTTTCTTGGACGCAGTAACTGTTCTAATTTTCCCTTTTCATATCTATTTCTCCAGGGCAACTTCGAGATGAAGCGATTCGGAGGATTGGGTTAGGAGGCTCTCGCATTTTGTCATTGGCGCAATTGTACAACACATCACTATTTAATTATTGTATTACCTATGTCATGAAGGGTCTGTGCTGGGGAAGGTTGGTAGGTACGTGCAAATAATGAATGTACTATGGATTCCTGATTCCGAATTGTCTGATGCTACTATGTAGTACAGAAGTGAATGGCGAAGAACAGAGGGTTGTTGATCTAGTTCCATAGCAACAACAACAAACAATAGCTAAAAGTGGCTTAAAGGGCGGACATGACAGCTGTATAGGGAAACGAACTGGGCCGCCGAGATTGCCCAAAGGGGGAACTGGCCGGGCGTGGACGTGATGCAACCTGAATCAGTGGACAAGTCAAGACAAGGCAAGACAGCGCAAGACACGGCAGGTCAGGCAGCGTTTGCGGGCCGGGCAAGCGTCATTCACATCAAACTAACACCATGGCAGAGCAGGCCAGCAGGGCGGGAGAGGACAGGACAAGGCCAGGACAAGGACAGGACAGGGCTAGCAATAATAGTAAAAGTGTAAAAGCGTGCAATGTGAGGAAGAGGACTAGGAGGAGGAAGAGGACTAGGAGGAGGAAGAGGACTAGGAGGAGGAAGAGGACTAGGAGGAGGAAGAGGACTAGGAGGAGGAAGAGGAGGATTACTTGCATAGATGAATGCCGACTCTCTATTAATGGAAGGATGGAGAAGAAGCCCTTGCGCCAGATTGAATGTTGTCGTTTCAGTGTTGTGGTTGTTGTCGTCGTTGGATGAGGTGGATGTGGTGAAAGTGTGGTGAATGTGTTGTTGCATCATCGTTCATCCATGTGCCCACTCAATCCCACTCCCACTCCCCCCCTCTCTCCCCCTCCCTGTTGTTCCCTGTCCTCCAACCTGTTTATCCTCTTTTATTCTCCGTGATGTCTACGAGGATACCGGGACTGGTAATTGGACTTCTATAGTTAGTAGTTACTTGCTTGCTATGCTTCATGACATACTCCCTACTTTTGGTGATGTCTTTTCCATTAGCAACGCCATCATCCTCATAGAGGTATCTAGGCGCTGTAGACAGTACACTACCTGGTTACATACAAGTAGTAACATACTCGTACTGCATCTCCGTAGCCGCCGCATCCATCGATCCACTGATCCAATTCCCTCCCTCCATAGTCACCAGTCCAGTCCAGTCCAGTCCAGTTATTATATCTCGTAGTTACCTACAATCTTGGAATCTCCCGTACATCCATCCCATCCCATCCTCCGCACACCCCACTCTCTTGACTCTCTTGACTCTCTTGACTCTCTTGACTCTCTTGACCCTCTGATTCCCTGACTCTGCTCTTCTTCTTCACTATTCTCCTCTTTCTCTTTCCACTCTCGCATTGCGCATCCCTCAATTCACCAAGAACCGAGCCTCAACAAGAGTCATTGCACCCCCTCCCCACATAGCATCATCACATCGCATCGCATCGCAGCGCATAGCATCGCATCGCAACTCCCTTCTTCCTCTTGTCCTGTTTCTAAGAGCAAGACACACCGACCCCCCTCGGGTCCACCAATCATAGCGCGTGTACTGGGATAGCACCAGCGTTGACGAGCGGCTAAGCCCATCTCCAGCAATTGGGAGAAATCGCTGTCTGTGCCAGTGCGGGTGCCAGTGCCAGTGCAAGTCAACGTCAGGTTCCAACCCATAGTTACCTACATTAACATTTTACTCTTCCTCAACTCCGTACTTTATACATCCTCAACCCTTCCGACCGTACTCGCACCGCCCATGAGCGTAGCCCATCGCCTTCCGAGCGCCTGATCGCCGAGCTTTCCAACCGTCCAACCTCCGCTCCTCTTTTACACTACCGTCCGCAGTCCACGCCCTGTGCGCGCGCGTGGCGGGGGAAAGTCATCATGAATGGGAATGACATCAAAAAGGCCGCCATCAACAAGGCAAAAGCCGTTGCGCAGGCTGCGAACGGGAATGGAGGAAAGAAGAGGCGTAAAGGTCAAGACTTAAAGCCCATCATTACAACGGAACAACAGAAGAGCCAGGACGCATCGCCTGGGTCGGCGGGCTCTTTTCACTACAAGTACGTTGGGTCCTCTCTCTCTCTCTTACCTTATACTTACTACACTACCTACTACCACTACCCTACATACATTACATTGTCCGGTCTGCTGCGGCGGCGGCGGCGGCGGCATCTCTACACTCTCACACACTCACCCTCTACTACTACTACTACTTCTCATTATTCTCACCACTTCTCCCTCTCTGCTCATGTAGCCAACTTTCCACCTTGTCGCAATGCTCAACCTCTCCCTCTAAAAGCCTCCCCCTCCCCTCCTCCCCTCATCCCGCCGCCCCCACAAACCCTTTCGCACATTGATCATATCCACCACTACACCTACCACCTACCCAACTCCCGGCACGTTCACAACTAAATACCCCGCACAGTGTACAGAACACGGCGTCACCGCTCGGCCACAACAAGATGTCATACACCAACCAATTGAGCCACTCACCTTCCTCGTCATCCTCCTCCGTCGATGAGGCTGACAACACCGCCGACGAAGAAGATTCCGAGGATTACTGCAAGGGCGGCTACCATCCCGTCCAGGTTGGCGAGGAATACAAAGATGGCAAATACACCATCGTGCGCAAGCTTGGCTGGGGTCATTTCTCTACCGTTTGGCTTTCGCGAGACAACACCAACGGTAAACACGTCGCTCTGAAGGTGGTGCGCTCCGCCGCGCACTACACCGAGACTGCTCTGGACGAAATCAAGCTCTTGAAGAAGGTTGTGGATGCGAACAAGGACCACCCCGGCCGGAAGCATGTAGTAAGCCTGCTCGACTCTTTCAACCATCGCGGTCCCAACGGCGTCCACGTCTGCATGGTATTCGAAGTGTTGGGAGAGAACCTTTTGGGCTTGATCAAACGATGGAATCACCGAGGCATCCCCATGCCCTTGGTGAAACAGATCACAAAGCAGGTATTGCTCGGCCTCGACTATCTACATCGCGAGTGCGGCATTATCCACACCGACCTCAAACCCGAGAACGTCCTCATCGAGATTGGCGACGTGGAACAAATCGTCAAGACCTACGTACACGACGAACCCAAGAAGAAGGGCGAGGATGACAGTAATAGAAACGGACGCAGGAGACGGAGAACACTCATCACGGGCAGCCAGCCGCTTCCGAGTCCGCTCAACGCCAGCTTCAATCACGCAGATATCACCAGTTTCCCGGGTATGGTAGGCCCGCAGAGTCTGAACAAAGTGGTGAATGAGAGTACAGGTAAAGAATCCCCCATAACTGGCTTGAGTCCACCTCCACAAGACGGTTTTGTAATGAGTGGTGCCTTAGGCACTTCGTCTTCGTCTGGCAGCCTATCAATGGCGGAACGTCTGGGTATCAAGAGCCCATCGTCCGAAGACGATGTTCAGAAACAGCGCGAAAAGACGGCGTAAGTATATTCCCTTTCGGAGAATTGAGAACACACAAACTAAGCGCTTGAGAACAGAGACCTCCTCACAAAGGATATATCCGGCATCAGCTTGGACAAATCGAGTAGCCCACCCCCCAAGAATCAAGAAAAGTCCAGCCATGACATCAACTTCGAAACCATATCCGTTAAGATTGCAGACCTTGGCAATGCATGCTGGGTAGGTCATCATTTCACCAACGACATTCAGACCAGACAGTATAGATCTCCGGAGGTCATCCTCGGTAGCAAATGGGGTGCTAGTACCGACGTATGGAGTATGGCAGCAATGGTGAGTTTGTCTCTGGTTTTCGACTGTGTAGCGAGGTTTACTTATTCTACTTTAGGTGTTTGAACTCATTACAGGCGACTATCTTTTCGACCCCCAGTCTGGTACCAAATATGGAAAGGACGACGACCACATCGCGCAAATAATTGAGCTTCTAGGCGCCTTCCCCAAGTCCCTCTGCATGTCTGGAAAATGGTCGCAGGAGATATTTAACAGGAAGGGCGAGCTACGCAACATTCATAGGCTTCGTCACTGGGCCCTACCGGATGTCTTACGCGAGAAATATCATTTCAGCGTGGAGGAGAGTAAGAGTATCGGCGGCTTCCTGCTCCCAATGCTGGAGCTTTTACCCGTAGACCGTGCCAACGCAGGGGGGATGGCAAATCATGAATTCTTGAAGGACACAAAGGGGATGGATAACATCGACCTGCCCATTCCGATCGGAAGCAAAGGAGAGGGGATTGATGGATGGGCAACCGAGGTTAAGAAGACGAGGTAATGGTTGAGATATTTGGACTTATGAGAGCCTGTGGAATGTTCAAGCAACGCAGTGACGTGAAGGTAGAGTTGGTAGCATATGGCGACAAAGAGGATGAGGACAAGGAGGATGATGAACATGATGGCAGTGGGATGGATAGTGTAGGCTCAGGCGTCGATGATGCGATCTTGGTCTGTCTAAAAATGGCCATTCTTTTCCATTCCCGTTGGCTTCCTGTCTGTTTTCTGGGCCATGCGTTTGTTGGTCTAGACTTCGGACTTCCTGGCGTTTTTGAAAGTTGGATCATCAAGCGATGAATGTTATCACGAGAAGATCTTGTCCCTGATAACGGCAGCATACGACAAAGTTACGAATCCTTGCTTTCCCCGTTACCCCATTACTGTTTGGTTCCAATGTTTTGGTCTCTTCGTACCTAGGTATATAGAAAGCTCATTGGAGCACGGGTAAAAATCATGACTTTGCTGCAGTCCAAAATGCCCATCAGCCTCAATGCAAGCCGTACGTATACAAAGCCTTTAAAAGATGGTCTCTGATGCCAGAGAACCCCAGCTCTGTTGGGGTGCCATTCGCTTGTTACGATCAGTATTGTGCAACGATACGAGTGCCAATCAATGTATGTATCCTGGAGTGACCTAGTGCGATGCATATGAATGCCATCCATCACAATGTTACTGCTCAGCCTCCAACTATCAGGCGCCCTCAGCTCCATGTGCAGGGCTGGATTTAAGGAGGCTTGCCTGGGAGGTCCATTCAGCACTAGTTTAATATCCAAGCGTGCAGATTAGGCATCTCACCGTGAACCCGCACCAATACCAGCACCAGAATGTATCATGCGATGCTAAACAAAAGGTGCGGGGCGGCGATGCCTCGCCAACGAAAGTCGTACCTTCCGCCGCAAAGTAACCTTTGATTTACACATACTACTAGGAGCTCACCAAGTACCCAAGACCTATATACCTTTCCTCGTTCTCCTACCTTCTGCATTTTTCGTCGGTCTTGATTCATCGACTGGTTCGACCTCCTTCACGATCCACCTAACGTTGACATATATCTGTGGGCAGCGAATTCCAGATGGGAGTAATAGAATGGTTGTGCGACATTCGCTTTCATCGGAGCTTGGTCCTGCCCCCGAACCCAGAAACGAACAGAACGAAGCCATTGCGAGTGTCCTACGCCGATTATGGTGACAAGGATAGCGACGCAGTCGTTCTATTCTGCGGCGCTTTGATGGGCATGAGAATGTGCTATTCGCCCCTCGACCAATTAGCAAAACTTCATAGAGTACGGATCATTCATCCGGACAGGCCAGGCGTAGGCGGGAGTGACCCAGTGACTCAACAAGAGAGGATAGCGATATGGCTTGGTAAGATGCGATGTCGAATATTCACGATGCATCGATCTCACTGTTGTTCTAGAAATAGTGCCTCACCTCCTACAGCACCTCCGTATTCCTTACGTATCGTTGGCGAGCCATAGCGGTGGAGACATCTACCTACTTAATACTGTCTTGACCCACCCCCACCTACTGCATCCTAAGAATCCATACGTCACTTTCTTCGCTCCATGGGTCCATCATTCACACTCTGGCGTGTCTTCGTTGCGCGCGACTGAGCTGCTACCAGCCCCATTGATCGGCAAATTTGCCTCTGTTGCCCGGTTCGTAAACCAAAATGTCGTCCCTTTGGCGGGGTTGAGTGGGACACTACTCCATGGCATCAGGGATTCATTCACACATTCCACACCTGCTCCAGCACCCGTGCCTCTGATGCCAACAGCTACCGATGGGTCCGGAACGACGCCTGTTCCTTCACGTAATGCCGACAATGCATCCGATTTGGATCTGAATGATCCCAAGATCGTAGAGGAACTGCGAATGCTTATCGTGCAATACCTATTTGCAGAACAGACGGAAGGGGTCTCAATGGACGCACAACTGTTTCTGAAAAAGCCACAGACGACTCATTGGTGCTCGCCAGACATCTTCTGGTCAGACATTGACGACGCTGTGCCTCTAATCAAGAAACTCATCAGGGACGAGGGGGCAGCGGGAGGAGGGGAGGGTAGAAATTGGATGTTCACGTCTTTCCACGCCGAGGAAGATTCCATGGTGGGCGAGAAAGGCAGGACTTGGTTTGATGCCTGCTGGACGAAGGATGCTGACGGCGAACCTCAAGATGATGCAGGAGACGGCAACGGGAAGTTCAGATACGAGAGCAAGATCGTGCCTAAGAGTGATCACAACTATCTCATGGACCCAGCTTTTCAAGCCTCGAACATATGGTTGGAGGGTGTGAGGGCAGCTTTCCCGCCTCTAGAAGAGGTTTGATAGCTTCCGAGCCACTTGTTATTTTGGGTCTTCATGGGATCGTGATCGCTAATAGAGTGCTGCTCAGGAAGTCTTAGACCCAGAAACACATCATGATAGTCCATCCGATCGTGAACAGTCCCACGCCGCGGAATCCAATGTGCGAATGAGACACCTCGCTCTGAGAGCAAGAAGAACGATGCGGAAGTTCACCTCCAAGAAGTTCGAATCAACGCCCGCAAGTCCACTTTCGAGCCCCGGGATGACGCCAGTGATATATGCTCGAAGGTCTTTCGACGATGGTTCGACTAGAGCGATCCATAGAGGGAAGACCGGTCATGGCATGAACAATGAAAAGGGGAGGCCTGATTGGCTGGACAAGTTGAGAATCTGAAGAGATTGTGGACTCCCTGTGAACTAAGGACTACGGACTTTTGATGGGGGAAGAGGGTGATTTGAGGAAGCACTGATATTCTTATTTCATGGCCCCTACTTGTTTTCGCAGTGCATGGCCATTTCATTAATAGACTCTATCCATAATGTGAAAGTGGACGGGCATCCACTGTGAAGTGTCACTACTATGAAGTTGAAGATCTCCATCGAGATGCACTCGCAGGCCGGCACAGCCGTAAGAACAGCACAGGCAGTACTCGGTCCACATGTCCGTCGACCACCCCGTACAAGGTAGCAGTACGAGGACATGGATTCCTACGGACAGACAAGTCTAGAACCCTTCTGACAGCTCTCCAGATCCTTGCGAGGGAGATTGTCTCTCTCGACTCCAGAACTAAACGCAAGAATAAACTGGAGAATATTGTGGACAGTTTTTGGCCAGTGCGAGCTCGAATGGGAAAGTGAGTCGACAATGGGCGAGGTTCTCAGGTTTGGATACTCGTGTGTGCATGTGCAACGAGGAAGGGGAGATTATGGCGGAGGAGGAATCGGCCAATCAGAGGATAAGCGTGTTTCATGAGAGTGTGTCTCAGACAGCCACGGGTTGCACGGTACGAACGGGTAGGGAGAAAAAAAAGATTTGAGAACGAGACGAGGACGAGACGAGGCGCGACAAGGCGCGGGTGGCGGAAACGCAAGCTAAAAATTCCCAACCGTCCAACAAAATCCTAAAAGGCGAAGCAATTGTGGCACTGACACTGAATGGATACTTGCCTAGATGAAAAGAAGACGAAGAAAAATAACACACTGAACTCCCAGATCAGGAGCTCATCCGTCCACTCGGAACCCAGGTGCCGGGATTGCGTGGCTCTTAAGCCTTGTCCCCCTCCTCTTCCCCCATCGACGTGGTCGAGGACGAGTTTCAGGAGCAGGTACCTGGGAAGTTATCCGTTCGTATACGGGACGGGTAGCAGGGTAAATCCCCATCCCCCTAGAAGAAGAAAAAGAACCCTCTCCGCAAATGTGAGTATTTCGAGATGAGCGAGTAGCTAGTGCTCGAGTGAAGTCATATTTGCGGATACAGTGATGCTTGCAATTATTGTGTGGGACATGGGGAGCTCTCACGATCGATAGATGATGTGCTTGATGGGGCAGATCGAGTTCGATGACGATCAATAGTGGTCGGGTAGGAAACAGACTCAGGAGGAATCCGGGATGAAGTGGATGGATGGGAGGGAATTTGTTGATTGATGGAATGGTAGATTCGATCGGGGATCCACGCACATCATCTCCATCAGCTCAGGGATGAAGATGAAGGAGGGGCGTTAGGCTTGGATCAAAACTGGATATTGGTAGCGACGGGAAGAGGAGAGGATTGACGTTGATAGGCAAAGTAGTACCTCCAGTGCCTCCGTATGCATGGGAATAATTGGGGAAATTGGAGCAACTAACTAATTAGTAGGTTTGTACAAGTACATGGGCAGTTTAAGAGTCGAAGGCTTTGGTTGCTTTTGAATTGCTCAAAGCAATGGTGCAAGAGGCGTTGAGTGCGACTGTTGCTTTAATTTTAGAATAAGTTTGACTTGAATCGTTGTCGTTGGATTGTTGTTGTTGGGGTTGAAGTGTTCGACTTGGTTGAAGACTTTTGAGGAGGCGAAAGGTGGAACGCGCATGCCCTTGGGTTTGGCGGCAGCCACTAAGACTAGTTTTGACGGTAGTACGAGACCTGATTGGCCGGATGAGTCTCTGATCTAGCGCGTTTCAGAATAGTAACGTGGCGTCGCGGCGTATTTGTACCTGAACCGCTGAACGATCGACCGACAGGGGGGAAGCGAGGGAAGGGGAGGGGATGATGATGAAATGAATGAATGAATGGGAATAGGGAGTAGGGAGGCGTCGCCTTACTCCGTACACAAGTAATGAATTGATAATTACAAGTACTTGTTTGTATTCATTCATTCAATTCGACTGGAATGGTAGCTTTTCGAACAGCAAAAGGGTAACAGACTCAGGTACCTAGGTACATGGACGTATCTACTCCGTACTCATGCTATACTGTGTAAATTCATCGGACTCTTCCCTTCAAAGTGGACTCTGTTACTCGGACAATCAATCCGCCATCCAACATCCCTTACGGACTGGAAGAGTACTGTACGGAGCACTAACTTGATAGAAACCTACCCAGGTAAATAACACATTACAGATAACGGCTCCGGCAAGCTCTCTATCGATTGAATGGGTGATAAAAAAAGTCAATAACGAACCAAAGAGCCAATCAACGAGTGGAGGAAGGAAAAAAGACTGTTTGCTAGTAACAAAGTACGCGGTGCACGGAGCCTCCCGCATCGACAATCACTCCCTTAAACCTTTCAGTCGTCACCTCCACTCCACTTCACTCACTCCACTAAACTACCTAGATACTCCCTCCCTTACGTATCTTTTCCATTCATTTCTTCCTCGGTCTCTTCCAACGCCTCTCTTCTTTCCCTCTGTAATTAACTACGCCATACATACTCTCCTTTCGTCACTCACTAGGCCAATTCTCCACTCCGTGCCTCCATCCCATACCACGCCGCTCAGCTCGATTTGGTCCTCAACCGAGGAGGTGGATATCTTCCAGGGATCAGGCCCCAGGGGACACCGACTCTCGTGCTCTTCTTTCTCACAATTCTCTCCAACTACTTCCTCTCTTCTTCCTTCTACTCGTTCACTCGTTCACTCGTTCTCTCCTTCCACTCCTCATTTCCTATCTCTGTCTTCTGCTTGCCTCCTACCACCACCACTTCCCAAGGCTTTGTCTGCCTTTCTTTCACCCCATCTACTACATGACCGTCGGCAGGCCTTCGTTCACTCACTGTCACTGTCTTTACCCATCCATATTGTGAAACGCGCGGGTATCATCTGTTTTTCCTCCCTTTCCTCGTCTCTCCGACGATCTGCGCCTCTTCATTCGTGCTCGACGCACACATCCCTCTAGCATTCCTCCGCCTGTCACCGTTTCAAGTCCACACACCCACATCCACCCACACAAATCAATACACCAAAAGGCCGGCTCCACCATAACTTGGACCCGGACCCCTTCAGCCTACCTATAGCTCCTCCCTCGTCAGGCATGAGCCATCCTCAAAAGTCCCCATCATTCCGTCTCTCTCGACAGGGCTTCCAACAACTCAATAACGGCAACAACGACGCCGACATGGCCGCCAATAATCAAACTGACAATATCCCCCTCCAGACTGTAGTCAGTCACACACCCTCCCAGAATGCCTATCGTTCCGATTCAAACAACGAGAAGACGGGCATGTGGCACCGCGCCGGTCGAAGGAAGCTGCAGAAGATCGACTCGCGGACTGGAGCACCAATGCCTGAGAAAAGAGACAACTCTGAGGAGAAGACAGCCCTCAACAAGATGGGCAGGTTCTACACCAAGATCCTCAACTTTAGCATCGTCACTCGTTACATGATCTACGTTGCCCCGCTGGCCCTCATCCTCGCTATTCCCATCATTCTCGCTGCCATTCACCCCGGAACCGTTGGAGGTACTGACAGTAGGCTGTTCTGGATCTGGATTGAGATCATCTGGCTCAGCTTGTGGGGATCCAAAGTCGTGGCTCATTTCCTACCTCGCATCTTCGAATTCCTCGTCGGTGTCGTCAGCCCTGGCATTAGGAAGTATGTCATGCTGCTGCGCGCTTTGGAGAAATCTCTCTCAGTTGTTCTCTGGATGATTGTCAACCAAGTTACCTTCGAAGTCCTGATAGATACCACTAGAGGTTGGAAGCAGGTGATGCAGCGCATTTTGCGAGCCGCTTTGGTGGCTTCCTGCATTATCCTAGCCGAGCGTGTCTTGATTCAACTCATCAGTATCAGCTATCATCGCAAGCAGTTCGATACCAAGATCAAAGACTCTAAGCGCAACATCTACCTCCTTGGTCTCCTATACGACGCCTCTCGTGGCCTATTTCCATCGTACTGCAATGAGTTCGCTGAGGAGGATTACGTCATCCAGGACTCTCTGCAATTCAACTTGGGCAGCCGCAAGCAAACCCATAAGCGTTCTGGATCGAATACACCCTTGAGGCTGCTTCAAGATGTTGGGCGAGTGGGTGATAAGGTCACTTCCATCTTTGGCACCGTCGCACAGGAGATCACCGGAAAGAAGATCTTGGATCCTAATTCTGCTCACTCGATTGTCCTGGAGGCACTCGACAAGCACCGTTCCTCGGAGGCTCTTGCGAAACGTATCTGGATGTCCTTCGTCGTCGAAGGCAAAGACGCCCTCTACCAGGAAGATTTGGTTGAGGTCATGAACGGCAATCGCGAGGAGGCGGAGGAATGTTTCGCTGCTCTCGATCGTGATGGCAATGGGGATATCAGCTTGGAAGAGATGATTCTTACTGTTACCGAGTTCGCACGGGAGCGCAAGTCGATTGCTACCAGCATGCATGACGTCGACCAAGCCATCAATGCGTTGGATGCACTTCTGTTCACGATTGTCTTTATCGTTTGCGTTTTCGTATTCATCGCCTTCCTCAGTCCAAGCTTCACTGCAACTCTGGCCACTTCCGCGACTGCGCTCCTCTCTCTGTCTTTCGTCTTCGCTGCTACCTGTCAGGAAGTCCTGGGTTCTTGCATTTTCTTGTTCGTCAAGCATCCCTACGACATTGGTGACCGAGTCGACATCACCTCGGAGGCGCTGACTGTTGAACACATTTCGCTTCTCTACACTGTATTCAAACGCGTCACCAACGGAAAGACACTCCAAATCCCCAACATCGTCCTCAACAACTTGTGGGTCGAGAACGTCACTCGTAGTAAGGCTATGCGTGAGCAGGTTTCAATCTTCTGTGACTTCGGTACTTCCTTCGAGGACATCAACGATCTCAAGAAAGAGATGCTGGACTTCGTTCATGATCCTCAAAACAACCGCGATTTCCATCCCGAGTTCGAGGTCGAGGTCGTCAGCATTGCGGAAATGAACAAGCTAGAGCTTCGTTGCGAGATTCGACATAAGAGCAACTGGTCTAATGAGGCTCTCCGATGTGCCCGTCGTTCGAAGTTCATGTGTGCCTTGGTTGTTGCCCTTCGCAAGGTGCCCATCAACGGCCCAGGCGGTGGTGATGCAGCTCTGGGCGCTGCAGGCAACCCGTCTTGGTCTGTGTCCATCCCGCCTGCCGAGGCTGTTGCAGCTAGGGAGAAGTTCAACAACGACAGGGACGCGGCGAGATTGCATCCCACGATTAAGCCTGAAGCTTCGGACGACAAAGGCAAGTCGACAAGCACTGACTTCCTCAATGTCAACGTCACGGAGGCTAGTGCAATCAACAATTTGAATCAACGCAAACCCGGAGTCGATCATGTTCGTGACGATACGTGGGATGCCCGCGACGATGTTAGCACCATTGGCCGCCCAAGCATGGATCAGCGACCTGATATCGACGAGGTCCGTGGCCTTCTTCACAAAGTGAACAGCAGTGGCAAGCGTAAACAGTCAGCCCAGCCACCATCTGAGTACTCTCAGTCTCAGCAGACTCTTCCCAACCAGGCTGGTCCGATGCTGTCCCCTAACGCATATGGCAATCAGTATGCACAGCAGCAGCGCGCCCCGGGTTCTCCAAGCTCAATCTCCACTGGCCACATAGAGGAATTCCAATATCAATCCATGGTCCCGCCTCCGAGGTCCACCAACCGCTCCGCAACACCTACTGGCAGCAATTATCCTCCCGTTCCAACCCAGCAGTCACACCCACCACAGCGAAGCCCCAGCGGGTCTAATAATCCCTACCGGGCCCAATCCCCTACCGATCCAGAGGAACGCCACCCATACCGACCCTAGATCTTCTCATCCCACGCAGGTTTAAGGGTGGAAAGTCTTTTGGGCTGTCTCAGAAGCCTTTCTATTCGCAGTAACCCCCGACAATGATGACATGGGTTTAATGAATTTCCTTTCTGTAGCACTCTGTGTCAAATAATGTTTTGGTTTCTAAATTCACGAGGCATGTAGACTTAACTCCATCCAGGTTGACAAAGAGTTTGACACCTGCGATATATTTTGTAGCACTCTGATCTTGTGTTCAACATTTCTTTCCTTTCATCGTGCTTGCTTACCTCGCCCGAGGCTGGATGAGCGAGCCATTTGAAAGCGTCTAGTCCATATTTCTCGTTTTCAATATCATCATACGGCATTTTTGCTCCGAGCGTCCTAAGCATGCTTGCTTTATTGCTTGTCAACCGGCATCCAAAAGCATAAGATAGTAGGAGTCACTTGTAAATTTAAGGGCATGTAGAAGAAAATAACAAATCAAAAAATTAGTGATTCAAATTGAGAAATCGGAGATATTGTAAAACAGGATCATCGTTCAATGATCAATATTATGATGACATGACATCTGTGATGCTTAGCCATTCCGGTAGAAAGGGTGAACGTATACATGCATGCGATAGAACTTGTTGCGTACTTGCAGAGGGGTCGGGAACACAATGCCGTGCATTTTCGTTTCCTCTACCTTTGCCATCACTCCTTGTATGGTAAGAAAGATGATCTTACACTCATTGCTACGTCTCATGAGTTACATCTCCATCTTGCGCCTCGACCGTTGAGAGTTCATGATGGATTTCCACCGTTGATGGGCGGTATCTTCTCATCATTTCTGCCATTTCCTACCCAAGAATCATTGTTGTTGGCTGATCTTGAGACTGAAGAATAATTACACGTTTCAAATGTCCTGTTAACGTTCGCGGACGCTAATTCACTCAAAAGATCTCGAACTTTGGGTTCCTTGCCAGGCCGTTTTATTACGAGTAAGACTTCCTTTCTTCTCTTTCTGTTCTCTAAGACCTTTGGGTCTTTCGCAACTTGTAGGGACGTATAACCAAACAACGGGGCTTCAAGGTCGCTAAGACACCTTTGCACTCTTCAACATGCTCTACAGGATCGAGAATGCATTGAAGAACGGAGGACGACTGTAATTGCTCGTAGATCATATTTATTGACTCTGTATAGATCTGTACCTTCCGAATTTCAGATGGTACACCTTTCCGTCAACTTTCAGTGGAGAAGGTGCAAAGGCCGTACACCTGACCTGCCAACGAAGCAACACCAATTGCGAGAGACACGAAGTATATCTTAGCCATACTGATAGTTGTGAGTAAGCTTCCGTCTCGAATTTCATCTAAAGTAATTGAGTGAAAACCCATCAGCCGGGCTTCGGGCATAATCCAGGTCAAAAACGTTCAGCTTGAGACATGTGTAACTGGATAATACAGTTTCGGGAACGAGAGACACTGCACCGTAGATAGTCTACACTCCACCAATTACGATGAATAGGCACTGGTCCCTCAAAATCGTGGATCCTACAGGCCATTCCACTTTTTTGAACGGGTTTGATATGGGGGCTATGGTCTTGTTAGGGTGATTGTTCTAGGCGGTGCGCGTGTCCGACACTCAGATTACGAAAGGCTCAATCGAGACGGAACAACAGAACTGATTGTAATACTATTGTACGGAATAGACACCTATTATTTGCATTACCAAAAGCTCGCTCGTTGACATTTTAGCTATATTACATTATGAAACAGGTGATGAGTTCCCACCGATCCTTTCTCCTTCCTGTGACATCCATAGCATCCACTTCAGCACCTTTAGCCCGCTTGGTAAAGACCGAGTGCAACCACATGAGGATTGATTAAAGAAAGATTAAATGGTGTGAAAGGCAGATCTGCATCAGTCAGAGCGACAAAAGTCGTCTGATTGACACCAGGGTCGCCTTGAAACACCTCAGCTGCAGGCTGGTAGGTGTATCCAGTCTGATTCCCCGTAACCTCGAGTGGGGTGTAGGTGAGGTTGAGTTGACTGACCCACGCCACGAACTGAGGTTGGCCCGCAGAAGTCGACGTAAAATAACTATTGTTGGGGCCAATGGCTTTACCAGGTGCGTCCCAAGTCAGATTGACGAGCTTGCCGGGGAACGACAGCGGCTCGGACCGGTTGCGCGCAATGGCTGGCCCGCAACTGTAGCCAGTGACATTGAGGTTCACGCACGTCTCGTTGGCAGGGATGGTGGAGTTACTGGGGTCAGCAATGCGCTGACCGACTACCTCATTCGGCTCCGTGTCGTTGGGAGAGAATCGATTAGGATTGGCTTGGTTGATGAATCGAAGTGTAGGGAAGTTCTGCCATGCGAGGCGGGTCGTGTTCCCGGGACAGCTGGAGATGTATGGTGCCAGATATGTCCACGCCCATGATTGTGGAAGACCTGTTTCAAACCATACAGGCATGGGATGTAGGCCAAGCATTTGGCGGAAGGAGAGCTGTTGACGCGCTTCGGTGGCGATGGACTGAGAGAGAAGCTGCGCGGCTTCCCGACTGTCAAGATGGTTGATGAACCCCCAAACACCAGCCTCTCCCCAAGCTGTGAGCTTCTGATTGAAGTCGATGAACTCTCGTACAGTCTGGAACGGGTAATTGTATGTGCACTGAGGAGGTGCTGCCTCACCGAGCATGTTGGTGAGCAGTGTAGCATGCCCTGACTCCTGTTGTGCCATGAATGCTATGTAGGAACGATCTTCCGCTGTCAATCCGGCCGCCAGGAAGTCTTCTTCGGAGAAAACTGCTAGACCATTGTTGAAAAGATCTAACTCTATCCACTCCTGATACAGTCCAAGAGTAAGAGATTCATAGTCAAAGTCACTGTTTACCATATACCTTGGCTGTGATCCATTGGTCCCCAATCCACCTACGAGAACAGTTAATCATGGTTCTTGATTTGATTGGGATAACACTTACCATTAGGTACATATGGGGCTGCGGCGGGGTTCTGGAGTTTCCCATCGGCATTGTAATATGTATGGGTAGGATTAGGTGGCCCTGGCGCAATTGTACTTGCGATGGTTGCATTTGCTTGCTCCGCTCCTGATATAGTAGGCGTGCCCGAGAACGGTCCATGGCTGGTCTGCCCATCTAGATTGGAGCTGACTCTTGGGTATTCAGATGTTGCAGAAGTAGCAATTGCTGGAACAATAGAATCAGGACCGAATGAAGTTGCCGGTGACCCTGAAGGTTGTGATACTGCAAAGCTGGCATCTGCACCAGTGTATCCAGGCACTTGCGGTGCTGGCGCTGCCGCAACCAAGGCTGTAATCAGTGTGTATGCGTATAGAGACTTAATAGACATCTCTGCGGAATGCTCGGTTCGATTGGGGGTGCAGGAAATTTCCCCCAAAGCGCAGCACATTGTTTATATTCATATCCGGCGACTTTTCATCGGCGTCTAAGTGAACGTCAAAGCATACCCATTGATGACAGCTACCAAAGCTTTCAAATGGCTTATTACCATGATCTCATCAATTGCTACAGCCGGAAATGGACAAGGTTTAGTAGGGTACATCGGTATTCAGATGTATGGATTTGAAGCCTTCAGATCAATACCAGGCCCCACTACCATCTAGCGTATGGATCGCTTCTTCGGGATTATGAAACGAACGAATTAGAATCTCAACATAACCCTACTTCTACGTATGGGTCTAAATGTGCATGAAGCAGGGTATACTGCGGGTTCGGCGGATCTGACTGTGACGAAACGGTGACATGGTACGCGTAGGAGTTTAACTGCCGCTAGTGGAGTATGGTCACTAAGATCTGAGTGTCCAGAACAAAGAGCAACGAAAGCATACGCAACCATTTCCACATGGTAAATCTATGAACAGAGGAACAGCGACGAACTCCTACTCATATAGCCGGCCATCCCGACTCCTCAGGCCAATTGACGGAGCAATCGGATCACTTAAATTTTACTCGTATGAAGCCCATGCTGCATCGTCCCTACCATATGAGGGAAAAGGATTTCTCAATTTCCCTACCATAGAATTCTTTTTATCTTACTCGTAAGTGTAGACTGATAATGTTAGAACAAGTACCATTGTGAAATGGATGTTGTCCATCTGTATTGATTGAGCATTACCTGACGACACGATTACGCGTCGGTAGACCACAATAGAGCCACGCGGGATGATCGACAGATACGAAGAGTTTAGATACAATTTTCCGAATATAAATGCTACAATCATTTTTGAGCTCGGAATGTGATAAGAGTAGGCGGTTGTGTATAGTGATGTCCGCAAGTGAAGATGTCGCAATGAACGATCACTCCACCAATGCAGCCCTGGAGCATCCAAATTGACCTAGATAATTGTTCCTCGCGACACGATCATTTCGCCCGGGACATGGGGCCCCAGTTTTCCCGCGGTGCGAGTTGGTAGCGTACATATTTCCCCCTGTCATGATCCCGTCCAAGATTTTCATCAAATTCAACGGGGAAGTTGGTGCCAAGATATGATGGAAGCGTCTTCTTGGTTTGGTTGGTCTCTGCCGCGCTCAAATCTGCATTATCAGGGTTGCTCGGATCCTCTTTTGCTATATTGACAATGTCTGTTGACGACACTGGATTGGGGTTTGCATTGTCTTGGACAGCGAATGAGCTTCCTTTCGCAAGTATCACATCTCCGGCAGTACCCTTCTTAAGAGCGTTCTTGAGAGGCGCCCTTTGTCGGACCCACTCTAATAGGATATGCCATATTGCAGTCCAAGGAGCATCCGTGCGTATGGATCCAGGTTTACAATGGCTCATCGTGACTCGGAAACCCGCGTGGCGGAGAGCCCCTCTCATAGCTGCAAGGGATGGTGCTTGGCAGTGAAGTACTCTAGATATCGCGCTTGGTATGAAGAAGAATGGCCAGTCATCGATTGCCGCAGGGTCGGATTTAGGAATTATAGGGCCTAGCTGTTTCGTTACCCCATCTTCCGTCGTTTCTGCTGATTTTGCACCATAGGTGATCTCTTCAAGGGCTGTGCGAAGCATGCCTTCTATACGATTATATGTGGGATAAACACTTCGCTCTGCTTCGTTTAATTGAGCCAAAACTCGCTGAATGAAGCCCACGTTGTGGATAGGGCCACCATACATTGGACCCGAAAGCTGAAAGAGTCAGTAACGAGTATTGAATTGCATACGGTCAGTAAGCACTTACATGAGTCTTGAAACCACAGTGTTCGCAATGCTGGTCTGCAGAAGGAGCTGCGGCAAAAGAATGTTTGTATGAAGAAGTTCCATCTCGATTTTGCTTTGCTTTGTTGCGCGCTAGAAATTGCGTCGACCAAGAGCCGCAACCACTGTCGCAGTGGTAGACAATCATTGTTTTACCTGCTAGAAGCTTTACTTCATTCGGGGATTTCCGCACTCGGACAAACACGCGAATGTAGTAGTCGATCGAGAGAGAAAGGAGGGGCTCAATCGCCATGCCATAGCGACCGGCTGAAGAGGCAATGGCGTGCAAAAGTAGGCGAAGCCCTCCCTCGTGGCAAGGCTCTCCCTTAAGAGGCAAACCGCCGTACTGGGAGTATGTCTTCTCCAGATAGCCATGTGAAGCGAAGATTGCTGAGTCTGTGCATGTCACACAGAGCATGCCTTCATCGTTAATTGCCTGAATAGCGGCATCAATAAATGGGGCTGCCGTCCCGTATGGATCCAGATCAATTACGTCGTAACCTTGCTTTTCTATTCGACTGTACATGTATGCAATTGCATTGCCTGTGTTTGCTTGGATCTTTGATTCAAGCTTGTTGTGTTTCACATTGAGTCGTATTGAATCCGTAGCTTTGCTTGACATGTCGTTGGCAGTGATTGATGTGGACGCGGGAATTTCCTGTGCATATCGTAACGCTCGTAACCCTGTTGCAGAAAGAGCATCTAGAATTGTGAACGCAGGCTTCCATTCTGCTGGCTTTTGGAGTTCTTCGACTCGAGGTGTATGTCCGTTTCCTGTTGAGGGCGGGTTTCGAAGCGGCTCCGTCTCAGCATTCGAATCATGGACATCGGCAAGACACCTCTTCTTGCCTGCATCCGTGTCCTGTCCACTGGTCACTGGTCCAGGGATCATATGATCCGATAGTTTCCTCTTCTTCAAACTCAGGTCGTCTGGTTGGGGATGAGCCTCGGGAGGAACCTCGACTTTAGTTTCCACGGTCTTTGCTTTCTTCCTTTCCGCAAGTCTTTGCGCTTTGGCTCGGTATCTCTCATGCTTCTCTGTTTTGCGCTGCACGAGATCGTTCCCATATGTCTTGATGGCAAGAACGCTAAGATCCCGATTGAATTGTTGGATAGGATTGTAAAAGACTTGTTGCCTTTCTACCTCCTCTTTAGAGGATTTTGGGTCTGTAGAAGTGGGTATGCCATGGGGTACTAAAATATAGGCTTGGCCTTCTCTGATTGTGGTGTATGCTTTGCCATCATGGTTGATGGTTTGGCCTTCTTGGGGAATAGCATCAATGGAGTCCAAGGAGGACGGTTTGGCGCTGATATCTGACACAGGGGGCGTTACTGTCGCCATGGTGTATGCTCTAGAACTACGTATAGGTTGAGTTAAGCTACGACGATCCCATGGTATTTGAAAGAGCAATCGGCAGATCCTGGATGACAAACAAAACCGCAGCGATGAGGTCGCCAGTATGAACTCTATCACAAATAATTGCTGTGATATATGGATGTGGCCGGTGGTTGTTCCTTCGTAGTTATTCCCCTTGGTGTCGCGTGGTAGTGTGTAAATTGTATTGCAGTTTTGTAGTCAAAGAAAAACAAAAATTATTCCTTTCCAGGCACGGCCCCCGGTTGATTTTCCCTTATCTTATCAATCAGTGATCATCAGGCCCGTGCACCACTCACCACTCTCTATCGTAAGAACAAGAGGTATCCACTCCCTCATTTGATTACTAGAATCGTGATACCAAGAAAAGTCCTCCCTCTTTCGACTTCAATAGCACGTACGAGAATCAATCCATATTGACTCTTATCATTCAATCGCAAAACAATTCTACATTAATGTTGCAGCCATCGAAATGGTACCTGCCGTCCAAGCCATGGAACTAATAATACTCTTCCTAGGACCTAGGTTTTGCGATCCTTCAAGTACTAACCAGGGGTATTTTAGGCAGCCGTCCACTCAAACAGGCGTCGTTTAGAGCGTGGTCAGCCGTGCCCGATATCCTGTCTCCTTTTAAGAAGAGGACGACGCACTTGGTGTTTCTCTCATCATAGTCGCTCACTACCTCCACAAAAGCACAACAACCAAAAGCCTATTCATCTTCGACCACACACATCATGGGGCGCGGAAACCAATCCACAGCGTACCGTGATGATCCGGATGCCGTTTCCCTCCATACTACACCTGACGATTATAGCTACGACGATGCCCCCGAAATAACCACCTTCCCACCATCGTATGCGGACAGCGAGGCCGACAATGTAGTGGCGCCCACTGCACCTCCGATCAGGCACCTCCCGCCGCCTACGAGTAGAATGGATCATAATGCAGGCTACACGCTGAAAAAGGGAAAGCCTCAAGTGTGTGAAACGCAGACGGTCATGGACCCACGCTACGATACAGATCCTGTCTATCTTGAAGAAGGGGTGCTCAAATTCGCCAATCAAGCACCAATTCCCCTTGTTTACATCATGGGAACACATAAGGAGACGGTGAAACGCGGAGATAAGAAAGAGACCCAAGAGGTTACAGATTTCAGGATTGTCATGAATCTGCAACGGTATCTCTGGCGTGATTTCATCCCTGGCAACAGCTCTTCAATGACCTTTGCGCCCGTGAGCAATGGGGACAAGACATATCGTGGAGGGTTCAAGAAGACGAGGGCTCCTGGCTTCAAGCAAGATATTGAGGTTGGGTCGACTGCACCAACAGCTCAAGAGTGGTATCACCGGTATTGTGCATCATCATCATTGCTTCGTGTCTTCCGTTTCCGCCGTGAAGTCGTTGGATTTGATGAGACATTTTTGAAGAACCGTATCGAAGGGCTCATCCGGAGCACTAACTATCGGGGTCATCTTAGCATCACGTTTCCTGTGGAAGACCGGAATGTCGACATATACTCATCGAACCGTATCAATGAATGGCGACTAAAGACATGGATCCGCTGGGTATTCTACTTAACATTTCTCTGGATCTTCACATGGCCTTACCTGTTCTTCGCTACCAAACGATATGCTGTTGTCGTAGCTCAATGGCCATTCTCCTTCATGGACCAGGACGGCAATAAGATATATTCCACGGTGAGCGAGGAGCAATGGTTTGAGAAATGGCATATCGGCATTCGGCGCTTGGTTTTGGACCGATTCCAGGGAGAAGCCAGTGAAGAACAACTTGCCGGCGTCATAGCTCGTCCCGCCGACCCACCCATGCCTGGCACCATTAGTACTGGTCATGCCGGTATTGACAACGCTGTTGGATACTTACAGCAAGGGCTTCAAGTGGCAGGTGCCATCTCTAGAGGCAACAACCTTTCGAGAAGTCTACAGGGCGGCTGGGGTTATGACTGCTGACCAGCACAACATCCTGAATCCCGATATGCTTCCTCAATACCATCACCAATAGGCGTGTCGAGAGCACCCCTTTCATACTACGAGTACTGTGTCTAGTTGGAACGGGCCAGGTATGATGCAGGCGTCCTCGCCACAAGCCTCTCTGGCTAGGGACAGGGCCGTTTCAAGAGACTGAAAAGTGTAGAAGTCTTTGTTGTTTTGTTTTTGAGAGCAAATTGAATCTGAATAGTCTACTCTTGCTGAAGAAGGTGCCGTACAAATTTCCTGCTGATCATCCTCGAATGCTTTCTGAATTGAGACGGTACGCACTCTATGCTAGACACTTGGGTTGCAGATACGATATCAATAGTTGCTTGTACGAGTAACTGTAGACAAACAGAAATTGTGTTGTCTTCGTGCTACCTGACCACGCATCCAACAATATTGTATTTATAGTACATGGCCGCCAGTGCCTAAGCCATATGTGGGCGATAGTGCTTCCCCGTACTACATGACATGACCTCAGTCTCCACACTCACTCATGCTTTCCAATTCCGATTCCTGCGTATCAATACTAATGGCTGCATTCAATATTGAAACACAGGCCTGTGCTGCATGTGGACTTAGATGATCAGCAGGCATTTGCCATATGGTAAAATTCTAGTACCATGTTGACTAGATGCATACGCACTGCAAAAAGGGTGGTGCGGAACAGCTTTGCCTTGCACGGCAGCATAGGTAGGGTAGGTATCTTGCAAGTTGCACGTATACATATGTACGTATGGGAGCATACATCATGGCCCTCGTTCACATTTGGCAATTGATAATGCTTAGCTTGACTGCAAAAGGTTATTCTCCTCAGCGATCTTTGCAGGGAGGGTAAATGCAGCCCGGTCAGGTGGGTTGCTCTATGATCAAGTCGGCGCTACGCCGCTACCTGATTCGCCCCGCAGCTACTGCATGCTCACAATGGGATCCGTGTTCGTACCTCGTAACCATTCTAGGGCCCAGTTCATCATCGATATCGGTGGATTCGGCATGTCAATTCCATAATATCAATCGTCACTCCATGCGATCGAAATAGGATGCATTGTCACGACTGGTTCGACTACGCTAGTACCAGAATCCCCACCGCACCGTCATCAAGATCCGCGTAGGACTCTAACTATATTATATATAGAGCTCAGGTATTCCCATACATTCCCGGAATCAAACGTCGTGAACACTTCACCTTCTCTCGACAGCTTATACATATACCACAGCCATATACCAACAGTCGCTACCTTGCCAACTTCCCCACCATGAAGAACTTCGCCGCTGCTATCCTCGCCATCGTGCCCTTGATCGCTGCTGCTCCAGCATGCCCTGCTCCAGCGCCCGAAGTGACTGGAAACGTCCGCATCTGCACCGGTGAAAACTACACCGGCACCTGCATCTCTGTCGAGGCCCCTAACAACCAATGCCAACAACTCTCCGACCCATACCTTAAGAACGTCGGCTCTTTCAAGGTCTCTCCTGGCTGGCAGTGTAGAATTACTTAGTAAGTTACCGTCAGCCTCTGTCTGCAATAGAATCATGTGGATCGAAAACATACTGATGTTCATCGCAGCTCTGCGGAAACCTGCACACTTCACGGCGATGCCTTCATCCAGCCTACTCCTTCGGCTCCTAACCTGCACGAGTTCAACAACCCTGCCACTGGGGAGACTGTCGATGCTGGTAACCAAATCACCAGCTATCTTTGCCAGGAATGCACTGCTTGCCAGTAGGTTAACGTAATTGAACGACTAGAATAGGTTTGTGGACAGGTCACGCTATTTGAGGTCCATTTATGTTTGATTTGTATATGGAATCAACGAGATATAGTCATGGATACTACGAAATAATACGATTAATGTTTCCATGCTCACATGGACCCTAAGAACAAACAGGACTTACTTGCTTTGGGATATTCGGATGTGGCGAGAACGATCATGAGATAAAGTGGGAGATGCGTGTTGTCATGCATGTACACGCAGCCCAACACTATTTGGAAATTACACATCCATCAATAATCATATCTCGTGTCCTACTTTGATTGAAAAAAAAAACATCGGTTACTGTTTGTATGCACAAGTCTCCGCCACACGCGTGCTACTTTGCACACGGTACACTTATTGACCACGGCGATAGCAATGTGCTTACCATCTACAAAGATTGGAGATATGCGATGAAGCAATAAGACCATCCCTTATGATCTTGAGACAAGTGGTAGCGAAGTAGCATGCAAAAGAAAGGGTATTTTGCAGCCTAGTCTAGCTGAGTTTGAGCGCTTGTTTTTCTCGATTTCACGTCCGAGAACAGTCTGAACTGAAACGCGCAAATTCCCCATTGGCCGATGTTTCATCGTTACTGGTGTTACTCTGAGTTTCTCGCATGACAGTTCCGCGTGGGATGCTTCTCTTTCCTGTAAGGCCAGTGGTAGGTGTAGCGGGTGGGGCTGTTGTATTGCCTACTGCCACCCCAGGCCTCGGTGAAGCTGAGACTTGAGATTCCGACGTAGACGACTGTGCTTGCTTAAGGGGTGAGTCGGAGCGAGTAACGTAGTTATACTTTTTGGGCAAGCTCGAAGTCGTTGTCGAAATCTCTCTGGAGATAGCTTGCTTCCGCAACGAGTCCGTGATAGGTGAGTGGACTCTTTTCATCGGAAGATCGCCTTGCGATCTGTTTCTGATTGAGTCAACGAACTCATGATTAGACAAACTGCTTCGGCTAGAGGTTTGACGTCGTTTCTTATGCAGTTCACTCCTGCCCTCCAGTCGAGCAACAGCCTCAGCAATGGCATCGCCCCTTTCGATGATATTCGACAGGCTCTGCGACGATACTCGATCCCTGTGTCTGCCCTGTGAGGTTGATTGTAAACTTCCTTGAGTCGCCGGCCTTCCGGTGCGCAATGGCCAATCGGCCGGCAATGGTGGAAGTGGTGGCACTTCCTCCACAATGACTGTGTCCCGATCCGGACTCCAAAGCGAAGGTTCGGACCCAGCATGAGAGACCTGACCACTGTGCATTGAAGAAGTGCGCCTAACTTTATAATGTCCAGTTGTCGGGTCGACTTCGAGGACTGAGGAAGGATAGCGGAGTGAGTCTGCCAGCGTGCGGGTATCGTCAAACAGTGGCCCATCAAATTCCTCAATCGTTTCGTTGGACAAATTTGCGCACCGCAGCCGGGCCAATGGTAAAGAAACCATACGCCGAAGGTTCACCTCTTTACCAATGACATTGATATTGTAGCTGCTAGGGGTACGGCCTTTGGAATACGATCCACCCTCTTTCGCGCCATCAGGAACGTGGAATCTGAGATCAACGCGAGTTACGGCGTAAAATATGACAACGATGAGTTCAGTTAAGAAGTTGAGAAAATAGAAACAGAATCGAGACAAGTACCACGGAATCTCCACAGGCCGACCACTAGGGGAGACAAGCCTAGTGGGAGGTAGCCATGCTACAACGCATCGAAATATCTGCCCAATCGATAGTATCGTCGTCGCAATCAGAAGAATGGCGATGTTGTTGCGCAAACGACCCGCTCCAAATTTGTCGACCTCATTCCGTGGGATGAAAAGAGATACGGCGACAAGTACGATTGGTGCAAAGCAAAACGCCGCGAAATAGGTTATCCCAGTGAGTTGGAAGTTTCGGTCAATTCGAAGTACGTCAACGTTCAAAGTGAAGAACTGCTGAATGGATGCTACGATCAGGAGAACCAGACAAAATAGTAGCAGGACAACGCCAGATCGGTGTATGAGTCTGTACGTCGTTGACCAACCGGAATTCGGATGCTGAGCCCGCACGATCCGCTGTGCAAAGAACCAATTTACGATGTATAGGATAACCGTTCCAACATAGACGAATACAGTCGCTGCGATACCCAAGCTAATGTCGTTGTTGTGGCAGGCCCATGCTAATCGTAGAGACATGGTAATTACTCTGATTTTGCAGAATCCTAGCCGCATGTCAGTTTCGAATCCGAAAAGGAGTACGGATCCCTTATGATCAGTACCAAACATTGCCCCAGAGAACACAAATTTGTGTCCACGCTTTTGGCCAGCCCTCATTATCCTCATGTGAACGATAGCGAATATAACGTAGAGGGCCAGGAATACTGCGGTGATGGGAACATCGGGGTTTACAGTTGGTTTTCCCCCTAGGCCTGCTATTTGTGGTGCATAAGGCGGCCCAGAAGGTGAAGATTTCTACCGCGAGAGTTAGAATGAAGCCGCGAAAGTAACGAACTTTGTACATACCCGGCGGAAATTACGATCATGCTGTAACAATGACATCCTGGACAGTGTCGAGATATGGCGTAGGCCTTGATAGTTACCAAGTGAGTGAGGCTTGTCCTTGGACTGCCTGTCATAACAGAGACCACAACATATATGAGAGACACCCACGCAGGAAAATCAGTAGGGTGGGGCCGGAATAGGTTCAGATCTGGAACACTTCTGACTGGTGTGCTACGAGGCAACAAATGACTGATGACGAAGGCATATACAGAACAATCAAAGCAGGAGCATCAGTCTATTGGGCTGGTGCCAGACAGGACTTGGAGAAGTTCACTTGGATACGAGATAACCGGTGGTACCAGCATTAGCTGTTACTAAGATTGGTCCAGTCTTCGAAAGACCATGTACGAGCATGTAGGGACTATCATTAATGCGGGATGTCGACTTGTGTTACCTCGATTTTCAAACCCATCAGGACAAACTCTAAGCTTGTAAATCCATTGGATGCTCTGCTCATTCCTGATGAATATTAAGCATTCTTGCACCGCCTGGTCCCACCATTTACCTAGAAGTGGAATCTTTCTGGCTCAATTCGAGTCCATTGAAGTGTATCATCGAGAAAGTATCGTATATGTAATTGAACACTAGTGGCGCGTGGTGTTGTGCCGAAAACAGCATCAGCCGTACGTCGGCTCTCCTCAGGTATGCCGGAGATCGACCATGGTCTTTACTCTTGGCTTGAGATCCAGATCATTGCACTATGATTGGGCTTCTCCACGAATATCTCGCATATGATTGATATGCAAGATGTAATTTTTAGTTTGTCTTACATGCAACTATGTTCTTCGGAGAATTGCCGTCCTCGTTAATGACATGAAGCCTGAAACTTTAACACCATTTGTGAAAGGGCTACAGAACTGCCCAGGAATGCTAACATCTTACCGGAGTACACCTCCGAAATTTAATCAGGCGGACAATCGATTCACTAAAAGGCCTCGGCTTGTTAACAATATTGAGCTCTACACTAAATAATTGCTGTTTTGATATGTATGCTGTGCATTTATTACAAGCAAGAAGAATTAGCTTCAAGACTTAGAGAGACTCCACACCAACCGGCTTGATGACATTATGGATGTTTCTCGGAGATCAAAAGTTATTAAATCCTCTGGGAAATAATTGACTTCTTCAAAACAGTGGCCTGTATAGTTGGCATGCTGAGGGTTTCTAGACCAGAAAGAATTGGAGACTACCTAGGTAATGATGAATGAGATCAGATATTCTATTCAAACGAAGCCAGCGAACGGTATCAAGACATTTTTACTAGAAACAACGGCCTTTATTGGAATGGCGATCATCAGCAGCACGAGAAGGGGTGTGCTACAGATCACTAGCTTGTAAGTATTCGTAAATAGGAATTTGATAAGTTTCTCGTCCAAAGCAAGACAAACAAACCCGGATTCTTATCGATAAGTAAGAGGTGAGCTCGGCCGCCAACCAACTCACCTCACCACAGTACACTTCCTAGCTCCTACAAGTGTCTCTATATATCACGTCCACATTTTAGGCATGCATTCACACGAGCACGCGGCTCTAAAAGTGCATTCGCGATCACGGTCACAGTCACCCCACGGAGACGAATATCCTACCAAGCATTCCTCGCTTCGTGCGCGGTCGCGTTCACCCCATCGTCATGATCACCACGACCACCACAGGCGCAAAAGAAGACGTCATTCAAAATCTCCATCGCAGCCCATAGCACTTCCGTACAAAGCGAAACTGCTCACGAAACATCACTATGATGAATATAAACCCTTGTTTCAATCATATTTAGACATCCAAAAACAGCTCCAACTGGATGAATTGGATGAGCGTGAAGTTAGAGGCCGTTGGAAAAGCTTCGTCTCACGATGGTGAATTCCCCACTTATGAGGCCCCTTTTTATGGCTTCACGGAATATTGACAATTCTGAGGAATCGCGGAGACCTAGCGCGCAGCTGGTATGATCCTACGATGTTGAAGATAGCAAAAGACACAGTTTCGTCGTATCGGAGGCCGTCACCCGATCGCAACCTGCGCGACTCGCCCCAACGAAACTCCTATCGACCGACGGACCAAGAGCCTCCAGGGTCGCCAGAGAGCGAAGACGATATAGGTCCCGCACCACCGAGCCACCTCTCATCATCCCGTGCCGTTGGCCCAACAATACCTCGCATGGATGATATCGAGCTTCTCAACGAACAGCGCCGAGAAGACCGCGCCCGCGACAGATCCGATTACGTCGATGATATTCGCCACGAGCGTAAGCTAGATAGGAAGTTGCAGAAAGAGCGTCTGGAGGAACTTGCTCCCCGCGCAGATCCCGGATCACGCGAGCGGAAATTGGAGAAGAAGGGTGTGACAACAAGGGCGATGCGAGACTTTGGCGATGCGAAAGAGGGTGGGGAAGTTGAAATGGGAGAGTCAGATCTTATGGGAGATGATGGCGATGCCCTCAAGCGACAAAAACTGGAGATGGAACGGAAGAAGAGCGAGCGAGAAATTCGTCGTGATGAAATTATGCGAGCAAGGGCAGCGGAAAGGGAAGAAAGATTGGCTGGTCACAGAGCCAAGGAAGCACAGACAATGGAGTATCTCAAGGCCATTGCGAAAGATCGATTTGGATAGACCATGACTGCGGGCATACTCAGCGGAAGTTACAGAGAGAAACTTGTTATTAAAAAGTGTAGCCGGGTAAAGGCTGCAGAATCGGGGAAGGACTCTCAAGCGTGTCCCTTCCGGAATGCTATTCTATAAAGAGGTATCAAGTGTCTGACTGAATCAACAAGCACTCGCCAAAAACTCCAAATACCATGCAAATGCAAAATCCCGCTCCAACACCTATAGAAGTATATAGCTCTACTCGTCGTCTAGGATGGAGCTTGCAAGTGGGCCGAAGAAGGGGACCTCATATCGATCGAGGGTTTCCGCTGTTATGAGTCAAACATTGCTCGAGGTGTATGCAGCATTATGTGCACCTACCATCTTTGTAGGCGTGCATTGTGAGAAAACCAATGAGGCCGAGATCGCCTATGAACAAAAGCCAAGAGATTATGCTCGACCAGGAAAATATGATGTGGACAACCTTTATACTCGTTAGATGTCTAAAGATCCATGAGCATGGCTGAGACTTACGAAGATGAAGGCGAAGAGAAGGCTTGATTGCCATGCATGAAACCTGCACATTTGCGTGAGCTCTGAAGTCTCGTCCAAGATGATCCCCCAAGGTCGGTCCTACCTCACGTAGTCACTCTTGTGCTCAAGAACCAAGAGCATAACACCTCCAGCTGGCGGGAGCAGAAGATATGCCAGGCAAGCTTCATAATCCATCCTCAATCCAAGTCTAGTCTCGAACATGTCGACATCCTCCCTGCCCCCTCCGAAACCTCCAGGGGCGGCATTCCAGGCTACTCGCTCTGGTTCTTGCTGTTGCCCACCAAAGTAGTCGCGCTGGCCGAAGGACTGGTTCGAGGGCGAGGTTACAACGGCTGTGCCAATGTTGCGCGTGCGATCAAGTGATGCGCGAGGAGATATTACTCCAGGAGAAGCAGCAGGTGGAGGTGATAGGGTTCGCTGGGTTTCGGGGATATCTTGGTAAGGCGCGAAGTTGGCCATTCTGTGGGGAAGGTGGAGGTGGATGTGAAGATGGTTGGGTCGACGGATAGGTTGTAGTATCGGGAGTGGACACAAGGGAAGCGCTCAAATAAAGAATCTTTGAAGAGGGATTGCGACACGTAGGGCTGAAGAAGTGGCATGGATGTTGCAGTGTGAGGCAGAGCAAAGGGAACAGTGACGCGTTTGGACCATCCACCCACCCACCTGCCGCGGGCCGGGTAGAGCAGGGATTGCCCAACTCCACCCCATACACAGTAGAGTATGTACCTCGTACCCTCGTTCTATGATTGTTAGTATGTGTTAGTCACTATGAAGGTAGTAAGTGAGGTACGGAATACTAAACAGTATAAACATCCAACTATCTTCTCGACTGAGAATGTTTACAATTGAATGAATCCCATGTCCCTTGGGTAAGGGTCCTGGGAACGTCGACTAGTTACCTCATTATTCACGTACAAAGCACAGTCAGTCACCTTACACAGTACAAAAGGAGGGCACGTGAGCAACCCCAATGGTTCTGGATTAAATACAGGCAATGCAATGGAAGCTACCTTGCACATCTCATTATCTGCGCAATGAATACTTGTACCGAGCCTACTAAATATTTACGTGGCTCGCGAATTGATTCAGAGGTTGGTGAGGGAGTGTACATAATACTGTACATACGGAGTACAGTACAGAGACGAGACGTAAGGGCGGTTACCTACGAGGCCAGCCAGGTAATTACGAGTAGGTACCTACCTAGGTAAGAGCGTGGTAGGCTATGGTATCCAGGGAGGTAGTCGTTTCATCTCAACTTGACAATGATACCTAGACTACTCGTATGAATATCAGACACTCCGTACACATGACAAACAAACACAGGCTACAAGGTACCAATTCTGATGGCATATAATAGTATATGCTGTATGTACGGGGTACATGCACCTGATAATTGATTGATTAACCTCGGGTTCCCCATATATCTCGCTTGCCCCCATCATTCGACCCACTACACTACCTAATCCGTAGCTACTCACCTTTGTGTGGCAATCAGATGTGTGGAGGCCGAATCCTTCCCATTCTCCCACGGCTGGTAGAGGCAAGCCTTTGGCTTCCAATCTCTGCCACACACTCTGCCCATCTTGACCATATACTTACTTAATTACTCACCCCATTGCCCAAGCCTCCATCGTGCCACATCACCTCACATAATTCATGGCAGACGCCTAGTCTCGGTGCTGGAACCACGTGTATAAAGGTAAGGGACCGATGTTTGTTGTCGTTCAAAGATCACACCGCCTAGCCTACAACTACTTGTCTACGTACAAGTTAGGTACCTTATACAACAACAAACAACAAGCAACAAACAAGACATCACATTATTGAACTCCACCTCCTTCAACGCATTGACTTCCATCAACCACCATTTCTGAGGATTGAAATCGCCCATACATAAAAATTGTATCCTTTCAAGATGTGTATTGCCGTTATTAGCACCGAGCATCCGCAATACCCGTTTATTCTCCTCAACAACAGAGATGTATTGCTCCCTACTCCTCGGTACTTGACATTACAAGCTGACGACGATTCCTAGGAATACCTACATCGACCCACACAAGAAGCTACATGGTGGCCTGAGCCGGATACTCACGTCCTTGGGGGTTATGATCTGCACCGCCCTGCTCACGGGACCTGGTTTGGTTTGACTCGCCAAGGCCGAATCGCTGTTCTTACCAACTACCGCGAAGTCGATGAGGAGCTAGTCTTCGGAGCAAGAAGCAGAGGCTTAATCCCAAATGCATGGCTCAAATCGGATCTCAAAATAAACGAAACGCCTCTTCAATTTGCCAAGAGATTGGTTGAAGAAGATGGCGTGAAGGGAGTGGGAGGATTTAGTCTGTGCTATGGACTGATCCAGGACGTCGTGAAAGGCGGGACGAAAGGCCTCCAAATTGTTTCCAATCGAACGCCAGACGCCGAAGGGTTGATTTACCTTGCAGGACAGCCAAAGGAGACCCATGCCCTAAGCAATGCTGCATACGGCGATCGTTCGTGGCCAAAAGTCGTCAATGGTGAGGAATGGACAAGAGCCGCCATCAACGCCAGTGTCGAAAAGAATGAGACCAGGGAACAGTTGGTGGAACGACTCCTTGGAGTCTTAAGCACCGATACCATGCCGAGGCAAAAGGAGAACGAAGAGTGGGATATGTATTTGAACCAGTTGCGCCATTCCGTTTTCGTGCCATCCATCGGCAGAGATCACCTCGAAGAACACAACATGCCTGCCCATGAGATTGGTGATGTGGTCAAGCACAAGGCTGTCGACGCGACAGCTGGGTGTTATGGGACCCAAAAACAAATTGTCGTGCTGGCAGACAAAGAGGGCAAGGTGTTTTACCTTGAACGAACTCTTTTTGACAGAGACGCAAGTCCAATTGAGCATGGAAAGGGAGATAGAATCTTTGAGTTCCAAATCGAGAATTGGTGAACGAATGTTCCCACCAGAGGCTGTTAAAAACATACACATAGAAATGTAAATTCGAAAGAAGTGGTCCTTTAGACGCATCTGGATTAAATTATCGATACTCTCACTTTGACGAACTTGCCTAGCATGAATCACGGCTTTGAACCGAGATTAGGTTGTCTATCGCTGTTGCAGTCGACGCTACGTGAGTGACACTTGCCATCCTGTATAGTGATCACATTATTTCACAAGGTGATAGCCCTTGAACCTTAGATTCCTTTCTGGTCTGCCTGCCTGTTCGCGTATGTTCGTGGCATTCGGATTTATCATCTTCACTGTTAAGCCCGGACCTGGGAAATAAATACACAAGAGAAAGTAGTTGGGTATATCATACGAAAATACAGAGAACTGTCAGTCTACAACATGTCCATCTTCGTGGTGGATGTTTCCAGTCGCCCCAAAATAGTACTTACACATCTGATGGAAAGGGCTTTGGCCCTTGGCGCGTGCGCCCAGTGACGTCTTTCCGCAACTCGGCTCTGTTTGCTCACCAAACATCCGCCTACAACTACACGAAGTAGCTATCAACTACAACCATCATGTCTGATTGTACGTGACATCTATCGACTTAGCCATCCTTTCTACCATTCTATATTGCCCCAAATCATGGCCTCGTTACCACCTCGCGCGGTCTCCCAGCGTCGACCGTCGCCGCGTGATGATTCCGCCTCCTTGCAACAGCAGACGCCCGCCCGAACAGGCAGCTCTTCCACGACATCTGAAGACTCGCAAACTGTCTTGCTCAACTCTCCCTCTTCCTCATCTAGAAGTGCGCACAACACCGACCTAGAGTTCTCTAGAATATCGCATCCACACACCACGGACGAACCACCGCAGCCGATTACAGAACCTCGGAGATGTTGGATATGCTTCAGCGATGAGACTGAAGATGATGAGAACACATCTGAATGGCGCTCTCCATGTCCATGCGTCCTCGAAGCTCACGAGAAATGTCTTCTGGATTGGATTGCGGATATGGAAGCCCCAAACTCGAGAAGACGTGCCGGAAGTCACCAGAGTAAGATTTTGTGCCCGCAATGCAAGTCAGAGATTCGACTAGAGCGCCCAAGTAGTTTGATTTTGTCTGGCGTGCGGGCGATAGAAATGGCAACCAGCCTATTTCTGTTGCCTGGCACACTCCTCACGGTCGGAAGCGCCGCCTACTCGACCCTGGCACTTGTCGGACGAGCACATGTGTACCAGATATTCGGTACACAGGATGCTTTGCAAATACTAGGACCGCTTTATGAAGCACCGGATATACACAACAACTCGCTAGGTGCACGGTTTTTGATTGAGCTGCGAGATCACTGGCGACTGCATCTTGGGCTTCCAATGATCCCCACGGCGCTCATGTTGAGCAGGTCGACGTTTGCAGACTCATTCCTGCCGTTCCTACCCCTTGTGTTTTTCGTTGGTAACGGCGGGTCCAGAGATGAGCTACTCCAAGTTTCATGGCCCCCGAGTGCCGCCTTCACGATGGCACTGCTTCCCTACGTCCGTGGCATGTATAACACATACTATGAGATGGTCTGGCTCCCTAGAGAAAGAAGATGGCTCAAGGAAATACAACCCCGCGCTGACGCCGATGTGGGTAACGACATAAATGCCGAAGTTGACGGAGGTGATGAAGATGGGAACGTTGTCGAAGAAGCAATTGAGCTGGAAGTCGACTTGGGCATATTTGGAGATTGGAACAATGGTGGAGCAGCAGACAACAACGGCGCCGATGAAAATCCACCGGTACCGGTCGCACGCGGGCCTGGCAATCCACCAGAGGTGGCTCCAGTGGGTGACATGGACGCTGACGAGGCACCACCTGTCGAGGCAGACAATGCTGCCCCCGCACCGAACGTTCCCCAGGCCGTACCCCAGGCCCAACCAGCTGTTCCTCTGGAACAACGTGTTCGTCGTGAGCGAAATATCGCTTTCAGCGCCACTTCTTTTGCACAGACTATCCTTGGTGCAGTTGTCTTTCCCAGCATTGCCGCAGCAGTTGGAGAGGCACTAAAGCTGGCACTGCCGAAGAGCATGGTCAATCCTCCTTCCACAGGAAAGCCAACAGGTTTCTTGCAGACGAAATGGGGTCGGAGCATTGTGGGTGGATGCCTTTTCGTCGGCATCAAAGATGCCCTTATGCTCTACGTGCGATGGAAGATGGCACAGAATCACCGCATGAGGAGGGTGCTGGATTATGATCGCAGCAGAACTAAAGGCAGGAATAAATAATAGGTCACTGTTATCGACCGCACTTTGTAGAAACAGCATGGCCGTATAATGATTGTTAACGAGTAGGCATAACCACAAACGTGAGACGGCATGGCATTCGTGATGAGCACAATCTCGCTTGTAGTATAGATAGGTTCACTACTTTATATGGAATAAATGAATCGACATCAGGCCTACCGCTTGAATAGTTGCTCAATGTTCTTCACAAGAGGTGCAAATGTAAAAAAAAAAAATCAGAACGGGCAACTCCAACTCCGTTCCACCTGCCACTTCTTGGATAAGAGTTATGTTGAAGTGATCATCAACGGGCAAAAAAGGCAAAAAAAGATGTCAAGCTAAAGAGCTTTTTGGCGGTACTGGGAATCGAACCCCTTCAAGGAAGTCAGTACACTGTGACTATAAATCTCCATTTGATAGGAGGCCAACTTACAGGCTGGCGCGGCCACAACGCGACGTCATACCACTAGACCATACCACCTAGTGAATTGATGTTGATTTCGAGTTCAAAGTACAATATGAACCCGGTAAAACATTCGTACGGCTCATTCTTGGATGATAGGTTTGAATTTTCAGATGCGGGGTAAGAATCTTTCCGGGACACACGTCAGTTGATCGAATTATCGTGGATGGCCTGTGCGGTGGGACCGGCGTTTTGTCTCGTCAAGTTAGCTTTGTGGCGCCTGCCCACTTACATTCTCGCAGACACGCATGGACCATTCCACATTCCTAGCAAGAAGTGTGCACTGCTAACTACCTAGGTAGATACTCATACCAGGCAGGATATTAGGTTCATCAATCCGATTCGCCAATAGCATGTTGCACCTCGATCGTGAGAAACGAGTCGCCGGTGATTAAGAAAGTTGTCACAAGTTACAAGGCTTTCCAGGACCTTCACATTATCGAAAGTTCGAAAATTTTGAGCCTTGCCAGCACTGGCCGTATCTTGAGCATAATAAGTTGCAATTGACTAATCTCAATGACAGAACCAGGTAGCAATATTTCTCTCTGCTGTGTCGTCCATTTGATTGACCATCTTACAGTGAGGGCTAAGCGGAGTGCTCGTCAGAAATCAACTAAATCCTACCGAGTCCAAGACCAGTACAACTTCTTGGACAAAAACAGCGATGATGAGGATGATGATGGAATTAGTTCCAGAGACAACGTTGGAGTGGAGAGAGGCGAAGACGAAGACGACTTCGTACCCCAAGACCAGGATGAGCAAGAGGACCCGGATGAATTCCTAGAGGACGAAGCGCAGAATGAGCAATCTGAGCAATCCTCTGGAGATCAAGAGATGGAGTACTCCGAAGAGGATGCAGAGCCATCGGAAGAGGAAACCGGCCGGATTGGTTTTCAGCAGCGTGCTCGTGTAGGCACATCGGAAGTGCCAATCTCCTCCGCCGCTGCGGGAGTTGGAATGAGGCCTGTGAAGCCATTCGCCAAACACCAGGGCACCCGCGTAAAGAACATGGGCGTCAGCCCACTCCACTCGAGAGGTGTGGACGATTGGGCAAGGCGCGGAGGGCTCGAGGTTCGGCTAAAGGATCTCTTCGGCTCGGAAGTGAAGGACCTGACTGCAGTCTTGCAAACAAAAGATCACTGGATGCATCAGGAGACATTGCCTTCAAGGAAGGGTGGATCCCTGAGGCGATCATTTTATGTGGATGAAGCTTCGAGGGTCGCAGAGGTCATCAAATTCAGGCAGTGGTATGCTAGCACCGGGTCAAAGATATTTCTGCAACATCAGCACATCAGGCATATCAGACGTGAAGAAGCGGATATATATCTTGCCAATGACGGCCCGGAGTGCTCCAATATCCTGCTTGGTGCGATCAAAGGTCCTCAACTCCACAGTCTGAAGAAAGCAGCCTCCATAAGCACCGCTCTTCCTTTCGCAAAGAAAGACACCAAACGTGGTTGGATCCTCAATCTCGGCACAAAGATCGTGGAGACTCAATGGGCCTCAAACGAAGACGGTAACACGCAGTACCTTGCGGTGTCCGTGGAACAAGCCGCTAAGGTTGCACATAGACCGATGGAGAATCCTCGAGCGCCAGCATTCACAGCGACGGACTCATATCCTGCATCGATCCAGATATGGGCCTTTAGAGCTACCAAAACGGGCGAACTTGATCCATCAATCGAACCCCAACTTGCGCTAGTCATATGCACTGATTGGGGTTCTCCAAGGCACTTCCAATGGTGTCCCGTAGCTGCCTCTGAACAGGTCACGAAGAGCGACTTGGTCCACCTTGGGCTGCTTGCGGGAGTCTGGTCGGACGGAAAGGTGAAGATCCTAGACGTGTCCTTTCCAACGCCCAAAGATGCATCGTTCGAGACCCAATATATGCACTTTTCTAAGGCGGCTTTTGATGTTCAACTTCCCAACACTATTGCATCATGCTTACAATGGCTCTCCCCTTTCTCTCTTGCTGCTGGCACGGCAGCCGGTATGCTCGGGGTATGGACACTTAATCGCCGTTCGAAAACGTTAAATAACATCGATGATGCCGAATTTGACTTGCAACCTTGGTTTTACAAACAGCTTACGGACACATATATGCTAACGGTAGCTTCCGGATACCCATCGCTGCCTTCATATGTCTCCATCACGGGCACCGATGGTTATGGGAGGTTGTTCGATCTTAGGTCGCCCACAGCAGATTGTGTTTCAACAGCACGCGGTCGCATCTTTGCGACGATTCAAGCATGGCACGAGCATACTCAGTCGTTCCTTATGCCAGATGAGAATTACCTCTTCCGCAACAATACTGTGCGGAGGTACTACACAAACATTTACAGTCTAAGGGTAGAGAGTCAGATTGTATGTTGTGCTTCGAGTCCCGTGCAACCAGGTGTCTTGATTGGATGTGCCGATGGAATGGTCACGTCGAGCAACCCTGTCCCTAAGATATTAAACTCAAAAGAGATCCCATGGCAGCAAATATGGTTCACCCATGAATGGAGACCGTCTGTGGATAAGCTGTCGTTGAGGGTGCGGAATTCGATTAGCGAACCTCGAGAACAAGCTGAAGATTCGCCCAGGGTCGTGGCGGAGGCTATAGCTGAAACTACTTCTGCACCAACAATTACGCAAGGGAAGATTTCAGAAAACTCGGAGCGACCTAATATTACCACGGAGCCTATTGCTTCACGGACGCCACGTTCGGCTGACCTCCCGGAAGTCCTCTCAGCACCACTGGCCCGTTTTAATGAAGGCTACCGTGTGCAACAAATAAACATGCAATACTTGAAGCCCGGAAAGGCTCGCAAAGATGTAAAGGAGCAAATCAAGTACGTCACTATCTACGAGGAGCCGTCTGCCGTTACTTCATTGGCCTGGAACCCAAATCTCAAATTCGGGACATGGGCAGTTGCTGGGATGGGTGACGGGTTGCTTAGGGTTGAGGACCTTGGAGTCTAAAGTGCACAATGGCAGTACCTATAGATCTCCATAGCATCCGCACAATCTTGATATAGCACGTGTTAAGGAAAATCTCCGAATAAATTCCAGAAGAAGAGTTATGAAATCATTATCTCATGCACAACTTTGTGGCTGAATTTGACAATTGGGAGTAGCTGGAAGCTTGTTAAGAAACAAATTCGCACTCACCACATTAGTAATGTGATGAAGCAGTATCATTGACCCCCTAATGCTTTACATGAGAGCATTTAGATTCTTGCAAGGGTTTAGACCTTTTGAGTAGTTCTAAGTGGTAGACAATGGAAACCACATGAAGCTGTAGACCCCACCGAGATTAAGGCCCAGTTCACTTGATGTACGACTGTATGTCTGCAGTGCCTTCAATCATGAAACATCGATTCTGGTCAGACCATGAAACGTGATATGAAAGAATGATTCAATACTGGGGCATTTTCTGATCACTGCCGCCTACATCTGTCTTCCCTGAGTGTTGGTTTTTGGCTCCTTATATTTGCACCCCTTGCCACATCGACAATATTTTCCCTCATCTTTCAAGCTCTCCCAATAGCTCTCACCATAGTCTATGAGTATTTCTTCTCCGGCAACGATTTCTCTTTCTGCGACGATAACGATACGCTGGGTGCTGCCGACGCGTCGAAACTCAAAGGCCGTGTTTGGTCGGCAAGAGTGATTGATAAAGCGAGTCCATGAGCCGACTCGTGCTGCATCGACAAAACCGATCAAGGATTGATCGTCTTCCTGGCTAAGAGGTAGCGAGAAAAAGTACGTGCAGTCGGTTCCTTTCTTTTGGACTGGAATGATTTCTCCAAAATATTCTCCTAGAATTTCGCCGGACTGGTGCGATCGCTTCGAGATTGTCGACACACCCAGTATTGGATTTTTCCACCATAGCTCTATCTCTCGATTCATCCAAGAGGTATTGTTGACCGAGTGCCAATCAGGTGTGACGCAATCGCACGGTTCACGGGCGTTCCGATGGCCCATATCCTGGCAATTCTTGCCTTGACAATCCTCAGACCATTTAAGCTTGCCAGCTTTGTACGATCTTTCGTCGTATTTGGGGTGACGAGTGCCGCGGAGGATATCTCGCGGCCAGTTCAGATATCGAGGCCAACTCTTCGGCTTTCTACGCCGTTTCCAATTTTTCGGGTCGATAAAGTATTGGAAGACACACCGGGGTCTTATAATTTTGTTGTTGTGCACAAGCTTCGAGGTTTTGAGTACTTGTTGGGTTGATTTCGTCCCGGGGTTTTGGGCTTGAATGCTCTTCAGATACTTGAATGTTGGACAGGCACGCAACAAATCGCGAATTTCAGCATCGGTCATTTCCGACATTGTGCAAAGATTTTGATAACTGTAAAAGAAATGGATTCCTGAGGAGGATATAATAGTGACGTGGATAGATTTGTGTTTGTAGGAAACGTTGGCCAGCAACGATAATTGTGAAGAGAGTGTTATGGAAAATCAACGTGAAGTCACGACGACAAGAGTCATGAGATGGAGAACCATCATCTCTATTGTAATCAGATTTATTTTCAATATACTGCGCTGCGTAGAGTCCGAAGATTTTATAATCGTGGGACAGTAAGATAACAGGACAATAGGACAATCAATAGTGAAGCGAGAACAATAGCGCAGCTTGCATTGCCAAACGAAAATGATGCGCGACAATAACAAAGTTTGCTTGAATGCTTGAAAGAACTGAAATCTTATTGATATTTTGCAACGCAAAAATGATTTGATCTAATCTTCCATAATGTATACATCCGCTTCCAGGGCCCTAGTGTTTAAGACCTTAGGTGAGATGTTCTGGATGTCATGAATACCAGCCTGAGCAGCATCCGACGCAATTTCTTGCTTCAAGATTTGGATGGCCTTTGTGACACCTTCAAGGCCATATGTATTTGCATACATAAACGGACGACCGAGACCAACCTATTGTCTGTTAATACTCGCTCGTGAAGTCAGGAACCATCCATTTATACGTACAGCCTTCACACCAAGGGCAAGAAGCTTTAACACGTCGGCCCCATACCGGACCCCGGAGTCAGCCAGCACTTCTACCTTCTTGAAGACTTCAGGCGCGTTGCGGTGAATCTCGTAAGCGATCTCCAAAGGTGAAGGTGAATGATCGAGTTGCCGGGCACCGTGATTTGAGATGTAAATCGCCTTCACGCCTTTCTCGATAGCAACGAGGGCGTCCTCAACTGTAGAAATTCCTTTGGGAATGATGGGAAGGCTAGTACGATTCTTCATTTGATCATAGATGTCCCATGTCAAAGCAGAGGTCACCGCATTTGCGTTTGTTGTGTCGTAGCGTGCTGCTCGATGGCGCACGGAAGTGGCTGGGGCATCAATCGTCCAAACAATAGCCTTTGCGCCTGTCCTTTCGGCACGCGCAATCTGATCCCATGTGACCGACAGGTTGCTGTTTGTGTAGATCTAGTGAGGCATTAGAGAAAGGCCAAGGCAGAAAAAGCTATGGGGGGTTTGCATGCCTGCTGGAAAATAACCTGAGGACCATTGAGAGTATTATTGCTCTTTACAGCAGCAAGCTCTTCGATGGTTTTGGAAGCATAGAGTGCAGCAGTGTAGAGGGTGTTCTCACTACCTGAAGCCTCCACAAAGTTCAGCTCTGCTCGCTCCGGATCCGCGTATGCTCCACGTGCAGCTGGTGCGATGAAGATGGGCGCAGAAAAATTATATCCCAGGATCTGTGTGGCCAGTGTCTCATTGACTTTGGTAACATCGGTGAGCATACGAGCCCGGAATCTTTTTTCAAAATGCCATTAGAGTGCTGATAGGGGAACATCGAGAATGCTGGGCACCAATACATACTTGACTTTGGACCAGATCTCAAGGTTGTTGCGGTAGGAATATTCACCTGCGGAAGCAGTTCTATAAAAGGAATATTGCTGGTTATCAAGTTTCTGACGAGCAGCGAAGTCGAAGTCGGGAATTCCACGAATGTCTTTCAGTGCCGGCTGTGTTCCTTCGGTCCAGTTCGTACCGGAGAGGAAGGTCTCTAACCCTGTATCAGGCTCATTCCAAAATGGCTCGGCGGCCGCGACGAGACTGGCAAGATACAAAAAGGAACGCATTGTGATGCTGGGCAATCAATGGTAAGCAGCACTCTAGTACGCTATATATAGATCAGAACAGTGAGAAAAGAATGGAAGAGACCCTGAAGGGACTGTTGGAACTGTCTGCCTTTAGCTGCTGCATCGAAAGAATACATCGTGGCCGCCCTCCTCTTTATAAACATCCCAACCTTGCCGCAGCAGTACTTGTAAATTAATCAATTTAGCCTTCCGAATATGGTCCTTGGATTCCGAATTCCTACCTCTCTCTCTATGCATTGCTAATCCGTTCGTAAGCCAGCGCATCGCTTCCGCTTCCCTGAGTCCTGACTTGAACGAGGAGGTCGATCTCTTGGGGGACGTCTATGGCGCTTTGAGCGACACGAACATGGACCCACGCGGTCTCTGCCGAGATCGCATTTCGCTGGGATCAACTTGCACCATTTCGAAACGAAACCGTTTTGACTTCACTGGAATTGGCACCAAAACCGTGCTAACAAGATTTGACAAGCCCTAGTAAAACCACCGATTCGCCGTTCCAGCGTCCGTTACTTGGTTTCTAGTAATTATATTACAAGTACAATCTGCCTCTGCCTCTGCTTTAAACGAGCCCACTTTTCCCTCGGTCCTTTTGATAAGATTTGTACCCACTCCACTTCCCTTTAGATCAACGGGCAAAGGTTTCCTCCGCAAAAATGCAACATTGGCGCACTTCGGCGTCGGCATAAAGTACGGTCGATTACCTCAGCCAAGACCTATAGACAACTTTGGAAGCTGGTATTGCGACGGTACTACCGCTCTAGGTATGTCAAACCCGCGAGAGCGGTTACGAATCCGGCATTGTTTCCTGTCCTTCGATGCAATTTCTCGACCACCCATGGAGCTACTTCGGCAACATCATATGGTCAGAGGCGAGGTCAGTAGACCACTACTTAACATTGTTAAGGCACAATGGGATTGTCTCAGTTCAAGCAAATGTCTTCTGGGCACTCTACCAGAAACACGAGTTGATCGCGATCACTGCATATCGCGATGTGCAAGGACCAATGGCCCAGGTCGCGCGGTGTCATGTTCGAGAACTTTAGTCTGTGTGGAAAATTATGATCTGATAAAATTTGATCTGCATCTTGATGGATGCGAACTCAGCGAACCGCTTCGAGGATCATGTGGTGCCGGTAGACCCATCCTTGCGACATCGCCATGAGTAATGGGCATTTGATGTACCATCTTGCCCATGGCAGTCTGTTTAACCCTTGTTTCGAGCAGTTGGAAGCGCATCAAATTGATCTTTTAGCTGTCATGGCAGGGAAAGCTCACGAGGGCAGAGTCCATTACGTTTGATGAACGAACGTTGATAATAGAAGCACAAGTATCTTTGAATAGTTCAGTAAGGTGTTTATCTACTTAACCATGCTTGACTGTATCAAACTCACCCCTGTCTTTGGTCCCGCCTCGCCAAGGTTATACTCATCGTTCGTATGTCGGACGCGCTGCAGGCGATGTCGGACAGTAGCACTACTCTTAGCGCAAGGGACCATTCTACACCTGATCTGTGTGTATCATTGTCTCGATCAATTTTTGTATGATTTTGGCCGTGAAATGAATCAAAACCTAATACCGCATTCGTTTACCCACTTCACCGGACCGACATTGTCCCATTTCCAAGTGATTTGATGCGCACCTTGGTTGTTAAGACGTGCTGAGAGCTACCATTGTACAATTGCTCATTAGATACACCTGATTACAATCTTGCCCATTCGATTGTACAAGGGAAGTTCTTTTATCACATGTACCCTGGCATTCCCGATTACAAATAACAACCTTCGATATCATCGTTACCTCATCGAATTGAGCACATTTAATGGAAATGAAAAGATTTCATTACTCTGTATATCCTATTGCAGAGTATCAGTCCCATAAACATAAACCCGAGACCACGTTATAGTCAATGAAATAAATGTAAACAAGTCGAGCCAGGAGAAGAAACCGCATAAAACATAACGTCACACTGTCACAATTTTCGAGAGGAAGCCCTGTTCTCATGGACACTGCAGGCCGTTAACAGCGCACCTCATACTCCTTCAAGTTCCAACCGGCGTGTCCACACGAGAATGCTCTTCAGCACGTCCAACTAATGGCACCAAGCCGAGTAGTCTCATACCATTCTCTAATACCTGACGTGTAGCTTCGTAAAGCATGCATTCAGCAGCCTCGGCGATCCGATCCCCGTCAGCATCTTCTTCGTCTTCTACATCTTCTTCAAAAATATCATTTTGATCCTTATTCCCCGGGTTTACTGCGTCAGCAGCGTCGTCTTGCTCCTCATTGTCCTCGGCGAAAACATCCTCCAGATGAGCGATAACATTGTGCAGGTATGTGACTATAGTCGCTGGCTCAAGAGACTTCAGTACGGTTTGCACAATTTCTGGATACTGCCCTAGGACTAAGAGAAGACTGGTCTGGTCCTCTTCTACTAATTGTTGGTACTCGTCTGGTAGAAGATCATAGTTGGGTGGATGCGCCTGGAGATATTCATGCAGTTTGGCATTCCAAAACTCGAAGTAGAGACCAGTCCCAGGCTTGAAGTTCGTCATGCTCTTCAAATCGAAAGCATGATCGCTGGCTCTTTTAGTTGCAAGTTCTTGGCAGATAATCATCGTAGTACCGATAGCCTCAGCTGTACTCTTCGAGGTTCCAAGCATGCCAGTGATCTTCTTGTTCTCCTCCAACGCATCCAGTGCTCCACTCTCACATTGATCTAGTATTTCGTGAGGCTGTTGGCCATGACCAATACTGTCGATCATATGCGAAGTATCGTTGAAGGAGACATGTTGCAGTTTGTCGGCGAGCTCTTTCAACCCCAACGCTTCGAACACCTTGATGAGACGGGAGTAATGACCCGTTTTGTCGGCTGCGACGAAAATCATCTTGTCGAAGGCGAGATTTCGCGACCGATCCAATACGGCGGCAAGATAGCGGAGGAAATATGTACTGCTGCCGGAACGGTCGCGAATGATTGCAATGCCAGACTTTGCACCGCAATTCTTCATGTCAATAACCCACGAGCCACCAATTTCCTCAAGTAGGCCTCTCTCCCTCATAAGATCTTCAATCTCGCTCATGGTCTCAGACCGGATTTCTGATTCTCCTGAGTAGATGTCGAATTTGATCCCCAACCGTCCATAGAAATTCCGATAGTTATCGAGCATTACTTCTCGGATTCGTTGACACAGAGAAACTGCAGCATCGTCACCTTCCTCCAATCTCTTGAAAAATTCGTTTCGCTCAGCGAACAGCCCTTTTCCTTCGATCACTGCCGTGACCTCTTGCTCATTCTCATTATTCTTCTTCGCTTCGTCACGGGCCGATTTGCTTGCCAGTAGCTCTGGCAGAAAGAGTTCATGAATCTTTTGGTAGATATCTAGTAGGTGAGTGATGGGATCATTGGCAAAAGCCTCGTTTGATCCGAACTTCTCCCACCCTATCCCTAGCAGGGCAATGTCCTTACCCCAATCGCCAAGATAGTTGAATCTTGTGACATACCACCCATGCTTCTCGTAGATATTGCTGATGAAAGCGCCGAGGATGGTGCTGCGGAGGTGTTTCCCTTGAAACTCACTTGCAATGTTTGGTGAGGAGAACTCCACGACGATTCGGGGCGGTACGTCTTCGTTGGTTGGGCTGGCATGTTCTGGAAAAGATTTGTTCAAGCCATAGTTCTCTTTGCGCGCGATTATGAAAGGAATCAAGAGTTGAGCAAAAGTGCCGGGTTTCAAGCAGAAGCGTAGGCGAACTCCATCCGACCATGGGAGACAGAAAAGGGAATGATCCGTAGGGAACTTGAGAACAATTAATATATCGGAACGTCTTGCAGGATGGTTGATTCTTACACACCTTCTCGATTAGCGTCGTCGCTACTTCCTCAGCGTTGCTACCAGGACAGAGTTTGGGTAGAACGACTGTGAAGTCACCATGAAGGGGATTGTTGGACAGTTGGATTGATTCAAAAGCTGTCTCAAGGCTGCCTCCAACGGTACCGGTCAGGACCTCGGCAAGACAATAACGACAAACATCCAAAGGCTGGCTCGAGACATTGGTGTGCACAAGCTGTTGTTCTGGAATCTGAAGGTTAAGGCCGGCCAGTGCCTCATCAAGATCATAGCCCATATTAAGGTCGCCTTCGCAATATCTTCGCGGGCAGTGCACTAGAAAATACGACTTGGATAGAATCGAGAATTTGTTTAGTAGGTATTATCCCTCTTTAGTTCAAGTTGAGGCTGGTCAAGCCACCATGTATGTGCTCACACGTCAAAATGATACGAGACAGATGAGTGACTATAATCAGGTTGGAATGCCATAGACGTGGTATTATGTTGTTCTAAGCCTGCTATGAGGCTGCCAATCCTGCAGTGCTGGCAAACCTACATTTGTCGTTGACGTCGTGGACGGCTGAGATTGGTTGCATGCAGTCAGCGATGCACCAACACCCAACTACCCTAGCCAGTGAAATTGTTTCACACCTTAAACTTCAGCCAACACAGTGAGTAGACACTTGAATCTTCGGCACAGCGCGTCACTCCCAAGCACAGGTATTCCTGGAAGCTGAAGGCCGTTGCAACGGGTACTGGTTGCTACATGCTATCCCCAAATTATGGTTCTCTCTAGCAACAATAAGCTTGAAAGTGGCGAGAGCACATGTCTGTCCATGCTCTCTAGGTTCAAAAGGTCTGGCAAATCTCAGGAAAATATTCTAGTAGTGAGTATCACCTTCTGGACTCTTTAAGAAATAATGAATCATTATCGCCAGAATCACGCCCCTGCCCCCGACCCACGAACCAACTCTAGGAGTAGCTATGCATCTTTTTCACATAGCTAATACAAAAGGTGAAATATCCACGGTGAAGTTTCACATTATCACATTGAAAGTATCATCGTCCCAACATAGACCGCACAATCAATGAAGTTGACCATGAAAACTGCCTATGTTCCTAAACGTTACGCTCGTTGTCGGTCATGTCTTGCAGCGAAGGCTCATCTATGGTTGGCTTGATTAGAATCCATCTTGCAACTCAAACAAGAGAGATAGAGAATGGCGTACCGGTATTTTGCCTGTGGATGAAAACCTGCTTAACTTTGAGGCTCGCGTGCTTGAACCATTCACTGCGGCCCACCATGAATATCCCAATCGCTAGGACCCACATTAAAAATGTCATGCTTGCCGCACAAACTAAGAAAGTCATTGGGGTGCGTTTGAAGTAAAAGATTTCCTGTTGGGTGCCAAACAGTGCCGCAACGATGCCGGTAGGTAAGAAAAATTGGTTCATCTTCAATCGTTAGTTTGTAGATAGATATCCAAGACCAGAATCCTACCGAAAACCCTAGTCTCGCAACTTCATGGCTTTCCGAAGCAACTTTGAGACTTTGAAATGCAAGTTTATGACTCTCGAATGCAACTTTCTTTGTCTCCAAAGCAACTTGGTTCGTATCGTGGTTCAGTGCGATCGTCTGCGTGTTCAGTGCGTGGCTTGCCTGATTCAGCTCGTTCGATTGAAGGTTGAGAAGGTTGCTCTGTAGATTGAGCCTTATAGTTTCTAGCTTCATGCGGACATCAAGCTGCGGTACTTCAGCAATCTTCCAAGGGACGGGCAGAAGTATTAACCCAAGGGTCACTTACGGATTTTGACATTGCCTCACAATCCCGAAGCAATTGATCCAATTTCCGAATCAACATCTCAAGATCCTTGAAACAGGCGCTAATGCTGTCAATGCGTGTTCCTATCTCCTGCGATGTCATGTCTGAGAAGTAATGTATATTTCCATTGGGTGACGTGAAGCAAGCCCACGCCTCGGTTGTGATTGCCAGGCGACTACGCAAATGCTCTAGAACCGCGAACGCCTTCGCGACCCACATGATTTCCTTTCCAACGCGGTCAAGTTGATTACACGCCGAATCATCAGATAAAGTTCTGTTGATTTCAAGATTGGTCTGCGCAGCTCATATTAGCTAAACCCACGCACATAGTAAAACAAAAGCCAGGAGAGTCGGAAGCAAATCGAACGTACACTGGTGTGCACACCAACTTCAACAATGTGAACAACATCTTGCCAGTGCCGCAAGACCTGCTGCATTCGGGTCCCCATAATGGTAAGAAAATATTCTCTGGGAGGCCAGGTTGGCTTATTGGCATCCACGGTGTTCTCGATTTCGCAGTCCGAAATGATGGGGTCCTCCAAAAGAGTATCGATGTCTACTTCATCATTCGTCCCGCCCGTTTCTTCGGGCTCGTCATCTTCACTTTCTTCATCACGATCCCGAAACTCTGTATCGACAAATGCGTAGCCTGTGTAGCGGTAATTGTCTGCTCCACAAAGCAGGACTGATATCTGAGCCTCATAAATGCCAAATGAGCCAATCTCTCCATCGTCTGGTTGCGGAAGATCAAGGAAATTCAGACTTATAAAATTCCTGATGGGCTTTTTGTTGATGGTCAATGCCTTGTGGTTTTTGTGGGAGGATGGCCTTCTGATCAAAGCAAGATAAGGCATTTGGAATTCCAAGTTCCACCTGGGGAAACTTGTGGGCTGTAAACCATTAATTTCATGTTATTTGGGGTGAACGGCCGTTGCTGCTTTATACACATACCGGAATTTTGACATCTATGACGGTCTGAAGGGTAAGATGCTTCCAAATTGCATCCCTGAGCGGTTTGGTCTCATTTGTTGGTACCGTATCGGCCAAAGCACGGACAAATGAAGGTTTGAGATCAGCAATGTAACTATAATAACATATCAGTGCTCGTGCTAAGATCTTTTATTTTGGAAGAGTATCTTTTCTTTTCGGTCATCAAAGGGAACATGTACTGAGTGCAGCAGGAAACTATGATAGCACTCCCCAAATGTACATGTCATAAGGGAATATTTTTTAAGTAGTACATACATGAGACGTCTGTCGGCATTGGGTAAATTAGGAGATCCAAACCTCTGTTTGTCAAGTTAGGAACCGATATACACATTATCAATATTCTAAAATGAAACACGTACAGGCTGACGCATAAAGTACAGCAATTCATTCGCCGAAAGTCTTTCCTCATATGTCCTGGAAAATTCAGTGAGCTCCTCTCGGTCATCGAGCCAAGCCTGGCCCCATTCCCGAGTTGATGCTACGTTGTGTTCCGCACAAGGTAAGACTTCATTCTCGAGGCAGAATGCTCTAATGTCTCGTTGTTGGCACGAAGGTACTGAACTCTCAAAATCGCGGATGAAAAGCTGCAAATCGTCCTCAGCATCAGCATTTACATCTTTTAGATCCTGAACATCGCGATTGAAAAATTCGTAGTTTTGGCGCGTAAAGAACGCGGTATTCCAACTCTTACTACGGTTGACGGAGTTGATTGAGGTACACTGTGCCATGAATAGAGGAGTCTGACGAACTTGTTTCGGCGCGAACGGATTCGCTATGATATAGATGCTGAATGACTCAAATTTGCATGTTGGGTTGCCAACATCCTATGCGACGATAAGTTGAAGTCGTCCTCCACTCGTATAAAAATCGTGGTGTTTCGCAGAGCCACGTAGGTTACAGTCTATGGTCGAGGAGAAATTCCACATCGCAACAATTGGTTAAACCACTCTATGCAGAGTCATCAGCCTCTTCGGCAGCTATCTTTTGCAAGGCCCGAGGCTGGCAAGCCTCGGCCTATCTTGCTCATCCAGCAGGTCACAAGACTTCGTGCATTTGAAAGGCATCGCCATAATCTTGCCCTTCGCTGGCGCAGAAACGTAGCCTTGCATCCAGAGGTTGGGCTGTGAGATATGCATGGATGTCGAAGCGAGTTTCTGCGGCAGTGCAAATTTTGGTCAGCAGTATCTGAAGGCTTATCGGATCGGCCCGCCGTCCTCTCAATCGGATGACATCATGGAGCACGCTTCACGCAAAGAAGCAGCTGCATGCCACTTGTTCATCTTCTCACCGGATCTGGTCTGCATGCAGTAAGAATTCCCGCATCGATCACAGAAACTGAATGAAATATTCAATCACGGCCCGGGTGTAACCCGAAGATTGAAGCACATCAGTTACGCAAATGACTGGAAGCTGTTGTTCTTGTCGAGGTCAGGCCCTGTGACCCAAAAATAGGGTGTATGGCGACAACACACTGTCCCATGAAGACGCCCCATTTGTTTGAAATGGGTGGGATTGCGGATAGTGCTAGCAACCAACTAATGGAGTTGAGTGCAAGTGGCATTCATCCAGCCACTAACTCGTTGCCTCATTGCTTGTAAAAGGTACCAGTGGGAACAACCAGAAAATGCACTCATGGAACCAAAAGTCGATATGTTGAACCGATCCATTATACTACGGCAGGGCATAAGGCGCGTGAATGGATGCGCCAGAATGGCGGATCGGTGATTGTCGACACGAATATGATTGCTTCACTCTGTTCACCAAGTCCGCCTCCACGTTGTGGGCATGAATGTGTATTTAGAACATTGCCGAAGCACTGGAGCATTTGTTAGCATGCTGCATGCCAATTACTACAAAGGCTGATATGTAGATGAGTTCAGTCCAACGTACACTACCTGACCGGGATTTTCTTAATTTTGCAGTTGGCACATCGCGGTGTGCCGCAAATCAAACATGCGTGACTTCTAATCGGTATAGACGGACGACCACAATTGCACTGTGTCGGTATTCAGAATATTTGCCAGACATATGTATTGAAAAGCTTACGCATTCCCAAAAATATGCATACTTTGGCTTCTTTCCCTGCAAACTCCGTCAGGCCTGAGTCTTCCCAGACGACCCAATACATCGTCAAGCGGCGAAATATAGCTGCGCGAACATACCAGCGTGCGAGTAGGCATTGGGAATGACATTCCCAGCAGTACTTTGTTGACCAATATTCGCAATCTTGTCTCCTGCTGTAATTTTGACCTTTATGTGCTGTGTACGATTTGCGCTGCGATGAGTTTTCGAAGTGTGAATCCCCTCTGCTGTTGAGCGCCGCGAGGGGAAAATGACCTCAAAGGTAATAGCGATCAGAGTAGGTCGAGGAACGCTGTACGAGTTCGAGCGAGAAAGTGACTCTCCAGGGGTCTAGCAAGCTGATGTGATGCACGCTCCGTGGATGGGCTTGGTGACCCCTTTTGTGCAGTGTGTTTTGATCATTCTAGCATGTCCTCTCGTCCATGAACGAATAAGTAAAATCCAACGGCCTTACTATAATCCAGTCGGGTAACCGGACCAAAAGGGCAGTTTCACAGTTTCGTGTAACAAAGGATCCTGTAATATATTGATGTCTGACAATTGGGCGTTATCCTGTCGTGCAGCGCATGTAAAGATGCCGAATACTGGATACTCAACTCTGGTAGAGCAAATTCATTTGCTCCATCCCTTGGAAACAAAACTCAAAATCACGGGCTCCATTCGTAGTAATGGTATCAGGTCGGAAGATCGGATACAGACAGGGGCTGATTTGGACGATATCAGTCCGACACTGCATAGGTGGTTGGTTGCTATCAGGGTCGCTCGTGTAATCCAAGTCAAGGGAGCATGGGTCAATTTTTTTGGGAAAGAGTTTACGTGCAATTTACGTTCAAGAAAAAAAAGAAAAAAAAAAGAAAATCCTTGAGCGCGGAGTCGCTGTTATATGTCGTTCGAAGAGAAATGCGTCTGAATGGGGGCCCAGCTGGTCCAGTGGGGAGTTCTGCCGCTCCCGCTGTCTTGTCTTGGCGAGTTAATAGACCCCCACACATCATGCAGGAGTCAGGACTGCTGCTGCATACCTACCTAACCTTTGGCAATGATATGAGTAAATACTGGATTTGGCTGACGTATCCTGATTCCTGAGAATGTTGAGACGTTGACTTTCGGAGAGGTTAGTTGAGAAAACAACTGATTGAGTGATTCGGGGTATTCGTTCAGAATGATGTGACTAGTAAACAGTCAAGGCCAACGCATCACCTTTGCTCCCACTAGTTAGGACGAAGTACGGGTTCGATTTATGAGGTACGACTTAGATATCATTGCCGTGTAAGTGTTGAGCAGTATGACAGACTTACACGTTCCACCCAGAGTCATGACCAATGTCCAAGACTACCTACGTCGGGACCTCAGTGTCGTTCGGTTTGGTCAGCACAAATGCATCGATCGCTCCTAACTGCACACAGTATGTTACCTACTAATTTCCCCCACACAAATCACACAGCGGGAACTAGCGGGAGCCATCTTTAGCTGTTGCTGTTGTACAACTAGTTCAGAGCCATCAAAGATCAGACAATCCATCCCATCGTACTCCGTACCAGCACATGCTACCCCCGTACTACTATAAAGTACTCCGTACTGTGCATACATGTAACAGCATTACGCGTACTCCCTACGCCGTGCCATTATGTGTATGTGCACCATAAGTACTTTACTGCCCAATCGATATGCTGGTAGACTGCAAGGGAAAGGTAATACTACACATACATACTACGGAGTACTCGCTACACAAGTAATTTTGACCGCCTCTGTAGCTATCCATTCCATCTTAGCGCTCTGTGATTCTCTCACAAAATCTACAGAGGGTTGACACGTCGGGTCGTCCGCCTGCTAGTGTTTTTAGCAGATACAAGGAATGATACGTGCATCTATAGCTTCTTATTTGCTATAAAGCAGCTGATTAAGGTTAAAGTATACATAAAACTAGCAAGTGGACAACCAGACGTGTCAACCCTCTGTACTATCTTTGCTCAAGAGGAATCTAATCTTTCACCTCAGGAATCAGGATTCAAGCCCCCCCTTGCTGAGTTTCTTTTGCCGACAGATCACACACACTGTTGAAGCGAGCCCCCTCCACCCTCCCAAGGACCTAAGCACCGATTTTTCCCAAAAATTCAAAAACCTCGCCAATTGTTGCGACATCCGGGGACGATAATGGAAGGCCAATGCAAAATGGAGCCCTATAAAGATTCTAGCAGAAGACAACCACCGTGCACGAGCCTTAGGTAATCCATGGTCCGTTCACACGTAGTTGTCAGTGTCCGCGAGTTAATCATAGCCCAGCATAGGCTTGCAATCTCTCCTCTGCCTCCACATGGACCCATTGGGCCCTTGTCAGGTACTCACCGGGACAATCGTTTAGAACAACTAGGTCTGGGACAGAATTGGCGCACGAGGGACACTGGACGGTTGATTGCAGTTGATGCAGCAGAGCCTTTCGCAAGAGATGCTTTCAACCATGGACCGACGCTCCCGATACAAACACTAGTGAGATTATGGTTCAGGACAGCCCATTGTTATTGAATTGCATCTAAGAGTGTTATAGGGGAAAAAGGTCAAATATACGTACATCTGGCAATGCGTAAGAGTCGACCAGCTCCGTGCGATTACACCATCGATCTGATCCTCCTTGTAGTGCAACTGCGGCAAGCCCTCAATTCCCATTCGCAGTCCCACTTGCGTAGCTTGTGGAAATCCGCGATGCGCACGATGCGAGACAAGAAAAATACAAGTAAAATGACGGTGGGAGTTGACTTCACAAAGGTCGAGGCAGATAGGAAGACTCAGAATTGTTTCCGTTCTCTCGTTTACGGACACAATTCTGAATCTTCCTATCTGCCATCAGACTATTATAATTGGAGCGAGGACGAACGAGGTGGATGTAACGGAAAGCTTTGGGTTACCTTCCCTACCTTTGTTACTCATAGTTACTTGGATAATTGGGAACCAAAACAGAGTGGATAGTTCAGAGTTGCAGAGGATGAAGTTTATTAATCATGAATCGTGGTATATTGCTGATCAAGAAAGCAACAACAATAGGGGATATCTGACTGCAAATCAAAAGCACACTGCTCGGCCTCCAGATGCATCATCTAAAATGCCATTCACATATCGCCATTGCGCCTCTTGGCCTCTTCTAGCGCAGCTTTCAACCGGACCTTCCGCTCATCTTCCTCGCTTAATTTCGCTTCGGCTCCTTTCTCTTGAATCAATCCTTCTACTTCATCAGTGTCCTGCTCGAGGACTCTAATCTTGCGTGCCAATTCATTGTTTAGTTTCTTCTCGCCCTCTGCCATTTCGCGCTCTAGATCCGCGATACTCTTAGGGTCCGCATTCTGGACATGGGCTTTCGCAATTTCAGCTTGCAACACAGAAGTGTTCAGCTTGATCTCCATAGCGTTCAGGATAGTTAGGAGGTCCTTGGACGACTTTCTGAGTGCAACGATAGTGTCTCGAGCGTGCTTGATGACAGAGACTCTTTCATCTCCATCTTTACCATCTTGCTCCACCTCACGAATGGCAGCAACAATTGCATCGATCTCTCCCTGCTCGGTTCCAACGGCACTGACAATCTCTTCCTCTGCAACCCTGACCAATTCCCCAACACGTTCCGCTTTCTCGCTGTTAGCACGGAAGACAGCTTCCTTTTCGGCCTTTTCAAAATGCTTTTCAATACTCTTCATCTTGCTGATGTTACCGGCAGCGTACAGGGGCTGGATTTCTGTCTTCTTATAGCGCCTGTCGCGTTCTGCAACTGCTGCAACGACCTTGTCTTGGCGTGTCTCAATGCTGTCGTGTAGCTCTTGCATCAACTCAAGGCAAGATTGTGTCGTCAACGTATCGTCCTTCCCAGAGAGTGCTTGCACGCCAGAGGTCGAAGAGTGCAGGAGGGCCTCTGTGTCGATGTAGAGATCCATCAGCATCTTAATATCTGCCTGCAGACCGTCATAGACCTTATCAAAAACTTGCTCGACATAGGACTTGTACTCGTCTCGATCTTCTTGTGCTTTGAGCCTGCGTTCTTTCTCCTTGAATTCGTCCTCCAAGGCGCCGATGTCTGCGTACGAAATCTCATTTTCGTTGAAAAGCTGATCTGTCTCTGCTTCGGATTCTTCCTGACGCTTACGGCGAGCATCGTCGTTCCTCTTGCGTATCTGTGCGGCGTCTTGATCGAATTTAGTGATTATTTCATTGATGAACGAAAAGTCATGCGAAAGGGCCTGATTCTTTTTACGGATCTCATCAATACGTGGAGGCGTTCTTAGAGGCGTCGTGCCTGTTGGCAAGAGCTTCTTGAGGCTTTCAAGTGCACCCTTTCTATTGGCGGCTGGTGTGACTGAGCGCTGTGGAGTAAACGACAGTGGCGCAGGAATGGATACATCGGAGTTGGTACTTGCACTGGTCGTAGGCCTGCTCGTTGGCTTGGAGTTTGATTGAGACTGGCTGAAGAAGATCTCGTCACGCGATCCTGATGGCGTCCCCTGTGCTGGTGCTGTGACCGGGGCTGTTGTGGCAGCTGATAAGGAAAGCCGATGTGACGGTGGGATTGAGTTGTTACTAGTCCCAGCAGGTGGAACGTATGCCTTGTACTGCGGTTGTGGTTTCTCATCAGGTGGAGACTGAATAGGAGTTTTGCTATTATCCTCATCGGTGGAGCTTGTTGGTGTAAGGATTGTGGCCGAGTCCTTTGACAACGGGGGGTCTTGTCCGACTGTGCTCGAGATGTTGGAAGAGTACTGCGAATGCGAGCTCTCGTTGGAGTTCAGATTAGGCCTTTGTGCAATTATTGGCCTTCCTCCGGGACTGTACTGGTATACTTGGTCGTCAACATCCGTATCTGGAATCTGAATCTGGATATCTTGTTTCGTCTTTGCCGAGTCAAATGAATTGCGAATCGGCGCTTCTGGCGTCTGCAACGAAGATATTCCCTGCGCTAAAGCCGTGGCTGGAGGTCCGTCATGGTAGTCAAGGCCTCTAGCGGCCGATGCAGTCTTTAAGAATTCCTTGAAAACTTTTATCTTGTCTTCCACGTGAGGCTCCGCAGCTTCACGCCTGAGCATGTCGATAAATCGCTCTAGGGCGCCCACATACCAAGGATCTAGATCGGGGATGAGATCTGCTGGTGTCGGCTGAGGGGGTGGTGGATGCTCTTTCGACTTCTCAGCGTCGAGCTGTCGAGTTAAGTTTGCAATAGTCGTGTCCCTTTCCTTGATTGTGTCCTGTTTCCCCTCGGCATCTTCCTTCCAACGCTCAATTTCGAGAAGTTTCTCTTTGTCCGACGCTTCAGCATGAACTCTAGCCTGGTCTACTGCTATCTTCATAGCTTCGATTTGCTCTTTCAGGGTCGTGATTTCTCCCTCTGCGTGAGATTTTGCCTCTCCTACGCTCGCTTGAAGTCTTTCGGTGTCAACACGCAACTTCTCCTTCTCCGTTTCATTCTTTACAGTGAGTCTCTCGACCTCTGCCCGTAGTTCCACCTTCTCTTTCTCACTTTCTGATCTGAGCCTTTCGAGCTCACTACGCACGTCCGCAATCCGTCTATCCGCATCTACCCTAAGATTCTCGTACGCCTCATCCTTTGCCTTCAACTCCGAAACATGCGTTTGGTTATGCGGCTGATGAGTCCACCCGTTGGGTTCCTGGGCACCAGGCTGACTTGGATGACCACTTTGCACAGTACCATCGTTCGTCACAACTGCAGTATGAGCTTGATGTGGCGGTAGCTGCCTCTGTTCCTGTTGTGCTGGCGTTTGCTGCCTTTGCACATTCTGGGTAGACCAACCTCCGTCGTCCACGACAAAGCCCTGTTGAGTTGGTGCTGGCGGATGTTGCTGCTGTTGGACAGGCGTACTTTGTGTTGGAGGTACCCAGCCTCCATCGTCCATTACGAAACTTTGCTGAGCAGGTGGTGGCTGGGCTACTTGTGTAGGCTGCGGAGATTGAGTTTTAACGATGGCATCGCCTGAAACGAAGCCTTGCCCTGCCTTAGGAGAACGCGGAGCAGGTATCGGCTGTGGAGACTGGTAAGAGTTGTACGATTGGGCTGGAGTCCCAGTGTTATGTCCAGGAGGTGGGGTGGGCTGATAAGTGTCACGTCTTTGTGTCTCGGTATTGAGTGGCGCTGGTTGAGCTGCATTCCCCAACGGCGTGGGCCATTCGCCACCAGCCGAAGGGGGGCACGGATGAGATCCTGGCAGTTCCACACTATCTAGTTGCGCCGGTTCGTTTTGTCCATCCTTCTTCCCGCTGAAGAGTTCCTCATCATCGACTTCGTTATCGGCGTCACCAAAATGCTCCCAATCAGAGGGTCCACCAAATCCCAAAGCACTAAACTTCTCCTTGGAATCGCGAGGAGGTGGTGGCGTTGGAATCTTTGGAGGGGGGACAGAAGAGACAGCTGGAGAGCTGGTTCTATTATCGGCGTTTCTGATCTCAGATTGGGCTTGCTGGTTACGAATAGCTCCCAATGCGATAGACGACACAGAGTCAGCACGTGCAAGGCCGAAGGATTGCCCACTTGCGAAATGCATACTTTGTCGACCCTGAATCGGTGATACAGGTTGGCTTTGCATACTAACGTTATTCACAAAGTCAGGAGGCGTGGTTCCGGTACGTCCAAGCGGTTTGGGAGCTTGTATGTCCTCCACTTGCCCTTGATTGTACTGTTGAGCAACCGAACCTTGGGATTGATGGCCAGGGAGCCATGCCTGTTGTTGCTGTTGCGCCTGTTGAGGTGCTTGTGAGTTGTAGTGTACTTGTGTGTTCTGCTGCGGTTGCTGTTGATACTCAGCTGGTGGAGTGGGCTTCCATTGGTCTTCCTGCTGGGAATACGACTGAGTCTGTTGTTGCTGCTGCTGCTGTTGCTGCTGCTGCATTATTGGTTGGCTGTGGGGCCCTTGTCCATATGGAGTTTGAGCATGGGGTTGGGCCACCGGCTGTTGTGCAAATTGACTCTGTTGTTGGTTTTGCTGATGATCATGATGTATTGGTTGCTGTGGCTGAAACTGCTGCCCCAATTGCTGCTGGAGGGGTTGAGAAGGTTGAACGAATTGGCCAGCTTGGAGTGATGCTTGATGTTGATGGTGCGGTTTAGGGTGAGTATGCTGATGCTGAGGCGGTTGATCAAAGTTAGGCTGCTGGGCTTGGGCCTGCTGGGTATACTGTTGCCCATATTGACCCGGCTGCTGGGCTTGTTGGTTTGGCGCCCCTGGGTTCCCATAGCCCTGGCCATAGTTGCTTTGGACCGGGTTGAGTTTCGTGTACGTGAACTTCTTATTTTCGCCTTGCAGAGGTGCATGAGTGGCCTGCTGCCATGCCGGGACATCTGGCGGAGGAGGGATGTAAACTCCCGGCATGGGGTTCGTGTTCGCTGGCATGTAGGACTGTACGCCTTGGCCAGTGAGCGATGGTGGGATATACGCCGGTTGTTGTTCATTTGGACTCAATACAGTATTTGGAGGTTGTTGTCCTGCAGCTGACTGTGGGGTTGAATATGTCCCCGCCTGGTCTGCGCCGTAGATTGACCCAGGCCGGCCTCCTTGCGGAGGCGGAAAGTATGAACCGCCTGGTGTTTGTGAGGGCGGCGGAGGAGCCGCATTATTGTATTGCGGTTGCGATTGCGATTGTTGGACTCCTATGGGCTGATGGCCATATGCTTGCTGTCCCTGGCCCTGACCCTGGCCCTGGCCTTGACTGTGGTAACCTGTGCTCTGCTGCCCCCAACCTTGCGTTCCATGCTGTGTATGCTGCGGCTGCGGAGGATAGCCCTCGGGTTTCGGCGGAGGTGGAGGCGGTTGATCCTGCTGCTGATTTTGGGTATATGATGCTCCCGGCATAGGGCCATATGTTCCTGGGTTGTACCCCCCTCCGCCTGGCTGCTGCACCCCTCCAGCAGGTGGTTGTCCCCAGCTCGCCCGCTGCGGTGCTTGCTGTTGATTCCATTGTGTACCAGTGTTTTGGGCAGGTGGGGCCCATTGGCTATTCGCTGACGGCGCGGTAGACGTGTATCCCTGAGGAGCTGCGTCAATCGTCAATAGGAGTTCTGAAGCGGAAGACAAGGTCCAAGTCGACAACTACTTACCTCCGTATGGTGGGGGAGGAGGAGCTACCTGCGAGAAGCTCGCGGTACTACCAGGTCTTTGGCTTCCCGGGTACTGTGGGTTATAATTCTGCATTACGAATCAATATGTGTATTCTCACTACGCTTCGTACATGTAGTGTCGCTATGCAAGCTGCCTGCAATGAGGTATGGTCGGGAGAGCGTTGGTCGATGTCGCGACAGACTTATTGTTATTAATAGTAACGCGCGAAGCCAAAACCACAGACACTGTACGATCACCACAAACTTGAAGTCATGTACAGTTGAATACAAGAACGTTCCAAGATAAGTTGAACATCGAGGAGGAAGGAGTAGAGGTGGACTGAGCTGAATCAACAATAAAGCAACGGCCGTGGGTCCCGCCCGAGGCTGAGGCTGAGTTCCCTCGTTCGTGTTCGAAGACTGAACCAGGCAAGACTGGAAGCCACGCGCACGCCCCGCTTAAGATCTCCAAATGTGGATACGCTCCGAATGCGAAGGTAATACGATGTACATATATTAAGCAATACTTCGTTAATTCGTTATTGACATCAGGGCAGTAGTGAGGTCGAATTTCTATTTCTCAATCTCGAGAGGAAAAGATTTCATTGTATCGGACATTTATAAAAATGCGTTACATACAAACGTTCGCTGTATACTCCGTACACTAGTATGTTGCCTGTATATACCTAGACCCAAGTACCTACAACAAATCATTCGCATCCGAAATCTCCATATATCGTTCTATGCATGCCATCACGTCAACCATTGTTTCCTAGGCACAAGTACTCCGTACGTTTAAATCCGATTGTGGGCTTACTTTATACCGCTTAGCCATCTTCATGAATGTTTAATCAAAACGACCTTCTCTTCTCTTCGTCCCCACGAAGTCATATACATATTCAATATCCTTCACAATCTCTCCAGGCAGAGCCTTCTTCTGCACGAATCCGGGCAGTACACCTTTCGCGTCTGACCACGTCGCCATAGTCCAATGGGTCACCGCTTTGCCGTCCGTCTCAATCTCCCTCGCAACTCTCTCTACACTAACATACTGTCCGTACACCAGTTTCTTCCCAATCTTTTCTTTCTGTTTATCGCTGGCTAGGGATGAGTCCCGCAAGTACGTGGGTGTACCGGGAACTCGATGATGGCTTCTGTTCTTGATAATATCAGGAAGTTGGACGACGTCGACGGGTAACTGCACGACTATGGATTCGTCTGTAGGCACGCCCTGTTCGCCAGCTACAAGGTCGGCCCGCACACCCACTAGGACGAGCACAGAGAAAACACGATCGTTCAGCGGCCATGGGATTCCATGGTACATGTTGATGATCCACATGGCCGTCTCGTTGAAACCTATTTTCTTTCCAATCTCTTTCAGCTCTTTCTCGTTCCATCTCAGAAGTTCAGTACAGTCGTACACGTTTGGAGTATACTCGGCCTCATTCGTGGAATGGTCCTGCCTCAACACCTGATCAAAATTTTTCCAAGTGATCGTTTTGGTTCCATCTGCGGTGCCTTCATCCTCAGGATGCCGGGAATGGCGAGCGAACCATGCCTCCCCGCCGTCGAGACTTGCCAGTTGGTCGACTTTTATCCCCTTCGCGGCGCTCTTCGGCCCAAACGTATGCGAGGAGGACTTCCTCCAGGATGATATATCGAGACTCTTCGCCTCGTTAAAGATCCTTTTTATAAAAGGAAGCAGATCGGGATGCCGGTTGGCCTCGCTGCCGAAGTCGGTGTGGAATGGCAACTCATACGGTCCCAGAGGTTTCAGCTGCAAGTACCTCTTGCGCAACCCCGCCGCGCTGTCTGTCGGTGTAGGTGGCATAGGCGCAGGTGCAGGTTCCTGTGACACGGATTGGTCTCCTTGGCTTCCACCCCCTTTGCTATCTCTTCCGCTCTCTTTAGTATCAGCAGGCAGACTCCCGCTGCGGGAAGGGCTGACATCAGCCCCTTTGGTCTTCGTTTCCCCGCTCTCCGCTCCTCCTCCTCCTACTCCTCCTCCTCCCGCTCGACCGTGCGCATCCATACTTCCTGATGCTTAATCTGCCTCTTTTAAAGTTTGATACGAAGCGGAGCAACCTCGATTGGATTAGCTAGACGCAGGTGAGCACCCGAGAGTGGAGATCAAGGTGCCCGGGCGGATGCGTGGGCTGGTTCAGTACCTATTGTAGATGGGTAGAGAGAAGCGCGAGGCAGAAGAGAAGGGTCTAGATCTCAAAGCACGGACTTTTGCATACAGACAACCCCAGGCCCGTAACCCGCCCTTGCGGACAAGTACATACAACTAAAAGACCTAAAAAATACAGTCCCATATGATGGGTATTCGGTAGTGGGAAGAAAGAGATAAAAAGTCAGGTCGGAGCGAATAACGGAATACAAAGTACTTATTCCTCGTACGAGGTTGTAAGGCGTCCACGTATCTTGGACAGCACGGCGAATGGTAGACATTGGATTGCCGGAAGTAGACCTGGCTTGTAGCCTACTTGTGGAGCGTCAGGCTGTTTCAATCGAGTGAGTTATGGGCAAATAATGCAATCGTCGATCGGCCAACTCAGGCCGACCTGCTGGGGGCGTGTCCAGGTGTCTCTGGAGCGGGTCTCGAACGGCATTGTGAACATGGATATTTCGAGATTGCCATGGCAAAAAAGCCGTCTTCCGCTCGGACCCCCTCACTATTTCCCCATGACTCCCCAAACTTACCCATCACACGGCTCTGAGGCAAGGATCTGGCCGTCAGGACAGCACAGGACAGTACAAATGCTCAACATGCCAAACACGACACGTATCGGCATATGGCTTGCCTCGACCAATCTTCCCAATTTACACTCGGCACAATTCTTCAAAGACTTGAAAGCCTGATCCCAAGATCCCATGCCCCTAAGCTGACTGCAGTACTGCGTCTCGTGGCTTTGCCCTCATGAAGGGTTGATTTCCACTGATCTTAACCACACCAACAATGGTTAGAAGGAGGCACTGTAATGATGGCGCTTCTTCCACAATATGTGAATAAGGTATTCCATAGATAGGCTTCACTAATGGCGAACTCGTCCTTCGGAGCCAGGGCCATAGCCAGTGCTAGGGGCTCCTTCGAGAAGCCGTTCAACGGTTACCCACTGCCCAGGTCGTTCAAGTACCCAACGCCCTTGAACAAATCTTGGTGGAACGAGGGCTCAGCGGGCTAAGAACCACCCGCTGCAGTTACCCTCCGCGGCGTCCTTTAGCGAACGCCCACTTACAAGTAGGGGGCCGATCCCCGCATGGCGCCATGCAGGATCCGATGGAAGAAGCATGCTGCAGGGCCACAAGAGGATTCGGCATGGCAAATCCGGGGCCCAGATCGACGTGTCGAAAATAAAAAATGCCTGTCGCCGGCCTATGCTTCCCTGACTATCGCAGGATGCGATAGTGCCACTGATGCCGAGCCAAACGAGTCAAGAGTGGGGAGTGGCCGTTAGCACTGCGTCAAGGCAGTAGCCATACAATGATAGGCTCCGCAAATTCCATTCCCGCAGCAAGGCTGGCAGGCATTTGCGGCATGCTGAAATATCAACAACGAGTAACAATCCATACCGTATGCATCGCTTCTGTGATGAATTTGCTCACTACAACTGTCCCGTGTCTTATACTCTCCCAATGAATCGTGCTCCAGGAATCTAGCTCGCCATTGGCTGCTTATTGCATTCGAGAAACAGCTCGCTAACACGATTGAACAGTGCGGGTTTTCATTAGTCTAGTTCAGAATATGCAAGCAATCTAGAAGGCAGTCAACACGAGACTTAGGGGATTCCGACTTCATTGAGCCTAGACCGATTTTGATTGTGAACTACGTCCTTACAAGCATCACAAACAACTCCACACTATGGGTCGTTGCATTGGGAAGGTAACCATCATGAACAATGAACATCGTGGGGTATATTTCTTAGGCGGAAGCCTCTGCCTTGTGAGCTAGAAAAGAATAAAGGACATTTCCAGGCGATTACGCTCATTCCCGCCTTGCCATCGCACTGTAATGTGTCGTGAGAAAGATACGATCGAGGTTGATAATGGTCTCGAAACAGCTTTGGCTAATCTACAAACGCCCAACGAACCCCCAAAAATGCAAGCCTCCAGATCGCCAAAATGTGTTCTGTAGATTCCAGCATGAAGCAGGAACTTCACGTGTGAAGAAAATGGTCCCTAGCAGTGGCTAGCAAATGTTTTTTATCGAATGTAAAGTGCGTAAAAGTATAGTCGCGTAAAAGATGTATCATGAAACGTTCCTGGCTATTCAATTGTTCAAAGGGTATGGAAAGTAGATGCAACGAGCTCATCGTCCGTCCCAGGAGGTGGCATGGAGGAAGAATGCCGAGTACGATCTCGTGCACTCTACAGCTGTAGTAATTTTCGGTCATTCAAGATTGCATTCTTCCAAGGAGGAGTGCCATGCGCGTAGGGTAGCGACTGATATCCTGTATGGCCGGACCAAAGGGGGAAGTGTAAGTTATAACATATAGCGTCCGTTACGGAGATGCATCGTCTTTCATGATCTCGTCGTCGGCCACTCGGGCTAATTCGCCGGCTCTCAGAAGGGCAGCAAGAGAAGAGCTTGCTCGATAGTCTGATTGCTGCTGTACGGATGAAATGGGAGGTAAAGAGCGGTCGAGAGGGGAAGGTGTCGCCCCCAGGGTTGGAACAGGCTGAGGAAGCATGCGAGATGATTTGGATACATCGACAGGTAGTGCTTTGGTGGAAGGATAGTTTGAGTTATTCGTATAGCTACCATCGGAAGATATGGTTGTGTCCTCATGGGTCAATGGCGGCAGACGTGTAGGTTCCCGAAAAGATCGTCTCGAAGGAAGGTCAATTGGAGCACTAGCATAATGGGTGCTGTAGGGTGCGCTAGGCGGTGTCGTTGAAGGCGGATTATGTAGCTGCCCATATGAGGACGAATAGGGCAAGTTCGAATCCGATTGTGCTCGTGGTTCACGCCCTAGCGCACTCGATTGATACTCATATGAACCCTCTTTATGCAGTGTAGCTGATCGTGGAGACACAGAGAGTGGGGAGTAATGCTCCGCCATCCTAGGCGAGTTTATCCTTGAAAGTGGACGGATCGCGGGAGAGGTCGATTCAGAGGGATACGAGGGGGCTGAGGGGAGCCGAGTAGGCCCGGACATGGGGCTAGATTCAACCAGTTGATGCCCAAGGCCATAGAGATCAGATTGGGATGAGCTGATTCTTCTGTTCGACGAGGATCGCTCGAGTTGATCATGGCTGCTGCTCCGAGTCGAAGTGCTCGTCTCCGTCTCTAATTTTGAACGCTTGCCTTCTGAGCCTGGTTCGCCAGTGTTATGCGATTTCCCTCGGTGGAAGCTAGACGACTTACTCTTCTGCGGAGCAGCATGCTTGGCCTTGAACTCTTCCAGATACTTCTGGTAGTTCTCGTACTCAGAAGTCTTCTTGTATTCGGCAAGTTCCGCATAGTACTTTTCTTTTGCAGTGTTGGCCTGGCGTTCGCACTCTTCGCGACGTTCAGCGGGGAGAACCTGCCACCGTTCGCCAACTACTTTTGCAATCTCTGTAAAGGACAGGTCCTGTCCTCTTAATGTTTCCCTTACTTCTATCGTAGGGTCAGTCGCGTGTAAATAGGTGGAGAGCTTGGGGAATCATACGGTTGGAAAATATCACATAGGCAGAGGGAGGCCGTTCAGGTGCATGCTCGTCTGGCTAGAATGGGTCAGCTTTCTGAGAAGCACAGTGTGATTCTACTGCAACTTATCTGCGTGAGACTCACCTTGGGATGCCGCCTATACTTGCGCTTCGTGCTAGCGCCGATAGGGGTCGAAGAAGATGGATCTGCTTGTTTGCTCTTGCCCTCGGTTGCAGAATCATCACTCCTGTACGACCCATCGATACTAGTGGACTTGTTGAGTGCAATCGGTAACGGTCGATCAGTGGATTGTCCTCGCGTTTCGGCGATTGCCCTTTGAAGTTTCTAAACAAATGAACGTTAGTCTAATGCTTGGTATCAAATGAAATACATTTGAATGCATCACAAGGAGCGAAACGAAAGGATCGGGATAAAGGATCGGTCAACCTACTCTTCGATGTCCTAGCTTGACGTTGAGGGCATTTCTACATCATAGCAAGATTAGTATGTTGTTTCTGTTAAGCAGAAAATAGTAGCTTACAGATCTGATTCAGTAATGTCGAGTACCGTTTCCCAAGTGTCGAAGCCTTCTGAGACGAAAACCTCAAGGTATTGGGACAGTCCCAATCGCTCTAGCCGCGTCCTGAGGTCGCTCATGTAGATTTAAGTTTAATATGGATAAGAGGCGATACTCGGGATGATGTTGTCTTCCACTCGGCAGTGGTGCCGGGGACGTGTCAGTGACGTTGATGTTAATGTTGATGTTGATGTTTATATTGTATGTAGTATGTTGCCAATAGGGATTGGTCCGGCCAGGGGAGTCTTTAAGGGTGGAAGGCGTAAGGACTTGTCGTTAGTGTTGCAGTGGCAGCGGTAGTTGGGTAAGTTAAGTGATATTAAATCGACCAGTGGCGACAGCAACGTTTACGGCTACCCGGACGTAGGATGGTGATTGATGGTAATGTATAGAAAGAAAAGACTGAGTAAGGAAATAAAAACCCAAGGCTGCTTGTGATTGGCGGGTGCGATTGTGTCGTGGCTGGGCCGGGATGGTACGCAAGACAGGGTAGCTGTTTAAGTGTTGCAGGGCGCAATGGATGCGCAAGAAGAGTAAGTTGATTTTTGGTGTTGAGATGGACGTCTAGTTCTCGTCCATAGGTGGATGGTTGGGCGGAGGCTCGACTGGAGCTGGGAGGTGGGTCCACGGACCGAATTGGCCAGAAGCTGGCTGGAAATTATGTTGTTGGTAGGGTATTGTCGACGGGATTCACAAAACCTTCATGGGAGAGTGGATTTCCTGGTGCAGGCACGACCGAAGCAGTGACCAGCTGGGAAGAAGCCGATGCTACGAAAAGCATTGGACACGTCCGGGAACGTCTACGCATGTGCAGGAGGAGCAGCGTGCGTCCTGTTGGCGGCACGAGGGCGTGAAGTTTTTTGGTGGTGGAGGTGAGAAGATCAAGGACCACCCAACGAGACGGCACAAGAGCGGACGCGAATGGTAGAGGGGCTTATGCTCGGATAGGAGTAGTCGTCATCTTGGTAGACGGGCAGGACAATTGCGGCAGTACGAGGTTTTACCAGTGTCGGCGGTGTGGTGAAGGAGAAGAAGAAGAAGAAGAAAATGGTGATGATGACGATGAATGAGGAGGCGGGGGAAGACCTCTTTAGGTGATGAGACGCGCACGAGAAGAGAAGAGAAGAGAATTTCCGGGATGAGAATAGGATTGGAGATTGGGGGAGGATGGGAGATTTGGAAGATTGGGAGATGGATGAGAGATGGGAAATGGGAATAATGGGCAGCCAGGCCCCAGGGCAGGCAGGTGATGAGTGATGAGCGAAACAATTGAGGCAGTAGTGAGGTCAGAGCCGAAGGCGGATCGGCAGACGACGACTCTACTACTAACTAATACTCGTAGGCTGTAGTCAGTGAGTGAGTGAGTGAGTGGGTGAGTGGGTGGAGTGGGCTGTTGCGACGCGGATGGAGGGGAGGGATGGGAAGAGGGACGAGGGGAGAGGGGGGGGTGTAGTGGTTGGTGATTGGTTGGTAGGTTGTGCGGTCGGAGCCTTGGATGGGGGTGGTAGTTGGTCGTGAGTCGTAGGTAGGTAGGTGGTTTAGTAGAGGGTATGTACTAATAGGTGAAGAGAGGAGAGTCGTTCGAAAAGCGACGTCGGATGGAAGGTCTCGAGATGATGATGGAAGAGAAGGAGAAAGAAAAGGACGGGAAAAGAGGAAAGGATGTCTTGTCTTGTTGTCTCTTTTGGATTTGGGTAGGCGTGGTAATAGGCAGGTAGGGTAGGGAAGGACACAGGCGACAGGCGAGGACCAAAGACCAGGGTCGTCAAGGAACTAGAAACTAGGGGGACTAACTAACTAGGGGACTAGGACTTGGACTTGAACTAGGGACCGGGACCAGGACCTGAACAGTTCAGGACATGCGCCAGGGAAAATGATCATTATGACAATAATAATAATAATAATTGATAACCAATCCTCCCGTAGAAACAATCAACTAAGTTAGGTACGGAGTAGTTGCCTTGAAGAGGCGAGAGACAAGAGTTGAGAGAGTGTTGGGGGAAGAGAGCGAGGAGAAAGTAACTACGTACCTCGTAAGTTAACGTACGAGTCCTCCGGAGGTACCTACAAGTACATGGTCTAAGGAGAGTCCGTTACGCAGTACAAAGTAGGGGAGTTGGTACTTGTAGTTACTCGTAAACTTGGTAATTACCTAGGTAATCAATTGAAGAGAAGATTAGGACGAGCAATGATGAGGAGCAGCAGTACTCCGTACTGGGGTGGAATTGGGCTGGGCGGGATGATGGCGGATGGCGGATGGCGGATGGCGGATGGCGAAGGTACTCGTAACAATAAGAGCCCGTAACCTCAGCCAGCATTGGACAAAACATGGCCAAGCCCAGGTTGCACTCCTGCCCTCCACTTCTAGCCTACTACTCGTACCATTTATTATTGTACGGATACTTGAATTAATTTTGAACTACGAGAGGATCTACGGCGCATTTCGGCGGTGAAATGCAAGTGAAAACGGCGAAGGAAAGGGTGGTTCCTTGAAAAAACAACAGGGTTGATTAAGGAAGTATTCAGTACGTACTTGACTAGGTACTCCTAGGGAATTATGGCGGAAGAAGCATTATCGTACGAGGTGGTCAAACAACAAACACAAACACGCAAGCATTATACCTGCACTCCGTAAATGATGATGCTGAATGATGATGGGGGGTGAATAAATACAAAGATTTCGTGGGTGTATTAATTGAATAAACATGTTCATACATACTCCATACTCCGTACATAATAACATTAACTGCTCCGTACCAAGGTATTACTTACGAGTACTATCAACCTCTGGGCTAAGTGGCACGAGTGGGTTGGGTGCAGAACTTTTCGAATCTACGGAGATACCTTACCCTAACTACCCTGCAGCAAATAGAGATGAAGATGACGATTTGTGTGCGTAGGGCAAATAGAAATCCCATATCTCTCGTGCATAGTACACGGTACTGTGCATTGCTCGTTTCAGGCAATACAGGAGGAGAAGCCAGGGAGAGGATTCGACAATCATTGGTCGAATATTGGCCGATGATCGATGATCCGACGGTGGATAATGGTCGATGAGGCGATGGAGCGTGGTGGATGCACTGGATGGCAGATGGTGGGGAGAGGCAGAAGGCAGAGGAAGAATTGTGAGAGGCTCGATTCCAAGGCATTCCGACCGCTTGCGGCTGGCCCGCCGTGGAGATCGTTTATACAGCGTGCAATCGGGGGCTTCACTCCGCCTAGCACGCGGTGAAATGCAGGGTCGAGTTGGGTGAGCGAGTAGCTTTGGAAGTGGCACATACAGAGTACCCAACTAACGATTAACGACTAAAGGCTAACCGGCGCTATTATTCTTCTATCGCCGCCCATCCACCCTAAAATCGCCCCCCCCTCGCTCCCTCTCTTCTCGAACCCATATGGGAGTACGAAACCACACCACACCTCGGACACAGGACACAGTACAATCAGATACATACTCCGTACATGATCAATATTAATAGGACACCGTACGGAGTACACAAGAGACAGAGCAAGGCCATGGCATACCACCACCGTCACTCACCATTATTGCTAAGAGAAGCCAACAACATTCCTGAGAACCACTTCACCCCAACCCCCCAATAAATCATACATAACTCAGCCTGTCCGAAAACAAGTTTATCTAACCCATCTGTGCACCTGTGCAGTATCATGGCTTTGATTCGGACCGAGATCTTGCGGAGTGTCATGCCCCATTCATCGCAGGGTTAATTATCCCTCAAATGGGTGTAGTTGGACCGAGTATACCTACAGCCTCCGGAGCACGCTGGTACTGTAACTAGGTACCTAGGTAGGTACTTATGTGCAACGACTATGAGAAAGGGAGGGAGATAGAGAGAGAAAGAGAGAGAAAGGAGAAAACTCTCACAAATCACCAGTTGCCTATTGTTCGATAATCATACGTGCAAGGTGCACGCTAACAGGCGCAGATGCGAAGAAATCCATTTCCTACTCGTACCTCATAACTAGTCCCATGAGGTCCCCTACGGAGCACGGAGTACCCAGTCAGCGGTTGAAGTGTAGGTATGCCACTACTGCCAACTGTGAATAATTACGAACCCCACCCCACCAACAGCCGGACTGTGGGCACTCGACAAATAAGCGACGCGGTAGAATGATAGATCTTCGATGAAGAAACGCCTGCCTGGTTCGGCACATTGCGGGCGTCATCAGAATCTTGACACTCTCGGCGCCGTTGGCTGACTACCTTTCCATTAACCTCCTTGAACTTATCTTTCAATACATCTCGACCCTTGGAAGCCTACCCATGTACTACTTACGACTCACGAGGTACATGTACCTATGAGATACGAGTAGGCATCAGGTACACGTAAAGGCGTTCCCCCGCCTCTTGCTCGCCTGCTAAACATACGCGAGCCCAATGACGCGTGCGCTCAAGGGGCGGAGCGGAGGTCTAGGCGTTGCTCCGCTGCAGAACTGGTCAAGCCTTCGGCAGTCTCATCCGTAGCCAATGAGGGCCTCGTGGTGACGGAACTTTGTACGGAGTACTTGCGCACATTGTATATAACTATGTACCTAGGTACATATAGGCACTACCCTTTTGTATCCACAGTACTACTTCCACCACCTGAGGAGATATATCCACGGCGTAACCCACTCAATGTGAGGGATCGAACTCTGACTGTTTCGTCACTGTCAAAGCACAAAGGCCCCAGTCCAATGTCGAGAGCCACTAAAGCTTCATCAAGTCGTCATTGCAATTCGCCTCCAACGATGCCCAGAGCAAAAGTTCGATCTCCGTTCCCCCTCAGTCGCAAAATGCGTGAGATGCATAACAGAGAACGATGACGATTGTCTTCAGTTCTCCTTACTCGTACCAATTATTGACATCAATTGCATGCACTTGCCGAAGATTTTGACTAGTCACGTGTGCTGTGCGATGATGGCTCATAAACGCATCTCGATCTCGCCCCACGTGACTCAATGATATTCGTCACTAAGATGTCATGTCGATATTCTATCTCCTGCAAAAAGACTTGTCGAAACAATCGATTTCGCCAGATACCGATTTGCTAGCAACATCCAGATCAGTGCGTGACCGTTCAAAGTCCGGTAAAGCATGCAACGGCCTCCCTTGTCCGCGTTGATATCATCGCCCTGGTTCACTCGTCTTCCACTTGATATTGGCCGTCACCCCCAGGAACCATCTAGGACGTGGTCAATATAGGTCCAAGACATTGGTCAAGAATTTGGATACATACCATGCAGATGTTGTTGCCATTGAGTAGGATCTTAGGTAGCGTTGTGTTTCCCTCAACCGGGTCACTTGAAACAGTTAGATACACCCTTGGCTGGTTCTGTGAGAGGAATAGCAAATATACGAACATTTCCGTGGCGTCTACGAGCACCATGTCTGCGGAGGTCAGCACAGGTATATGCCTACGTGTTCGTTGGTTCGCACTCACTGACATAATCGTCAAACCCAAGAAGTTTACCAGTGAACTCTAATCATTCGTTAATTCTCTTTCTCTCTTAGAAGGTAGAAGGTAGCATTGATAATGCCCATACCTTTTCCTCCGTTCATGATCACCCAGATCTGTGACCCCACACACTTGTCAATGAGCTCTGAGATCTGGTCAATGAGGCGTTCTTAGTCTGCTTCTTTGTTATGGTCACTGACCTAGTGGGAGGAGATTTTCAAGAGCCATTGTGCTGTCCAGGGGGTTATTTGTGTGGTGATACTGATTGAGGTATTGCTGAAGGAAGTACGAGTCGATCAGGCTTGGCGCATCGGCCCGCTAGCGTGCGCCAAGAATCCTTGTACTCCAGTTCACTATGAAGCCTTAAGGCAGGTGTATCTACTCGCAACAATCATTGTTCAATCCTAGAATGCCTGGTGCCTGACCGGAGCATGACAATGGATACTAATGCCCCTCCGATTGCGCGGTACCTCTGCTTGCGCATCGAGCGCAAGTCTTCGGCCTCTCTCCTCGCGAGCAATGGCAGCGGCAGAAGCTCGATGCACAGGTGTAGGCGTTGATGAAAGGTCAGCACTTGTTCCAGAGCCGTTTGGATATTATGTATGTACTGACACCGATGTGAACAGTCAGACCTCCTCCGCAAGCATACATACGCCACCGTTTCCGAATTCCTCCACCGCTACTCCATCCTACTCATGCTTTCAAGGCAATCGGATCTGGACGCCGGCAGATGGTATACTCTTTGCAACAAAACCGCAGATATCAAACACCAGTATTACGAATGTGAATACGCAGGGAAGAGCCATGTTTATGGTGGGACCATATGCACGTCATGATCCAACTCATTCACAGGCATTCGTCCACTCCATTGAAAGCAAACGGACAAATGCAATCACAATAAATAGCAAGAAGTGTCGCATGGAAAGGCCTAGATTTGCATTGCCATCTCCGCAGCCCACCCATTGTGGATCTGTACATTCTATCCATACCTCAAGCCTGAAGGCACAACACCCAGCTAGATTTCCCATTGGCTCAGGGAGACCACGGAACTTGTCCACTGAATCCAGCAGCTGTCGTTCACCAATTTCCGACGTTGACGATCCTGGTGAAGCTCGAGTCAGTGTCTTCACCGGGAGTGAGTCGGCGACAACTACAACAGGACCTTGTCGTGGAACTTTGGATACGGGAGTTTCCCGCCCTCAAACCGATGATTCTGAAATTACCCATACCTCGGTCAATCCAGACAGTTCAGTCATGCCTGATCCAAATATATTAGAATCGAAAGAATCAAGCTTCGTCATTAGCGAGGGAGCGGACCTGCTAGATGATGCTGAAAATATGGAAGAGCACGCTCCTCTGTCTTTCCAGATTCCCGCCGATACTCTGCGCGAGAAGATGCAGGTATCTCCGCGTGTAGGAGATCGATACTGGTCCCACAAACTTTATCGTGGTCTTAATGATGAGTCATTACTCATCCACTATTGCAAAACGTTTGAGATCGCGGAGCATGTAGCGAAGTATTTCCTTCAAGAGAAGGTGATCGGTTTTGACATCGAGTGGAAGCCTTTCGGACGTGCCGACTCAATAAAAGAAAATGCTTCTCTCATTCAACTTGCTTGCGAGGGTCGAATTGCACTCTTCCACCTTGCTCTGTTTGACGGTACGGCGGCTGAGCAGCTTCTTCCCCCTTCACTGAAGGCTGTCATCGAGTCACCGAACGTTTTGAAAGTTGGCGTGGCAATTAAAGCCGATTTTACAAGGCTGCAGAAATACCTCAATGTTGAGCCGCTCGGTGTCTTTGAACTCAGCCGGCTTCATAACCTGGTAGAAAACTTCACCATCAATCATGAGAAGGCTGGTTCCAAAAAGCATGTGGGACTTGCCGCTCAAGTACAACAGCATTTGCAGTTACCCCTTGAGAAAGGTGATGTCAGGCACAGTGACTGGAGCAAACTTCTCACTCCTTCCCAGATTGAATACGCCGCTGCAGATGCTTATGCTGGGTTTCGGTTATTCGATGCACTAGATAGGAAGAGAAAATTACTTAAGCCAATACCTCCTCGGCCACTGCTTTGCGACTTTGACCCCAAAGCTACCCCGAGCCGGCGAAGAGCACGTAGAAAGCGCTCGACAAAGGTTGCCTCCGACGACAGGCAGGATGAATCTGAAGGCTTGGTGGCCGAAGAAGGCGAGGATGCTGAAGAGTATGCGGCAGTGGCGGAGGATTTCCAAGGCTGCGAAGACTCAACATCTGCTCCGCAAACTACGCCATCTACAATGTCTCCAAGTGTTTCTCTAGTCCAAAAGGATAGCCACCCACCTGAGAAAAACTACAACGCATCGATAGATCAGCAACAAACTCGGCATATCGGGCGTATCAAGATGACAGCATACACGGATGGCGAAGTTGTTTATCCGTCTTTGCCAATGGTAGGTTCTGATGTTACAAACATGTTGGATTTCCCAGCCACATTGGATCCTTCCACGCCATCGCAAGTCCATGACAGAGCGCATGAGGCCATTGGCATACAAAGCCCGCATGATGGCCTTAGTTGGGGTAAAGGAGCCCATCAATCAAGCAATGGGACACTGGAAAATGGAAATCCGGCAACAGCTAATCCTGTCGAAGAGTTGAAACACTCCGAGATTCAATCACCCCGCTCAGCTTCAGGCCTGGCATTTAAGCCACTTATGCCGAGCGCAAAGAATGACCGATCCTCTGAATACAATCTTGCAGAAGATTGGGCGCAGTCGTACCTCTACCGAACGATCCCCTTACCCACTTCGACTACGACAGCCCGGATACGCGCAACTGTCCCACTTCTACGTGCCTATCATCTATGGTATCACCAGAGCATGACTCCAGACGCTATTTCGCGTCAACTCAGAGATCCGCCACTGGCGATCAGCACCGTTTCGAGCTATATACTACAGGCCGTGACAATAGAAAAACTAGCTTATAGAAATCAGGACATGAGAGATGTCTTAAATGGGATACCTGTCGGATTGAGAATGACAAGATGGAAATGGCTGGTCGATAAATTAGGAGGCGTTTAGTTATCTCAATGTACTTTGTCACTAGTGAGAATTCTTCCGGTCCGAGAAGAATTCGCGTGCATTTGGGGCATTTTAGGCGTATTATAATGTTCTCCAGCTAAGGCGTCACTTTGGATCAGCGTTACATTTTCACTGCGGTTCCGGGAAACTTATCCTCTCCACTAACACAAACTTCTAGATTCGTTGATTTAGTAACGATGACAGCTCATGTAACGTTGCCTCGGTGGAGCAGAAGGCAAGACAGCATTAATTGGTCCAACGGGGAATTCGTAACACTGAACTCAAATGAACGCACTAGCTTCGCCTTGTTACCAACATTGCTGGGGGGCGGTATTACAATTCCTGAATTGTTGCGAAGGGGCTAAAGCAATTCGATCATAGCATCAATGTTAAGCTGGCGATTTGTGTCGCCTTCCGAGAGGTTTTCTCGGCGTGACAACACCATAGCACGAATTGCACAATAACGTAGTCATGTCTCTCTATGTTCTATCTCAAGTCAATCACTAGTAAGACATAGGTCACAGGGCTATAGGACGTTGGTAAGTTGTCGAGTCGCTTTTTCCTACTTAAAGCCGGTTGAATGTGATCAAAATCTCAACCTGTCTTCTCCACAAGCACAAGTATCAAGTTCGCCAATATTGCCACCATCATGCTCTACTCTATGGTTGTTGCTCTCCTCACCACTCTACCATTAGCCAACTCTGCCTCGGTCCGATCGCTCTCTTCCTGCTTGGATAATCTCCATTTTGCTGTCCAGAACTTAACCTACAGTTCCAGCATTATATGTACTTTACCCATTCATACCTGGCCTTTCCATTTATCACTAAGCTTACAGCAACTAGATACTACTCCGGCACATTCAAATGCCCATGCTCGCGTGTCGTTTACTCTTGTCAATACCCAAGTTGGCCTGTCCTTTTGCGAAGCATCGAGTCCAGGCTGGAGTGACGCAGACTTCTTCAGCGGAGACATACCACGTTCCTGTGGGGTACCTGCCCCAAATCCGCAAGATATAGCAACAACGTTCACCTACCTTCGACCTAAGCGGAGCATGCAAGTCAAACAAAGTTGGACCTGCGGAGGGTAAGTCATCCCCATACACTCTTTTCACTTAAGAACAGCTGGCTGGAATCGGCCTTGTGGAGGAGTGAGGCTACTTGTATTAGGAATAACATAAAACGCAGGAACAAATTTATTTCCGACCTTACCGTGGCCGTGAATATTGACTGTTCATCGGTCGAGTGGCAGAATCCTGATTGGAGATGGCCAAATGCAGGAGGTGCTCCGTACAAGACTATCATGGTGACTTGCAAGCCTATTAACGTCGAGTCAACACAAGCGAGCACTGTTGAAGGGTGATAGTTGCAATGAAAGGCGAATAATAAAGACCGAAACTTTGTACGTTTACCGATGAAGGAATGGAAATATACAAGATCGTGTCTATGTTCTACGCAACGTTTACAATTGTTTTAGTAATTATGCTAGTGTCAAAGGATTTTTTTTATATTCTCCTTCCCTGATCTTCTGAGGTCCGAACGGATCTGGAGCAAGCTGGTATGAATAAATCTTTGGGGGGTTCTCGCGAAATGTTGCTGCAGAAGTATGCTCACCGAAGCCTCTGCTACCTTTGTTAGGCTAGATCTGCCAACGCTTACGCATACTAAAACGTAGAATTTCTCATCACAGAGAAAATGTGTCATATCTGACCAGACATGAAATCAAAAACAATTTTTGGCAGAGTTATATTTAACATAATTTGAAAATTTGTCAAAACAAGCGGCGCTGAACAGCGCCATCACTCCGCTTGGTGTAGTTGGTTTATCACGTTCGACTGTAAATAGCTTTGTTATCGAAAGGTCCCTAGTTCGATTCTGGGAGCGGAGAGATCAAACCATCTTTTTTGCCATTTTTGCCACATCTTCTCGCCTATCTTTCTGCCCTTTTTTTGCCAGTATATGTATAGTGCAGGAACACACTATTGCGATTTATGAATAGTCCAGAATTCGCGAACGTATATGCAGTGAGGTTGCTCTGTCCTTTGGTTTTATGGACATGAAGAACATAAGAATTAGGTTGTTGGTAATATAAATGCAGTGGCAAGGATAATGCTCTCTACTCTGTATTACATCAGGTATAAGATTGTGCGAAGCGTCTAAAGTTACAATGTTTTGTGTAGCATAGATTACTTTGTAGCAGAAATTGTTCACTTGATCAAGTAAGTGTTCCTTGATGTTGCAGCTGCTTCGTTTTTCATGGTGCAATCAATAATGAAAATCCCAACAGGATGCAGCAGCCTTTATCCGTAGAGGAACTGTGCCAAACACATCTGAATGGCAAAATGCAAACGTACCTCATAAACTTAGGTTATTACTTAGGTATACTGTACCTATTTGCCTACCTTATAGGATTGCAGTAGGTACAGAGGACTGGTCAAAGGAGAGCCTGCTGCAGGGATCAGTTCTCCATAGTAACTAGACCCTCCCCCAGCCCGGCTGCCCGGGTAGCTTTGATGAACTAACAGCGATTTAGTGCTAGGTGCACAATTTCACATTGCTACTTGGGATTTATGCTGTTAATCCGTGCGTCATATACTCATCAAGGCAAAAATTTTACATCAATTCCAATTGAACAAGCGACATTATTTAATGTCATTACTCCGCTTGGTGTAGTTGGTTTATCACGTTCGACTGTAAAATAACTTTGTTATCGAAAGGTCCCTAGTTCGATTCTGGGAGCGGAGATTTTTTTGCCGGTTTCTTGGCCTCTTCATTTATTTATTATCTTCATGATCCATCCCCTCGCTTCTCTCTCATTCATTCATGTAGGGTGCGAAGGATTTTTTTAATCCTATTATTTTTTCATGCCTAATACCTTGTATCTCTTACTGAACTTGAGCATGCGCAAATTTACTCTAACAGAACTATTCAATAATGTGTGCAAGACAGGTAGGCACGCACTGTAACATTTCAGACAGTCAGGCAAAAATCTAAATTAGCATGATATTGATGTATGTGTGTATATATAACAAAATCTATCAGTAACACCCAAGCTTGACTTTATAATTAGAGCCAAACCCGTATAATACAGAAGAAGCCTTGATGATTGTTGTAATGCTCTAAATCCACCCTCTGATAACTCAGTCACTGTTCATTGTTGCAAGACTAAGTGACTGGCTTGACCTTGCGCAGTCTTGCCATTCACTCCTAGGCCCGGAAAGTTTGATATTCCATCATTTCTCTATAAGGCTGCTTTGATGAATTACCAGACCCGAGGAAAGTTTGGTGGATTGATGAATGGTGGGGTTTCGGGCACTGCCCTCTTGACTCTTGGGAGATTCGGTGGGTTGATCTTGGGTGGTGTGGGAGGATTGATCGAAGGTGGATTTGGTAGGTTGATTTCGCCCGGTGGTGCTGGCAATGGATTGGCCACAGCAGAGTTGAGGGCGAAAAGGAGAAAGGACGCAGTGTAGAGAAGTTTCATGATCTTGTTTGTGATGCTTTGAGGATATCGAATAGGAAGGCTCGAGTTTTGCTTGTCGAATCTGAAAAGAATATGCTATGCAATGGGTAAAATAGAAAGAAGAGCGAGTGTTGACTGTATTTATAGGTAGATCGATAAGGAAACTCGATCAAAATCCCACTCTCATGCGGCTTCTAGAATATGACCGATCCGTTTCGCGATCATTGTCTTAGTCCGGGTTTCGGATTGATATTGCTATTTCTCAGAGGAAGATGTTTGTCAAGTAAGGTATTGGGACAATCGGACGGAAGAAAGCAAATCACGACAGAAGTAGCCATTGGCAAAGTGGTGCTCATGCTGACAGGTGTGACTGCTTTCGGACATCCGTACAGCCCCCAAGGAAATATCCGATGCAGGCAACCAGAGCTACGGATGTCAGGTCGGAGTACCCAATAGGTTATGCACATACTGGATTCTGAAATTTTGTACCTTGAAACCATAAACGTACGGAAACATTGAACAATTACGGGTTTCCCACGGTGTAGGTATGTGTGATGAAAGCTCAATTTAATATCGTCTTCATGGCCCGCATATCAAAAAAAGCCCTACAGAGTATTGGTAGCTATAGAATTAGCTGAACTGAATATGCTACGAGCACTTGCTTTAAACATATTTCGGTCAAGTATATCCCAGACAATCGCAACATAATCCCAGCTTACATTCTATTATCTATTTGACATGTTCTGTAGACGTTCCTGGCTGACATCTCCATAGAGATTGCTTACTAGTCAGGCATTAAATATCGGGTATCTCATGTACTGAGTATATAGAATAGCTGTCCCAGAACTCTCTCTTACTCTGTAATTATGTACAACAGGCCTGCCACCTCATGTATGGAAGAGAATGGTGTGCTGTCCAGAAAGTACCGTCTTGAGAGATTGAATCTATTGCGTATGCTACTCAATTGAAGAAGCTCGTGATAGAAGCTCTTCCGGGCCACCCCCGCAAAGTACAAGCATTATAAATGTCTGCCTGCTCCTGTAAGAATGCAATGAAGGGAGAACTATATCTGTGTCGGAGGCCGGTGGCAGCTTACCTACATTGTTGCCGCGTTGGTGTTGGTCTGCCAGGGAAAACACGATGACAGCCTGCGTGCAGCATACTTTTGCTTTGGGAGGTTGGTAGGTAAACCTCGAGCAAATGTCAATATTCACGAGACACGCAATCTGGAAGGTCGGAAGCATGACTATTACTGGACCAGAAGTTCATAAAGGAGCTTACATACAATGTTGCTGAGTATGCAATAATCTTGTCATGCATTAGCTTTACCAACATGATAACATGAGTGGAACTTATAACATAAGCTTTAAGATACAGTACTGTAAAGCCAAATCATTCTTCGTTTTCTAAGAGTACGGTCACGTAGTGAAGATTCTTTCAATATCTCTTTGCGCCAACCGTGTGCAATAGAAGCAAGGCTTGGAACCTTGCCTGCGTGCAAGTGAATTCGCATTCAGAAAAGCCTCCGTAACTAACATAAACTAGCTTTTTATCAGACTCGCGTTAGACATGATTTGTTGTAGTTAGAAGAGCTGTGCAGTGTCACTACCCGTGCTTTAAATTCCATGGTGCACTTCACCCTCAACAGCTCAGATCCAAAAACTGTCAGTGTTCCAAAATAAAAGGTTTAAATATTTATCTCTCTCTTAGGGCAATATATGGATCTCCTTAATGTCAATGACACGTTATTAGGGTTCACGCCAAGTAGCCGCTGCCAGGTGTGGTTTGAGCACACCTTGTGCGCCTTCGGCCCACGATGGCCCAGCCAGTTCAACATCGACATTGCGAATGAATTGTGAGGTAGAAAGCAATTGGAGAGGGTCGTAGTATCCAGTTAAATATCACACTATAGGAGGATGGCCGTTCCAAAATAGCATGAACCCTCTGGGGGCACAAAAAGACCTTGGATCAGTCACTGACCGGTCTTTGCTGAGACAGGTGAGTGTACACGCAATGTGCAAAAAATAAGTGCAAAAAAAAGAGTGAATAGAAAAGAGGGCAGTGGGAGTCGAACAAGGGGATGATACCTACTCTTGGTGTTGCCCGGCTTCTGTCGCCTTCATATCCCGGAATCGATGGTTTGTGACCACTGCACTATGCAGGTGATATTCATTAATGAAAGAGTGTACTGATTTAGGAGTTTGTATACGTTGAATTTGGTGTTGTAGTATAAGTGATTGGGTGTACAGTGAAGTCGGTATAGCTGGGGTCACAAGTTGCACGTGAGTGGGCGGTCATTCACTCCACGCGTAAACACAAGCGCAGTGACAAACGGTACGCATTTACTGAACCCGATACTAACTACAGACAATCTCTATGGGATCTTGGAGGCCCACACTACAACTGTGGTACCATGAACCGCAACCTGACCCTGCTGGTTGCGCTCAACGTCGATGCCTGCGAGCGCTTCGTCGAAAATCCGGCGGGTCTCCTGCGCACTGAGTTAGCGACCACGCATCTACACGAACGGGAAAAGTAGCAAGGCATAGGCTGCGCAAGCTTGAGAGAGTTAATGTTAACGAGAGGACATTGTAACAGATGAGTCTTTGAACACGCAAAGCTGTTACTGACAACAGGGCCACTCAAAACCCCGGGCTACATATAGACGCGCCCGCCTGCTACTGGATCTCGACTCCAATCACTGGAGTACCGCTAGGAGATCTTCAAGTCAACTACCGTCCGCCCCCAGCGATTACCCCAAGCGGTCACCCTATGCCTTGATGGACAATACACACATGTTCAGGTTGAGGAGAGAACGCGAGGAGTGCCCAACAAATTTTGCCCGCATGTAAGCAAAGCCATGACATGTCACCAAACTCGATCAATGAGTCCGAGCCGACCATCTAGGAGACGGACGAGTCATATCTTTCTGTGGCAAACAGTACATTGTCCCAAGCTCATGGACACTGCCGCCCTCAGCCAAGCTGATGAAAAGCATGTATCTACTGCCATCCCTCCTCGCCTAACGCACCAAGCATCTTGCGGGAGATTCTGATCTGATAGATATCTCCACCTTTCCGAGTACGACCCAAGGACCCGTCCCATAAAATCGCCGGAGGAAGTACACCACGCTGCGGATAACACTCGGAGATCGTCGAATGGCAGAATCACTGGACTCGAGGGATCGAGTCGAAGTCCTTGTACGGCGTTCTGCGCGACGGAAAACGCCCATGCGAGGATTGCTCGGCGACTCAGTATTGCACCAAACGAACATGGATTATACAGAGGAGGCGCACATATTCGGCATATAGCTCGTCACGTCCGCTCCAGTAAAGCTGTACTTGGTATGTTGGACGGTGGACAACGGGATAACAGGTGGATACAATGAGGCGTAAAGATACGGCACAATTATCATCTTCTCGAAAAGCATTTTGCTGACTGGTGGATACGCTTCAAGAGGCGTGACAGTGAACCTCATTGCTCGGGTTCGCTTGATTGCAGACGTGCAAATGAAGAACAAAGTCGGGTCCAATCGAGAACATCTCCGCTCGTTGGCCTCGGATTTAGACACCAGAAAGGAGTGCCCAAGAGCGAGAACAGTAATTGAATAGACTGGACTATAATAGATGATGCTCCATATTCAGTACATCCATAAATTCGAGCGACCCGAAAGCCCATCTAGGCACGAATAGAGATTTGTGCATGCGATTGGACGGCCTACAACGGAGGGATAGTTTGCTCATAGAAGGCTCGGTCAAGTCGAAGGTACCGGTCTCGAAAGAGTGCAACTGTCCATATCGAGAAGACTGAGAGAAAGAACGTTGTTGGGTTTGGGTTTGCACCTCTAAACCTAGGATGGCAGTTTCGAAAGGTAATTGTCCGGAGTAAACAACGTGGTCGTTGACAATTAGTCGTGGCCATCTGATTCCAGACATGTCTTGTCCCAAATGCAGGCCATTTGAACTGATATTATAGGGTACGTTTGTTGCCTACGTCCTGGGCTTGGGAGGCGGGATAATTTCAATTCGTGTCACCCAGATGTTGACAGATGACATAAAACGACCAGTAGAATTCACATGATGAAAAGTGGTTCACTTACCTCCAATTTCTCACCCACGAGGTTAGCAACATGACTAAGAGTGCTGAGCCGCTTCCACAAGCCTTCTTTGTCAAGCCATACGGTCCACTCCACCTTCTGTTCACCCAAGGGAAGTGAGAAGAGTGAACTGGTTTTCCCTACCAAGGCTGCCGTTATGGGAGTGGAAGACACCTGGTCCTCGAAAGCTTTGCGCCATCTATCATGCCGGAATCGTGGTTCTCGGTCGCCAGTCACATCGTCCAAAGCGAATAGATGTCTGCGCAATGTGGTTGCCCATTCAGTCTTGATGGGATATGTCGACGGTGTATTATCTGTAAAGTTGTGAGCCTCCGACGGATTATCACTGTTTACGGCGAAGCTAAACTGAGAAACGACAAAGGAAGAGAAGGTGTTTGCCTCGGTGCTATCAATCAATGAATCATCTAAACATTGAACGACCCGAGTGTAGCAACTCTGACAAGAAGCCGTCGGCATAAGAGGTACTTATGTAGTATTGAGGAGAAAGTCTGGGACACTGAACATACGTTCCGGATGGTTCAAACTGCATACTTACAGTCTTCGGCGTTCCATATCAAGCCTAAACCACCCCCAGGCTTCAAGACACGGTGGATTTCCAGCAGAGATTCTTCATTGGCAAACCAATGGAATGCCTATTAGCAATTGTTAGGACCTGGCTACCTAGATTGAACGTTGGGCAAGTGATCGAAGGGATCTAAGGAATGTTGTTGTCGAGTTTCGACAGTGCTAGCGTGAATTAGAGAATGTGGAATTTCCCCACGGTGGTTCGAGCTACAGGACCACGGGTGACGGTCTCGTGACAGAAATACTTGTCTGAGATGTACGGAGCACACCCATGAAGCGCATCTCAAGGGAAGAGGACGGTTGGTTGTGCTGAGCGCCATGAATCGATTGCGCGATCAAGGATATTGCTGGGTTTGTCCGATGGGCATAGCGAGGGAACTGGGAGATGAAGGAATAATGGAGGGGGCGGGAGACCTAACACCGACGGCGTCATCTGTCCTACGATGCGATCGATAACTGTGGGACAGACGAAAAGATGCAATCGATAGAGGGGTCCGGGGAGCAAAGCCGGAGAGGAGGCTGGGGAGCCAGCGTCATCTGAACTTTACCTTCGCACTCGGAAGGCTTGAACGACGCCGAAATCGCAGGAGGTTGCTGATAATTGGAAACGCACTGCTCTGACTGGATACAATAGAAATCAAGAACCAAGCCATCAACATACCTGAGCAACAAAGACGGCATCTATTGTGTTGTTACCTGCTGGGATGGAGGTCGATAGGCCATCATTGACGATGACGTTTTTTAGGTCCTTCCGCACAAGCTCTTCACGCATGCCACTGTGCGGTTCGACGGCCACGATATTGAACTGCTCCTGTCTTGCTGCCAGCAATTCAGTGAACTTACCAGTCCCGGCAGCAAGGTCAATAAGACGGGCACCTCGCAAGTTGCTCACGCCAGCGGCATCCAGGAGTGTGGCAACGGCATGGGGTGGGTAGGACGGCCTGTGCTCGTCGTACAGAACTGCGTTCGAAAAGCCGCTGAGAGCGTTGTCACTGAGACGGCCGGAATCGTGTGAGCTCATGATATGAGGAAGGAGATTTTTGTGAAAGGTTCGATCGGAAAGAGCAGGATCAAGGTGTACTCCGTATGTTATGAATGGGAAGGTGGTCGACCAGTAATGCGATAACTATACAGACCGGACTGGTTATTACCTGCTACATACTTGCTTTGCACTCTCTGTGATGTCTTGCGGCTTCGTAGCATACGTAATTGCTGGGGGCAATGATGCTATGTTTACAGAGTACGGAGTATACCGATTACTTACTAACTAGAATTAACACAGTCTACGTTACCAATGCAGATCTACGGAGTACTGCACAATGGCGAAGATCAACGGAGAAAAGACGTGACGTGATGTTCGTCATTCATTATGATCTACGAAGTACTCAGTATATACATATTGTACAACTACCAATTATCAACAATACACGACACACCGTGCGAAAGTACATTACTCGCTGACCATGCTTTTAGTTTCTGTGTTCGGGGTACTCTGTACGGTGGATATACTTGTATTCCGTATCATGCAGACAGACACTACAGAATGATAATAATTGAAAAGGGGGAACACAGATTTGGCGGCTCTGACGCATCATCGGATCGGTTGGCTGGTATCGTTGAACTAACTGAAATCGAAAAGACCGGAAGAGAGAGCCACAGAGCTTGCAACGACAATTCAATGAGCAGGCATCATTCCCTGCTGGCCAGGGCAAAAGTGACTGACCTGACTCCTAACTACAAGTAGAACGGCATGTATCTATTTTCTCTCGGACGGTCCCCACGAGGTAATTTTGTAAAGACTTTGGCGCAAACAGCCATGCCACCCTACTAGTTATCTACGAGTTAATACACGTACCTAGGGCGCTAGGCTAAAATATGACGGATAGCTTTCGCTTCCGTTCTGTAATCAACCCCTGAAAATCAATGTATCTACACAGTAACTACAACAGTAATAACAAACTGTATGAACTTGTAAGTATTTAGTGGGCTAGCGCTTGCCATCAAATTCCTACGTAGGCTATTGGACTTTGGTCAACCGGCAAAGGAAGGCCAGATGCCAACTACCTCCTAATAAATGTCTGACTACTCCGTACTTGTAGTTACGAGGTAATACTGAGTCCTGCCTGCGGGCGTTGTCCAGTTGCAACTTGCTAGCCATTCAACTGGCCACGCCGCCGCCCCTAAGAGGCGCCAGCCACTGGAGGACACAGAAACAGAAGCCTGGGGGCCGCTGTCAATAATGAACGCTCTTCGGACGTGGCTCCAGGCCTCCCTAGAGGGCTCCATGGAGACACTACACCGAACACTACATAGGTAATCACTTACAATATCGTATTGTTTTCACGAACTTGTTAGAAGTAACTGGGTCGGATGACTCGACTCCAAGGGGGATGAATGCTGGGTTGGGTTTGTTGGATTCGTTTTGGGTTTGTTCGTTGCTCGAGGGAGCAACAGTACCGTTCATTGGCTCCCCCTGAAACACTTGCGTCCGAAAGCAATTGCGATGGGAACGGCCCAGCTTACAAGGCATGCATGGAATGATCGCCACAGCAGATGGCGCAGCCTTCAACCTTGATGTACTCCGTACAGCATACAATGTTGATGCATGCGTGCAGTGCTTACTCTACACGGAAATCTAGTTGAGAGGATAGATACCTCGTAGTCACTTGTGTTGCGCGCGGAGGAGAGCTGTTCTTTGTGGAGGAGGTATCTAGATGTAAGGCAGTTGTATCAGATCTCGATGCTTGCACTATGTCTACCTGTGCTGGGTAATCAGTACTCGTAGTGGCAAGACTTAAAAAAAGTCAAGAGATGTTTGCTCACCTCGGTACCAGGGAGGTTGCAAATCCACACAAAGTCTGGATCAGTAAGCCCTGTTACTAGTTACTCGGTAGTAGTTTACAGGCGGCGTGCCTGAACTGATCTGATGAGCCTAACGGGCTATCCTGTTTCTATTCTTATTGTTAGGATGACTTCACTCAGTTCGGTATGGCGGCAGGGGTAACGCTAATTGCTTGAATGCCCCATTCTATTCACTGTATTGTAATGTACTGTACAGAGTACCTTGTAGTGTTCACTGTAATGTAATTATCTTTGCCTCGCAACGTTCCATCCCTATTGTTTACTACTTGTACCTCGTACACACATACATTTACTCCTCATTTCATACAAACTCATACTATACTCCGTACTATATGACGACTTAGCCCTATCCCTACACAGTACACCAGGGACCTTCTACCTCTGACTCGAGTAATTACTGGACAGACCTGTTCGGACAATCCCGACTTAGGAAACATTCAAAGGGCTCCCCAAGTCAGCGGCCAAGGCATGCAGCTTGCGGGCGCCAGCTGGTGCTTCGACCCGCGCGCACTGCCGGAAGCGAAAAAAAGGAGCTGTTGCATGATGGCAAAACAACGCCATCAAAGATTGGCCTCCCACATCCAAGTGTTGGTCAGTCTGCGCGATCATACTATGTATGTGAATTTCGATTCAAACTGCGCACTCTGAGGCAGGCCCAACGTAAGGCATGTTGAAACAGAAGAAGGCGGCCAGCATAGCGCCTCAAAGCGCAGCACAGCACAGCTCAGCACAGCACAGCACAGTATGTGATACTTTATTCCGTACAACATATTTATATGCATAATCCAGCTACGGCATTGGCAACATCAGCTTCGCCATCAGCGCTGCCCCGTGAGGCAGTACGCAACCTCGCAACTAGTGTGCTCCGGCATAGTAGGTGCACATTGTAAAGTTAAGGAGACACCTTTGCGCTGTTGGCCTGAGTACTGAGTGATGTGTACGGAGTACTGTGTAGGTATGTCTATTCTTCACATGGGCGAGCATCATCCTGCTTTGCTTACATGGATGTTGGGGTAGTTAGGAGTAGCCCTAGGTAAATTGTAATAATGGATAGCGGTCTCTTTCTCCTATTACCCCCTATCTACTCCCTAGCTACCTAGGGTATACGGTGTACGGTGTACCTAAGTGGACATACCTACGAGTACGGAGGACTTCCCTACTTCTCAACCACCCGCTTCTTTTCTTCCTCTCTCTTGCTACTGTATGCTATCCGTGTCTGACTGTGTGTATATGTGTATATGTGTGTGTGTGTGTGTTCGCCGTAGATCCTTCACATGTTAATCTACACAGTATCTACAGTAGTTGACAGAGTACCCAGTCCATCCCATACAAGACATGTTTCCTTACCGAAACATCCTTCTTCCGCCATACGCCAACCGTCAACGGACAGGGGGCGGGTTCGGGCGTGGCTTAATGCATCGCAATAATAATGCCATACCGACAGTAATTATTGCCATTACTTGTAAATTATTGGTAGATCGGTGCATGGCCCCTCAAGCGGGTTTTGGCGAGCAACCGGAACTGCACGAACTGCCTGACTTGACTGACTTGAGATCGGACGAGATCAACAATATGATGATGATGCTAGAATACGGCTGGACGAGAATGAGACGTCCCGCAGTGATGAAATCTATGGCAGAGTACGGAGTACAGTGAGCAGTCATAGTAATAACGGTAGCTGCTGCTGCTGCTCCTCTTCTTTTTCCTGACAGGCCTGTTTCTATTATTCACTTGCCCGCGAGCATCATCCATAATAATCCTTATTTTTTTTGTTGCCCGTGCTTGTCGTTTGGGGTTGTGGTTGTGGTTGTGGTTGCCCACCCTTCTTCAATCCTCAAGGCTCAACCTCTCTCAACACCCTCACGCTCGCGGCCACTTTCCCTTTCACCCTCCCACCACCTCCCCTCCCACCCCATCATTCCCTCCTCTACTCACCTCACATCACTCCAATACACAACCACACCCGTCCTCTCTCCCTGTTTCTCTTTCTCTTTCTCTCGCATCCCACGGTCACTCGTTATCTCATCTGCTCGACTGTTTCCCCCGTCGCATAGCTTTTCCTCCTTTCTGGTAAGCCCTTCTCACTCTCCCCCTGTCGCTGTCTCCGGCCCACCCACCCTGAGCCGTCGGAACTTTTGTTGTACACAACCATCCTCGACCGACTCCTGTCCACACGCGCAAACAATCCTCGACACGTTTCCAACTACCTTCCACGAGGTATCAACTCCAGGATTCAGACATTCTTTCATACCAGCAGATCCAGCAACGCAAATAACAACTGCGACTGCAGCAGTCACAACAACAGCAACAACAGCAACAACAACAACACAACTGTCCCACTTGTCCGGTTGCGCTGCTACAAATCCGTCGGATCGACATAGCTGACGTTTGCTCAACTTGGCTCGTCTTCTTCTTGTTCTTCTTCGTTACCGCGTCTACGGTTCACTCGACTCTTCTCCCAAGGATCGAAGATACCACCAGTCTCCCGCTTCTATTCCGTCTCATACGCTGCATGCCAATCCAACGCGACCTGCTCCAAATTGCAACACCTCATACTGACTCACTCAATTGACCAGATATCAATTCATTCCCTTTTTCTTTCATTCGGATCCTTCGTGTTCATCCCCACCTCGCAAACGTCGATTCCCCAGAATCACTCTGGCAATCACCACCATCGTACTACACCGAGACCCTGCTGCATGAGCTTCTCTACAACTTCGTAGTCGACTTTGGTCTCGGGTGCCAACAAGATCTCACTACCAAACCACTAATATCTTCTTACCTCATAAAACTCACAATGGTCAACTTGTTCAGGGCCCGTCGAAAGTCTGCTGGAAACATCCTTGATGAAGTAGAAAACGAGAAGCTTGGAACCAGCCCCGAAGCCCCCGCGGCTGGCAGCTCTGCCTTCAAAGTGCTGAGCCAGACCGAGATCGCAGCGAAGAAGGAGCTTGCCATTAGGAAGCAGCATGAGAAGGAAAAGTCCAAGTTCGGACGGTTCAGTGGCTTTGGAGGCACAGGCAACAAGAGCCGCCAACAGTCGCTAGACGATGAGTCTCCTGGTTCTTCCAAGCGGTGTGTATTATCTGGAACATATGCCAACAGAACATCACATTTTGACTGACTTTTAGTGACAGCGATAGTAAGTCTAGCAGTGGCACCCAATCCTCTAGCAATCGCCCATACCATACAGGCCAATTCGGCTCGACCTCGACCTTGCCGTCCTCGGCTGACACCGATCCTAACGATAACATGTTCGCGAATCTTCCTCCGCGCCCGACTGTCGCACAACACAATAGTTCACCGAGCGGTTTCTCCATATCTGGGATGAAGAAGGCACTGCCGCAAATTCCACATAGCAAGACGCATGATGTTTCTTCCCGATACTATGGGGCCGCCGACGGGCCAGTGTCACAGAACATGGGTGATGGGCGTCCCCGAGCTATGACGACCTCAAGTTACGCAAGCACGGCCATTCCTCCTAAACTCGATTCGGACCTTAATTTCGGTAGTGGTTTTGATGATCTTTTCAGCGGTCTGGACAAGAGACGCGATTCACCAGACTTCATGGATAACTCACCAGGCCGCTCGCTGCTCGCTGGAAAGCGTGTGGGCCAGCCAGAACCCATCGACATCAATCGAAAGCTAGAGGTCGAGCCTGCGCTGGCGTCATGGGACAGTCGTGGCTCCGGCGATAATCTCATACCTTCGCCAACTGAGGACAATGAGGACAACAACACTCCACCGCCCGTTCCTCCGCACAAGTATGCACCGATCACCTCGCGAAGCCCAGGTCTTGGTGGGGCACCGTTCCAAGATGCTGGTGCAAGCGTTCGCGAGTCAACGACGCTTCAAAAGTCGCTGAATCAGCCGGAGTCCGAGCAGAAAAACTACTCCTTCACCTCGTCCACCCCGTCCCTACAAACTCCCCTTTCATCTCGAACCGGATCCGACAGCGCGACACCAAAAGCTGCCCTCCGCACCACTCCTTTGACCCACATTGACCATAACGACGACGACAACCTGTTCACTCCTTCTCCTCCCAAGGAGACCCCGGTTCGAAAAACCATCAACGCCGCCATGAAGGACACTGTTCCGGCAGCGCCGCAAAGTGCATCGGTGGGACCAGGCCGTAAGGTGATGACGGCTGCCGAGTTCCAAGCGCACAAGACACAACAAATGGCCCGGCCTGCAGACGATTCATCAGATAGTGAGGATTATGAGGATGAGGAAGATGCAATTAGACAACGCGAGGAGGAGGAGCTTCGGATGAGGAAAAAGCAACAACAGATGCAAATTGCTCGCGAGGCATTGCGTCGGTCAACTACCGCTCCAATCCCGTCGAACGTCTCGAATAGACCCGAAAGTTTTGTTGGTGGTGCCACGGGTTTTCCGTCCGAGGCCTCCCTCCAAGCCGATCAATGGGACGATGAAGATGTTCCCCTAGGGATGCTTGCCCAGCATCTACCCGTAAAGCAGAACCTACCCCTTTCTCAGAATCCCACTCCATCCTACCTCCCCGACCGTCCCGCGTCCGCAGGCGCCGCGAGCAACCGTGCTTCCCAGGCTTATCGGCCCGTATTCGCCCGAAATTTGCCAGAGGATCCGTATTTGTCACAATTCGTCGGGGGAGGGCTGGTCCGCCAGGGCAACCGAGAGTCTATGGGCTTCAATCGTGCTGCGTCTGTGTATGGCGAGCCAGTTGGTGGCAGCATGCCCTACGCTGATGCCCCCCAATTCCCAACTTTGGTAGGCCAGATACAGATGCGTGAAAGCGCAAAGCCGAAGTACCTCGGCGGTGCCTCTAGCAAGATCCCAACTGAAGGGCCTTTCACTGGTGCTTTGGGTGCCCAAATGAACGGCATGAACCAGCCAGCCACTCGCATGTCGCAAATGCCAATGCAGCAGGGTATGGGAATGATGAATATGATGAACGGTGGCATGATGGGTATGGGTATGGGCCAGGGCATGTCGTACCCCATGCAGAACCAGTCCTCACTCATGCAAGACCCGCAGTACCAGCAGATGCAGCAGATGATCATGGCGCAGCAGAGTATGCTGATGCAAATGCAAGCACAACAGGCCGGCATGTTTGGACAACAGATGCCTCAAGATCCCCGCATGTCGATGTTCCCTCAGCAGATGCAAGGATTCCAGAACCCCAGTTTTGCAAACAACAGTACACCAAATCTGGGAAGTTTGATGCAGAACCAACGACCAATGTCTATAATGTCTGGATTCGGTAATCAGCAACCACTACAACAATCTCGTCCATACTCGGCGGTAGTACCTGGCGCTGCCCAAGGCCCAGGCCAATTCCCTCAACATCTCGGCCCTGGACCTGGCTATACGGCATCGATTGCGCCCTCTGAACGATCCAATATCGGCATGTCCAGTCGCTATCGTCCGGTAACGACAGGAAATGGCATGCAAGATCACATGTCTAGTGTCTCATCTCAGACTCTTCAGCCTCCTTCTGCCAACGTTGCCGACCCCAGGAAGGTAAAGGGCATCCTCAAGAACAAGGTCAACACGCAAGTCAGTCCAGTACGCGAAGATGACGAAGAAGACTGGAGCAAGCTGAGGGAACGAAAGAACAAATTCGCTTCCAACACGGGTGGTGGTGCAAAGGATAACACTTCTGCTACTTCTGCATTCGACGAGTTTGATGCGCGTGTCGTCTTTTAACATACCCTTTCAAACTTACCTGACTTATTCGCTCTTTCACCGTCAGGTCCGGCTGTTTGGATATTCCATTTTCCCAGAGAAAGATGTGGATTTTGACAACAGAGAAATTCAGGGGGAGAGAAGGGTCGGAACACAATTTGAAGAGAGATAGAAGCCAGACCTCCGGATGGGAGTGTATACATGAGGACATGATGAAAGGGCCGCAATGCTATTTCCTAACATGTCTATTCAGCGTAATACAGTTGGGGAGTAACATGCGGCATCCGTTGGTTGGACTTTACTTGTTTGTTTTGCATTTCCGAAGGCGTTCAAAATTTTGGTATGATTCCCGGTCGAACTCATTTCTGTCTAGCGATTCTATTTCGTTCGATAGGCTTTCAACTTTTCCTTCACCGCGTATGCGAAAGGAACAGGTGATCGCTTTGACTTCATTATTTGAGCATACAAACGTACGAGGGTGAGGGGGATGAAGAGCGCTCTTGTTGGGCTTCGCACTTCCTGTCTTCGCGCATATCACAGCAAAACTCCGGCATTTACCCAATAGGCGGACCCATCTAACATTTTGGTTCATTCCTTCCGCTTTCAATATTTGGATACAGCACCCGCCTTTTCCACGTCGTTCATTGCATTAGAGAGGGGGAGAATGGAAGCAGAAGGAGAAGGAAACTATAAGGACCCGGAAGTAAGACTAGTTCTGACTGTAATTATAATACAATTCTTTCTTCTCCACCCTCTTGTCCATCTAGTTCCAAGTGACAGTGAAGAAATGTTTTCACCCTACTACAACAAAACCAACATCTCATATAACCTGGAAATAAACAGTGATGGAACCTTCACGACGGCTTCTGTCCTTAGCTTTGACTCTTCCGTCTACCCTTTCCCGATATCATCACCTCTAACCTCCTTTGTTTCCCTTCTCTTCCTCTGCCTACGTGCCATGCCGTGTAATATCACGTTGATACATACACGTCATTCCATCTCATCGAAGGTACAGCTCCCCAAGAACGAAATAACATGTCCCAGAAAGAATCCTTCATGTAATTCTCCGACCGGAAGCAAAGGGCCAAAAGTTTTCCTTCCATACAGTCAGTCTTCATCCATACTGAACCCCAAAAAGGTCAATAGTGTTATAGTTGATGAGGAGGAAAATGGTTAAATATTAACTAGATAGACACATGTGCGTAATCTTCCGGGCTTAGGATAGATGATTGATTAGTACTACGTATTCTTCTAATCTCCCTGCAGGAGTAGAAAAGGGACATAGAAATGGACCTAGCCATGCTTTTTGCACTGTAGTATTTGTAGTACATGGTTTTGATCGTAAGGTTGCATTAAGAGGATTGGCCGTGATTACTTTTTGGGCCCAGTGGATACCTAGGTAGGTGCAATGGGAAGAGGTCTTCGAAGGGATAAAGTACTCTAGTGATATCATAGACGATCAGTCAGAACCATCGATGATTGCAGGATTTCATATTGGTATCTCTATGTAGGTAGGTGGATTTCTCATGCTGTTCGGTGTGGTTGGCTATCTATGTTCAACCTCAAAAATGATGGCCATTACTATGAAGTAGACGTGGCTCATCATCCCTCCCCTATTGCCCTCTCTCGCGTTGGAATTCAAATATTCTGTCAATTATCGCTCGATCTTGCCGTCTCTGTCAAGCAATTCTCTCGTAGCAATGACCTCTGCTTCATTGTAGCCCGCCCAATCTTTCTTTCCGCTACTGTACGATCGCACAATCTCGGCCAACTTGGTGGTTGCCAGCTCCTCCAACTTCTTCACGGTGGCCTCCTTCGGCACGGGAACATCGTCGTCAGTTGGCCGTTTTGAGGAAGGGTTCGAGGAAGGGTCAGAAAGGAGAGAGATGAGTTGTTTCGAAACAAGCTTCAGGCCATAGTATCCGCGGAGGTAGGATTCATTCAGCTCGATTGAGCGGGCGAAATGCTTCAGAGCGAGTGTAAGGGACTGAAGTGTCGTTGCTGGGGATGGGGTCGAGGAGGCGGATGAGGATTTGGTTGAAAGATAATGGTACGTTGCTACTTGTGCATGTGCCTGGTGGGGTGTAAGTGGTTTGAATTGCAGTGAGATGTGGAATCAAGCTCCGACTTACGCTCCATGCATTTGGCACAATCAGCAGCACCTCTTCCAGAGAGAAGATTGCCTTCGACCACTCGCCAACTTGCGCATACAAATCAGCCAACTCGGCCCATGCCTCTGCATCTGTAGGGCTACTCTCAAGTAAAACGGTCAACGCGGTAATCGCTTGATCGGTCTTGCCAAGCGCTTTCAACACTGCGACCCTCCTCTTTCTGATTCCAAAATTCGTGCTGTCTTCCCGAAGAATATTCTCGTAATCCTGGAAGACTTTCTCGAGGTCCTTTGCGTCCTTGGCTTGCGACTCGTCGTAGATGCCGCGAAGCGTTATTATGCGCTCGTTGCTGGCGCCGAAGCGAGATGTGAGGCGGTCGAGAATCTGGCGTGCGGAGGCGTCGTCACCCGTGCGCAGGCTCGAAAGGAATAGATTCTCATGAATTGTCCAGCTGAAGGGGGTTTCTGTGGAGAAGAGGAGGGATAGTGGCCAGGGAAGAGAGGATGTTGGTGAAGAGGCTAAGATTTTTGGGGCCTTTTGGGAAAGCGCAAGTGCATTCGCGGGTGTAATCTGGTCGGGCGGTGAAAGCAAATTCACCTGTGCTGAAGTAGAAGCCATTATGTGCGGTATATATGGTGCTCCGGAGATACAATGGGGGTGTAGATAGGAAACATGGGTTGCAACGAACGACGGGACGTGAGGTTGGAGATGGCCCGAGCTTCCGCTTTTGGGCTCGGCGAATGTGCGGCTCTGGCGCTGGATGGTGGGCACGTCAACACTTGTTGCGCTGGACACACGACTACTGGAACGACGCTGTGGAAACACCTCGGAAAGCTGAAAACCGCAGCTCTGATTCTTTGATCTCGATGAACTCTGCGCACATGAAGTTCTACACCCGATAGTCATGCCCGCTGGCCATTCAAAGTCCCGCCCACCTACCCCTCCTCCGCTGTTCAGACATCCTTGTAGCATACCAGGGAAGGGACCTTGAAGGATTGCAGCGATGTAAAGACTTGGACAAGATTAGAGTGTTTGAATCGTGTTGCTGATCATTCTGTAGGTTCGAGAAATCCCTCTATGACCTCATTCGAGGTCTTCGGAATCATAAAGGCTCGGAGAAAGAGTACATCAACTCCTCCATTAAAGAATGCCGACAGGAAATACGGTCCAACGATATGGACCTCAAGTCCACCGCGCTGATGAAGCTCACGTACCTCGAAATGTTCGGCCACGACATGTCGTGGGCCTCGTTCAATGTCCTCGAAGTCATGTCATCCCCCAAGTACCGCCACAAACGCACCGGATATCTTGCTGCCGTGCAGTCATTCAGGAGAGACACCGAGGTGTTGATGTTAGCAGAGAATCAATTAAAAAAGGATATAAGCAGTCCCGCGCCAACTGTTATCAGCTTGCCGCTCATCGCAGTTCCACATGTTATCAACCCTAGCATGGCGAACTCGATATTGGGAGATCTCCTGCCCCGATTAACGCATAGCCATGCGAGCATCCGAAAAAAGACGGTCGTCACGTTGTATAGACTTGCTCTAGTATACCCTGAGACGCTAAGGCCGGCATGGCCAAAGATAAAAGAGAGATTGCAGGACGATAACGAGGATCCAAGCGTAACGTCTGCTATTGTGAACGTAGTCTGTGAGCTTGGATGGAGAAGACCACAAGATTTCTTACCCCTTGCCCCAAGACTCTTTGATCTTTTAGTAGAGGGAGGTAACAACTGGATGGCGATCAAGTTGATAAAGCTGGTAAGCGGCACTCGGTTCTCGCTCAATGTCTACTGCTCACCGACATAGTTCGCGACCTTAACACCCCTTGAACCCCGACTCATAAAGAAGCTCCTCCCGCCCCTCACGAAGATCATAAGAGAAACCTCAGCTATGTCACTACTCTATGAATGCATCAGCGGCATCATCCAAGGTGGCATTCTCGAAGCTGTCGAGGGCACGACTGAAGGGGAGGAGGTTGCTCGCTTGTGCGTTGGGAAGCTAAGAGGAATGATGATTATTGAAGGCGACGCCAACCGTAAGATCTTCAAACATTGTTGTGACCCAGTGTGCTCACATTGTCTCAGTGAAATACGTCGCGCTGCTTGCCTTTGAGAAAATTGTCAGATCACACCCGCATCTTGTTTCACAACAGCAAGATGTTATCCTGGAATGCATTGATGATCCAGATATCTCGATACGGATGCTTGCGCTGGATTTAGTTGTCGGCATGGTCAACATCGAAAATCTAACCGCTATCGTAGGGCGTCTGATGCGTCAGTTGCGCAATGCTCCCATCGCATCTTCGGCGGACGATCCAGCAAATGATCGCGGGAGATTCTCGAGTGTCGTTCCTTATGGGGACTCGGACGATTCTGATGCGGAAGAATCTCTTCGGCCAGAATCCAGGTCGAATCAGCCACCGCCCCTGCCAGATGATTATCGAGTCAGCGTTATTCGAAGAGTGTTGGAAATGTGCGCACGGGATACATACGCGAATATTTCTGATTTCGAGTGGTATATCGACGTCCTAGTACAGCTTGTCAGAGTTTCACCGTCGACAAAAGCATCTTCTGCCACTGAAGACGACGATACAGAGCACGCAGATGACGTTGGGCGAGGAATTGGGCGCGAACTGCAAAATGTTGCTGTTCGTGTTAAGAGTGTGCGCTCCGAGGTTGTTGATGCTGCACAATCACTTATCCTTGTCGATCGACGAGATCAAATGTTCCCGGCTTCAGGAAATGGTGGCATTCGTGTCCTCGAATATGCTGCTTGGCTTGTTGGAGAATACGCCAATTGCCTTGCTCAACCAGAGCCCGTCATGACCTCGTTGCTACATTCATCGTCAGCGCAGCTCCCCCCTAGGATTCTCGCAGTGTACCTCCAAGCGATACCAAAAGTGTTCGCCTCCATATCGGGCAGTGATCAGTTGTCTTGGACACCAGAGCGTAAAACACTAATGTCGCTGCTCATGGCTAGGATCATTCATTTTCTGGAACCGCTATCTACACATCCAGACCTTGAGGTCCAGGAACGCGCAGTGGAGTACTTGGAATTAATGCGGTTGGCTGCTGAAGCAGCGGCCGGTACTGATACAGCATTGTCATATGAGGATTTCGTCGACCCTCCTCTTCTCCTTACGCAAGCCATTCCTGCTCTCTTCACCGGTGCCGAGCTAAATCCTGTGGCACCTGGCGCACAGAGGAAGGTGCCCATGCCCATGCCCGATGACCTCGACCTTGATGCCCCCATCAATCCCAATTTGAACAATCTTCTTGCTCAAGCTGAACTAGCAGCATTCGAAACCGATGACGACGATGTGTACGCTGCATATACCGAGCCGATCACGTCTTATGCAGCGAGTGAAGCCCAACCATCTATATCTGCCTCTGAACGTCTTGACGGCCAGCAGAAAGAACCTACAAGCTATCAGAATGCTGTAGAGGAAGAGTACCTAGACCCCGATATCATTGCACGCAGGAAGGCGGAGCGCCGCGAGCGACATAAGGACGACCCATTCTATATCGATCCAGAAGGACAGTCCGGCTCTGGCACCATCACTCCACTTACAAGCATCGTAAGAGCAGGTAATGAGGAAGTCGATATTGACGCGATTCCGATCATGGATCTGGATCTTTCAACTCAACGGGGTGCTGGCGAAGAGATATCCCGCTCCCGGAGCCCACGCAAACCTACGCGAAGAGTCGAAATCATGGGCGACGAAACACTAGGTCCAAGCGAACCGGATTCATCGCGTGACAATAGCACTACCCCACGAACATCCAACAGAGCTAAGAAGAGCTTGCTACAGGTTGACAGCTCCGGATTAGGATCATTGAGCCTTGATGACGACGACGATTCCGGAAGTAGTAGAAAGATGACGCGGCTGGAGATGGAGAGGAAAGAGCAAGAGGAGCAGGAGATGAAGAAGGCACTCATGGAAGTTGAACGATTGAGATTGGAGATGCAGAGAGCAAGTGAGCGATTGGAGGCCAGGGGAGAGGTCGCTGTCAAGCCAAAGAAGAAGAAAAAAGTCAGAAAGGCCGAGATTGGGGGTGACGATGTTCCAATACATGAGGTCATACATGAGGGTGCGGACAGCATTGGACATCAAGGAGCAGAAGATGGGACAGAAGAGAAGCCGGCCAAGAAGAAGAAGAAAAAGAAGAGCAAACCTGGAGAGGGAGATGTGGGCGGCGACGGCGAGAGGGATGACGAAACAGTAGCAAAGAAGAAGAAAAAGAAGAGGAGGCAAGTGGTAATGGACGAAGGTGTACCCAACACAGAGCAGTAACCAATAAATACGGCATTTACTGTGGAAATGGAGCACAGCATACACATCTCCAGATTTGGAATTCAGACTCGAACCGTTCTCGAATCATTGGAAAACCATGGGCATTGTGGTATATATCTGCTTGAATAAAATAGCCCCAAAATATCAATGCTGCTAGGAATCGCATGCTTGCATCGACTCCAGTGTTTCTCCAGCCCTAAACGCCGTGTACCCTAGGATATGCTTGCTGATAAATGTATCCCGATTGCGGTTTGTACCCCCGAGTATATTTCCCTTCTAAGACCCTGCCTTGCGAGACCTGTGCAACGAGCTTTTGAAAGCGTTTAGGGGGAATGCAAACGCTGCGTCGGTTGGACTTGATTACAGCTTAGAAGAACATCCTAAGGAGCTCGAATACCAAACCACCGCAGAGAACGAATGCAAGAACAACTACATCATTGTCAGCATGTTTCAGCAATTGAATCGCCCCACCCTCCACTTGCGATCAACATGTGAACAGTGGGCAAAGCCTGAGGCGGTCAAACGTACTTATCCAGCCCTTCGAAATTGGGCTTTTCTGGTCCTCGCGCTTCTTGACAACCGTAACAGGCCTGCCCATCTTGGCTTCCTCGCGACGGGCGTACTTCGCATTGGCAGCGCGTTGTTGGGGGGTTTGCGCCTGATCACTGGTAAGTATGGAGTTCCGGAGTGAGCATGTCAATTCAGGGAGCGTACCATATCGAATTGCTGGTATTGGGGTTATCGAGATTGAGCAAAGAAGTCTGGATTGGAGATTAAGATTCGTGGAAGGCGAGGGATTCTGAGAAATGTTGCGGCGGAATTGGGGATATAAAGGTAGCAGGTAGGGGTCCTAGGTGATGCAAGGTGTTCCTTTGGATGAAGACTCGAGGTCCGTGCGTAAACTTGCGGAGCTGGAGCGGAGGTCTTCGAATTTGTGGTTCCGAGGGATTTGGTTATCATAGCTTCCCATCCGTGGGCTCCTCAAACTTATATCAACGGGCAGAACAGGCTCCCTTCCCACGTGTGGTGTCTTCCTTCTGATTGAATAGTCGATCAAAGAGTCATAAGAAACACTGAGTGTTTTCGAGCACTTTCTGATACATATCTGGCCTCTAGCAGAACCACAATAACCATCTGGCAAGAGTTGGAAATACTGGTGCCTAAGACAGCACACGTCGCAAGCTTTCCAACGACGTTATGGCGAACCGAACCATCGCATTTCACTTCCGAACAATTGGATTTGTTCCCCGAGCGCCGATTCAGACAATAGCAAGAAGCAGAAGATATGCGACGGAGCATCCACCTTCCACCTCCCCGCCCCCACCTCCACGATCCGAACCACGGGAGCCCCAGTCAAGAGCTGGTGCCTTTTATAAATCATTTGCTTCCCCAATAGTGAAATGTTTTCTCGGTGCGCTCTTCACATACCAAGTCACGTATTGGGGGTGGATGAAACTGGAAACACTGGAGGAGAAACGAGGCTACGATGGTATGTAGGCCATCGACAAGAGCAAAAATTGTTCACGGAGTATGCTAACTGTCGTACTTCGGAATAGACGAGATCAGAGATTTAAAGGATCAGCTCAAGGTCGAAGTCGTTAAGCAAATTGAGGCAACGAAAGGGAAAATCGAGACACACGTTCCTGGAGAGATGAAGGAACAAGTCGGAGAAAGTAGTAAAAAGAAAGGATGGTTGTGGTAGGGCGAGCTTCCCGAGAGAACACCCAAACAGAACAAGAAGACCAGTTATACCCATAATATTCCGGAATGAATGTATTAATACTGTGTATACAGAGATACTTATATTGAAACACCAGCGAATGTACTAAGTTGCGTGGGAATGATAAATATATTGGTGATACATGGTTTCGCTGAACGTGAAAAAGAAATCTTGCTACTCATTGAGAACCCAACAACTTTCTATGAAGATGGAAGGATGCTTGCCAGACCATCAGAAATAAGCAGTAAGAATCCTTTTTCGGGTGCAAAGTTCTTCGGCGTCCACATTTGTATCACCGAATAGTTGTGCAGACGACGTGAATGCCAGTCCTGAAGTCGCACCCGAGTAAAGCATGTATCTTTCATACCTCTTGCTCTACCTATGAATGGAGATAAGATATGAGATCACCACATGGGATACCCTGATCCCACGACTGAAATTTGCCGATTCTTTTGATTGACCAGGAGGACGTATATCAACAGCAAGTCGAACTTCAACGACTACGTGACCGTGAAAGTCGGACTCTCCTAGCCAATATAACTTCTTGAAATAATCAATAAATATACATAGAATAATAGCTGTAGTTCAAACGTTCTACGGCCCTGAGGTATCAGTCTTCTTTCCGGTGTTGTAAACATCAGGCATTGGTGGCGCATCTGCTGCAAGCCTCTCACGGCTTCCCCTGAGCATGTAGGGATCTTCTGCAAACCCTTTAGTCCACTCCCTTTCACTATATTCCGACTCGATAGGTTTCCTGCCGGTGGCTTGAATCTGCTGGGCTTTTCTCTCCACCTGTTCCCAGACCCTAAGGATGTTCTCTCCCGCCAATGATTGGGCTTGAGAATCTGTTGCACCGCGTTGCATCACCAACTCTATCAAATTTGGATACTTTGAAACGTCTTCCAGACCAGTAGGTGCGAATGATGGACCGAAAAAGTCTGCTCCAATTCCAACGCAATCCCACCCGCAAACGTCCGCAATGTGGAAGATATGATCCACGACGTCGTGGATTGTAGCAGCTGATGGGTTCTCCTTATTGAGAAAGCCATTCAGGAATACCGCCATAACAACACCTCCATTGTATTTGAGTTGGCGCAGTACGTCGTCCGGAACGTTGCGAAGATGCTGTGTTGTTTGATACGCACCTGAGTGTGAGAATATGACAGGAGCTTTCGCTATGCCCAAAACATCTCGCATAGTCTGATGAGAAACATGGGACAGATCCACCATCATGCCCAGGCGATTCATTTCTTCGATTACCTCCCTTCCAAGTTTGGTCAGCCCATGATCAACCCCTCCGGTGGCTACAGTAGTTGCTGAGGTTGCAAAGGCGTTGTCGCAATTATGAGTGAGCGTCATGTATCGAGCTCCAAGGCTATACATCTGTCGAACACTTCCAATGCTGCTACCGAGTTGATGCCCACCTTCAATGCCTATCATGCTCGCAATGCGGCCGGATCGAAAGGCCTTACGGACACAACTTGGAGTATCACAGAACTGTAAATCCTTCCGGTATTGTTCAATGAAACGATGTGTTACGTCTATTTGTTCTAGAGTATCTCGAACGACCCACTATTCACAGAACAAATTTAGTGTGTGAGTCACGGAATTTTGACGTTGAACGTACCGATGGATCCTCGAAGTGCTTCTGCTTAGCATCACAATCGATGAAAACGCTCCAGAACTGACCACCCATCATGCCTTGCCTCATACGAGAGAGGTCGGTATGGCCAAGAAGTCTATTGTTAAAGTCGAACCGTTCGTCATAAATTTGGTTTCGCAGCTCCAATCGAAACATCAATGGGAGATCATTATGGCCATCAATCAAACTTGTTCACAGAGAATCAGCATGGCTAACTATAGAAACAAGAAAATGGAACGAAATCCTTTGCACATACGGTGTCTGTTTGAGGATTCTCCGGGTACGTTCGGCATAATCTGTTGGATCGCAAGGCTGCTGCTGCGGCCAGAAAAATGTGAGAGGGCCAAGCAGAAGAGCGAAAGCTGCTGTTATAATCGTGCCTCGTGAAAACGACCAAATCCCATGATTCCGAGAGTTGGGATGAAGAACAATTGCTCGGCCATTACTCGATTCCGGGCTACTATCCTGTGCTTGGTTGTCGTACTCCCTCGACAGGGAGTTTGGGGTAGTCATCGTGTCAGCCATCTTGGGAAAAATTTGTGAAAAAAGATGGAGAGCCACTGAACCAATGTCTTTAAAGTTATATAGGCATGACTCCCAAAAAAAGCATGTGAGTTACAAAAATTCTTCTAATACGAGTATGGTTAGTCACATGACAAAGAGTGACCAGTCGGTCACATGACCTTCGGAGTGCCGTCCACGAACCAAAAAGCTTGCAGCATGTCTCCTTCAATAACAATGATAGTTGAGTAAATACGAGGTGGATACAAGGCATCCATGAGGTTGCTCGAGACTCTATCATTTTTGAAGGTAGTCATGGTGTACCTAAGTGTTAGAGCCACAATGTCTCGATTCTTGTCGTCTCAGGCTGAGGATGTCAAGGAAGCAGTCACTTGCAAGGTCGTTGTATACTTTCTACCTTGGAAGTTTGTCATCGAACCCTTTAAAGCCTTCAAACTGAGAAAGAGAGAAATCAGTTGTACATTGTTGTACCGCTGAACTCCTTTGCTTGAAACATTGGCCAGGCTTTCGTTCACCCTGAAATACGCCATTGTCAAATGTCTCGTCCGGCATATGATTGCGGAGCCGATGATCTCCTCGATACCCTTGTAAAGTTTGTATCTGGAGAACGTTTCCATCGATTTGTCCTGACCCCTGTGCCCTGTTAGGCTGGGACAAAGGCATAAAGGTTGAGGTTTGCTTGCATCAAGGTTTTCCTCACCGGAAATTCTTAAGCTACGCCAACATACTCGAGTAACTGGACTGGTAAGGCTGAGTGACAAAGTGACAGGGCCTCTGGCCCCCGGGTGATAGGTTTGTTGGAGGACACCGCGTGGTCGTAGTCATGGGGCTACGGGTTGCAGCACAGGTTCGGGATGGTTCCCTCTGTTCCCCTCTGTCCTGGTGTCCCTCTGCACTCAGCCACTCGCTAGAAAAGCAGATGCTCCACCCCTCATGCGAACGTTCGGCTATTGTATTACGATCATCGCCGCCCATCCAATGCAATTCGTTGCCCATTCTCGTTCACCGGGGACCAATTGGAACATCGTAGCCCTAACTGCAACTGCATATCCTTGCATACTATGACGCTGACCCGCCGACATCAAAAACTCCCACCATTCGACTTTCTTCGAGGCTACATCTCTGTTAAATATTTCTAGATGAAAATTTGCTTTCCTCTCTTATGTGATATAATCCTTCCGCAAACACTATTTTGATGGCAGATTTCGGCGCCATCTTTGCCCTCTATTCACGAGGTTCGGCACTATCCCTAGATCTTTATAAGCATGCTGCCACGGCAAGAGATGGCAAATTTCTGTGTCAGCTTGCAAAGTCCGTCAGCAACTTCTCCCTTACGGTCAAGCAGATAGGTACGATTATAAGACAGGATGACAGCTTGCCCTCGGCCGAGGTACCGTTGTTCGATTATTGTATTTACAACATGGTGTTGACGTAGGACCAGGCCATTCAAGTACTTCACGATTTATTCGACCAATGTAGCCTCGTGTTAGACGAAATCAGCGATAAGACGACTACACATCAAGAAACCCACGCGGGAAAATATGAAGAGCAGCCTGGCCATCATCAAAGGGATGCTGTTCAATTATCCGAGGAGGAGCTGGCGCGGTTCCGATATATCTATGCTCACCTCGAAGCGCTCAAATGCACAATTAGGATCGTGTTGCAGACCTTGTTCACTGCCCAAAGTATAATATGGGCGAGGTATTTTTCATCCCTTCTCTCAGCATGAATATATCGCCTAATCACACAACAGGGTTCAGCCGTCCATTTCCCCGAAGCGCGCAGAGGCCGCCGTGACAAATGAGAAGAACCAGCTCGAAAGCCTGGTGATCGAGCAGCAGATTGCCATTCTATCCGCGTCAAGCCTTTACCATTCGTCACGTGTCAACGAACGATTGATAACGGAAGGCGACAGCTCCCAAAGCCTTACACTCCCGGAGAAGAACAGCTTAACGCCCACGGATCTCGTTCAGTATCAGCATGAATCTATCATAAGCCTAGACACCGCTGACGCCCAGGAAGAGGCTTGGATGCCGTCGATTTGCGCGATCTCCGGATCCCATGCGGACCACGTACTGAGCACATGGACTAGACTACGTCAACTACATGACAATATATCTGATATCGAGCGACAGCGGTTAGCAGAACAAAGGGAAACTCAACAACCCACTGTCGAGTCCGACAGTGACGACGAAGCAGAATATCTACGTGAAGACGGCACCAAAATAGGAACGCCGACTCCTCGTCGACCGGGTAGTGTTCAGCCTCTGTTCACTGAGAATACCACTCTTCCCATTCCTGTGCCAACCTCAAAATTTGGCCCGACAGCACCGATATCGCCCGTTTCCTCTTATGGGGCATCTCCACGATCCAGCATTGCTAGTCTACCCGTCGAAGCTGCAGCAGCTGTTGAGGCAAAGGTTAAAGATGAAGATATCTCTCTTGAGATTCCATGGCGGCTCGTTTCAGGCTCATACTACTGGGACTATATCGATGGCACGGTACAAGATACGAATACTGAGAAGCCCTCGTCGTTTGCGTTCTCCGACAGGAGAAGCTGGACAGAGATATCGGCGTTATGGGTTTGCAAGGAAGCCATCCAAGAAGCAAGATTTGAATATCACCAACTTCAAAAGTCACGTCAAGATGATCGGCGAACGAAACTGGAGGCATGCTTTAAGATTGACCAAGCCTTAACCTTTGCCCAGGTTCAGCGTCTTGTCGAAAGAACAGTCGAAATCTATCGACAAAATCTACCACCGTCCCCTCCTCCGCCACGCCGCTCTTCATTCGAACGGCCCTCGGCGTCGAGACCTGTCCGTGACAGAGATCAAGACCGTACCCCTCTTGCGAGCCTGCAGCCAACGACCCAGAAAACTCATCCTCCTTTGGAGCGATCACGGACTGCTTACGCTTATCCGCCACCACCACCGCTCGATCGATCCTCATCAATGCCTGGTCCTAGAACACATTATCCACCACCACCGCCGGGACCGATTCCGCACAATGTGAATCCTCAACTTCCACCTCGTCCAGGCCATCAGCCATTACAGACCATGCATTACCCTGCCCAACCTGCATCGTACTTTCCTTTACCACCCCCGCCGCCCTTCAGCCCGACCTCCGCCATCCCCAGCCCCGCAGGTCACGGTCGTATTCCCTTATCACCTCAATACCCCCAATTTCCGCCCAGACAGCCACAACCCACTCCAGTGTATCGACCCGAGTATCAGCCATACCGTTCAGAACATTACTCTAGTACATCCACAACGTCCGACTCCGAGAACAATGGGCTCAAACCCCCACGTGAGAAAAACCGGGAGCGAAGCCATAGATCTAGAAGCAGGAGGCCGTCTTCTAGTAGTCACAGAAAGAAGCATAGTAGTAGTACTGTGGGCACTTTGGCGAAAGTGGGCGGGCTGGCGGCGTTGCTGGACGGTATTGTCGAAATGGGGGTTTTGTAGATTTTGGAGTTGAGGGTAATGAGTGATCCTGGACGGCGCCATGGTGGTTCGCATCGATTCCTTTAGAGATCCGAGTATCTTATGTTGATTATGTATTATCTTTGTAACGGCCAAACTAACGAGACCAAGCGATTTCCTATCGTTCCGCGGTAGAATGTATGGATAACCAATGTATTTTGTTTCATCAGATTGTGCTACAAACGTGACATTCCCGCATACGCAGGTGAATATGCTATAAGCTTCCATTTCATGTGTCAATCGAACCGATAGTTCTTGTCTATGAGCAATCTGCTCTTAACGTGGATGTGTGTTATTGGATTACCAGGTAATAGCAAAAATCAATGGAATTCGGTGTATCCCAGTCTCTCACTTTCTTCCATCTTACTTCCGGGCAGCTAGAAATGAGCAGCCTCCCATGTAGAAATCCTAGGTGCAGCCCAGTCTAATCGTGAATTTTGAACGCCGCGCTATGCTTGAAAAGAAATCCCTCACTCCTATAAACGATTCGCCCAATTTCGGCTCAGGTACAACCATTATCGACTGTCTGGGTTGTCTGGCAACCTCTCGATTACGTATTTTCCACGAGCAACGGAGACGATTGGGACACCGGGGATTTTACGCAGGCGGCGCTTGAGGTCGCGATCGTTGGTTCCGACGAGATCTAGCAAGGGAATTAGTTACTTTCAAAATCATGCAGTGCGCTTCGACAGGTAGTACTTACAGATTCGATGTTTCAAAACTCGATCCACGAGACAGTCACTAGAATTCTATTAGTCCCTACAGTCTGGCAGCTATAGCTGCAATATGTAACCCCGAGTATGAACTCACTCAGCATAGGTTCCTTTGTGATCGCACTGCGGAAAGGATTAGCATGCTTGGTCTAACGGCAAGGCAAAAATAGAGAGACATACCTTGACACGCTGCCACCGCTCGTCTCTTGCGATTCTCAATGCTATTCTGTACTTGGGGCCCAACTTCTCTAACTCGGCCATAACGCAGTCTGTGATTATTGGGGTTGCCTTTGCGAGTAAAAGATCCATCAAGGAAGTCTGGAGATCCAGTTTGCCGCGAACGGTATGGGAGAGGAAATTGGTATCGATGAGGACGCTATAGGGGGGCACGAGGGCTTCGTTGGCCTGGAAGAACATAGACGATGGGACTTGTGGGATTTCGCGGACGGGCTGCTCGCTCTCGACTTTCTTTTTGGATTCTTCGCCGCCTTTGAGCTGGTTCTTTGCGAGTCGAGCATCTCTTTGGCCTGCAGGATTCGTTCAGATACAATCTTTTGATATTTGTTTGGAAGTGACAGCTGTAGTACATACCAATTACGCGCTTGACTTGCGCAAACTTGCGCGTACGCTTTGCGACACCCATGTTGAATATTTGAGGAATGAAGAGACACGCCTGCGGAGCACTTTTTGCTAGAACATTTCCTCGGATTGCCAAGATTTCAGTCTCTAGACCGACCAGGGGAGGCTTCGCGGGACAATGGTCGGCCCGGTCACGTGGACGTTGTGTATGCCGACCCTCGTTACTCTACGAGTACCGTGGAAGCGGGCACCCGACGGCAAGGAACTCGACGAAGGAATGATTCTGTAGATTGACATCATCTTTCAGATATCCTACGAGTATCACGCTGCAGTTCTAGTTTCCGCGTAGATGCGAACTTTTTCGACATCCTTCCCAACGATGGCATTTGCAATACCTACCTACACAGTGACAATAGGTACCTACCCTAAGGTACCTAGTCTCCAGATAGAATACGACACCAATAGCGCTCGTGCTGGCTGGCTATTCTTAGATTCCCGAGGCTCCTTTAAAGTTTAGTTCTACAATAAAATACATACAGTACAGTACAGTACAGTACTAGAGTATGGTACATTGACTGAACGAATGAATATTTGTATAATCAACCACTATGGTCAACACATGGACGTACTCGTATGCTTTTACTGTACTCGGTACACTCTACTCTACTCGTACCTACAGCACGTCTCTGGGGTGGCAAACATTATACGATGGCCTGGCCTGCCTATACCACGAGGGTATCGTCCAAGCGTCTGACCCACATACAGTAATTATCTACCTCAGAACTTACCTACCTAGTAGAAGGATGAACGGACGGGCTGACTTCCCCTGCAGACAAGACAAGACAGGCCGTCCTCCACTCATCCCCTCCCTACTCTACTCTACTCTACTCTACTCTACTCCGTACCCTCTCTCTCTCTGCTCTCCCTCCCAAGTGGTTCGGCTCTCATCCAGTAGTATTAAACTTTTATCTTTAGTTAATTACTTGACTTGCTTCATAGGGGGGGCCTCTCTCACTCACACCCCTCGGTCTCATCCTCACCCTCCTGTCACTCGTTTCAAACGTCCTTCGCTCTCCATCCTCCTGTCCTGCGTGCGAACGACATTCAAACCTCTCAGCCACCACCATTACCACCGGCGCCGCCTCCTCCTCCTCCTCCTCACCCCCCAACCACGACCCTGAGCGAGGGATATACAGTCTTTTAGCCGCACCGCCCCTAATCCCGTCCTCGACCGCGGTCGCCTCTACAACAACAACAACAACAACAACCTCTCTCATTCTCTGTCTACATCTGCACCCGCACATTCTTTATCACCACCATGCGACCCTCAACAGCCGTCGTCGGGGCTCTGCTCGTTCTCGCACCCGCCATTTCAGCGCAGGCCCTGACAAACCTACCGAATCTGTCCAGCGTTGGCCAGCCTCAGGGACCCACGGAAACCGGGGAAGAGACACCACAGGAGACAAAATCCGAAGATAACAAAAGCTCCAGCGCGAGCGCCAGTGCCAGTGCAACGGGGGGAGCAAAGACAACAGAGCCACCCAAATCAAGCACTTCGCTCCAGAATGCCGCCGTCACACTAGCCCCGTCCTCTTCAAGTGCTCCCTCCAAAGCCAGCAACGATGGCCCTACGTCGATTTTCCATCTCTCTGATGTTCCTACGATCGCCGGTGTCGGTATTCCCCAAATGGTCGTCCCGTTCACAGCTGGTGCACCTTATATGCAGAAGTCGAATCTGCCCGACGGAACCGTCTTCATTTGTGTAGGCGCGGCCTTGGGCTTCTTGGGGGCTTGCGTACTCGCATGGCGAGGCCTCGTTGCTTGGTCTCTGCATCGTTCCGTCAAACGTGCTGCTACGGCCCAGAACATGGCAGATCTCAAGGCAATGTCCGCCGTTCCTGGAGGCAAGAAGCGTGGCATGTACAATGTCGTTGGTGCGAGCTCGACCATGTCTCTCGATCATCTCTCCGCGGCCCCCACGGGAACCTCCAGGCCGCCCAAGCCATTCGCTTCGCCGAACGCAGGCACTCCTCCAAGGTCGCAGTCTTCGTTGTTCTTCTCCCCCACTGCCGGCGGCGCTGCAGGCGTACGCGACTCTGTCAACCGTTCGTCGACCTACCTTCCTGCGGGATACTACCCCTCTGGCAATGCTCAAGCAGCTTCCGGCGCTCCTATGACGCACATTGGTGGCCACGGGGGAGCACATCTGTCGACGCATTCCCTCGCCACACCAGGCAATCGTTTCAGTTCGCGCAGCGGCATTTCTCCTCCCGGCTCACCATCTCTGCCCCCATCTCGAGGCTATGACCGGGCACCTCCAAGCCGCGACGGAGTCTCCGTGTACCAGCGCAACAGCGTTGCAACCCTGAATCAACAGAACAACCGAGGAAACATCTATGCCGGTGAGCAAGGAAGCATGAGCCAACTTTCTCTCAATGTTCCCGGAGGAACGACGACTGCTGGAGGAAGAGCACCGAGTGCGTACCTGGAAGACCTTTTCGAAAGCCACGGAAACGGTCCCCAGCAGCGACAGTAAATAATTCACGAGTAACTTCCATTGGTGGAGTGGCTTGTGGGAAGAAGCCAAAGAGATGATGGGGAGAGACGAACAGCCCCAGCAGGATGATTTGATGATTTGAATGTTTCGAGAACCAAATAAGCGGGCGGCCCACCAGGGTTCAAGTACCTCGCAAAGCATTCGAGCCGCAGGGTAGAAGGCAACACGGCAGCACACCTGATACAACAAGGCGCACCCTTATCGTTGTTCCGTGTTTGGTTGCTGCTGCTGCTGTTGTTGTTTTCGTTTTCGTCTCCAGTCGTACTTGGGAAACTTGCAGCGCGGGGGTAACCCGGGACCTGCATGATCGCTCGTCTGTGCTGGTCGAGCTTGTATCACCTCCTCCACCATCGTCCTCTTCGTTGACTCCTTCTCTCTTTCGTCTTCTTCTGCAAATCATGCATTTCTGCAGACCACCAGGGCGTCCATTCCGAAGATGTCCTCTCTCCGATACCCTTTCTTTTTCCTGGTTCATGGTTTTCCCTTCTCTTCTCGGTACACAGTTACTTTCGGGACATCTCTCCTTAAGGGTCAAAATATCCAGAGGTCCATATCTCCTTGTGTGAATAATAGTGTTCGGGCCGGCGTATTATAGAGGCGTAACGATTCGGTTCCGGCTGTCTTGTTGATATTGGTCGTTCAATTCATCCTTTCCAGACATAAATAGCATAGTGAAGGAGGCGGAACGGTAGTGGTTGAATGCAAGCATGCAAGCAAGCAAGCAAGAAAAGGGAAACGAAACCTCTCCGAAAAATCACACACCTGCATCTTTCCAAGCATCATTCTCTTCCTCTCTGTCTTTTTTTTGTTTATTCTTTCTCTTTCTCTCTGTACGCAAAATAATTCGTCCACCCCCATCACGCGGTCTTCCACCGCCTCTCACAATCACATAAAAACTACTACACCCTTTTATATATGAAAGTTTCTCCCTCTTAGCTCAGCAACGGCAGTGCAAGCTGTGTGGGAAGTTCGCGGCAAACCACTCCTCGTGTTTTGGTTGCCCGCGCGTGGTATGGGCAATAAAAGAAATAATTACACCTACAACAGTCCAATCGTGTCCGTCCTAGGCCGCATTATTTCGTCTCCCCATTCGATGATTCGGTGTCCTTTCTCTTTTAAACATGTTTATTTCCCAACCATTGTTCCTGATTGTCTCTGGTCATGATACGCAGTACGGAGTGCTGGCAGCGACTATTCATAGCCGGCCCGTGTGGTGGGCGAGCGGGCGGGGGAGGAGGGCGGAGGGGGAGTATCTGCTATGGCTGCGTTCGCGCTGGTGCTCGTCTTCGCGACGGTGAATGGGTAGATAGACGGGATACTTGCCTATGGAGAAAAGTAGACGTCACAGCTCTTTTTGTTCGGTTCTCAGATCTATGTTCCATCTCATTCGCGGATTGCATGTCCTGGACGACGTTTTATGTCCCACCTAAACTCCTTCCTACCTACCTGTCTGCCTACACTGCTTAATCTTTTATCGTTGCATGCTTGCCATGTCGATGCGATATAATCTGGCCACGACATTGATTCAGAGAGGCTTGGGTTGAGTGTCGATGTTCTTTCCCCATTGAAGCAGGATGCTTTCTGGTTCGAATGGTCAATCGTATCGGTAAGAGCATTGACCGTATGACATGAATGTCTCGCTGGAGAGAAGCTTCCTATGTCACTAAAGTCTGTAGCTTTAGGTCGCTAGGCAATCTAGGATGCGTATGTATGTGCTGATTCACTTCACGGGAGAGTGTTGGTGGTCAAGATCTGGTATGCATGCAGCACCCGATGATAGGGTGGATTGGATGGAGATAGCAAGGAAAGGAGAGAGGAGAGAGGAAAGAGAGCAGAGAGCAGAGGATGACAAGATGGCGCCTCCACGAACCCCCACTCGCACACATAGATACATTCGTCGAAACCCACAACCATGGCTCCGTAACAGAAGGAGAGGAGCTGAAGTTCCACATTCCATTCCCAGCAAATACCGTCGGCCCATAACAACCCTACCTACGAACCCGCCACTAAAGAAACGCTCTGCAATGCAAAGCATCGGACCGGTGCGTACATGTGTATGGTTGTAATCGTCACTCAGACAGCGGTGGAGACTGCCACTACCATTTCCCACAGCCAATGCGAGCAGAGGGGGTAGCCCAGGAAATTCGAGAGCTAAAGGCTTCATCGGTAGGTACTCCGTACAGTACACATCCATTGGGACGAGGCACGCAAATAATTGTTTGGCACGACGAGCGTGTGCTATCACGGGATACGGGGAGAAAGAACACACAGCATGCAAGGTACCTACTACCGGTAGTACGACCATGCTTTGTTTGCCTGTCGGTCCCACGCTATGTTATTGATAATGGAGCAGGAGGAATAGCGGAGGATCAATGTACTCCGTACCTGTAGGTTGTACCTCGACAAGCGTGCCCGTCCTATCATCGATGGTGGGACAAACTGTCTCCTTGCCTTTGCACATTGGTTATCGCTATGAAGTTTTCTGATAAGGAGGTATTCTGCATACCTGTGCAACAATCCCGAGGGAGCGGAGCAAGAGAGCAACAAAGAGAGATCAGCACATAATCCTTCCTGAAGCAATCGGGGCATGCATCGCAATATATCGTCCTGGGCGATATCTATGAAACACACAAAGCGATCAATGGGCAAGATACAGGCACTATGACGTCAATGGATGAAGACGTACTATGAATCCATCACATTGACTGGTAGACATGATAGTCCAAGCCCTCGATTGAGATTGAGAGCCCATATCGCTACGAGCATGACAAGGGGTTGTGGTACGTGCTGGCCATTTTCTCGACATCCAACGGTACGGCACGGCGCGCTTGAAACGAAGTAAGGGAGGAAAAGTGTGCAGACAATAGTTCGGCCACTGTGGAACGTAAGTACCACGGTTTCGTGGGAAGCAGCAGTCCCTTGTGCGACGCGGGGATCCGCTCCGGTACCATTGCGTGAAGTTTCGGTGCTACCTTGCCCTGGGTCATGTCTCTCTGACCCCATGGTCGAACGATCATCATGTGGAGGGATGTATAACATCAATAGATTATATGACGCCATCATAGTGCTCTGCAGTGTAATGGCATTGTTCTTGCTACGAAACTCAAATCGTACCTCGTCTCTGTGAACCAATCAGTGAGACTCTAATGGTCGAGCCATAACAATTTATCCTGCGTCAACTCACGCACTCTGCTGTATTCCGGCCACTAAGCGCAGCATGTACATCGAGAGTGGTTATCAAACTGGGTAACTTCCGCCATCTGACCGTGCGCCAAATCCAGAACAAGAAGAAAGAAGAGAAATAGACACAATCGGAATTTGCTCCCAATGGTAGCCGCTACCTCCATGTGTAGATATGCACGTAGTAGAGTGCAAAGGCCCAACGCCATGTCCCTCCGAAAAAAAACGTGCCTGCTCTTTCCGAAACCTGGAGACCAGAGCCATTCAAATCGCGCTATCATACTCAATGAAATCATTCTCGCAACGCTTCTAAAACACAGTTGTTGAAAGTGAAAGTAAAACATGACACGACGGAGCCCGTAGAGGTAGCTTCTCTCTGCTTAGGTGATTTTGCGCCAGAAAAGAGTAAAACATGTCGAATAAGAGCGGTACAATCACTCCGAATAGGGACGGGGCTGACGTGAGAGCGATAAAGAAACGAAAGAACCCGGTATGTCTCCGGTAACACAATCATAACAGTCGTTTTCTTTCTGGTCCCTGGGATGATCCGAGCGAGGAATTCGTGAAATCTCCGGCATACCAATGCTGATGCGTTAACACATGATAAAGGCCCTTGGCCCATGCTGAACAGTGCAATCCTGGCGTTCCCATGTTACCGGCGTTGGCGTGGAAATGCTAATCATACATGGAGTGACGTAAGGTGCGTGGTTGTCTCCCATCGCACGTACACCCTTAATCCATGTAGAAGTCGCCCTTGAGAATGCGTTCTTGCATAGCATCGGGAACCTTGGGTTGTTTGGGCATCTCACGAGCGGGAGGTTCCATGACAGTGACACTTTTGGCGCGCTGATGCTGATACGGAGGGTTCGGGAGGTGGCTGGAATGAGCACCGGGGAGGGAGCCGGAGATGGATCCGCGTTCGGCGCGGGAGCGGAGGTTCTCCGCAAAGTTGTAACCTTCGCCTGTAGTAGAGAGAATAGATGTCAGCTCGCGTTCACCAAGTGCTTGATCGGGGTGTTGTTTGTAATGTTCGACGAGAAGGTGTGGGAGAACAGAAGACGCAGACGACGCAGAAGAAGAAGTTGAACATTGCACAGGCACTGCTGCCGAATTGGAAGCATTGCCTGGTAACACAGAACGTGAGTGAGATGAAAACGAGGACGAGGATAAAGACAGACCTCGACCTCTAGCAGTCGGGGGAGTGGAGGCTTTAAGGACGGTAGATCTACCATTGGTGTTTCCAATGTTCCCGTTGCTCTGCCTAACATCCCGCATTGCGCGCGCTCCAAAGCTCAATCGACGGGCGAAGGGTGTTGCTGGGTTGCTGCCGGCACCAGCGGAAGGGGCCGGATCATCCTCGAAGGGGCTCTCGTCGACAGAGCCCGAGTTGGCACTGGATAGGCTCTCTGTGCGGGATCGGCCTTGCTGGAAGGGGGAGGATTGGTTGGGAGAGGCGGATAGGCCGATGGTTGTGAGGGAGAGGCGTCGTCGTTGGGCGTTGGCAGCAGCGGTGGTGATGGGGCCCTGCTGCTGTCCGGAGATGCTGCTCTGACGACCGAAGAGGTCGTGGAATGTCTGGCCTGTGAAGGAGGAGCGTCGACGGTCGGTAGCGCCTGGGGAAGGCAGAGGGGGTGAATTGCGATCAGAAGACATTGTATACGGAATCGGGCGGGAAACGAGGAGGAGGGGGTTCGATTAATTGCTGGTTGCTGTTTGTATTTGTAGTAGTAGTAGTAGTAGTAGTAACGGTTGTGGTGGCGGTCTTTGGTCTCCGGGTGTGAAAGGAAGATTGGGGGTGCAATAAGTGACAATGTCAAAGATGTACGGAGGATAAAGAGGGGGGTTGAGGGGTGGTTATTGTGTGTAGTGAGGTTGAGTGAGTGAGGTAATGGTGGTGACAGTGGAGGTGGGAAGGTGGGAGAGAGACAGTTAGAAAGTTGGAGTAGGAGGAGAGAAAGAAGTAGAAGTAGTAGCGGAGGAGGAGGAGAGGAAGAAGAGGAGAAGTTGGAGGAATTATGTAGGAAGGAGAGTAGGGAAATGTAAGTACAAGTAGGAGTAGGTGGTAGGAGGAGTAGGTGGTAGGTGGTAGGTGGTAGGTGAGTGAGTGTCTGCATGAGGAAAGAAGGATGGGCGATGGGCGATGGGCGCGATGGGTTGGTTGGTTGGGTTGGTTGGCTGGATGGTTGGATGGTTGATCGATTGATTGGCTGGTTAGCTGATTGGCTCAAGTGAACATGTATATTAGGTGTTAAGTATCTGTGTATCTACACCATGCAGCTACGCCATTAGTTACCGATGACCTAGGTACAAGTAGATATCTACGCGTAGATCTACCTTAGCACATTAGGTACTTACTCGTAGGTAGTCAAGCGTGTTTAGAATTAGTTGGACGGTGTGTTGTAGATACATAGGTAGGTACACAGTAGATACCTAGGTACATAGGTACGAGGTAGTTAAGCTGTGACTGCTGTGAGTTTGTGCGTGCGTGCGTGTGGGGATGAGATCGCTCGGGGAAAGGAAGGAAGGTAGGGTGGGAAGGTACGTGCACGGACCATGGATGCTTGTCTGGATGTACCTGTACATCCAGAAGAACATACTCGGTATGGAGTACACAGTACACAGTACACAGTACACAGTACATACTACACAACAACAATTGATTGGAATGGGGAGATAATCGAACCTCCCTCCTTCCCATTGACACAAATATTCACACACACACACACGCACACACTCTCTCGCTCTCTAGACTTGTTTCCTCCAGGGTAGATCAGAAACCACAGTACGACCAGAGTGCGAGGGGGTGATACGTCAGCGGTCGACGGCGGGTGGGGATAGCACATGGTGCAGTAGTGCAGTCAATCCACACCACCACTACACCTACCCTACACTTACCTACAACTACTAGACACTGTACACCGTACACATAATGCACCATATAACTACTCCTTGTACGGAGCACAAACTACAAAACAAACTGTGGATCCAAATATGTATCTACATACAGCGAGATCAGGCCGTGGCGTGATAGGCGACGGAGACTCGTCTCATGTCCTCTCGTCTTGCATCGTTTCGTTCCACAGCCCAAACAAAAGTAAATTGTGCAACACTGATTATCTTACGACGTGGGTGTATCTTTTGCTCCGCACTTTGCACTATGTAGGTAGAGCAGGGAACTGGACACCACAAGTACTCTAATCAGACAATAATCAAATATTCAAACAATCGATATTTCTAATGTTCATTGTTGATCCGCCTGGTGGGACCAATGCGCGATGCATATCAAATTCGCAGTTAGGAATGTTCAGGGCAGATCAGGGGCGGACAATGGAGAGAGAGAGAGCCAAAGACTGAACTGGGCTGGGCTGGGCTGGACTGAATTGAGAATTGAAGCCAACGTAATGGTCAACTAGTTAGGGATGCACAATTAGTCAACAAACCCCCGTATAAGATAGATCTGTGAAGCCATTGGCACATTTGTTTTTGGAGTGGATGGCTTGGGGCTTAGGCGAGGGCTTGACAAAAGATACGGGGGGACGTAGAAGGAGGGAGAGGGAGGGAGGAGGGAGGAGGGAGGAAGATTCAAGGAGTCAAGAGGAGGAGGAGGGGGAGGGTGGGAGGAGAACTAAGAAATCTAACCGTCCTGTTAGGGCAAGTAAGCTAGTCACGAATAGGGAAAGGCCAGTTTCCCCCGCATTTCTCCAGGGAAGGGAATCGACCCGACAAGAGGGTCATCCCATCCAATTCACCCACCCATCCATGCCATCCTCAATCCATTCATTCATACATTCACCATTCCAACCAACCATATCTCACATTACTATTCAAATTCCACCCCCTCTTCTCTTCTTTCTCGTGCTCGTACCATCCACGACGTTGCTCTACTCACCCAGTATAACGTAGTCCACGAGTACAATACACTCACATGGATTCAAAGTCCCTAGCCCTACTGCACAACCTACTCCCACCCCGTACTAACCTTGGTATTATCCACTTGGACTTCCGTCTTAGCATCAAGCTTGGTGCGAGTCTATCAACCTGAGTTCAAGCCCAGATCTTCGCCACTCATACTCGTACCCTGTTCCATATTCCATATTCCTCCCATATTCCTCCCACGTACCGCTCGTACTGCTATGCATCCTGCCTGCCTACACATGCTTATGTACATGTACATACATACATACAGACATACATACATACATCCACCTCATACCTTTGCCGCATGCATGTCTAGGTATTCCTACACTTATCCTCCCTGGCCACTATCCTCTACTCTTTCTCAAAGTCTATCTTTGAGGTTTCACCCTCAGCAACGGCACCCTAGCATTACTGTATCCCCCAATCCTTCCTTCGTCATACAACACAACTACTACTGCAGTTCATCTATATATAAACTAGGGTATGCATACATCTGTTCCATGGCTGAGCACTCGGCCATACACAGAACCAGTGCGGAAGGCTCGGCCATATCTCCCTACCCATTCACCGTTCTTCCTCGACGTCTCACTACTGCGCTTACTTTGTCATAACACAACTGAACCCAGCAGAGGCGGGGTTCAAGAACAAGGGAAAGGAAGCCAATAGGTAATTGGCAGCCACAACAGCATACACCCTCTCTTATCCTCCCTGAACGGCTTGTCTCGCTTGCTTGCCGCCTACCCTCGGACTGTCTCTTAACGCTCCACACCCCTCGTGCCCTCCTCCCCAGTCTTCCGCCCTCACAGCACCAGACGAGGGTGCCAAAGTAGGGGAAGGACAGTAGTCAAGGGTGCGTGTCAGAAAAAGTTCAAAGTATCTTCCAACAGTCTAGACACCGCCGTGCGGAGTAAGATCATAGACACATACACATATGCACATGCAATGGCGGCTACTAAGCTCCCATGTTCGATAATGCGACCAAGTATGTACATATACGGCTTCCATCCATCTTATAATTATTGCCATACGGCTCGGTAGGCAAAGCATGTCAAAGTGGCTGCTTCTGCCAACCTAGCCCGTTGCTTCACCCATGTAAGTAATTGATATGTAGCTGGCTGTGGCGCCCACCTCCGTGGAAATGTATCCTTGGATTTCTCGGACCTTTGTACTCGTACTCGGCACCGCATGCCTTGACCCCAGTTTGCCGAACACAGTTCCATTATTCTTCTTCTTTCACAGCACTCTGCATGCACGCGGACCGGCCAGCAGATACACAATCAGTTGTCATGAGAGAACTACCTACGTGCCGCAACAACCTTTAGGCTCATTGATAATACCACATTGAACAATCTGCCCACTCATGTATGTGTGTGGCTTCAACCCTACCCTGTTTGCATTGCATGGCTTTCCCCTGGAGTAAGCAGATACATAAATTCTGAGATTACAGAGGCCCAAGGTCCCGTACTCTGTTCTACCACACAACGAATAATTGTCGTGGTACTACATCACTACTCCGAAGTCCCCATCATAACTCCGAATGACAGTAAATCAATGTTGTATACATAATATTCGTACGAATACGTGAGGGGCACCACATGTGCAAGCGCTAGTTACGGTTGTGCTGTTCCCCATCCAAATGCACCTCACCCCCTTCCCCGTGCTCCCTTTGCGGCGGGCCGAATACACACATCCACAAGCTCGCGCCCCCCCGCCTTCAACGCCAGCATCTCGCCGGTCCCAATATCGTTTTTCATTCACCGCGCCCTTGATCATTAGTTATAGCACCACCGTGAGTTTCCTCGGGAACACTAGACTTGGTTGGTATACCATCCTTGGCCCAATCATCTGCATCGACGACTACTTGCTTTTCCCCGCCTTGGCCTGCCTAACTAACTACCTCCCGCCTGCACAGACGCACACATTCACGAGCTAACTAGGCGGCGGGGGCGCTCGTGGGTTATGGTCAGGGAGGGGGGGGCTGGTGGGGGGAATGATACATCACATGGCCCATGGACAGATAACAGCATCTTGAGGTTGGCTGGCTCAGGCGACTTGGAGGCATTTCCGCGCGCTACTTGTCGAAAAGCCCTGGGTTGGCTTCTTCACTGCAATATGGCTGTAGCGTCTGGTTTGTGCATGTGGCTTTTGAGGTGGTTGATGAGTTCCAAAAGATACGGTCTATCTGGATAAGTTCGAGGAGAGGGGAAAGAAAGATTAATAGATGGATATGATAGAATATAGAAAGGCCATTGTGATATCACCATCACCCCCGATGCACTGTCCCAAAACGTCAAATACGGGCAGGAGTGAGGAATCGATGGAATAATGGTAGAAGTCAAGGAAAGAATATATGAGAAGAAAAGTACAAGAGTACTGTCGGAAGAAAAATTCCGTACAACAGTCTGGGTAAGGGACAGAGCTTGTCTGGAAAAGAATTTAGACAAGTGAACGCGCTCACGACCACCGAAGCAGCATCCCCCGGAAAAAATTGAATGAAAGAGCGAAGTAGAATGGTAAAAGCAGTCCGATTCAACCAGGAAAGGATCGTGGAGAAGAGAAAGAGAGTTGATAGCAAAAAAACAGGGAAAACAATTCCTACGCCAAAGCGTGGAATCCTTGCGACACCCAAAAAGAGAACAAAAAGAACAGATAGGACTGAATTTGATCTAGGAACTCATTCAATCACTGAGCCACTACTGTGCCGGCCTCTTTGGGACATTATTTGCATAATTGTCCGAAGCCGCCCTCTTCCCTGTGTACGAAGAAAAAGTTAGTTAGAGGCTCTGATGAAAGTAATTTAGTACACTCATAAAATTGTGTCGATTATTAGACATCGTCCAACCGCTCAAATCCGCTCATAGCGGCTAGCATCGACAACGGGACTGTACTGTGTGGTATGTTCTGACTTACTATTCTCAGTAGTAATTGCGTGAAAAGTGTTCTTGAAAGCTGGCGGTGTCCATGGGGGCAACCGTCTACCGATATTGGCCAAAACCTCCCAATGGTTTCGTAGTACATCTTCCTGTGGCAGCATTTCCAGTGCGTCCAAGACAAAAAGCCCTTCATTTTTGTCAGGAGAACCGATCAGGGAAACATAAAGATTGTTCTGCTTGGGGTCTGATGGAGGAATGCCGTCCCAGGTGATGTTGGCGTAGGCATCACAGTTCCTACTAGAAACTTGGTCCAGGATAGTGACCAATGCAGATGCAGCTCGAGCTTCTATGTCTTTGCTGGAAGTCCCATTCTCGACTTGCTGGTCAAAGTAATCAAAAATTGCGCCCACCAACGCCTTGAGCTTGCTCGCACACGTTTCTACGTCGTGCGAGTCCGATCTTGCATCGGTGGGTCCATTCTTGATATACTCATCCAGTGCGTTGAAGGTCCGTGCGATACGATCATTTATCTTTTCGAAAAATACTTGTGTTTGGAACGCAGGAGTTATCACTGATCGAAGTCGGCCGAACAATCCAAGATTTTCCGATGCGACTTGTATGAAAAGCTCCCTAAACTCTCTGTATTTCTTAGATCTCGCCGATAGATAGGCCGGTTCGTCGCACTTGAACTCAGAAGGGAGGGCATCAGACGGCTCAAAGACAGAGAGCATTTCTGCGATCTCAAACTCAATGTCATCTTCATCTGGCAACGGGACCTCGTGCAGGACCCAGCCCAGCCCTTTGGATATTGTCTTTAGGCCTTTCTCGTGAATTATATCTGCTGGTTCAATTTCGTGTACATTAGAGCCATCTGCAGAGAGCTCCAGTGTTTGTGATTTCATGTCGTTTGAGTCGGACTGAGTGGCTAGCTGATCCAAGATCCAGAATATATGCTACCAAAAGTCAGCAGTGAATTCTACCATGCATGTTGCCACCATGTTATACCTTGCAGGCTGTTCCCTGGTCATTTGCACCGCAGGTACATCGTGGTACAGCAAATCGGCCGCCCATGCCGATGGTAATGTCATCATCAATGAAGAACATGTATTGCTCAGGGTCATCATCTGATGCCCTACAATACTTCATTTTGATGGCATTGTCATCCATAAGACCGCGCTTAGCACGTCTTCGCACTTCTGTGTTGAGCTTGGCGACATTGTACTGAAGCCCTGAAGTGGAATCGATCAAAGAAGGAGTAGGAGATGTAGATTCGTGAGTTGATGGGCTTGACGTGCGACTTGGTGATCCGGAAAGGTTCGTTTGGACTGGCGGTGCGGTACGAGCCCTGGCTGCTCTGGCTGCCCCAGCCCGAGTCGTCACCATGGTTTCCCCCAATGATAGTTTGGAAAGTGCTTCGGCGGACATGGAGATGCTTCACCCACTGCTCTGGTGATGAGAAAGTTGATCAAAAGCAAGATATATATCGGTTGGGATTGCACGCCGCAAGGGAAAGAACGGTTATTCAGTGATCGTATGGCAAAGGCTTCAGCCTTGACGGCGCTTAGAGATCTCCAGTTCTGACGCCGCAAGCTAGATCTATGTGGAGAACTGGTGGCTGTTGGCACGGCGAAGCAAAAATAAAAAAGAAGGTTGCCAGACTCGGTGTATTCGTGTACGTATAATGGAGCATGTCCACAATAGCCCGCAACCTACGCCGCGCATACCGAGACCATGCAAAGTATCCATAAACAGCAATCGCGGTTGCCCTATGAGACTTGCCTAGGGCAGCAAAACTCTCTGGAGAGGCCCTTGACGAGCTGGATATCTGCAAGTGAAGTCAATGGTTTGCGTGTATATCCTTGTCATAATTGATCCAAAGATCCAATGAACACCGATTTTCAGGCAAGTTGCCTAGTATCTGCGGTCACGGAGACCGCGAATGACTGAAGATGGCGATTCGATAAACGTCATACTGGGCAAGTCATGATCCTCTTCGAAGGATCTGTGTGTGTGCTTTGCCGCAGATTACAAGCACGATTAAGGCTACTGTGGCACTCGGCAGTACTAAATTTGCGGAGAACTCCTAATGGTTCTGTTCGGTGTGCTGTTCCGCAGGCATCACCGCCATAGCTGCGGCGTAGCTCTTAATCATTGCTTCTCTTCCGCCCTCTGATGGTAATCACAGCGTCAATTGAGACGCGACTTTATGTTTGTCTCATTATTTGGGGGCAGTCTCAAGGCCCAAGACAATCCGAACGGTGGGAATCGTGTTCTGTACTACCGGTCGATGGGAGTGTTGTTATCATGTTACTTGTCACTTGTTGTTCGATGATGATGGATGAGATGATGATGCGGAAGTTGGCGGAGAGTCCACCAGTCGTTGTCAAGCCACTAGGGCTGTGCACTCAGCCTCGCGTATGCAAGTTAAGCGTTTAATCCCAGCATTTTCCAATCGTTTTTGATACTTCATACTCTAATAGATGGCCGCGAGGCGTATTCTTCTTTCACATCAATAGAAAGTCGCTCAAGCTTCTGCCAGCTCTCGTAATAAAGAGACACTGTCTCGTTCTCCGTGCCACGTGTATTGCGCCCCTCGAACGTTAGCCATCGCTAGAGGGAAAAGGCTGGAGGATGGCGGCTCGGGCCTCTAGCCTGTGACCCGGTCAATTTCCATTCATTGAGGCTCTGAGTTAAACAAGAATTACATATGTCGCTCATGCTTCTGACACAGTGTGCAATGATTGATGGAGCATATTGGTCACCACAAAGGAGCAGGTTGAATTGGGAAATAGATCGTCATGCCATCTCGGACGGATCTACAGGTACCTAGGTAGGTCAATAATTAGATTGTTAGGAGATAAGGAGTGAAATATGTAGAGTTGCCATGAAAAACCACAAACAGGCGACGACAGGTGAACGAGACAGCTGCTCCTTTCAACTCTGCGAAGCACAATGCTGCCAAGGTGGCAAGCGTAAGAGTGCATAATCATCAAAGGAATGACTATTGAATAGAAATGTGGTTATGTGAATAATGGAAAGGCCAGTAAGCAACTGTGCGAGCCGCCAGCGAGCTCGACCCATCCTTCCTGGCGTGAATCTTGAAAATGCGTAAGAGACGTTCCATCATGAATCCAATTACTTTGCCGCATGGGTTACCTGAACCCTAAAGTATACGGCCCGCTCGAAAATATGAAGTCCGACAGGCGTTGAGGTGGCGCCTGATCATCGAGTACTCCAACCCGGATGACGGTAAGCTCGATAAGGGAACCATCTCCATGCTGGATAGCCCCTTGCAAACTGGTCAGTAAGGCGCAGCCCTAATCTATATGCTGTAAGTTAACGTCATTACAACAGCGTACAGAGGGGCCACTCACAACTGGGAGTTCTCACCTGCTGCTCCCTCCGTTCCGTGAAGCGGCGTGGACCGAGTTTTCTCGAGAGCTCTGCTGAGAGTTCTGTTCCTTGTTTTTGCCTGCCTCAACAATGTGCCGCATCGAGATGCCGCCCCATGGAAGACCAGAGAGCTCTTGGCCTGGATCAATATCACCAGGCTCGGGTGATGCATAGGAGCCGCCCGCTCGGCGTTGGTTCTCCATCTCGCGTTCCGTTTCTTCTTTCTGTTCTCGTTGCTTGTCTCCTGAAGTATGGCTTAATTAGCTGCGTGCTCCTTTCTTTATTGCCGTCCTGTAGAAGGACTTCCGCCGATGCAGATGGGATCCGGGAACTCACGAAAGCGCCGCTGCGCGAGCTTGTTCTGTATCTTCCTCCTCTCTCCAGGATCTTTGATCTCTGTCCACTCATCCTGCTTTGGTCGAGAGGTATCTCTTGCAGCTGCCTCTGACCCTCCCCTGGTTGGCCTTGATTGCTGCCCAATACTGGCCTGGCTTTGCGACATTATGAATTAGGCGAAGGCGTTGTGTATGAACTGCCAGTGCCTCGCTGTGCTGGCGTAGGAAGGAAAGCGGCAATGCTGGTGGGCGAGCAAGATCCCTTGTGATGAAACACTTTAGAGAATATGTTCCAAGAAGACGTCCACAGATGCTTTGATGCTTTGCAAGATTATACCGAAGGGTAAGGAAACCGTTATATCGCGTACGAATGCGTGGAGCTTCAGACCGAAGATTGGGGAAGGGGGTAGGATATGCGTTTTAGAGGTTGTCCATCAAACCAAACCCTTTCTCATGTCTAAGAAGAACTGGCACCGGGCCGAACTAGTTATGAGATATCTGGAACGATGAATGGCGAGACTCTGGTCCGAAGTGAGTACAAGATTCAGCTGTTTTGCAGCTTGATGCCTGATCGTGCTCGAGGAATGGATGAACGGGAATGGAGTGTCATTAAGAAAAGAAACGAATGAACGAATGAGCGTGGTGCGCCACGAATGACTCTATAGAAGGGCGCACACGAAGATATACATACTGTGGTACAACAACACATGGAGAGTCCCTGACTGGCCTAGCTGTCGACGATTGAGGGAACCAGTGCTTCGGGATTGACGAGGGAGGGATCGACATCCTTGGGTCGACCCACCGGTGCCATGAGGCTTCAGAGGTATCATTCTGGTGATTGGTTCGTGATAGCCGCAAAATAGCTACTAAAGCGCGAAAGGATAACGGTCTCTGGGCAAAATGTAGGCATCTATCTAAAATATCGATACGTCTGGTAAGGCAGAAACGTCTGTCTACGTTTCAACGAGTAGGAGTCCAGGGTTTAGACCAGCTCGGCAGTCCCGTCTATGGGCTAGGACGATATGACGTCCTGCCGGAGTCCTGGTGGACCGCACGATATACCTCTCTAGGATCGGCAAAATCCATAAGCCCTGTAAGGCAGTTGGTATAGGTGAAGGCACTGATCAGGATTGGCCGCTTGGTGCTCCGCAAAGCAGATAGTGTCCCCAAAAACCTTCGTGCCTATACTCCGGTAGGCCATAATCGCGGTCGTTCCGAGCAGTCTCACCAGACTAACGGTAACGAATGATGCAGGTACCTGGCTTCGACTTGGCCGGTTCAGCCCCCAATGTCCGGATTGGGATAGATGGGACATGGTGACGTGATAGGAATAGGGTCAAGTCATAATGTCTACCTACAGTGACACATGGTATCCATGACACTGTTCACGATTGAAGGATTATCGTGGCGGTGCTCATGCCATTTGCACTTTGGGGTGCTTGTGGTAAACGACCATATCGGGGTGAACTTGTGTTCAGCCGTGTGACGGCGGCATCGCAGACGAGGCAGAGGATGACATGCCGTGACAAAGAAGGTAATATGAGCGGAAGTAGAGGTCGACATATGCATTGACTAGGATATCTCAGCTGCCAAAGGGCAAGAGAGCACTGCAGAATTTCGGCGTCGAGCCGTGCATTCCCTGCTCTGATGCACTGTACCATGAGAAATGTGATGATAACCGCCACTTCGGCGAGCCGGTAAGTGGAGAGGGAGGTGATGTCAGAGACAACCACTATATGGATCCAAGGTGATGTATCGGTGTGCCAAAGTTCGGAGCATTGCTTGAAGCCGTCGCAAATGCAAGTAGTTTGAAGAGGAGTTGTTTTAAAGTCGAGCGGTGGACGTTCGCTCTAGCCTCATCCCTATCAAGCAGCCGGCCAATCAAGATGGAGTTTGTCCTGTGCACAGCCAGCGCCATTCCTAATATGGGCGATTCCTTTGCCTTAGACTGAACATGCAGACCGCTGGACTCAGCCTCGATCTCAAACAACCTTAAAGCATCTAAGGGTGATCTATGCCGTAGCGACAAATAAAATGATCTTAGTACGGGTCTGCCATCTCCAAAGGCACTCTCTTTTTGGGCCCGCCTCATTTAACAACTGCAGTAGTCGTCTCATTGACCGTCTTTTCTACAACCTCTTCCCAAGAAAAGACTGATGAATGCCGCCCTGCGCTTGTGTCGTGTGCTTGTGGCTACTGTGGATGCATCGCCAATGTCTAAAATGCATCATGGCGGTAGCCAGTTCATTGACCGGTGAATGACCGTGCATCCTGGAGTCAAAAACCCTACCTTTCAAAGGTCAAGCCACCAGTATGAACAGAGATCATGTCACAGTGTTTGGATGGATTGACCGAGGGCGTGGTAGACTATCCAGAAAAGAGTCATGTATAGAAAAATTCATGTACCGCACTGGCTATTTCCGCGATTCTAACAACTATTAGTATCTATTTATAATTATACTGCAATAAAGCGGCACAAAATCTATGTCATGAATGGCTCGGATATGGGCGAAAGGCGTACAACTCCCCCCTCTTCTGGCAGAATGACACAAACAAAGCATCATTTTCTAGATCAAGGTTGACATCGTCATGTACATCTAATCTCTATCTACTAAGTAGCAGGTATCAGTCCTCGATAGACCTCCCACTTTACCACTAGTCAAGCCGTTCAGTATCAGCAACGTTCGCTCCTCCCCCCAATGATCACTTGCGCCGTGAGCCCTAGTCCGGCCTCAAGCATGTGTTTATAATTGCACATTCCAAGTGTTGCAAAAATGGTCCCCGTGTTGTCTGACAAGAGACTGGTGTATGGTACGGCAACGCAGCGCTGGACATAAGTCTCGAGTACATGGCTTGCCTGGAGTTCCTTTTGCTCGGTATTAGGTGCATGGTAGGCAGAAGTGATTCACCAAAGGAAGATTATAGTGCACTGCGACTTACCCAAACCAGGGTGAGGGATTGACTTCAGAAAAAGTTGATGACCTTACGTTCGTGCGAGAATCGTAAACCTGATTGTCATTAAGCGCCATGATCTTGAGTTTGAGGGTGTGTTTCTTGCATCACCAGATTCACCACCATTGGTACGAGAGTTGGAAGAGTCAGATCGGTCAAATGTTGAACCGGGGGGCATTCGACACAATTGTTGGTACCTAGGCGTCAGCGAACCATAGCTATTCTAAGCATTAAATCATGTTTAAAACGACGTTTACATGTATCGGACATCCGCTAAGAATCGGACCGCCGCAGGCGATGTACGACCATGCAAGTGTATACTGAGGATGCGTACAACGAACCACCAGCCTCACGCTTAGAATGCCTTCAAGTGCCTGCACAGCCACTGTGACCTAATCTGGCGTTGTGCGTGAGCAGTGAAAAGCATGGATACGATTCATAGGAAAGATGAGCGGCTGAGGATAGCGTCAATTCCCACAAAATGTAAGCACTTTAAAAATGGTTCATCGGCTTCAGTAAACGGGTTACTGTGGGCAAAGTCAACCAAGGTTGTTGAGCGAACATTTGCTCGAGAACGAAGAAGCCACAGGGATAACTATCAATAATGTTTGGGTGAACATGCACGATGTTTGTCATAACTTAGTCCCACACATTCGAAGGATTGGCAATGAATGGGGTGGAGTAGACACGGTCCTGCTAAAAACCTATTTCGATCTCCCACTGAAGGAAATGTTGCTCCAAGGACATGGGGCGAAGACCCTTGGAGCAGGCAAATGTGGGGTGACGCTCGAAGGGAGCACAATGATGATCGAATGAACGAGTCTACATGACCGTGCAATGAATGCATCGAGTCTAGATTATGATGGAAGCGTTCTGTACCCAACGCAGTCAATGGAAGGGATCATCTTTCCCTTTCCATTTGTCATACGTATCGTGGTCAAGCACGCGAGTGACGAGAATGATAGAAGGCGTATGGGTGCCGTTTCTCCTGTTCAATTGCGAAGAAGCAATTGGAGGTTGGTTGGTGAGTGAGTGAATGATTCCAAGGTTGAGGAAGGAGAGGGAGAAGAGGAAGAAAAAATAAGAAGGCCTAGTAGGAAGTTAAGGATAATTGAGAAAGGGGCGGAAAAACCCCACGGGCACTAAATGGCTTGGCGGGAAAGCGCAACAAAATCACTGTGACAGCTGGCCACTCTTCTGTTTCTTCACACACATTCATAAACTTTTGAACGCATAATCAACTGCCATGTCTCATCTGCCATAGTGTGGTCAGTCATATTGGCGTACTATAGTAATCCCAACTGTGGCTTTTTTAGGCTTCTGCATCGCTCTTCCATGATGCTAGGGGTCACCTGCGTATGGCCGGACATATTTCCCCTTCTCAATCATGTTGATAACTCTGGCCTGGATTGATGTGAAGAGCGCTTCAAGTTGCTGGAACCCCATTCACATCTTGGTTTTTTCCTAACAAATATTCGGATGCATCGTGTAGTATGTAATTGTTTCGCACGGAATCGTATCCATCAATGGAATGGGTCCATCAATCTAGCTCCTCTATCAGCACATTGCCTCGTCAGCAAGGCTCCCCCATAGTAAGAACCAAATGACCAGTCATGTCTTATACCAAAGTCCAGTCTGGTTTATTCGTTGATTACACACCATACAGGAATCTACATCAGGTATCAACTAATACAGTGCGGACTATGTAAGCGTTGCACATTCAACTGCGATGGATAGGATTTTGTCAGCTCTGATGATGGGCACGTGGCTTCGGCTTCGGCTTCGGTCACGTAGATGCCATTACAGAGTACGGATCAGATGTTGTGTGATTACTTCTACTTCTAAGTTCTACTGTGTATTACTCCGTATGTCGCATGAAGACAGCATCTCGTCTGTTGGTTGCTCGGAAGCCCGGCTGGCTCTCTTCACCTTCTGCATTCTGCATTCTGCATTCTGCTGATCCTGATCCCTGTCCAACGGGCAATTCCAGTTGGCGTTTTGCGCCCCGAGGGAGTATTCCTAGGACGAAGGAAGATTTCAAAGCAAGGATAGTTGTGGGTAGGGAGGCAACTTATTACTCTAGCGATACTCTGTACTGTGTAATTTAACACCATCGAGAGTGCAGTACTCCGTACACGCGAAGGGATATTTAATGTCAGTTTGTAACGGTAAGTACTCCGTACCAGGTAGGTAACAAAACAACAATCACATATGGGGTGAGAAATATAGGAGAAATTCCCGATCCTATGGTTCTACAGAGATTTCCTACCGATTATTGTCTGTATGTATGTAGGTACTGTGTATGTAATAGGTAATTAGTATGTATGTATGTACCTTGCTCGTGGCAGGCCGCCCACGTTGGTGTTGCTTGCAGCAAGTTGCCTCCCTCCCTACCGAGTACCTCCCCCCCAATTATTGGCATCTGGCATCCCAACCCAACCAACCCTAAAGGGGGCCCAGACGCAGCACCAGACTATTACCAGACTACCAGGACTACCAGCACTACTCGAGCAGAGGAAGCGAGTCGTGCGTCGATCGGATCTAACGCACCACGAACCTCTGTCTCCTAGAAAGTGTCTCCTTTCCTGTCTTTCCGTCATCTCTCCTCCAACATGGAGACCTCGTTGTAATAACTAATAATATCTTCTTCTTCTTCTTCATTGTCTAGAGGCGCCCTCCCGCCTGTACCGAGCTCCGCACGCTTCCCCGCGAGTTTGTGTCTTTCATCGTCCCATCCCTCCCTATCCCCCGACCTCGCTGCGACCCGCTCCTCTTCTGCTTCACCATGGCCTCTGCCCTGAACAAGCGCCAGCAAGCGCGCAACGAGCGGACATTACAGGATCTAATTAAGACAGTCCCCGGAAACAATATTTGCGCTGATTGCGGGGCGCGCAACCCAGGTCTGTCCTTCCTTTGAAATATTTCCAGTCGAAGAACCGTATACTGACTGTGCTACGTAGGATGGGCCAGTTGGAGCGTAAGTTCTCTGTTCTACTCCCTACCCCGATCCGCCTCGCTGCTGCCAGAGCGCCCGACTCCCTTTCGGGCGGAGAATAGACACTGACATGATCGCAGTTGGGTATTTTCTTATGCATGCGGTGCGCGGCGCTGCACCGCAAGCTGGGAACTCACATTTCCAAAGTCAAGTCTTTGAGCATGGACAAATGGGACAATGCCCAAGTCGACGTAAGAACGAGATTGTCTCGAGGTTGAAAGGGTATACTGACACTGAGTAGAATATGAAGCGCATGGGCAATATCGAATCGAACAAAGCATACAACCCTCGAAACATCAAGCCGCAAATCCCGATAGACATCGACGAAGCAGACGGCGCAATGGAAAGGTTCATAAGACAGAAATACCAGGAGCGTGCATATTTGACCGACTCTCGACCTGGCACGCGACACAATACCGGCAGCACCAGCTCCGTCGAAGACAGACCGCCCCCGCTTCCGCCGAAACCTACGAAACGATTTGGATTTGGTCTGCAAAAGGCCGCCACTGCTCCGCGAAACGTCACACCTCCAATTTCGCCTGATTTGTACGGATTTGGCGACACATCTCCGCCTAGAGTGAACAAGCCGTCAAGGGTATTCGGATCGGATGTCGGGGCTTCAGGGGACGGCTTGGAGTCGAAGCTGGCGACGCTTCGCGATATGGGATTCCCCGACGACAAACGCAATGCTACGGTCTTGAAGGGCCTTAATGGCAACATTGACAAAGCTGTGGAGGCATTGATCAGACTGGGAGAACAGAATCCTGGGAGGTCCCGTGGTAACACACCTACCCCTCCCGTGAAACCTGGGGCAAATGGATTATCATTTGAGAGATCAAATACCGCACCGGCCGCGGTCTCATCAATGAATCCATTCGATGCTTTAGACGCCGTTCCTCCCGTGCAACAACAACAACCGCAGGTTGGCCTGAACACCCAGACAGCGTATCAGACAAATGGCTCCCAAGTGACTTCTCCCATCAATTCATACAATCCATTCCTGGGGCAACAGATGCAACAAAACTATCCTCCTCAGCAACAGATGCAGCAGCAACAGATGCAACAACAACAGATGCAACAACAGCAACAGATGCAGCAACAGCAGCAACAGCAACAGCAGGCATCTCAGCATAGCTTGCCTTCACAGTCGAATCCATTCGGCCAACCGCAACAGGGCTTGGAACAATCTTTCCAAAACCTGCAACTGTCAAGTGCACAACCGCAACAGCAATTGTTTCCAAACCGGACCGGTGGCCACGCTCAACCACCTAACCCGCCTTTTGCACAAGGCAACCCCTTTCAGCAATCCTTCACACCACCACCCATGCCACAGATTCCACAACAATATCAATCCTTCCTCCCGGCTCAGCAGTCCACGTACCAAGCGCCAGTGTCGCCATCGGCTGCTAGCAATCCATTCTTAAAGTCCTCACGATCTCAGATGTTTTCTCCCACCTACGCATCGTCCAATCCATTCAACCAGTCACTTCAATCACCACCCCAACAACAACCACAACCACAACAGCAGCAGCAGCAACAACAACAACAACAACAACAACAACAGCAGCAGCAGCAACAGCAGGGAACTAATCCATTTACAATGCAGCAGAGCTCTCCAAGTGCTGTTACCTCTCCTGGGCCGTCTCCCTGGCAAGGCCTAAATCAGAACACGCAACCCCAGATGAACCCGTGGCAGGCTCAACAGATGGGATACGCACCGCAGAGTCAGCCGCAGCCAAATTACCTGCAGCAAGGCCAAGGCCAGATCCAAGGGCACCCGCAGCAGGCTGCATTGGATAAGAATTCCATTCTTTCCTTGTACAACTACCCACAGCTTGCACCGCAACGATCCGAAGCTACACAGCCTGCCCAGGTTCCCACTCCCGCATCTGCTGCCCCTACTGCCCCTGCAGCGGGGAACCTAAACCCCTTCGCTGCCGTCCAGGGTGCACCGCAAGGCCAAGCACCTCGATCAGGATTGACGAGTCCCATCTCGCCAAACGGAGCCAGGCATGTCAGTAACGAAAGCGTTGATTTCGCAGGTCTCATGGGCGGGCGTCATTCACCCGACGCATTTTCGGGTCTAAGTGCAAGTTATCGAAGATAGAGAAAACCATCCTCGCAAAACATCTTGTTGCATAGTTTGCCTTTTTCACCATGCATAGCTAGCGGAGCAAGATTTACGTCAAATTCACAGCATTCATACTTCATTTTGGTCGGCTCCATCGATTGCAGGGAATGATCAACGTAGTCATGGGGAGGGAAAGAATGAGGGAGATAGAGAGAGGGGGTTATGTGCAAGAGGGCTAAGCATGTTCGAAATGGGCATACCATTCGAGGTCAAACGTTTGTAATTACATCCATTTCTTTCTTTTCTTGTAGGGTTTCTCTTTCTTTTTGTGTAGTTGATGTACCTTGGATGGGATAATAACTTGGAAGGGAAACAGAAAGGGGTAGACTGGGATGCCCGAAAGGATTCAAAGGACAATAGGGAAACGGACGGGACCGATGTCAATAAGCACTCAATACATATCGTTCATTTGCTCGAAGCATTGTATCTTCGATTTATTAATTTCCAGCTTCTGTGTTCTGGAGACGAGGAGGTATACACCAAGTTGGGTTCTATTATTCATTGGAAGCCGTCACGCCACTTCCCCGTGTTTGATCCTCGTACGGAGTAGCTGAGCCACGAAGTGACTGCATCTGTGATTCAATGTGAGTCCCTTACTCATCCAGATATTCTCATAGGTCTCCAATACGGACGCATGGATTGGAATGAGGCATGTTGAGTTGGTTATGATACGTTTAGCAGCTCCCTTATGTTAGTCATGCAATCCCACTACACATGCAAGGTCATGATTACTTTGTTGAATGAACACGGAAAACGTAAAGGGTTGAAAGGGTTCATTAATTCGTGAGATATATATAATCTAAATTCTGTCCTCCGCTAGGCATTACACAGGAGGCAACGATACGACGTATCTGCCAACAGGGTTTGCATGGTTTTGAGATTGAGATTCGTTGTAGAGTAGCTCCTGGCTTACGTCGTGGAGCTGGGTGATGATGCGCTTGCTGAACTCTTCGAAGAGGGGAGGATCCAGTGGGTATAGTGAATCCTTGAGTGGTAAAAAACTGAAAAGTGTGGAAATTTTCGATCAGGCGCCCTTCATCACGCCTAAAGTTGCTCGAAGAAGCATCTTTCGCGTTGCGCTTCCCATCTCCTCATCCGGCAGAGTTGACCGAGCGACGCAATCCGCGTTCATAGGAAAGCCTGTGCCATCTTCGCCATACTAGCCAGGCCCCCGATACCGTCTGCCAGATTCTTCAGCCCAGCTCCCGCGTTGGAACCTCCACCTCCAGCATCTCCGTAACCTTCGCTCCCGTAGTAACCTCCCTGGCTGGGAGCACCTCTCGCGCCCTGGCCGCCGCCTAGTTCGGGCAGGTTCACGCCAAATTGCCTGGCCAGCTTGTGTAGGACGCCGCCGGATACCAAGGGCATGATGACCATGAAGAAAATCTTGTAGGGATGTTTCTTTGCGTATCGCCACAGTTGGCGAAGGAAATGTTGGAATTTGTGGTAGAGGTGTTGAAGGTAGCCGTCTCGAGGGGAGCGCTTGTAGCGCGAGGTCGACGATCGATGGCGAGATGAGGAGCTGTAGGAGGAGCCGGCGTAGGATCGCGCGTAGCCTGGCCGCGACGAGGAAGACGAGGATGTGAACCAGCCCATCGTTGTTCGTAATCGCTGGTGTTGTGTAAGGTGTAAGGTCGTTGCGGGTCAGATGCGCAAAATGTTGCAAAGTTTGATGAGATAGTACGAGGTTGACAGTAAAGTTCTTCGGTGAATAAAAGCCGGAATAAATTAAATTGCTGAAGGAACAAATGCGACAGATTGGATGCGAGAGCCGGTGTTGGTAGAAGCTGATAGGGCTGTTCGCGCAAATGTATTGAGATGCTGGTGCTTCAGCTCGAGCGGAGCTCTACTTTCGCGCCACCTGCTCGCTTTTCGTTGTTCGACTTGTCAGATGCTTCTGGATGCGTTTTCCAGAAGAGAGTAATGGGTCCAATCTTCGTGGAGAATAACACCAAGCTCTTCCTTTGCCTCCGGTGAGGGTGGATCGGGATTGGGCAGCAGCTGCAGCAGTTATAATTTGTGCGCTGTAGCTCTCGTTCGCTGGGTTCTTTAGACGTCGCGAATTGGCCCAATAGCGGAGACCCTGAATCCCAATCGAAGGAGGATATCTGCTTGTAGGTCTAATCGATGGCGTAGGAAGTCTAGATGTATGTTGCTAGACTAGAGCAGCTGTTAGCGACGAAGATGACTTGTCGACGAAAGATGCTCTGCGCTCCGACCGCGAAAGATGCGAAGCTGATGCAAATACTCCGTAGACAGATGGGATTGATTGACAAAGAGAGAGAGAGAACAATCAAGGCAGGAAAGGGTATGCGGAGGAGCGGCGAACTTGTGGAGCGTGTTTCCGGCAGCAGGGGGCGATCCTACAGACCGCCATTTGCACCGACTCGTAACTGCGAGGTGGTTGGCCCAGGGCCGTCCGGGTTGGAGGTGGTTGGGATTCTTTGCACAGGCCAAGCGGCGGACAACATGCAACTACAGCGACTACAGCAAGACTACTATGACTACCACGACTGTACACGAGTACTTGCATCCACTTGGGGCCAACTACTGCCCAATTTACATGTATCATGCATGTTTATCGTGCAAGGATATGCGAGACACAATTGCATGAACTCTAGTAGGGTCCCGGCCTAATTGGTTGCCCACTTGCCCGACTGTTTTTAGATTCTATACGCCTACTTTGGGCTACTTGGGCTACATATATCAGTCCGAAGAAGTTATAGCACACAGCCAGCACATAATTCTGATTCATTCAAAATTCATTGCTCGACTTTCCTCATTCGTAGTGCTCGAATTGACAACAGCAGATTTTGACTAGGCACAGGCTACGACAACGGGTAATACTTCAAATATGGCAAAGACAGTAACACTGGTTTTGGGTTTTGATCTGAATCCAGAACGTGGAAATTGAATATATCGGACTTGATACGGCTCAGTTCTTACTAGCCACGTGGAAACTTCATACAGCGCATCATAATGACTCCTCACAATGACTCCTCCCGGTGACTCCTGCTGGTTCGACCAGATAACCCTCCATGCAGTACAGACAACGATTCTTGGGGACTCGAGGCCTGTGCATATTGTGGCGACGTGGATTATCTGTGCGAAGTTTTACACAACTATATGCATCGTTTGACCAGGGTGAGTTCTTTTTGTGGTTCGAGCTTCATGATTTTCAACGGTTATTTGGTTTCATAAAAGTAACCCAACTGTGACAGCACATACTTCAGTACAGAGGCGGGCATGCTTTCATTTGAAACCCTTCAGAATCCCCCATGGACTTTGTATACAAACTGTCTACCACTCAAATCTCTGTGATGGCAGCTGGTCATTGTCCGGTCTCGAAAAGCATGTACGCGAGAGTCTCGTTGTAAGATCATTGGTATCGTCTAGTAAACACCGAAACCATGACCTTGCAATATCTATTGTAGGAAGCTTTCATGTTTATTGCATAAGATTTCATGTGAAGTTCGTGAGAACTCAGATTTGAGGCCACTCTTCCTTGAATGGGGCATTGCTTGCGCCAAATGGCTTCACATCGGCTGGTTTTCAGTAAAATGGGGATTACCAGTTCGATAAGAAGACTTGATGGATCCCCTAACCATACGATGAATACATAAAGCTTATTCGAGGCGCTATACATCCACACCCATGAGCATTGGAGTAAAGTGTTCATATCAGATTGATGACTACCTATATTATGCTAATTGCTACCAAAGAAAGACCCCCAAAATACTCGTGTGACTCTCAGGGACATGGGAGGTCATGGCTGAACAAAATTCTAACTGAGACTCTGTTCCCGAATCAAGTCATATCCTGCAACCTCTACTTCCACACTCGAGGCTGTGACTATGAACCTACAGCACTTGCAAACACCTTTGCCGCAAGGTCACTCAACAACTTCGCTTTGTCTGCCTGAGGCAACTCTTGAAATACCTCATACACACTCTTTCCTTTGGCATCTCTGACAGCGCCTAATCTGTTTCCAGCAACGGCCCCCGCAAGCATGCCTGGGAAGTTGGCGACGATGAACCCCATAGCCCCGCCGCTCAAGCCACCGATAATGCTCCAGAACTTGCCTGTGGGCGTCGCCTGGTCACCCTCGGCCATTCCCTCCTCCCGCAACATCTCCTCGAACATCCCGCCAAATTGCTCGTTTGAGAATCGGTTGTGGCTATCTTCTGTCTCGCCCGCGGGCGCGCTGCCGAAGCCGAATGCGGACCATGGAAAACCTCCCGCGTTACCCTGGGGTCGGGGTATCTCTTCTTCGAACTCCTCGCTGGAGTCGCGTGAAAAGCCTGCGCCTGCACCCCCAAAAGATCCGTATGCGCGGGTCGCATCGTAGTCGCGGCGTCGAGTAGGGTCAGACAATGTGTAGTATGCATCGTTGATCTGTTGGAATCGCTTCGTGCGTGCCGTGCGCTCGGGAGAGTCGGCTGCTACACGATCTGGATGGTGTTTGAGGGCTGCTCTGGACAACGAATGCTTGGTTAGTGAAGGTCGATGTGGGCTTTGGAGGAAGTCGTACTTTTTATAGGCATCGCGGATCTGTTGCTGTGTCGCCTTGGAATCTATCTCCAGAACGCGATCTGTAGATCTATGTTGGTATGGCTTATGAGTTATATACGAAGCAACTTACAATAGTCAGGCGCTGAGATCAAGTTAGCCTAATGGTGCTACATGATGATTACGAGAAGGAAGTTTACCTGACATGCTGGGAGTGGTTTGGCTGTCTTGTCTTTGATAGTGTAGTATGCAATGATTGTGGGTATATATATGTATGAACTGGTATCTCTGAAATGGTTCAAGTGGACAAGCACGAAAAAGAGGTGATGTTGCGCATAGAGGCGATGACGTCGACGGATAAAAGACACGCCTTCTCTGTTCTGCGGGTACGATACTCTGGGTGTCTGGGCCCTAAGATCTAGACTAGACTAGCCTGGTCCCTGATTTCTGGCCTGTACCTAGGCTGTAACACCGCCACTCACCACTGTGGCGTAATCGTGAATCCAAATCCACGTGCTGAGAGTTCACGCTGTTCGTGAACATCTAAACACGCACGAGTAGGAAGCAATCTCAGACTATAGTCAAATCTAATGCCATATATTAATATCTATGCACTCTCACCCAACCAAGAATCCAGAGCGAAACGCTAAATCGAATGATATACACCCAAGAGCCTAGCCAAGTACTAGATATATACTCCATCGGAGTACCCATGGAGAAAATTAAACAGACGAAGGTAATACATAGCAGCGGAGCATAAATCAACCTTTTCTTTTAGTTCGACTGGACTTCTTTCTGCGTTCTTCATCCCTGCTACTGCCACCGGTGTGTCCAGGCTTGCCATCGATCCTCGTTGCTCGACCTTTATGACTGCTTGAATCGGGCTTCGGAACCACATCAACCTCGTCATCGCTTTCGCTCAATTGTGGCCTTGTACCCGAGCCTTGGTATGCGATTGCAGGATCAGATTGGCTTCCTGCAAAACCTGGCGACGATCTACTCATGCCCTGAGTCGGAACCGGAACACGGCGTGGCATGCCATTGTTGTATGTTTCGCCAGTACCTGCAACAACACGGCGAGCGTATTGAACTTGGGCTGCCGTAGGTTGCGCTGTTTGTTGAGGGGAAATAGGTTGACCAGGAACATGGTACTTGTAAGGCTGCGTGCTTTGGTGTTGGTATTGAGTCACAGGAAAAGGCACGAGTTTGACAGGATCAGGTGCTGATGACGATTGATCTTGAGCTTTTACTGGTACATTCTGCCGAGGGCCATCTGAAGCAGGATATTGCTGGTAAGAAGGCGGCACTACCTGGTCTCGGGCAGATTGCACAGTAGAGGTTGGTGTGTGGGTATTTCTCTGTGGGGAGCTAGGAAACGTACCAGGCATCTCTCGTGAAGGAGTGAACCTGGAAGAGAATGTCGGAGTTGTGGGAGTGCGAGGCTGTGGAGCGGGTTTCACGGAAGAGCGAGAAGCTGTGTGGGACGAAACACCACCTAACGGCGCAACCGATTTTTGTGCCCTGCGTCCAGTGTAGGAATTGATTGGAGCATACACTTGTTGTCCTCCAGGTCCTGGCACAACGAAGCCAGGTGCTGGCGCAGGGGGTCCTGCTACGTTTGGAACTGATGCAGCAGAAGTTGCATTCGAAGTCGACCGCTTTCGGGCGCTGGGCTTCTCCTTCTTCGGCCGAGGGGCAAAAAGTGAAGCACGCTGTTTTGGTTTTGAAGAGGAACGCACACTTGCTAACCCTGAGCTGTCATTGGAATGATTGGGCAGATCGGCAGATGTACTCATTCCTGCATAGTTGGTAGCGTTTGCTGGTACCTCCGCAGCCGGCTGTGGGCGTTCTGTGGGGTTCTTCGGACGCATAATCTTCGACTGGTAAATCTCAAGCTCTTCTTGGGTCATCTGTACATCAGCCTGACCAGACTTTCTTGCTTGTCGAACCTTCTCTAGAATACCTTGGAAGACATTCTCTTCGTATTCGGCTAGAGACATTGAGACAAGGCCGGCTTCATCGAACGCATCCTCATCCTCTTGATAGGTATAGTCGTCTTCATACACGTGCCCGTTTCTCTGTTCCCAAGCTCTTAAGTCCATGTCACTGAAATAAAGTTCGTCTGGATTAGATGATCTCCCGGGTGAGATCTTATGGAAGCCGGAACCGACGAAAGCGCCGTACTTTTCATCTTCACTATCAAATTCTTGATATCTATGCACATCCTCCATCCCCTCCATGTACCTCCCCACACTCCCCGCTGCCCCTGGTGGTCTTCCCCAAGGGGGCATGGTGTAAGGAGTTCGCGGCCGACCACCTAGACCGCCTCCTCGGAAAAAGCTGACTCGATTGGCTTGTCCATGAACGAGGCATGGCCCAAGATGGTGACGCCCGAGGCTCCGATCAGCCAGAGAGCAGTGGTGAGAGGGGAGGCCAAAAATCCCATGGGAATTGCGACGACAAGAAGAGCGGTATAGAGTTGGGATGTTGTAGCACGCCAGCTGCCAATGACGAGGTCGTTGCCCTCGAGCTTGCCGATACCATACATTCCACCAATGACCAAGAAGATGACGAAAAGAAGCCTCAGATTTGTGAGCAGGCTGTAGATGCTGAGCATGACGAAGACAGCGGCATAGTTGCTAGAGAAGTAGCCAAGGTTGTAGTTGACTCTGCTCTGAACCTCTCCAAAGTTGGCGGGCTTGGAGACGCGCTTGACATCCAGGAACTCGGAGATGGGACGGAGGTTGGCAAAGCGCGAAGAGATGGTCTGGTTGCGCAAGCCGTCGAAGCGACCCGAGAGGTTCATCCTCGAAGTGAGGGCGTCGAGAGGGATTCTGAGACCGGCCATGTTTGTGAAAAAGGGTGTTGGAGGTTGGTGGGAGTTTTGCTGTTGATTGAGATCGATTTCGATAAGGTTTTGTTCCTGTTGTCTGTGTTGTTCTGTGAGGATGGCCATTTTGTCAGTTGGGTTCGATATGTAAGAAGAAATTTGCTGTGTAAAGTAATATGGGAGGTTACGTTGTTGTAGTAGATGTAGTACAATGCTGCCTTGTGAGAGATGTGGCCTTGATGGCGGAGGTGAGGAAGCGGACGGGGTATTTTAAGGGAAACAAATTATCTTACAATGATCGCAGGAGCAGTTTGGAGGCAACGCGGAGACAGTGATGTTACGGTCGTAAGGTGGAAGGCGGAGTAATGCGACGAGAGTTTTGCGTACGTGTACTGGAGATGGATGGAGGGTGAGGTTTGAGATTCTTTTGATGAGAGGCTACGCGTGGCGGCGTGGTACGCTACGCTATGGCTACTTCTCCTTTCCGGTACTAACGTAATGAATAATTGATAGGGACGCTATTTTCAGGAGCAACCCGCTTGAACAGGATCTAGTACCAATCAGAGATCAGCAAAAGAAGCCGGCAAGGATGCAGTGCCACATTTTCATATGACAATCTACGGTACCTCGAATTGGATGGCTACTCAGCTCTCTATTTCTGAGGAAGGGAAGGGGAAGGGAGGGCGGAGGTGGAATAGAGGGAGGGAGGAAGTCCGAGAGGGGGAAGGCTTTGGCTGTGGAAAAGGACACGAAGCCCTAAGACGTCCGTATACTCTTACAGCCAGTACGGAGTACCTACCTACGCAGCACACGACCAACACAGTATTAATAGTAGATAGACAGTTGTAGTTACTGTACGAGTCCGACTCGGTATTACTGTTTTCGTATACTAATCGTCCATTCGTCACTCAAAGGGAAGGGCGGGACAATAGAGACTCCGACAACAAAATCGAGGATTGCTCTGCCACTGCCCTTCGTACCATACGACGTATGTACGTACGAAGTCAAAGGAAAAGAAAGAAGCACCTCAGAACGAATCTTCTCACCCTGTCTGAATGAGTGGGAGCAGCCGGCCTTAAGAAAACGTTGTGAAAGCGCACTTGTCAGTCCTGGAGTCCTGGTTGGGTCTTTATTATCGCACTGCATACGGGGTAGTTACGGCATTTGTTCCTAGGTAATACGGAGAATACAATGATTCTAGCCTAGGACTCGAGTAGGGTCCTAAGGTACAGCTACACTCATTACGGTGTACGGAGGAACTGCATACTGTGTATACTTTTACATCGCTCTCCCGTGATTGGTCCATCGCATTTAGTCGCAAGCGGTGTCTCTGCACAACACACGCCCACATCTAAACTAAAGCCAGTCCAACTTTCCTATCATCCTCAAAGGCAGATTCCCGACGAGCATACACGTACTCTACAAAGGCAGGTACTCCTTCGACAATTCGAGTCCATAAATTGTCGGAGCCATGAGGCCCAACGCCTTCATCAGCCTGGTCTTCTGCCTCTTCATTGCTGCCGTCGCCGCCTGGTCTAAAGAAGGTACGTATGCAGACATGCATTCTCCAGTCTCACCAATTCCACACCCAATAGCCCCGTTTGCGGAGTCCTCGATGCGCTGGCAGGATCCATCCCTCTGCACTCCATCGAACCCATTATCCTGTTACAACGCATTCAGCTGGAACACGTTGAGCTAACCATATCCTACCACATGCAGACCACGAAATCTTCCGTCTCCGCGATGAAGTTGTAGCGCACGAGGGCCCCAATGTTACCTTCTACGACCTGCTCGGGGTCAAGCCCTCTGCGTCCCAAGATCAACTGAACAAGGCCTACCGCAAGAAGTCGATTCAATTGCACCCGGACAAAGCTCGCCAGAACTTCATCTCAGGATATGCTCTCAAGAACAAGAAGAAGAAGGGGTCCAAGCCCGGTGTCCACGTCTCCAAGCAGCCCTCCAAGCGTGAGATTGATGCGCACGTCAAGAAAACCACTGCTTCCTACCAGAGGTTGAGCGTGGTGGCCAGCGTTCTGAAGGGCGAATCTCGCGAGAGATACGACTACTTCCTCAAGAATGGCTTCCCCAAGTGGCGAGGCACAGGATACTACTATGCGCGCTTCCGTCCTGGCCTCGGCTCTGTGTTGTTGGGTCTCCTCGTCGTCATGGGCGGTGGCATGCATTACTTTGCCCTGGTGATGGGTTGGAAGCGCCGCCGCGAGTTCGTCGAGAGGTACATCCGTCACGCTCGCAAAACCGCCTGGGGAGATGATACTGGCATTCAGGGTATCCCAGGCACCTCTACGCCACCCGTACAGGTCCCGACTACCCAGACCCCTGAGGATACCGATGGCGAAATGGCTCCCATGAATCGTCGCCAGAAGCGTGCAATGGACAAGGAGAACAAAAAGGACAAGAGGACACAAGCTGCAAGGACCGCACGTCGCTCTGGCATCAGCACTCCGGTCGAGGCAGAACTCACATCTGGTCCACAAGGAGCTAAAAGACGTATTGTTGCAGAGAACGGCAAGGTTCTAGTTGTCGACTCTGTCGGCAATGTCTTCCTTGAGGAAGAGACCGAAGACGGCCAGAAGCAGGAGTTCCTGCTTGATGTAAGCTCATCTGATCTCAACTCACTGATTTCTTGCTAACATGTCCCCTAGCCCGATGAGGAAGCCCACCCTACTATCTTCGACACTCTCCTGTTTAAACTACCCAAGTTCTTTTACAACCAGTCCGTTGGTCGCGTACTTGGCAACAACCGTGCCGTCGAGGAGCCTCTCCTCGAGACGTCTGACCTTCCCGAGGATGAAGCTGCCCTTCAATCTGCCACCGCCATCAACGCAAACGGCGAAAGCCGCAAACGCAAGTCCAAGGCCAAGAACATTAGGTAAAAGTGTTCATTCACAACTTTTCAAGCCTAGTTACGCGTTCGAAGTTTGATACCTCAACGTACGCTTCTCTTTCCAATCCTCGAAAAGTTTGATTTCACAGCGCCAACTTGTAACACCATACATACATAGACCAACGTGGGATGTTTTCTCTCGGTATAGAATACATGAATTTTGACAGAAGAGGCATTCGCCATTCATTACTCGTCTTGTCTGCAAGTTGCCCTAATCCACATGCTGTTATGAACAAGATTGATCATACATATTTCGTGTTCTATTTGTGTGTACTGGAAACCGACCTGTTTATGAATCCATCGGCATCCTTTCGAGCTCACTGAATCTAATCCATCACAGCAAGCAACTAGGAACAGCGAGATTTATATCCAAGACGCTGCAAGGATAGTCCTTCACTCATCGTATGTTGTCTCATAACTTCACATCATCACTGCATCACCAAGCCCGGAACTAATAGATAATATGCATGTATGTACCCCCAAATTTAGTCCGCCCGGAGAATGATCTCGCTCTTCAAGCAGGTCTGAATTGAGTGTTTGGTCACTCCCACGACCCGAATCCAATCCCATCTCTACCCTGCAACCTACCACTTCTTTCGAAGAGGAGCGCGGGTGGTGATGGAGAAAAGGTTCTGGGTGTGTTCGTTTCTTCCGATTTAATCTAGCGCGTTATTTCCCCGAAAGGAACAGACCGTGACAACCACAGAGATGGATGAGTGTTGCACGTCCGTGGATCTGTTCGACTTGCGCTTTTGGGACGTAAAGGAAGTTCGAAGAGATTTGAGGCGCGGAGTGGTTTATATATGATGGAAGGTGAAGGTGAGAGACGGAGCGGAAGAACAAAGCGCCCGTAGGCAACAGAGGCAGGACACGGTGATTGAGAAAGGGCAATGGAAGTCGTCGAAATCGACGGAGGGTCATGCAATTCCTTCTAACTTACCGGGTGATGCCTTTTGCGTATGCAACGCCAGAAATGCTTTGAGTTGAGTATTATACAGGAAAGACGCACATTAAAATGTCGTACAACTAGTCGTACAGTCGTTAGTCGGATTATGCCGTGGCCGCATCTTCTGGCACCTGTTGCTGTTGGGCCATCTCTTCGATCTTCTCGGCCATTCCTAGATCCCTAAGTTCCCAATCGTTATCCTCGTTCACCCAATCTTTCTTCTCTCCAAGAACGGCTATGCTGCTTTCTTGGGCTCGTTTAACAAGGAATTCATCAGCGACCCTCTGGACATCGTGCGCTGCTACGTCTAGTAGGCGCTCACGCCTTGTCTGCAGCATGTCGTCCGTAATACCGGACAGGAACAAACGCATACCCTCTTGGCTCACTGTTTGAGGCGCATCATAGCCTTGGAAGACACTCAGCTTGGCTTCTTCGAGGTCTTGCGCCGTCCAGGTACGGTCACGAGCCCATTCTCCTGCTTCACTCATGACCTTCATCGTATTCTGTGGGTTCGGGTCGCGGTAGCTGTACATGCCAAACAACCCTCCGAGAGAGCGAGAGTATGCACCACCGCCATAAGCACCTCCCTTTTCACGGATCTCATGATGAAGATGCTTGTGAGTCAAGAGCTGCGAGAGAATCTCGAGAGGAGCGCCCTGGGCATCTACGTACGGCACTGTCGGAACGGCACGACCAGAGTAGTAAACCTGATACGGGAGGGGGAAGAATGACTTCGAGTTCCTGGGGTATTGAGCCTGTGGTGTGGACGCTGGCACAGGCACATCCGAAGGCAGGCGGTCCAGGAAACGGCGAAGGGCTTCTTGGTTCTCGGTGGAGCTTTCACTGCCGCAAGTTAGAGCGACTCGAAGCCTGTTGCCATTGGCAATTGTGAAAGCCTGGATGGTTTTGAGTTTCTTTATAACGTCACTTAATGAGTCTGTAGGAGGCCGCGAGGCAAGGCTTGTGGTCAATTTGATCTGGGTCAATCCTGCAGTCTGTTCGATCAATCGGCCAACAGGAGACAATCCTGCCTCGGCATACATGCGGGCGAATGAATGTCCAGATTCAGCAATTGAGTTGATTGCACCACTCGCAGAGCTCTGGAGTAGTTCGCGAATCTTCTTTTCCGCTTCCGGGCCATCAAAATCCGTCTCCAGGATGATGGTACGCAATAGCTCGTACATGGCCGGAACATTGCGATCAAGTGCGAATCCTGAGAAGGACAACCCTTCGGAGTAATCGGTCAACGATAACGGAGATGATGATGAGTGATATCCGACACTGATGCCACCAGTCTTCAATTTGATCATCTCCTCTAGTTGCTCCATCGTCTTGTTTCGAGTTCCTAGGCGCATGATCGCACTTGTGAATAATGGGATTAATTCACGTAGCTCATCCGGTAGATCTTTGAGGGCGTGAACAGCCCGGAAATAGGTAAGTCCATTCGTAGGGGCCTCTCGCCACTGTACCTTAACGTCTCCAAGGTTGCTATGTCGAAGGGGCTTTCGCTCCTTTTCTCGAGGAATATCGGTAACATGAACTGTGGGAAGGCAACTCAAGTCCTGATTTCTGGCATTTTCTTGAACTTCCAGTAGTTCCAGTTCGCGTTTCTCTAGATACTCCTGTGCCTCTTTCTCACTTGGGAATTGCTTTGTCGTCTCTGAGATCTTCTCCGCGAGTCTTTTGTTTTCCTCATCAGTCAATTCTTGGCTGTAGGTTCCCGAGGGCTCCATGGTGAAGGTCAAGGTATTGTCGTTCAAAAGGTATTTGTCCAGGAGACTCTCGAGGAAATCGCCCTGTGCATACCTTTCTTGAAAAGCATTCACCGTATCTTGCCAAGCGAGAGCCTCCATAGGATCCACGCCATTAAACCAACCCGGCTTGAGCCTCTGCATGATGCCCATACCAAAATGTGCCGTTTTATGTTTAAGGGAAAGTTCCAGTTGGTGTAGAATTCCGTCGACTTTGATCTTTTCAAAACCATTCTTTCTAGCTTCTAGAAAGGTTGTAGCGATCGCTTCCCTAACCTTCGGGAGATCCTCCTCTTTCACGGCATTCAAGCCAACAGAAAATACGCCGACCTTTCCAGCACTATCATATCCCGTATTTGGACTAAAATCGGCGCCTAATCCGGATTCGATCAAGTTGCGGTAGAGCGGCGAACCATATCCATCTAGTAATAGATTGCTCAAGATTCCCAGTGAGAAATTCTCTACTACGTCTGCAGTATCACCCATAAGCCAGGTCACCGAAGTTTTGTGTTGCCTGTCGGCTGGCACAAGTGGATCCAACGGCCCTGGAACGGTTACGTGTTTTGGGCTGTCCAAAGTGATAGGGGTCTTAACATCATCATCAACCTGGATTCTGTCGAAGCGAGCTAAGCGTGCGTCGATTTCTTTCAAGTGTTCCCTCAACGGCATGTTTCCGTAAGTCAAGATCTTCGAGTTACTGGGATGATAGTGATCACCATGAAATTTCCTGAGTTGCTCCCAGGTAAGGTCGGTGATTTTTTGAGGGTCACCACCTGAATTGTTGATGGCTGGGAACAGGTGATCTTGGAATCGAATATAGAAGAGATAACTTGCGTCCGACATTTGGCCCTTCATCTCGTTGTAAACAACACCCTTAAACACCAAACGCTTTGCCTCTTCCGAATCTTCTGACTGCGCAGCTAGGGGATTCTCAGGTCCTATGCGCCAGCCCTCCTGGGTAAAATCATTCTCTTGCAGCAAGGGATTCAGTGTAGCATCCATGTATACAGAAAGAAGGTTTTTGAAATCCTGTGCGTTGGTAGTGGCGAACGGATAGGTCGTGTGATCGGACGAGGTAAAGGCGTTCATAAAGTTGGAAAGGGACCGTGGTAGCATCTTGAAGAAGGGGTCACGAACCGGATATCTACAGCTTGTCAGCTCGTGAGGCCCACATGTTGAAAGCAACTTACTTTTCGCTGCCACACAGTGTGGTATGTTCCAAGATATGCGGCACACCGGTATCATCTGGAGGATTGGTCTTGAACCCGATGGAGAACACATTGTTCGAGTCATCTCGAGCTATATGAAGATACTCCGCACCCGTCTTGTCGTGTTGCAGCTGCAAGGCTGTCAATTCAAGTTCGGGTACCTGTTTGACTCGTTTAAGTGTGAACCCGTGGATTTGCTCTCCTTCCTTCGGAAAGCTCGAGAGATCGGCGACAGCAGCGAAGCCACGACGGTTGATAGAGGTACCCAGCCTTAAGGAGGGAAGAGCGCGGCGCGCTGAAGCCTGCCATCGAGTCGAGCGCAGCATGATGGCCGTTGTTCGTCAGTGTTCGTACGATGAAGAAAGGAAAGGAAATTCTCCAATGACGCGCCTGCCATCTGATGTTCCGAGTAAAGCCCACGCTAATTGGCTGTGGTAATCTATTGTATCCTTTCGGTCTAGTCCTGATTACTAACGTTCATACGCTCCCACATATATAGATGTTTACAGATTGTGTACAAATAGGAAATACAATGATATGGAGGGAGTACATATGTATATTGGCATATGGGGGTTTCTTTGGGATCTTTCTATATTTTGTGTTCTGTGATAGTAATTGTGCCACAAGCTCGTGGTAATGTTGGTTCCTTTACCTCAGGACTCTCTGTAATTGACGTTAGCCGGGCGAAGAATACTTGACGGAACCACCCAGTCTCTGCTCCCCTCCCTAACTCGATACTCACACTGCTCGCCGTTACCGTCGTCCACCCCCCCACGCCCATATTCCTCGACCTGGTAATATCCATAGATACGACTCACGACATAGTTCTACTCCAGCTGTTATTGTTACCAAGCTTGGCAGTGCGCTGCTGCCAAACACCCGAGCGAGCGCCTCCAGCATTGCGTACGGATCAACCATAAACGCCTTTTTACGACCATTACCCTTGTCTTGAATCAAGATACACATTCGGTCCATGTGAAAGTAGCAGCTGGAGTACCTATACGCAACGGTGACGAGGCGGGAGGCCCTTGAGGAGACGTCACGAGGACTCTCGTGCCTGAAGCCAGACTTGAGTCAAACCAATCTATGGCAACAGTAGCGCACCACAAATACGCAGATACTATTTCTCCTCGAGCGAATGCTAGTCGTAGCATGGAAACGAGCCGAAGCGCGTCAACGTCAACATCCGTACCCATGGCTCCCGCGCAGCATGCTCCCGCATCAACGAAGAAAGGGAAGGCCAAAAAGGCGGCCGACCCCTCCGAACAGCAAAAGCAAATACAGGCGAAGATTGCACAGCTCGAGCTGGATGCAGCCGGAGACAAGGAACAAGAGCTTGAAATAGGTGGGTGATTTTCTACGATTTTCCCCATTCGGAATATGTGCACCAGGGCGGGCGGAGGATGCGTCTGGCTGAACACATCCTATGAAGGATACGCTGCCTTTCCAATGACTTGCTTGAGTTGGGTACTATGCCCATTGGTTATTTCTACCTTCCGTTGCACAACCATAACTGTTATGACATGTGTTTTTCGAGCTACACGGGCGATAGCTTGAACACTTTCTGCAGACTCTTTCATACCTTTCTCTGTCGAGCCAAGTTCTGAACTTAACTAATTGTGAATAGAGCGAGAAGTCAAGAAAGCTAACCGCGAACTGTCATCTCTCCTATCGAATATGGAAACCCCAATGAACCGTTTGGACGCTTTGCAGAAGAAGTACACGGAGCTCTTACAAGACATGAAGCGTACTGAGCGCGATCATCAGAAGGCCAAAAAGCGTGGTGATCAGCTTCAGAAAGAGAAGGATACGCAAAGAACTGAGCTGACAAGGGTCACCGCTATGAAGGATAAACTTGAGAAGATTTCTCGAGATTTCACCAAGGAGAACAAGCGACTTAAGGTACGCACGCAAAATTATTTTGCCGACCAACGTATCGGGAGCTGACACTACGTGTAGGACGAGCTTCAAAACCTCAAGGCAGCAGAGTCTAGTGCCCGAGAGGAACTTCATGACCGTCTTGAACGTATGGTCACAGATGTTGAAGATTGCGTTACTGCTCAAAATTTACCCGAGCAACAGCCTCCCATCGACATGGAATTGGATGAATTGTACGATATCTTCCTAATAAGTGGTCACACATGCTGAGCATCTCTAGATTCCGTCAAAAGTTTAAGTCGTTCATCGATCAATACGAATTGCGCGAACTACAATTCCACTCTCTCCTCAGGACCAAGGAACTCGAAATACAATATCAAATGGCACGCTTAGAGCAGCAACGAAAACAACAAGAGGTGGAGTCATCCAAGTCCCATCAGTTGACAAAACAGGTGTCGACCTTCTCTCAAACCGAAACTGAACTTCGCACTCAATTGAATATTTATGTGGAAAAGTTCAAGCAGGTATGTCATGTTGGACAAAAGAACAACCGTGACGGCATTTTGGTTAAGTCTGACTAGATGCAGGTGGAAGAAACATTGAACAACTCCAATGACCTGTTCTTGACATTTCGAAAAGAGATGGAGGAGATGTCCAAGAAGACAAAGCGCCTCGAGAAAGAAAACCAGACACTCACCCGGAACAAGGAGATTACCAACCGCAACATAGGCGAGATGGTTGAAGAACGTCAAAAGATGCAGGACTCCTTAAGTCGCAAGGATAAAGAACTCGAGGATCAGCGGAAGAAGATAGTAAGACTCGAAACGCTATGTCGAGGTATGCAGGCTCAGGGCCGTGGTCAAGTACCAATGAGTGAACTGGAAGAAGATGAGGAGGTGACAGAGAGCGAGTACGATTATGAAGATGACGATGAGGACGACGATGAGGGTAGTGCGGATTATGATGACGACACGGAGGAAGATCTGGAGCCTGTACCAGAACGCCGACCTTTTGGGCCTGTTCCACCACCGCCTCCGCCACCTCAAAATGTCCCAAACCGCCAAGTCAACGGACACAGGCAAACTAACGGTGTCAAACGTTAAAAAATGCCTGGAGTAGCCATATCCTATTCTTGCATCCTTGAAGGACAACAGCATTAGTTTTTCTGCAATGCATCTTTGCTTGACGGTCTTGTACTTTTATGCCCATAACAGTGTATTCGGGAGGGTTTCAAGGCTGTTTTAAGGCTGTTTTCTGGCTACAGTATACTCTTAAGCAGAACATTAGGTATAGGAGACATCATACTAGCAAGTGGACAGCCCGACGTGCCAACCCTCTGTACCCTGTTGGTTCTGAACCCTCAACTTGTGTAATGATGTAACCTGTGGAATGGAATTAGGAGATGTAAGGCACTCTAGAGGGGAATGATTCCAGGTCTGGGCTCTTGCATGCACAAACCCATCATCTTTATCAATTATTTCGGAACATCCTCTCTCTCGATACTACTGACTCTGAAGCATCGAGCCTTACCCTGCCATATTAGATCATGTGATTGACGTTCGAGTCAACAAGTTCGGGTTGAACCTCGGCTTGTCTTCCCCGCGGGGATCTTGGATAACATTCAGGAGCTGTACCCCCCGGCATCTCTCAGTCACCGGTACTTAATGGTAAATCTTCCTGCCTTGAACATGTATATCTTATATCTCGCAGCCTCTGGTCTGAGGTCTCGTTCCCATAGCAGAATTGTCCACGACATTGATTGAGCTCTAGGAACGACATCCATTACTTCGTGTCTTTTGTTCACCACACGCACCCTTGCACCTGTCATTATGTCGCCGCCTACGCTCTCGACGCCGCTCTCGCAGCTGCTGGGGATACAATATCCTATCATCCTCGCTGGTATGGCACGCACATCTGGCGGACCCCTCGCCGCCGCGGTGTCAAACGCAGGTTAGTGTCGAATGTTCTCGGAGTCGTTGTTACAGGGGGTTGACAATCGTGCATAGGAGGACTTGGTGTTATTGGTGGACTTGGCTATACACCTGAACAGCTTCAATCCATCATCGACGAGCTCAAGGCCAATCTCCGCGACAAGAACCTTCCTTTTGGAGTTGACCTCGCACTGCCACAAGTAGGGGGGTCCGCGCGAAAGACTAACCACGATTACACCCACGGGCAATTGGACGAACTGATAGAAGTAACAATCAAGAACGGGGCAAAGCTATTCGTCAGTGCTGTCGGTGTGCCTCCGGCGCATACGATCAAGCGACTTCATGAGGCTGGAATACTCATTATGAATATGGTGGGCGCACCCAAACACGCCATAAAAGCACTAGATGCCGGAGTCGACATTGTTTGCGCCCAAGGTGGTGAGGGTGGTGGACACACAGGAGATATCGCCAACAGCATTCTCATTCCCGCCGTAGTGGATGTAGCAAGGCGATATAAGAGTCCACTCACGGGACAGCCAGCCATGGTCGTTGCAGCAGGAGGAATCTACAATGGACGAAGTTTGGCAAGCAGTTTGATGCAAGGAGCACAAGGTGTATGGGTCGGTACAAGATTTGTTGCCAGTACTGAGGCTGGATGCTCCCAGATGCACAAGGAGAATGTTGTCTCCGCAACTTTCACAGACACCGGACGCACTTTGGTCGTTAGTGGCCGACCATTACGGGTCAAGTTCAACGATTATGTCAAGGAATGGGAGTCGCGGCCGCAAGATATCAAGAAGCTCTGTGATAGCGGAGTTGTGCCATTAGCAAAAGACATGGACGATGGAAAAGATGTGGACATACCATTTTTGATGGGCCAGGTATCGGGCGTTATCCAAGATATTAAACCGGCGAAGGAAATCGTGGACGATATGGTACAGGAAGCGGTCGATATGCTGAAAATTGGTCAAACATATATCTCTGGACCGAGTAGCAAGTTGTAGAGGAGCAGCATGGATGGTCGGTTTACCTTCTATTGAGAAAAGCGATAGGAAGAGATGATATGCATGCAAGCGATTTTAGCCATATATGGATATGTTGCGTCATCTGGAGCTATGAGTTCAAGGTACAATCCCGCATGTACAATAGTAACGTAGTACATACGTTGAGTACAGGCATGTGTTGTGATGGTAATACTACAGAGTACAGACTCACGTGTGAGCAGTGTGCAAACATCACAGGGGCTCCGGTGGTGCAAAAGGACATTTAGGTCTTGAGAATATGAATTAATTGACTTGAACGGCACGGTGCTTATCGTGAAGTCTATACTGGGTAAATACGTACATAGACTGGGAACCTTTCTCTACATCACATATATAATTGAAGACTTGTGCAGTAGTAAAATGGGAAATAGCAGTGGCCACTAAGCAAATACCGACAATTACCACCCCCAGGCATGGAGCCTCCTATAGATAGATATAAATAACTAACATATTAATCATCATAATAACTACATGTAGTTGCCTATTGCCGTACTTACTGTGTAGGTACTTAGGTAGTAGATAGGCTACTAATGTACAGTAATACCAAATATAACCAAACCGCCGGATGATCGCCGCTGGGATCGGACTGAACTAATCCCATTATTCCCAACCAACACGACAACTCTAGAGGACCCAAGCTCGCTCAGGAGAGTGCCGGATGATTCTCCTCCGCTTTTCGCATTCCCTATCCTACCCTAAGCTATCATCATTATCACGATCACGATCAAAGTCACGACTATCCACGAGCAGCAGCAAGCATATTACTGTGTTTTGTAACTGTTCCTTGCACTAGGCCTCTTTCCCCATTCTACGCGACCATTGCCCCCCAACGCTCTGGCTCACTTGGCTTGTGCGGGCCCCCGTCGGCTTGTTGTCAAGTGCCTCTCCAATAATTCACATTCATTCATGACGCTTCGCCGGACAACAGACATCTGGAGCGGCGCAATCCATGCAGTCGAATCTGAGGGCTCAGGCTGAATTGCAGGCCCAGAGAAAGAAGGTATATCTCTCGGCAACCCCTGTCCGACGCTATCACTGACAACGAAGCAGCTCGCAAACTCATACAAACAACTCCTCGAGTGAGCACCCCAGCCTTGCCACAACCCTTCCTCCGCACCACTAACACACGGCGCGCACAGTGAATTCTCCGCGAGTGATCTGAAGACGGTTGGCAGCTACAGCCTTGGGCGACTTATAGGAAAGGGAAGCTTTGGAAAGGTGTACCTCGCGTCTCACAAGCTCACCAATGGCTCGAAGGTACCATGTGAACAAGTCTACCCCAGGCCCTGACTGTGTTGACCATACGACAGGTTGTGCTCAAATCCGCGAAGAAAGACGACACAAACTTGGCTCGCGAGATACATCACCATCGGCAGTTCCTTCATCCGCATATAGCACGATTATATGAGGTTATTGTCACGGAGACGTTGGTTTGGTTAGTGCTGGAATACTGTCCAGGTATGGCTGAGCAAAAATCAATACGCTATAAAGTCTGGTGCCTCTAATACACAACGCAGGCGATGAATTGTATAACTATCTCCTCAAGAAGGGTGCAATCGAGCCAGCCAAGGTCCAGAAGATCTTCACCCAGCTCGTCGGCGCCGTCTCCTACGTCCATAATAAATCGTGTGTGCATCGCGACTTGAAACTCGAAAACATCCTCTTGGATAAACATGAGAACGTGAAGTTGGTGGATTTTGGATTTACAAGGGAGTACGAGGGAAAGTCCAATTATCTCCAAACATGGTGTGGTACGGTGTGCTACAGTGCGCCCGAGATGCTAAAGGGGGAGAAGTATGCAGGTGAGAAGGTGGACGTCTGGAGTCTGGGAATCATTCTTTATGCGCTATTGACCGGCGAGTTGCCATTTGATGATGACGATGAGACGGTTACGAAGATGAAGATCCTCAAGGAAGAACCAAACTACCCGGACAACTTTCCGCCTCAAGCAAAGGAACTATGTCAATCTCTACTGTCGAAACGACCGATCTTACGACCCACCCTTGCCGATATTCTTCAAAACCCTTGGCTAGCAGAGCATGCACCGCGCCAACAGGAGATACTCAAGTTGCAACAACCTGCCCCGTTCACAACAGATCTGGAGAAGGAGGTTTTGCAGCGGATGCGTGCCTCAGGCGTTGATATTGACATGGTTATTGAGAATGTACTTGCGCAGCGGTGCGATGCTCTTGCTGGGTGGTGGGCATTATTGCTTGAGAAAGAAGAACGAAAGGCAAGACGCAGGGAGCGAAAACGCAAAGAGAGAGAAGCAGAAGCAAAGAGCCTACGGCGCCTGAGTGCCGCAAGTAGTCGATTGGACAAGCTTGCGCCGACTATACGAGAAACCGACGAAGAAGGTCTTCCCTCCCCATCGCTGATGCTTGGTGAGCCACCAAAGGGCCGCGGTAGGGCTCTAAAGCGGACAAGTCTACATGGTGAGAGTGCTCGAAATGTCTCATTCGATTTCATACTGATTGAAGCAGGCGGTCCTTCTGATCTTCCACAGTTACCGGAGTCTGGATTGACACCAGAGCCAGACGCCGATAGGCCTCCGCCACCCATCGAGAAAGATTATGTGCGTAGCTCAGGATCCTCCTCTCGTCCGCCACTACCGCCTAAGGAACTCGATAGGCGGAGATCAAGGGGCAGCATGTTGCAAGTTGTAGCTACAAATCCCGATCTGCTTCATCCGAACGGTTTCGTTCCAAAGCGCCGCCGAAGATATCAGCAACCATTTATCAATCAGCTCACATCTCTGAGGAACTGGATCAAAGAAACATCGAAAAGAGCACGATCACCAAACTCCAAAGCAAGTAGCGCCAAATCTCCGACCCTAACCCCAAGTAAATCGCCTGAATCCAGAGCTAGACGCTCGAGTAATGCGAATCGAAATTCTACTATTCAGGCGCATCCAAATATCATTCCCTCCACCCACGTTCCTGCTCGGCCTGGAATTTCAAGTCATGGATCAGGGAAGCGGCCTTCGGTTTCACCGGCACCATTGACACCTCGAGGTTCCTATCGGCGATCATCTGGCGGTCTCCGCGGTCGAAAATCGACCTCATCATCAGTATCTTCTATACGATCCATGCCTCACCACCATCACTCGCATTCCAAAGCATCCTCGACATCGTCAGCTTCTATAACCTCGCCCACAGTATCTATCTCCGGTCACAAAACGAAATCGCCTCACTCCTCAGTCAAGGTCCTCCCCGCCACCCCTACCGGATCGTCATTTCCCACCAATATTCGACTTGTGCGGGCACCCCTGAGTGAAGGAGGTGCCGCATTCGGCGCTGCGCCACCTTCCTCCCCTGGCCTTATCTTCGCAAAACGTAAACGTAGTCCTTTCAAGGGGCCCATGTTAACTCTCGGCCATGGCAGTCCAGCGGCAGGAAGAATGAGGAATGAAGGAAACTCGAGAAGTACAAGCATCCAGGGAAGGAAAAGTGGCGAGTTTCTCGGTATCACTGAAGAAGACGAAGAGGAAGAGGAAGACATTGAGGAGGTTGAAGAATTTGGGCCGCTTATGAAAGATGGAGAGTTCGAAGAAATCATCCAGACGTCCACAATTTCGGAAAAGCTAGTGGCACCAGAGCCACTCATGGAAGAAGACGACGACTATGACGGCAAAGACGGATCCATCGCGGTACTTGGAGGAAATGATGAAGGAAAGACAAAAGAAAAAGTGGAAGATCCAAAAGTGGCATAAACAAGAGGATTTGTTCCCAAAAGAGAAGGAGAGGGAGATCTCCGACAGGTAGTTTGGAGGTGCTTGTGTTGCGAAAGATCTTCGGCCATTTTCTTTGCGTGTTTCGAGCATATGAAGCGTACGTGTTCAGTGTCTTAATTGACTTTGTGCGATTGGATTCCCGCGCCCCTTTTTTTTGGTTGTCTTCTCTTTCTTCTTTTATTCTTCTTGCATGCTTTTACCTTTCTCTTCCGGAATATTGGACCTCAACATAGACTTGTTTCCTTGCGTAGTTTCTTTTGTCTACTTTTCCTTTCCTAACTTTCCCTTGCACCTTGCTGAAGGGCACTGGAATTTAATCTTCTAATGATGGCTTGACGAAGGGTTCGAAGCACGAAAAGGGTGACTGGACTATATGAGAAGATTGAAGAGGGTCTTTAGGGAGAAGGAAAAGATAACCACCTTTCGATGTACATTCTTGGTTATATTTCGTTATTGGAGCTGTTGAACATCAACGATCTGAGCACATGAGCACAAAAGTGGCTGGTAAAGAGGACGCAATCTTCAGTAAAAAGAGATCATAATGCTACAAAAATTGCATTTCACTTCGTCCCTCACGCCTGAGGTCTGGTCTGGAGTGTTAACACTGCGCTCATAGGCGTATACATTGCTCACTAGTGAATGTCATGCCATGGTCATGAAGTTTATGGTTGGATTGACTACTGTCTACTGCAATATCGTACAGTCTGATGAATGATCCTCAGTATGTAGGCTATATCCTTTATATGTTCATAGTATCTCATGGCAAAAGATGCCTTCATGGTGAGTTTTCTCAACCCAACCGTCCATCACATCTCGATCCTCTCAGCCTCCTGATGATCAACCCTAGTAGCTGCGATGATCAATCTCCTATAGTCCAGCACAGCCTGTTCAAGTTCCTTCCTCTTCAAGGCCTCATGGTCGGAGTGCGCGACGAATATGCTACCAGGGCCAAATAGGTACCTCTTCTCGACGCCATGCAAGTGTGGAACATCAGTGCCGTAGTTCACAGTAAACTTCTCAAACCCGTCAATGTCGCAATCAATGTCCACGGGGCCATAGCCGCCGGCAACCGTCCAGTCGAACTCGATCTTTGCGCCTAGCTCCTCTGCCTTCTTTTTGACGTCGGCAACCGCGCCGTAGACAAGGCGCTTGATGACGTCCGGATCGCCTGCTGCTATCCTGACGGTGACGCTCGCCTCCGCCGCCTCTGCGACCACATTTCCAGCCACACCGCCGACAATCTTGCCGAAGTTCATCGTCGAATTGCCGTACTTGCGGCTCCAGGGCAGACCCCCAGTATCCCTCAGGATCAACAGCTTCCCCAGCGCCTCAAGCAGGACGTCGTTCGCGGACACACCCAGCCAAGGGTAGCCGCTGTGCGCAGCCCTGCCGGTGACCTTGATGTTGAACCCCACTATGCCCTTATGTCCACAGACCAGCTTCGCCTCCGTCGGCTCGCCGAAGACGACAATCTCATAGTCGCCAGGGCGGTCCTCCCATGAGGAGAAGAGACGCATGCCGTCGCCACCTTGCTCCTCGCCGACGACAAACAGTAGCGATATGTCGTCAATCAGACCCTCCCTCAACCCCTCTGCAGCGATGATCTGCGCGGCGACGCTACCCTTCGCATCCACGCTGCCTCGCCCACCGATTACGTCCTTCTCTTCATCGTAGTAGTATGGCCAGTACGGCGGGACGGTGTCGATGTGCGAGCTTACTAGGATGGAGGTGTGTCGCTTCGATTTCGAACTGTACGCGAAGACGTTGGTCCGGTTCGGCGATACGTGCTGCTGTTCCACGGTCCAGTCCTTGGAGCGCAGATAAGACGTCAGCCAATCGCTGACGTTGCCTTCGTTCTGCGATATCGACTCTATCTCGACGAGCTGGCGGTGCAGTGTGAGGAGGGCGTGAGACTCGGTTTCGGTGAGCAAGCTCGGGGTGGAAGATGCTTGTGCGCCTGCATTGCGGAAGACTGCCGCGGCGGACAGCGCGAGTAGAGGGAGAGAGCGAAACATGGTGTAGGAAGTGGTTTGAAACACCACTTCGTGCTTTCAATTGAGTTTCGCGTTGTTTGTTGGGTTGTCGATTCTATGCGAGCTGCATCGATACTTGTAGCTCTAGAAGCTTTGAACCTCGGACAGGGTCCCGAGCTCCCCACAGCCTGACGTGATGCCAAGTACCACTGTTCGACGACAAATCCGCGGGGTGAACGGTTGGAAGTGTACATGCTCATTGATAGTATTAGCACTGGAGATACGGGGTATATCTTGATCCAAATAGTTTTAAGGTTTTCAATTTTAGTTTCCTAAATAGAGAAATGGTATGCCCAGTGCGGATCTCTTCTCTACATGAATTTATGTTCAGATATTCTACTAGTTATAGCAAATATGTACAATTACATTGGTAGGTAGTCCGCCTTTCATCCAACGCAGCATATATGCCTCCAGCATCTCCTTCCATATACATTAAGGAAAATCACCTTCAAAGTCTATCTTCTTCTATTCGATATTCCGCACTAAGATCAATATCGATGGAAAGCTGTTGTAGGGAACCTAATTCTGCACACCTGCAGGGCTGCGCAGTTGCTCCAACGCAGGCAGACAACTGCCGCCTAGTATCATATACAAAAATAAAATAAAAGAAATATACTCGTAAATACAGCATATAAGATATGCTTAGCTTCAATCCCAAATACAAAAAGATATTCCGCGCTGATAAGGTATCATGATAAACGCTCAGGTACTCGCTGACAACACGAATAGATGTTTTAGATAAATGACAAGGAGATAGGTCCTGCGAGTTCGATCAACAGAAGAATTTATAGACTTTCTTCCATTTGGGCCACTGCTTTCGTTCTTCGCGCTCCTCTTCGATTAGTTCTTCGATGTTGAGTTCGCGAATACCGGTGTGGAGGTCCATATTGTACGACCGTATAATAGGTGTGCGGAACCAGATCTTGTATGGGATATAGAATGCCATAGTGACTGGCAGGGCAAGGTAATTGGTGAAGAATCCTGAAACGAGCTGGCGCGTTGTTAGAGACTCATAATCGATGGGCAGAATAGACACCCAGAACTGGGCAACAAGGACCAGCATGTTGAAGATGAAGCCGATCCAGGAGCCGATGACGCCAGGTTGTGAGCGGAACGCGAGTTCATCAAGAGTATGGCCTTGGACGTTCCAGCCTTTGCGAAATCGGATGTGAGCCAAGCAGATGGATGCCCAGGTAAAGACGGCGGAGAGTGATGATAAAGCTAGAAGCCAGTCAAAGGCATCCTTCTGTTTATCAGGGTCGCCAGCGAGAAAAGCCAGCAGACCGAGGGCTGCGGCAACACCAATGGCCACGAGCGGACGACCTTGTCTATCGATATAGGCCAAGATTGGTGGTGCCTGGTGTTGTTCTGCTAGAGCAGCGAGCGTACGGCTGGAGCCATAGACCGCAGAATTGCCAACTGAGAGAACAGCGATCATGATGACGGCGTTGAACACGGAGGGTAAACCTTCGATTCCTGCGTTGGAAATGGCGATGACGAATGGAGAGGCGACAATATCGGCATCATTCTCGCCATTCAGGAGACGATCATCGTTGTAGGGTACGAGCAGGCCGACCAGTGTCAAGGACACAATATAGAAGAGTGTAATTCGCCAGAAGACCTGTTTCACGGCAGTGGGGAGCGACTTCCGAGGGTTGGCGGTTTCGGCAGCAGCAAGCCCAACCAGCTCTGTTCCAGAGAAGGCGAAAGCAGCATTGACGAAAACACTACATAGGCCCTTGAAGCCGTTGTTGAAGGAACCTGGGTCGCGCCAAAACTTGCCACCAATGTAGCCACCCTCGGGGCCGCCGCCAACATTGAGAATGACTCCAAGGATAATAAAGCCTATCACGGCGGTCACCTTAATTATGGCGAAGACGAATTCGGCCTCGCCGTAACCTTTGACACCGAACAGATTGATGATACTGTAGGAGTACTGTTAGCATCTCTTGCGTGAATATTGGTCTCGGTTTGACTAGTAACATACACAATCAGAACTAAGAAGAGCGCCACGAAGGCATTGTTGCTGACGTGTCCGTGATTCCAGTATTCAATGGTGTAAGTCGCAGCGACAATCTCGAGAGGTAGTACGACGAGCCACTGTAAAGCATAACTAGAGAAAGTGGTTAGTTTGGCAGTTGGTGGCGACGCAAGGACCCGAGGGTCTGGAAACGGATGTATAAACTCACTTCCAACCCATCGCGAACCCCCAAGCTGGGTCGAGAAAGCGAGTGGAATACGCCGAAAAGGAACCTGCAACGGGGAATATCACAGCCATTTCGCCCAGAGCGTGGACAGTGCAGTACATCATGATACCAACCAACGAGTAGGCTATCAAGAGACTTGCAGGGCCACCGTTGGCTAGTGCATTGCCCGATCCGACGAAGAGACCAGTACCTAGAAATGCAAAGTCAGACAACGAACCATCGAAGTTCAGCCATTAAATCGACTGCGCTAGAAAGAAAGGACGTACCTATGGAACCTCCGATGGCAATCATCTGCAAATGCCTACCCTTGAGCCTGCGCGCGAGTGGTGAGTTCGCCGTATTCTGGGCAGCGCTCTCGACATCGAATACTTTGCCATCCGCTCCCAGGGCTCCCTTGGGCATCATGGACTGATTTTGATCTCGCTTGAAACTCTCCATAACCCTTCTACCAATGCCATCTCGGTGCGAAGAGGCCTCAGCATAGTACTCGGAGCCTTGGGAATTCCTCCCAAAGCTCTTCTCGGTACCGAATTCATTCTCGTCAAAGGGCATCCTGGCAAATGGACCTGTGGAATTTGCGTACGAGGCCGACGTTGAAGCGGCAGTCGAGGGCCGGCGGTCAGAAGGTGCCGCAGCACTTCGTGCAGGGCGCGTGTCGTGATCCAGAGCGAAGGAGTGTGCAATCAAAGGGGGAGAGAGGTAGAAGAGGAAGATTGAAACACTTGTTGGAGGGAGATGGTGAGAAAGTGAGAAACGGGTGACGAAAAGAGTAGTGGTTCACGCGGTGACTGGGGATTGACTATAGGTATAGGCAGGTCCCCGCGAGTGCAGGGCCCAGGCCTCTTAAGGCAGGCTGCTGAGATGGAGGACAGCGACGGGGTAGTGGACGAACTACCTCTATGCTGGACAGTGCCGTACAGTAGGGAGGAAAGAATACAATAATACCAATGATTAGGGCCGACAGGTGAAGCGCATGGCATGGGTACCAGGGGGAGGGGAGGGTCCGGTTCCAGAGGGCTGGGGAAGAGACTCGGAGGGACTCGTACTTTGTACACTGTGAAGGGAAAGGGAAAGGAAGGGAAAGATAATCAATGGAACAATAATGGAAGAGGCGCCCGGTGACGGAGCGAAAAGTAGACTAGGGTGTAGGACGTATCAACGGCGCGGCGGCGCAGGAGATTTGAAGCTAGGTATTGATACTAACTATCGCTCTAACGGCGGCGAAGCGTTGGGGTAAATTAGTTCTTGGTTCCTGAGGTGTTTGTTCGCCGTTCGTTCATTCGTTCGTTCGCACTTGGTGGGTTGAGTGCGTATTGCGGGTGAAGAATATACTTGTCCTGTGTAGATATCTCGTCCCACTACTACCCGTGCGAGAATGACTGATTGTGACAGTCGAGTTGGTCAGTAGGAGTGTAGGTAGGCGTTCGTTCTTAGTGCGGGCTGGGCCGAGTCAGAGATCGTTGCGAAAATAGCGGGAGATTGACAAGATTGTGATAGTGACAGAATACGGACGGGTGTGAAATGGATTAGTGTGTGTTTGCACAGTCTTTAGTGGGGAGGTATTAAATTGTAGATTTGATTTTGATAGTTCTAGACAGTAAGTATGTTCGTATACACAGGATGTGTGTGTGTGTGTGTGTGTGTGTGTGTGTGTGTGTGTGGAGAGAGAGATAGAGAGAGAGCGGAGTATCAATACAATACAATAACTTAACACCATAGATAGCGATAGCGATAACGAGCATGGGTGCGGTCATGGACATGGTCATGGACATAGCACATCCTACTGCATGGATATGGGACAAGGATGTGTTTGGCGCAATTGACAAGGATGCGGATGACATTGAAGAAGGATGATGGGGTGGTGGCTTGACGACGCGGCCGTGCCATGGCCATGCCGTGGCGACGACGATGGCCATTAGGAACGGAGAGCACATGTGGAGCGCGTAAGAGTACGGCGTAGAGCAGGACAGATTAGGAACACGCGATGGATGAATGGATCATGATGGATGGATGGATGGATGGCATAAACACCTAGGTGGTGAACATGGATAGCGATGAGAGGATGGACGTGATGGTTGGATGAATGGAAAAGGCAATATCGGCGTAAGACTGTTCAATCTTCCAATCATTCGCCTGGTTTATGGCATCCCCACCAATTCTTACACAATACGAAGTACAGTATACAATATCCATCTTCAAATCCTCGTAGGGAGTGGTGAGATTCGTTCTTAATATCACCTATTATACAAAATACCCCATCCAGTGCTATCCATTCCAGCTCTCTCCGACCTTGTATAGTATGCGCATCGAGGCCTAGATATGTACTCCATTGGTAGCTGGTAGATGCGCATTCGCCAGAGAGCCTTAGGGGAACACCGCTAAGACCATTGCTCGTGCGACTCTTCGCGACAAACGTCAAGTCCCAGGATAGAGGACTCGGACGCTCGAAGACTCGACCAATTCAGAGGCTGGAGTATTATCAGATAGACCAACAGCCAATGTTGCCGTATGAACATTGGTGTATGCATTGCACCAATCAAATATCTCTCTCTCTCTCTGTGTGTGTGTGTGTGTGTGTGTGTGTCTCATATCAACTCATCAGCAATTGATGTCCAGATGGAGTCCCCATTCATCACCCCACAGCATCATCTATTACACAGTAATTCTTCCTTCCCATCTTCCCATTTTTCCCAGTGGCATCAGCCCTCCTCCTCAGAGTCCTCACACATACCCTGACTATCTTCCGTCTTCCCACCCGCCCGTCTGACCCGTCTCACCAGTTTGATTCACGTCTTACCATACCCTCATTTCCAACCACTCCCAGTCATTCGGGACCGGCTCCCTGATGCTCACGTCGCAACCCTGGAGGCAATATAATACATGTAGCTGTACTCCCTACTCTAGCCAATGCGTCATTCAGGTACACCCGTCAGGCGTTTTCCCCTTCCCATACGAAGTGATTCCATCATCTCAATGCTCGTAAGACAATTGACAAACCCACAGATGCGTCCAGTCAGACAACTCCTCACCCCCTGGGTGTCTATTCCCAGCATCTTCTCAATTGCCCAAGAACACCCCGTTTATATTGACGCACCATTTTCAGCGCGTCTAGTCACTGTGTAGAATATCCAACCGAACTCAAAATCGCGCCTGTAAGCACGGCATGATTAGCTTCTCCCATCCCCTGCTAGGCTTCTATGCAGCAATTCATCGTTCGCTTCCAGCCCAAAGCAATATATTTCCTACGCAGGGGTTTAATATAACGCACGTAGCGAACCAGCACGATGGCATCGCAAAAACAATTTCTTCCATGCACCCACGAGGCAAAGCATATTGCACAATCTCTGAACGTGCGGTTGCTGCTCGGTATCTCTGAGCCGAACTGCTTTTAGAACTGCCAGCATCGAACCTGGCGCGTTCTCGATGCGATTCTATTGCCATCTATCGTCGTGCGCGGTACAAGTCGCGCAGACGAGAGTCTCATTCAAGACGTGTAGATTGCCCTCTTTACCCAAACGCCGTCCTCCACTGTGACGCGCACACAGTGCGACGGACCTAGACTGAACACATTGAAACTTTCATTGTTTGTCGTCTCGTTTGTGCTTCTGTATTCGGGTGGTCGCTTTCCCATCTGGCACAATGTGGTGTTATGAAGTGATGGCTCTCTCCCGTACCTCCCGACTCGCACAGCAGGCTTGTCCCATAGTTACAATTGACATTGCTTGTCAAGGACTCAAGAGACATGATTCCGCATCTTCACTGTAACCTCTGTATGTATACACGGATTCCTGATCCGCATTTAGATTGCGAACCTACTCAGCGACTACGGAACAATAGGTGAAGTCCACAGAGTGGTTCCTGTGAAAACGTTGGCATGAGGGAAACCCAAGTATCAATTCTACCAGCACATATTCGATAGTTTCCATGTCTCGCCAATACTGCATCAACTTCGCCGGTACTACTGCAAGTGACTTAGAACAAACATCAAACAAGCGCCACACACGTTTTCCCCTTTTTCCCTCTTCCCCAAATTTCCCGCTGCAAGCCACACTGAAAGCACCGAAGGCCACGGGTCGAGAAAGTGGAGGGATGCAAGAGAACTACTCCGTACTCACGAAAACAATGTTGTTAGGTCCACCTCTGTTATCCCACACTCGCCGATCATTGTTGGCCCTATCAATGCTACGAGTACTCCGTATCTACCCCATCTTGATAGCGAGTATCGTCTTCTGTACTAAACCCCACTGGTCGCCTACCTACTCGTACTGTGCTACTCCCACTCCAAATCACACGCCATATGGCCACACTACACGCTCGAGTCAAAGTCTTAGCCTAGGAGACCGGCGCTCGCCTTCTTAGACATCATGCCCGCGCTCCTCGCTTCAACGTGTCCAAACTCAACTCCCCCCGACCGTCCGCCTCTCCCGCCTGAGCTCGTCCCTCCGATGCAGCATGATCCTCCTGCCCCATGTAGCCTAGTCCGACCAGACTGACAGCCCTAAAACTCCACAGGAAACTCTCTCGCGTTCCAACGACGCACGCCTCTTCTTGCCTTCTGTGACCTGTCTGGATTGCATTGATGGCACTCATTACTGTATCAATTCGCACAGACATCGAGGACTCGCTCGCTCGCTGATACACCTAGACTACTCATACAATAGTCTCATACGTCCGACGTACATGCATGTAATGCACGTCCGCCGTTCCACGCCCCTCTCTACATCTTTATGCACTCGCTCCGAGCCCCGTTCATGCTTTCATTATTCGTCCAATAACGTGAATGTATCTACTCACCGATAGATACTGTAAACAGGCTCTTTTCCCTCCGAGATAGGCCACGCTTTCTCTTCTATCCGAATTTCAAAGACCGACGATATGTCGTCTTTTGATGCGAGCAAATGAGACAATCAATCAACAATGTGACATGATATTCCCCATCGCGCTCTCGCGACAAGAGTAACAAGCAGTAGTAGAGAGCAGGAGGATTTGAGTTCTCAGGCGTCCCATTCTTTTGCACATGCGGACCACGTTCCGAAACTGGAATGCCAGAAACGAAAAAGAAGGTTTGCACCAACCCAACGTCCCGAGGTAATTATTCGAGTCAAGTGGAGCACGCGACAGCTGGGGGATTGGCTTGTTAGCACATGCGTTCGTTCGCGCACGCACCGGGGCAGCTTTGGGAATGGGACTTTGTTGAAATGCAAACCCCTCCCATGTCGCTAAGCCCTGCGTGTGTAGATACCGTTTCGCGTTGTGAAGACTTGATGAACGATACTCTCGTATTCACGTGTTAAATACTGGGTCTTCACGATGATGGTCGTACTGTGTTGGCAATTGTTTACGTTTATCTTACCGTTACCGTATCGATCTCTGTGGCGGCTGTTGCCAAAATCGGTATTATATTGTTCGGCATATAATAGCCCAGCATATGCAACGGGGTTTTGATTGTATGATGCAAAACTCAAGCATGTAACAACGCAGCGCATTTCCATTCAAAATGTCCGTCCGGGCTCGCCGGCATAGGATCGCCAGAATTTCTCCGACAAGTACATGTACAAGTAGGTACCTCTGCATATTCACGTGGGAGGGCGTGGGGGTAAATCCCTGGAGGGTATCTATGCGTGCAGTGTGCTACGGTAGGTTGTGTCCGTGTACAATTACTACTTGCAGTCCGTAGAGGCGAAAGGGAAAAGGATGGGTGGACTGGGATTTGCATTTCGAATTCTGGCTTCCTATTCAGGGAGGTGGGTAGTAGAGGGCGATCAGAGGGTACGGGGCTCCGTTACAGCAAGTGCGTGGGATGTGAGCGAATTAGCAGCAGTATCCCACTGACGGGCTTCAGATGTGTGAGTGGTTACTTGCAATAAGGCGAGAAGGCGAGAAGGCAAAGAGAGTCAAAGCAGTGAAAGCCCGCATCCGGTCGTATACATCGCATCATGCTACTCTGAAACTACATGATCACAGAATTGATGTCGAGATCGTTATTGGCATATTCGTTGCTAACATACTCGTCGTCATCATCATCTTAAGCTTGTCCTCCTGATTTCTGCGATGGCCTTCCTTCGATGCTCACTCTCTGCAAACAATGCCTTGATCAGATCTATCACCTCCCCTCCGTCCATCTCTAGCTTCAATTCGCCATCTGTCCACAAGAATCTGATGTCTGCAAGGCTAGAATCTAATATCTCGCTCAGATACTGGAATTTGAACCAGTTTGGTGTATAGATGCTGGTCATATCTTGCGGTTCTCCAGCCGCATTTTCTGTTACGAAGAGCGATGATAGCGAGGCAAGTGAGACGCAGTAAGAATGGATCTTCTTCGAGTCCTCCTCGGCGATGTCGGACATGTCCTCTACATCGGTAATGAATTTTGCTAGCGCAGTGGAGACAAGCGATCCCAGGGATTGTAAGAGAGCAGAATGTGAAAGAATCGGTGCCCAGGTGCGCTTCACTTCACCAATCCGGTCAATTGTCATTGCAACAGCAGCATCGCAGCTATCCGCAAAGTGGGCAACCGTGCAATTGGCAAAACCATTCGTGCCATCAAGCAGATCCCGAACGATGGTTCGCTGGGACTCCATTTCGCGGCCATATGCGCGCTTGCCAAACCCTTCAATTAGTTTGAGGTCCGAGTCGAGACGAAGACAAACAGATGGCTGAAGGTGGCGAGGCAATGTAGACGTTCGGTCCTTTTCGGATTGTTCGAGAAGAAACGTGCGGAGCCTGTCCGACAATCGTGTGCAGTCATTGTAGATGAGCATGTTGCCAGCCACGTCCTTGGAATAGTGAGAAGACGCGGTGGCTCGATACATAGCTAACAAGAGGCTCGGTATGGCATATAATCCGCTACTGGCAGGGGCAATTGCTGTTCCCACGAGCTCTGGCCCGTTCAGACTTTCCACATCGCAAATAACTTGTACTATAATTTCGAAGATCGAGTCCGGTATTGCTGTAACAGTGTATGTTTCGCTCAAGGTAACTTGTTTTTCTGTATTGCCCTTTGGTTGGGTGGGAATCTCGCCGTTGGCTTTGGACTTTTCCGGCAGTTTCGACGACGATGCAGGTAGGCTCTCTGGCTGTTCTGCTTCTTCATCTTCGCCCCAACCCCAGGCATCGACATCTTCTTCAGCTCCCTCGTCTTTCTTCTCCTCAGTCTTGGCCTTCTGCTCTTCCTTCTGCTCTTCCTTTTGTTCCTCTTCATCATCCATGCCCCAAGCGCTCATGTCTTCCTCTTCGACCACAGTGGTTGGAGCCTCATCTTTTTGTTGTGCGTTAGAACCATGATTCGCTGGATCTTCTTCCTCGCCCCAGTCTGCACCCCAATCCTCGTCCTGATCTTCCTGGCCATCATGGAGGGCGTCACCCCTCGTCACTGTTTGTGTTTCAACTCTTTCCACCGTCTTCTTCTCTCGGACCCTGCGGGGGCATAGACTGTGTACTCGAGCGATAGCGATTTCTTTGGTGCGCTTAAGCCATATTTCAGCTGATTGGTCCACCCAGTCTCGCAATTGCTGTTGTCCCGTCCATTCCAACTCATCGAAGTATTCGGCAAGTCCCAGCACAAGAGAAAGTGTCTCCTGGAAGTCTTGCACTCCATTGGTCGAAAGCGGGACCGCAGGCAGAAGCCAGTATTTGATCAACCGGGTAGCGATAGTGGGAGTCAACTTTACTGACAAAGGTATTGCAACAGGTGGTGGGAGCCGTGTGCTTATATACTCAGCTATCGCTTGTATGTCCTCCAATGTCGCCTTCACAGTCATATCTTTGACGTGTCCGATGATTTGAATATCATCGCCATTGACATCAAATCCGTGCACAACCCCGTCGGAGTTGATGGCTAACCGGGGAGACACAATGGTGTGGTCAAAGTCGCGATGTAGCTTAGCAATGAAATTCTCCAGTAAACTAAGTTTCGTCAGGGCTTCCACTACTGTATCGATTTGGATTGTTGCTTCCCCTGTATAACCGGTTAGAACTGGATGTGAATCTTGGATTGGGAACGTACTCTCCACCTTCTCTTTCAAAGAGATGCGGCGTTCATTTGGATCGATCAGTATCAATCCATTCCAAGACTCAGTCGTGGTCTCCACAATGGCAGCCCTTAATTGATCGGCTCGGTTCTTCAATATTCCAGCCACCCTGGTACTTCTAAATTGTCCCAATGTCTCGAACTCTACGCTGGTGTCCTCAAGGCGCTCCAGAGCATATATTATATTTCCATGTACCGCAGCATTTTGTACAGATTCGAGAAGGCCCGAGATGCCTTGTATCTTTTCAACAACCGTCCCAAGGGTTTCATTGTATGCAATTTCCGAATGAAGGAATTTCAGCTTGCTTTCCGCGTCTACTACTCGCCCTTTGAGCTCCTTCTCAGCTTCAGCCTGCTGGACTATTTCGTGTGCAGTAACCTTGGAGCGTTGGATATCGTCTTGGAGCTTGCGGGCTTGGGATATCCAGCCGTCGACATCGGATGCTGCCTCGCGAGACACTTTGCGGATCTCATTCTAAAGGGGGAACATTAGCCAATTTCCCAAATAGATTGGTTAACCATACTTTTGTATGTTCCCTAGCATTGCTCACAACCTCCAAAAGCTTCGGGAGTGCAGTCGATGGCACTGGGGCAGAGGCCACATCTTCGGATTGCGGGAAGCTGCCGTGCTCGATGGATTGGAGGAAGGCTTCCCCCAGCTCCTGATCGGACACTTGCGACGGCATTGCACCTAGAATACAGATATCATGGTCCACGGAAAGAGAAAAGCGAACGAGTGTGTTTGGTACGAATTCGGTCGGGTTGGATTGCTATGCATCAAGATTCCGTTCCGTGGCAGGTATTGGCGTCAGTGGTGGTCATAGCTCAGCCCTATGAGGAAGGATGGGATCAATTCATTCCACCCCGCCGTGCCCGCTAAGTTCAAACTATTATCGTATAAACGTTACCCCGCTGACTTTTGTCTCCAATCTCACACATTTGCCCAAGTCCCTCAAACCCGGTCACAACATAATCAAACTAATTAGTACATTCGTCTCAACCCTTTCTTAACTTATCCCAAAACGGAGCGTGGCACGTGAAAGTCTTTTATTGGACTTGAAGAGGTCCATTGCCGGAGATTGTCAGGATAGCGTCCACAATCTTCAAGACTTTTCAGCTACTTCTTTTAGGTGGCTTGTTAGGGTCTAACCATCTGATTCGGTAAGAACATATCTCACTTCATTCGGTGGCCAAGGATTGTCTATGCAAGAAAGAGAAACAACCCCCCATGGCATGATTCCATAAACACACTATAAGCGATGCACCCGCCAATCTTTTCACCACTTGCCATTCACCCTTCTATTTGTTGGCTTCTTGTGGATTTATTCGTGTAGTTTGATGTGGTAACGCTCAAATTGACGTATATCTGCATGGCCCGCGCTGACAGGGAACAATACTAGTGCTTGCTCTGTCCTGAACAAAGAACACAACAGGTCTCTAAACGCTGACTTTGTGCCCTTGGGAAATACTTCGAACTTCCCATATTACAATCAGTCTCAAGAGGCCCAAGAGTTTCCTTGGAATATCGCGATCATGGGTTCAGTAGAGCAAACATCGCACTTCAAGAAGATCCAGAACTTCAAGGCCGACTACACCGAGGTCGAATTTACCCAGTATGAATCCCAGCGAACTGGTATGCGAGCTGTGGTAGTCGACCGTAAAGGTCCGAAGGTTGATGATATGTGTAACTCGACTTAATGCACTGGCACTGACACTCCAATAGGTGTACGGCTACTTCGCTGTCGCTACGGAGATTCATGATGATTCTGGTGCCCGTAAGTTTCCCGGAACGATCAATTCATTTTCTATGCTGATACCTTGCAGCGCACACATTAGAACATCTTTGCTTCATGGTTGGTTCTCAAGTACTACTGTTGGAGCTTGACTAACATCAAGCAGGGGTCACGGAAGTATCCTTACAAAGGCGTTCTGGATAAGATTGCTACTCGAGCATACTCCGATACCAATGCTTGGACCGATACGGCTGAGACAGTCTACTCCTTGAGTACAGCTGGTTGGGAAGGATTTGCACAGCTTCGTAAGAGATACTAAGCCTCGCCTTGGTAAGCAATTACTGACTTTGGCAGTACCAATCTATCTTGACCATGTCATCGTCCCAACATTGACAGATGCTGGATGTTATACAGAGGTTCATCATGTTGACGGGAAAGGCTATGACGCAGGGTATTTGCGACCAGCCCTTGTGATTATCGACGCATCGCTAATTTGAAAAAGTGTTGTCTACTCCGAAATGCAAGGACGAGAAAACCTTCAGGGCGACTTGATGGACCTTCAAATGCGTCGCCTGTTATACGCCGAAGGAGATGGCTACCGTTACGAGACCGGTGGCATGACTCCAGCCTTGCGAGTCCTGACCGCTGAAAGGATAAGGCAGTTCCACAGAGATATGTACCAGCCTAAGAACATTAGACTTGTCCTAATTGGAGAGGTTGATCACCCCCAATTGCTTGACATATTGGACAAATTCGAAAACGAAATCATCGATAAGGTTCCTTCTTTCGATGCTCCATTCCAGAGGCCGTGGGTGGATTCAAAGCGTACCCAGCCACTTAGCAAGACCACGATCGACACCATCGAATTCCCAGAGGAAGATGAATCAACAGGTGAAGTTCAGATCGCTTTTCTCGGTCCGGAAGCAAACGACGACAAGGCCGAGACTGCACTGAACACCATTCTCATGTACCTGGCTGGATCCTCCGTATCAGTGTTGGTTAACACATTGGTCGAGAAGGAGCATCTTGCAAGCATGGTCTACTTCTGGGTGAAGACACACTACGACATGATAATCTGGTTCACTTTGACGAGCGTAGAAACCGAAAAGCTTGCAGATGCGGAGAAAAGGTTTTTTGAGGTCCTCAAAGACCATGCGTCTCGGCCGCTCGATTTTGCATACATCAAGGATTGCCTTCATCGATTCAAACGTCAAGTGCGATTCACATCAGAGGTGTCCAACGATGACTACAAGGAGCCAATCATCAAGGATCACATTTTCGGCAACCGCGATGGCTCTGACCTATACGACTCTCTGGGTACGCTACGCGTTTTCGACGAGCTTGAGCAGTGGAAAGAGGAGGATTGGAGAGCCTTTTTGAACAAGTGGATTGCCGACGCTCATCATGTCTCCATCCTCGGCAAGCCGTCTGTCGCTCTAAATGATAAGATTAAGGCAGATGAGGTTGCGCGTGTCAAGTCACAACAAGAAAAGCTAGGAGAAGAAGGCCTGAAGAAACTCGCTACAAAGCTCGAAGAAGCTCAGGCAGAAAATGACAAACCAATTCCGGAGGAAATTCTAGCCAGCCTGAAGGTACCTGGAACCGAGTCCATCCACTTTTTCGATACTGTCACTGCGCGCTCTGGATTGGCGAAGAAAGCAGGCGCACCAGACAACAGCATCCAAAAAGTTATTGACAAAGATGGGAACGGCCTTCCACTCTTCATCCACTACGAACACATACCGACTTCGTTTGTTCATTTTGGGCTCGCCCTAGGGACAGCTACAGTTCCCACGGAATTGAAGCCTCTGCTCGGAGTGTACCTTACTAACTTCTTCGCAACTCCAATCGTGAAAGATGGAGAACGCATCGAGTTCGAACAAGTCATCACAAGCCTCGAGCAGGACACCATCGAGTTCAGTCTGGACCGGGGTAATGACATCGGAAATTCTGAAATGGTTTTCATCCACTTCGTTGCTGAAGCAGAGAAGTTCGAAACGGTCGTGAAGTGGCTAGCTACCCTCCTCATCGATTCCGTCTTCGATACCGAGCGTCTGATCGCCGCGGTGAAGAAGATTGTTGCGGATGTTCCTGAGGAGAAGCGTGACGGCAACAGCATGGCTTTCGCAGTTGATCGCATGATTCATTACGACGCAGCGTCCGCTGTCCGTGCTACCAACACTCTGGTGAAGGGGGCATACCTCCGGAAGATTCTTAAGCTCCTCAAGACCGAACCCGAGCAGGTCATTGAGAAACTGGAATCATTGCGAAAACATCTCCTCACCTTTTCGAATCTCCGCGTGTTGGCGATTGCAAATTTCGAGAAACTACCCAATCCAGTGTCGACCTTCAGGCACCTGACAGACGCCATCAAACCCGGTCCTAACCCAGACGTCAACCCCATCGACGACCGCAAAGCAATGTTGTCGCCCATAGGCCGCAATCCAGGAGGCGCACACTACATCGTTCCCCTCCCGATCGACTCATCCTTTGCAGTCCTGACCTCCCGTGGACCCTCATCTTACACGTCACCCCAATTGCCCCCTCTCATTGTAGCTCTCGCCTATCTCGACGCCGTCGAGGGACCAATGTGGGCCAACATCCGCGGGACAGGTCTCGCGTATGGCACCAATTTCTTCCGAGACGTGGAGACAGGGCTCCTCAAGTTCCGCATCTACAAATCGCCCAACGCTTTCTCTGCGTACCAGAAGGCGGCCACCGTTGTCAAGGAATACGGGAATGGAACCCGCAAATTCGAGAAATTGGCGCTGGAAGGTGCGATCAGCAGCATCGTACGCGACTTCGTGGATGAGAAGGCAACGATTGTGGATGCAGCGAAGGGCAGCTTTGTGGATCTTGTAGTCAGGGGACTTGACAAGAACTACAGCGACTGGATGCTGGCCGAGGTGAGGAAGGTGGAGGAAGACGATGTCAAGAAGATCTTGAATGAGGTGGTCAGTGGGGTGTTCGAGGCCGACAAGGCGGATTTGGTGGTCAGTTGTGGTGCGACCATGGTTGATGTGAGTTTGGATATGTCTTGCCCAAACGCTAGGCCAGAAGTACTAATTCAGATGTGCAGGATCTCAAGAAGAATTTCGAAGAAGCCGGCTTCAAGCCTGAAGTCAAACCGTTGTCCGACTTCGAGGACGACTACGGCCTCGAGGGTGAGGAAGATGATGAAGACATGTCTGGCGAGGAGGATGACGAAGAGGATGGTAGCGAGAGTGGAAGTGAGATGGAGGCATAATGAGATGTCTGACCACAGGACATCGTTTTCAGTACGGTTTGAAAATCAAACCAGGAACAACATGCCTCTTTAGTCTACAATCCTACATCCATACTTGACCATTGCATATCATACAGACTCCGAATGTCTCTGAAAGAATGTCATTGTCAGCAGCTGATTAAGTCAAGAAACAAATGTACTTTCTTCACTGCTCTTCGCCATATTGCTCGATACATTGTTGTATGGGTACGTAAACCTCCCCTCCAAACAAATTTAGGTGTACATACATCATACATAGACCACCGGTAGGAGGACTGAGGAGAGTGGCAATCATGTGAATGAGTTGCGCGCATGGCAGGGCTGGGCAAAACATGTGCAAGACATTTCCAGGCAATCAATCCATGGTTCTCCAAAGAGCAGCTGAAGGTGTTCCTAAGGACCAATCATAGAATGTGTCCCTCATCTTTCGATTAGTACCAGGGCGGGCAGAAGATGATGTCAATCAAGGTCCCTCATGTTTGTTCACCATGCAAAAATCAAACTCAATGGGGAACTCAACATCTGCAGTGACTACGGAGTAAGTACTCGCAGTGTGAGGATGATGAAAGTGACCAAAGCCCAAGACCCAAAAGACGCAGGGCTTTGGGTGATGGACGTCTTGTCATCCCATTTAGGGAAAGTGCGATGACGGGATGATTGGGCGATGTACTCCGAATGGGTGGCTGGTGTTCACGCAGTACAATACCTAGGTAGTTGGCAGTCGCCACACCTGTCACACCTGTCACTGTCACCGTCACCCACCGCAACTTCCGCTTCCGGGCCGGTTGATAGTTACTCGTATTGTGAAGATAACGACGTTACACACAGAACATGGGAAAGGAAGGCGTGGAGGGGTATTGTCATCGCATAGCTGACGCAGACGGGATGTTGAGGAACGGTACCTCGAAATTACTTGTTGTAGATACAGGTACTTGCGAAGTATGTTTGTGATGTATGAGTGGCAAATGATCGAAGCCACCAAGAATAACGCTTACTATCAAAACAAGGTACTCGTACACTTGCCATACTTTCCATTATCCTACAGCACAATTATTTACAATAGATACCGTAAAAGTACCCAGATCTAGTGATGTCCCTTAGTGTTAAATTACTCATAAGTAATCAACTACTAAGATACATCGTCCAGTCAGATTGAGGTATTGCCATCGGAACAGACCGGGGAGTCCATTGATTCGCAGAAACCATTCCGGACCCTCATCTGATGATTCCTAATCGAGTTAAGCATTGTCAGGATAAGTAGGTACTTTGTAAGTAGAGTACCTGGAGTCCTAGAGTGCCTAATAAGAGGTAGAGAGTACATACGAGTAATTAAGTATGTGGCTAAGTACCTAGGTGGCTAGGCCATTGGATGGACAAAAACGGTAGAAACGGCATCAAGCCATTGACAACATCCCTCCGCTCCCACGTCCTATTCACCCATCTCCTCACTCGCTCTACATCCCCACACACACACACACTCTCACACACTCACACTCACCCCCAAACATCACCAACAAAACAATCCAATCCCTCAATTGCATTCACCCACTGGTTGGTCACATTCCATCACTCGACGCCTTATCCTCCTCGGCCTCCTCCACCCACCTTCCTCGCCGGTTTAGTAGGCGCTGGCCTGGACCAATCCCGCTTCCGGCTCAAAGACCGTGCATCGCTCTTTGGAAAAACACACCCCCGCCAAGTATATAGCTATTTCAACAACTCTACATACCCTATCAGCCTGCTAGAGACACTGCAGACACTGCAGGGTCCTCTATATACGGTTGCGCCCGCCATGGCTTGCTCAGGGACCAGCACCGCTGTCCAAATGTCCCAGGAAGAGCCTCTCAGCCTCTACTCCTACGGCACCTTCTCCCGCGAGGAGCAGCGGAGGCGGCGGCACTCTTCTCACCACTCGAGCCACTCGAGACCTTGGGCTGTCGACGCTGAACATGTCCACGAAGCTGTACGTTCCTGGCCTATATCATATTCTTCCTGCGCAAAGTGGTGTTGCAAAAACCTAACATACTCCCAGCTTGAACATTTCATTTCCGAACTCGGCTGTCGCTTAGACTTCCTCGAATCCTATGGCCACCTCAAATTCGATGCGGGTGTAGAATACGCATACTCCACCCTCCTTGCCGTGCGTGAATCATGCTCGAAAATCTCGGATGAAGCTCTCGAAGCTGGCAGGCGCCGCGCCGGCGTCTTCGTCGAAACCCTCGAAGAGCGTTACCAAGATGCACTCGCCTCAAAGGAATCATTCGACCAGAAGGTACAAGAAGGATTGCGACTGATGGAAGAGTATCTCACCGAGTTCGAGACGCGCGCATATGCAATCCGAGACTCCGGCATCGGTTCGGTAGCACAGGAATTCTACGAGGGTGGACGTCGAAAGGTGGATGAGGGATTTGAGCGTGCCAAAGGTGTGGTAGATGGAGGAATAGACAAAGCAAGGAGAGCACGCGAGACCATTGAGCTTACGATCGAGCACGCCGTCGAACGAGCTCTCGCCCGCGCAAAGGAACATGGCCTCATCCAATATGAAGATCTCCCCGACCCATGGAAAATTAACCCTCATATCCACAAGGGCTACCGCTTCTCGGAAGGAAAATGGGCATGCGTGCGATCTATGGTCAGCATGCACAACGAATTCTTCAACATCTGGTCGCACGCCGTCGGTCTGCTGATCATCCTTACTGTGGCATTCTACTTCTACCCACGCAACTCCAACTTCTCTCTTTCCACCAACTCGGACATCTTCATCGCTGCCGTCTTCTTCTTCGCCGCGGCGAAATGTCTCGTCTGCTCCACCATCTGGCATACGATGAACAGCATCTCCCACCAAACCCTCCTTGAACGCTTCGCCTGTGTCGATTACACGGGCATCTCTCTTCTCGTTGCCGCCTCCATCATGACCACGGAATACGCCGCTTTCTACTGCGAGCCCAACTCCCGCTGGATGTACATGCTGACGACTGCCTTCCTCGGTATTGGCGGCGTTATCCTCCCCTGGCACCCGACCTTCAATCGCCAGGACATGGCTTGGCTGCGCGTTGTTTTCTACGTCTCACTTGCCGCCACCGGCTTCCTCCCTGTGGGACAACTCGCAATGACCCGTGGCATCGAGTGGGCATACTACTTCTACGCGCCCGTTACTAAGTCAATCCTCGTGTATCTCATTGGCGCCATCATGTATGCTTCCAAGATCCCAGAGCGATGGTTCCCCGGTCGCTTCGATTACGTGGGCTGCTCGCACAACATCTGGCACGTCGCCGTCCTTTTCGGTATCCTTTTCCACTACAACGCTATGCAGACCATGTTCGCCCATGCCCTGCAGAGGGCTCAGACACATTGCTCCATCTATTAGAGTGGGACGATATTGAATGATTGCGCGTTTCCCCCTTTCCATGTTGCCAATAACAAAGAAATGAGCATATGATTGACCATGGTTACGATTTCAATACGCCAGACAGTGTCCAGGAACGAACTACGACAAGGTACGACGGGCTGGAAATGTTAGAGCAAGTGTTAAAAAGGAAGGAGGGGCGGATAGGTCGGGTCGATACGATGGAAGAGTCGGTGGTCGAGTATTGCGTTTTTCTTTTCCCTCCACATCTCGTCGTGGACGACGTGGAATGCGTATGTACATACGCTGTTCAATACCTTTGCATTCAGGCGTCACAGTTTTCTCGCATCTTCCATTGGCAATCTTGGCGTTCGTAGTCTTTTCTTTTCTCTCATCTTCCTTCTTCTCCTTCCTCTTCTGTTGAAGCCGTGGGCTAGGGCAGCTAAGCGGCCTGTTTATTTCCTTTCATTCTCCCTTCCTCTCCATATGAGATGATGGGAGGTTTTTCCTTTCCTGCGGTTAGGCGATAGACTCTTGCTAGACCAAAGCATTTCCAAATGAGAAAGACATTGACAGTAAACTGTATGTGCACACAAGCCGCCATTTCTTCATTGCTATCGGTGACAAGTTCGAGGATGGTCTTCTCAGTAAGATACATATGCGGGCGAGAGACAGAGAGAGTAAGAGAATCCGAGATAAAGTGTGTGTCATACTATCAACTTGAGCAGCTATAATCCCCCTTAGAGTCACATTATCGGCTTTAGCTGAATGTCAGGAAACGAATGGAGTGCTCTCCCGGGCGATTATACCCCATATGTTGATCAGAAGACGAGGTGAGGCATGGTTTTTCAAACTTATCTCTTTGTTTTTGTAAAGTTATATATATTGGTACATGGTTTTTACTATACATTATTCGATCGATCGAGTGAGTATTCGTAGTATGTATGTGTACCCCGAAACACCTGTTCGCCGTACCTGCGGACGACCTGACCTGAATAAGTACCTAAAATGGACTCGACTCCAGCCTTTAGTAGCGCCATCCATCCATGCTATGCAAGTTGTAAACAGACTATTTGACCCAGCTTCCCACGTCTTCCCTTCTTGTTCGTTTTCTACAAAGGCATAATTTACCTTCTTTAGACTTCCGTCTCAATTCCAACACCTTTGGTGTCGTGCTTGAAGACGTTCTCAACCTTGTTCTGGCCCCGTTCGGCCAGGTGTTTCATCCATGCCACCGTCCTCGGGCCTTTCCACTGCATGGCACCTCTGTTCCGTCTGTGCAGTTGTTTGGCGTGCTGTTTGTAGTCCTTGATCTGATCTACGGTGTCGCGTTTGCCATCTTCATCCAGGCTACTACCGGTCTTCCTCTTGATGAAGGAGGGGACGAAGTCGGAATCGGAATCGGACGATGAGGATGACGAGCCACCCCCATCCCCTTCGCCATCGTCCCAGTCGCCCTCGTCATTGTCGTTGCAAATGTCGAGGACCTCCATTACGTTGGCGAGGTTGCGGTCTTTCTTCGCAAGTCCTTGGTGGTAACCGGACAGGCCGCTCCAGAAGGTGAGGATGAGTTCGATTTCACCAATCTTCTCACCCGGTTCCTCGATGGCGTTGTGTTGTGCGCGGTCCAGGTCGCCTTTCCACACCGAAAGCCGGACGGTTTGTTCTTCGTTGTCAGGAATGTCCTTGAGCCAAAGGATGCTAAAAGCAGGAGTGCGGTCCCTGAGGGCAGAGTCCTTACGAAACTCGACGACAAGCGGTGAACCATAGCGTTTACGGACGGGCAAACGAATAGGCCTATCCTTTTTCGTTTTCCAAACGACGTGGCCATCTTCTTCGTTCAACTTGCCATCTTCAGTGCCGGATTGCAGTTTGGATCGAGAAATGGTAGTTCGAATCTTCATTCTCATATTCTTAATATCTTCGGGGACATCGATCGCTTTGACAACGGGCTTGATGTCCAGTGTGCCATATTCCCAACCTAGTAGGTTCCGAGGAGCCTGGAGCTGGACAGAGCGGAAGACGATCGATATCCGGGCGCGTCCGTATCCCAAGCCACCCGAAAGCGGATAATTGGCATCGATCTGACTGCGACTCTGAAGTATTCTGGAGAGAGGTAGATAAACGATTCCCAGCAAGGGATCGTCTTCATGAACGCGGGCATCTCGAACAGAGATATGCACTTCAGTATTGCGGTAGTCTCGAATGAAGCGTTCACAACCAGCATTAAAGAACGGCTTCGAATTCTTCGGCTTGGTCCTTGTTTTGAAAACCTTTTGGTGGTTCAAGATGATGGTGCAATATGAAGACGGCAAGTCGTCGCCCTCTTCTTCCTCGTCGCTTGCGGCCCCATTTTTGTCTGCCTTCTTTTTGTTGACAGCCTCCAGTTCGAGGCCTGTGATCTGATGGATTTGGACGCTAAGAATACCACTGGGGTAGTCCTGTGGCGGAGGCGACGCTATGATGAGCTCATCCTGTCGTGCCTTACCCGAGTCAGCAGGGATAAATCTACGCATTGTGGGCGGCACTTACCTTGAAATCTTGAGCTTTCTGCTGCTCAATCTCGTCGCTCTCGTCCTTGCTAGCTTCGCGAAGTTTATTCTCACTCTGTTCATGAACCTTCTTCTTGAGCTGATCGATTGTCTTGATATCGGGATCTTCATCTTGCGCCGCCAGCTGATCTTCGGTGATCCTTGTCTTCGAGAAATAGCCTACACTCCATTTCAGTTTTCCAGGCATACCCTCTCCTTTCTTTAAAGCCTTGAAGCCGTCTTCCCGTTCTTGAATTTTGCCATTAGTCTCGTGTCCTTTCATTAAGCCCTTCAGATCTAGTTCTATGCGACCGAGATCATCATCCGCGGTAGTCCGGTCAGAGTCCCATAGCTGTACTCTGAGACGTTCGTCCACATTCAACTCTTCTGGGGTAACAAGAACGAAGCATGTTTCCTCCCAAACAGGGTTCATATTTTTCTGCAAGACCCGAGTAGACCAAAGGGGTTTTCCGAATTTCGCCCACCCCACGCTCACATATGGATCTGCAGAGCCTTGTTTGATGGGTCCCAGCCCAGCATCGCCCTCCTTGAAGTCAAAGGCTCGCCGAATCGTGACAACCAGGACGCCCCTCGCGTTCGTATCTTTCTTGAAGTCGTCGCCTACAAGCATGTCCTTCAAGTCGAGTGTGAGTGACTTGGGAGCCACATACTCGGCCATTGCTGCATCCACGGACGATTGAACGAAATGTGAAATGAGTGGAACATCCATCAAGTTTGGACCCTGCTTGATCAAGGGAATGCATGAAAGATTGACCTTTGGTTGGCCAAGGAAGGTCATGGTACAGAGCGAAAAGAATGGAGGATCCGGAGTTAGCTGCAATCGGAGCCGTACAGTTCCTACGATCCCGTGCAACTCAACCCAAACAGCTGCTTTGGTCAGTCATGTCAAGCATATGTGGGTGTGGCGATACGTACGTAGTTTAACGTTTGCAGGCATGTAGAAGGCCAAATACAGGTGAGCGTTCTTTGCTCGCTCTTTCATGCCACGTCTTCCTGTCGAAGGTCGGTAAGCAAAAGCAATTTCCACATTGACGAAATCGCCTTCCTCCGCTTCCATTCCTTGGGCAATGTTATCAATACTTTGTTCGTTCTCGCCCACTTCATCTTGCTTGTTCTCTGAGCTCTCATCAACTTGGCCTTCCCCGGGCACCGAACGATCGTTCTTCTCCTTGTTGACAGGCTTCAGGGAACCGTCTTCAGATACAGTCCTAGCAGCGGCTCCGGTAGGAAGCCAGCGAACACCTAGTATGCGAAGAGCCTCACTTCCTTGACCAATGTCATCGACACTGACCATTCGAACCATCTTTGGCAAACTAGCTTGCATGACGTCCTATATCTATTAGCTACATTGGGAGCACGGGAAAACAAATGCATGGCCACTCACCTCTAGAGTGTCAGATACTGAAGTAAAGAGATCTGGGTTGATCAATGGCCAGACAGAAGCAAGTAGAGAATTCAACCACTGTGCGCTTTCAGCGGTGGAGCTTTTGGACAATTCCTTCCCGCGTTGTCGCTCAGCTTGCCAGACTTCGGTCTCCCAGACATTCTTGATCTTGTTTTCGGTCCATTGACGCATACCAATAATGACTGCTGCGGAAACTCCCAGGCTGACTGCCACCTCCACGAAGGTGAAGAAAGCTCGTGACCATCCTGAACTGTTACGTGTAACCTGAAACAACGCAACCACAAGTGTCAAACTGACACTGACGATACCCAGACCTGCTGTCATTGCCTTTCGATATACATCGGTGATACCATCTCTTGTCATCTGAAAGTCTGGAGGAGGAAATAGTTTGTCCATTTCTGAATGTGTATCCTGGCCGTCAATGCCCTCTTGAGACAGTTGCTCGTCGCTCTTGTTCTTCGCATGCCCTCCAGTAGCTGATTGTGCTTCCGAGCCCGCAGGTGGCCCATTCTTAGGGGTCTTCTTCAAATCCTTGTCCGTATAGTCGTGAATTGTGACTGGCAAATGTGTCACAGGGTCTGTGACTTCTCGTTCGGTGCCATCTGCGGAGAACTTCTTCATTTGTTTTCGTGCTTTCTTGGGATCTGACTCATGCAGGTGGCCCTCGGTAGTATCTTTCGCCTGTTCTTCCTCTTCCCCCTTGATTTCTGGGTCCTTCTGTTCTTCTAATTTTCCGGCATGTTCTTCTGCGATATCGTCATCGTGTCCCAAATTCTTGTTCTCGGCCTGGTACGGCTGTGTGTTCTCGTTGGGATTCGCGGCTTCTTTGCCATGTCGGAGCGTGGTGTAGGCGTCACCGATGCGCTCTAGTCTGCTCCTATCGTCGCTTTCTTTCCGATCATCAGGCGCTGGATATTTAGCCTCGCGCTCCTCCTTCTCCTGGCGATACTTCTGTACGGTAGGGATCGGGTTGTGAGGTGTGTATGGAGCCTTGTGGTTTTTTCGGCCAGTCTGGATATCCTCCACTCCAGACATGGCAGCGACAGTAGGTTGAGAGGCTTTTTCTGGAAGTTAAGTTGCTATGTAGAGAACCTGCTCAGATGGGGTAGGGCAATGATCGTAATTCTTGTTATTCGTGGATAGCGTAGAGGTCATGCAACATCAAGAGGTGAACGAGCGAAATGGAACGAAGGGTTGGTGGATTGGTGAGAAAGAAAGTCGAAATACGAGTAATAACTGCTGTTCAAGTGGGCATGAGAAGGTGCGCCCCGACGACTTTGATTCCCAAGGGTCGTGGTCCGTGTATTTGCAATTGACGTATTGTACAAGGCTTTTGGCAGGTTTTTGGTGTGATAATTGTAATACCAAGCTCCCTTTGCCCCACCAAGGATCATCAAGGTCATCCAATCCTTATTGTTCGTGATGCCGTTTCATCCATGGACCATGTGTGCTGTGGATGTCAAGGTGAACAAGCGATGACGTCGGCTTGGCAATGCCGTTTACTATGTCAGCGTGCGGAGTTGGACAACAGCCTACAGGGGACGTGCGGAGAACACGTGCGGGAGCACCATCCGTAATTGAATCTGATTCTTCTTGTCTGTGAAATTGAATGATAATTACGAGTGCGGAAATGCAGAGGCATGCTGTATCCAAGTGTACCAAGCATTGCTGCTCGTAGCAGTTCCCCCTGCAACAAGTATCGAGTTGGCAACAATAAAACGTCAAACCTAAGGACTAGGCCCAAGAAGATATCGACGGTTCAGTAAGTGGATACGAACCAAACCCCCATTATGCCGATCAACAAGCTCCTTAAGCCTTCGGTATTATAGCCGAAGAATGCTAACAATTCTAAGTCCTTCTTTGGCTTCTTCCGCCCTTGTCGCACCTGCCTTTGAGTGACTTGATTTCGTAGATACGCGCTCTATCTACAAAGACCCGTACTCAAAAAGAAGAAGAATGTGTACCTGTGAGCGAGTGATAATACCCTCACCATCGATTACATCAATTAGACCAAGGCACTTGTACGGAGAAATGATAGAGAGAACAAGTCGGAGTTACAAGGAAACGCACAGACTCCACCACTGTGGTCCAAGGCACCTAGGCGACATATCCTTGACTGTAGATCGATAAACAACCCACCTACACACAATCCTACCACAACGTTGCCGTACTGTAGCTCAGTCGACCAAGCAGACATCGACAGCTGTGGGATGCAGCAGAGCTTTGTGCCAGGTGATACAAGCACAGCATGATCAATCTCCCCACGGAAGTTCTTCTCAACATTTTCGCGTCACTTGATTCTCTCCAAGATTTACTGTGCCTTAGGGAAGTTTGCAGGCGGTATCACAATGTCATCGATGAATTTCCTCAATCAAGCGCATATAAAGTAGCTCGCTCTCAATTTGCTGCTTTTGATGACGCTCTGCTAGCCATTCGTCTCAAAAGCATCCCGCATGAGTCGCTGTGTTTCTACAATCTCGAGAGCAAAGCTTACTCCTTCACCCCTACATCGGAGTATCTCCAGGCAGTTTTAAACGGTGAACCCGTTCCAGAAGGATGCCCGAGAGGCCCTCCACTGCTTTGGCACGATGAAATCAGGCGCGTGGTGGACCTATACCTGCTTGGGATCGCATCAATATCCGTTGCATCTGGCAGCAAAGCCATGAACCAAACCTGGCGTGAGCCCCCTGGAGTTCACCTATGGACATACTCCGATGCTTTCGGAGATGCCTGGCTAGATGCTTATTTAAGAGGTTTCTACCGCTTGAGTGCATTTTCCGCTCTCTTCAGTCCGAGAGTGATTGCGCAACCAATTCTAGACGCGGTCAAAAAGCATGAGCCCGGATTCAACTTCGAAGAAGTGGTTCCTGAAGCCTTCTGGCGTGATGTTCATAATTTTCCGATCCATGCTGGATGCGAGCATCGATACGAAACGACATACATCATGGGCTATCAACCTCCATCAGTCGGTGATCATTATGATATCTTCGCAGGCTTTTGGGAATGGCTATATCGTCGGCCCAAACTACACAACGCAGGTCGCAGCTTCCAATCACCTAGCGAAGACTCTGCCCCGCCTTCGCTGCTGGAAGAGCCGAAGCAAGAAGTTTTGTCAGTCGTACAGATGTGTAAAGTAGCCGAATACTTGAGCGATCGTAGTTTTGGCATAAAACCATCACCTCATCATCATGTCAAAGCCCTCTTCAACGAATTCTATGTGAAAGAGGGTGACAACCACCCACCTTTCACGATGTACCGACCTAAGCTTCATATCCCACTGTGGTCACATCCACATGCCATCATCAAGCACTGGACAGAACAGAATGTGCATTCGATTGTGTGGGAGCGCATTCACAATTTCAACACCGATCAAGGGTTTCTTGGCGTGCGATCAATATGGGATATTTGTAACAGCGAGCTCAGCAGCCGGTTCCGTCTAGTCTATGACCCTGAACCTCGCGAACATATGAGACTAAGTGATGCACTACTCAATATGCGTGGCGAGATTTACGATCTCGACGATCGAGAACGCCCATCTTTGATAGCTTAGGTAGCCTGTTGTTTTCTGAATCAATCAAATAAATAACAAATAACTTGCGCATAATGCAATTGAATCTTAGTTCCTTTACTACTATTTCAAGTTACAATTTCCAAGGAAAAGACGAACACCTCGCATATATACCTCGAGCGACAACGTATCCAATGATTCATAACTCCATCCCATCCCGAATTAAAGCATTTTTGATTAAGTCCGCCTCTTTCCTTCCGCCGGGTATCATAGCACATTACATCTTGTTCCCTGCTCAAAAGCCCTTTCCTCCCACTGATTGGTTCTCCTTTACCAGCCCAGTCTTACTCATGGGTGTACCTGCGCTTCTAGGCAACCGACATATCATTTCTCATCGTGAAAGAGAATGGGCGACCAGGGCAGCATAAAATGGCTCTTTGTTCACGTGTGCCTTGTTCTTCTGAACAGTCTTCACTTGGCCTGACTTGATCTCAGACGCTATAACATCAATACCGTTAGTGATACGTTCATGTGATGTAAGGAGAACAAGAATGACTGTCGTACATTTTTTGGAGAATACCGAACGAATGCTCTTCTTCGAGTCGTTTGACGTTCCGTAGAACTGCTTGTTCTCCTCATAAGGTGGTGGTGCGGTGTTGGAGGAAGTTGAGTTCCGCGGTGAAGTGGATGCTTCGGAGGAGGTGATGGAATACATCTGCTTGGTTGTGGAAGACATGTTGATATTATAGGAACCGGTGGATTGGTGATGTGGTACTGTGCCTAGTCGTAATATATGTATGGATCAAAGTGGCTCAAATGATTAAAGATGGATATCGTGTAGCTTGTTGCGAGGTATTGAGGGTTCTTGCTTTCTGTGGATGCTGATGATAATGAAAGGGCATATTTACCACGAATGCCTTCGAACTATATATACGTAGGTCTCCTATGCAGCTTACAGAACAATTGCATCGCGCAATCCTAACATCTTACTGATCATCGGAATAATCCAACGATCCCAACCTGAAAAAAAGCCAATGTCGCAAGACTATACCCTCGCATGCTACTCTATCCACTCGGATATACCAACTTATGACATAAGCTAATATTGAAGACGCGGTCAACGCTACTATTTTCTCACCACACGATGGATCAACAAGGCTAGCGTGACATATGCACCTCAAAGCTTCTGTTAGAAGCCATTTACGGAACGGCATTCGCCCCCGCTAGCTATCTACACTTGATGCACGTGTGTCACCCTGACCCTAGGAACCGGAGACCACATCCAAGGCAACAACGCCGTAGAAAACCTGTAACATCCCAATCAGAGAAGGGCTAGAACAGACCGCATTTGTGAATGCCGGTGCGCAATGTCATCAGACGGGGTTCGCGGATTACGTTGAGAAATGTAATTCACTCCACCCACCACCAATAAGAAAATTTGATGCGTTCACGATCGAGTGGATCTATTAGATCTATCATACCACTGGCGAGCGCGAGATCACGGCATGCATCGGTATTGGGAGGGAAGAAGGAGAAAAAAGTTTTTTTTTCTCTTTATTGTTATTGTTACGAGAGGAAGTGGATATTGTGTTGCACCGCTGGGGAACATGTCAGTGCTCAGGTCTGCAGGCGTTCGGAGTACTTCAATTCCGATCTGATAATACAAAGCCTACTGAATAATCTGGGATAAAGGCGTCATTTCTAGCTTAATCAATGGTATGTAGGAGCTCTGCGCCTGTTTAGGAAGATTTGCTTATAAATGGATCTTTCTTGGACTATCTCGCATTTCATCATGAGTCCTTGCCTGCATGCCATTTCTTCTAGTCTGACGAGGAGCTACTACTCTCGATTCAGCTTAGAAACAATCCCTTTATTCCGGATCATGCAGTATCACAAACATGAAAACATTGGCATTAAACGTGCATGAATGAAAAGTCAGGGTCAGTGTGATCAGCAGTAAGCCTAATGGTTGACAAAAGTGATACGATTGCAGTAGTTGAAGGATTTGGCAGTGGTGCAAGTATGATTGGTATTGCGATTAGGCGAGCAATGTGTATGGATATATCCGAGAGACAACAGCTCGGGGTCATTTGTAATAATGGGTAACCAAGAGGTTTGATGGCAGCTCAAGAGAATGCATGGCATGATCATTTGGAGGAGAAGGTGATGGTCAAACAATATTCGCATGCTTCAAGCGCAATGAGGACGAACCTGGCTCGGACATAATCAACACGGTACAAGGCAGGTGCTAGGTCGGACATAATCAAGCATTTATTCTTTGATCACTCGTGAGCTTGTTTTGAACCTCGTACCTTATACCTATCTCCGAGATGGATCGTAGATGATCATCTAAACAAAACGACAACTGGGGTACACTCTCGGCAATTCCAATAGCAGAACTGGTAGATGGATGGAACCGCTGAGAAATCACGAAAAGGCTGCACTTCGCAAGATATTATTAGATAAACAGAAGGGTATATGTATGTACAAATCCTCATTGCTCCAGGCTTTTGCTCAAAAAAGATACTACACATGAGATCAGCGAGCAAAGCTACCACTTCCAGCCATCCCAAGTAGCACTCACGGTATTATTCCAATTGGCGTTATCAAGCCAATTCAGAAAATCCTCGCTTTCAGTCGGTATGGGCTCCATACCATCCACAAGAGGAATATCGAAAAATCCGCCTCCTACAGCCGGTATTCCGGAACCGCTATCTGTGCCTGCGTCTGAATTTGTGTTCGCTGTAGGTTGATGGTTGAGAACTTCGTCTAATATGTATGCCAACATCTTATTTAGCTCGCTGCAGAGTCTGTGATTCCCATCACCGGGCAGGATCACCCATTCTAAACAAGATATCAAGACGGAAAGATTACGTATTATATCCGCCCTCTTGAGGTCCCCCGGTAATGGTGCATTCTCGAGTGTGCATCTCCTGAGTTCTAAAGCCAAGATGCCTGCACTCGGCAAGCAATAGAAAAGTATAATAGTAGGAACGTGACGCTGAACACCATATTCTTGTTTCCGATGTTTGTTGAAAACGAGAACTGTTGATAGTAGCTTCATCGAGATGTCTAAGAGCGCGGGTTTGGCTGCTGGTGTGTGTCGGCGAAGGATGCGCTGTACTTGGAACTCATTCTGCAGATATTCCAAGTATGCACTGATCATACGGATGGATATCGCTGGATCGACTTCGGTCCACATAAGGTCTTCATCATAGGTGTCGTAACGAAGGTGTGGCGGTAGAGACTGCCAGGTCTGTTGGCATTCTGTTGATATTGCCCTGTGGTGGGAATCAGCAGAGAACTACTAAAAATGAATATCCTTCCTTACTGGATCTTCTGTATCACATCACCATCTGTCTTTCCAGCAAGCGACAATTGCAGTATTCGCTCTTTGGAGACAGAGTTCTGAAACCGAAGCCTTATCCAAGAGGCGGAGCAGATCTGGCCCTGAGTATTCCAACCCTCTGGATCAAGCCTTGCAAGCGCCGTATTCAAGACTTCCGGATCAGAGGAACACGCCACGCCGTCATCTAAATCAAGAGGCATCTTGCGATTGGAGTACATGGAGGCCATCATCGGTGGGCGTCCAAAGAAGGTAGCTAGCTGTTTGTCACTCTTGTAAGCTGCGGCGTATAATCGCCTTCGGCACTCGCGGAGAAAGAACGGCTCAGGCCCTTCTTCACAATGAATACCCTCTGCATACACTGCGCTGACAGAGTCACCCATTCCGCGCCATACGCCATGATCTGTAGGGAATCAGTCTCATGAAGCCACATGCTGAAGGGAAAGGACTAACAATTGTCACCATAGAAATTGCTCATAACAAGCATGTTGCTGTAGAGAAGCCATATCATAACGTCATTAACAGCCCCATGTACCTGGCACAGGCTGATACAGTCGTAGCTTGCGTGAATCATATCCTCTATGAACTCGTCTTTGTTGATCTTGCGGCCGTCTTCCAATGTAAAGAGAGGGTCGTCTGGAGAAGTAAACTGTGCATTGGATCCAGCCAAAGCCAGTATCAGTCCAAGCGTCTCCCATCGGAGGTTCTGGCCTGTGTAAAGAGTATGAAATTCAGATCCAAGCATGGTGGGTGGGACCTTCAATGGTCGAGCTGTATTTGCGGTGAGTGCGGCATACATGGGGAAAGGATCGCCATCAATCATGGAGAGCTGTTCTAAGTCTATGCGTAGTTGAGGAAGTGCTGATAAGATCAGTGGTCCCATCAAGACGGACGCTGTGTGATTCTTGAAGTACATCTTTGCTGATTTCTCAAACAGCGAGAAAGGCGTGAGCTTGGAGATGATCGATTGTCCAACAGACATCTGGCAGTGCCGACTGCCTGATATGGCTCGAGGAACGATCTGTGGCTCCGTGACAACCGGCTCAGGAGGCTGGCTATGAACTGAGTCTGGGAGAGGGCGTTCTTCAGCAAAGACACTGGCATAGCTTGTCGAACCTAAGAAGAAGCTTCTTCCAGACTCTGAGGCACTCTGGGTGGTCCTCGTGGCGGACTCGGGAGGTGTTGGCCATGTATTGCTAGCAAGCGAGGAGGTGACCGTGCCAATATCATTCCGAAGGGTTGTGGTTGGGCTGAGATGGAGAGGTGTGAGTTTCCCGTGATCCCGCGATTCACGCGTTTCGGAGTATCTGGGCTTTACAACCCTTGGACGGCGCTCAGGTTGTTTACGAGGAGTTCCAGCAGGTTTAGTCATTGGCGCAGGATGGTAGAAGCACTGGGTTCCCAAGTCATTAAAACTGTCGAACGCAAGACATCACAAGAGATGGGGGTTGAAGATGGGTGGCTAACTTGATCGACTACTCCTCGCGCCCTACACTTTTCACAGGTCGGTGTAGCATGGTCACATCGGATTTTTGAGATTCTGCATGGCTCGCAAGATCTTTCAAGCTATATGGTAAGTACCTACATAGGAGTGGATGATAGAGACATAGGTACTGTACTGACCTGGGTTTTCCATTTCTGCGGAGCATCGTGTCTTGCCTGGGTTGGTACTTAACCACTCAACGGACAATTGGTGAAGTGGAAACTGTGCAGTATGAAGTGGCCCATCGTTTGCGATGGAGGATACGACGTCCTTTCCGTGCAGGACCTCGTGGGTCATTCCGAGAATAGAGGCTAAGAAGAGACGGAAAAGACTCCGACAGTCATGACTAATTGATCCTCTAGAAGCACGCTTACCATACTCCTCACTTTTGATTTGTTCAGATGAAGGTGAGCTAACCACTCTTTACCTAACTCCACACGCTTCGGAATTCTCGGAGTAGAAAATAGACCTAATCTGGTTAAGCGGTGCTGCTTCCTTTCGCCGTCATTAAAGAAACCCACTATTATCTAATCGCTCTATTCCGAGACCTCTACTTTAACATGACTCCTACTCCTACCATCATCAATGTTGTAGCTATGGGCTGTCATAAGCTTCAAGTATTAATGAGAATACAGCTGTCGTGGTGTTCTGGTAATATGCCTGAAGTATCAATATGCTGAGAGGTAAGGGGTGCATGCGTTTTCGCTGTCCTGGTCCGCAAGGCGCATTCTGAACCATAACCATACTGTGTACAGTACATGAGAGGGAATACTCGCCGATACATCTTGTTACGCTGTTTCTCTCCAAATCAAGCCGTCGCAATATTAACAATGATGATGTAGTAGTTGCGAATCATTATATGTATCGCACGAGCGCGCCACAAACGGTGGCTGATGCACTCGGATTGTGTGGCTTTTCCTCATCCTCAAGGCAAACTACAACAGTGCTCAACGGCAGGGTGACGCCGCACTCGATATGATGATGGCAGTTTCATCATACTTTGGCCACAACCAGCCAGCATAGTCAAGCGAACTGTTGATCAGTCCAAGGATCCCTTCGCAGATCTCAGCGTCGCGCTATGTCTGAGAGATTCGTACCCTACTTGATGGGGTATGCGCTGGCACCGCTTACACCTCATATAAACGTCGACGACATCCGCATGTATGGTCGCTCTGGCTGCGGCCACCCAGAAATCGCTCAACTGGGGATGGTAGAGTCTTGACGGCAGTGCTTGGGCAGCAAACGATTGGCTCAAGCTTTTCCTACTGCTGGTCATAGGAATGTGTTGTAACGTGCTCTTGCAAAACCGGTCAACCCAGCAGAGCCTCATGGGAGGTCTTCTTGTCTCTTGATTCGGTTGCGTGAGATGCCGCCTTTGCTTTTGATGCCATTATCGCTCCAGGTTTTAGCGAAAGAGGCGCAGTTTGCATATCTCGAATCTTGGCCGAGCCTGAGGCATCTCTAGTAAACCCTCGACAGCCATCGGCCGCCGATACATGACACACCCCAGCCAGATGGGTTTTGAAAGAATCTAAGAATCTTGAGGTAACTACGTCCAAGGAGTAGTCGACATACTTGTACCTACAGCCTCTGCTGCGGAAGTTTGTTTGCTCACCAAAACAGCTGGCAGAGTGGGCGCCTTACCTTTTAACCGCAACTGGCGTCGTCTTCGGCGGGCATTGGGTTCATTTGGTGCGACCCCGTCGTATTACTGCCGCTGTCTTGTGCTGCCGTAGCTGCGTGCTCCTGCGCTGCGACTGCAGCTACCAATAGTTGCATGTGCCGGGGGCCATCTTCACCGGTCGTTGCGGGGTGTAAGAACAGCTGCGAAAAGGGAGGTGCTACACCACACCACGCAATTGCCCTTGAATCGAGTCTGCCCAGCTGATGTTAATTCTTTCAGCCGCGACCGTCCTTCTATCTTCACTGCCCCTTCCTCGACTCGAGTTGGACGTCTTCTTTCCTGGTGGATCATCTTTGTTGTAAGCTTTCGCGCGCAGTTCTTCGCCAACCTTACAGGGCGGGATTCGATCTTTCATTGTCGTCGGTTTTGGGCCACCAGTCCGCGGGCCGCGCTCTGGCGTAGCCCTCCGTGAGGCATTTCGCAAGGCGATTGATGCGCAGTTCCTACAATCTCATTAATCCTACACCTCGCCTTTCCTGGCGACCTTTTGGCACGCCATGTCCGAATCGTACAGCCACTTCTATGGATACCATGACCAACCTCAAGTGTTGATATCGACCTCTGCTTTCGAGCAACATCAACAATATGGTCATTATGAAGATAATCGACGGTCTAAATCACCAGCTTCGTTGATCAACCAAAACGGGCTTTCGCCTGGACCCCTCAGCACGCCGCCTATGAGCCGGAACCCTTCACAACCCCTTGAGCCGGTGCCGGACCAGATGGTTTGGGACAATGGAGTGGGCAGTCCTTCCGACTCTACCAGCTCTCTCCAAACGCCAGACAACGAGTCGCTCGATTTCGAGATGCTCGACTCCAATGATGTAACGCACAGCCTTCAGGATCATTCTAGTGCAAGCATGCTCGGAGGCCAGACTATCGCAGGAGAGTTGCCTCTTCTTAATGACAATCTCTATTTCACTGATATAGGTAACATCCCCCGGAAGCTAATGATCACAGGTCGCGATGATTGATGTGCCTCACAGAACTCCAAAATGCCATGAATGCTACATTAGCATCGAATCCACATTTCAACTCGTTTCCTTCGCAACTACCACACCAAGAACATACACAGCTATCGCAAGCTTCGATGGTCCCTCAGCATTATGGTCAAATCCCTTCTGAGGCATACATGACCCAACCCTCCCGCCAGGATCCTTGGTCAAGCCAACGAACACCCCATGCCTCTGCCGTACCACAACCCTCAGGAATCGCTCACTTTGGCTCCTCCTCTGATCCAACGCTTTTCGACAGCTTTCCTAGCCAGAACATACCCATGTGGGTCAGCGACACTTCGGATACCAGTTCCCTGCTGTCGCCAAATGAGCCCGTAGTGCCTCCACAGGACATATTCTACCCGTTCCCAGGTCAAAATTTTCAGAGTCAGAATCAGCCTAGCCTAAGGTTGAGTCCAGTAGAACCACTTCAGACGGAGCTGTCACCATCTCCGGACTCGGGAGGTTTTATCAATTATGACCCGTCATCAAGCTTCTTCACTAGACAGTATGATATCGCAGAGCAGCAGCCTCAATCAATTTCTCCAGTCACGCCTGCGCAAGTATCTTATTCTGCCTCATATGTTGACCGGATTTCGCGCTCGTCGTCTAACATGGGGCAAAGCTATCCATCTTCGTTTCTACCAGCTGTTAGCCCTCAAGCATCTGCGCCAAGTCCTGGTGGTTCTGAGGGTGTATTCTCCTATCAGCAATCAGAGTCGGGGCTAATGATGGAACCCTACCCGCATGAATATATCGATACTAAACCACCACAGTCTCATTCGCCATTAATGATCGAACATAGCCCGTTTGAGAAGATGTCTAGAGCAGCGTCGAACAGCTCACATGATTTTGATCAAGGGAACCCTTCTCGGCCGCAGTTGGTATCAAAGAATTCTAGCTCACGTCCTGGAGGTAGAGCACTTGGAACACATTTGGAACCTGCCGTAGCGAAGCAGGCCCACGACATGCGCAAGATAACCGCATGTTGGCATTGCGTGCTCCAGCGTGATAAAGTAAGCTTCGGAGATGCCCTCAACCAGAATATATTTGGATAATTTGGATTGACATTTGCTAGTGTGGACCCGGCGATTCTTGTGAAAGGTGCCTGAAACGCTCTCAACGACCCAATGCTGACTGTGGCCTGGGCTGTTCTCGCATCAAGCTGGTGGAGTTATCACAATACTTCCTCCCAACTTTGGTCACACAAATCCATGAAGACGCCCAGCTAACACATTTCGTATCCCGATACATTGCTCAATGGGGTAATCAGGAGATAACCATACATATGACCTGCGGGCAGAAGCACATGCCGAGAATTCCAGTCAAGGTATACGAGTTCCTTCCCAAGGGAAACGAATTGTTGGTCTTGATCCAATACAGGACAGACACAACGACCAACAAGCGCATAAAGGTGAAGAAGCGGAGCCCAGCACTTGGTATGGTACACATCAATCACAACGAAGAGAAGCGATATGGACAGTACATTAGCAACATCGTCGACAACCATATCGATGCATTTGGTGAACTGTGTTGGATGGAAGATGATAACGACTTCCAACAGAAGCTCTTCAGACTCATGTCACGCCTCCAGCCGAGAGGCGAAGATGAAGCCAAGCTACTTCGTGAAGTCATGCGTCTTGTAGTATGCACCTTTATCATGTCTCACACCCTTACCATTGCCGAGGAGACTAAGCTGGACTCGCTGTCGAAGATGCAATCGTACCAGGGACCCGCATCGTATGTTGAGAATTTCACATCGCCGCGAATGACGAACCGACAGCTAAAATACTTCTTCAACCGGATCCAACGCACTATTTTGACCACGGTGTTGAACAAACTGCAGCAGATTTTCAAATCCTCCAAGGGATGTGACAAATGGCTCGCTGCCTTTATAGCAGTGGTAGGAATGTGCATGGCACACGAGGACCAACAAAAGACAATACATTTGGTCATGGAGACCAAGGCTGCGACCGAGAACCTGGACCCAAGGGAGACCCAGGGCAAAGCGGACATTGCCTGTAGAGAGATTGATGAAAGGATGACATTCATCGCCCAGATCTTCAGGTGGAAGTACAACCGCAAGTGCAATCCGTTGCGCGACTCGGAACGCGACTGGGCAAAGGAGAGCGGATTTAGCGACCCCAACGCGGTGACTTTCATTCGGGCCGTCGCCCAGTTGGTGAAGGAAAACAGTAAGCCCAATTCTGAGAAGATACTGAACAAGAAGCCATGCTGACTGTCATCCAGTTGATTTCCTGCAAGTAAGGCAGAACGTCAGCATCTCCAGCACCAACCAAACACAGTATACATCTCGTCTCGTAGGCCAATTCCTTCTCTCCTTCTGGCTGCCACAGATGTGAGAAGTATACGTTGAGTGGTTGAACCTCTTTCTTTTTGCCCTATGAAGCGGTTTGAAGCTTTGTGTCGTTTGTCTCACTTCTCTTTGCTCTTGTAATTCCGGCTGGTTTTTGTTTCGATCCCGTCTTTGAGGCTTGCCGTGGGAGCAAGGACCTTGGACGCATGCACGCACGCATATTTTATGTTATACGTGAAACGCTTAAAGCAATCTATGAATGACGGTGCAAGAAAAAAAGGGGGGAGGGATTTTATATTATCACATGGGTAGAGCGGTCAAGGAACGGAAAGTGGAACTTTTGCTTCACGATCTCGCGACGCATAGCTCTTTCGACTCTCTTTCTCTCACGATGACGACCATTTTTTACTTCTTTTTCTGTTTCATTTCATGAGCGAACAGACATCTATAGTTTTAATCAGCGCGGATCGGTGTACTCCTTTGTTCTCCCGTAGCCAGTTTCTTTGCCCGCTTGCAAAGATCGCGCCATTTTCTCGCGGCCATGTCACGAGGTTTAGCAGTACCGATAAAAGGGGCGGCAAAAACGTAACAGGAGTGGCAGTGTCATGAATTTCTTTGAATTTGAATCCAAATCTAGCGTAACTAGTGTGAGGACAGCGTAACGCAGCGTAGCATTCTACTACTTCTTCATGTTCTTGCTCTCTATATTGCTCATCTAATGAACTGGGGATTCCCTCTTAAAATATCGTGAAAGACCAAACAGTCTCTAGATATCACATTCGTATCACTGTCTATTTGAAAGAAGAAGAAAAAAAAGAAGAAAAACGATCTTCTTCGTTGTGTACCTTTTCCCACAGTTCCGCTTGCTCACTCAGACATCGGGATTGGTAGGCGACCATCCCGACCGGTGAAACGAGTGCGGAATCGCGTACGGACGTGCCTGCATGCATGCACGCACGCACCTTGAAGTGGGTGAGCGCTGAGGAGTGCGTACGGTTTCCGTGGGAGTGAGGCCGGAGGGAAGAGAGCAGTGAGAGCCACAGTGTGGGTGTTCAAATAGTCGTACGAGGGGTACAAGAGGGGACCGAGTCTTGTCTTGTGGGGTGTGACAAGACGGGGCTGGGGTGATGTAGTAGAAAGGACTCTGGTAAGTGTGGTGTGACTTGGGCTGGGTCGGTGGGTTTCGTAGATACTCGAAAATGTTGGTCGAACATGATGGAGACGTAATCGAGCTTGATGCATCTCCTTCCTCTCCTCATCTGTGTGTGTATGCTTCACTCTGTATGAGCTGCTCTCCACTTGGTTGGAGATCTTCGTTTTTTCACGACAAACGAACTCCCGTAATGTGCATGATAGCCAGGCAGGCAGGTAGGCAGGCAGACTTCCCCTATCAGTGACGTGGTTCCTGTCAACCCCCAGTATAGAACGAATGGTTCATTTACCTGCACACATCACAGACAGAGAGCTCGTGAGTAGGCGGGTAGGTGTCCCGATCCAATATCTCATCCACCATCCTCTTCAACCCCAAACCCAACTCGAACCCAAAGACTACAGCCCACACATCCCACAACGACCTCATTGCCCGCTCCACTCTGCACGGCATCCTCCAGTTCCTCCTCTTTGATCCTGAATCCCCTATCTTCGCCGCACCTGCACGCCCGAACCCACTCCAGCTCTTCCTCATCCCCTCCATTGCTGGCGATGACCTCCTCGAAGTCTTCACCGAGATCAAGGACCTCCAGCCCGAGGATGAAATCGTCTCTTTTCTTGTCGTTGCCCTCGACACCACCGCCGCCGGTCGTTGCCCCGTTCGTGGTCAACGAGTTGGAAGCAGAGGATAGATATCGGTCGTACTCGTCCCTAGACGCCTTGACGCTCAACACGCGGTACGCCTCGAGGACGTCGTCGACCGTGTAGCCCGCTCCCTGTTTCGTCGGGGCCGTAGGCCTGGAAACACCATCGCTGCCCTTGTGTCCGCCCACGTTCTGCGCGTCTTCGCGATTCTTGTCCGGATGGGCCCGTAGAAGGGCATTGCGGTAGGCGATCTTAATGTCTGCGTCCGAGGGCCGCTGCGTGCGAGAGGAGTGAACAGCGAGGAATGGAGGATCGAGTCCGAGCGTCTGATAGTAGAGTGTTGAAGGGAACGCGGTCGGCATGATGTCTATAGCTTTGGCTTCTTCCTCCTCTTGGCGTGGTGCGATTTCAAGAGGCAGGTACTATGCAGGTCGATGTGTGAGGTACTGGTGGTGAGGAAAGAGCGACTATGCGTTACGAGAACCAAAAACAGTTCAAGGGTCTAGAGCGATCAGTGGTCCTATCCCAGACATCTCCCCAGTATGTGCCTGTCAGCAGCACTCCATGGGGTGAGAGCAAAGTTGTTCAGTCGTTACAACACCTCTGGTAAGTGAGCTTGACTACAAAAAAAAGTTGAGGTGCGGATTTAGTGCGCCCCGCGGGGTGTAAATTCCTCGGGTGGCGGGGCTGCGATTTGGCTCGTTCACTAGCAGTTGGGGTAACATAGGTGTACATACATGTACATACAACCAACCAACGTTAACGAGACTGCGCATCTGAGACATGTCTTGCTTTTTCTTGAAACTCGACTCTTTTCGAATTCATGGTACCTCACACGGTGATTGTCATTTCATGTTGCGCACAAATAGTTTCAATAGGACTGAATTGGTAGGGTGTCTTTGGAGTAATCTAGAGAGCAGCACTACATATTTGGACAATACTGGTCAACCGTAGCCTGAGAGCCATTTCCAAAGACGCATAATCATTGGTCTGTCTCGTACGATTACTGCCTAAGAGACATACATCCCGCCAGTTCGCCAAAAGGGGGGTTGTTCGTAGATATGGGAGCAAAAAGAAAAACATGTGGGGAAATCAGGGGGATCGCATTCGAGAATTCAAGCACCTGCCCACCACCCAAACGCATTACGAGTGCCGGCTTCCGTGATGAAAGACAACCACTCGTACGGTCCGAGTTAAACCAATCCACCAGGGGGGTAAACGTCAAGGGGACAGTGCTGAGCGTGAGAGGAATTCAGAAACAGACATGAGTCGTGGAGAATTTGGGAGATCCGAGCCGCTTGCTGCTAAAGCCAATTTTCGAAATCACATAGACACACAACTCCGGGAGACACTCGCTACCGTGAAGTTCGCCTTCATCCGTCCCTTGTGGATGGACGAGAACGACCGGACCGCGAGGACATGGTCAACGAGATGAAAATGTCTAAGCGGCAGCGGGGGCTGCAGGAGGCTGCTGCGGCTCCTCAGCGGGGGCGGCTGCTGGAGCCTCAGCGGGCTTCTCCTCTGTCTTGGTCTCCTCCTTAGCGGGGGCCTCGGCGGACTGCTCAGCCTCAGCACCGTCCGATGATGTCCAGAGGGTAAGGTTGTCGCGGAGGAGCTGCATGATGAGGGTGCTGTCCCGGTAGGACTCCTCAGAGAGAGAGTCGAGCTCAGCAATAGCATCGTCGAAAGCCTGCTTGGCGAGGTGGCAAGCACGGTCGGGCGAGTTGAGGATCTCGTAGTAGAAGACGGAGAAGTTCAAGGCAAGACCGAGACGGATGGGGTGAGTGGGAGTGAGCTCAGTCTGGGCGACATCGGTTGCGGTCTATTATGTGATGATCAGTCAGGGTGTTTTGTGGTTGGTGGTGGTGATGGAATATGTGATTGCGTCATACCTTGTACGCCTCGTGTGCGGCAGTCGCAGCGACCTTGCGCTTCTCGCCAGAAGCGAACTCGGCGAGATAACGGTGGTAGTCACCCTTCCTGTAATGTGCCAGATGATTAGAATTGTGCAAAACGCTTATCGCGAGACGGATGGCGGCTCAGGAGGACGTACATCTTGTGGTAGAAGACCTTGGACTCGCCAGACTCGGCCTTGGGGATGAGCGACTCATCAAGGACGTTGAGAACATCCTGGCAGACCTGCTCGAGCTCGGTCTCGATCTTCTGACGGTAATCGCGGATGGTGCCAACGTGCTTCTCAGAGCCCTTGGACTCCTCCTTCTGCTCGATGGATGAGATGATGCGCCATGAGGCACGTCGCGTGCCGACGACGTTCTTGTAGGCGACGGACAACAAGTTGCGCTCATCGACGGTCAATTCGCCACCGATCTGTACTTGGTGTTAGGTCAAGTTTGTGGGGGGAGGGGGGAGGTTCCCGTCGCAGGCGGACGCGGGCGGGAGGTTGAGGCAATGTTGACGTACCTTGGCGACTTCCTAAAATACGGTGAGCACGTAAGTCCAGCCAAAACTGCAAAAGTTAGAGGGCTCGACTGACCTTCATGTAGGTGACCATCTCTGTAAAGACATGTTGATTAGCACTGGCGCAATAGAGGTGGTAGGGGAGCAAGGAAGATGTAAACAGAGAACATACCATCGTAACGCTCAGCCTGTTCGCACAGCCGGGCGAGGAAGGTCTTGCTGTAGCGAGAAGTCAATCATAACTGCGTCGGAAGTTAGGGTATAGGATGCGAAGGGAAGCGTACCTCTCGCGCTGTAGAGAAGAATCAAGTTAGCCAAGAGTAAACGGTTATCGCATCGTGAATATACGCGGACGGGGACAGGCAGCAAAGCAGAGCGAAGGTAGCGGTAGAGGAGCCCGAGGGGTCATGGTAGGTAGGGTAGGCGACGGAAGGCGAGGGGTAGGTGGGATAGGAAGATGATGATGAGAAGACAGGACGTACCTCGTTGGCCATTTTGGAAATGTTTTTGTGGTTGTGAAGTGGTAGATGAGAGAGAGAGAGAGAGAGAGAGAGATAGTAAGTGGGTGGTGAGAGAGGATGGAGACGGGGGAGAGGAAGAGTGGGAAGAGTGAAGTAGGAGTAGGGTTGTTGGGTTGAGAAAAGTGGTTGAAGGTTTGAAGGTTGGAGTGCAGGTAGAGGGAGTTAGTAGAGTGAGTGAGTGAGTAAGTAAGGTAAGAGGTAAGAGAAGTGACAGAGAGGTAGCAGGGCAGGGGAGGATCAGGTGGGCCGTGGGGAGAGAAGAGAGAAGAGAGAAGAGAGTAGAAGGGGAGGGAGGGAGGAGGGGAGGGGGTGTTTGTTTTGAGAGGGAGCGTGTGCGTGTGCTTGTGTGTGTGGGTGCGGCTGCGGCTGGTTCTACTGCTGCTTGTCTTGTCTGCTTGCCTGCCTGCTTTGCTTGCTTGCTGTTATGCCGTTATGCTGCTGTACTGTGCTTTACTGCCATGTACTCTAATATACTATGGAGAGAATGGATAGGATAGACATTTCCATGCCCTGCCGCAGTGCCGCTGCCTGGTCTTACTTGTAGACGAGACGACACGAGACAAGGCGAGACGACGATACTATGTATCATATTGATGAGACGAGACAGGATCTATCATTGGTACTGGTATTATTGATAATTACCTCCACCGTGTACCAGTATCAGTGGCTACCAACCAGTTACCTACCTACCTACCCAGCTAAACCCTAACCAAGACCACGACAACATCGACAATAACAACACAACAGCCACTCATCATTGGAACCCGCCATCGTCTCTACTCTCTGCCCCCCCCCCAGGCCTCTCCCATAACCTTCGGAGACAACGCACAGCGCATACTACTACACGATAATACAGACCTTACCAGATCGTACTACACTATTCCGGACTTGACAGCACCAGTCCGCTTTGCTGAGCAGGCAATACTTCAGGTATCCAGCAGAAAACCACGGAACAACGCTGCTTACTGCTTTGCTACACAGTACATACCTTACCGGAACATACAGTCAGTGTCTGTACGCCTGGCAGGTGGCCTACCCAGCACCTAGGTCAGATAATTAGGACATGTCTGCCTCACTATCCTGCGCCCTTCTTGTGAAAGCTGGAAGGGGGAGAGAGAGAAAACCTTTCATCCATCCCACCTACACAGTAGTATGATTGCACAACGCATCCATACCGTACCTAAACACCTAATCCTATACTAATCAGACCATACTATACCATTTTATGATGCTCGCCACCTTTCCTCATTCTTCACCTCAGTCGCCTCACGGCAACTACTGCGAACCTCGTGTCAGGTCTAGGCCATGACCCTTTTTTTTTTCTCAGCAGTAGTAGCCCTCTCTCTTCAGTTCAGTCCGTCCAAATGTCAGACTTGGCGGCGCGGGTGAGGAGGAGAAGGTGGGCAGCGGGAGCGGGAGGGGAGTTTGACACGTGAGCGGAAAATACACATTTCCACATGATACAATTATCGACATGGCTACTCCGTACTGAAGGAAGTCATCGATACTTTCTGTATCATTGTGATTTTTGTGAATTCACTATTATGATTGATTTGCATGACAGAAAACAGCACTGAGCAAACCCACAGGTCTGTGTCTCGTCTTGCGCTCTTACAAGTTACGACTTACCTAGGAGTAGAGTATTACATGGACACTCCACTTCCCTCCATAGCCTCATTTCCCCACTTTGAAACTCCGTATCGTCCAGGCTGCCGTACCACGAGTCCACCACCGCTAATTCTCTCCGACTCCCAGGTACTCCGTATATACAACCAATACAATACTCTACATACACAGTAATACAATAATAATGATACACACATGTTCCCTTCTCGGCGTCTACTAATTCCTGCCACCTTTCCTATCACAACCCGGACTATTCTTTCTCGTCACACCAGGAGTAACTAAAAACCCCTCTCCAAGCCCGGCTCGACAACAGGTCGCTGCCCCCATTATTGAACCTGAACCATGTCCGTCCCAGAACGGGGCTGTGGGTTGCCAATCACACACATGCAAACACACCTTAGACAGACTCTGCCTTGTTTGGATTCTGGAAGCACCTAGAAGGAAAGGAAAAAAAACAGAGCGTCGTTGTCGACGGGGGGAAATATTGACAAGGGAAAACAACAATACAATGGACGGCAAAGAGAAAACCTTTGTTCCACCAATTTCGTCAAACTCCCCCTTCTCATTCGCCCGTTTATTCTTTCCCTTGGTTTCGAAGGTCTACGGAGTACTTGTAGTTAGGTACCTACTGGTATCTCTTCCAACTCGCACGCGCAATACTCTGACCAGACAGTCCATCGAATATCGCAACAAATCTTACATAACTTGCTCTTTGGACCGACTATAATTAAATCAAAACAAAGTCTATTTTTTCAGGCGGTCAGAGTTGGCCTGATTAATTTCAAGTCGAGGCACGGGAAAAAGGCTGACGTACCAACACCGATATACAGACCCCATCATCATCGTCACGTTTCAGTTCAGACCAGACTGTGTGTCCATGCCCACTGCCCGCCGCTCGCCCACCAACGCCATTGTCGTACTCGCCCCTTGTCCTATCCTGTCCTGTCCTGCCAGAAGCTGTGCAAGTAACTAATGACTGCGCCCTTGCCCTTCCACTGCTCGTACCGTGGTTATCGTCAACGAGCCGCTGTCTCAGATCTACGCTTCTGCCTCTGATTCTCGATTGTTGGCACATGGTTCAAGCCAGATCTTCGTTCCCCGACGTCTCTCGCTCGCGCGCGGCAAAGCAGGGCAGGACCCATTCCTCATGGGACTGTCGTTACTTGTATCTATCTACGGAGTACTCTGTACAGACTATGTGAGTGGGCGAGAAGGAAAATCAGTCACACTGGGAAGTACTCTAGAGTGGTGTTGTAATCATAATTCATTCTTTCACTACCAAGTATTCGCAACCTTCCGCCATTATTCCCGTTCTTATTATCATCACCTTTATCAGTATCATTGCATCATACACTCTCTTTGACCATTAATACTACAACGCAAGTATTGCCGCCCCCTCTTCCACGGCTTTTTCCTCGCGTATGTACCTTGTACCTTGTACCATATTCACACCATCCATGTCACTACATTACCCAATCTGCATATGTCGAATCGACTGTCATCCACTCTCCTCTTCCTACCTCGTCGCGTATGTACGGCGGACGCCTATCAAACCCCCAATCACAAACCCAACAATGCCTGAATTTCTCCCTCATTCCATCCCTCTTACCTACCCCTCCCCCTCCCTCAACACCCTCCAATGACGACATCAGATGTGTTCAATTTCTCAGCCCCCACCCTGCCAGCGCAACCAAAAATCAAGATCAAACTCCTCCCTTGCCGATACTTGTGGATGTATTCACATGATAACAAAGTCAATAATGACAATATAACAATAATGACTCACATCCATGGACCATTTTTGATTGATCACTTTGCTATTTCTAGCGTTATGGACATTATCCACGTCTTCTCGACCTTGACGAAAAAGGAGCACTTGCATGGGTGATAATCTTCTGTCGCTTTTATATTTCGAGGTCACGATGAACCACCGTTAAAAGCCTAGGTACATATAGCAGAGGGACAACGAGAAAAATATTTGGAAAAAAAAATACGTACTATCTTGCAATGTCATATGGTCGAGCACCATTCATATACTAATTAGTAATATTGTGTTGACTCATCGTCGACCCTGTTGCTATTGTTGACAGAAGGCACATCCGATTGTTTGTGTGATCATACAGGTATACAAATTCTTCTGTCATTGCTGCTAAATTGTTGCTAGCCATGTATGGAAAATACTACAATACTTGTGTACATACAGTCTCCTCTAGAACGCCGGTACTATGAATGACTGGAGAGAAGACATCGCTAAGTGGAGATACCTTGAATCATGTAGTATGAGTATGAATAGATATACACGCATATACATAATATATGCAAACGGTCCCAAGCCAGAATGGAGATGGTCAAGATTTGTGGGCTCGGTCATTCAATGCCCTTTCCTTCCGTGAGAAATGGATCATCTCGCTCCGAGTAGGCCATGCAACTTGAACACTATAACAACCAGATACTCTCTCTCACACTGGTCCCATTACCCTGTCTTATCCAGAAATCATATCGACTTGTCTGTCTTCATACGAACGAAAGCAGGTCTACATGAGTAGACGCCACACACCCAACATGAGTGCGGCCGTACCGGTACAAACACCCCTGAAGAAGTAACCGCGTTAGCAAAAGGGCATCTCATTTGGGGAACTTCCCCTCTCTAATGGCCATGATGACCAAGACGATGTCCAAGGGAAAAGAACTTACATCAACCACTGCAGCGTCGAAAACTTGACCTGCTCGAGCCTCTCCCTCAGCTGCGCAGTCTCCTGCTCGATCCTCGTCTCCGTCTCCTTGATCTTGAGCTCCTGCACGTTGGCCTCCTCCCGTATCCTGCCCTTCTCCAGGTTCAGGTCCAGCCGCACAGACGCCTGCGTCCGCTGGATCTCGTCTCGGAGCCGCGAGTTGAGCTTCGCGAGCTCGTTGGTGAGCCGCTCGTGCGACGTCCGCGTCAGCGACGACTCCGTCGAGTCGGCCGTCATCAGCTCCGAGCGCAGCTTTGCGAAGTCAACTTTCTGCGTGTAGGTCGCGCGCTCTTGGTCTTCGCGGAGGACCATCGTGCGGGTGAGGTTTTGTATGCTGTGCAGACTGTGTGATTAGCCCACTGTACTTCCAGAAATATGACACAGAGGGTTGGGATGGAACGCATACCTCTCCTCAATCACGTCCGTGAGAACTCTCATCATCGCCTCGGCTTGCTCCTCCGTGAACCCCTCGCCCTTGAGCCGCTGGACGAACTTCAGCGTGTCAAAGTGATGGTCCTTAGCTTGCGCTGGAGTAGCGCTGAAGCTTCGATGCAAGGCGAGGGCCGCGGTCGTGCTTGCCACAGCAGGCGGGTATCTCTGCTGCCATCCCAATTGCGCCGAAGGTCGAAATGTTGGTCTCAGATTATTCGCAGACGTCGTCGTGGCCCTTGGAGCAGCCGGAATCGGAGAGGATGAATGGAAGCGTCGACCTTCGGACAGTCCGCCAGACAGTGCTGGTCGCGCAGCTCTCGCACTCCACGTCAGCTGCGGGAGGAGAAATCGCGGTATCACCATCGATTGTAAGGGGGCTGCCGACGCCATTGTGCCCTGTGGTGCAGGTATAATCAAAAGTTCTGGTGGGAAAGTTCAGAGACGCCCGCGTGCGCTTTAATGCGGGATGAGGTCCTCGGACGGCAAGACTTTACCCAATCGGGCCAGCTACCATTCAGCTCGTTCGGAACTATGAGGAAGCTGCAAGCTGCACTTCGGAAATGCAAAAGAACGAAACGATGCGCATAGTCAAAGGGAAACAATGATAATTTCAAGGGTATGGAAGTAAATACTATGGTCATCTATCATGGCGATACCAGTTCGTCAACAACAAAATCCATCAATCGGTATTGTATCGCTCCACATATAAACGCAAATCAAATCAAATATTCATTCCGCTTGCTATGCACGACAGACAAACGATCATAAAACACCCCCCAGCATGAATTACATCAAAGCACAACAAGGCCAAAGCCTGCTCAATCACCGGCCGTAATCCAAGCTCGGTACAATGACAGGGCCATACTTCATGGGTGCACTGAAAGCTCCCTCGTTCTGCACCATGAAATCTACCGCAAGACTCAACTTGCCACTTCCATGTCCCGGCACGGCCTGGCCGAAAGTGCCATTGACAATCTCCGGATCGTAGACCACACAGGCAATGTAGTTCCTGCGACCCATCAATCGCTTGTACTCCCGGGCCGCGCCGTTGACATCTTGAGTGAAGATCTCCATCATGTCTTCCTTGGTGTCTGATGGTAGATGCGTACTCTTATGTCCATTCTGGGGGACATAAAGAGCTCGGTTGTTGTGAAGCAGACGCAACACATAGTTGCTCGGCGGACCATTCACCACTGATGCTGAAATGATTTGGTACATGGTCTTGTGGTCCTGAGGTTTGGCAGGGTCATGGACAAGACCTGCTCCACAGCAATCGACGGCACCCGAGAAGAACGTCATGCGCAACGACTTGTTGTGAGAGATGCCTTGTAGCGTTCTAATCAGGTATGTGCGCTCGAGGTCCTAGAAGAAGTCAGTTAAAAGCTACAATTAGAATGCTAAGACACATACCTTCGAATCGTGCGTCCACAGATCTCTCAGCTCATCGAGCAGATCAATCTCACCGAATGGACTGAGAACACCGCTCATCAAGCCAGATTTGCCAACGGCTTTCTTCACGGAATTGAAACCTTCGCCAACCACCGATTTGGCTCCCACGACACCGGCAACGGAACTTGTGACCTTGCCCAGCATATTGAAAGTACCCGTGACGGCCTTCTTTCCGGTAGCCATCGAGTTAGCAAGATGCTCGACCGACTCCAAGCGAGGGTAGATGATGGGAACCGGGATCATCCAGATGCAGTGCTGGACGCTAGGTGGCAACGTAACAATCTTGGGGAAAAGACCTTGATAAGTTGGACCGGCCATCACCTGGTGAGGGTTTCGTTCCGAGCGACAATCAGGTGCAACTACTGTAACGCAAGGACCGAGATATTTGATGAAATGCCAACCCGTTCCAGTGATGGTAAACAGGTCCACATCATTGCTGACGTTTCGGAGAATCTCAACTGTCGTGTGATGTTGGAACAAAAGGTACATCTCGATACCAATGCGCCCAATGTTCTTGAACATGTTGGAGAACTGCATATGTTCCGGATACGAGCCAAATCCATCGAAACTAATGCTTTGTCAGAATAGTGCTCCTCTGTACGATGAGGGGAACTTACATGTCATGGTCGTCAAGCGCCAGGATGTGAGGAATCTGAGCGAAAGCCTCTCGCAGATGCGGCTGGTCAAAGTGGCTGGTGTAGTAGTGGAAGTACGCATGGCAGACTTCCTCCTCATGCTTCGCCGTCCAAGGAGCATTCTTACGGTTCTCCTTCCCACTAGTGGCAGTCCATTGCTTGAGGAGTGGGATCTCCTTCCATAATCGATCGGCATATATCTGGCCGCCCATTCCAAGCTGCACGTGAAACCCGCCACACTCGTTGTTCTTCTGCAGTATGTCTTTCCACATATATCCAATACCGCCAAGTTTGGCCCTCTCTGCCGCATTCACATTGAGCGCAAAGTCATTGCCAGAGTGCGCAATGAATCGCCAGCTCGTCTCATGGCGCCCTGCAACAAGGAATTCGAATCGAGTACAGCCCAAATGCGAAGTAATGGCGTACGTCCACTTAGATGCATGGTCTTCCTCCATCTTTAGATCTATATCGTACCGATAGAATATCCAATTTTGATGAGAGTAGATTGGGTTTGCCTTTAGTTGACGAGGACTGGGAGATAAGTCGACGCTCTGGTGGATGTGGATTGTTGGAGGGTGAGGTGTGTTGGTGACTAGAAGGATCGAACCAAGCCACAGGCCTCGCTCAAGGTCCATATTCGTATATCTCAAGTAAGGACCAAAGTAGACGCTATTTGTAGGATTGACCTTGTACTGATCCACGCCAGCAACAGGAGGTGGCCCCGTGAAGCCAGCAGCTGTTGGTGTCGCAATGGGATCCATACTCATCATGCTTCCGGGGTAGGTGGCCATCTGTGCGGCAGGGAAGCTCGGAGATGCCAATGGAGTCTTTCCATATCCTGGAGATGCCAGCGGATTCGTGAAATTGCTCACGGGAGACATTGGCTCATTGAGATTCAAAGGTGTAGGACCTTTAGGGAACTCCCATTGTGTGGACTGCGTCGGCAAGTGGATATAGTAATATTGCCCCGAGCCGGGATCAAGGTGCGCAATCCAGCCTTCGGGAAGCGGCGGCGGAGACGCAGGGCCAGGACCGGGTGCGGGGCTTGGAGTCGAGGTAGGCTGCGCTTGACTGCTGAAGGAGCTCCCAGTGGGTGTCGGCGAGATCACGCCTGCCATATTGGAGGGACCTGGCTGCGCGATCGGCTGCTGAGGCGGTTGTGCCTGTTGCGGTGGAGGCTGGACGGGTTGATTTGGCTGTTGAGGTTGCTGGGACTGGATGTTGTTCGCGAAAGCAGGGTGTCCTTGAAGGTTAGGATCGCTCATAACACCACCTTGGGGAGCTGGTGCTGAGGCACTCTGGTTTCGTTTCTCATTTGGAAAGCCTTGTGCAGTGGTAGCCCCCCCTGCAGCGCTGGGATGGGGAATGCTTGAATACGCAGGCGGTGGCTCCTCCGTCAAGTTCATACGGTTCATATCCTGGCTCAATTGATGCCCAGCAGGACCATTTCCAGGGGGAACATTGTTCGTAGGGGGACCATTCGCCGCTGGTGGAGGATATTGGACATTGGTAGGGGGTGGAGAAAACTGGTTGTTGACACCAGGTGGCATGTATGACGTCTGAGCTTGAGATGCTTGTGGAGGGCTTCCGCCGTGTCCCACCTCATTCATGCCCTGATAAACAGCGGTTGGACCGTGAGGTTGGCTTCCCGGCTGCTCAGTAGGAGTCCATGGCCGGCGCGGAGGTTGCTGTTGCTGCTGCTGGGGCGGTGGCGAACTGACAGGGGGAGAAGCCATGTTCTGTCGAGGTGGCTGATTGGCATAAACCTGGTTTCTTTGCGCGGCGGCTGCATTCTGGGCGGTTTGCGCTTGCAAGTTTGTCAAAGTTGAAGTTCCAGCGATACCTGCGGCTGCAAATCGAGCTTCAATCCCTCCGCTTGGAGGTGGAATGATTGGGGTTTCCGGCGGAGGTGGCGAGCCTCTCTGCGCTCTCGTTGTTGATGTTGAAGCGGTCGAGCTCAGGCGGTTGACGCCACGAGGGTTGGGAATATTCAGCGTAGAAGGTTCTTCTTGCTTAGAAGCTCCAGCGCCATTGGGAGGAGGCCAATACTGTTGGTGATAGTCGGGATAGGGGTTGGGATCAGTACTGCCTTTGCGCTGCGGAGGAACCTGGAAGAGTCCCTCTTTATCGGGAGTCTCTGGCCCTGGAGAGTCTGGAAGTGGTTTCGGAGCCGTTCCCCTACGCTCAGCCAACCTAGAAGGCTGTATGGAACCATCCGCGGTCCTTCCTGGCGCGCCATACCCAGATATCGTGGGCCTGTTAGGGTCGTTGGCATCGAATCGCGGCCTGGGGCTACTTGAACCCGCCGTGTGAGCCGTCGAGCTCGAGCCTCGCCTTCTCCCTTCTGTCTCTGGAGGTGTGGAGTTCTTGGAAGCTCGTTCAGCCTCGCTGAGGGGTGTATATCTTCGCGCTGGTCGGTCGTCTGGGTAGGGCAAGGGCACAGTCGGAGGACTTGTAGGCGGCGCAGGATACGACGGCATAGGAGGAGGACGGGAGAATAAGGGAGCCTTTGAGCTGCCTGCTGAATCTGTGCGCGGTGGAGGACTCTTGGAGTCAGAGTCCCTTTTTGCGATTCTCAAAGGACCAACCGTGGGAGTATCTGGAGTGTCGGAGGGCCGCAGGAAGAGCTCCTCCTCGGGCCGTCCTTGTCTGCGACCATCCATGGCCAGAGATCTGTTGTTAGATAAATGTATAATTTTTTGGGCTCGAAAGGATCTTCGGCGATGACAGGTACACACTTATTTTTGGAGACGGGTGCAGGTCAAGTGTTGTTGGGAGACGGGCGGTGGGCGTGGGTGGATAAAGTGGTGGTGGGATTGCTGGGCTGCGCTGTTGCTCGCGGGGTAGATCAATATGACGACGCTTACACGAGCGAAACAGGGCAATGCTGCGACGATGATTGCGCAGGCAGCTGCAGCTGGAAAGAGCTCGTATATGAACAGTTAGGACCGAGGTCTGCCACCAGCTGGCTATGTAGTAGTTAAGATACTTTGAGAGAAGGAAACAGAAGAAGGAAGAGGCGGGGGGAATAGTGAGAGAAAGAGAGGCGGCAAATGAGGTGAATTATCGCCCTGCTGTAGGTACGTATGTATAGGTATTGAGTAGATATAAGCATAGGCATGTATGGGATGGGTATAGGGCCACAGGGCCACAGGGCAATAGGTACTCGTACCTCATCTCTGTCTTAGTTGCCGTCCGAGGCGAAGTTATGCCTACTTGGGTGCACATAGAGTAGCCATTCACCCATCTTCTCACCTTTCAACACCCGGAATACCCTTTTCCAGATGCGCGCCACCCCTCTGCCCCCCTCTTCTTCCCATTTTCATTTCCAAGCGATCCATAAGAGTCCAAGACCAAGACTCGAACGTAGACATCTTTTCGAGTATTGGGCCGTCGTGGGTCTCTTCTGCGCGACCACTCGACCCATTGCACGTTCTCGATGCGCCCCAGCGGTCGTATGGCACTTGTGATTGGATCTTGACCCTTCATTACGCGCGCTGCAGGCCGGATTGCTGGCCGCCCATCATCCTATCACACTTGGCGGCGCGTCTGGCTGTTTCTTCAATGCGCATGGCCGGCAAGTTGACGTGGGTCTGGGCAGATGGGGGTGGCCGTGGAACTCATGCAAACTGTGGTTCCATGGAGAGAAAGAGAATGGGAGAAGCCTACTTGTAGTCTCATGAGCCGTACCTTGGTTGACGGTTCATGGTCGGATGTTGATCTTCCTTTGTGTGAGGGAGGGAGCGAGGCATCGAATTCGACGGCGCTGGAGCGGCCCGGCCAGTTCGTTTGTGCAGCGGCCCCTGACCCAATTCTTTGCGGCGTCAAGGGCTTCTTTTGAAAGGAAAGATGGCAACAGTACCTAGCAGGTAGGCAGGTAGGTATGTATACTTCGTACTCCGTACATGTGCAACCCTTCTTTTGTTCAGGACCTGACTAGGCTGGAATTCCTCGACTTGAAGGCATTCCAGGCTCCCTCTAACAAATACGATGATGATCGTTAGCAAGATTGCCCCATTGGGCTGACTAACGGGAGTTTAAGAAAAAAAAGGCTCTAGTCCACATGCGGATAATTATATTTTTATCCCTCTCGAACTCTAGATATGCCAGCGCCCTGTCACCGGTAGACTTGGCAAGCCTGTAAACCATACCACATGATCTGCGTACTCTCCTATATACACATTCATCCTCGTATTGACCATGCAGCTCTCCTCCAATCCATCAATGACATTATTGGCGCACAACACTGAATAGGCTCCGAAACACAGGCCCTGGAGTCGGACATGGGAGAGCCAGCGAAATATCGCTTCTGTACTCCAGAACGAGTAAGGTATGCAAGCCACCGAGGTACGGCTGAGATGTACAGCCCTGCGGTCCGAATGAGTGTAATTCGCCTTTAAACCTCTGGCAGAGTACCTGATCTTCTTGTCTCTCTACCTATTTGGCGTTCGTTCTTGTAATCCACATTTCGAAATGCTTGGTACTCTTATATTCAAACTGTGACTCTGTGCTTGTCCACCTCAGAATCATATCTTTACGTATAGCGAAAGCTGCAAGAGATAGTCCAATTTTACCACAATGTCAATGGCACAGCAACCTCAAGGTCCAGCTGGGCCTTATGCTGTCAATTCACCCCCGCCTCCACCTCCATATTCAACAGTCGGGCCACAACAGCTTCCAACCCCCACACCCCCTCCACAACAACAACAGAATGCCTTTGCACCTCAGAATCAATTGCAACAGAGCGCTTTCCCTCCAGCACAAACTCAAATTCCTCAGACATATCAAGGACAGCAATCCCAATTTCCCCAGCCGCAGCAGCAGCCTCAATATGTCCAGTCACCCCAGTCAATCCCCTCACAGCCATCCGTGTCGCCGCTGTCACCTCCTCTGCAACAAAATACGCAATATCCGCCCAACATGACTCCCCAGCAACAGCAGCAGGTCGAACAGATGATACAGAATCTACCTCCGGAGAAGTTGAAAATGCTGCAGCAACAGGCGCAGCAGTTGATGCCTCAACAGCAGCAGTATCCTCAGCAGCAGCAACAGCAACAACAGCAGCAACCCGGCATGATCCAACAGTCTCCGATGCAGCCCAACGTGCAACAGCCGTTCTCTCCCCAGCAGCAGCAACAACAGCCTCTGTCGTACACCACCACTGCTCCAACAGGTCTCTTCAAACGAAAGGACTCGGCAAGCAGTCAATCGGGCCCCCAAGACGAGAGAAAATCAGGGACGGTGCAACGGTTCCTGGGAGATACATTGTTCGGACGGGTAGCCCGGGCGTCCGTCCAGACCGCAACATCCGCCATGAAGATGCCAGCCTCGCTATCCCCATGGGGAGACAACAACCCCGTCACCCTGCCCAACGTACGCTACAGAGACGCTGTGCTCTTCACCACCTTCGCCTTCGTCGGAACCCCACTGGTGGAGGGCGTCAGCGACGGCGTGACGGGAATCTTCGGTGCAGAAAGCTTCGTATCGGAACTGGTAAACTCGACTGCGGGGGCACTCCTCGTCTCGACGGCACTCAAGTACTCCTTCTTCCAGATCGTCGAGCAGGCCATCGACAAGGGGGCGATCGAGCACATGCTGCCGGAGGAGGAGAAGATGCTCGAGACCACCAACGTCAAGAGCCTGCAGGTCGGCATCAAGCACAAGCTCATGGGCGTGGACGCCGACCTCAGGTTCGCAGGCATCTACCCGACGAGGGACTCCCAAGGCTGCGAGAAGGGATGGTTCTGTCCTTATCTGTTCGCCAGCGCGAGGACGCCTCAGATTCCCAGGGCCAATGACTTCGCCATATGCCAGTTCTTCGGCCCCTTCTTGGGTGGTACGTCCCATCTCTTTCTTCTTTCTCACCTATCCCATATCAAATCCCAATATCCGTTCGATATGATATCATTCCCATCCCATTCCATCCAAAGCCTCTCCAAACGTCAAAACTAACGTGAAATTCAACAGGCGACTACGCCCTCTCCCACCACCTCCTCTCCTCCTCCGCCAACACCCTCTCCCTCTGCGACCCGAACCCCACCACCGACATCGGCACGAACCGCATGGTAATTCTCTTCACGGGCATCTCCCCCTACCGAGCGAACATGTGGTCGACGTCTCGCCGGCCCGGGTGCGGCACAATCGTGTTCCACGTCTTCGACGGGTGTCCCGCGCTCGTGATCCCCGTGACGGCGCGCGCCCCCATCTGCGCCTGGTCCCCCTGGACGTACGCCCAGATGCGCGTCTCGCAGTTCGCGACGGGCCCGCAGCCCGCCGGCATGGGCAGCTACAGCGCGGAGTGGCAGCACGAGCAGATTTGTGAGTGGCTTGATACTATCATCAGCGTGCAGCATGTCAATCCTGCCGTGAGGGATAAGTATGTGGCGGTTTTGGGCAGGTGCGTCAGTCTGATTATCAATGGCGCGTTGGCGTTGGAGAGGTGTCAGCCTTTGCTGGGGAAGATGGATCCGGAGAGGGCGGGGATCGTCATGTTTAGGTATTGAGGGATGAGGAAGAGAGAGAGAGAAGGTGTATGGAGATGTAGATGACGAGATGAGGATGAACGAACGAATAGTTAGATACCCATTTATGAAAACAAAGCAAAAAGAAAGAAAAACAATCAATATATTGAATATCATCAACTTCAATCAAGGGAGAACCCTACGACACACTTGCCTACCACGAACACCTCACTCTCCCTAGATCAATGTGATTTACTCCGTACCCAAGTTCAAATGAGAAGGGGAACGAGAGAGAGAAAGTCCATGAAGAAAGGGGCCAGTGTGATGTGAGTGATAGAGTCATAGTCATATAAGCCATGAGTGAGTGGCACACTATGTTGCCATATTTCACACGTACATGCACAAAATGATCTTGATAGCCACCACACGCCGAATGTGTACTACTGATTTGTTGATTCCAGGGGCCAATGTCAACAATAGACTCGTGTTTCTTCACACCTTACAAGTTTCCTCCTCCTCGGTCTCTCTTACTCCCATCCGCGTATATGCGTATTCGCGTAAGCGATGGTGTTTGATCGAATGTGGGCTGTGTCAATGCTGGACTAAGCATGACTATCGGGACTATAATATTGGCGATACTGTGCGGCATGGATCGTGCGGTGTCGGCTGGGAACCACGCGGTGTCGGCGTCTTATCTCGGTGGTGGACAGAGTCGTGGCGGTGCAGGTAGATGCGTATCGAACGGGTGCTAGATAGGGACAATCACGTTGTACTTCACTTCATGTAGCAGACGAGTTTGTTCAAAGGGATTTGTTGGAAGGAGAGTCGGGCACAGTTCCGAGTTGGAAGACTCGAATGGTTCTGGCCTCAAGAAAGATATTGATATTGGTTTTTTTGTCAAAAACAGAAACTTGAGCCCGCCTCCCTTCGACTCTCTCGAAGGAGAGGAACGAAGATATGGTTTTGTACTCAGAAAGTCTGGAATAGCTTGTACGTGTTTCCTTATCCTCTCTGTCTCATATACAATAACAAACTTTGTCTCTCCAGTCACTGAAGACAGGATATCATGGTATGAACGTGTAATGAAAGTGGTCGAAGAGAACAAAAACCCCGACAAGTCGGAACCCAGTGGTAATGAAAGCAAGCCAAAAAGTGAAACCATTAAACACTCCCCGCACTCCATGCATGCAGATGCAATGTGATTCCCAAGATACCTAACCGACAATGCGCCTAACGAAAAGAAAAGGAGACCGGTTATCGATAAAAGGAGAAATGGACAAATCCAGTCCAAAGGAGGATATGTACATTAAATGAGCAACAAAAGACATGGTTATTTTTTTGCCTCTGATAAGGGATATCAAGAATGTTTTAGCCGCGACGGCAAGAAAAGAGTCTAACGTCATAGCATGGCCCCAACCGCAGGGAATGATGGAGGAAGAGGCGTCCTACGTTTCAAAGGGAACCACGGTCTAAGGATCCTTCCGTTTGGAAGCTGATCAAGGTAGATGATCGCTTTGAGACGAGGGTGCGACGCCAAGGAATGATGGTCTGATTGGTTTCGTGGGGGGAAGAATGCGGAGGGTGATGCGGAGAATGAAGACAAGATGGTCGATCATAGACATGCCAGTGAATGCACAAGCGGAGCCGATGAGTAGAAGGTGGACAGGCAGTATTTGAAGTGTCGAATAAACGGATCGTGAAACAGTCTTGTCTGGTCGGTCTATGCAAGCGATGTCGAGAGAGGTTGCGGGAAGTCGAAATCTTGAGAACACTGAACAGCTTTCGGAAGAATAACAACGACAAGGACAACTGCGGCCTTGCAACTGAGGAACGGGAATGGAGACTGTGAATATAGAGCGTGTCTAACTGTTGGGGATGGGCTTGCTCTGGCCAGGGCTAGACCAGACGCCACCACCGACGGCTCGAGAGATGCCCACACCCAAACCAACAGCAGCCGCAATGACGAACAATGCGATGACAATCTTGGCCCAAAGTCTCTGCTTGCTGTTGAGGTTCCTGAAGAGATTGCAGCCACGGGCGCGACGGCTCATCTTCTTCTTCTCCATCATGGCCTGTCGTGACGGCCACATGGTGCACTCCTTGACACGTCCATCGACCGAAACCTTGGGTTGTTGGGTAGTGGCGGCAGAGAGAGGCACTCCCGACTCCAAGTCGCGCTCAGCGACGTTGATGTCGAGGTGCATCTTGTTGTTCGAGTTTCCGTCCATGGATCGTCGTGCGTCTGGGTGCTTGTAGAAGGCAGAGAAGGGATTCGCAGTATCGATGGGGGTTTCTTTCTCGGTAGGAGGGCAGGTAGAAGCTGAAGTCAAGGCGGACTCGTGGGAGGGAGCCGATCGAAGGGCAGGAGCGGCCGTGTTTGCGGGAGCTTCAATGGTGGCACCGAAGGTGACAGGCTTTTCGACGTTTGCTGCCATGAGGAGGGGGAAGAGGGTAGCTAAATGCTGTGCAGATAGAATGTGTTTGGTAGATAAATTGGAATTGGGTCGTGTCGCAGACGAAGACGGCGATTGGAGCAGTGAAGAGTGGTGTTAAAGCTGACTCCTTTTCTAGCAGGCGATGAGCAGAGAAGTGTCGCTGGTGACGTCCGTGTTCGACTTAAGAGCGGTCGGATTGGGGGACTTTTATGGCGATTCGAAGGGGGTAGCTCAAAGAGGTTCGGAGCCAACAGGGGGGTTAACGAAATGGGCCAATGTCTTGAGATCAATGCTCTACCAGATTTGTTTGCGATCGATGTCTTGGGGCGAAGGTGGTTCAAGAGCGTTTGAGGGAAGAGAAAGCGAGAGAGCAGAGCTTTCGATCCAGCGCAGCTACTGCCTGGGGTTGCACAAGTGAAATATGCCTAGACGAGGCAAGCACGAGCACAAGGAAGGAGGAGGAGAAAAGGGTATATCGATCGAGAGACACCGCGTCGGCTGAAGGTGACGAGTGAAGTAGGGGGGTGAGGGTGATATGAGGGTGGTACGATATAAACACAGTACGACGATGACCACGGCGTACGAATGAACAACGAGAGGGAGAATGACAAGAGAGAGAGAGGACTGAGGGGGATTGAATAAAATGATCGGAAGAGGGACAAGCGTTGAATATGAGTAGAGAGTGAATGATGAGAAGAGAAGCGAAGGAAAGGCTGGATTGTTGGTTGAGGGTATAGTAGTATAGTAGGTTGGCTGGTAGTGGTAGTGTTGAGCCCAGCCAGAATCGACGACCTCTTCACTACGACTACGACTACTGGAGATTGGAACCAGATCCATGTCCATCTCAATCCCCCCTCCACCCATGTTCATCACCCATGTCCCATGTCTCCCCTCTCATCAATCCCTCCAGTTATCCTTTCTCTCTCTTTTCCTCTCCTCTCTTCCTGCTCTCTCTCTCATTCTCTCTCGGTCTCTCCTCGTAGCCTCGTCGTTTTACCCTTGGATGAATGGGAGGCGTAGCCGGAAGGGGAAAGGTGGGAAACTTGTGTGGAACGCATGGAGCACATGCTGGTTCTGTTCTCGGCGCATGGACTGTGCTTTCCTTGCCAAGATGGTGCTAAGGGTACTAAGAGGACTAAGGGGAAGGTGCAGGACCCAACAGGGGGGAGAGGGGGGGAAGAAAGGAAGGAGCGACTGTGCATCAAGTTACGAAAGAGAGCGAAAGAGAGAAAGTTTGTGCTGAATACATCATCGCGAAGTTACAGAGAATGGTAGGAGGAATAAGAGGAAGACAAGAAGGAGGAGGAGTGCAGATGCTCACATCCTCTGCACCAAGGAAACGAAGAATGAGAACCATCAACAACAAACAGTACGGAGAAACGATCCCACAATCCTATCCAACCAACTATGGTCATGCAGCATGCTCAATCATCTATCTTCAATGCTTCCTTCCTACATACTAGGTATACTTTACGCCTAACGGACAATCTTCCCATTCCTACTCGTACTTTGACGGTATCCACAATGCTCTCTTCCACGAAACCAAAGACCCTCTTCTCCTCTCTAAGAGAGTCTTGACTTGTCACTGGCCTGCAGTGTAGGTTAGTTAGGTAGGTATACGCTGGCCGCATTATCGTCCTGCGGTTGGTAGACGATTACGAGCATGCCCTGTCCAGTGCTGTCCAGCCCTGCCCTGTGGTCCAACCGTCTCGGTACGTCCATCCTGTCCTGGAATATAGTATTATGCCTCAAGTTTCGTTGTGTTCGCCAGCCCGCTCGCCAGCCCGCCCGCCCGTCGTCACGCCGTGCGCGGAGATGACATGTTTGCATGCTCTCTTTCTTGATTGCTTGATTGATTGCTTGCTTGCGTGACTGAGCGACATAGTGACATAGTAACCCTTCCACATCACGAGTGTCACACCAATTATTGCCAACAAAACCAAATGGCACAAAACCAGTTGGCTGACCAGTAAATTGAAGGGAGGATGATGGCAAACAATGGTTCAACGATGGATGAGGACGCAACCGAGGCGAACAATGACACGGTACCCTACCCTACCTACCGTACCGTACCCGTATCTCTCTTCCATGTCAGCGGAGAAAGCGTATCTGGTCTTGTCTTCGTCAACTACCGGATCACTGTTACGAGGAACGGCTTGGTGTACGATGGAGGGAAGTGACAAGCTTGGAGGCGGCGCGACAAGCCGTGCACAACGCATCCATACCTAGGTTCAGTAGATGAGATGAGCCTGAAGGCTGAGATGGGAGGGAGACGAGAGACGGAGAGGGAGAGAGATAGGAAGCGATAACCCTAATTAGCCACTGGCGCCTCTCCAGGAACAGGATAAGCTAAGTCAAACTAAGCCAAACTAGTCCAGGCTAGTCCGGTTAGCCCAGCAAGTCGGAGCTAACCCCCGCTGCATCCAAACGGGTTAGACACGCGGCTGGAGGTCTAGAATTCACTCCCATTTCACTCATACTGTGTAGACAGAGACTGACAGACTAAACGAGAGAGAGAGGAAAGAGAATTCAAAGAAGGACAATGATACGGGAAAGTACTGGTCAGTCTGGTACAGCACAGCATTGTACAGTATGTATGAGACGGCAGAGTAGAGTATTCCTTAGAGTGCGCGCATTAAAACCTCAAGATGATTATCATCATTAACTATGGATATTGCACAAACCAAAGGAGAGATCCCCCAACACCAACCACAACCGCGAGTAATGAACGAAGGCTTTACTATGGGAGCTTAGCTTAGCTTAGCACTTCCCCCTTCTACAGCAATTGGTGGCAAAAGGACTTGGCTTCTTTTTCTCTTGTCTGTCTCTCTCATTCTCTCTCGTGAGTCTCGTCTCTTGCGCATTAACGTAACTATTGTTCTTCGTTGAATCTTTTCGTCAATAATCCAGTCCAGTCCGGCCCAGCCCAGCCCAGTCTGTTCTTCGCAACTCACACATATGCACACACATACGCGCACACGATGCACACGCATACATAGCATAGCACACAACGCCAGCGCCAGCGCCAACGCCAACAACCACAGTCCGAACCAAACCAAACGAATCGAAACGAACCATCAGCCGCGCACAAATAATCAAGGAAAGGAAGGTTACCCTTTCCTACGAGGTACCCTTCCTTCCCTTCGGCCCCTCCCATCCCCTCCTCCTCACCCTCCTCCCTCTGCGTTGCCTTGTTCTTTTCTTATCCGACGACATGACCATGCAACCAATCCCACCACCACCCCGCTGGCTCGTCTCGTCCCGCTTCCCATTCCATTCCTGTGTTCTCTTCCTCTGTTCCTTCCTTCCTATCAGGTATCCATCCATCTATCATCGATTACCACTTTCAGCAACACCCTCATGCAAGTAATCAATCCATCTCTGTTCCCCCCCAAACACGGCCCAGGTGTTCCACCACCGGGTACCCCGATCAACCATATATATCTCTACGTCGTGATTGGGGGGATAACAGCACCCATCTACCTAGGTCTTTACCCAGGCTAGGTAGTTACTTACTAAGTACCTAGATACGAGGTAGTCCATTGGTCCACTCGTGCTCGTGCTACTGGTGTGCCGCCACAGGTACTGCGTGAACGTCCAAAACCATTTGTCTGTTGGTATCCTTCGTGATCAATATTCAGTCTTCTTTCTGCTGTGATGTACTTCTATTATTATATGCATATGTGCCGTTTTGATCTTTTCATCTTCTTCTTTCTTTGGCTTCTCGGTCGCTGGTCCCTCCCAAAGATGGGGGCAGACTAAGTGACCTAAGCCCCCCAAGACCACACGTACCTCAGTAGGGTACTTACGACAGCAGCCACCTCATACGAGTATATGTACAGTAATGTGGCAAAGTACCACGCGGTCCCCTAACAAGTGACCATGACTATGACCATGACCATGACCATGCAGTAATGAAAAAACATAAAGGAAAATATGATGACGTCGGAGAGCTCAAATGCCGTCGCTGAAAGGATCAGAAAAGAAACGAAAAAAGAGAAACAGCAGCGCTGCTTGAAACAGAGATCCGATGGAAGTATACCCCTCGCCCTCATCCTCCTTCCTTCCTCCCGCTCCTCCTGCTCCTGCTCCCTCGTTATTTGAGCATTAACGGACTCCTTCCCGGACTTTTTATTTTTCCTTGAATTTCCCACCCAGAATGAAGAAGAAAAAAGAACGCCTGCAGATGAAGGAATAGAGGATTCGCCCAACCCAACCCAACCCTAACTCTTTACAATATATCCCCGCATCGTATGCCTGCACTGAACCTAACCCGCCCCCCAGTGTATGCATTCGTAACAACCAAGCTCATCCACGTCTCTTTCTCTGTTTGTATGGGGCGGCCCTCTCCTCCGGCTACGTCTAAAAGAAGTCGTCCCTCCGGATCCCGCTTCGGTCGCACATGCCGCGGAAAATACCACCAGCATCGTACAGTCGGAGTGGCGTGTCGAGCTCCGCGATGCGGCCGGCATCCATCACGCAAATGCGGTCATAGCGTATAATCGTCTTGAGACGATGGGCGATGCAGAGTAGCGTCTTTCCCTTGAAGCCCTCCACAATCGTCTGCTGGATCTTCTGGTCCGTCTCGAAATCCACAGACGACGTCGCCTCGTCGCACACAATGATTTGAGAGCCCCGCACCAGTGCGCGTGCCAGTGCCATCAATTGACGCTGTCCGAGCGAGAAGTTCAGCCCTTCCTCCTCAACCACCGAATCCAGATGGATGCGTCCCGACTTATCGTCCATGGTGGCGTCGTTGGACACGAGGTCGGCCTGCCGAAGCGCAGACCACAGCTCCAGATCCGTGTGCTCGTTGAATGGGTCAATGTTGGACCTAATCGTACCCTTGAACAACGTGGGGTCCTGCGGGATAATGGCGAGCTTCGACCGTAAGTCGTGCAATCCAATCGTGCTGATGTCGACACCGTCAATCGTAATCGATCCACTCGAAAGCTCCACCAGCCTGAACAGCGCGCTCATGATACTCGACTTTCCTGCGCCAGTACGTCCGACCACACCAATCCTCTCGCCGGCCGCAACGTGCATGTCGAGCCCCTTCAGCACCAATGGCAACCCGTCGCGGTATCGCATCTCGACATCCTTGAAGATGATCTCGCCATGTTCTGGCCAAGTCTTGCGCACCTCCCCCATGTGGAGCGGCGCCTCTTCCTCCAACATCGTCCCGTAGTGATGAATCCGCTCGGTCGCGTTCATGTTGTTCTCCACCTCCGCAAGTTGTCGCACCGTGAATTGAATCATCTGTACAATAGTGAGAATATATGAGAGCACGAGTCCAGCAATACTCGGGTTGACCGAGAAACGTGATGTCACGACCAGGATACCCGTGGTGAAAACAAGTAGAATGCCGATGACATCTAGTCGGACACTGAGCCAGCGCTGGTTCGCAAACGTCAGGTAGTAGGCGCTGTTCATGTCGTCTATCGAAGCACGAACCGACTTGGAGAACTGGTCCTGAAGCCCATAGGCACGAATCGTCGGAGTGCCCGTGACTGCCTCGCTGAAGCGTGCAAAGACAGTGCTGCGAAGGACAGACTCGTGTCGCTTGACCTCGCGAGCTGACGCTCGGTAGTAAGCTGCAGAAAACATGAATAGGAGGAACAGCGGGCCGAGCGCAATGGCGTAGTAGTAATAGTATGCGATGATGAGGATGAAGACAGATATGATCATGGCGAGCGTCATGAAGTACATACGGATCGCATCGGTGAGTGTGTTATCCATGACATCGATATCTTTGGAGAAGCGATTGGTAATTCGTCCAAGCGGCGTTGTATCGAAGAAGGACATTGGCGCCCGGAGCACTCGGTGAATGGCTCGATGAAGCATCTTTTTGCCAGCTTCTGTTCCGTAAACCGACACTGCAATGGAGAAACCAAACATGAAGATGGCCTGTGAAGCACCGAGAGCAGAATATACACCGATCTATAGCATGGTTAGTGAACGGCCCCGATATAGGAGTATGGAGAATCTTACATATGTGCCTTCAGAGAACCCAAATTTGTTAGATGTCCACCATGAGAGCCACAGACTCGTCGCGATATTGGCGCCTTGGGAGAGGATGAGGAGTACAAGCACAAGCGGCGCAACCCAAATACCACCACCAGCCTTGATATATGCCACCCAAACACTCCATGACACACTTTTGACTGCCCTATCCTCCTCTTGCATCAAGGCAGCAGCAGGCTTCTTGCCCTTCTTCTTCTTCACGACCTTCTTTTCCTCTTCTCCTTCATCCTCGTCGTCAGCGTGCTCCTTCTCTTCCTTCTTCTCTTCGTCTGCCGTCATGGTCATGAGCTGTTGGAAGCCTGCGTGATGTGCCATCAGATTGTCGAAAGTATCCACCGCCTGTATGCGCCCCTCATCCACCCAGATGATCCTATCGCATCGGCTCAATACGTGAAGTTGGTGAGTGGCCAAGATTCGGCACTTGTCTTTTAGTAGACCGCAAATCGCGTTATCCATAATGTGACGTCCGACGTGGGCATCGACGGCAGAAAGGGGGTCGTCCATGAGAATGATGTCAGCGTCGAAGTATATGGCGCGGGCAATGTTCATTCGCTGCTTCTGGCCACCGGAAACCGTGATACCGCGCTCGCCGATCTCAGTCTTGTCGCCATTGGGCAGCATATCCAGATCAGGTCGAAGGGCGCAAGCATCGATGACCTGATTGTACCAAGAGCTCCTGTATGGCTTTCCGAAGACGATGTTGTCCCTGACGGTTGCGTTCTGGATCCAGGCATACTGGGGGCAGAAAGCGCGGGAGGCTCCAATGGTAACGTCACCATTTGTCTTCCTCATATCTCCAGCCAATGCTGCTAATAGCGAACTCTTACCCGAACCTACACCTCCGATGACCGCTACCAGCTCATTTCGCCCAATTGTAATATCCATGTCTTTGATCTGGAATGGCTCCTCCTCGACTGCAGTAGCGGCCGATGAGTCTGGTGGACTGACACCGGAATCGCTCTTCTGAGATGTAATGCTTGCTCTCTTGCCCTTCTTCATCTTGTCTTTGCTAGGCTTCTTCTTTGGGCCAGGACCACCCTCACCTTCCGTCGTGGGGTGGCGTTCCCAGGTGAAGCTGGCGTTCTGCAATGCAATAGCATCCTTTGCCTCGTAATCCCACTTAGCATCCTCCTCCGCCTCCTCCGCCAACAGAAACTCCTGGATACGCTTAACCGATGCGTTGGCGTCGATGACCTGACCGATGACTAGGGGTAGAAAGTTCAAAGGGAGACGCAGGGAGTTGAACAAAGCCAAAGACGAGAAGATGGGAGCCGGATTGAGACCGTGGTCCGTCAGCGAGTAAGTAATAAAGGAAAGCATAGATGCGAAGACAGGCATGGACAATCCGACAGCCAAGATACCGTTTCGGATCGCGAGCAGGACCTGGACGCCGTGGATTTCCCTCTTTCGGATCGTGTCGACGCGCTCGAGGAAACTTGTTTCCCAGCCAAAGTACTTCACGAACCTGACGGCTTGGATGATTTCCTGGGTCAGACTCACACGCTGGTCAGTGATCTTGTTGATTGCCATTCTCCTATTGAACAATGCCCTGACGGCACGGCCGAGCAAGGGCATAACAATCAACAAGAGCCCAAGACCAGAGAGGGCACTGTAGGTCAAATTGACGATGAGCAGGGCCACAGTAACGAGAATCGCAATGGGAGAGCACCAAATCATATGGAAGAAACCACTGGCTTGATCAACGCGGTACGTATCGGTGGACATCAAATTGATGATTCTGCCATTGCCCCAGCCCTGTCCGTCGCCCGACACACCCTCCTCTACCTTTGGCGCATCCTTCGTCTTCTTTTTTAGAATCCTTTGGTACCATTTCTTCTCCTCTTCTGACCCAGGTTTGACATCTGGAGGTGGCGCTTCTATGATGGCCTTCCCGCCGGCTTTAGCTCTGCCTGACAGTTTCATGGCCTTGTCGAAAATGATTGCAATGAGTACTGCTCTGGCCTGTCCGCCAACCATCATTCCACGGTACATGAAATGATTGGTTGCCACGCTCTGGAAGAATTGCATTGCTGTGATTCCGATGACAAGGCCAATTCCTTCTCCAATATTGGGTTCCGGTTGGTCGCTATGTTGCGCAATGTAGGCCTTCAAGGCAAAGTTGATGAGAAAGCGGAGTACGAATGGAGCGATCGCCTGGATGACACTGGCAGTCAATTGGCAAAGACCGCCAATGATGAATTCCCACTTAAAGGTGTCGAACATAGCTCCGAGCAACGGTCGTTTGCCGCCAGCTTCTCTCCTCCTCTTAAAGGAAGCCTGCAATTTTGCTACCATTACGTCTGCGCTTCGGTCTGGGTTGACGGTGTATAGATCATTTCGTTCGAGAGGGCGTTTATATCCGACCTAAGTCCCAATATGTCAGTTTTTATAGCCCATAGTTAAACGAATTGAATTCCAACGTACTGTCATGAGAGGTGCCATCCATTGAAAAGTCATCATCGCAAACCACGAAGCATTGTATTCAGGGCAGACGACCCGTTCCTTTGGAACAGGCGGTTTAGGACCCCATTTGAGGGGGTTTACTCGCTTGTACCACCTCTTCTTGCCAATTGTCGAACTCCGGGTGTCAGAGACGCTCTCTGTATAATCAGAGCGCACGCTGGTAGCGCTTTGCAATCTCGACAATCGTCCAGACACGTTGTGTTGATCGACATTGGATTCAAGGTCCTTTTCTGCGTCGCCTTGTAGTGGTTCGGTTACGATGGGTTCATATTGTTTCGTATTATGTACTGCGGCCTGGGGATCCTGCATACCAAGCTCCTTCTCCTTCTCATCGAGCGAAGAGCTCGACATTGTCTGTCGTGGCAGATTGTTAGAAGGCGGAGTTATTCCGAACGCCACCGAGTAATTGGTGGAGGGACGCAGGAATAAACAAACCGGAGTAGAAGAGCAAAACCAAGAAGATCTTGCTTCCGATTAGAACCCCAAAATCGAATGTGAAAGTAGCGAGGAAAGAATAAAAAGTCTCAATCAAAATTCTTCAAGGATGGACATGAAGTCGATTTGTAAGGCAACACGGGACGCACATATTCGACGCGCATGAGCGAAGGAGGTCACCCGGGATAGATATAGCTCCGAGGCCTCTGATGGCAACTCTCGATAAATGGTGAGGTCAAGAGTCAGACTAAAGCTCGGTTACAAGTGCGGACTTAAGGACGGCCAATAAACAGAAGTCCCTTTACGGTGCCTCGTAGGGGCATTAATGGGGGGGTTGCCTAAGCAAAGAAGAATGTTCTAACTCTGCGTTGTTTGGGCGGAGGTTCGTCTCGCCCGATCCCCGACGGGTCATTACGAAAAGGATATACGAAGTCTCCACGCCTTCATTTCACATACAAGATACAGGTCAGATCCATCATCCGCCCTTGCTATCGTGGTGTGAAGGGCGCTTGATCACTCCATCTGAGGGAAAGTCGAAATGGGGCAGAAACATTTCAAGGCTCCAGTCTGCATCCTAGCACACATCTTTCTTTTTTTTGTGAACTGCATCGACTACTCGTGTTGTACGACACAGGCAGATAGAAGGTACGCTCGGAAAGTGGTTGTGCAATCTAAATGTCGATTGCTCGTAAACCCGTATAGCATCGTGACCGTAACATCGGTAACAACGTCCCGAAGCGCTAAGTCGTTTTCTTATCAAAGGATACCTCTGCTAGCATTGAAAGCAAAGTTCTGCATCTCTGCACAGTGGGCCTTGGGTCTCGGAAAGTCGAGTAAACTTATTATTACTCGAATGTTGTGAACGCCACTGAGCAAAGCCGGCACCGAGTCGCATAGGTATCACTCTAGTATTCTGGAAGTTGGTGGCATTTTCTTCCATGCAAGATCGAGTTTAACATGCGATCCTTGCTTTACCATGTTGCCCATCTCCCGGCTTGGTAGAGTCGTATACGTCCCGGTCCAATCAGAAAGACGCGACAATGTTGTTCTTCAGTAGAGTAGACTGTGGATTTTGCTGTATGCATGCATCGAAACTGTTTGATTTTCTTTTAGCCACATCTTCCGAGTTACCGATCGCTCCTGTGCCCACATTCCGAACGTCTGAACGATCCATGGTCGTCTGGTCCTCTCTTCCCGTTGCCCATATGCTATCGTTAGGCTCCTGGCTGCCTGTCACTAGGCAGCCAAGCACGTACCGAATGCTTCTGCGAACTGTAAGCGCTTTTTCGGTCGCTACCCGATTTTCTCTGGACGGAAGTTCTGAATTTCCTCAATAGGCAGCGCGCTGACGTGGACTATTGGTTGGTGGAGAGAGCAATTGTAAGGTAGAAAGTAATCACTACCAGGAACCAGTCATGCGTGGGTAGTGTCGAACGAAAGCGGCGGACGAGTTCCTGAGCTGTCGGAGGTTATAAACCTCCGAGCTTTTGATACCTCGACTGGTCATCCTGCCTTGTAGCTTCGCACTCCAGGCGCGGAATAGAAGTGTGCTTAGTATGATCATCGAGTACAGACGGTCGCCGAGCTGTATGTGACTCACGTCAACTACAGTCAAAGAGAATGCAACGTGTAGTATGGTGTGGGGTATCGGAACTGCAAGAGGCACATACGTAGAGGCAATTTCAAAGCCATGTATTTCCACACAATGATGACATATTCGGAGTTCACGTTGATCTACGAAACAGAATGTTGGAAGTAGGGTTAACAGAAATCGAATAAGGCACAGATTGGAGAGACAGGGCTTCCATTAAGTACACTATGCCAGCCATCCCTTATGCTCCTACCATTCTGGAGGTCTCACGGACAGAAACGCTCAAGATAGGCAAGTGCGAACATTTATCTGTAAGCGAACAATTGCACAACTGGTCATCCATCTGTCGTCAACGCTACTTCCCTTATCACAAGTCACTGATTCACATGTCGACGAGCGAGGAAAGTGTCAGACGATACAAAGTGCTTCTATGTTATCGTTTTAGCGATTGCGTCTACCTTGTCTTCAAGATATCTAGGTAATCATGCTATTTTGGAACGGTGGCAGCAACGAACAACAAATGCGCACACGTAGCCGGTAGGTATCAATGGAATCCGGTATGTCCGGCGCATCATATGATTACCTCAAGCCCCGAAACGCCAATACTATCGTAAAGTAAGACCTGATCATGAGAAACATATTCGAAGAGGAAATGTTCAGTTATCCACACCAATGTGGACGTTCTTCTCGCCGGCTGGCAACACTTCCTCCTCCCTTTTACCCTTGAGGCTGGGTAGTTCCTCGATAGCCTCCTTGATGATCGAGAGAGCTGATTCGATTTGCTCGTCGGTAATGACCAGTGGAGGTGCCAGACGAATGATGTTCTGGTGGGTTGGTTTTGCCTACACAATTAGATCAGTCGACGTCGACAAGGTAGATTTTATCTTAAAGGCTATTCTTACCAGTAAACCCTTCTCCTTGAAGAGCATGCAGAGATCCCAAGCACTATGACCATTGGTAAGGCTTTCGTCAATGACGATGGCGTTCAAAAGGCCCTTGCCGCGGATCGTTTGGATCATTGGATTGTTGATCTTCTTCAGTCCATCGCGGAAGAGTTGACCGGCCTTCTCGGCACGTTCAACCATATTCTCCTCCTGGATGAGTTCCAATGCCCGAATGGCCACTGCAGAGCCCAGCGGGTTGCCACCGTAGGTCGAGCCATGGGTACCGGGTTCAATGGTAAGCATGACCTCCTTCGCACCGAGAACGCAAGAGACTGGGTACATTCCGCCCGAGATAGCCTTTCCGAGGAGAACGAGGTCTGGCTTGATCCCGCTCCATTCGTGGCAGAGCATCTTACCGGTACGCGCGATTCCGGTCTGGATCTCGTCACAGATGAGAAGGACGTTGTGCTTCTCGCACAATGCCTTGACTTCACGGAGGTAGCTATCGTCGGGCACGACAATACCAGCCTCGCCCTGGATTGGCTCCACGAGGAAAGCAGCGGTATTCTTGCCGTGCTGTTCAAGCAACTCACGCACGTCATCGACGTTGTTGTACCTGATCTCCTTACCAGTGGATGGGTTTACACTTCCGATGTTGGGGAGGTACGGGCCATAGTTGTCACGGGACTCTGGGTCAGTCGACATGGTAATGGCGGCGAACTGTTGGTTGATCTTGCGTTAGCCGGGGTTCGGGAGATAAGTACGACTTGGAACATGTGCTTACTGTTCGTCCGTGGAAGTTCTCTTGCACAGAGAAAACTAGAGCTTCGTTGTGCGGAATTCCCTTCACCTTGTATCCCCATTTCCGCGCAATCTTCACGGCAGTCTCGACAGCTTCAGCTCCCGTATTCATGGGCAAGACCATGTCGAAGCCGAGAGTCTCGGTGACATACTTGGCGAAGCGTGGGAAGACATCGTTGTAGAATGCGCGACTGCTGAGAGTCAATCGCGATGCCTGCTCAGTCAATGCCTTGACTAGCTCGGGGTGGCAATGGCCTTGGTTCACAGCGCTGTATGCGGAGAGGAAATCGAGGTAGTGTTTGCCTTCGGGATCCCACACTGAGACTCCGCTTGCTCGAGAGAATACTAGAAGATATTAGCTTTGGTAGCGGGCAAGCACCGAAACATGTGAACGTACCAATGGGCAGTGGGTGGTAGTTGTGTGCGGCGTAGTGGTGCTCATCGGTGTAGGCTTCTTGCGACGATGTGGCATGATACTTGGAGGCGTCTGGAGTGCCTGTTGGGTGGAAAGCGCGCGCCGTGGGCTTCAATGCAGTGCCATTGTTGGCGGCCGCAGCGCCGTTCTGAATTGCACCTGGTGCCATTGTTGTTGTTGCTTCCGGTATATCGAAGGTCAAGATACAGGTACAGCTATCGGTGTAAGTACAGGACGGTACTTGAACGATAGAAGCGCGGGGAAACTTGTGGGGTCAAGAATTGTTCTTTATGAATTGGAAGATCTGAAGGATTGTGAAAAAGGCCACGTTCGAGTGTAGCGAAGGGTTTTTATTCTTCTTTTTTTGCGAGGGCCGAAGATAGCCTCAAGCTGCGCATAGGGGAAATCTTGAGTTTCTATTATGAAGTGTCGCCTCATCCTGCCATTAGGGTACAGATAGAGGGCGGGTTTCTGACTAGGAGCCACGGAGCCACTGGTGACGGGCTGACGTTCCACAATCGCTGGACTTCCATTGGTTCGTTGGTGGGCGGGAGAGGGCCCTCGTGACCGTCGTAGGCAGGAACGCCGAGGGGTTGGTTGAGTACGAGCAGGAGTTCGTTTATCACACAGTTCAGAAGGGGGGAGAGTAAGAAGTGAGGTTTAGTATTGGAGGAGTAGGACAAGTAGTTGGTGATATATAATAGGTAGTGGAAGAGAAAGTATGGGGTAGAGGACGTGTCGCCTGGAGTTCCGACGGCCAAATGATAAAATCGCGCGACACGAGTTGTACTTATGGCCGCCGGCACGCGGTTGAGGGCCGGCAATAGTTGTATGTACACAGTATGGCGATTTCCGCTGTCTATCCTGAACTTGCCCTCCGTCCTCATGTCTAAATTCCCCATACGGTTATTATACTCGGAATTGTCCTCCATGTCTCTCCGTATCTACATTTCTTACCCCGCAGCTTGTGCTCATCCTCATCTGCGTTCCTGTAAGTTGGTGTATGCACATGCATACAGAGTATCTGGGTACCTACCTACCTAGCTATCATGAATGTATGTGAGACTACCCTATACATGTATACCTAGATGGAACATGGTACGAGCACTTAAGGCCCGAAACTCATCCAACAAGAGTCGATATTCCTCTCCCCACTACTCTGTACTGGGGGTTTTGTACAATGTCTGGGATTGGTACAACGGCCAGCACTCGCTAATCCGTCCCACCACGTCCTTGGTTGGCATTGAGGAGCGCATCGCATGAATTAATGCCAATCCTGCCTTCCTTCTTTTTTTTCCATCTTGTTCCTACTGGGTGCTCCGTAGATATTGTAAAATTTCCTATTCTGCTTCATGCCTACCTTGCGTGCTTACTTGATCGACTCCGAGATATCAATATGATCCTTCCTAAACAGGCAGCTGCCATATCAGGCATCCCCATGTCGCCTCGATGACGTATCATATTGTTTCAAACTGCATAAAGATATCGATCGGCCAATCATATCTCTCCTCATGGTATATTGGCTTCAAGTAGGAGGAGGCTGGGGGAGGGGCTTTGGGGTCTACACGTGCTCCCTTCTTGGTATCTTCGATGTTAATAAATCAACAGGCGACCTCCGTTTCTACCTAAGTATGTAAACATCGTGGCAGTCGATCTCTCGCCCCTTTCTCACCGGATATCATAGCATAAGTGCATTCTCGGATTGCTTCCCGTCATGGCCTCATGCGATGACTTCACCTTTATTGAGACCGACCAGCCAAGTGCTCAAGGCAGCAAACCCGAATCTCTCTTCAGTGACTTCTACAAGTTCACATCTGGCAAATCCACCGACCTAGACGTACAGATCGTCACCGCCCTCCGTGCTAAACACCCTGAATTGATTGTGACTACTGTGCCTGGCTCGAATTGCAACCTTCTCCAATTCGCCGCTGCCGGATTCGCCCAAGCAGATCTCGACGAGGATTCCGAGCCCGTCCTGCGCTGGCGTGGCTTCGTTGGCCCCGCGCACAGAGGAGGCCAAGGTTTTCTGGCGGAGAACATCTTCTTCGCCCGCTATAACTACACCTGGAACAGTGAGAATTTCATCTTGTATACTGTCGTCGTGGGCTATGGCACCCTGCAGTACATTTTGAAAGAGCCGAGGGGTAACGAGAATCCATACTCTAACTCCTCGGTCGTCAGCGCCCTCCTGGCCACCATCGGTGCATGGCTCATCAAGGAGGAACCTGCTATCTACGTATATGATGGGTACTGGCAGAGGAGCACGAAGCTGTGGGAGCAAGTCAAGAAGGCGAAGTGGGATGATGTGATACTAGATCCGAAAATGAAGAAAGCCGTCAAGGAGGTAGCCAATAAATTCTTCGATAGCGAGGAAATCTACAAAGAATACGGCGTGCCATGGTAAGTGAAAGCCCAAATTCCTTACACAGTTCAGTGAAGAGGCGAATAGATAGAGCTGATGGATCGATAGGAAACGTGGCCTAAGTAAGTTTTCTGGCGCCAGAATAATGGGATTGCATGAATTGATGACTTTTTTAGTTTTCCACGGCCCAGTCGGAAATGGAAAGACCATTTCACTGAAGGCTCTGATGCATACGTTGAATGATCGAAAGCCTCCGGTGGTGACTCTGTATGTCAAATCTGCGCCGTACAACTACAACATCCGACAGGTCTTTGAGATGGCAAGATCCATGACGCCCTGCATGCTGGTCTTGGAAGACATCGACACCATCGTAACGCCAGGTACTCGAAGTTACTTCTTCAACGAAGTTGACGGGTTGGAAAGTAATGACGGTACGTGCTTGTGTCAATTGCTGCCTGTTCCATTCAAAGGGCGTGTCTGCTAATAATTGAAAAACAGGAATCTTGATGATTGCAACAACAAACCATTGTGAGGCGAACAACAGCTGTACGGCTACTTCTGTTGACTAATTCGAAATGTAGTGGATCAGCTCGACCCAGGTCTGTCTCAAAGGCCGAGTCGCTTCGACCGGAAGTACCTGTTCCCAATGCCTGATAAGGTGAGTGTGTCAGCTTCCAAGATGTTGCGTATTCGTGTATGCTAATCCGAAGTGTAGGCGGAGCGCTCTCTCTATGGTAATCGACTCCTGCAGAAACGTGTCTGCGTCGAAGTGAGGCTAACTAGCTACCAGCTCAATATTGGCGGAACAAGTTGAAGAACAAGAAAAACATCGAGTTCCCGGCAAAATTGTGTGACGCCATGGCCGGCATCACTGACGACTTCAGTTTTGCGTATCTGAAGGAGGCATTTGTAGCGACTCTACTAGACCTTGCAAGGAATTCCGACGACGATAGCGATGACGAAGGTGAGGATGTTATTGATGGGTCTGACGACGATGAATCCGACCCGTTCGCTAAGTACAAGATCTGGCGGGTGTTCAAAGCGCAGGTCAAGATTCTACGTCGCGAAATGGGTGGGGAAGAGGACAGCCAGCGGGTCGACCCAAGAATAAGGGCCGACAGGCAGGTCGGCGGTGGTGCGGCTCATGAGGGAATTTATCACGGTTCCCAGCCGTGCGTACAGGGGCTTGAAGGTGAGGCTGGAGGATTGCATCGTGGCAAGGCTCCTTTGCCCTTGGGGTGGAGCAGGGAATCGCAGGGCATAGCAAGCGCAAGGGACATCACTCATCAGAGTGGCTCGGTTCTCAGCCCTATCCACTCGTTCGCTCCCCTCCCTAGTACCAAGTTGTCGAAGTTAAACGAAGGTGTATGGGAATGGGGCTCCCCCTAGCCGAGGTATATGTAATATTCTTGAGTTTGGCCCGTATATACTCCGTACATGCATCATTACTATTCCTAGTCATTTCGGCCATGCTATTCTTGTGGCAGTACAAAGTAGTGATGCCAGCATATTGCCAGCCTTCCGACGTGCATCGAATACGAGAAACACGGGCTTGAATGATTTGCTTCATTCAGGTGGGGAACAATATAGCGGTACGTCTGGTTGGCATCCGCCTGGGCAAGACATGTGAAAAAGAGAGAGGGATGGAGAGAAGGGTGAGGGAGAGAATGAAGGAGAAACTGCATTTGCCAATTGCGGCAATAGACGGGCGTTGCCACTTGGATGAGCCTGACGGGGCGGGGGCATTATCCGTTGGTTGCCATGTCGAAATTGATGGACTGAAGACTTATTACATCATGTTTGGAGAGTATACTGCTCCTCGGTGGATACGACCACGAGGTAGGTGGAGAGGAGTGAACGATAATCGATCAGGTGGTACGAGTTTCTATCTATTTGTCCCGTTGCAAAGGTGTTTGGTAGGCTACTTCCCGTCAACCGCTGCCAATTCCAATCTTTCAATTCTTCTAGAAGGCTTCTAGTGTGAGTATGCCTGCAGATCGCAGTCAGCATCTTACTCTCCTCCTATCCCCATGATCCCAGTAGAACTCGCTGCGGATTGAAGCCGCCTGTTCCCCCGTCGGCTATTCGAGGACGACACACGCAGATCGTTGTATGACTGCTTGAGCACCAACGACAACGGAGACGCAACACCGCAACGATGCAGCGGACGCAAGGATGCCAATTCTTAGCAAGACGCCAACCGAGTAAGAGGAGTGTATGGCGTGTATGGGTAAGTCGGCAGGCAATGTAGTCATGCCAAAGGTAGGTGTGTTGTTGGTCGTTTAGTCGTTAGTGGCATCCGCCGGTCAAGGCATACTTGGACTGGGGGAGCTCAAGCGCTGCCCGATTTAGAGACCCGGTGAGCGAAAGGTCATGGTCAAGCATCAACCGCCGTCAACCGTCAACTGTCAAGCGTCTTTTCTCCAGCGTCAAGCGAACTGCCAGCTGCCAGATGACCATGGGACATGAATCCATACTGGCCTCTGCATATCCGCATCCCAGCCCGTCGTCCCCGGCCAAACTCCAATGCGCCCAATCCACGCCCTTTCCCCTCCATCCTAAACATTCACCTCCACTGCTCCGTACTCCATAGTCCCTAAGTCCATACACTCTGACTGCAATCATCATCCCCCCTCTCCCCCCAACCCCCATAATGCTTGTCTCCATTACTACACAGCATTCTGTCATTGACCTGTGAGAAGTCGAAACGTGATAGAGCCATACGATGTGATTTGTCCATTTTCCTTTCTCTTCATCATCCTACGAGGTACGGCCACTGCCATCTGCCCGCTGGCCGCTGGCCGCTGGCCACTTGGTTGCTACTCGTACGTGCAGGCAACGACTAAACTCGCGCCTTACATTTCATCAGCCGCAGGCCATTTCCATTTCGCACTCCGCCGAATGGAAGGTTAAAACGTGCAACTTTCTCAACCACCATCCTTTTTTCTTCTTTCGCTCTTCCTTTGACGACGGTTTCTCTCTCCTACTTTCATATCAGTCAATTCAAGTTGTACTTCTTCTTCGTCATTTAATCCAATCAACATCCATTGTTGTCTGGCTTCCACGGTTGGATACCTCGCTTTGTTAGGTACCAACATACGCGGATAATGCAACTCCAGCCGCGGTGACACCGCCACATCGCCTACTCACCGTCATCCCAAAGCAAACACTCAGCAGCGTCCTTTTACTGCATCATTGCACTGCACAAATGGCACAAAGGCAACCGGTTGTCTCTGCACTTGGCCGTGTTTTGGCATCCGATGAGACTTGGGCAGATCTCGTCTCCTGGAACGATGTCGAGGAGATCGTAGACCCTCTGTTCCAAGGCGGTGCTCCAGCCATCACCACCACCACTGCAGAAGATGGGTTTGGTTCGGATTATCCAATTGCTTCTTTCGAACAGTCCTTCCCATCTGCGCCGGCATCTATAGTCGACGAACCAACGTTCCTTGACTACACTGTGTCTGGTGCGCCATCTATCATCGATGGACCTTCCTCGCCTGGACGATCATTTTCCTGGCTCAGCACTTCCCCATCCTTCTCCACAACTGCTACCTCGCCAGCCGTGGGAAGAAACAGCAGCAGGCCATATGCCAATTCTCTAAATGCACTTGACGACCGCCCCTTCTCCCTTCGATGTGTCCAGGACTCTCCATTGCTAGAGACTGAGGAGCAATTTCTTAATCACAGCTTCCATTCAGACATCGCCTACGATGCACCCTTCAATCCATTCCTACATGGGACTTCGCATACGTTCAATTCCTTGGACGTCAGCTCTTCTCAGGCTTTCTCGAACCTCGGCGACTGGGCCGATCAGTCGCAGACTATTGAGCCTATTCCTGAACTTGACCATGCAAGAGCAATTCCCATTCCCCATTCGTCCTTTTCACACAGCCAGGGCATGCAGTCGGCGCCGAGATCCAGTGAGCAATACTACTCATCCGTCAATGAGATGCCAGCGGGCATTGCAATTCCCAGACATAGGCGGGCCGCACCGCATGGCATGAACGAACACTCCCCTTCTTGGAGTCAGCATGTTCCGCCTCTGTTATCAGTCTCCCCCGAAACGAGAAGGCGTCCTCGCAGTACTACGATGTCGAGGACCAGTTCCCGCACAGAGCCACGACGCTCCCGTAACAGCCTTACAACTCCCTCCCCAACTTCCAATACGTTCGGATGGGTTTCCTATCGCCCGAACCAGTTGACCAACAGACTGGTTGCATCGGCGGCTGAGGGGAGCGCGGGCCGCCGACAGCGTGGCCGCACCAAGGCACTCACTGTTGAGCAACGCCAGAATGCTGCCATCATGAGAAAGATCGGTGCTTGCTCAAACTGTCAAAAGAGGAAAGAAAAGTGCGATCGGGGGACTCCGTGCAAATCATGCCTGGAACATTACAAGGGAGATCTCATCAACTTCCCATGCCGCGGACGGCGCTTGTCCAACCTATCCCAAGCATTTCTCTCAGAGCGTTTAGGCTGGCACCCTACAGGTCGAACATTGGAGTCATTCGTCGCGCCACAGGGTTTTGACGTTGTGTCGGGGATCCAATACAACATTCCTGTCAACTTTGGATTCGGACCTGCTTTACATGTTCCAGTGCATGCTTTGCAGATAACAGACGAGTCCAAGCTCTATCACCAGCATGTCGTCTACTCATGGCCTCCCTCCAACTCGCAAAGTGGCATTCACTCTCATGCAATCTTGCCAGCGGTAATCGCTTCAGGTGCACTGCCATCTATCACGGAAGTACTGGACAACCACCTTTCCCTCCTTGTCACCCAGCACTTCCGCATGTTTCCTCTCTTTTGCTCCCCTCTACGAATCCTCAAAGGTGTTTACATCTTCTTTAGATCTCTGACTCCAGACAACGCACACTCTCACCTCCTTCGCCAGGCGCTTAAACTCCTAGTCTTGGTTCACATTGGTGGGGATATCACGCTTCCATCGATTGCATCAGATGCTGTGCTCATGCAACTCGCTCGGTCGTCACTGCCGCCTTCCGCCTACTCGACTGAGGTGGACGCCCCGGCGCCAACACCATGCTTCATTCGTGCGCAGTTTGGTGCTGCTATGCCCGCCCTCGCGTCCGCCCTCATGACGGATGTGCTGTCTGCACTTGAAGTGATCCTTTTGAACCGTGCGAACGAGGATTGGCCCGTCGCAATCGCGGTTTTGATCACTCTTCTCATGACGGTCGAGAGCATCCATTATCACGATGCAAGATTGCCCTATCACGCTTATCACGACTCTGCGCACGATCAGCCAAATCAAAGCAGCGGGGCTGAGGCTCGAGCAGTCGACGACCAAAGTGTCGAATACCTTCTCGAATACTACTCGGCATGCTTCTCGGGCTGTCATTCCCGTCTGCGCCCAGACTGGGACGGTGATGCAGTCCAAGATAAGTTCATCCAGGGCGTAAGAGATGCCATCAGTGATGCTGGGGGATATCTCGAGGCAAAAGCTACTGGAGAGAGAACCAACGAAGATATGGGATTCTTCTTTGATCGACTCGTCGCAAGGCTTCTCATCTTAAAGATTTAGGAATGATTCATCATGCTTCCTTTCATGTTGATTTCTACCAGCTTGCTTTACATCTCCTAGGGATATATTTAATATCCCACATTTCCTTCCTCATTATATTTCCTTTCATCTACAAATTTCTTTGCTATTTATACGCGCCTTCTTCTTTTTTTTTTCTTTCTTGCTCTTTTTCTAACTTCACATGCTTTCTTCACGAGACCTATGACCATCCTCATGATCAACGACTGAAGAAGAATTTTTCCTTTTCAACGGCATCTTTACGACTGGGGCGTTTGCGTGGCTTCAACATACCCTTCTTTTCTCATCCTGGTACAAAATTGCTCCATTTTTTTGTACATTATTCCACGCCTGTAACCGGTAGAGATACCAATGTCCATATCTCAGGCGCTTTGCGGTAGGCTCCTCTTTTGTGTTCATTGTTGTAACGATAGCGGGTCACGGGCGCATTTGTTCTCATTTAGTTTGGTCACGATATTGGTAGAATAGTTACTAGATTGGAAGGAAGGTCACGGAATTGTTTTTAGATAGGACGTTCTTGAGTTGAATTTTTATATATGACTATTACGTTCAGATCTTCTTGTCTTGCGCCATGTATGTGACTGCATGTATTCCATGACTGGCTGCATCACATCGTCCGTTCGTTGGCTCGTTCGGTCATGTTGGGGAAACATGCGGGGCCCAGAATGACCCGGCTATTGCTTCCTTCTCCTTCTACATCCCTCAACTCTCTAGTCCATTGTATCTACAAGAAGGACCCAAACACCTCTCCTAATTCGTACAACGCGTGATATCAATATAAGCAATGCAAAATGATCGACCCAATCAAACGCCCGAGAAAAGAAAATTCGACTGGACACGACAACGCCGATTTGCTCCGAACAAGGACGGGGAAAATGATTATAAAAAAAAAGGAGTAGAGCCAAAAAAGTGGAGGAAGCCACCTAGTAAACGAATAGAAACGGGGGTATGGATGAAGGTATATTAACAATCGGGAAAGGGGGATATGGGATATGCAAATATGTGAATTATGCATCAAGTCCTCCGCTTGTCTTAGAGAACAGGACAATGAATGAGGGTTTCTTTTCTTTTTCCTATCATTTTTCTCGCTTCTTTAAGTTTAGAAGTTTCGAGACGCGGGGACGGGCTCGGTGGGCTTTGTCATGTTGGCATTGGGTGCCGGGTACCCTGGATGCATACCGTTTCCGTTCACGTTTCCGTTCGTGTATCCATTGGCAGTGCCGGCCTCGGTGGCAGCAGCGCCGCGGAAGTATCTCGCGCCGTCGTGGGCGGCGTCGCCGTTGGGCTCGGAGGTGGCCATGTTCATCTTGGACTCGTTGGAGTAGTGGTGCTTGGAGCTGGCGGCGGGCATGAAGTCGATGAAGAAGCTGAGGACGTAGAAGAAGAAGACGAAGGCGATAACCCACTCGAGAACGGCCGCGACGTTATAGCGGTCTGTCTTTTGCGTGACGCCGAAGGCGATGGCGAGGGCGACCTCGATGAGGATGAAGGACAGCTTGATCCAGAAGGAGTAGCGGAGGACGGAGTGCTCGCGGAAGTGGATGCCGAGACGCTGGTACTCCCAGCAGATGAAGATGGCGCTGACGATGTAGCCTGCGATGAAGACTCCGAGGAAGATGTTGTGCAGGCGGTTGTGGCGGAGCGCGTCGAAGATGCTGAGGAGGATGAGGCCTGCTGCGCCCACGATGGCCGCGACGATGGACAGACCCGAGTAGATCTTCTGCCAGATGGATGTGTTGGGTGTCAGGCGCCCGGTGTGTCGTAACCAGCGCTCGAGGATGAAGGCGATGTCGAAGGTCACGACGGTAACGGTGGACATGGCGATGAAGAGGGGTTTGAGGCCTTGTGCGCCGATGTCTGCGTCATCTCTTGTTAGAATTGACTTCTCTAAGGTACGCCGCGGGGGAGAATGGTTGGTAGGGAAGTGGCTTCATACCTGATATGTAGGCTATCGTTTGTTTTGGGTCCATTGAAGAGTAGTGTGGGCTTCCTTCCGATGACCACACTGCCAGCATGGTGATCAACATCGCCAGCCAGACGAAGGCTGAGAATACGGGTACGAATGTTGTTAGACCCCACATCTTGGATGGTATTGATTCCTGTGGACCCAGTATGCAAGAGAAATGGTGTACTTGTATAGATTTAAGCTGTGTCGCAGAGATCTCGGAGACTTTTGTGTGTATGGGAATTGGTAGTCAGAGGCAGGCAAGTTGCACGCGACCTATGTGGTGTGAGGATGGAAAATAAGAAACCTGGAAGGAGGACAAAAAAGACCCTGTCTAACACAGACAAAGATAAATTGAGGAGAGTAGAGAGTCCGGCAGAATGCAATTATTTGATTGTTTCAAGATTTTCCCCTTCTTGCGCGCGAGAGAAGAGCCAGGACTCAGAAGTACCAAGGACAGGAGACGGTGATACTATTAATCAGGAGTTTTTCTTCTGGAAGACGCGAAGTTGATGATGTCATTACGCTAAGGGCCAATCCACGGCCACATCAGGACAAGCAAACTAGACAGTAATCATGACACCAAGCGTCCCGCGCGCATCCGTCCATACTCAGCAGACTGCACCAAATAGCATGCCAACACCAATTTTGCTAAGCATCTACGTAGTTAAGTGACGACAAATGTCATGCTCAGCCTCGCTTTTGGCACCAAAGACCTCGCGAAGGGCAGATCGTCGGTCCGGAATGGACGAATTCGAACGCATGGCGCGACGGCTGCCGACTTTGTGCTTTGAAAATTCAACAACATTTCTCGGGACTCATTCTTCCTTAACTCCCCCGCCTTCGGAAACATTGAGCGGGAGATCAGAGGGTGATGTGCTGCAAGGCTTAGATGTTGGTCTACGTGCTGGCACTGGTGTGGGCGACAGGGTGGCTATTCCGTGGGCCACGACTACTTACATGTGCACTGTGCAGTGACTACCTACCTACATTTCTATGTACATGTACATACAAACATGCATCCCTCGGGCCCCAGGAGATAGTTGTGTCTCTCTTTTACTGTTGTGCTCGGGTACTCCACCGAAGAACACGATCCAGCAACCTCTACCTCGATCTTGTACCACTTCCGCAACGCAATCATTGATGTCGAGAGACACGCCAAAGTGGAAAGACCCGACATTGCCTGTCGCAATGCTCTCAGCTCGTGTATCCATATGACAGTCATCTCGCTCCAGGACAGCCATCAACTAACCTTGCCATCAAAGCCATGTCTTATTAATGAATTGTCTGAGCCTTTTCTCCCGCCTTGCCGTCACCACTTTGAGACGTAGAGTGCGCACAGAAGCGACAGCAAACAACAAACTCCTGGCGCTTGCGACTAAGGAAAAGGTGCTCGGCAAGTGGGAAATACCGTCACCGGCTCTTGCGCGCATGAACTCCGTTCTTGGATAATAGTTGTGAGGATGCAAGGATCCCGACTTGAATGTTCCTGGACTTCACAATCTCGCTTGATCCATGTTGTTCGTATGGGGAATTCAGCCATGTACATGTACGCTCTCACCTCATGTTCTGCTGCAGGTGATGTGATAATTACGACTACTCCTACGTGTTATTATGAAGCCGGACGTGCACGCATCACGAGCTTTCGAGTTGCAGCAAAGTGTGATAATCTATCTGGTGCTGGCTGTGGGTCGTTGGTGCAACACTTCTTCAGAACGATCGATGCAGGGTTTGAAGAGGCTCCCGGCTGGTGGATAGCGGAACGGCCTGAAGAGTGGGTGTGCAACACGACAGAGCGTGCAGTGCGTTGAGCAAACTTCTGCACGTTGGGATGCCGTGACGACATGAAGAACAAGATAAGACCTCTCAGAGAGACCGCAGGCATGTCCGATCCGATAGGTAGCTCAACGACGTGGAGCTGGAGTCTTGGACCGGTGGGGAGACTCCGCACTATGCAGCAGAGACCAAGTAACGACAATCCTTGCTCTATACCCTATGGCTGGCCTCTCTGGGCCGACTGTGCAACGTGTACAAAGTACTCGATCGGATGGCATTCATGCGATCGAGGAATCGAGAGCCATGGCAAAGATGAAATGTCCGCTGGTTGGCTGTCAAAGCGCGTCTGGAGTCTCTGGACTGAGATGAAGGCCCTCGCTCGCTTCTAAGTCGACGAGCAATCAGACAAATAGACGAGCGCGAGGTTGCATGATACAGTGGATCATCTGTCGCAGAGCTGGATATAGCCAGATCCTCTTCATGGATCAGGCCCGACGCCGCGCATGCATCCATCGATCCTATCTTGATTGGCTGCCAATGGCTGCCTCTTCGGATCATGATTGGCAGGCATTCTTCTGCAATCCTTAATGCATGCCAACCGTGCCAGTCTGCATGGCTGGGGGTTTCATCTGGGAGAGCTCTTCCAAGTTTGTTGTTTACCTTCCTGCATCCCTCATCAACTGCCTAGATGTGAACTCGTAATCCTTCCTTGCTCTACTGACCGTCTCATCCGAGGCCTTTTAACCTTCTGTGCACCTTGATTGAGGAACGATCCCGACTTATCCACTGCGGAAGTTTTATATAACGGTCTGTATCGCTTTCGACCGCTAAGGTTCATCGCAAACTAGCCGTTGGAGCTACCCCCCCGCACGCATATTCGGCAGCGTAGTCTTACCTCAGGCACGATATAGGGTAGGTTATTTGACATTTCTACACCTCCCCTCTTTGCTGCTATTAATTACCAGCCATTCTTTAGTTCCTGCCTCAGATGTTCGAATCGTGAACAGGCCATAGGCCTTGTTGCTACCCCAACAACGTACCCCCTTCAACACAATATGGGTAACGCCAGTAGTTCGCCGACCACCGGCCATCATAATCGTCTTTCCAAACCGAAAACGAACACCAACTCTCCACATGGCACTCCCAAGGTCAATGTCCCTGTCTCGGTCTACTCGAACAGTGCAGACTCAAGTGTTCGGGACAAACAGCAATTCAAGACCCTCCTCACATCGCCTGTTGTAACAGACTTTGATTCAGATGCTTCCCCAGATGGCGACGATACTTTGGGAGATCTTGCAAACCATGTCCAACGGCGCTTATCAACACTTTCGGGATCAAACTCCATCACCTCGCATCGGGGAGGCGGTAGAAATTCTCTCGGGAGGATCATTAGTCCGCATGGGTCCAAATTGTCTTTGGCTTCGAACTCCCAGTCTGTGGACCTGGACACTGCATTGAAGATCTTGCAGGAGGTCAGGAAGACGGCCTCGCCGGAGGATCTTGTAGCTCTACGTGAGTTTTCATTCGCTGCCAGAACTAGAGCAATTTCTCATACAATTCGCTCTTTCAAAGGTGCTTAATGGCTAATAAGTTTTTATCAGACCAGGCTCTTCAAGAGACTGTACCTCCATCCTCAGTTTCGCCCACCCCAGATAATAGCTTACGTGGGCGAACATCCACAGTGAACCGCTCCTCATCTTCACTCATACGACGACGCTCTTTGATTGCAACGCCAGGCCTGGCTACGAGAGGTTCGCCCACAGATACCAGTCGGAGAACGTGGAACTCGTGGAAGGGTACAGATATGGAACAATCAGAAGATCCAAAATGGAAGGTCGGCATGATGGGCAACTCGCCGCTCACTCGCATTGCTGCATTGGATTTGGCCGAAGATGGTCGAGAATCACCAGTCCCGAGGGCGCAGACACCTGGAGATATGGAATACTCTCATTTAGGGTCCCTACAACTAGGCTCCCTCATTGTGACTAATGGAGCTGCGTCGCCTGCCGGTAGTGCTAGATACGTTTCGCGTCGTAAATCTGCCATTGACGTAACTCATGGAGAGGATTATTTCGCATCCACCAGTGGGAACGCAAGCACCGAGCCGAAAACCCGTGATCGCTCACATTCTAGGAGCAAGTCCTCCGTCTTGCCACCTACGTTCCAGCTACACCCAGATCAATACATCGCCAGACCAAAGGCAAACACTAAAGCAAGTCGGAGGGTTGAGAACTCATTGCAGCCAGGCACTGTGGGGCCGCGAACCCGATCTGACCACAGTGGATTAAAAGCTATCCAGATTCCGACTCAGAGCGCGGATCTCCTTGCAAAAGATTATATGTTGAATATTCCTGCCAGTCCGTTCGAGAATCCCCGGGATGACACACCAGATGAAGGCTTTGCTGATGGCCCATTGGAAAATGCATCTCAACCCATTCAAAATCTCGCTCCTGCCTCAGACGCAAAGAGTCCAAGAGATTCGATAAAATCACAGATTACACGTAAACCCTCTGCCCGAGATCGAGCCAATTACGCAATGCTCAATTGTATGGGAGGGCAACAAGTCAATGCAGAAATCGATGGACCCGATGCAGCAAAATTGACGACCAAAGGCTCGAACCAAGAGGCACGCATTGAAGTTCCTCCAGCTGAAAGAAGGAGAAGCAGAAGACCTGTTCCCAGGAAAGCCGACTCCGGATATTCGTCGGGTGGTAGCCTGCGAACAAATCGAACCTCCTCAGACAAAGGTGATCGTGGTCACGCTCCCGAGAAGCCCTCAACTTCTGTTGTGGAAGCCCGAACCGAAAATGGTACCGAAAGTGATACTGTCAGTTTGTATACGTTCGAGCAGATGCTAGCACTCACCCAGAAGCCTCTACCGCCACTGCCGAGTATCGACAATAGCAACGAAAAGCAAGGCCATTACGACGAATCGACGGTCTTTTGGTACGACGAAGGCAAGATATTGCCGACTCAGGAGGTAAAAGAAGTTACATTTGGTCGTAATTCAGTTGAACCCTCACCCATCTCGCCCCGGACTATACAGTCAGCTGCTTCGTTTTGCACCACTGATAGTTCGGCCTCGAGGCGACTGCAGAAGCGGAGACCTTCGTTGCAAGAACTCCCTGTAGTCCAGTCATGCTCACCTATAGTTGAAGGAAGCATTCCTCGCGTGCCTTCGCCCGTTCGAGCCCAATTTGTTCGACGCCTTTCAGAGGCACCTGAAATGGAGTGTCTCACCAGGACATATCTGTCGAAGGAACATGTGAACTCTGCTGAAATTGTCGTTGACTCGCCCACAGCTCTGGCATTCGAACGGTCTCATTTCCAGTTTGCACAGCAAGAAGAGGTATCTGGAAGTCAGGCTGATCGTGCTCCCACCCCGCCACTTCACGGTGTTCGCCGCAGCCTTTCTATATTCCGAGGGAAGACTGACTCTGAGCGAAAGAGTCTTGATAAAGCCGCACCTACAATTCTTGACTTGGGTACCATAGCCCAGGGGCTTGGTGGTTCGCCCTATGATGTTGCAATGGCCACAGTGCCCAGACAGAGAGTCACATCACCGACGCATCCGCATCAGCTTGGTAATTCATTGCCGCGTTGCAAGTCCTTGGTCAGCATGGACGCCGAGACGGCCGCTGAAATAGCTCGGGTACGAAGTAAAGACCGCTCTGCTGCTGCCATTCGTCCTGAAATGCCTCGACGACCTCGCAGCTATCATGATGGGCATAAGAATTCGGCAGTGCAGCAGCAGGAGCAACACTCGTCTTCTGAGGCACATAAAGGCCGGTATTACGCTAGAAAACAGCAGGAAGCAACTCCACACCCTCACGGATCAAATGTCGCGGTGTCTCAGGGAGCTTCCCCTCATTCAACTCAACACCACAGCGAAAATGCCGCGTTGAACGCGCCGACAGAGGACATACACGCACCCGGAAATAGTGTGAACCCAACCATCCGGGCTCGTTCCACCGGTCGTGGTCCTGTAGTTTCCAACTTGATCGTGAAGTATGATCAGCATGGTCAGAAAACCACTCAGGGAACGCCAGACTGGGACGCGCATGCTCGTTTGTGGCAGCAGCGCCGCAAATCGATAGGCGAGGGCCTTCGGCAACGAGCTGATGCACATTCTGCCGACCCATCCAGGAAGTATCAGAGAGCATCTACTGAGCCGCCTGAAGAGAAAATCGTACACGACCGTTACGGTGGCGGTCTTGAGTACGGGTATGAGCGTGGCTACGGCGTCGGTGGCAGTGCAGGCACCAGGCAGCTGCACAGCGCTGCCAGCCGCAAGAGCATGCAGTATCGGCACAAGTTTGGGGTGGACTTGTCCGACGTGCCCATCTTCATCCAAAGGACGTAAGGTTGGGACTCGGGAGATGAACTTATGAATCTCTATGTTTGTTTGTTTGTTTACACGCATATATACCAGCGCCAATGTCGCACCATTGTATTCTTTAAATTTTCCATTCTACCGTAGGACGGCGCATTTTGCACTTGGGCATTTCAATGCATCTGGACTAGGGCACACGCATAGTATTTCATGTCTAAGCATAGGATAACAGGCTGGTGTTGTTGGTCATTGGGCTGCATCTTTCGCAATGTGATGTATTATGGTAGTCTCAAGATTCCACTGCGTACTTAGGGAAATATAATACCTCACAGACCCATCCATTCAAGAAAGCGGCACAAGTTGGAAATCAGCGCATACATATTCGAAAAGAAAATCACGCAATGAACGGGAGAACAAAGTTTCTGTGCCAACAGTAATGCCAACGACATGTGTACGTATTATCTACGCAGTATGTACTCCGTATATTACAGTGTGTACATATCAAGTGCAGGGATGTACTCGGGCAGGTGTGGATTACAGGAACTAGCGGTCAAAGATATGCCTTGGATATTAGTTCACTGTTGAGAAGGATGACGCACACTCCAGCGTGTTTGTATCAAGCTGCCTTTAGTGTTGTTCATGGGGATAGATAGTATGGGGCTGAGTGGGCCTTGGTGAGGCTGACAGTATGTATTACAGTAACTATGTACTTATTATTGGAGTCCTACCTGGACAATGTGTAGGCTCTCATAGAGAATGAATGGTGGGTGGGTGGTTTTTGGAAGCAGATGGAGGTGTAACGGTCAAGTTCGTCCAGTCCAGTCCCATTTGCAACATGTCTGCATGTGTGAATGTGCATGTGCCTTTCCGCTCCCCCCGGTCGATGCGTTCTATTAATTAGCATGCGCCCATTGTTTATTGCAAAAGTGTCGAATGGGAGCGTCTAGCATCAGCCCGTTGGTTGAGGTCTGGGGCAGAGCCGGGCGCCCGTAGCTCGTTTAGTTTTTTACAGTGTGATGTCAGGCATAAAATCCGATGCGAGCGAATTGCCGCCAACCCAACCAAAGACCCAAACCATAATTGGCAAAGGAAAAAAATAGGAACGAGGAAGAAGAATGGGGGAAAGGGGAATAGGAACAGGCATGGGAACGCTTTTATTACTTAATAAGTAGATGATTTCCAGGAGTTACCTAGATGCCTAGTAACTATCGAGGACACACACACACACACACACACACACAACCACCCTAAACCCAGCAACGGTTCGCAAAAATCAACCACCCCTCCACCTCCATCTTTCCTTCTACTCCCCCCTTCCACCTCTCCATCTCTTCACCCTCTCCACATCTCTAAAGCAACTCACCTCGTTGCTTTCCTCCCATCTTTTGGTTCATCTGAATATCCCGCAACCTCCTCCTTCTCCGATCCAACCGGAGCTCTAATTGCCAAAACTTGTCACCGGTCGGCCCTCTCGTTTCGACCTCGCAAGAAATCCCTCACCGACTTGCCTTTGGTCACTGCAAAGGCCCCAATAACAATACGGCTTCGGCCTTGATCCCTCTCGACCTTCAAATTGTATCTGTTCGCCCTTCACCGCACATCCTCAACGCCAAACCGCCTCCCTGAATACAACACCAACAAACTTCTCCTCGAGCGTGCGTTGTTTCCCCTAGACGCAAACCCAACTCCCGGCACACCACCTTTTCAGCTGCCGCATAGGACGCTCTCTGTGGTTCTTCCTCTCGGAGAGGAAGAGTCGAGGAGGCCTCGCCCACAACCAAGTCTCGATTTCGAGCCCTTCAAACCTCCCTAAGACCTGCTTTACCAACAAGCCAAACTACACTCAACCATAAAACACCTGGAAACCAATACCCAGGGAATGGCACCTTCTGCTCTCACGCCTATTGAGGATTATCAGTTCAATTATGAGAATCTGAAATCCATTGATCATAGTCTCAAGACTACAATCGATAATGGAGCTAGCAAGACAAAGCAATTGATTGGGAGTGCCCTGAAGGCACACGTCGACAACGTTGATCCGGATACCTGCGATGCCGGTGAGGAGGATCCGTTCTTCGTTGCTGACTTGGGCGAGGTCTATCGTCAACATCTCCGATGGAAGAAGAACCTGCCGCGCGTGACACCGCACTATGGTAAGTCTTTGCAAAGAAGGCACTTATCCCAGGCATAGTTACTTAGAACTAACTTGTTTGTCTAGCGGTCAAGTGCAACCCTGACAAGCGCGTTCTATCCCTCCTCGCCAACTTGGGCGTGGGTTTCGATTGCGCCTCCAAAGCCGAGATCGACATGGCACTCAATATTGGCGTCCAGCCCGAGCGCATCATCTACGCACAGCCATGCAAGACCAAGTCGTATGTTCGTTATGCCGCCCAGCGTAACGTGAAGCAGATGACTTTCGATAATGCCGACGAGTTGCACAAGGTCAAGCAGCTGTTTCCCGATGCCGAGCTGTTCTTGCGCATCTTGACCGATGATTCTGGCAGCCTCTGCCGTCTCAGTCAGAAATTTGGCGCTTCCTTGGACTCCACTGCCGAACTTTTGGTGCTGGCCAAGCAGCTTGAACTCAATGTTGTTGGTGTCGCTTTCCACGTCGGATCCGGTGCTTCTGATCCGAAGGCATTCATCAAGGCCGTCCAAGACGCGCGTTTCGTCTTCGACCAAGCAGCGGCCCTCGGCTTCCAGATGCACACCTTGGACGTTGGTGGCGGCTTCAACTGCGATGACGACTTCGAGACCATGGCCACCGTTTTGTCCGCCTCGCTCGACGAGTACTTCCCGGATGAAATCCGCATCATTGCGGAGCCTGGTCGCTACTATGTCTCCACGGCATTCACCATTGCCTGCCATGTCATTGCTCGCCGCACTATCGCAGATGCTAGCCTGGGAACTACTTCTTACATGCTCTACTTGAATGACGGAGCTTATGGCAACTTCTCGAGCATCATCTTCGATCACCAGAATCCCGAGCCTCGACTCCTCAAGTGCGGTGGAAAGAACTTGTTCGATGTTCGCCGCCCAGGATATGAGACTCCTTCGGGATACGAGTACTCCATCTGGGGACCGACTTGCGACGGCATTGACAATATCTCCAAGTGCTGCACCTTTGCCGAGGTCATCAACGTTGGCGACTGGCTCTACTTTGAGAACATGGGTGGTAAGTCATGCTAAATCCAAGACCATGTTTGTTCGTCATGCTAATTTGTTATCTCTCCAGCTTATACCAAGTGCTCTGCCACTCGCTTCAATGGCTTCACCGACACTCATGATGTGGAGTATGTCTGCAGTGAGGAGGATGCTCTCCCCTTCATTGGGGCGTAAATATGTAATTAGTACATAAGATATACAGATCGGGACCATTGTAGATGGATTAAAGGAGGGTGGAGGTCAGGGGAGGATACGTGCACTAGAAGAAAAGTTCCATAGATTTCTTTACGCAAATGTTTATATTGTCTTTTCGCTCTGACCATTTTCCACCGTGACTCCATTACATCATCGCGTTTATGTTGAGAACCACAACTGATTTGTATCAAAGAAGAAGAGCTGTATGCATAATGATAGAATTCAAATGTTTTAAGTCAAGCAACTAAACGAAATGACATTTCTATGTCTAGATCGCTGGCTGACATGCCATGAACAAGTAGATGGGTAAATGGCACCAAGAGATCTGTCCGAACAATAACCATGTAAACGCCACGCTATGCCAATGAAACCCTTTTTGGAACATACTCTCCGCAACATCCTTCTCTCTACGATGGCGTCTTGATCATGAAAATCTGCGTAGGAAAGCAATTAGTATGAGGTGGATCGAGGCTATATAACGAAAAAATGGAAGGAGTGTTCTTACCTCTCTCAAAGCCTGCGGGTCCATACCCGCCATCTTCTTCTGCCGAATGTACTTCGCCCTGGCAGCGTGTCTGCCGCCCGCCGCGAACGTGAGTCCAACTGGCGTCGAAGTGCCCGTCGTTGGGGCGGAGGATGTGGTGGGTGTCGCGGTGGTGCTCGTCTCCGCATCGTCGTCTGAAGACGAGTCTGATGCGTCCTCCTTGTTGGCACGGGCAGCTTGCTTGGCGGCCTTCTTAAGAGCCTTCTTGAGCTTCTTCTCCTCCTTGCGGGCGCGCTTCTCGGCTTTCCGTCTGGCCTTGTCCGAGAGAGGTGCTTCTTCTGAGGCAGATGAGGCCGCTCCTATGTCTTGTTCGGATGCGGATGAAGATTTCGTCGACTTCTTCTTGTCTTTCTTTTCCTTTTTGGATTTGGATGCTGCTGCTGCTGCGGCGGCGTCTTCTGCGGCTGCGGCTTCGCGGAGGTTCATGCTCTTCTTCTTCCTCTTCAGTTTGGGCTCGTCGTCTTCGTTCTCTTCCTCCTTGATCTTCTCTAACTCGTCGTCGTCATCCTTCGACCTCTTCCTCTTCTTCGACTTGTCCTTCTTCTCCTCCGCATCGCTCTCCTCTTCCTCTTTCTTGATCACACTGTTAAACTCCGCCTCGACCTCCTTGCGGCTCTTCTTCTCAATCTTGTCGCCGACCAGGAACCCGCCGCTAACGAAGTTCATGAACCCATACCTCCTAGTCACATACCCCTTCCTCTCGACCTCGACCCTCCTCTCTTCCTCCTTCTTCACCTCCGTCTCCTTGCCATTCAAGCGGCCGAGCACGTTCGCCAGGCCCGCGAGGCCGAAATTCTCCGGCCGCTCGCTGCCACGCTTCGCTCCCAGGCCAAGAGTGTCGTCCTTAAGGAGCACGCGGATATGCGAGTGCGAGGCGGCGGTGTAGTGGGACGAGTGCGCGGCATCGACGGCTCCGAGGGAGGCACCGGGCGTCCAGCCGTGAGAGGTCAGGACGCGGTGACCGAAGCGGGAGGTGTTGTTCGCCCAGGTGGTGTTTTGCGGGTCATTGGAGATGCGAATCCGGCTGTGGAGAGGGGCTCGGGCGTTAGTCGTCTTTCTTTACTCCTTTGCGCCTTGTGAAGAGGCGTGGGAAAATTTATGCCCGTTGAGCACTTGAGATACTCACTTCTTAGGTGCCGCGAGACCCATTGTGAATGATGAGTCTGTATGAATAGAACCGTGGAGGGCGGACAAAAGGGAACAGACGAATGGAGAATGGACAGGGTTGACTCGGGGTGCTGTCGTTCTTGTTCCCTTTTCCTCTTCTCTGCGGACGGGGAAAAATAATTGCGATAAGAGTCGTTGGAAATTTTGGGTGGCATTCGGTCGCCGCACAGACCTTTTTTGTCTTTTTGGTACTGGCCAGTCGAAATCTTGGCTCGCTCGGTCTCAAGGGACCCTGGCACTCGCTAGTCTCATTTCGTTCTTCGCGGGGAAGGTGCGAGTCCTATTGAGTCGTGACTATAAAACGTCTCATATCTCTCTCTAATCTCCTACACCTTGACACACACAATAATTTGATGCGTTTACGTTGCCGTGAAGACGACAAAGTCAACAGCATCAGACATCGTTACACAAAAATTCAATAAAGTCAATTGCACAATCGGCAATTCATTCCAATCCGATACTGACCCCACATTAAACTGATCACCTAAGTAAACCAGCAGCAAAACAGCAACAATGCCACCACCAACCTCAAAGAAGCTCAAGTCTGGACTTCACCAAACCCAGCAACATCAGCAGAAGAACCAGCAAAGTACTATTCAGTCTCATCACCGCAAACATGTTGACCCACTTCGCTCTACCAAACCAAACACCAGAATCTCTACTCAAGAGTCGGCCATGCTCCCATCTAACCCATCAGCATCCCACTCATCTTACGATGATGACGAGGAAGTAGCATCCAAGAACCCTGTAAATCACGATGCCGCAACTAAAGCAAGAGGTCATTCTCGAAGCAAGGCGAAAGCTCGCACGTTCGGACGCGCAAAGCAGCCTCCACTCGCCAACATTGTTGAGGATATGGTCGATGCTGTGTGTCATCTCATCCCCATCCCCATCCCAATACCCTCCTCCATATCGCAAGTTACAACGCACAACTTCCAATCTACCCTTACTGATATGACTCTCTCAATCGCTTCACATCCTTAAGACTTAACCTTCCTCCTTCTGTTCCACCACAGACGCATTGACGAGATGTACTAATCCCATTACAAGCACCGCAAACGCCACAAAGTGTCCAAATCTAAGGTGCGCAACTCCTACGCCGAGACCGCGTCCGCGGTCAGGGAATCGATCGTCTCCTTCTTCGCGGAGCATCAGCGGCAAACGTAAGCTTTGAGCTCTGGCCCTGATCTCTTCTATGCATCTCTGTCGTTCTGAACATTATACTCTTCTCATCCTCCTCCTCTTCCGCTTTGGCTCTTCACTGAACACACGGAGAGCACGTAATGTTAACAAAAGGGTGGCCCCTTCACAGTGATGACCTCCACCGCACCCAGATGTCCCGGCTGCAGAAGCTGATGGACGAGAAAGCAAAGGTCGAGCGGGAGATGCGCAGGCTCGTCGAGGAGCAGAGGGCGAGGTACGCGAACTATGCCGACGACCTGGAGGCTGTGGTCAGTGAGCGGGCGAGGCAGCTGAGTTGAGAGATGTGGTTTGCTCGAACAGTGAGACGAGTATGTTCGACAATCGATGATCTGACTGTTGTGAATGGGGTGGAGTGGGTTTGTTGTTGTTGAGATGGTTTGAAGAATCCGCATCAGGCCCATGTGACGAAGTCCGTTTGCTTTAGTCGCCGCTGTCTGAAGTCGGTATTATGACACTACGAAAGCATATAGTTCCACGGTTGAAGGGAGGATTTACCAGTCAAAGCCTTTCTTACGCAAACACATGGAGCACGAAAAGAAGCCTTCTTTCTTCAAAGCATGATTCAAGGTTGTTATGATTCTTCGCTTTGACATAAACAAAGCGCTTTGTCTACCGCTACTACTCGTGCTACTGCTACATGTTCCACTGTTCTCTGACTGTCTTCATCCTCCTCTAGCCTGCCTGACTACACCATGGCCAATGTCAAGCATCACTTTTCAGCACATTTGATCCATGGGTTGAGATGAACGGAAGAAAAGGAACCCAATTCGTCTTTGATACAAGTCATCCAAGAAAAGAATCGCTTAATCATGTCACATTGCTCATTTCTCTCCACGAGATCTTTCGGGCTTCGTTTTCGCCCTTTCCCAAACGTAGACATGGGACATATGAGTTGGTTTAGAAAATGAAACAGTATGTTTACAAGAGACCCCGAAACATGAGAGAAGAAAAATGTTCCGCCTTCAGATGATCGTCACCCAACAAAGCAAAGGTATCAAGGGTAAAAAAAAATTAATAAGTCGTAGCACCGTGAAGATTAAGGGTCAGTGTCATCGTTGATACACGGGCAGTGTCTCGCTAGGTGAACCATTGCCATTAGTCCTTGCGGGGCGCATGGCTCCAACGAGGCCTTCGTCTTCCTCGTTCAACACAGGGGCAGAGGCCGCGACCGACTGGTTTTCTGTCCCAGTCACCGGCGGCGCAGATGATGTAGCTTCTCCTTCTCTATCATCGGGCGGTGCGCTCCGCTCTAATTCCAGTCGCCGTCTTTGTAACTCTTGTTTATCATCCGTTGGATGCACGCGCGAGGACGAAGAGGCACTGTATTCTGGTGCAGGACTGTGTGGCTGGAGAGATGGGGTCGCCCTAGCACCGTTCGTTTCCCCGCCCTCTATACTCGCGGCTGCCGGTAGAGAATCCACCTGGTGTGCGTTGATGGTTCTTGTAGAACCGTTGGTCACTGTCCGTGACTCATCATCTGTGACTCGTCTTTGAATTATCGGTATCGAAGTAGTATGTAGTGGAAATTGTGATGATGTTGGAGTTGGGGTATAAGGCGAAGAAGGTGAGGCCGGCCCGAATTGTGATGGCTGCATCGATGATGACGATGCTTCAGGGGGGAAATAGGGAGGCTGTTGCTCGTCCTCCTCTGGCAGCACAGGCGCAGAAGGTCCAATCCCAGTGGGTACGTTGGATGGTGAAGAAGGGCCTGCAATGACTGGGGGTTGCGACGGTAGGAGCCGAGCTTCGGCTCGCCTCAACCGTTCTTTTTCTGACAAACCTGATTCAAATCCCTCGCCGTTCGGAGGCATCGGAGGTGGAGGGGCCGGCTGGTAAGGTAATAGGCCCGGGTCGGCCCCTGGATACATGGCGTTGTCGTAGTAGCCCAAAGGATAGTTTTGATCGTAACCGTAAGAATCATAGTACTGCCCATCCTGATCATACCCGTAGTAGCCCTGACCGTCGGTACCGTCAGCTGCTCCCGCATTTCCGTTGGGGTCGCTTGGGAAGTCGCGAACATCTGGCTGGACATCGAAACTCGCGTCGGGTTGTTGTCTCCGCTTGCCGTTGCGTTCGCTATCCTTAGTGCCGATGATGACTTCAAATATGCATGAAACTACACTCTTCTCACGCCGTATCGCATCAGTATCGACAAAATTACCACCCCAAGTTGAGAAAATGCCACCTTTTGCTTCTTCCGCAACCTGTCCACCAACGGTGGGTGCAGGACCGCCGAGACCCGCAGAGATCATGCGATCAAGACCCGTAAGCTTTCCCTGGATGTCGACTACGACCTCGATGAAATATTTGAAGCTGATCATGGCACCTGGAACATTTGATATGGTAGGAAAGGCTTCCTCGGGAACGCGGACAGAGCATTTGACTTCGGCAGTCAGGGTCCTCGGATCAACGAAAAGCGGAGCGAAAGACTGCGAAAGATCTTTGCGAAATAGATGACTGGATCCGGCCGATGAAAGGGACAAACCGCCGAGGCCTGTCCTTGACTTGGGATAATAGTCCTCGGATTTCTGTTTGTCGCCCTTGCTATTAGCTAGGACGGGTAGAGCAGGGTGCATGTCAACTCTTGCTTGTCGATATAATGTGATGATGATACCCTTTAAACTTCGGACATGCTTAGTATGGTTAACTGATATCGTGATTGGTATTTGATCTCCGCGAAGGAACCCTCCTTTGAGGACGTCGATGGTCGCCGTAATGATCTTCCCCTTGAATGTAGACCGACTCCCACTTTGTGAACTACCTCCGTCGACCGTAGTATTGACCGAGCGGATGCCGTACTCGGTTCCGGATGCGTTACCACTGCTAAACTGGCTTTCGAAACTCGTGTCACTCGGCGCGGGGCTACCAGGGCCGTCGCTCTCCTCCGGGACGCCATTGAGTTCAGAAACTCTTCCGTTACGACCCGAATCGGAAGTACCCGGGGCCTGCTGTGAGCTCTCTGTGATTGTGGCTGGACGTTTGCGAGCACTTGGTTTCTTGCGAGCCCTTCGACTGATAGGCTCTAACGAAATAACACGTGGTTTCGGTTCGGGAATAGGCGCTATATCGATCGAATCCATGAGATACACTTTCGAGTCGCATGAAGTCGTCGGCGATATCGTAGTCGGACGCGTTAGAGTAGATGTCAACATGTAGGATATCGTTCCGCGCTCAAAATCAATGCTGCTTGGCAGCCCCTTGGTGGGGAATTCCAACTCAAAATTGAAGTGGTAGAGGCCCTCCTGTAGCCTACCCTCTCCACAAAGAACTGCCTCATCTTCAAACAACGATGCAAAGCCGTTTCCAAAATAGCTTCCACCCTTCTTTCCCTTTCCCGAACCGACAGTGGTACTGTAGTTCCGATATGCGTCGCCCGGAGAGTTCGGATTTTTAAAAACCTGAGCGTATCCATGGAGGGAGATGACTAGATGCGTGATGCGCAATGGTTTAAGGACTTTTATAATTACAGCGCCACTGATTATGTCTCCGGGAGCGTATTGGCGGTGTGGATCGTCGGGCTGTATGTAGAAATCGGCGAAATTACGCGTCTTCGATTGTAAGGGGGATTTCAGTCTGGCCAGCAGTGACCTGCCCGATAACGAACCGGACGAGGTAGAGCTACCGCGTGCCGGGCTTGAAGTCATGACCTTTGCGCCACGCACATTATGCGGCTATCCGCCTTGCTCTGGTGTGATGTTTGGATACCACGCACAGTGCCGTATAGCGGGACTCCACTGTCCTTCTTTCCAACTCTTTCGAAAGTTTAATGTATGCTCCAGGCACAGGCGAATGGCTAGGAGAGCGCGATACGTCCGCGGAGCAGCAGCAGGCCAGAAGGACGGATAAGGATGTTATATAGGACGATACTTGATGCGACGTTCAAGTAGGTAGACGTTCGGCGCGCGTGCGAGAGCGGGGAGAGGTGTAGTAGTAGTAGTAGTAGGTGCGAGGTTGAGAGATTGCTGTATTCTGGGAAGGAGCGCGAGGGGTCGATAGACGAAGGCGCGCGAGTGTATCAAGTCTACCGGGGCAGGATCCGAGACGAGAACGCAAACACAGGCGGTCAGTAGAATCTAAAAGCCGTGAAGAGGTTGTCAGCATTGCGGATGATGCGATAGCAAAGTGGTGGCGATCGAACGGTCCACACGGAAGGGTAGCGATAGTGGATGTGGCTATGCTGGGTGGTGGAGTCGATCAAGGGCAATGGCGACAACGTCGACGAGCGACAGGGACAGCAACGCAAGGTCGGGTTGGCGGAGAGGGAAGCTTGGTAGTGTTCGCGAGACGCACAGTCCAGTGCCATCAAAATGAACAAAATAATACGAGGTATAGGATACAATAGCACTTGAAGTTCCGGATTGCGCGGTGTTGACGTCGAAGGAAGCACTCACGGCTTGGCTTTGCCAAGGAGGCCAAAGGATCTCAAGATACGGCGGAGGGGAGAACCGTGATACTAGCGGCAATGAAAAGGTTTGGAGAGTAATTACCTAATATGCTGGGTGCTGGTCCGAATTGTTCGAATTATCAAGTCGATATGTACCCAGGTAGCGATATAGGACATGCGTAGGGAGAGGGAGTGAGGGAAGGAGAGTGATCGAACTCTAGGTTGATTGCATGCAATGAATGAAGAGGAGGATCGAAGAAGTTGAAAGTAGGAAAGGGAAGATTTGAAGGAGCGTCTGCGAGGGAAATAATGGGATGGGATGGAAGGGAAGGAGAGCCGTAGGGTACCTCGTAGCCTGTAGGGTAGGTTAGGATAGGATAGGATGGGATGGGATGGGATAGGGTACGAGTAGGGGTGTCTCGTAGTTAGTTCCGTACACAGTAGGCAAGTAGGCAAGTATCTACTCCGTACCTGTAAAGTAATCAGGTAAGTATACAATAGTGGACAAAGATGGCTAGTTATGAGGGACCGTAAGATTATTGTGTCTCTGATGGATTATAGTCCCTCTAGAGTCTCTCCATGGCTACTACCCCTACCGTCCACACCGTCTGATCGTATCCTGTCGTATCATAACTCGTGGTCTGGTCTACTCCATACACGATAGCTACCTAACTAGACTCTGTGTACGTCCATACGTCTGTATTATCATTATTGTAGCGTGGTAGCGTGGAACCCATGGTCCCGAAAGGGGGATCTAGGGACCTTCATGCCCGATCCCATGCGGATCCGTCTCATTCTAGCAGAGTGTTGCCAGCCAGTCAGCCTACAATCTTGCTTTGATGCATCTCCGAAGCACCTCCTAGTCGCTGTCGTCGTCGTCCTTGTTCTCCTCGTGGTCGTTGTCCCTCCAGCTGGTAGTGCAGCCACCGAGTACGTACTTACATACCTAGGCACCTAGGTAGTTACCGGCGACCGCAAGTACTCGTAAGTTGGTGAATTGCAAATACCTTTCCACGGCGGCACAAAGGACTCCATCCACCCAGCTGCAGATCAGTCGCAGCCATTCCTCATCCTCATTATTATTGCAATAATAATGCTCGCTATACTAGCGAATGGCGTCCTTTTCTTCCTTTGTTTGGCTTTATGATACTCGTAGCGCGATATCCGTTTCAGAAGGCATAACAGGCGATTCGTGTGATACTCATCACCGGGCTTTGGGCGGTGGCTTTCCTCTCCCTGTCCGTCTACTCGTCCCCTCCCCTGCCCTGCGTACACCGGATGATGTTCAAGCCTTCAAGGGGGGGTGACTTTCATCAGGGATGGCTGCAGTAACCATCCGCACATCCCGTCGCGCAGAGAGAAAGAGGAAGAGAACTTTTCTTGCGAATGCTTATTCTTGTAACCCGCACAGCCGTACACCCGTAGACGCACATGCGCGAAAACATGGGACAGGAGCCCAACAAACCAAAAAATAAACTAAAACCATGATAATAAAAGCTCGCCTACGCCAGCAGGCAATAAAGTCAACCCGGGAGTAGAATCCGCGCCATTGTGTGTGTTATGCGTGGCCCGCATTCCCACCAGAGTTCGTCATGCATGGTCGTTGCACCAGTCACCCACATTAGTTATTGAGTGGACTCAGTAATAGTGGAGGGAGGGAGGGGGACCAGGAAGAAGGAAGCGGGAAAGGGTCTCGAACTCGCCGTCCATTTTTTGTTTGCTCTTCCTTGCCTTTGTCTGCCCTTCTTTACCTGTCACTGCTTGCTTGCTTCGACTTGGCTTTTGTGGCAAGCTTTTCCATCAAAAGGCTTGTCTCTGACTACCTGGTCAATGCCAAACTCTCTTCTGAGGTGGTATTAACTAGTTAGTATTTCTTGCAGTTACACACTGCTGTCAGCCCAAACGATCCCCCTACCAATCAATCCTTTCAATCCCTTTACCCCCCTCTCCACTCCCTCGCGTGCTCAAGTCATCAATCATCATATGACATCCTTTATCGTGTCACCCACGAATAATATTCAATAAAGGTGGATGGCCCAACCTTGTATTATTTACGGGGTACGGAGCACATAGGAAGTAATTATAACATGTATCTACGGAGTACTCCGTAACCGGGTACAGTTCAAGTATGCAGTATATTTTTATCCTCGCTTGCGTACTACTTTACCCATGCAGCGTCTATATATTGAGTGCACGATTATCTTATGTGGCAACAATGTAGCATGCAAACTCCACTCATTCCAAACATGATTGTGTCACCAAATAATACATGCAAGATCGACAGTGTAAATTGCAAAACGGAGTGGTGACGGCCCGAACAGATCATGTCTGACTGGTGTCGGCTAACTTGCCCGTTTTCTTCACTAACCTAGCATAGCACTCCCTACTGTGTAGATTAGGGTGGTAGCTTACGACACAAAATTGATGTCTATCACATAGCACTTGGTCATTGGATTTGGAATTTTAATAGAGATCAGGAATCGATTTTATTGTCGATTTTTTTTAGTTATCTTCAAATTAAACTAAAGATTGCTGAATCGAAATGGCGATACAGAAAAGTTTATATAGGTTTTAAAGTTGAAAGTTTTCAAAACTTCAAATAAGGGAATGCAGGTAAAAGATCCAAGACACCAATTTCTCCTCGCTCATGCATGCAATTTCAGATTTCATAACTCGTCAACAAGCAACTTTGAAAACCCCAGCGCTCGATTTTCCACATTGAATGGTTTTACTTTGGTCTTTCTTTTTTACTCGATGCTGATCTTGCGCGGCTTGGGGGCTTGGGCCTTGGGAACCACGATGCTGAGGATGCCGTTCTTGAGGCTTGCCTTGACAGCATCTTGATCGATGCGGGCCGGGAAGTTAAAGGAGCGGTGGAACTCGCCGACCGAGCGCTCGCTCACCCAGTACTTGGGTTCGTTTGCATCCGTCTTCGCAACCTCTTGCTCTGGCTTCTTGGCTACACGTGTCTCGGTGTCGGAGGCGGTCTTGGTGGTTTCGGCTCCTTCCTCTTCAACGGTTGGCTTGTGGTAATGCTCTGTCTGTTTGTCGGATCCCTCGAGCAGGTTCTCGGTTTGTGGGCGGGTGCCCTCCTCACGAACCGTCTCATGGCGACCGGAAATGGTCAAGGTGTTGGCGTCGGTCCATTCGATATTGATGTCCTTCTGCTCGATGCCGGGGAATTCTCCGTGGAGTTCGTAGGAATCCTTCAGCTCCTTCACATCAAATTTGGGAGAGAAGGAGCGGATGGACTGGTCAGCATTGCGGAACGCATGGCGTTCATACTCGTCCATTAGGCGGAAGAGAGGAGAGAACTCCTGAGTGAAGCGTGGGAAGAGAGACATGGCTGCTTTGGTATTGGTGTAAGGTCGAGTTGTAGTAGTCGATTTCGTGATTCGATTGAGCTGTGTTGGGACTCGTCGAAGAGTTGTGCGCAGTGATTGCATAGAAGATGGTAAGCTTTGATTGTTGTTGTTGCTGTTGTTCTGATGAGCAGACTTGAGAGGGAGAATCAACGTCCTTATATACAGCGAAGATGACAGCATAGAAGCTACATGATGTTTCTGGTCATCGTCCTTTTGACCAGGCTCGAAAGTGGGCGAAATGTGAAGAAGTTCGGAGAAACCTCGGCAATGTTCTAGAAGATGCTAGATATCACGTCATGTGACGTCAAACAAATACCATGTCAAGACCACAACATTGAGAAGGAATGCATGGAAGATGTCGATTACAATATGTTTTCCTGATCTTCCGCGATTCTTCACCAGTACCCAATGATCATCGGAGCCAAAGCCTTGGACCCCAATCGTGGATGTTGCTAGAATTTTCGTTCCAGCGGACGATAGGCGCCAATGGCTGTTCACATTCTCTCTGAAAGATGGATCCCTTACTGTTCAATTAGGTGGTTTGGCATAATCTGACATCGGCCAGATTTTCGTCGAGGCCGCTAGACATCCAAACAGAGCCAACGTCTTTCGTGGCACTACCATCTGTTTGGTAGCTTTGCGAGGGCCAAATCGAAAGACAGAGTCCTCCAGAGACCATACAATTCATGGGAGTTGCAAGTGTCCTCATTCGCAGCCCGTTTGTTGAAGTTGCACGTCGGCCCCGTGTTTGGTGGTTACACGGCCCCAAAGCCATCAACTCTTTCCCCCCTCTCGAACCATGGGGTGGTTCAAATTAATGAATCGCAGGACTAACGATGTATGTCTCGGATGCCGGGGTCCTGGTAGGTCTCCAATTTCCTGTGACCGTTACGCAGCAGATATTCAATTGTTCCAAAGTCCTTCTTGTTGATGGCTGTGTTTTGTCGGAATTGGTCCCTGCATCAACCGATCAGACAGGATGTACATGTGCATGCAGCTTGTTTATTACACTACTTACCTTGCAAACTGGCGAAAATTTGCCCGCGTATCCTATGTACTTGTCAGCGGCGATTTGGTATGAGTGGCCATGTGTATTCCAACCAAAGGTTTCCCTCGTATAGCTCTGATACATTGTCTGTACAGAGACAAGACATCCTTCTGAAGTCCAGATAACTTTGCCATTGCACTTTGAACTGCCACCGACGTCGCTCGGGAGTAGAAGCCTTCCACCAAAGTCTTGTTGTGTCGAGACGTCAGGAGTCTCGGCGTTGTAGCTATTTTAGACCTCCGATTGGGGCCGAGCTTCCTTAGAGTTCATTCAACCGAGGAAGCTAGTGATGTTTGACATGGCAATCGTAACGTCAATCTCTAGATCCAAACACAGTGTTCGTTCACACCAACTGGCCTTCCGCATTATCAGGCAATATTTTCTGAAGAAGGAGATACCCCCCATGCAGATTGAAAGTTATACTGTTTGACGATCGTATACACCGATGTCGAGCGCCAGACTCCTCAACATTGCAACAGGGAGCATACATTATTGTGGGAAACGATCTTGCGGTGTCGCTACGCAATGTCGAGGAAGGTACGGAGTGTTGAGTAAAGAGCTGACCTCAGGGTGCTTTTCTTATTTCCGATAATCGATGAGCACTCGTTTGATTGTGACTGTCCACATACCGTTCAGTCCTCTGGTTTTTCATCGCCCCCAGAAGGACCCCAAGCTCGGATGGTCGAACATTCCAATGGGATGGGCCACACATACACCAAGGCAGACTCTCGCTAGGTGGCTGCTACAACTCTCAATTACTGTCATGGAAATCTGCGAAATACCGATGAACGCGTCAGCATAGCGTCTATAGCCTGGATGGTGGTGGCACGCAAACTATCAAGGCGCACCTGTGGTGAGACACATGTTGATGCCGTCTAAGCGAAGTGCGTAGTCGTGAGCCATGGTCCACCAGTAGATGTTGTGGTTAGTTCGAGTCTATCAGAAAGGATTTACATGCTGATTTCTAGATCTGACGAACGACCTGGAGATGTTCTCATACACAAAACAATACATCGATATCTTACACATAGCTTCCCAGTTAAGTACATACATATGACTCAATAACCCCAACAAGGAAACTCAACCTACGGTATCATTGGCGTAGAGGAATAGCTATACTTGATTGACTTTGGCATCCAGATGGCAATGTTATGTGCAATCAATAGGCGACCGTCGGCAAGTTACCTCCATTAGGTATAAGAGCTATAGTCATAGCGTTGGGTGGGTTGAAGGATGATGGCGAGCCACACTTCCACCCTGGCATGGTGGGATGTCCGATCCCAACTTGCCCACGGTCACTGCCGAGCCGTGAAAAGTTTCTCAAAATTCCCGACAGCATTCTCTCCATGATCAGGATTGTAGGGATAGTAAGCCGAAAAAGGGTTCGGCGACGTCGGCTCCTTATATTCTTCGACCTCTCGCTCATCCGTGCCCTCAGAGGCCGGTGGGGGTGTGTGTCGTGGGGTGAAAACCGGGGTGGGAACCGAGAAGGATCGTCGCTCCCTACGTGTATCGATGTCTTCTTCGTCCTCGGTCACTTCAGTAACAGAGTATGTTGGGTGGCCGATCGCCGAATGATATTCTGATGACACAGTATATACTGTTAAGGAATCAGCAAAAGGTATCAAAAATGGGTAAGAATGGATGTGAAGGGGGTGAACATAGCAATCAAGGATGAGTTCTATATTCTCACCCTGATCCGAGAAACAACTTATTGGTAAGGCCAACATACCGGAATTCCCACTCTGAGGTTGTCGATCCCTTCGCTCTAGATAGCGTCGAACATCTTCATGCCTCAGATATGGCTCGGAATTGAGGCGCATACTGGGGTGATTGTGCGATGTTGTCGGGTTGGGCGTTGATCTAATGCGAGCCGGGCCACATGGACGATCTGGAAGTTGATGGCACTGAGCTTGTTTGGGCAATGTCGATGTGCGGCGTAGAGGCGACCGTTCCCCGTCTTCATCCTCGCTAAGATCAATCAGGGGCGGATAAGTCTCTTTTGTGTCACGAAACAGGCCCCCAAATCCAGCGATATCATTCCACCGGAATGCTTCATTCAGCCCCGGCGACAGAGGAACCTCTGTAGATTGCGAGGCGGAACGGTCTACGTTCTTGTACACATAGCGATGCGAATTCTCTGGCCGTGTACTCATGCCGTTGGTATTGCAGGCTGTTCAAGTTTATGATACTGAGCTTGCCGTCTTTTTGAAGGAATGACTGTGGTCTGTCCTGATTCGTGGAAACGAAACGAGAGAGTATAAATCTGGGGAAATGGTCGTGAAGTTAAACGACGTGGCTGGCACCTCGCCTGGGAAAGAGAAGGAATACCAACAGCAGTATGCAAATGAATGCACAACCGAATGTGCTGCTGGACGACAGTCTTATATGCCGAATGGGAAGTAAGTGGTGAGTGCAAAACATGTAAAAGACAAGTAAAAGGGGCGGCAACCGAGATGTAGATGTGCTCGCACCATGACGGATGGGTTGGGGTACGTTATCAGAACCTTAATCCGACCCGCAACGTTCGTCCATGCGCGTCTGCGCATAGGCTCAAGGCATCAAGGCGACTACTTGATTAGGACCTAGGTATTGTGATCCCTGCGGCTACTCGAGAAATCATGTACGTGTGCAACCAGGTGCTGCAAGTCAGACAAGGAACCCGCGTGGCCTTGTGCTATGGGTTGCATGCACTGAACTCGGCCGCTACAGACAGTCGGATTCAGCAACGAATTCAAGATGTTGTTCTCGGCGAGAGTTTCTGGGGCTTCTCAGTGTATCTGAGGAAGTCAATTCGTTGCTTAAGCCCTGCCTCTTGGAAACTGACTGCTTAACTGTAGTGAGCGACGGGCAGGGTATGCGGCGGGCTCCTGCTACCAAAGTAGATGACCGAATCCATAGCCCAGTGACCATTGTCCAATAGTGACAGCATGTCCGACCTCACGCGTGCGGTAGTCCATGACCAATTAGCACAGCAATGCCTTAGCCGGATCTACGGTACATTACAGGCTTGTTGGGGGCCGGGGCTCATGGTCTTCAAGCCACAGGACAACACAATGGACCGCGTTGCAGAGTGAGAGCACCTATGATACCACAAGACGTAGTGGTCTCAAAGGAAGCTAAAAAGGGGTGTGCACAAGTTCGCTGGCGCAGGGCAAGTCATCGGCTTGTAGCACCAGGAGGGCGTCGTCCAACAACGGTCTACATCTGTGGCGCAGTTATGCAGGTCGAGGACACTAATATACCGACTGCAGAGAACGCTGTAAATCCACTAATCAACCGAGATCTCCAGAGTCCCGACAACCACGGTTTCGGGCTGTGAGAAATCGCTGCCATTGCACTAGACTAGCAGTGCGGTTCATTTGGACGTAGGACAAGGCTGAACATCGGAAGGCTCACAGACGAGACGCGGCACAGAGCTAGAATCGATTCAAGATAGTGCACAAGAGGCGAAGAGCGGCCCGCAGGCGCCGGGGTATGGTTATGTGGACAATGTGGACAATGTGGACAATGTGGATGCCTTTTCTCTGATGCCGGTTGGGGTGAACGTACGATATGGAATTGATCGAGCGCTATGAATCACGGCCCCGGTCTGACCAATGAAGGCTACAATCGTTGGAAAGGCTTGAAATGGGAAAATCCGGTCAAGTCATTGCATTGGTCTGAAAGCTACTGGGCCGCACTCGACCAGATGAAACGTCGTCGCAGCATGCATGGAGGACTGGTAAGACTACCACACGGAATTCTTCAACGATGAAGTCAAGAAAGTAGTCAACGAATAGGAATGTAAAACTTGTATTGTATACATGTGCCAAGCAACATGGGTCGATTTGCTATCTTACCGGACCTGCAAGCCTACTGCGTAGCAGCGTAGGACAAGTCAAATATCCGAAAAGCGAGGGACCACAAACAGATTCTACCACAAACGGCAACTATCGATCCAACCTCTACCCAATGAGACCTCCACTATGTACAAGGACCCCCTTTTTGCGGCATGGCCATCTAAGTGTAGAGGTATGCCACACAGAGCTCAAGCCACAGCAAAAGCAAATGGTTCTGTACGAGTACCACTGCAGCTTTTGGACCGTCTGCAGCCTGCTCACATGAGCAACGGCATTATCACTTGCAACCACTCAGAGAGTGCAGTAACGCGAGGCCATTTTCCAGATTAAGAAGATTTGAAGATGCTCACAGCCAACGCAAGGTGATGGTACAGATGCATGCAATGTGCCAGCCTCTGCATTCCAAACGCCGCCTCCGAATGCAAAAGTGAGGAGAGTGAACGATTCAACCTCGGTATAAACATCAGTTATGACCAGAAAAGACTCATTTGGAGGTCAGCATCATTGCCGTTGGTGAGCACTGCAACGAATCCCAGCCGTAGAATGGATCAACATTTGGCAGTCCCTGGTTCCGTTGGATAAAATCTGACAGCTAGGCTGCATTGGTAGATTGTATGTCGAGGGAGGTATTGTCAGCCACAGTGGCAAAAGTTGGTGTGGCTGGTGACCATTTCTCTTATGGGGCTGCATATCTGCCTGGGACATGTGATACTTGTTCCCAACATTCCATCTGGGCCAATTAATATTACTTCAATGGATACAGAATAGTTTTGATGTGTAATCCTGTTGCCCTTGCCGAAGTCGTTGGTTGCACATTTCGGTTGCCTCGTTGTTCACATAAAGCAAAAAGCAAAGTAAGTGAAGCCAAAGAAAAGACTCATATTGGGTACTGCATTTTTTTAGGCTGACATATTGAAGCGTAAACACTAACGCATGCAACACAGCGAGCATCGGCCCTGGTCAAGCAGACGCAATTGAAGCAAGAAGATGCTAAGTAGAACCCCGGAGACGCCGAACCAAATCATTATGCCAATCCCACAAACCCTCAATTAATAACGCAAAGAATCAGTACTTTAGTGGGTACCGTTCACACCAAGGAGGCTTCTCCTCTTCTGAATGGCAGTTGCGAGCTCTTCGAGAGTTGTCTCGGTGTCTTCCCAGTTGATGCACGCATCAGTGATACTGACTCCGTACTTGAGGCCCTCCTTTCCTTCCTTGGGAACCTTCTGGTTGCCTGGAGATCTCATTAGCTTCTGCCCTGTGGACTCTGATCTCGTTTGGACTTACCCTCATTGATATTGCTCTCGATCATCACTCCCATGATGCCTGTCTCTCCCGCAGCGATTTGCTCGGCCAACTCGTGGGCGACCTTTGGCTGGTTCTTGTGGTTCTTCTCGGAGTTGCCGTGGCTGCAGTCCACCATGAGGCGAGCATTCAAGCCCTTTGACTCCAACTTCTGGCGTGCCTCGGTGATGCTCTTCGAGTCGTAGTTGGTTCCCTTCTTGCCGCCGCGCAGAATGGCGAAGCAGTCGTCATTTCCGAGAGTGCCAACAATCGCGACGTTACCGGGCTTGGTGACCGAAAGGAAGTGATGGGGGTGCTTCACTGCGCCAATAGCGTCGATCGCAACATCCAAGGAACCGTCGGTTCCGTTCTTGAAACCAACAGGGAAGGACAAACCGGATGCAAGCTCACGGTGCAATTGCGACTCGGTCGTTCGTGCACCAATGGCACCAACACTCAGCAGATCAGCCAGGAATTGTGGGGAAATCGTGTCAAGCATTTCGCTGGCGAGAGGCATGCCCTTCTCGGTCAAGTCAACGAAGAGTTGCCTAGATACTCGTAGTCCTTTGTTGATCTTGAAAGTGTTGTCGATGTCCGGGTCGTTGATCAATCCCTTCCATCCAACAGTTGTTCGGGGCTTCTCGAGGTATGACCTCATAACGATGAGCAAGTCATCTTTGTATTTCTCCTTCAACTTGAGCAAGCGGTCGCAGTAATCAAGCGCAGCCTGTGGATCGTGGATGGAGCAAGGTCCGATGACAACCAGCAATCTCCTCTGTGCATCGGTGCCCTGTACGATCTCGACGGCCTCATTGCGTCCATTGAGCACGGTGGTCTTGGACTTCTCCGATTGAGGGATCTCGTGCTGGAGGAGATCAGGAGGAGTGAGGGGATTGTATCCACGGATGCGCCAATCCTCGGAGTTTTTGGCGTCACCGACGCTCTTGTTCTCAATGTAGAACTAAGAGAGAGTGTTAGGAAGGAAAGCTAAGGTAGGTGGCGATGAGAATGAGATCGATGGGCTACTTACAGACATGTTTCTCCAATGATCGAATTGGGGTTTCAGGAAAGTAACAGGTCAATCAAGGTCGATCAAGGCCAAACAAGAACAATTGGACTGGTTTGTAGCTCGTAGGAAGGGTGAATTTTCGAGAGCAATGTCCAGCTATTTTTCTTTGCGCGGACGTGGGGTTCTTATGAGTCGACCGATTGTGATCACATCCGGGAGTCGGGGACGTTCTGATTGGTTGATGGCCAAGGCGGTGAAAACATATTCTGATTCTCCCCGTCTTTGTGGCGCCGCCTGGGCCTGACTCTTCTTCTCTCTATGTGCACAGTATGAGTAACTACTTTTTATCCATCAATTGCCTACCGGTTTGATCAACATGAATTACACCTCGTGTAGTTACTCTCTACACCAATAGGCTAAATCATATATGTACACATCTCCTCCCATCCAGGTATTGCCCTGTGATTTCGATGCCCAAAGTCGCCGCGGGGCTTATTTCTCGGGCATGTTGTGACCTCCGGTTTCGCCAGCTCAAGAAATGAAAATGATCGTCTTCGGTCTTGTTCTACATTCCCTTTCTTGACAGGAGACTAAAAGAAGCAATATTCTCTGAGAAGAAAATCTTTCCCCCCCTCAAAGCTCCTTCAAGATTGCATCGCAATTGACCTGGTAGTTTTCGAGTACGCTCCACCAAAGCAATAAGGTAGCTGTTTATAAACTACGTCATGGCGATGTTATGCTCCCCACTGTACCCGTATCATTGCATACACATCATGTCGTCAACTAATACTACGAAACTAACATATCCAAACTAATTTCCCATATTCGAAACTTCGCTCGTCAAATTATCTTGAAAAAAGCAAAGTTCTAATATTTTCGTTTCCCGTCAAGATTCCCCAATTGCAAGGACTGATCTCAAAGGTATGACACTAGACTTCGCCTCTCTGGGAGCCATCCCCATAAGTTACGCCAGCTGCTCCCTGGGTGCACCCTCGTCGCCCCCACCACTCCTCGACCGTCTCGATGCCATCTCTACTGCGGGCTTCACGGCAATCGAGCTCTCTTTCCCAGACATTCTTTCCTTCGGCGCCCAACATCTCGGCCACGAAATTGACCCGAAGGACTACAATGAGCTCTGCACCGTCGCCGCGAAGATTAAGGAGGAATGTGATAATCGCAAACTCGGAATCATGATGCTTCAACCTTTCTCTAATTTCGAGGGTTGGCCCGAAGGCAGTTCGGGCCGCGAGGATGCTTTCAAGCGCGCGAGAGGATGGATCAAGATCATGCAGGCGTGCGGGACAGACATCCTGCAGGTCGGCTCGACGGACACGCCCATCGAAAAATTAGACAGATCCAAGATCGTGGGAGATCTTAGGGATCTGGCGGATCTGCTTGCTGAGCATGGATTCAACCTCGCTTATGAGAATTGGTGCTGGTCTACTCATGCGCCTGATTGGAAGGATGTGTGGAGGATTGTGCAAGAGGTCGATAGGTCCAACATCGGCCTTTGCTTAGACACATTCCAGTCTGCAGGTGGAGAATGGGCAGATCCAACCACGAGCTCTGGGTTGATAGAGGGTGTCGGAAGACAAGAGTTGGAAGAGAGATTCGACAAGTCTATGGATGAATTGGCTGATTCGATACCAAAAGACAAGATCTACCTCCTCCAGATCAGTGACGCGTATAAGCCACCATCACCCCTAAGTTCAGAATTGGACAAGTCTGGGACTAGGCCTCGAGGCCGATGGAGCCATGATTTCAGGCCATTGCCGTATGATGGTGGATACTTGCCGGTGGTCGACGTCGCAAAGGCAGTCTTGAAGACTGGTTTCCGAGGTTGGTTCAGCTACGAAGTCTTTGACGGCGGGGCGGATGGGAAGGGACACGATGTAGATCTTATTGCCTACGCACAAACCGCTGCAAAAGTTCAAGGGAGACTTCTTGCAGAGTGTGCCGGCATATCAGGAGAGAAACCAGCTTCACAACTCCCAAAGCCTTAACTAGGCTTTCGATGATATTTACGAAAACTCTTTCATAATTTATGATGACCGCGTATGGTGGCATAAACATCACATTGTAACAATAGTTTACTAGTAACAATAATCAGGGCGGTGCCAGACTTGACATCTCCCACTCCCGTCTCTCTCAATTACCCCCCAATTCCAGACGCAATAATCGTGGTGATGGTCGAGAACGCAACCTCGCTGACTCCCATAACAACCAAAGTGCTTGTCGCAACGGCCATATACGTTTGATGGCCCTCGCGACTCTGGTATTCATTGTTCTCACTGCAAAGTTTATATCAGATTAGCATATTCTCCATTCAACACTTCTGGCCAGGGTATGGGCACCATCCAGTCTCGGCCCCCTTGTTCTTCCCTGATCCTTGCGTCTCGCTTGGTGGTTCAATTATAGAAGTAATGAAGGTCGTTCGAGGATGCATACAATGCTCTCCAGGGTAAGGATATGGGCAGTGTTTCCCCCGCGTAACGACTGTTGTGAAGCCAGCCACAGGAGCCACAGTGCTAGTAAAAATTGACGGTTGTGGAGTTGGTGTTGTGAAACCTACGAAGGAGGTGAAAACTGAAGGTCGAACTGTCACCGTTGATACGCGTTGTGTTGATGGTGCGACAGGTATGACAACAACAGCTGTTGAGTGCTGGGAGCGCTTCGAGCTTGAGGACTTGCGAGTGGTCTGGGAGGAACGAGTACTTTGTACCACGACGATGGTGCTGTGTCCGTCTTCACTCCGAGGGTAGAGACTGAGACTGCCTGAAATGTAAGGAAGAACATGTACGTCTCCGTCTTTAAACGGAGACAAGGTTTCGAAATGTCTTCGGCGAAGAGCAACAGCTGATGGTGTAGGTTGAGCGATTGATGATGACACTAACGTGACTGCTGGTCTCGATGCTCTAGCCGGATATGTGAAGCCTGGAATGAGTGGCACGCTCTGCGAAAAGGGCGGGATGAGGACGCTCATGGTGCTACTAGTCGGTGACGATGGATTTGGAGAAGCGGACACACCCTCTGTGAGATTACCTAGACTACTTGGGGAGGCTCTCGAAGATGTGCTCACGTTCGGATAAGAAGTAGAAGGCACAACCTCCCCAGAAGTTGGCCGGAGGGGAGCTTTCGGCGACTGTGTGGGAAGGACCGTTACGACTGCAAGTACACTGGAAGATCGACTCGGTACCAATCCCAAGGATGTCAGAGACTCATTGTGAAGCCCTGATGTTGCAAATCCACCCGGATTTGTAGGCACGGAAATGCTTTGGCTTGAGTTGCCCTGTCCGCAAGAAATACTCGCTCCATGACTCGAATTTCCACTTTTCGACGCCGTCGCTGGAAAAGGAGGTGCAGGAACAACGATTGTTTCCGTAACAATCTTTGTGGTCGTCTTTTTGATGCTTGCAGTTTGAGATGCAGATACTATACTAGACCCAACGGCTGGAGGCACTGTCACATAATCGGTCACTGTAATATACACAACCGAAGTTTTGGGTATTGTAGATGAAGGTATTCTTCCAGAACCGGATGCTCCTAGTTCTTCGTGGCCTTCATGGCGAGGCTGTACCGCACAGCTTGCGGCCTGCGCCATCAAGATAGCTATCAATGGGGTTTTGGTTCGCATGGTTTCTAGTATGGCAAATCGATTTTCGAGGATCGGGAATTCTATATTGATTTCCAGAAAGTCTAGAGCAATAGTTCAAGTAAGGCCGAAGGAGCATTCAACCAAAAATTCAAAGACCCTAGATTCACAATGTCCTTTGTCGTGCCACTTCAACTGTGAAGATTGTAGGCCGAACGAACGTTATTGTTCACTTAAAGATGGCAAGATGAAGGCAAACAAATCTAAGTGGAACTAATTTGAGACAACGAGGATTATCTTAAAATAGTAAATATTGTTGAGTAAATCTCACTTGTATTGCTAAGCCTTCATCGAGTCTGCATACACTAATCAACACAACAGACGTAGAAAGACATTGCTATTGATTGCGCCACTTGTAGCAAATCCATACACCGATGCTACACGCGACAGTATATATACATCTAATTGACCATGTATTGTGCAAACTTCAACACACCTTTTGTACCGAGGCTCGGCGAATATCTAGTTTTGTTAGCTCTGCCACCTCACTGCATGGATGTGATCCGATTTGATAGACTTCTTTCTCTCTTATACGAACTAGATTACGTCGCAAATTGGTCACTTACGCACTTGTGAATACTTCCACTCGGGCAGAGTCCACTACTAGGGTAGCATTTTGTGGCTACCTCTGAACAATACAGAAGTATCTCCGATGTCAAAGAAGCAGAATAAACCAGGATCATTCATGGTCCATACGAGGTGAGCCTACGTGGCACAGTAACCTCATCCTTTAGCCGTTGCCCTAGCTGAGCTGACAAAATGCATTACTGCGGCGTCGCGGCAAGGTAAAGTAATAACATAAAAGCTAGGTCCACATGATTGTATCACTCTCCTTGTGAAATATCTGAATTATCTCTTCTTCTTTTCAATTTGTCACACGGCCTATCATTCTTTCTCAAGTATGGTGACCAACACAGCCCTCATCTTCAAAAAGGTCCCCGAGTCCCTGCCAGTAGAAGGTGAACACATTGTCATAGAGCATCGTGATTTTGACCTCGATGCGCGGCCGCCAGAGGGAGGATTGACCGTGCAAAATTTCCTGCTCTCATTTGATCCCTATCAGCGCGGTTGTCTGCGTGAGCCAGATGAGGCAACATACGGTCCGTCGTTCCCGATCAACGAGCCCCTGTTATGCGGCGCAGTATCTAGGATCCTGAAATCGACGATCCCAGAATTCAACGAAGGAGATCTTGTATGGGGTCTGTTCGGAGCTGAGCAGTATACTGCTGTTCCTCCAGTTCTCGTACCGCAAGTCAGGAAGCTCGACAATCCACTGGGTTTAGATCCGATCGTATTCACTGGAGCTCTCGGTACGGCCGGTTTGAGTGCGTATGCATCTTTCTATGAGATTGGCAAACCCAAGCCGGGACAGACGATATATATTTCGGCTGCTTCAGGGGGTGTTGGGCAGATTGTAGGGCAACTCGCAAAGATGGAAGGCTTAACTGTGATTGGGAGTGTTGGAAGTGATGAAAAACTTGATCTGATTGTCAACGAACTTGGATTTGATGCTGGATTCAATTACAAGAAAGAGAGTCCTGCAGCTGCACTAAACCGCCTTGCCCCGCAAGGACTTGACATATACTATGACAATGTTGGCGGAGAGACTCTCTCGGCGGCACTAAATGCCATGAAAGACTTTGGGAGAGTAGGTACGTATATTGTGCAGCATTAGAATATCTATTGACATTGCTAATTTTTGCACTCAGTCAGTTGTGGCATGATCTCCCAGTACAATTTATCCCCAGAGGACCGGTACGGAGTGAAGAATCTGGGGCAACTCTTTCTCAAACGACTCACGGTGCAAGGATTTATCATCTCGGATCCTGAGATTATGCTGAAATACGTGATGGAGTTCTCTATTAAAATGAGCGCATATTTGAAAGAGGGAAAAGTCAAATCAATAGAGAGCTTAACTGTTGGTATTGAAAACGCAGCTCAGAGCTTCCTAAGCATGTATAGTGGTGCAAACTTTGGGAAGACAGTCCTCAAAATCGCAAATGTAGCTTGAGTTCAAGATGCGGGTTCTAGTGGGGTGTAAGGAGGGAAAACAACCTTTCTTCAAGCATATGCGAACACTGTCATATAGCCTTAGGATCACTTCAAAGCGCATGTATCCAGATAGGCACCCATGTATTGCTGAACTATGAACGCCTCAAGATGAAAAGAAAACTATGAACATTCAAACGACTAGGCACTGCTCGTGACACTATCCACAACTCTGCGGATATCATCCAGTAGTGTCTGCACTTCGTCACATGTCTCCGTAAGCCCCGTTCGAAAGCGAGGGTTTCTCTCCGACTCCTGGATCACATTGTCGTCACGAAGAGAATCCAGATCGATCGAGATGATAGTGACCTCCTTCTTTATCACCTCAGTGACGGCTTGCTGAAATTCCTCTCCGATTGCGAAGATTCGTTCCCTAAAATCCGTTCGATGGCCGTCAAATAAAGTTTCGGAACCAAATGCATCGTCGCAAATTATTGCCTTTTTACGAAGGTCACTACCGCCACCTATGAAACATTAGTGACCCAGACTATAATTATGACCAAATTTCATTAAGCATCTCCTACTGACCGCATTCCCTGATACTAGCTTTGTAGTATGGGACCATGCGCTGCCCAATGATCGATGACTGTATGCTAGAAACAAGGTCTACTCGAAGCTTTTGCATACGAGCTTGATGATCGTCTATGGCACATTCGATAGCGTAATTTAGGTAGAGCCGGCGGTGCTGGATAGTTCTCATCAGTGTCATCAGCGACCTTTTAGCCGCATCCGATATCCTAGCTGTACGATCCGTTAACGATTCACGAAGCGAATTTCAAATAGAACTTCCACACGCAACTAATCTATTGAAGCAATGAAAGGTGTCAATCTTGGGGATTGTGATCTTGAGATGGCAAAGAGCTGTGCTTGTATGGCTTACATGAGCGATGCGTGATTTCGATGACCACTCGTAGGTCATTTGTTATGTCGGCCTTCATCCTGTTGATGATTTGGTCCACGTCATTCTTGAAAACTCGCCACATTCGTAGAATATCGTTTGCCATTTGTTCGATGGCAATTTCATTCCAGCAGTGATATTCCATCTGGCGTGTTTGGTGGCTTCCATAGTTTCGGCACCAGGCTGCAAATGTGGTATGATACCACTACGAACAGATCAATACAATGTCACTCAAGGAGACACAACGCTACTCACACCCCTCCAATCTTTGGCCGCTTTCCTTGATGCGTGACTCCATTGACGAGTATGTGCTTCTAAATTGGATTTTAGTCAAGCCCAGAAAGCTATCAACTAGACATACCCATGTCCGACGAGATAGAGTCAGAAAATTGAGAGAAGATGGCCTCTGAGACGGTGTTTACATCGGAGAATGGGGCAGTCATCTGCATGTACTCATTCAGTATACTGTGTACTGCTAATGATGGATGTGCGGACCTCATCAAGCCGATCCTGTACCAAAGCGACTGCGTCTATAATAACCTTCTTGCGTTCAGCACTTGTACCACCTGAGCCTGCCTCAAGCCAGAGTTGCGTAGATCCAAGGAAGGCAGGAAAGTCATCATTCATGTATGCCAGAGCCGCACGTAAATGGCTTTCCGCTACTATCCCAACACAGTGTCGCCTCAAATTGATGATATTACTCATGTTGAGCCATGGAATAGCATCGGCAACAGCCTTTTGGCGATACTCCCGGTACACGGAGTTAGAAACGCAGAAAACAGTGAGGCCCGCTGAAGCAGGATGATCTCGATAGTTTCCCAATATTTCGTTTCTGATCTTTCTGTTCCGTAATCCCACGATAAAGTTTTCGATCTTGAATTTATCTTGTGCATATTTGGCCTTCATCTCTAGAAGCTCGTTGTGTACCTCCTTGATTTCCATGAACGCGTCGACGTCTCGAGGTCCTTGGTCATTCAGTATCTTGATCTCTTCTTCATGAGCCAATATGTCATTCCGCAGCTGCTGAAGCTCGTTTTTCATGGAATCGATGCGTGCGCGATTAGCAGGAAAGTCATTCCTTGCTTCCGAAATGTTTATTTCTTCAGATCTCGTACATACTATGCCGATATGGGAAATACCAACCTCAACAGCGAGATCGAGCGCTTCCTTAACACTAGTATTTGTACCCGCTCGCTTGGCCTCAACGACAATAAATATTTGGTTGCATTCTCGAATGTAGCGTTCTGAAACGTTCTGTCTCGCAGAATTGAGGTCACGAAGGCCTGGCAGATCTGCAAGTATCAGGCCCTTACTTAATATTACCGCATTGAGGTGGACACTATCGAAAACTGTGAGCATCATATGGAATTAAAAGCCAAACAAAGACTCTTACCGCAACTTCTTGACTAAGGGCCATAGGTTCGCTTCCGTCGTCCCTTCAATCTCTGAAGTCAGAGCATAGAGGCGATTCGAACATTGCTGTACATTAGCGAACGTCTCTCTTTGTCCTATCGCCTGATGTCTCGTGTAAGATGGTAGCAGTTCATCAGCCCAGCTCATTAATGTGTTAACAGGAACGGATAGCGGCTGCGAGCGGAGTATTTCAGGGTGTCTGCCGAGCTGCAGTTTGAACGCAGCCTGGAACGTGTTTACGGCAAGGGCACTCCTCTTCTCCAAGTCAATGACGTCCTCCTTTGGCATTCCACTAGGGCGGTCTTGGTAATCATAATGGCCTTGAAGGAGCTCTTCGAATTGAACCTTCAGATCTTCTCTGGTGAAATATTCCACTTCGAGTGCGAGAGATTCGCTACTATGGTAGTGATACTCCGTTACAACGCACGTGCAGCCTGCTCCATTGCTGCTCTATGATGCTTTAGTTGTGATCTTTATTGAGAACTGATGTGCCACTTACAGATCTTGCTAAGTCTTTTCGATCTAATAGTGAATTAATCAGACTGCTCTTCCCCGCACCGGAATCTCCTACCAGCCCGACGATGCGGGAAGAAGGTGGCTGAAAAGATGACAAGACCTCGGCTCGCGCATATAACTGCTGTATGGTCGAGCCCTGTTCCTGATGCAGGTTCGAGCTCCCCAAAGCTGTTCTCAAAGTCACAGCAGCATCCTTAGTTCTGTTCAAACTGCTCTGGATGCGCGGGTCATAGAGCAATGATTGGGGCGGGTCCTCATCTTCGACCTTGTGTACTTCAATCTCCCTCCTCGGCATGCTAGAGGAGCGCCGCGACCTTGGTGTGCGGCGTCCACCTTGCGGTACGGATTCTGTGCTGAGATTCCTAGTTGGAGTCTCAACATCTCTGTTCAAACTCAGCCCATGCAAATTCTCGGCAAGACTATCTGCTCTGCTGTGTTCAGTTGGAGTTCGTGGACTGGGTGATAGTTGAATAGATGGGGTTGAGGTAGTTCTGGGTATATCTGGTACGCTGCTAGCTGGTGTTGAATCATGTAGTCTGATTCCTCGAAGCTGCTGAGCCAGATTGTCATTCTCTGTGTTTCCTCGTTGTTCGAGGGACTCGCTGGATATGGACGGTGCGCTAGTCGACTGTACCGAAGTATCTCTCTCGATAGACTGAACAGGAACGTCCGGATCATCGCCTACCTCGGATGCGGCAATCGACGCGGTTGTGGAAGGGGTAAACAAGGGAACGCTCGATGCCGCACTGCTGGTAGTTTCCCTTGATCTAGACATATGACCTGCGGATGGTTGTAAAGTTTGACTTCTTTCACTACCCGGTGTTCGCACTGGTGTGTTCGATTCTCGGCTGAACGTGAACGAAGGGGATGTTGACCGCGGATGGCCAAAGGTAAAGGGTCCAGGCGATGAGATTTCAGTAGATGATGTTGGTGTCAAGCGCGATGTAGCAGACGCAATACTTCGGCATGAACCACTGGCAGTGCCTGTTTGCTGCTGCCCAAAGGTGAAATGTCCAGTCGATGATGTCGGCGTCAACGTAGGGGGCTCGTGACTGGCGGAAGTTTCTCTAGCAGAGCTTGATGCCGGACCTGCTGGCATTCTCTAACATCATGGTCAGCAAAGATTACCAATGATGCATTCCTTTTCAGCAAGTACCATAGTCACCATAATGTCGCTAGATCAAGCATGGGCACTTCCTCACAATCGAGGCAAAGGCAGGATCTATCAACAGTGAAAACTCAGAGATCAGGGACGAAATGAAGGCCACAAGTGGGATAGTATATCTTTCATAGCTATTTTAGAACCTCGTAATCATTGTCAAGTGGGCGGGGTACCTTCCTGTGTGCATTGTGTTAGGCGCCCGTCCCTCCCGTCCGGCTCCTGTAAGGTTGCGGCACAGCAACGAGTCAACCAATGAAGTTGAGCTCCAAGGGGCATGGTGCATATTGATAGTTATCTTGAGTGCTGCATCATACGAACATCGGACATACGATGTATTGGGTCTGGCGCCTACTGTACTTTCATGGGTCATATTCATGGTGCTGTTGTGGGGGCCATGTGTTCGGGAAATGGAAACGAAAGTGTGTTATTGTACACGAGGCTGTTTCATGAACATGAAATAACTACCTATTCTTTTAGCGCCCGATCAATATGTGCCTATACTAAGAGTTAGGCAACGTTTACAGAGCTAGAAGGCACGATTGCGGTTTGACTTTGATGCAAGGTGATGAGAACTTTTGTTGATTTCCTATGTAATCGCATTGAATAAGATCACTGCGAAGGGTCCGAAGGGTTCTATGAGATAGCGGATCCAGGGATTAAAAAAACATCGAAAGATACCTCCAGAAAACGCCAAATAGCCGTTTCGAAAACCTGAATCACATATCCGTGTGGTTCGGTAGTGGTATCCATTATTATTCCTTCATTTAGGTGAGAGGACCGGGTGACTAAGAAAAGTTGCAGTGGTCCAATCAAATACGATATGGACAGCGTTTTCGTAAAGATCGAGGGTAGACCGTGTCGGTTCCATCTTTCGTAGGCAAAGGGGATCACTGATATACAAAACAGAAAGGCTTTATGCTTGCACGATAGCGCAACGAGAGGAGCTTATGACTAATAAAGTAATTAGCAGCAGGTCGGAAAGGTTCAAGGTGAACATGCTTACCCTGTGAGCCTGATATCCGATCTACTCTTGACAGTAGCGCGCATATCCGGCATCCAGGACATGGGGATACTCAGCTGAAACCTCAACTCCAAGACGTCAACTGATTGATTGAGGTGTACATATGCTCTCTTAGCCGTTTTTGGCTGCTGCTGCGACTTGATTCTGAGCGGACACTGAACTGTCGGGGTAGGGGACGGAACGTTAGCAAGCTTACGAAATGCCTCTCTTTCTCCGATGAGTCTTGATCGTCCGAGGATGATTATGAGGAGGGATGAAACAAGCAAACGGAATAAGAGAAAAAGTGTGAACTAGGCTGAAGGTATCCGTTCATGGCGTTCCGAATCAGGGTGAAGACTTCTTGAAGCTTGCAAGATCTCGGAACGTATGCTAGACAAGCATTTTCGCGCGAGTGTTCTATGAGGTAAGGAGGCTCTAAGAGCTCTTGGGGAGGGGGAGAAGGGGGGAAGGGACATCTGGGGTAGATGCAACATACCCGTTGACTCCCCTGTCGAGAAGCATGTATTCGTGAGCTGCTTCTTTGCCACCGCGATCGAGAAGGTACTCCATGTAATATGAAGAAAGGTCCTTCAGAGCTTCGGGGCTGAGTTGCGCTTTGCTGCGCATTAAGTCGTGTACTGCTTTGATCCGAGTGTGAGCCTCGTCTTCACCTTGGAAAGGCTGGCTGATTTCGAATTTCAAGTAATTGATCCAGAAAGCCTGTGAGCTGACAAATTTCTCATAGTTGTCTTTGAAAAGTTGTCTTGCTCGTGCAGCGTCATTGCTACACTGCCAGAGAATGCGGGCTTGTTCTGCGAGGAGTTGGCTAGATATTTCAATGTCTCGCTGTTCGATGTAGGTGCCGAGGAGCTCAATAGCCGCCTCGTTGCCGGTTTGCCGCCTTTCAAGACCTGCGAATGAGACGAGAGTCTCGACGTGGTTGGGTACTTGATCTAGAATCGCAGAGTGGATGTCGCGAGCAACCTGGGTGCGCTCGAGTTTCTCCTCGAATCTGGCCCAGTGTAGACGAATGGTAGGACGATCGATAGGAACAAAAATGCAGCTTGCTCTCATGTAAATGAGACGAGTATCCTCGTCCCTCTTCTCGCAGAACTCATCGCCTTTGCTTTGTCCAAACATCCATCGGGCGTAGCGTAGCCAGAACTCGTCGTAGAGTGCGCATGAAACCAGACAGCGTTCGTAGAGGAAAGCGACGCGTTTGAAGTCACCTTCGGATTCCTCAAACTCCAAGTATTTGCGCCAATTGGCTAAGTCGGCTTCTTCGACCTCCGTCACGTGAAAGTAACCCCGCTTGATGTTTGATTCAAATGTCCAGCGTTTGGTTGACTCATTTTGTACAAGAGTGTAAGCCTGGTAGTAGTGTGCATCGATCTTGGTGCGCAGTGATCGCTCCACCTCCAGTTCTGGCAGGCCTGGTTCTTCTGATCGAACATCGCTGGTCATCTTCACCAAAACCTCTGGTTCGACGAGCTCTTCAACAGGCTGTATGCCTATGCGAGCACGGAACTTTTCATAGTAACGGCCGAAATTGAACGAAGGAATCTGGAAGACACGGGCGTATAGCTTGGTTACGTTCGACGCTTCATTGATTCTCTCCTCGAATTCGATGTATTTGTCCCAGAACGGGCCGGATTGGAAGTCCATGCCCACGAAGTGGGTGCCACGTTCGAAGAGACTAGTGATGTCAGTTTTCCAATACTTCAGATACATAGAGTGGAGGCTGCCAAGGGGAGGGAGAGGAAATCAAGATCATCGAATGATGACTACGGGGCGAACCGGCGTGATACCATCAAGCGTGGACGGCCGCGGTGCATTCCGATCTTAAGATCGAAAGTCATGTGTATCCCACTGTTTCGGGGCTATCAAAGGCAACTGATTAGATGAAGCTGAGTGCTTCTCAATCTCGAAGAAACATCACGCTTGGAGTGTCATTGTGAATGTTGGCTCTGGCAGGAGCTGGCTCTGGCAGGAGCGGGCTAGGTAGACTGAACTTACTCTCGGATGATGTCGTTATCATGGCATGTATCCAACTTGAAGTGGCAGTAATGTGTCCACAAGTCAACGGAGACAGGAATGGAAGATATTCCGCGCTCATAGACCTGTAAATCCTCCATGAGCTACATAGCCTTGCGATGCTTTCATTGGCGCACTTACCATTTCAGCTGTCTCGGTCCCACCAATGGAGAACTCCAGATCGGCATATTTCTTCCAGTATCCGAAGAATAGAGGGAACTTCGCAAGGAAGCAGTCGAAGACGTTGCGAAGGAGTTCGATGACGGAAGGGCTGGAATTGCGGGTGACACCTCCCTCGAGGTCCGAAACGCGAGTTACGAGGGCTTCCCAGTGCTCAAATTCATCTTCAGCAGCAACCTATAAACAATAAGTCAGTCAATGTAATAGTTGTAGCGCGACAGTGTACTGACAACTGTATCGAGGAGCTTTTTGATCTCCGCCGCAGCTTCGTCGCCAGTGTATTGCACCTGTGCGATGCTGCCGCGACCGGAAACGAGCATGATGCGCGCGGTGTTCTTGTGAGCTAAATGTGGCAGAAAGAGTAATTTCGCAGGCTACTGTTGTTCTGTCTCGAAATAATTCGTGATGAGAAATGGGGAGCGCCTTGACGGATAGTTGGACGAGGGCTTGGAGGTTGTCGGAGGTTTCGCGTCGCAAGAAAGTGAAGGTAGAGAACCGGCGTTCGCTTTCCAGGGTGCTTACTCATCTATAGTAATTATGGTCACGTGAGACGTCGCTCAACCCTCAAGTGGCCGCATGCGGTATGGTAAAAATCTATTTCGTTCACTTCGTTCCTCATTGGCAAAGAGCTTGCGTGGGGCAAGGGGGAAGCTTTCTGTAGCCTTCATGCAGCACTGTTTTCTGCAATATACCAGAGGTTGTCAACCGAAGCAACCCTCTCAACACTATATACTCTAGGTATCATCAAACAATGGAAGCGCTCAGAACAAAAACCAACTCGTTCACCGATTGTCCCAAACTCCATCTACAACCAAGCATCACCATCATCTTTATTGTCATAAAACATTTTTAGGCGGCACGTTCACCTTGAAGCAGATTTGTAGTTTCAGGACCTGCGAAGGAGAAAGGGCTTTTTGACATCTCAGGACTGCGCGGGCTAATCGGTAGAGCAAACAGGCCTTCGTCTTTGTCGTCATCGTCATCGTCGTTCGCCGGTAACGACGGGCCCCGAGACTGGAAGACAGGTCCTGGGGCAGTAAACGCATTCAACGAGGCCATCCCAGGTTGCTGTTGCTGCTGCTGCTGTTGTGCCACGAGCGATGGGGGCGGAACTGCGGTGACTATCCGGCCCGCCTGGGGAGCCTGGGCAGGCTGTGGGGGTTTAGCTGCAAGGACCGAGGGGTTCGCGCCTTTGAAAGCAGCGAATGACGAAACCGCCACATCCGACGATTCGGGCGAGAGGGGATTCGACTGTGGTAAATCTCCAGATTCTGACTTTAAGGTAAGATCCTTTTCGCTCGTCCCCAGCTTTAGGCCGCGAAGCTTCTCCATCAGCCTCCCGCCGCCTGGAGATCTGGGGCTTGCGGGGCCCAATGACGGCACTGAGGGCTCGGCCAGTGAAAGATTGAGGCCAGCAGGCTTTGCCGTGACACCGAACGTTTGTTCGATCCATTCCTTCTCCTGCACCGCCATCAGGAAGCCTATGCCCTCGACGTTCGTCTTTGACTCGGCATCAATCTCCTTTTGCAAGACTTGCAACCTCTTCTTTGCCCATATGGTATGTAGAATGCCCTTCTTCCCCGCAGCACGGGCGGAAGCACCGAGCTCAGGAGGAAAGATGGCAGGCAACGGGTTGGTGTGCCATATCACTGGAGACTTGTCACTTCCATGCGGTTGATGAAGTAATGTGACGCTCGAGGGTACTGCTACTCCTGGAGGCAATAGGAAGTAGATACGGTTTACATCGTTGCTGGGCTGGTCGTCTGCGGGCAGCACCGTCGTCTTGCCTTCCCATGAAATGTGCCAATCGCCCCGAATGCCGCGTGTTGTGTTGTCATCCTCCCATTCTACCATGAGTATCTTGGTGCCTTCCCTGCCATGCCCGGCCTCAAACTCGAAGCGGGCGAGAGCGTTCGTACTCGAGATGCTGGGCGATTCGACCTCATCCTTGCTCGGAGGATTAGATGTCGCGGTGCCTACGGGTGTAAAAGAAGAAAAGGTGGCGGCGGAAGACATGTTATGTACCTGTAGAGTACAGAAGACGTGGAAGCGCGTTACAGCTGCGGCGTCGTTAAGTACGGGTGGGGGCCAAGCCGAATAAATGAATTGATGGACGGGAAATTGGTACACGACGACCAGGACCGTATCCGGGCTGCCAATGCGAAACAATCAGGTGACTTCAGCTGAAAGACCGGCCATGCACTCGCAAACTTGAACTCGCGAGCTCACAAGGGCACAACGCAGCCAGACCGTAACGACTTTTGAAAAGCTTCAGACGTGCCGCACGACTGCATTCGTCGTCTCCTCCAACCTAATGTTGTAGGATCTCGATCGCAAATAGTTATGCCCGACTGCTCTCGCTTACGGGATGCTTTTCTAATAATGGCAACGCGCTGCACCGGTGAGCGCGCCACCAGCGGCAGACGGAGGGGAACTTAATCGAGGGGTCATCCTCGAACTGCTGTGGCTCTGTCATTGCATTTGTGTAGACCAATAATGAGAGAACTCTGCTGCAAGGGGCGCCTGTCATTAGTGGCGAAAGCAGTGCTAAAGGTGAAAGCAAAGTCATCAAACGATACGTGATAACTATAGGCACAGGTAGAGAGACAGATGCAACAAAGACCACCATGATAATAAGTAATGCTCAGATATCGAGCTTTTTCATTTGAAGCTAAGTTCTTCTTCTTTGTCTATGTGAATCGGGCCCAAAGCCACGACTGTTGCACTCGGGACAAGGCCCCGTTGTGCATATTACTACAACATATAAAATGTCTGTGGGAAGCTGCACTAGCTTTCCTCGGTTCCTCCATAAATGCCATGCCGTAAGGTCATCACCGAATCCGTTTCCCTTCCTTCAACGCCATTCGTGATATGCAGGATGCGATCCATCTTCTTCCCCAAAGGTATAACCGTGGTATAAAATATTATAAAGTGGGTATAAGGCGTAAGTAAAGTTAATATATGCAGAGAAAGTAAGATGCTGTTTAGTAGACTGCATCGGAAGTCTAAGACACACAAACAGACCAGGATGCTTTCCAGCAGAAGAGATGGGATATCTAGATCAACAAGAAATCCCAGTGCTTCTGTCGCATCACGTCCCTCCAGTGGACGCTCTGTTTGCTGCCGTTCGCGAGGTTGTCGTCGTTGACGAGCCAAACGTCTTTCAAAAGCTCTTTGATCCTTCCAAAAGAGCCAAAAGCAGAAGCCTCTCCCAGGCGACCGGCACGCTCGGCAAACATCTTGCGGAAAGAGGAACCAGGTAGCGAGACTGATCCAGCAATGAGCAGAGGCCAGACGAGGGAGCGGTCGAAGCCATCGGGACCCGCGGGGATGAATTCCATTGCCTCGCTCATGGCCCTGACCAGGTTGGAGATGCTTGCCTGGGTTCGATCGAAGTCTGGAACCAGGCTGCAAAGATAGATTCGAGCAGCCAAGCGGAAGACAGCGGTCATGTTGCGGCTGAGCTGTTTTGGTCGGATCGCGCCTGTGGCGGAGTAGGCGTTCGCAACGGTGCCTGGCGGGGGCTCGGACAAACTGATCTGATCACCAAGGAGCTTGATATGTGCGCAGAGTTGGACCTCATCCATCTTCTCCAACTTGAGGGCTTCGAGGCAAGCGATCTCAGAGATCAAGTACATGATGCGGTCTTCACAACCCATGAGCTCCGCAAGACCCGAAGGCGAGTCGCCGATGAGCTTCTCGCGATAGGTATCTGCAAATGCGGGCGTCCTACCGAGCATGGTAGCACCAAGGATATCGATCCAGGAAGCGAGAGTCATGTTGAACGGTGGCTGTGAGTGAGGTTGCCCGTTCAAAGCCACGAGGTGTGATGGAAGCTCGAGCTTGTGGACAAGACTTGTTGCTGCCTGGAAGTGTTGGTGCCAGGGAATATCAGGAAGGCAATCGTCTGGACGGCCCACAGAGCATTGGAAGAAGATCATACCGAGCGTGGCCTCGAGGATCTGTGAGTGATCAGTGTCGCGGTTGAGTGCCTCACAGAGTTCAGAGATGGTGGCATATCGGTGGCGCATGATGTCGTTGTCGATTTGTTCACCCTGAATCCTCTCGGTCGCTTTCAAGTGCAGTGCGGAAATGCTCAAGCAGCAGTGGAGGTAGGTCTTGTTCGACTCCAATGCTGGGAGAATGACATCTGTGCGCGCAGATCCGTGCTGGTTGACATCCAGAATGGGGAAGATCAATCGCAGAACATTCTCAATGAAGTGATTGAGGAGGTGCTGGTCGCACTCGTCAACCTGAATGAGAGACTGGTGCGACGGGCTGAATGATCCGTGGGGGAAATCGAAGACCTGGAAATCGAGCGGCTCCTCGGCGAATGATTCGCGACGGCTCTCGAAGTAGTCTTGCTGTATCCAGTTCTCCGCCGGGTATGGGTAGCCGACAACGGGGGGTGCTTGATAGGTGCTGAAAGTGGAGATTGTAGAATCTCGTCGTGTAGGAATGTCGTTGATGAACATTTGGCTCTCTGTCTTGATGTCCACTTCGTAGGGTGCGAACTGGCCGGGGTGGTTGAAGGATGGGGCAAACATAGGAGGGGGCATAGAGACAGAATTGTACAAGTCGGGTGTAGCGACTTGGTTGAAGTTGTAATCTAATGAAAGTTGCGAGTCGACGGATGGAGCCCGCGTGCAGGCAATACCATCTGAGAATGTGTCGGATGTGGGGAGAGAATGGCATAAGCTTGGAGGAGTGTTGGCACCTAATGTGACACCTTGGGCCGTCTTCTCGTTGAGCTTCGTCCGCTTGATGATGTTCTTGATGATCTCCTTTTGGTTGCGCCTTTGCTCGTTGTTGCCCCACCACATTGGCCTCTTGTATTCACACTTCAGACCAAGATGTTTGCAGGCGCGGCAAGACGACTTTCCCTCGTCGCACTTCTTGCGTCGAAGGCGGCATGTGAAGCATCCTGCAGAGCTCTCGTTAGCCGTAGTCCAAGCGCGAGGATCCCTGTAGAGAGTCATGGAATTCATAACTTACCAGTCCGCGAGCGGCGATGCATCTTGGTAGCAGCTTGCTTTGCTGAGTTGGCAGCGTTTGCGTTTGTAGTTCCCACCATGGTTGTGGATTGTTTTCCAGTGGACGAAGATGCAGAAGTGGAGGACATGGACGGCTCATGTACTTCGGGACCAGCGAGATGGGGTTATGAAAGGCTAGTAAACAATGCGGCAATAAGGACTAACGCGCAACGGGAGGGATCGTAAGGGACAGGATGGCAGGGCTCGACCAGGTTGCTCTTAATTAAAGATAGGTAATTCGAAGCCTGTCCAGCGGACTTCGAGGAATAGAGAAAAGGTTGCGTGGAGCAAATTATGGTGTTGTGCCTGTCTGGAAGCAGAGGGACGAAAGGTTATGTACCTTATAAGTTCCATAAGCGGCACAATTGCAACTAATAGATCTGGATCTATTCTTGGAGTTTGGCCGGATGGTCAACATGTGTCTTCCCCCGAAGAGAGATGCGAACGCCGCGTTGGGAAAGAAAGAGCAACAGCCATTGGCCAGAGCAGACTCATCCTGCAGGTTGATATTGAAATTTGGGGCCTTTTGGTGTGCAGCTATTTTTGCGTAGCCGCCGGGGAGTGGTTGGTGGAAGGGTGGGGTGCACGGATCTCGAGTGAACGATTAGGCTGGTTGGTGGCCCCCGCAGTGTTTTTAGCAGTAATATCACCCAAATCAGACATGCACGCAGACCAGGGTTTGGACATGTTCTCTCCTCGGCGTGCGTGTGGAGGGCCCCCATCCCGCAATATCAGTGCATCCGAGAGCGACGTGGGAGGCCAGATCAAAAACACTTGCAGCGGATGCGATAACTGGCCGGCCCGGACGTTGCTGGCTCGCTCTGACCACTGTCGATCCTTGAGAGCTGCAGTATTGCCAAGATCGCATATGTCGAAATCCGCATTTGCAGCTTCTGGTATCCGGAATTCTGGTAACTTTTCCCATCTCCCTCTCTTTTACCCCCCGCCCCAGGTGGGAGCAAGTGTTGGTGTCTTGTCGTCCGAGATTGGCCGCGAAGGTAATGCGCAGTGGCTCGGTGATTCGGCTTGAAAAGACAGCTAGAAGACATGGAGGAATTTTGCGAACATACTCGTGCTCGATTGATTCGTTGGAGCAGTTACCAGTATCATTTCTAGACGGCTTACAGAGCTGGCTAGACGGTTCAAGTCCAAAGCAGTCGAGTGCATGCTCTACCTAACGCGGCAGGTCGGCCATGGAGGACAGCATTTCCCCGAGGGAGGAGCGTGAGTACTCGTAGGGGAGAGCTCGTGTGACGCGACCAGAGGACATGGATGGGACCAGCACAAGCGACCGGATGAAGACGTGATGGGCGTGTTTGCACAAGAGAGCTCTATGAGTGGCACGAAGCATGTCGATGGAGTTGGATTTTGCATGACAAGCTTTAGATTAGCTCCATGCGACGGGCCAATGGTAGGGCTTATCGACGGGTGGATCCCCTTGTGGCGCTCGACAGGGATCACTAGTAGGATGCGCTAAGAGAGCTGTCCCGTGCAACTAAAAAAAGGCCATTAATTTACTCACTCTCTCCGGTAAAAGACACATAATTAGTTTAGGACGAAAAGGCAAAGAGGGAGGGAAGGGGGATCCCAGTCCAGCCCCACTCCACGGCTAGACTAAGATCCCTACCTGTATTCCCTATTTGGGCGACATTCGCCTCTTTGCTGATGCGATTGGTTACCGACTATTATAACCAATACTTGGTAGTCCACGAATGAAGCACCGTGTAGCGAATACTTACCTCCATCTTGAGTCAACGCGTACGAAGCTCACCTGACACCGCGGATTTGTTCCTCCATGTTCTTGTACCCGCTACGGAGCAACACCTTGCGAGTACCTACCTACAGCTTATTACCACCAAGCCGCGAATTGCGATTTGATTCTGTACGGAATTCATACGAAGGATTTTACTTGCCCTTCTCGTTGCCCAAGGCATCCTGGACTCATTAGTTTTGATAGAGACCCTGTACCTCACGGAGTACTCCGTTGACTTTGAACATCTAGCCTCTGGGCTGTCACTCCGTAAGGGCTTTAGCAAGTAAGCAAGCTAAGCGAGAGGATTATATCGTTGCGAGTGCCCCGTCCAAAAGCTACACTTTCCCCCCAGATGGCAGAGCGCCTCAACAGTCAAGAATCAAGTCCCTCATAATGCACGACTCATTACCGATCGCTAGCTAGAGTTACACCGGGTTTACCACGGCAGGTTCAGTCATCGGTTGGAGGAGCTTCTCGTGTGGTGGTGGGCAGTGGGCACACGCGAGCCGATTCGAGCTTTCGCAAATGTTGAGGCCGGAAGAATGAACCACAGCATCGGTGTCGCTATCACCAACAGCGTAGGTGGATAGCATTACACAGCAGGACGGGCTGTTGCCATCGGCTTGGCCAGAAGGTCGAGGTTGATACAGAATTGTACTGGGTATTCCGTCCCATAAGTACAGAATCATCCGTTGATGCGTCGTCCATAGCCTAGCGAATTTAGCGTTCTCATTCTTAGGCCATCTTTGAGATCTGATTCGCCTCCTACAGAGCACACTTTTCGACGGCACCATTATCGTGGTCGCAAGTGCACGAGGGACGAAGAGGTCTCTGGCCCGCATTAATTGTTAGTCATGTGAGTAGAGTGTGGTGGATTATCGCAAATCTGTTGGTTCGTAGGTGGGCGGTGTTGCATTTGCAAGCTCGTACAGGTCCCTCCTCGGTCACGAAGACAGTCTTGGGCAAGTTGAACGGCCAGAAAAGCGGTCAGATCCAGACGTTCGGAGACCAATGAAGCGGGGCAGAAGGTGAAGACATGATCTCCTCGAGTCACTCAATGGATTGAGTCGATGCCATTTCCGTCCTGGAGAGCAGTAGTTTATGTGGTACAAGGAAGGGGTGGCGCACATGAAATATGTACGGTACTCCGTACTTTGTAGAGGAAGCTTTCTGATGTGTATGTATGTATATATGTAACTAAGAGATGCGTCTCCATGGAAGCTTTGTTTTCGGGAGGCACAGCCGATGCAAGCAACGTGAGGTATGGTTGCGCAGCGTTTGCTCTTAGGCCCTCGCGGCACGAATTCTGTACGTCCGACCGTGTGGTGGCGTGCGTTACTGCACGTATCCGTCCGAGATGTGCGGAAGTAAAGTGTGAACCTGGACGATACGCGGTTTCCAATATTCCCTCGCTGCATTCGCTACACTTTGACTGTGGAGAGGATCACGATGAGGCTGCTTCGGTTGCTCAGAATTCTCAGTCGAGGCCTTCCTTCGTCCCGGGCGCAACCTTCGTCAAATTTACTTACTACTCCAATCAAGTCCAACAAAACCCAGAACTGTCCAATTACAGCGCAATATTCCATCCCCCTCCAAGGGTTCCCACTCTATCTTTCTTAATCAATAAATCAACTAATCAGATGCCAACCTCTTTGCGGTCTGCAAATTTCGTGATATGCGTTGCGTTGTAGTGCAATGCTCCACTGTGCTCAAGGCCTACTATCCGAGTACGAGAATGCGGGCATTTCTCTCATCAGCTCCATCCGATGTTGGTCGCAAATCAGCACTCGTCGATGTGGTCGTCGTGCCCCAACTAGCCCCTGCTGTGTCCAGGCGGTGATGCCCACTTCCGGCTCCTGGAGCGCCATCAATGCCCAAAGAGTCACTTGACATTAATTTTCTCCATTATCTACAGAATAGGCCAGGTCATGTGGGAGTCATACGCTGTAAAAGCGGTGGAGTTCAGATATAGATGCGTGGGTCGTACCTCTGTAGTAGCGTAACGTCGACATAAGTGTATGCTCTCGCACGCGATCACGGCATGCGAACGGGCGGCGCGGTGTTGAACCAAGCACAAGAATGTGCATGGCCCGCAAGGTAACGGCGTAGTACAGTAGTAAAGATGAGTGGCATTGACGGCAGACGATGATCGCCCCTCGCGGCATGGAGTCAAGATCGAGCGGGTTGTGCAGAGTCAGCGGACTTTTGGTGGAGTAGGATGGGACGGGGATGGGGAATGGCACGGGAAATCTGCCGTCCCACAGTCGTGTACCGTATTGTGTCTAGCTGACCATGATTAGATACCTACTCGCATAAGGATCTTGATAGAGTGTAATCTATACTCCGTACTGTGTCGTGTATCGTACATGGCATGGGAGAGGAAGCTCGCGTATTGTACAAATGCAAAACTCATCAACATCATTTTTGTTATCGTACAGAGGACAGTGTATCTAGGCTATGGATAGTATCGTGAGTAGTTACATACTAGAGTATTATGGATGCAGAGATGATAGTGTACTGTGTGATAGTGTGTAGCGGGAGGAGCGGCCGCTCGAGCCTCCACAAGTTAGTCCAAGTCCAGACGTCTTTTCTCTCGTGCCGAAGCGAAGTAAGCGAAGAGCGAGATGTAAAAAGTGGGCAACTTGCTGGGCATGGGCATGATCCATCACCACCAACTGGACGCTAAAGTGAGCGAGTAGTGATTCCGTACACAATCATCTCTCTCTCTCGCTCTGTCTTACCCTTACCCTAGTATTGAATTGCTTGGGTATACTCGAACATGACTGGACGATACCGAATCCACTAGCTGGGCCACTACTCGACTGGGCACGCAGGGTCTCTGATCGGATCTCCCCATCCACACACACACACACACACACACACCAGGAAGAAGTGCGCTCAACCACTGAACTTCCTCTCCCGCCCCTCCTTCCCCCATTTGGAAGTTATTAATGGCAATCTCTCATCCTGAATCAGGCGAAATTAGCTCACCTCATGCCTGCTTTACCCTCGTTTAGACTAACAACTATTAATCTACTTTGTTGCTTCAACCTCTCACCGTCCCTGTGTAAGCGCCCAAGGGACCCAATCCTCCCACTTGCCTCCCACTCTCCTCCCAACCTCACCCAACCACATCCAACTATGGCATATGCGGGCAGGCCCGCTCCGTTCGCGGATTGGATGGAGAAGCACCGAGAGGGTCTTTCGACTCGTTTTCGCTGGCTTCCTCTCTGCTCACCCTGTGTGACTGGACGGAACATGCCTGTTCTGCACTGTGCTGTCTCTGCAGCAGCCGGTCCCTCTAGTTATCACAATATCGATCCATCTGTCTCCGCCAAATACCCAGGGTCACTCTCTGTTTTTCCTTCTCCTTCCTCCTCTACAAAAAGACTCGGGAGTGCCCTACAACCCGCAGGGTCCTTTCTCCGATTTCTGACCGTCTTGCCGCTTCTGCAGTGCATATCATGAATTGGAAAAACCATCACAACCATCCTCAGTAGATCGTCTTCCTATCTGCACGACCACTGCAGTCTCCTCCCCCTCCTCCTCCTCGTGCATTGCTGTGTGGTAACCACTCCACCCCCACAGCTTCGCCGCCCTCGTGCTGCCCGTGATCATGGTAAGTTCGCCCCACATGCAATTCTGCGTGGCCCTTTATCAATGGAATGAACCTGACACCCCAACAGCAGGCCATGACACCCATCACACCGTTAGAGGCCGGTGCAGAGCATTTGGGGATGTTTCAGAGGAACAGCAAACCATTCTTCGGCCACAACTCATTATCCATCCGAACCTCTCTGGAACGTCCAATTTCGGTGGTCAGTGACAGCTACACCGATATCGAGGACGAAGACAGCGAATTCGAAGAAGAAAGTCTTCGTTCTTCCGTAAGTCATACATACATGGCCAATTATAAACCTCAGTCACTCACAATTTGCGTAGAATGACAATCGTCGAAGCCAGACTACAATCTCAACCTTCGAGGAAGTACAGACACCAAGAGATGCTGAGCCCAGATTTGCATTTGCGCAAGACTGGTATCTCCCGAAGCCGGTTGAGGGACCTCGCGGCCCTCACCTCTTCCGTGCGTCCCAGTCATCCAATGAATTCCCCTATGATTTTGCACTGCAACTGTCTCCACTGCTCCCCAAAGAATTCCCTCGCTTCGAGTCCACACTAAGAGAGGCTACTCCTGATACCATTGTTCCCAAGCATGAATACAATGCAATCGCTTCCGCTGTGGCTCACCTCGACACAACCGAAGTGCGAGCCTGGACGTCACAAGAAGTTGCCACATGGATGTTCCAGAACGGGTTCGATGCCGAAATCATTAGCAAATTTGAGTCACACGACATTACCGGCGCTATTCTGCTCGACCTCCAATTCGAAGATCTCAAGGAGCTTGAGATACAATCCTTCGGCAAGCGCCATCAGCTCTGGAATCAGCTTGACTCGCTCAGAGTCGCAGATGGCCTAGTATCGCCCATTGCCGGTGCACCGACGCCCTTTGAAGACATAAGTCGGCCATGTACCGCAGCGGAGGACAGGTCGAAGAGTAAGCATCGTGGCGGTCGGCAACACGATAAAGGGAGGGTCGCCTATGACTGTGATGGGGACGATGCGGTCACCCCGGGTGGTCGAAGGCGCCGTGCAAGGCGGAATCGAAACGGCGTCGATGTCGTCATGCCTGGTGAATCAGTGTCAATTGTTGCGATTGAGCAACTATTACCCAAACCCCACAAATGCGCTAAAGGCGAGCGATGCGCAAAATGGAGGAAACAGCAGCGCCAACTCGCAAGACTGAACGACGAGCATGGCTTTCCTATCTCACCCGATAAGGGAGGTCACATCTTCCTAGCTGGAGATCCGGGCAATGCACAGGTGGCAGAGCGCGCGGTCGATAACGTTTATCGCCCGACATCGGATGCGATTCCTTCTCTAGTAGCATCTTCAGATCTTTTGGGCCCTGGACAGTTACCCGAATTCACTTTGGAAGAAGACATGCTCAAGGCACTAGACCGACGAGACCCTCAAGACAACGTCCGCCAATTCCTCGCACTCCAAGGCCTTGATCAACCTTACACAACCGAGACGCCTATCGAAGCACCCCCAACGCCACCGATTGAGATGTTCCCCTCTCGTCACCTCACTCTGCAATCTTACCCTCAAGTATCTACCTTTTCCGCATCTACCTCTGCTCACACATCAGCTTCCTATGAGACAACATCCTTGCCCCGAAGCCTCCATCCACCAGAATTTACTCCGGCCCCCCACACCAACCTGAAAAGCCTTCCGAGACTCAGTATTCCCCCACCACGCTCAATGTCCGCTGGTCCTCGATTGCGCGACCCGCAGAGTGCTGTCACAAGCAGTCCTCAGGTAGCATTGGACACCGCCTTTTCCCCATGCCGCACCGCATCACCGGGCGGGGTATATCGATTCGGGACACCCTTCTCCGAAATGGACGTGCCTGTGACCGCTGTACCCCAGTCCTCTGTTCCTCGCGATGCAAGCGCGTCTGTACCACCGAACATGCAATACAGAGATCCAATCCAGCGAGTCGGGTCTCGTGTGGACCGCCGGCGGCCATCCCTCGCTTTACCACCTCTAAACGAGGGAGAGGTGTTCAGCCCAGTAGGGAACTCCGATGACTCCGACACCTTACATGAAACGCAATTTTCTGGAGATGGAAGCGCGAGCTCGTCTCCTACTGGAGTAACCAAAGCCGAATTTGGACTTCTACCCAAGGGCGGTTTCGTGTACGAGGGTGTTGGCCACCACGGCTGGATGAAGAAACGCCGCACGAAGCTTCTTCGTCACGAATGGCAAGATCATCACTTCAGGCTCAACGGTACTACCCTTGCCATGCACCCCAACGAGCTGCCGTCCTCATCGGCCCTCCAGACCATTGACGTGGACGACTATGCTGTGGCTTGCTCCTCCCTGGCCTCAAACAAGCTTTCCGCGAAACTACGTGCGCTAAAGCTGAGCGCCAGCAGCCAGAACAAAGATAAGAATGGCCTCCCTACTGCTTTTGAATTCCAACTTGTCCCTACCATGCCGGGAAAAGGCGAAGTTCGTAAAGTGATGCCCAACGGCAAGGTTCACCACTTCGCGGTCAAGACCAAGGACGATCGCATCGACTGGATGCGCGAACTCATGGTCGCCAAAGCCCTCAAAGCCAAAGGCGAGGGCTACGAAGTCAACATCAATGGACGTGACTTTTGAAACTAATTAGCCAGCTATAATGAAACCTACTCCACTAAACATCTAGATTGGCCACTGGGTGGCGACTGCTTCATTGCAGCATCTTTGCTTCGGCGTTCATTTTCTGTTTCCAGTTCTGCTCCATTCAGCAAGCGTTGCCTTCTTTGAACCCTCCGATTCGGAGTGATGACCTGTTCCCCATTTATTATACCCTTAGGACGAGTTAGTCTGTGATTCTTTTGGTTCTTCTCCTCTCCTTAAACTCCAAGGCATTCTTTCTTTCTTCGCATCGACACCTAGCAACGACGTCGATCAAGGAAAGACACCGCAATTGAACTTCGAGAATTATATTTGCTGTCAATCTGCATTTCAAGCATGACAGACTGTTTGAGCGAAAAGTCAAATTTATTCTCGGCTTGTAGCAGCCACCAGCATTAGCGTCGATCAACTTAGCAATAGTTACAACTAGCATAAGGTACACACAGCAAGAACAATGAATATATGAAATACACTTGAAAGCGAGTAGCTCCTCCTATGCAAACATAACGCTCTCATCGGTCCATCAGAGCCCCCAAGTCAGAGGTACTGGCGGGAGCGACGTTTTGCTTCCACCTGACCTTCTAGACGAGGAGTTCAGGTACAACGCATACAGCCATAACCAACGATCCCAGCGCCACGCATCACCCACTCCCTATGACCGAAACTACGACCACCTCACACCGCATCCAAGCACACTGGAACTGTGTTACAACACACAGGCACAGACTCAGTTTCGAAATATTCATCGTTAATTAGCATCCTTTACGGAGTACCAGAAGCAGTAATAACTCAATCGCTTGCTAATTACCTAGAGCGACCTGTCCGTGCTATGCTAGAAAACAAGAAACAGCAGGCAGGTGCCTACCATGAATCCGCGCACGCACACGCGCATGCTGTACGACATTCGACTCTTCCGTTGTCTCTTCCTCCCTTGCTCCGTTCCTTTTCGTCATCATCACTTTCCCTTCCCGTCCGACATACGATTCGGCTGAAATGCGTAAGAATTCCCACCAGAGCGGGAAATTAGACACAGACGACAAGTCTTTCATTTCCTCTTCAACGCACCGTTGAAAACTTGGTTTGTGCTGAGGATAACATCACGTACACACGCACCAACGCACGTTTGAATCCCAATATAACGGGGTGTTTAGGCAGGCTAATAGGCAATTCATCCAGGCACACAATCACACAATCACAAAAGGAGAACATAACGAAGGACGTCTTGATGCCAACAAAGCTATGCCATCTGGCCTTACCACTTGCAAACTGTGGGTAATGCATTGAAGATGAAGTCTCGGCGCGCAAATAAATTAATGCATTGGTGAGTTGACTATTGGGCTGTGACGGATTGCCTTTTTGTTCTACCATTCGGTTTTGGCCGGCCATCAAGGGCCCCAGCCACGGGGATGTGGAACGCATTGACGGATGGATCCCTTCGGGATCGACCAAGCCGTTTAACGGAAGGCATCCTTGCTGTTATACTGATGCTGTGAGAGCGAATTAAATGGTTATTGACTATGAAACAAAGGCGGTTCAAGTTTATAAAGAGTTTTGTTAAGTTCTGAGATAGTCCGCAAAGTCTTTGTTAAAGATGAAAGTCCGATTAATTTTCCGAGTAGTGCACTGCCGTTTGATGGCCAGGCGTATCATGCGATATACCATGGAAACTTCATGCTAATCGACACTCCCTTAACCATCTTGATGCTTTTGTTTCTGAATGGCTCTTTATCGAATGTAATTCTGCCTTCTGCGTCCTGCATGTCCTATGTATGCCTTGTCGCCTCATGTTTACACCATACAAACGTGGCAACAGTCCCAATGCTCCCGTTTCGAACCTGCTAAGTTTCAATCTTCCATACCCACCACCTCGACGCTTGAATCACGGTATTGAAAGCGGCGGTGAAGGAGGCGTTCGTTTCCTTGCTCACCCTCTTTTCCTGTCAAACGTGCGTACCTGCGTGCCTCCGGATGTAGACACGAAACATGCATGCAAAATAGAGTCTTACATCTTACGTTACTCCAACATATGTTACTATTTTATGCGTCATTCTTTTTCGACACTGACCACCAACACCAACGATAATATAGCATCATCATTATTTTTATTCTCGGGACACTCAACCCGAATGTGCGTTTTTGTGTTCCATCCACCAGGTGAGCTAATTAATTCTCTATCCTGTCTTGTGCGTGTGCGTGGGCGTGGGTGTCACAGAATAGGTTTTATTCCTGCAGCTTACCTGCAGCAGAACCACCGACAGAGCGAAACGGCCAGGTACAGCAGCATCACGAGCGTGTGTGCACATTTTCCCTTCCCGAGTAAGGGGTGAGTTGTTGGTGCTGGCTGAGCTTCATGCGTCTGAATAATCTAGGTAGGAAGAGCATCTGCGCAGGGGAATGGTTTCGGTGCGACGGAGGTACGATTCGGTTGTGACTCTCATCCTTCTTCTCTGGAGTAGCACATGGAGCGTGTGCTGAGGGACAGACATGTGACGTTGACGTTCTGGAAGGGTGATGTACTCGGGCAAGGGGCCTTGTGCTGTCACAAGTTTTCTTTTGGGCTTCCTCTATGTTTCCCGGTGCTGTGGAGTGGGTGTGGATCTAAATCAAGTTTCGTGGTCGTCGAAATCATGGGTGCGGGCGGTCGTGTGTGATTGTGTGACTTGATGAATTCGATGAGGTCAAGTTGCGTATGAGTCAATTTAGAATCTGTTGGTATGACTTTATAATTATTTGATTTGGTGCATGTGGTGATCACATAGGCAGTTGGAAGATTGAGCGATGTGTGTTTTGACTTGCACGGGTTAGATAGACATTCTAGTTCGCCTCCTTGGATACCTACGTACCTAGGTATTTCCAAGTTGTTATACGAGAGTGTTCTCGTAGACTACGCTATTTTCTCGTAAATACCTTGCTAAGCATCAATCCTAGCGCTCAACACCCTGAAAAAGCTCTATGACTCATGATGTTTATACTGATAACAACGTGTCTGTCCTTTTATCAGTCGCAGTACGGAGTATGTATCTTAGCATGATAATTATCGCACCTTTAGATTGCCCACATCTTCAATGGCGCATCAAGCATACAGCATCCCATGGCAAACGCTTGTCGACAACTTAAAATACAAGCATTGCAACCCACGCGATGCTGGAGTCACGAACCTCAACCTCCGCAAAGGAAACCCATCATCACAAGGAAAGCAGTTTCAGTACTTCACCCGCGGGTTCGCCCGCGCGCTTTCTAAGTACTCCACCATCGAGCGCAAGAAATACAACCCTCAACCTCAAGCCCCGCAACTTGACGAACCTATCATCTCAGACACCGCTGTGAAACGCATGGCCCGGACGATTCTCCGGTACAAAAGCGACCCAGCAATCTCGAGTGCCTTGGGAGTTGACCTCAACACCGTCCTTCCGCCTCATGAACGCGACGTCAGGTGGTTCATTCAAGGCTCTGGACTCTATGAGGGCGACATGAACTTGGTCATAAGCGAATGCTGCGAACTGACAAAGGCAATGCTGATGTATGGGGAGATGGACGCCTTGTTTCGCATATGCAAGCATCCAGATGTTTATTTACAGAAGTACTGGGACGATCGCTGGTATGCTAACTCCTACGGCTACGGACTGCGCAGGCTTGTGGATGCCGCACTGCGAGCGTACATTTTCTTCAACGTCATCTTCCTCATGCCCGAGCTGTACGATTCTCCGACTCGTGAAGCGTTCATTGAAAAGGAAGTCAAGGCAGGTCGGACGAAGTTAAGGAAGGCGGACTTCGATTACCGGCTCACGGCAGCATACCAGCATGTGGTACTCTGGAACACAGGCGTTCCGTTTGGACTACCACGTCATGATGTACACACTCATCCACATCGTGAGTTCTTTGGCATACCGCGTGGAATGTTTGTGTTTGAGTGGGGCGACTGCTCAGAAAAGCATTGGAAGAAAGAGCGCATCGGAACGAAGCGTCTTGAGAATCTAACAAAAAAGGAGTTCAATAATGTTTACGTAGCATCCAACGCAGACATTGCGGTCGTTGATGGCTTGCTCAGAAGGAAGGGATTGCCCACTGAACTCATTCTGCAGGTGTTGGAAGCGGCGGAATACGTGCCGGTCGGACGGACACATATTCGTGATGATCCTTTACATAAGGTAAATGCAAAAGAGTTGAAGAAATATTTGAACTACTGTTGGCTGCTGCTTATCAGGTTCGATATGATCTGCAAGGAGAGTGGTAGTTGGTTAGACTGGGAGACTCTAGTGACAGAGGCGCTCTATACACTATTCAACCTGAGTGGTCTACGCAGTAAATTGAAGGAGGTTCCGCCGAACGACGAAGATTTTCGTCATCGAAATAGTAAACGTGTATTTATAATATAGGAAAGACTTAATGGAGACTGACTATCGCTTGCTAGAACATTGTACATAGAGAGGGAGTTTCAAATTACAAAAATTATCATAATCGTAATCGATATGAACATTTCCTATTTTAAAAAGGAACATTCGGACTGAGATGAGATTTCTTGTGTTTGCACTAAATTTGAGCGATGTAGATATTTACAAAAAATAGTTGTGAAAAGGGAGCGGAACTCTAACGTCCGTCCCTGCGTAACGAAAAACCCGCCATGCCGAAAAGGATTCTACAAATAGTCAGACTGGATCCTCCAGTTTAGTGGAATTAGGGTAATTTAAGTTTCAAGGTGTTAATTAAGTACGTCTGCTTCTGCAGCCAGTAGAAACATAGAAAATTACATGAATTATCACCATGCTGTCGATCTTTTCGTCATATACCTGTACAACTTCGCCTGTTCCAAAGCAATATAACAATGTTTGCGTCTATCATCCATGCCTATCGGTGCAGCTAAAATATCCTTCCACTATCTATAAAAGCCCTCAGTGCAATTAAAGGCTAATCTATATTACAGGAATGTAGTCCGGATTTATCCGGCTAGAGAGGCCCTCAAGAGCTCTTGGCAGACGACTTGGCCCTCGACCTACAAGGCTTAGCGTATGCTGTCTAAGTAATGTAAATCACACGCACCGGGGCCACGCCTAATCATCCGAAAACTGACGCAATCTGCACAGCCACAAATGCTACGGTAAAAACCCACACAGATGTTTAAGGTAATAAGGCATACGTATCATTGCACATGAGCCCGAACCGGTGGTTCGCTTCCGCCGGGGCGGCCCTGGCTGAGATCGCGCCATAGGGCTGATGATCGACTTCCTGGCGTCGGAGGGAGGTGGTAAGGCTAGGATAAGGCTATTCTACCAAAACTTGGAGCGAAAAAGGCTTGAGGTTAGGGAAAGGGGTGGAATATGCGTTCACTCGCACAGGCTGTCCAAGATCTGACATCTGTAATAGGAACTTGACAAGCGCTTCTTCCTCCCACGGTGTAAGATACTGCTGGCCTTGTGCCTTTTCTTCTATTGACCCCGTCTCTGCTAGCGGCAGCCCAGCAGCGGCAGCTAAGGGCACGTGCAGGCTTAAATCTGTCAATTACTGCATGTCTTCCCAATGCGTCTATTTCAGGCATGGCAAGGTCGCGGTACAATAGGAGCAGGTGAGCCGTCCTCCCTGCTAGCGTGATCAAGGTGTTCACCTCTTCACCTGCAGTACTGGGGCAAGAGCGACCCTGTTATCGACCAAGAATTCTTGAACAATCCGTGGCAAATCATCAACTTTATATTGACCTTGACTTAAAAAAGAGAGAATAATAAATCAATGATAATGGAAAGCATTGACTGAATTGTTAGGTGCTTATACAGCCTAGTGATAGAGTTGTGTTAAAGGTTGACATCACATATCCACACTTTCCACTTCCAACACCTTATCCAATCATTTTTCCAGATACAGCGGAGGATGAAGGGTGGTACTCTGTGGGTAGCCATAGGACCCTCTTTGAATTATACGTTATCCAGTTGTTATCCGAACTAAGCGCCGGGCACTGGTGCTGAGGAGGTTGAGGCTCTGTAGCAGCTGTTGCCCAGGTTGGTGCTGTAGAGCCACCAGTGATGATAGTACCAATCTCAGTGTGAAGACAGAAATCAGTAGAATCAAATGATAGATCGCGGAGAGACCTGCCAACCTCGAGAGTCTGCAGGCAGTCGCCACCGCCCGCGTCCCAGATCTTGACCGTCATCAGGGCCAGCTGTGCCTAGCTCGAAATCTGCTCCTATTTATCTCATACGACAATTGGGAACTCGGACAGTATACAATGAACAACCACCATTCTGTTTGCATTATGTCATGGAGTGGAAGTTGACATAAACAGGAGAGAAGCCGCGAAGCAGACCGAAGGAGACCTTGTAATAGCTCCAGGCGAGTTTCGGCGTGAGTCGACTACGTCTTCGAAGACTTGGGAGGATGAGGCTCTTTTAATGATTTCAAGGCGGGAGAATACGTCTTCGATAATATTGATAGTAGCTAGAGTGTGAGTATACAATGCTAAGATGTGGTCAGAGGACCTCTCTACCACAATCGCAGAAATAGTGAGTTAGAGGGGCAAGCTGTGTAAGCCTGAAGCAACAACGAGCGTAATATCTGTCAATGACCGCTCTGAGCGAGACATAACCAAGCGCTATAAGGAGCTGGAGGTTGATTGGCTAGTGGTGCAGAAGCAAATGCAGACCTGGAGCAATCTTTTCTGAGCGGGAAAGACACTACGGATCCATGTCCCGTTCAATTACAAAGAGGATAAATCAAGCCGACCTACTGGCCGAGGAGCTACGGCAACTCAGCTAAGTTGAATATAAATACTGAAATTAATAAAGGAATAACCGCATATTGTTAGGTGTAATGATACAAAAATGTGGAGATAGATTGATTTAGTATTTTTAGATTTATTAATCAAATAAAAAAGGAGAGATCCTTGTGTACCCAGCAGCATGTTCAGTGCGACTGTGATGATATTGTCCTGTTAAGATCGAAGCTCTACTGGTTGGTTTTCGCGGAGTATCTGAAAGAGAGCACTAAGCAGTGGGCAGGAAGAGGGTCAAAGGATAGCTGAACAGTAGAGTGTATTGTTCGAAGGTAACTTAGGTTGAACACGAAAGTCCATAGTGGTCTTTCGGGTTCTCTATATATTGAAGGTCCTCACTGCCCCACCCGTGAGGATGTGAGGATGTCACGTGTTGGTGACCCTCACTGTTAACTGAGTGAGGAGCTCACGTGGGTCACGTGACTTTACCCCTTATAAGCGCTTGGTCGTCCCGCGCCCTCATCGTTACTACGCCAATTCATTGGGCCTGGTTTCTCAGATCGTAACATGTCCTTCCAGCGTAGCATGCGATGCCTCTTCAATCCTGCCGCTGGACTGTATCAAATCCTGCGCGACGGCCTGAATAGATATGCTTTCATCTTTTATTGTCTGCAAAGCGACCTCCAAACTCCGTATCCGAGCCCGAAGACGTACAATCTCCGGACCTAAAACGTTGATTGTGTTGAGGCGCGAAGAACAAGACGTAGGACCGATATTCAATGTCGAAGACGGATGAGGTGTCGATTCGGCTGATGCATCAGCGAGTAGCTCGCTTCCAGTAACCGTGGCCTCTTCGAGAACTCTGATCCTCTGTTCTAACTCTGATTTCTGAGCATCCCATCGCTTCTTGTCTTCGGCACTTTGCACCTGCAGACGGCTCGCCATTTCCATGATACGCATGTACTGTACCCCATTCACCCTCAGTGACTGGCGAGCTTCATCTCTGCTCTCCTGTATCCCTTCCACCTGACGCTCTAGTGTTGTGACTTGCGATTGCAATTTCTCCTTCAGATCTGAGAGACTGTTGATCTCGACATCACGGACCTCGAGTTTCTTTTCCAATGTAATGAATTTAGTCCGTTGCTGTTCGAATTTCTGGAGAAGGCTGCCATACTCGTGCTGGAGCGTCCGGAATGCTGAAGTCTTAACTGATATCTGATACTGCAACTCTTGGAGATGTGACAATTGCGCGGGGCCTGTGAGTGATGAGTTTGAGGAGGATATTGGGGGGATTATCGTTGCGCTAGGAAAATTCATTGAGGATAACGAAGGAAGCATAGTGCTTCTTGGGTTGTGCGTGGCGTGCAAAGGGGAAGACGGCCGCCTGAAAGTTGATGCTGACAATGACCCTATAGGGTGAGGTGTGCCCGCTCCAGAAGGATCACAACGCAAGGAATTTTTTCTCTCGCCTTCGGTCAAGCTACGCGAATGTATGAAGGCGGGATCGGGAAGTGCGTAGTTCGAACTACAGATGTGCCAGTGTAAGGGCGATTGTTCCACCCTTCCATGTTGATATTGTCCTCTCCGCATAGCTGGCGATGGCTTATGGTAGAGAACGTTACGCGCAGGGCTAAAGGTAGTGGATGGTGCTAGATAGCCGCGCAAACTATTGTCAGTCCGTCTTGCGGAATCGACCGCCCAGCTTATATCGATATATTCAAGCCCAGAAGGCTGCTGCTCAGTTAGCCAGCACTAAACAGTAGGCCTGTGTGTATATGAGATTCAAATGTCTGGTCGTTTCAGCAAAAGCTGCGAAAGGGGAGCTCACGTCATTACTTGGATTAACCCCTTTGTACAGTAGGGAACAATCCAAAAACACGAGCTTAGAGGCGAGTTCGCGCATTAAATTACAAGCGTTTGAGCATACTTGGCCTCCACAGCTAACTGAATGACATTCATCGGCACGGCGGTATGAGGCTGCAGGTTGCTAGACCAACGTGTAATCTTAATAGGCGGCAGAGATCGATCTGTATCAGGGATGCCTCCAATTTCTAATGTGTATTTTAGAGACAGCGTAAGTGTTACTGAGCTGGAGACAGCAGACTATATGCCAAAAACGTAAGCGAAACACTGACCTGATATTTATAGTCTCGTATAGTTCTTTTATAGTGCACGAGTGTATTGATAACCGGACGCAAGCTAGAGATTAGTTCGTCGCCTTCGGTAGCTCCTGGTCCAGACGAAGAAGGCCGTTGGGGACCAATTTGAGTCAATGTTGACGGACTCTCGGCTAGTGGACGCAATTGTGACAGTCTGTACAAGTATGAAGGTATCTTTTCACAAGGAAATGGTCGGCAGCTGGCGGGAATGAGGTTCAAGATGCAGAGGAGTGGATGCATCGGAAACCCTTTGTTCTTGAAGCAAATCACTAGAATTGCATTATCAGAAGAGGGAAGCACCCTCGAATAACGAATACAACTCGAGTACCTACGGTGCGCCAACTGTTGCTGTAGGCAGTACCAGTCGATTCAGCAGTCTTGAAAATTATGAAGTGCCATGTCAACGGCTGCAGTCTGGGTGATTGGTAAAGATTACACCAAGAAGTGTCAAATGGCGATGCGGGTATTTGCCCAGATTGGCGTAGCTGTCGAACCTTAAAAATGGGCAAATACCCGCATCTCCAAACAATATATGCGCTTATTAATCTTATTCATTAGTGCAGCTAGAATAGTCTTTGACTATCTATAAAAGCCTTCTATGCAATCTAAAGACAATCTTTACTCCAGGAATATAGTCCAGATTTGTCTAGCAGGAGCAACCCTAAACTGCTCTTGGCAGACGACTTGACACTTAACCTACAAGGCCTAGCGCATGCTGTCTAAGTAATGTAAATTACACAAGCACTCGGCCATGCCTTATCACTGCTCCCCGGATCAAACGATTATCATTCGATTTCACCAATCATAAGCAACGTGCAACCATCATATTCTCAGCGTCCCTGAGCGTATAATTCCCGCATTGATTTTAGCGCATCCTACGTCATGGATGGTGTTTCTCAATGTAGTTTCCACCAACGTTCTCATTGTACCCCAGTAGGAACGTCTTTTCCTGGATTCTGTTTACCGATTGGGTGCTTGTGACTCTGCGGGCACCATCGCAATAATAATAAGTCTGCACGGCAGCCGTAAAACCAGAAAGGGAAGCTTCATTGTAAGGAATATCTATATACTGTGCCTATGAGACCATTTGAATTCATCTTGTAACGCTAAGTACCCTTCCCACTCTCATCCTAAGTGTCGTCAAAATTACTGGAGGGACTCGACGACAAGAGCAGAAGCACCACCTCCGCCGTTGCAGATTCCGGCAACGCCGATCTTGCCCTTCTGTTCCCTTAATACACCGAGAAGCGTGGTTGTTATTCTTGCGCCTGATGCGCCCAATGGATGACCAAGAGCGACAGCACCACCGTGAAGGTTGACCTTATCCTCGGTAATATTAAGCAGCTTCATGTTAGCTAAAGACACGACACTAAAGGCCTCGTTGATCTCATATGCGTCAACAGAGCTCTGATCAACCTTGGCGTGCTTGAGCGCCTTTGGGATGGCGAGTGCAGGAGCAGTGGTAAACTTAGAGGGGGTCTGTGCGGCATCTCCCCAGCCAAGAATCTTTCCGATGGGCTTGAGGCTATGCTTCTGCACTGCAGCTTCAGACGCAAGGACAAGGGCGGCAGCACCGTCTGATAGGGGACAGGCATTGGCAGCGGTGACGGTCCCAGTACCTGGAATGAAAACGGGCTTTAGGGTGCGGATCTTGGACTCGTTGAACTGAACGATGATTAGTGAACAATCATTTTGAATTACGAAACCAACGGATTACTGAACATACATTCTTAGGCTCGTCGTCCTTCTCAACCTTGATGGCGGGTTTGCCACGGCCGCCCGACACCTCGATGGGAGTAATTTCCGCACTGAAGAGACTACCTTCTGTTGCGGCAATTGCCTTCTTGTATGAACGGATACAGTAGTCGTCCTGGGCCTGACGGTCGAAGCCATGGTCATTGGCGCACAACTCAGCCTGAATACCCATGTGTTCCTTCTTGTATGCGTCTGTCACACCGTCCTCCAAGACAGCGTCAATCAAGGGGGTGTCACCGAATTTGACCCCAGTCCTGAGGTTGGGGAGGTAGTGTGGGGCAGTGGACATGCTTTCAGATCCACTGGCAACAACAATGTCGGCATTGCCAGTGATGATGGTTTGGGCACCGAGGATAATGGCCTTGATTGAGGAGGCACAGACCTTGTTCACGGTAGTCGCGACAGTGGACTCCTCGAGGCCGGCGCCGAGGGCAACCTGACGTGCAGGGTTCTGACCGAGACTTCAGATTTGATTAGACGCTGAGGGAGTGAGGATATTGGTAGGTTTTCGTACTTCGCAGAAAGGACATTGCCCAAGAAGAGCTCCTCAACGTCTTCGGGCTTGACACTGGCACGCTCAACGGCGGCTATAAAGAGTTGTCAATTGATACCACAAATGAATCCCTTAGACTGACCTTTGACAGCATGAGAACCGAGCTGGATGGCGCTCAGGCTCGAGAGAGAGCTGTGACGGGGTGAGTATTTTGTTTGCTCACCCTTTTGATATGGAGGGGAAGATCGAACTTACCCTAGAAACATACCCATCGGAGTACGGGCAGCCGAGATAATATAGACGGGAGGAAGGGAGGACATGGTAGAGGGCTCTGCGGTATTTTCTATAGGAAAGAAAAGGTACTGGTGAAGATGAATAATTGTAGCAAACTCCTTGAAGTCAGGTCAGAGCTGAAAAGCGTAGAGCCAGGCAGTCAAAGGAATTTATGGGGTTTCTTTCTGTTATCCCCGACACCCACTAGGTAGCAATCTAGGGCTTTGAGAAGGTCATAAAGCCGGACTTAGTCTTCACCGCTAGAAGCTACGCGCTTCTATTTGTTCAGCGCAGTTGTTGGTGAATCGAAGTCTTGGCGATTTACATGAATGCTTCTCAAGAGCTTTGAAAACAATTCAAGCCTCTAAAAGAAAAAAGGACAAATAGCAAAAACCGTGTTGTTGAAACGTCATTGATAAAGCATTAGATCCCATCTGATATGGCCGCAACGGTCTTTGTAAACCATCCCGTATCCCTCTGCATCGATTTGGTGATTGTAGAGTTCACCATTGCGGCCGTGGCACAAAGAAACCTACCAAAATTGCGAGCACATTATGGCGCGCTCATCAAACGCAGCAACAGTCATGCAGTCGCGACTCACTAACACACGAGCGTTGACGGAGCCCAAACCCCGACTCGCATTAATAACACACATGATACAGTCAGGCCACTGAGGGGTTTCCTGGTCAGCCCGTCACCAACCGACGATGCTTGCGACGTCCCACTTCGGTGTGCCCTTGGCCTGAACGGCATCAACTCTTCCACGCATCATTTCACGAATACTCAGCATAATACTGTCGAGGCAAGAAATATCGTAGATTACCAGACATCCTCATCCACTAACTGCTTAGTCTATATCCATGGCTGAATCTTCCTCTAAACCTTTAGAATCGCCGACTTAGAGATCTAGGAAGTACCCAAGTACGTTTGGATCCTGTCAGTCCCATGGTAGATAGCTCACAACCTGATACAATGTATTCTCTTCAATACGGTAAACCTTTTGACACAAACTTTTATCCCCTTTGCCGACTATTTCACAAAACCAAAGCACCGCCTTTTGTCTCGCGCCGAACAGTCTGGACAAACGTTGGTCACAATTTCTCCCATGGCGTAGCCTTATTCTGTTCAAACCAAATTTTCTCTTCGTCGCTCCGGAACGGTGGCGGAAACAATCCATTAATCTTCCATAATCTCCTCTCTGTTTCGTTGACATGAAATTCCCAGTGGTATCCCTTAGGCTCTAGGTGCTTCCTAATGATTGCGTCCAATCTATCTGCCACTCTTCTGTACATCGTGTCGCTGTCTGGCAAGCGGATGGCAATGTGGTCCATTGTAATTCGAACGAACGGTTCCTCTTTGCTGGGCAGTCTACCTCCAACCCATGTGGTGTTTCCAGACATCTTGATGTAGTTGATAACAACGTAGAAAGCAGGGAGACCGGCCTCGGTGTAGTATGTAGTAACATCGGCTGAGAGAGCCGCCTTACTCTCGTCATCCTCAAAAATGCCATCAGGGTGATAAATATTCCAGAGGGGCATCGTGTTATTGCAATGCGACGCTGACTGAGTTGGCGATAATGATCAGATTCGTTACCAAATTGATGGTACAGAGTATCAACCCACATTGCAAATGGCGCTCTTATACATTAGCCCCGACGCGGCTTGTAGAATGAAATGTTTAATAAACGCAACATACTATTATTAATACATAATGAAGATGCTAAAATAAATACTGACTACAATTGCCAATCATTGATTAGTCTTACCCTATTAACCTCAGAGAGTATCAGCCGCATAGATATGATTACTCATCCTTATGAGCTAAAAATTGATTTGGAACTGATTACTATCCAACAAGATCGACAACAGCGAGAAAGAGAAAACACAACAAGAGCGAGAATCTCAATGCTTGGAATTATCGCAAGACTTTAGCTGCAAACACCTGCCTTGGACACCAATTGAATAGTCAGCACCCAGTTGCAGGAGCCCACTGCGACAGCGGGGTCATGGCGACGCAATGGCCTCAACAGGCAACGTGGCCATCTGCTATACATGAGCATGCCTCACGCCTCAGCACGTATCTTGAAGCTTCGCTGACCTGTATCGAACGCACCAACAACCAACCTGTACCTGCAGACCTCGTAAATACCATCATTCATGGCACGGTGACATCTATCCTGAAAGTGCAACACATTCCTTACCTCAGCGCGATAAGCGACGCCCTGAGAATCCTTCAAGCAGAAGCAAAAGCGACAGCAAACGAGAACGCACAGACATTCAGCAACATCAAAAATGAACTTACAAACAGTACAGAAGCCGCTCGACAGTTCACTATAGCTACGCACCAGAACACGAATATAGGCGAGGAACCAAGGGCAGCCGCAAAAGAAGCAGCAGAGACAGGCAAAACAGTCCTGGAAATAACTAGGGAGATCCAGACCAAAGGGATGCAGAATCAGGCAAATGAACCAATGACCTATGTGCAACCAGAGGCCAGACACTAGTAGGGCATATAATACACAGAGTCCCAAAGACCCATCTGCACAAGCACAACGTGAGGTCATTGTGAATATTAGAGACCATTCACCGTACAGAGTCTGCAGGCCATGAATAAACCTGAAATCCATGTAGAGCGAGCTATCGAGCAAAGCAGAAGCGAAAACGCTACAAACATCAAGCTTGCCTCATCCGACCAGTTAAAAAGCGGTGACCTAAGCATGAAGACACCAACAGCAAAGAGGTAGAAGCACTGCATCAACTCGCAGACGACTGGGTCCACCGCATCGGCGCACAGGCAACGGTACGGATCCCGACGTACGGTGTGATCGTACACAGAATTCGCACCAGCACGCTCGACATGGACAAGCTTGAGAAAAAGAGAGTGCAGATCCTACAAGATAACAAACCATTCATCCCGCAGGCCGGGATCAAACACATTGGATGGCTGACCAGGAATGCACCCACTAAAGCTGCAATATCCATCACAATCGAGTTCACCAAGGCCGAGGACGCCAACGAGATCATAGACGAGGGCATCGTCTGGCAGGGCGAAGTCTTCCAGTGCGAACGATACGAGAAACAGTGCTGACTGACGCAGTGCTACAGGTGCCAAAAATACGGCCACATGGGAACACAGTGCAAGGCAGCAACATCATGTGGCTATTGTGCGCAAGAACACGACACTAGGAATTGCCCATCGAAATCGGGACAGGACACGACGAAGAAATGCGCGCTCTGCCGAGGAGAGCACGAAGCGCGGAATCGCCAGTGCCCGGCGAGAAAGGCCGAAGCCGCTAAGATGAAGAGTAGTCCATTGGCAACAGATATAGAGTTTGTAGAGTTGCAGCCGAATGCGTTCTGCTACAAAGAAGACGAAGTTCATGAAAGGAAACAGGCGCGAGATAAACTGTCTATGCTGCTAACTCCGTGGAAATAGCCTAGCTCGAAATGGACCGAAACGTAACACAAAACCAACGGGAGCTACGCAAAGCGTAATGGGAGCTGCGCAAATCGCGGCTGCCACTGAGCTAGATTCAATCAACCAATCCTGCGGCTCCTTCATTATAGGTATAGCATAGGATCTGTAAATTCTGTTGACCGGACGAAATTCGTCCTTGATCGGCTCTGCGGAAACAAACGGACGTAACGCATTATAATATCGGAGCGAGGGAGCGTTTGACCCTATACCCGGCTAGGTTTGACTAGTTCTTCGGTTTAACGTATCATGCCCATTGTTTAGACGGAGACACCTGTGCCCCGTATGGAATATGTCAAAGAGTTTTGGAAGCACGTATAATTAGCCTCCTTGGCCCTTTCAATATACGAAGCGTTGCATAGTTTGACTCTCATTTGTGAAGATACATGCCCGTAGCACTGGCGAGGTTGTAATATGGAGCCATTCAAGAAGAAATTCTCACCAGAGAACATTCCTGATCTATCGCAGAAAGTTATTATCGTAACAGGGTAAGTTCTGTCAACTGCATTCAAAACCTACCATAACCGTAAGACTGCAGGGGCGCAACTGGAATCGGCAAGGAAACAGTAACCCAACTTCTTCGACGTAATGCTCGGGTATATATTGCATCCAGGTCACAGAAAAAGTTTCAGGAACTGCTGGAAGAATTATCAGACCTCGATGATATCCAATCTTCTCTGAAGTTTCTAGAACTCAACTTGTCAGATATGAAGAGCTGTATCCGCGCGGCAAAGCAATTCAAGGAGATGGAGACGAGACTTGACGTAGTGGTCGCTAACGCCGCGCTTTCTGTGATGGTAGGATAACAATGGAAAAGGGGCTCCTTTTCTGTCGTTGACAGGACAGTTGCTGACACCCCAAAGCCTGAGACTCTCACAACGGATGGAATAGAGATCCAGTTTGGTGTAGGTAACCAGACCATTACATGTATGACTCAAGGCTAACTTGATGACAGACCAATGTGAGCGTTGAAAGCGTCCTGACCTCCTTTAGGGAAACTAATCAGAACCTTAGCATCTTGGACACTTTGCCTTCATTTACAACCTGCTTGTAAGTGCTTGACGGTCAATCTTGCTCGGTATATAGTTACGTTTTCATTCATAACAACAATTGTAGGATCTCATTAAACAAACGTCCAAGCAATTTAGCGACGCCAGAATTGTTGTGGTCGCATCTCACGCTCACGCGATGTATAAGCCCGTACCAGGAATGATCATTGACTTTGATAGCTTGGGAGTAGAAGGGTTGTCAAGCATTCGGACAACTGCAGATGTACAAGCAAGCTTGCAAAGGTGTGCGCCAGTCAATTCGAGAGTACTGCACCGCGTGTGGCTGAGGAATTCAGTCCTAATTATACGTTTAGGTATGCGCGCTCAAAGCTCGCAAACATCCTTTTCGCCCGAGCTCTTCACAGACGCCTCCAGGAAACAGGCCACAGCAACGTATTCGTCAACTGCCTTAACCCAGGTCATTACCACTCACTTCCCACTCTATTCAGCTGCTGACCTTTGAAAACTCAGGTACAATAGGAACATCTGCCGGCACTGACTCTGCCGCCCTTCCGCCTTGGATAGCCATTCTCTCCTCGCTAGCCGTGCGAGTAACCAGTATTCCAGTCCAAGACGGTGCCCGCACGATACTCCTCCTCGCAACCGACCAGGAGATCGCGACGCGCAAGTTAAGTGGTAGGTACTTCGACGTCGGTCCACTGTCGGGAAAATTCTGGTACGAATATAGCTGGGACGCGACAGAGGCCAAAATCTCCGATGCCGCTAGGAATGAAGAGCTGATGGAGATGTTGTGGAAATGGAGCATGGATATGATGGAGCTAGTAATGTGAAACTGTGTGTTGCTCCAGCCAAAGCGGATGCGAGCTTTCTTTGCGTTAGCAGCTTTTGATGTCATCTGTGTCGATAGTATCAGAGTTCACCAATTTGGAAGCAGCACTAAATGGCAGCAACATCCACGCACTCAAAGCTAAGTTAGTCGAACAATGGTCAAAAGGTTCACAAGTAGCTCACCGACAGTCCTTGCATACTGCATTAATTACTGGTGTGCAAATGTGTTGCTAAAGATGTTATAAGTAATGTTCTTCAAAGAAGCTAGGTATAAGTCAATATTGTAGACGAATAATAAGTACCTATCTATAGAATATATTCTATTTATGTACTTAAAGCTTCTTAGCAGGTTTATAGATTAATCTATAGGATTTGTAATTACACTAAATCTACAGATTTAACTTACTCTCTGTAGACCGGCTAGGCAAGTATGGTTACTCCCGTTATTGCTATTTGTCCTGTTGGCAACTTGCAACGTAAATTATGTTCCTTAAACAGCTGACATAGTAAGCACGCTAGCTGTAAACAGTAACTGCTTCAATTCCAAGTACTACTTTCTGTGCACAAATCTTTGTATTGCACCAGAAGTAGAGCTGATAGTGACGTCTAAGTGGCTGGAGTAGGATTAGAAGCCTAGAAACTCTCAAATAAGACGTATTAGGGCTGCACGAGCAGCAGGATGACACTGCTTTCGGAAAGTCCTTTCTGCTTCGCAAATGTGGACCTGCTGGAAGGAACGCGCTAGGGCAACAATGTAGAGGTAATTTTGGAATAGGAACAGTGCGTTACATAGAGCAGAAGCTATAGTACCTGTGATGTATCACAAATAGGTTGACATTGATGCATATCTGAGATAGCAAGCCAGCCAAGTCAAAGTACCCATTGGACTTTTCGGCACGGCGGGTTTTTCGTTACCCAGGGACGGACGTTAGCAAGAACAGGGGACATTGGTAGGGAAAGCTGAAGTCCAGAATACCGCGGCGGATTGGGAAGGCTTCAAAGTTCTCCTGGGCCTGTGTAAGGATGTTGCAATTGAAAATATGTCTAACTAATTACTACAATATATAACGTCCCCCACTGTGTGACGAGACAATTAAGAGGTACTTTGACTTTCGGCAGCCAGAAAGCTCATGCGCGCATTGAATGTTGTTATAATTTTACGAAAACGATTTGTTTGACCTAATCCTGCATGTCTATAATCCACTTTGCCCAAGAATTACGTTCGCATCGTGGATTCCGCGACTAATTTGTGAGGCGCCTTGTGTCGTAGCATAACAGGCTTCCCTTTCCCCAATGCCAACCTTAAGCCTTAATTGCTCCAACTCTTTGTAGATTAGCCTTATCCTACCCTTACCACCTCCAATATCGAGAAGTCGATCAGCCCTATGCGCGCTGCGGGGCGCGATCTCATGCAGCGCCGCCCCGTCGATTGGTACTTCCGGCTGAAGCGAACCGCTGGTTCGGACTAATGTGCAAAGATACGTATGTCTTATCTTATACATCTGTGTATTTTCACCGTAGGATGTGTGGCTGTGCGGATTGCGTCAGTTTTCGTATCGTTTAATCCGGGATTGGGGGTGCATGTGTAATTTACATTACTTAGACAGCATACGCTAGGCCTTGTAGGTCGAGTGTCAAGTCGTCTGCCAAGAGCTATTCAGGGCCTCTCCAGCCGGATAAATCTGGACTACATTCCTGAACTATAAAAGATCTTTAGATTGCCCTAAAGGCTTTTATAGATAGTTGAAGATCATTTTAGCTGCACCGATGAACATGATTAACAGAGGCGTATATTGTCATATGGCTTTAGAATAGGTGAAGTCGTACAGGTAGATGACGAAAAGATTGACAGCATGGTGATGGATCATGTAATTTTCTATCTTTCAACTGGCCGTAGAAGCAGACGTACTCGATAAGCACCTTGAAACTGAAGTTACCCTAATTCCGCCAAATTAGAGGACCCAGTTTGGCTATTTGTCGAATCCTTTTCGGCACGCCGGGTTTTTCGTTACGCAGGGACAGACGTTACTCTTAAGAAGATAATGTTGCTCAGTAACAATAGACGTTAGATACTAAATCCCATGAGAGCTAGCATTTCTTCGTGGCGATCGCATATTACAGATATTATGTGGGGCGTAATTGTTGTTTGGCTTTGTGTTTGCACTGTCAAGTAGACGATGTATTAAAAGCTTCAAAATGAAACCACAATTCAATTACTGAGTAATGTTCAGCCCCATAAATATAAAATTTAACTACTTCTTATGTATGTACAAAAGGCCTAGCCTATAACACCCGTCCCAAATGTATATATTCTAACCTTTAAACTCTAAAGAGCCCGAAAAGTGGTTAGATATATGCTTCGTGATGTGTGAGAGCCGGCCGAATCCAAGGGCCAGTCCAAGAAAGGGCTCGATTTTCTGAGCTCCATAAGAATATCTGTGTAGGAATTCTGGAAAAATGGACTCGAGAAAGAAAACAAGCAGTATCCGGGATAAGAGTTTTATGGTCGGTGTTCCGGGTGCTTGAGAACTATAGTCGAAGTGAAGACAAGACACGAAAAATAAGACGCGGCAACAACCCCTACTGCACTCCACCGGTCAAGTACGACGAGTGATTTAAGAGCAGGGCTGACCGGGCCAGCGGCAGTGGCGCCTGCTAAGGTCAAGAGCGGCACCCTCGATGGCCTCACGCTCAATGACCTCACGCTTCTCCTTGGAGCAAGGCTGTCCTGGCCAGCGGCAGTGGGGTTCGGGGTCGGCCCAGCGCTTGATCTTGCTGCAGACGGAGTCGCCAAAGGTGCATGCCGCAGCAAATGCCTCGGCGCTTGGAGAAGCCTCAGCGAGAGCCTTAGCAATTGCCTCGGCGAAGGCATCAGCAGAGCGGCGGGCCTTGTAGCAAGTGTGAGAGGAGAACAAGCAGTGACGGGCCTCGACGGAGTTGTCAGCATCAGCATTGGGGTTGGCATCGGCGAGAGCCTCTGCAGCGGCGAGAGCCGCGCGCTTGAGACGGTCGCAGGGCTGGCCGGGCATGCCGCAAGAGCGAGCATCAAGCTCGTGGAGGTCGGGTTGGGCAGCGGCGAAAGCCTCAGCCTCGCGTTTGGCGACGGAGCATGATTGGCCTACGAAAAGGCAGGTTGGGTTTGGTTCTGGGATAGCCTCCCTCTTCTTGGAGCAAGGCTGTCCTGGCCAGCGGCAATGTGGTTCGGGATCCGCAGAGCGAGAGCATGGCTGGCCTGGCCAGCGGCAGTGAGGCTCTGGCTCAGCAGCACGCTTGTCCTTGGAGCATGGCTGACCAGGCCATCTGCAGTGCGGGTCGGCAACGGCTGCGCCATAGGCAGTGGCCGTGAGAATTGCGGTTGCGATAACTGCGGTGATCTTCATCGTGATTGATATTGCGAGCGGTAGTGAGTGAGGGTTGAGAGATCGTCGACTTTTGTGAAAAGATTGACTGTGTCGATGCTGGGATCCAATATTGCTGGAGTGCAAGGTATTTATGTACCTGGAGAAGATATACAGAGACAAAGGACTCCCGAAGAGACAATTTCCTGGTCATGATGCTGTCGTAAATCAATAGAGGACAATAATCACGGCCCAGAATAGCTTGACCTGCGGCATTGACTCGCCACACAAGTGGAGTCATCAAATTTATCGAACCATTCGGTGTAAATTGAGATACAATAAGGCCAACAAAGGTGCAATAAGACCACTATCTGTGGTCACCTGGAATATCTCTTGGTGCAGCGACTGCTCTTTCGGTCACGATCCTTGACCCCCGACCGCATAGTGATGTTGTTTTCGAATAGGGACAGTTGCCTGGAAAAAGAGAATATACAAAGAACGAGATAATGTTTCTCAATAGGACAAGGATGGTGCGTGGACGCCGATCAACAGGTGACGCATGGTGAAGCTGGTTGATTACCCGATTAGGGTCTGAATAGAAGGAGAACAAAGTCACAACAGTGACCTAGAATAACCACGACCAGAACCCAAGTATCGACCCAAACACCTAGATTCACGACTGAAAGGTAATGTACAGATGGCTTGAAGGCTTCTGGATCGTTCTTCCCCACATCGTTCCCTGGCGCAGGCAATGGTTTCGATGTGCCAAGCAAGAAAGATTGCCTCCACCGAGTCTCCTCGGTGTACTACGCACACCTGAGAGGCACACGAATCTTTTGTACAGCTGTGCCAGATAGGACCCATAGATCTGCTCAATAACTGCAGAGGAGCGCTCAAAGACGAGGACGATGTTGCCAGTCGATGGTCTCGCAAGATGTTTCTGTGGTCTCGAACATAGCCTTTCACTTGTGCCCTACGAAAGGTTAAGGGTCAATTAGTTGACGGCAGAGAGAGATTTAATATCTACTGTAGTCAGTACACGGTACACGGTCACGGTGTATCTGGAAAAGTGTTCTCCGGTTGATTAGTGCTCCCTTCAGGCACGACAGGGTTGGACGACGTCGTCTGAGACTCTGAATGTGTCTATCGATAAGAGTCGCGCTCTCACGTGGGCGCGCTAAAACTTTACTGCGGTGAGATCATGACCTCTTTCTCGCGACAAGGTATGCAGCAAACATGCGATTGCGAGCGCCTTTTGGGGCTGCCTTTACAGTTCGCATAGCGAACAATCGGATACGTAGCTCTTTACCTCTATCATGCACCGCTTTCGCATCCAGCAAACGGCTACACACTTTCCAGACCCCTCATGCCACAAATTCCGAGAAACCATACTATGTGACAACACCAATCTTTTATGTCAATGCTGGTGAGCAATCCTGAGCGCAAATGAAGTACTGCTTTGGGAATTAAATTTGGTACCAGCTCCTCATGTCGGCCACTTGTATACCATGGTCCTCGCGGACATCCTTAAACGGTGGCAGCAATTGAAGGGCCAAGAGGCTATCCTTTGTACCGGAACAGACGAACATGGACTCAAGGTACGTTGCATGGTGACCCATAACAGCCTTCTGTTGACCGTTAGTAGGTTCAAAAAGCTTCGGAAAAGGCCCGCATCGAACCCAAACTCTTCTGCGATAAAGGCGCTACTATTTTCAAAGTACGGAATCTGCCACCATTCGAAGCATCTGCTTACGTCTCTGAAGGAATTGGCACAGAAAGCAGAAATATCAAATGATCATTTCGTGAGGACAACAGATAAGGAACACCAGGATGCCGTCCAATATGCATGGGTATGCTCAATCGCACCGGGAACCGAGGCTAGACGATTGATTGACCTTGCGTAGTTTCTCCTGAAGGAAAAAGGCTATATCTATACTTCGAAGCATGAAGGGTGGTATTCCGTTACGGACGAAGCATTCTATCCTGAGGCTGCAGTAAAACCTTACCTGGAGCCGTCGACAGGTAGGGTCATTACGGTAGGTGGATCATGCCTCCATAGCCACAACGAAGGTCATTGAACAACCACAGGTTTCAATAGAGACAGGAAGTGAGGTGGAGTGGTCCTCTGAGGAAAATTACCACTTCCGTCTGTCGGCATTTCGCGAAGACCTCCTCAAATTCTACAAAGAGAACCCAACGTGGATAGTTCCTGCGCATCGTATGCAGGAAGTCATCCAGTCTGTCGAGTCGGGACTTCCCGACCTTTCTATCTCTCGACCTTATAGTCGCCTTACTTGGGGTATCCGCGTCCCTGATGATGAAACTCAGACCATGTATGTCTGGCTTGATGCCCTCATGAATTATGTTACAAAGGCCGGATACCCCTGGCAACCGGGACAGGAAAGTGCAGGCGGGTGGCCAGCAGACTGCCACGTGATTGGCAAAGATATCGTACGCTTCCATTGTGTGTACTGGCCCGCCTTTCTCATGGCACTTGGCCTACCTCTGCCTAAACAGATCCTTACGCATGCACATTGGACGCTGGGCGGCTCGAAGATGTCCAAGTCCACTGGCAGAGTGGTAGATCCGTTTCATGCTCTCGATCGATTCTCCCCCGACGTTATGCGATTTTATTTGGCACACGAAGGCGGGCTCGCAGATGACGGGGACTACGATAATAGCCGAATAGTTGGTCTATATAAGAAATTTCTGAGCGGCTCGTTGGGCAACCTAACATCGAGGGTCACACGTGGTAAGAGCTGGAGCGTCCGTGGTGCGGTCGAGCGGATTGGACATGAAGAGGTGGCTTATTGGGAAGAGGGCCCTGGTTCACGATTCTATAATCGCTCGCTACGTGGTGTAGCATCGAAAGTAGAATCCGCATTCGAAGCACACGACCCTCGAAAGGCATTATTTGAAATAGCTGATTTTATACGTGGGGTAGGCTTCACCCTTCATCAAACTTCTACTTTTGACAGCCGTACTAATCTTCTGTAGGCGAATAGCTTTTTACAAGACTCCAGTCCCTGGAGCAAATGCCTTGATTACGGACCCGGTGAACCCGGCGAAGATGTGGACAGGATTATCTACCTTGCTGCTGAAGCCCTGCGACTCGCAGGTATCCTGTTACAACCGTACATGCCTAACAAATCCAAGACCTTGCTAGACCAGATCGGTGTTCAAGAGTCGCGTCGTACACTTGCATTTTGTAGGCCTGGAGCAGACCTAGACTACGGCGTACCTATGGTGGAGCTGGGCAAGGGCCATAAGAACGTGCTGTTTCCGCCGCTAGCGAGCGATGAGTAGTACAAGTACTCGTAAGAGGTGTGTAGAAACGATAGAATCGCGCGAACCTGTGTGTAACACGACGATTATGTACTATTCTTTATGTAACATAGAATGTAAAACGAATCTACTCCGTCAGTACTCAGAACATGCAAAATACCTCCAAGTCTACTGTGCCGCCACTTGTAATGTGCTTTTGAAAGTGTGAATTGACAAGATGCATCGTCTTAAGAGGGAAGAACTAGCGTCGTCCGCGTTAGGAAGGCGTAGCCTAATCCTACCTTTGCCTAGTCCTGTATTTTCGGAAACGGAACACTCACACTGAATCACACCAAACCCACTGTTTTCAATACAGCGCCTGCTGTACCATGACTGCTTTATTTTATATCCTAGATTGCTGAATCCTATATCCAGAAACACTTTATCTCATCTCCCTCGGTAGGCTGCGTTTCAAGCTGCTATGGCCGACTGGGAGCAGCTTGCGAAGCTGCGGCGTGAGTACCCAAAGCCAAAAGTGAAATTCGGTTTGGCGGAGGTCACGAGGAGGTTGAAAAAGAAACCTTACGACCCGTATCTACTCGTGAGAAGGCATAATCCCCATATTTACACTATGTTACTGATCACGGACTCAGGCATGGCGTGCTGATATGCTGTTGCGCCTGGGAGATGCAGCTGAGTGTCGCAAAATATTACTTTCTTTATACGAACGGCAAACGCCCTTAACGGACACCAGACTGCTTTCTTATGTGTACGAAATTCAGGTTGATTTATCACGTTCGTTTCCTTCCAATCAATACCTCCCGCACACGGCTGGCGAAGGCGTCATTCGGGCCTGGAAAAACGCTGCTAGTCGAAATCCGCTCCTGAAAAAAGTACGGCTTGACTTATGGTCCGACTTTTTCAAATGTGCAGTGAAGGAAGGGTGCTGGTCTGACGTTCAATTGGTATGACTTTGGTAGTCATCGAGACAGTCCTTAGCTGATTGAAATCTTAGTCCATCACTCAAGTAAGAGGTGACAGCAACCTGTCTAAAAAGCAACTCGCCTTTACAGAGATTCTCGCCTATCAATTATCCATGGAAAATGCCATGGAGACGGCCAGACGCGTGAATGGCCCTCCTGACCCTCAAAATAATCTACGCCGTGAGCTTGCGTATCGTAGGTTGCTCGCCGCATACCGAAACGCGGGATCGGAGGTGCGTAGATGAGTTCATCTGTAGAGCCGCATACTAACATTGGAGGGCAGAAGGAACCCGTTCAAATACAGAATATCAGAGATCTTCGATTCATGGCCGAGATCTTCTATCGACAGGGAAGGCTTGCGGAACTTTTGGATCTCTGGAACTTTCCACCGCCTGCTCTGAAAACCTTGCACGACAATAATGAAAATGACCTCGACCTACTGATTGCACAATTGCTTGGAAAACAGTTGTACTGGAAGCCCTTGGCGGATTTCTGCCTAACAAAACTCAATGAGCAATTGATAAGGCTATCTGAGAAGGACGGGGATAGGATGGCGCCACGAGTCTATGATCAGAGCTGGAAGTTTTGGCGATGTATCGTAGTAGCACTGGACAATATGTCTCGCCAAGATATGCTAGAGTATGTTCCACCATAACCATATGATTTGAAAATGTTATTGACAATTCTAGATACGTCGAAAAAATCCAATACACCTTCCAAGGATCTTATGGACCAGGACTGGTACCGAAAGAACGAATCGCTTTGTTAACGCATGTAACAATGGTAGCGAGAGTAGCGAGAACCGGCGGCTTTGCTCTTGACGCTTGTCGTAATTACTGGGTCAGATACATGTGTACATACTCGTGTTACAACGACCTACATCGCTCTGTCGAGTCGTTGGAAAGACATGATCAGGTCGAATTTCACCATATGATAACTAGTCTCGCAAGGGGTCTGGTTCCAGATACAGAGGCTGATGACAAGGTTCGTGGACACTTCTTTTCGCTGCGTACATTCGCTCACCGTCAGTTAGAGAACACGAGCTTGGCTCCAAGCAGAAGTAAACGTCTTAAAGTTTGATTATCTGCTTACATTGGCCTTGGCTGCAGAACCCCAGAGCGAACTCTGTGAAGGCTTCATAAGCAGCGCATTGCGGCTGTACCAGATTGCGGCTCGATTGAAATCTGAATTGCTCGGTGATATCGGTACACTGGCAATAACGGCAATGCTGAGCCTATACCATATCTATGTCGTTGCTAATGAACTCCCTGGCAAATTGGGTGGGAATACCCGTCTCCTGTTGCAGGCTGCAGCATTGTCACTTCATATGACCGCAGGGGAAGCAGGGGACAAGAATCGACCATTGGTTCTACTCTCATCACGCGTACATCTCACAGCAGGACTGACTACGATCGCATTTCAGCAATGGGATCGGGTCCCCATCAAGCAAATGCTCCTAGATACGACATCATACCTCCTTTTGACGCGAATCTCGCATATCCATCCTTTCGACACGATGAAGCCGAAAAGGGTTTTACCAGACGAACGACTTATTGACAGCATCCGAGCCATCGAAACTATGGAGAAGAAGGTCGACGAACTGCTCTTCACGCGTATGAAGGACTTCCAGTACGATCAGGCTTTCGAGCTATTGGACGCGAAGCACAGACTTCGATCGAGCATAACGAAGCATTTCTGCATACTTGAGCGAAGGAGCATTGCTCGTTTGACGGGAAAGGCACTTGACGAGAGCATGGAGCTCGACTGCAAAGGTAAGATCTAGACGGAGCCACCCATGTGAGACATGTATGCTTATGCTTTGCCAGCTTTCCGAAACATCAAGGACAGCCGCGATCTAGGTGCGCTGCCGGGCTTTGAGCGACATGGCGTCCCTGTACACTGGTTGGCGATGCCCAACACTTCACCAAATGACTACTCGACCCTTATGAACTTGGAGCTCATCCACACAGAACAAGAATTGACATACAGAATTCTGAACAAGGAGCCTATTCCGAACATCCTGCAACAGGAACAAACCAATCTGGAACTAGTAGACCAGTCGGACCCTTATGGCAGTGACAGCAGTGACTCGGTCCGAACGGATGAATCCAAGAGGGCGATGCAATACGACATCGACTATGCATGGGAACTGATCGCATCCTCCGTACGCATGATCTACAAAGAGGCGTATAAAACGAAAATGATAGTTGAAAAACTTCAAATACTGTCCGATGAGATAATAACGTCAAACGGAACGCTCGAGATGATGCAATGGAACATGGAGCAAGCGCAGAAGGACGACCCGGTCAACGCGCACATCGGCCTCCACGAGAAGATCATCCTGTACTGGTACAGCCGCCTGGAGCAGTACCAGGTCATCCTCAAGTTCTGTGACTTCGTCCAGGAGAGCATCAAGAAGCAAGTCCATCTCAAGGCCAAGGTCCAGGACTCCTACTTCCAGATGTTGCGTGGGGCTGCCAAGAAGGGCACGGAGATAATCCAGGAGACAGCCAGAGGCTGGATCGCGTACCTGAGACGGGGCGGACGTGCCGCTATCAAGGCGCAGATCCGCTGGGGTCCTTGGAGCGATGAGTTGAGGAAGATCATCCCGGACGACGATGTCCACTTCTACGCTGGCGAGTACGTCGACTCGTACATCGATTCGCTGGAGGGGATTCTGAAGGTCAAGGTCGGGAAGAAATGAATGCATATCGTAAGCCATTCGGCGGTTCTTGGGAAATGGATTCTGACACTCGCTTTGGGCAAGTTTTAGAAGGGTTGGCCGGCAGTAGGGCTGTAGTCATTTCTAGAAATCGAATTGAAAGTCAGTGGGTGGTGAAACGCGAGCATACATGATCAATGTGCAATCACAGCATAGGGCTACTGAATGATCGGTTTTCGCTCGTCAATTCCTCGATTGAATAGAAAGTTGATTGTCGCCTCTGGGAGTTCCTTGTAGTAAAAGTGACAACAGAGCAAGTGGCTAGAAGACCTAATATCAACGTACCCCTCATGTCATGAAAAGGAGTAGACCAATCATTCGCTCAGAAAGCTTTCGCATTAAGAAAAGGAAGAAAAGGAACACTTTCCATGATCGCCCCGACCAAAATGAAATTGCCCATTGTGGATATCTTAAGCTACAGAGAAAAAATAATTATGAAGGAAAAAAAGAGGGAAAAACCAAGTCCAGAGCACTAAGCCCACCGAGCAGAAGTGAAAAGAGAGGAGAAGTGGAAAGAAATAGAGAGAGTGTGTGTGTTTATAGGTGTTCTCGTTACTCAGGTAGAATCATGCCCAGAAAATATGCGAATCGCATATATCACAAAGGTCCAGAGAGCAGTGAGCGGTATAGACAGTTGGCGTCTTCACTTCTTCTGGCTCTGCCCATTGTTCTGGTGACCACCACCCAGGTTCTTGATGAAGTCCTTGCCCTTGGCAGCGAGACCCTTCACATCCTCAGCAGCGTTGGAGCCCCTCCTGGCCTCATCGCTCTTCCGCCTGTTCCTCTCGCGGTTGGCGCGGGCCTCCTCGGCGGATGGGGCAGCAATGTTGGCGGCACCGCCGCGGCCATAGTGGTGTGGGCCCTCGGGGTCGCGGTGGATGGGCGCATCGACGTCCTGGCTTGCGCGGGCAATCTCAGGGCGATGGGGGTCGTTGCGCGCAATGTTACCAGTGCCCCCGCGGCCTGTGGTGTAGTGCTCGGCCTTGAGGGTTGGTGTGACGAGGTCCGCGGGCTGCGTATGTGTAGTGGGGTCGTCGCGACCGATGTTGCCTGCGGGCGAAGGTGTTAGTTAGATTGTAGCAAAAAGTTGGAAGTGGTTTTTTTCCTTTCCGAACAGGCTTAAAGAGACATGAAGGAAGAGGATTCGGAAAGAACATGGAAAGAACATGATCTATGAGGTGGTTGGAAGGCGGTTGGATTCACTTACCAGCTCCTCCGCGGCCATATGAGGCAATGCGCTGAGCGTCTCCGGCGGTGCGGTCGGACATGACCATGGTGGATAGGAAGGAATAACAGTTTTTCGACGAGGTTGTTATTATTGTTGTTGTTGAATTTCTTTTAGAGGGGAAGGAAACTGGCGAGGAAATAGTAGTTCGAGTAGTGTGTTGTTGGCTTCCAGAGGTGGGGAAGTGGATCGATCTTGTTTAGGCGGTTTGGCGGGATTAGTAGAGAGAAAAGCTTTGTTCGAGAAGGTCCCGGAAATGGATGGTGTGATTTGCGCAAGGACTGAACAGTACTCCGTATTGGTAGGTACCTAAGGTAGAGGTCGAGGTCGAGGTAGTATCGTAGGTATGCCGGTTGGATTGAGTTGGATCAAATCTTTGATTTAATAGAAATAGAGCCAGACAGTCAGACAGTCAGACGTAGACAATGAGGAAGGCGCGTGAGGGTTTTGCAAAGATCTGATGGTTATGACGCGACCGACTCAGAGGGGAAGGACGAACTCTTTTATAGTAGATATATTAATTACCTTTAGTTGGTGATTGACGAAGCAGAGTGACGGGCATCGACCTCTTCAGCGTTCGCCAAAATTCCCACCACTACAATGTACTACGCCCTCTCCATCTTCGTCTTTTTTCTTTTGGTGGGCTAGACCGCGACAATACGACTGCAAGCCTTCTGTCGGTGAGCTTTGCTCGGGTCAAACAGACCAGATTAGTCGATTGCAGCCACGGAGGAATCAATGTTTTCTGAAGGTCAGCGTGACCGATGTCACTTTGCTCTATTCGCACAAGGACAATCACCCGGTATGGCGTTTGAGTTCGCGCCCAGGCATGGCACTGGTACTATGGTTCCTTCATGGGCCCAGCAGCAAAGCGCCGACGGCCACGTGCAACAACATGATTTTGCTGTGCCGTCTTCTTGTTATGCCCATGCCCGGCGGCGGCGGCAGTGGACCTCGGGTTCGCGATTGATTGATTCATCGATTGATTCATCGATGACTGATTGAGTAGATTCTGTCTTTCATTGACCAGAGTAGGAAAACCAATTCGGTGCTGCCTGACGCAAAGAATCGCTTCGCTAATTGCGGGAGCCTACGCACGCTAATTCGCGCAATCAATCATCCAATTCTTTGCGGAATCATCAATCAGGCACATCTGGGGTACGCGCAATCCAGAGGACACAAGACGCGCATGCTGCTGATGACGACTAAACAAGGCATCATTGTTGGACTCGATTGGGTGTTGTGCAAGGGCATTGAATGGGGAGGAAAGGGCGAGGGGCGTCATTGTGTCGAACGTCTAAGAGCTGAGGGCGAGGGCGAGGGCAAAGACCGGGGCGACGGTAATCGGGGGTTGGAGAGGAAATGGTTTCCTCTTTAAGGACTTCTTTTTGATCTACCCACTCTATCTATCTATCTATCTATCTATCTACTGCAGTATCTGATCTACATGGGACAGATGGGAATGTTGCTTTTTCCATCCTCTGCAGGTCCACAAGTCTGCGCTGATAACGGAGATGACAGCGCGATATGACCAGCAACAGACAGTGAGACATTACTCGCTGTGCTGCGTCTTTGCATGCAACATACGGTCATACCTCAGGCACCCATGCATCAATTTAATCTTTAGAAACTCATTCGTTGGAGGGAATTCCCCCGCGCCCCGCCGAGATCTTACAAACTTGACTGGGCAATGTATGGGTATTAACCAGAACGACATGGTACGAGGTAACTCAAAGGCAGGGCAAAAAGACAAGGCCCAGGGGATCGGCGGGGAGCATTTGCATCTCACGCTCACGCGATTATCATAGATCCAAGCAATGTAGGCGAACGAACCATCTTTCATGAGTCTTTCAACGACATTCCATTCATCGTGTCCATGTCTATCTATCGTTACTGTCATCCCCTGCTGCCCTGCTTTGGGAAGAAAACACGAGCATTATCAATCATGACTCCCAACCAACAAGTCATCCAATAATCCTACTAGTACATACACGATGAACCCAGTCATCCGCAGCAATGCTGCCCGGGATTGCATCGCCTGCCTCGGCACCCCTTGTCGTCGTTGTTGCTGTTCTTCTGTCGTTTGTTGTTGCCTGATGATCATGGTAACAACTGAGCCAACTCCGAACAGCCCCAAAGACAGGATGACAAGACAGAAGAGAAAAACAGTCAAAGGCCAGAATACTCGACAGCCTCTGAATCCAAAACGCCCATCTAAATGATAACAAAAAGACATGCAGAAATACAATAAAGAGATAATCAAAAATAAAAAAAAATAAAAAACATGTTCCTGTACAATCCTCCATCAATCGATTCGGAAAGTGAAATTACCAAATCGAGGTCCCATTCAACGCCGCCGTAGATGCTTTACTCCCAATACCATTACATACAAAAACCAAAAAGAAGAAGAGCAAATGTCGAACGCCAGTCGGAAAGGGTAATCGAAGACTATGCAGTCTCAAGGTGGAGATGTAGTCGTTGAAGGAGATATGATTCGAATGTGTAGGAGAGAGGAAGGCGGTTCATATATGCTCGAGTCGTAAAAGCAATAAGAATATGTCCGTACACGCGAGATTGCAACGGGTTCGTTCCGAATTGTCTTTGTATGTGGTGTTGCTCTCTCGAATGCAAAACGATGGCGGCCGCTCGTTCTTGTTCCGGAAATGGGAGAAGAAGAGAGGACGCTATCGGTTTGAACATCCCGGATCGAGTGTCGAGGATCCATTGGATGATACACATCTAAAGATATGGTTAGAGAAACACCGAGGAGGATTGTGAGAGAAAAGAAATCCAAACGTACAATAGTGGTAGATATCAAGGAATGACATCTATCCTCCGTCCCGTGGCTGGGCTTCGTCGCCCGCCATGGCTAGCAGCCTGCTTGTGGACGATGATGAGGTTGATGACAACATCGATGATGTGAGTCTTTTGTTTGGTGCTCCTCCGTCTCGAGGCTGGGGGTCGTTGCCGTAGGTTTGGGGCTCGAGGATTTCAAGTCTCATGATGGAAAGGGTGGTGGTGCAGATAGTTATATCGTTCAGGTGAATATTGGTTGCTATGGCCTGAGGCAGAGTATACGAGCAGTGGCTGAAGTGTGTAATGCAGTCAATCAATTATGTGGATGGCAAAGGAGGCTGATTGCGAGGTTGAAGGTAGGTTGAATTGATGTCTTAAACTATTGTGATGGTGCTATGGGTAGAATATATGTACAGTTCGGAGGCCTACCAGCACTACCGGGGTCCCGTAAAGCCACAGCCATTATGACTGGAGAATGCCTCATTGAACCTGTTACCAGCTTCAGGAACATGCCATCATAGTTGCCTGAGTTGCCTGTTCATGGCGTATGACACAGAATGGTAGGCAACTCGAGACTACAAGCTTCACCAGCGGTGTCGAAAGAGGAAACAGGGGCCAGCACCGCCCTAGAGGGATGCTAGAGGGATGGGCGAATGAGGAGGAAGGGCTATTGAGGCTCATCCTGGAGTAGGACAGGCAATTGCAGGCTGCCAAACGATCTAATGGCCTTCCAGAAGAACGAAGAACCCCAATCTGCTGGGGTGTAATCGAACTTCGAGTCACCGGCGTTGGGGCTTGAGATGGTTCAATGATGGGTTTTGTGGCTGAGGCCCACCGGCCCAGGCAGAAAACCAGGCGGAAGACTTGAGGCACCCACCAGTTTGCGAGTGAGTAGTTGACCGGTAGCGGATGAGGTCAGGACTCGAGTAGGAGTAGTAGTCATAATGGTTGTTGTAGTGGACGAGTACATGGTTCGTTGCCTATTTTCCCGAGGATTCCCAGCTCTTGGTTACGAGATAGGTTTAGCTGGCATTTGCGCGGCTGTGCAAGGCTTCCTCGCTCGGTGGCTCGAAAAAATCATAAGGGAGCGGAAGGTCCTCCGTTTTCTGCTTTCCAGCTCTCTACCGGTATGACTCTGAACAACGAATAATAATGACAGGATGTTGTCTGTCTCTTTTGGACCAAGAAAGAAGAAGAAACACAGCCCGTGCTTGTCGTTGCGATAAGGAACCTTCATCCCTTTCGAATTGTTGTTGATGGTTGATTTGGTCGAATTGGTGCTGGCGCTGCGCCCGGTTGCCGACTTCTTGATTGGGTTTATCGATATCGGTCGCACCAACGCCTCCACCATTGTCGCATTGGCTTCGCATACGTCTGCTACAGGCCCGTCCTATCTCATTCCGTTGTCCACTACTTTCTTTGTTTGATGGTTTCTGTGTTGATCTCTCGAGAGGAAAGAAAAATAGAGGGATAGGGAGAGATAGGTTCATGGGTCCAAGGAGAGATGATCGGCCCGGTGCCAGACGTGATGGTGCCGCGATGGTGAATTGGTCCTCAAACATTGATGCAGAAGAGCAGTAAAGCCGAAACTCCGAGACAAAACGTATAAAGCACCAGGGATGGGGCTTCAGGGAGTGGTGGTGGTCGTAATGGTCGTAGTTTATGGAGGAAGCGAAATTGGTGATTCACAATTCGGTATATTCCTCAGTTGGTCTATAGATACACAGCCATGTCAGTAAGGTCAATTGCTTCATAGCGGTGGGAATTGGTAGTCTGAATAGATGATTACTTACCGATAACCACCATCTCGGCTTTCGTGTCCAGGATCACCATTCTTAGGCGAGTAGTCGTTTGAAAGAATGCTATTGGTTGACTGCATGGTGATGATACTTGTGTGTCGAAATGGAAGATTTGGTCTTCAAGGTTGATGTATAGAAGAAGAAGAAGAGTCGATAATGGTGTTGCCGTTTGGTAGATGGACAGCAGTACGGTAGCTTTGACTTGTTGTATTTGTTTCTGGATCTCTAAGTGCTCTTCTTGTAGGAACTTTATATATTTATTTATATATACACATTTCATGGTTGAACCTCCAAGCTCTGGACCTCCAGTCCCAGATCAACGCACAGAGAAGAGGGCGCCGGCAAGGACCATGGCACATGCGTGGGACTTGTTAACCTGCTTCTCTGGCCAAGTCAGACTCAGGCACGCGCACTGAGCGATGAATGCTCACACAAAGGGAGCCCCGGACGGCGACCGTAAATGGAGGGCAACTTCTTCTCGACTTGACCCTGTTTATGGTGGGCCAGACCAATCAGGCCTCTTACGAACAGGCCCGCTTCACTTTCCGGCGTCTCAAGCAGGAGTCCGCCTTCACAAGTATTTCCTTTTTTGCTGACCATGACGTGAGCAGGTTGACTTCGTGTAGTGCGTAGCGTGTAGGGAAGAGGTAGCGACAATGTTGAAAGTACAGCGTTGGGACGAGTATCTAGTGACTGACGAGTTGGTTGGGGGATGTAAACGCGCCTCACGAATTGATACGACAGCATCACCAGTCACAGCCATCCATCATCATCATTAACTACCATCCTTGTCTACCACTCTTGAGCCTTGCCACATCCCGCAACGCCCCTAACCACAACTGCCTACCAATTACTACTGTGTACACATTCTACCGGGTAGATACAATAGTAACCCATACCATACCTTCTGGAACATCGCTGTGACGTGAAGCTCGGATGCGGCTGTGCTTCCGCGCCCAAAGCGTTTGTTCGGCCACAGTGGCTCTTCAGACGTGGCTAATGGATGGATAGGCCAGGAAATGGGCCGGCCGAGCAAAGTAATTTGCCCTGTCTCATTGTAGACCACAACAATTACCTACTCACACGGTACTAGGTAGTAACTAGTGACTGTCTGTCCTTCTGGAAAGAGGTCATAGATCATGGACGTGTCAGACTGCAAGGACATACCATAGCCGACGAGACTTTGTGGATAGAGCCGCCGCTCGCCTATCATTCCGTGCGACTTTTGTTCAGTTATGACGCTCTGTTTCATCCCTTTTCAGTCCCAACAACTGTAAGCACATGTGTACGCGAAACAATGGCATCTGAGAGGTGCAATTCATACACACCACGCCCTCTCATCTAGTAACCCATTTGCCCGCTGCGCCCCCGACGCCCTCTCTCCCGTTACACAAGCAACAACAATACCTGACCGCTAGACTATCTGTGAACTGAGATCGCAGGCGAGGCACGAAACATGATGCCTTATGTCGTCCTCCTAAACATCTATTTGCCGTGCCGTGTGTTTTTCAGCACCGCCCTCATCCTGCTCCTCCGTCGAATCAAGATGATGCAAATGACACGACTGAAAGCTCTGCTCACCCCAATATTGCTTTCCCCTCCTATGAACTGATCGTGAGGCTTCAAGACGTCCTCCAGGAAGGGAGCGAGCGTCCTCCAGAGGATGAACGCGTCAAGGGGCTGCGTAACCATTATTCCTGAGTCACAGGACTGACCGAGTGATGAGTCCCTTTGCCCTCCTTCGTCCAGTGTCTAGGCAGATGTCTGCTTCGTATTTCGCGATTAATTGCATTATTCACCTAATCGAGATTTACTTTCTCTAACGGTGGCCTGTGATTGCAATGACTGTCTGGGTTTCCACAATTCAGTGGTCCGCCCGACCGCAGCTGGCGATCTCAACTTCAACCGCCTCCAAGCAATCTGAGCTTTTTCAGCCCTGACGTCTCAGGTCAAGCTTGGTGGGCCCTCTATCCGCCCGTGACGCGAGATTGCCCTAACACTGTCGTGTCGCTGCCAGGACCCGGAAGTACCCGCCTACGCCGCCGTCCAGACTGGCTTCACACAGTCTGCCACAAAGAAGGGACAAGCAAGCAGCCCTCCAGCTGGAGGAGCTGAGAGAGATTACTAATGCCTGGAAGCACATGATCTGGGTGCGGTATTGACGTGGCTCTACTGGTAATTACTACACATATGCACTTCTCCTTTGCTGTCGTGGCTGGTGCGTCGAACGTCATGTTAAGCTTAATGTTCCATTCAGGGTCCCGGCGTGGGCGCGTATCGCATTGCATCTATTTGCGGCACATGAATGCTCTCCTACCTCTACATACGGCATAGCATCAGGACGAAACGTGTACGCCTTCCCGCACGTGTTGAGAATGTGAATACAATATCACCTTCTCTATCTGGCGTTGCCTACAGCTGCCGAGCGAGTCACGTGGAATTGCATTCATCATCCTTACAGCGGTAGATGATGTAACGTACTGTGTACGTACAGTTACATGCTCTGCAACATACACTTACCGCCTTTTCCTACCGGAGATTCAGGTGAAGACTCCCGCAAGCGCCGAGGTGGCCAAGTGTTGAGACTCAATTGTGGGATGATTGGTGAGAACGGCGTCTCATGTATTGGTACGAGATACACCGTTGTTCGGTCGAGGCCACCTCTCTGGGAAGTATCTTGTGATCGTTGGAAAGCTCCAAAGCCACGGTTGGTTGATAAAGAAACTGTGTAGGTCGTTGCAATGATAATCTACGAACACTTGTGTCATATGGCGATGGAATGATCTGTGCTATTTCGAAGTGAAAAGAAATAACGACAAACTACAGAGACATCACCTGCCACGATAATCAAACAGCCCGATTTGATGCATACCTGCAAGGTCACGGTCGAAATGACTTGTACTCGCACGAAAGGTGGGATACTCGGCAACCCCAGAGACCCGCGGGAGCGGAACGGGCAGCAAGCAGCACCAACCCAGGCTCATTTTGCGGGGGAGGCAAGGGGTTAATCAATTACTAGTCGGCCCAATATCTCCTTGCACGGAGAAGAGACTGTAGTTACACACGATATGGGTACGACAAATCTCATCAAATAAATACTGTAACAACAATTCTTCTACGTGCACTTACGGAGTATGCTGTCTTTACTCACTCAATCTTTTGCAATTGCGACTGATCAACTTGTTTCCGGGGTAGACGGGATCTTCACTATCGAAAAAGGGTAAAGTCCTTAGCAGCCACTCCATGCCAATACAGCCTGCGGCGTAGGGCATGCGGTCGATGAATGGCTGGACGCAAGACAAGCAGCCAATACTCTTGCGAGATCCAACTATTCAGGAACAGATCAGTTCTAGTTCTGATAGATTAACCCCCTCGCCCGCTCTTCGTCCTTTGCCTTCGACCTTCGTCTCTTTCTTGCACTCCATCCAAAGATTTCTCGAGTAGAACCGACTCGAAGTGTTGGACGTGAAGCTGTCGCTGCAATACATTATCACCTTAGAAGATAGAATCAAGGTCTGAACGTCGAGTCTCAGGTCAGCTTTCACAATCATCATCATGCGTCTCTCCACCACTGCCGTTCTCGCCGCGCTCTGCTCAGCAGCTTTAGCTCAAAACCTCCTCGACCAGCTGCCAAAATGCGCTGTAAGTTCTCCGCCATAGGCATCTTCGTAGACGCACAAGCTCAGATAGTGTACAAAACAGCGAGACTGCTTTGGTAACAGCTTCGGTAACTGCGCGCCCCTCGATATTCCTTGCATCTGCGGGAACCAAACACGCATTGCAGCGCTCTCCTGCTGCGTCTCACAAACGTGCGAGGACAAGGACGAAGAGAGTACGTTTTTCATTCTCGCGCCCACCTTCAACCTCGAAGGCGGAGAACAATACTGATTTCTGGTGCTACTAGACACAATCAAGTTCGCTAGGGACATCTGCTCAGCGAACGGCATCACCGTGCCTACCCAAGCATCTTGCGCCGCCTCTCAGACTGGAGCTCCGTCCACGGCACCACCGAGTTCTGCCGCTACCAGCGGCGCGAGTACTGCAGCGAGCTCTGCAGCGAGCTCTGGAGCGCCCCAAAGCTCCGCTGCGACGGCTGCCACCCAGAGTCCGGGCGCTGCTCCCACGCCATTGGTAGCTAAAGGTATTGGTATGGGATTGGTCGCGGTTGCTGGTGGCCTGCTCGCTGCTTTGTAGGGTGGCATAATTGGAGACGCTGCTGCAATGGAACTTGATGGAGTTGGAGTTGCTTAATTGTACTGCAACAACTGGAAAGTATGGGTTTTCGGATTTGCGTAACAGCGGAGCCTAGGTAATTGGACATATCATGGGATTTAATTGATGCCATAATCATTTCGCAGTATGCATAACTGCCATGGTCGCGTGCCTGATGTTTGAGCGGAGCAATGGGTACCTGGAGAATGGCTCTAGCGAGGAGAAACAACCTCTCTCACTACTTCGTAAAACCAAGAAACAATAAACCGAACGAATGAATTGAAGCTGTTTGCAAATCGTGCATGTCGCTTGCTGAAGGGAAAAGAATGGGTCATGGTATCTAATAAGTTATGCAATGAGCTTTGCTAAGCGCACGGGGCGGCTGGTACTCTCATCTTCCTCGTACACACATCCCACTCTGCCTTGCTTGCCGCATCTCCGCCAAACAATACGCCCGCCGCCGCCTCCTCCCTCTTCTAACCTCCGCAAGTACACACCAATGGAACCCTGAACGATGAACGAAACTCCCTCGAGAATATAGCTGGATCTGACCATTCCCACACTCATTCCGCCATGGTCGTCAATCAATCCAATTTCAAGCGGGCAATGCCCGCAGCGTCGCCGGCGGCGCCGCTGGCCTCTCTGCGCAGCGCGAAGCTCGTGGACGAGAAGGCCATACTGCCAGCGGGTATGTAGCCTTGCAAATACTCTCTAAATATTACACTGGGGAATCCTGACGTATCATGTAGAGCTCATCGCGACCATTCTCGATTACCTCCCCGTTCCAGATATGTTCAGATTCGCACGCACGTCGAAACGCATGCAAGAAATGGTGTATGACGATACGCGATGGATACAGCGGCTGAAGGCCATGGGCTGTTGGAACGACCAGGAGGCTCGACAGCGGTTCGACGAAGCTATGAGGCGGAAGGTGGAGGCCCAGCGTTTGAAGGAGGCCGAGGACGCAAAGAAAACGGGTGTGGGTGTCAATGGCGCCGAAGGCGAACGGAGCGTAAGCACGACATTGTTCGATGCAGGATTCGAGGAGGAGATGCAGAGGAAGTCTGTCGACCGGAAGGTTAGGCCCCGAGCCTCCACGCTGGATAAGGGCTTCGATGATATGACGCTGAGCTCACCGTCAAGTGCTGTTGCGGGCACAAGACCCTTCAGTCTGGATCCGAATTTGGCGTTGAAGGTGCTTTCGCGGGTACGATCCATCCGGGGGATGGCAAGGCAGGAGTATGGGAGAATATATGGAGCGCTGGCGCCGTATTACCTTGATTTGGCGAGGTCTAGGAGCCATGCCGATCCAGTTCTGTTTCGAACGTATCGAGATCCAGAGCAGCAAGCTCACATGCTGTCCCAGCTGAAGACATTCGCCAAGAGCGATTTTGCACAGGGCTGGAGCCAGAGAGAAGAGAAGCTAGACACGATGATCGGAGTGTTTGAAAACGCAGTATTGCGGGAATTCGAACAGGGATACGAACAAAAGGATTACGATGGCAAGATGAAGAGATATGCTCATGTTCTTGTGAGCCTGAATGGCGGCTCCGCTGGAATTGATTTCTACATTCACAACCACCACTTGATGACGGACAAGGAAAAGCTTGGAAACCCTGCTGACTGTCTGCGACAAGCTGGCTCAAGCGGCATCACTCTCACTCCCTCCCATGAATACTTTCGAGGTCTTGCAATTGCGCTAAATGAGGAGGCCGCCATCATTGACCGTGTTTTCCCATCGACCGTGGACGTCCTACTCCCCTTCCTTGAACGAGTAGGCGAGGATATCATTTCCGAGTACATCACATTATTGTTTGATGAGGCACACGATGCAAATCTAGAAGCATATCTTAAAGCCGTTTCGGGGGTGTATGAGCAAGCTCTTCAGCTGGCCGTTTCCCTTCACTCCACGAAAGGTTCGAAGGCCAATTTCAAAGACGAGGCAATGCGAATCATATCGCAATGTTTCGAGCCGCATATCGACCTGTATCTCCAGGAAGAACTAGACTTCTTCAAGAACAAATCGGCGGCAGAGGTTGATGCGTGGGAGAAACGTTTGACCGAAGAAGAACAGTCGCAGGAGACGTTTTACATGTCCAACATCAACCGGCAAGCGGCAAAACGTGACTTCCTCACTTCTTTCAAGAAGGTTGTGATGATGCCAGTCAACGTGCTGCCCACGATAGGCGGATCTAGCTCAAGTAAGCCTACGACCAGCGTGCCTGCCATAACTGGCGATAATTTAGCTGTCACACCAAGATCTGGCACTCCAGTACCTGGTGATGGATCAGTCTCTCCAAGACTTCCAGAGGCTCCAACCAGTGAGTTGGCTGCCAAAGCGGCCATCATGAACTCGCGATTAGAAGGGATCCGTTCTCTCTTCAGTATTGAGGTCGCTCTTAACTTGATTCATACCGCCAAGTCTAGCCTTGAGCGCGCCGCAAAGTTCGTGAGACTGGGGGATCAGTCCGGCGAGGAGTCGAAAGAGCAATGTGAAAACATCTTCATCAGTCTATTGCAGATTCTCGGAGGTCGACATATCAAACCAGGCTTTGACAAGGCGGTCAACCACCTGGCTGAGTACAAACCCCGAGAGGTAGCCGATCATAGCCAACAGGGCGTTGCGCCTCTGGTGGCCTTTCTTGAACTCGTGAATGTTGGTGATTTGATCCAGCAGATGGTGGAGGTGTTCTACCTGCAAGAACTGGTTGCTGCAAGTCTTACTGACCGGGACGACTTTCTCAGCCCCGCTTGCAAGGAGAAGAAGCGATTCGAGCAAATGCTCGATGAGCGAGTCGCGGCAGGACTGAACAAGGGCATAGATGTGCTCATGGATGAGGTCGAGTACTTATGTGGCGCCACTCAGGCACCCACAGATTTCAACCCGATCGGAGGGGCGATAGATATCGGACCCAGTCAGACGGCTAAGAAGATTGTGGACATGGTCGCTTCTCATACCAGTATGTTGGTTGGTAGCACAGACAAAAATGTGCTGGACGTTTTCAATCAAGAGGTCGGAGTGCGACTGTTTACTGCGCTCTGCAAGCACCTAAAACGACAAAGAATCAGCGTTGATGGTGCTATCATGCTAATCAGGTAAGCCGGCCTTGATCAATTCATTGTCTTCTGTTGCATGCTAATCTCTCCAACCAGTGACATGAATGCGTACAATGCGTACATACAGTCGCTGCGGAACAAGTCGTTGTCGCAGTACTTTGCTGCGCTGAGGGAGCTGTCACAGATCTATCTGATTGATCCGAACCATGCAAAGGAGATTGCAACGATCATTGCAGACTCGGATCGGTACCACGGCATCTTCAGGGCGGAAGAGGTGTACGAGTATGCGGAGCGCAGGGCTGATTGGTATCAGATTAAGTCGGCTGTTGAGAAGCAGATGTATGGAGTTGGCTGCGTCATGATGTAGATGAATGTATAACGAAACATAACGATACTATACTGCCCCGTACGTGGGGAGTGTATAAACTATAGATCTACAAACCACTGCCACTGCCACTGCCATTTCTATAGGTTAAACTCATGCATCAACGTATTTGATTGGGACTTTGCCCTTTGTACACACTGTACTCCGTACTCGGTACCTAGGTACGGAGTACAGTATTATGGATTTCCCCGGATCGTCCACCCAGCACCCAGCCAGGTCGCAGCCCAGCCCAGCCACCCCAAAATCTATGGAAAGGGCTAGACTGGAGGGAACCGAGCTAATCCCGGCTTGTTCCTGGTTGGTCCTGGTTGGTCCGCCGCAGCGTCACCTCCGGGCGTCGTCCCATCCACCTTAAGCCGACCTACTAACCTACTAACCTAGTTAACCTAACCTCTCTGCTCTCTCTACCTACTACTACTCTCTCTCTCTTCCTTAACAAACCATCCCATAACCATCCGTCACTTTATCCATTACAACCAACCTACATAAACAGCTTCCACCACCCCCACCTCTGTCGCATTTGCTGCGCATTCCCGCAATCATCGCAATTCTGTTTGGACCTTCAACTGTCAAGCAATCCGCTCGCTTGAGTCTTGTACCTTACAAAGAGCCCTGCCTGCCCCCACTAGAAGAACTACCGTTTTGAGACACCATCTGATCACTGTTCGCTGGCGCCCGCTGGCGCTCTTCCAAGTTCATCACAACTTCACACAAGGCGCTTCCGCCGCAACGCGACCTCCAGTCTATTCCGCTATCTCTATAATTTCCAACTTCCGCTACTTTTGAGGAAATCACTTTGGTGATCAACAAACAGCTTTATCCTCACAGCGGAGCTCAAAGGTTTCACCCGATATGGCTCGTGAGTATACCCATCTCAGAACAATCTTGCATTCGAGCTTCGCTGACATCCTGACCGTAAAGCTCTCCCTCAGGAAGTCGAGGCATCGTATGCCGCCATCATTGACAGCATCCTCGCCGCGAGCGATCTGACCACCATATCCGCCAAGCGCGTCCGCAAGGGTCTCCAGGAACGGGTTGACTATGATATATCGCACCAAAAGGTACGCTTCTAGCGCTTCGGAAATGTCCAAGGTTAAATGCGCACACAATGCTGACTTTGTGCGCTACTACAGGATGCAGTCAACGCGCTCATCATGACGCGCTTCGACAAGGTCAATTTCGAGCGCAACGGCGGAGCGAATCCCGCGGAACCAGTCCCCACGGTCGAGACCAATGGTGCCGCAGAGTCCAATGGCTCGGTCTCGAAGAAGCGCACACCCGACGACGACTCACAGCTGGACGAGCGGCAACAATCCCCACCGAAGAAGAAGCAAAAGCAAGCCAAGTCGGCGGAGGATGAGGATGCCAAGTATGCGGCCAAATTGCAGGCGGAGTTCAACGCCGCGTCGCGGGCCAGATCTACACGCGGTGGGAACACGAAGAAGAAGGCACCTGTGGTCAAGAAGAAAGGCGAGAAGAAAAAGAAGAAGAGTGCGAACAAGGTCAAGGATGAAGACGATAGTGACATCGATTCCGGCAGCGGCGCGGAGAAGAAAGAGGTTAAGCGGACTGGAGGATTCCATGTACGTCTACACCATTCTGTGCGCAACGACTTGTATGCTGACTCCTACACAGAAAGCCATGGTTTTGTCGCCGCCATTATCAGAACTCCTGGGCGAAACAGTGGTATGTCAATCGATTGGGCAATGCTGCTCTATCACCAAAGCTTTTATACTGACTTTGCCTACAGCTATCAAGACCACAGACCGTGAAGAAGATTTGGGAGTATGTCAAGGCACGAGACCTCCAAGATCCCAATGACAAGCGCCAAATCCGCTGCGATGATGCCATGCGAGCCGTCTTCAAACAGGATCGCGTTCACATGTTCACCATGAACAAGATCCTAAACCAGAATCTGTATGCACAGGATGAATAGGCGACCCTGACGGCAGCATATTGCAGATTTCCGCATCACTTCGACCTAACACCAACACCATTGACGATTTCCCAGATATTTTCTTGCATCAACTCATTTACAAAAGGGCGGAGGAGTTCTCATATGATTGGATTTTTGCATTTCCCTCCCATTTATCTCCTCCATGTTTGCTGCGGCTAAACATGGATCTATGGCTCGCTGTCGACCCAAATATCACGGCTCCCCTCCCAGGTTGCTCTCCAGGGTGTCTCGTCACTATCTCCCACCCACATCCTCGACTTCTGCCTCTCTGTACCACCCTCTCCTCATTCCTTATATCTCTAGCATGGCGATTTCAGGAGTTTTCTGTTTTCCCACCCATATTTCCTGGCTCCCTTCTTACTATTTTCGTCCATACTACGAATCCGTCCGTAGAAACCTCAGTTCCGTCTTCTCCACTCCGTAGAACGGCGAATTGGGAGGAAATGTTAATGTTTGGACCTTTTTCTTTTCTCATGATCCGCGGCGCTCTCCTTTGGGCTGGATCATGTTATTTTGGGTTTTTCCTCGGTTTGGCTGGGTATTCATTCATATTTTCCACGGGGACGCTGGAGGTGGATGTGGCGGCGGAAATAAAGGAGGAGAGAGAGAGAAGAGGCATTGAATGAGGAAACAATATGCGAAGCACAAGGCAATCAATCTCTGCTGTCTCGCTGCCGGACACGCATCTCTACGAAAGGGAAAGAGTAGAAACAGAGCACAGTCGGCCAACGACTTGATTCTCTAACCAAAAGAATGCGCGCCGACGATATTTACAATCAAGTAGTAAGAAAACTCAACAATATATACCCTACATATAAAAGCTTGATTCTCCTTTGTTTTTGTGCCTGTCGTCATGTGAGATCGTGATGTGCGATGGGTGAATGTTTGCTTTCCTTCTTTTATGGGTTTGCTGAGACGTCGACGGCGGGATCTTGCTATGTCGGCAAGGTGTGCAAAGCTTTGCTGTGAAGATTCAGAGAGATGGGAGTGGTTCCAGTGTGCTACGGACAAACAAATACAGGATGCGCTTCATGTGGCCATGCCTGTTGGTGGAATCTCAGTCACATATGGGCATTTGCACGATCGGATGATTTTAATCATTTTCTGATTATGAAGTACAGATGACATGACTGTCAACTCTGCAAGTGTACAATACCCATGGGCATGGATGCCGCGTGGGGGAAAGAAACATGCCACTCGATAAAACGAGGTATCAGATATTCCAAACCCATTACCCTTCGAATGAAAGTAAACAAAATAACTCCTTTTACCGTATGAAAACTGTATGTTGGGGGGAATAATGATTGTAATGACGACCGATCTTTTTCAGTTTTTCTTGATTATAGCCCTGCCGGTAGCTGCAGTTGGAAGTCGTCCAACTCGTCATCGAATGCACCTCCCTGGACCTGGGCGTTGAAGCTGTTCATCCATGCTTCGTCCTCGGAATCGTTGTCGCGCTGCAGAAGCATGAGGCGCATCTCATTTTCGACATCTTCAGCCGTGCGGTATGGCTGCTCCTCGACCTGGCTGTTCACCAACGTAGCCTGAGTGGAGGTGGAGCTAGAGCGAGAGAAAGGGCCCCTTGGTCTGCCAGCGACTGAACTTGCGTTTGTACTGCGCGTGGATGACGCGGTGGTGGGTCGATGCGAGGTTGCAGTGCGCGACGGAGGTCGTGTAACGTTGGAGAGGGGCTTTCGAGCCGTGTTGCTGGCACCTGCTGCACGGCCCTGTGCATAACCAATCGTGCTCCTTGAGGCTGCTGCAGCCGTAGCATTGCGTGCAGTGGACGCGCTGATGGCTGGCTTGGCGGTTCTTCTGCTGGGCAGGAAAGTAGTTGGTCCGCGCGACTTCGCAACTACAGTAGGGGCGGCGAAGCGTGGCTTAGAAACTGGGGAAAGTGCTGCAGCAGCAGATCTCGCCTTGATTGTCGACGGCGCCGTCGCTCTCATTTTGGGGAGCTCTGCCTTTGGGACTGCCTTCTTTGGTGACTCGATTCCAAGATATCTCCTAGCTTCAGCATCGTCCTTGGCTGTCATTTCCTCAAAGAGTTTATCGAACTCGTCGCTCGCCTTCTTTTGCTCCCTGACGAGGTCTTCATCAACCTCGCATTGGCCACCACCCGGTACATCCTCATAGCAGCTGTTGGCGATCCGCACCTTGCGTGTACCTTTCTTTCCGGTGAGCCGAGGAAAGTCCCAATCGATCGGTGGCATATCGTCGTCGAAGGTCTCTGGAAGGGGGATCTCTTTCGGTGGCATATACTCGACCTCAGGTACATCATCCTGCTCTTCAGGCTTTGCCTGCTCTTGGAGAACCTTGACTTTCGGACGATGGAGACGTGGACTGATCCTCTGAGTCTTTCCGGATGCTGAGAGCGGAGCGGGTGTCTTGAAAGCTTGACCTTTGGCATTTGTGGTCTTCATGCCCAAAGGAGCTCGATTGCGAGGCCCTGCATGTTATATATTAGTGGATGTTTTTGCTCCCTCGTAGCGTTGGGCGTACCAGCAGGAGTAACGAAGGCATTGCTGTCCAATTTTCCGCCTTTAGAAGTCGTCTTCAATAGATTTTCATTTCCCTTCCCTCTGGTCTGCAAGATCGATTTTCCAGCCTTAAAGGTGGCATTCTCGTCATTGAGTGGAACTTTAAAGGGCGTCTTGGGAGCTTTGTGTCCAGGTGTTTTGGAGTGGAATCCCTTCATGCCGGCATTGAGCGCCTTTCCGGCAGGTCCAGCCTGAAGATTGCGCACCACATTCTCCTGGTCGTTTGCTGCGAGTGTTGCCATAACGGTTGTTACATTTGGTGCTGTGATTGATGATGCGTACTATGGTCGTCGGATCGTTTGTTTACCCGTTGCTATGCGGATCGACGCGGAGGCCGGAGTTTCAGTTTTGCCTACAGGCTTGGCAAAGACAGGGGCCGCGACCGCCGCATTAGATCTATCTGGTATCAGGCTTCTGACAACAGAACATCAGCATTTCGCAGACACGTACGCCGCCTAATACCTTACGAAGTACCCCCTCCAAACTTCAGCTTACTTCCTAAGAGCAACAAACCACCTCGTCAACCCCAACCTATCAATCATTATGGATCAGATCAAGAACGTAAGGAGTCCTACCTACCCCGCCGTGGTCCCTGATTCCGGCAAATATCTTGTGTTTGGGCGATGCCTTCCAGAATACAGCGAAAACGCCACATTTTTATACTTTTGATTGCTCAAGCTGACTTAGATCGGTTTCATAGAAAATGGCTGCCCTCAGGGCCGAGGCCGATGAGTCTGCCGCCCGTGCCGATGAGTTCAAGGCCAAGGTCAAGACATTGGAGACCGAGAACACACAGAAGGAGCAGGAGATCACTTCCTTGTCACACAGGAACCAAGTCCTCGAGGCTGAGGTCGAGAAGTTGGAATCGTCAGTCAAGACCTACAAGGATGAAGCTGGTGCCGGTGCTCAGGCAGGCACTCAAGCCGAGAGCCTTCAACGCAAGATTCAGGTGCTTGAGGAAGAGGCTGAGGAGTCTGACAGGACTATTCGCGAATTGAACGAGAAGTAAGTTTGACCAGCCATTACCCTTTTTCTCAGAAGGGCGAGAGCTGCGAGAATGCTAGGATCCAGGCTCACGTTCCAAATCTAGGCTCCGCCAAACCGATGTCAAGTCCGGCCACTACGAGCGCAAAGTCCAGGCCCTCGAGCAGGCCCGCGACCAATGGGAATCCAAATACGAGGAGGTCGTCAAGAAGTACGACGACAGCCAGAAGCAGCTCCAGGAGCTTCTCGGTGAGCTTGGTAACATCTGATCATCGAGTGTCTGTCATTTTTCCGGGCCCGGAACGACCTGGTTAAGGAGCAGCAGGGTAGAGCAGAGCATCGGATAGTGATTTCTCGGCATGGAATGGGCCATTTCCTTGCGCTGGCTGAGCTTTGCAAGTGCTTGAAAATGGTGGTAGGGCGGTGTGGACACGGTTAATTTGTACGCTTTAGATTCTCTCAAAGCGTGACAATAGAATGTTGGCAGTTTCCCCCTCACTAGTAGCACGTCCTGGCGATATGCTTTCACCTTCAATATGGCGAAGTACGTTGGAGCACTACCTAGTCACTTTATATCATGCTCCATAGCGTGTATTTGTGCCTTCACACATAATAAGATTGAAATTCCCCCTTATCCTCAACCACCTGGTCGACCCAGACCCTTGCATTGGCCAAAACATGGGTATAAAACTTATTTCGCCTTCCTTGCCTGCGCTTGCGCCCGCTTCTTAGAACCTTGCTTCATCCGTGTTACCTGTGGGTTTGAATTGTAAGCTTGTGAACTTTTGGATGTAGAAATGGCTGGTGGTGTTCGCCGTTCTTCATGAGATATAATTCGTGAGAAGTGGCGGAGCTATTGGAGACTGTCTTTGCCAACAAAAGCTTCGCGAACATTTCGGGAGGCAGTCGAAAATCCAGTGATTCTGTGCATATACGTACTTTTCTTTCTGCCTTCGACTCGTACCTAAACTTCTTCTTTTTCTTCTTCGGCCTATCCGCATTTGGGTTCTCTTTCGCCCATGGTTTCTTCTTCTTTCCACCACTACTCGCTTCTGTATCCTTCTCATTCACCTGAACAACCTCCTGCTCATCCGAGGATTCGTCGTCCCCAACCTTCTCGAATCCGTCCTTTGAGATCCCCACACTTTCAATTGTGACAGTCGTATACTTGTCTTCATCGATATACTCGTCTTCGCGATTGATCGGTTCTGGCGCTACGTCTTCGAATCCGGCAAATTCTTCGTCGCTATCGTTCCCATCGGCATCATCGTCAACGTCGCCAATAGCACCTCTCAATTGGGCATTGACTTGTTCAACATGCTCCTCGCGTTGCTCTTTTCGTTGTTGTCGCAACTGTATACAACAGATGGATCAGCAATTGACCGATGTGCAGGCTGGTGATGTTGCAGAGCACCCTTCATAAACGACGTGATAGCAGCAAAATGGGAGGCATACCTCTCTCCGAAACTTCAGCTTCTCTTCTTTCTCCTTCTTGGCAGCTTCTTCTTGAGCATGCTTTATCCGTGCCTGCTTGCGCTTGTGAAAGCCTGTCAGGTATTCTTCGCGCGCGGCATAATCGAACGTGATCTCTTCGGGAGCGGGCTCTCTAGCGAATTTGCGTTTCTTCGAAGGTGGAGGCATTTTTCTAACACTGCAATGAAAGCACTGAGCAAAAATTTATGGGAGTTCTGTGAGCTGCGTGCCAACAGCTAAATTACGACCAGCAACAAGACGTTGGATGTCGAGGTGCATGGAAATTTTGGCGGGGATCGGGGAAGATTTCGCCGACGAGTTGTGGCTAGTGAAATTGGTGGCTTGGTACCTATCTCTACACAAATAAAAAGAAGGCGGTCAGGACTCAGGAGAGCGAGAGCCAGGCCAGACGTGCCAGACGTGCCAGACTGCCAGGGTCCAGTAGCCCCATTCCCATGTCCCGTTCAGTTCCTCGCGTGTCGTACTCGCAAGGCCAGGTATTATTTGCCTTGGGGTCCTTGGAAAGCTTAGTGGGACCAAATGTCAACTTAGCGTCCTTCTCTTCCATCTAAATTTAGTCGTTGATTGGCCTAAGCTTCTCAACGTGGCCGCTGCTGTTACTGCATAAGGTATCGTCCGATCTCTCCTCATCTCGCGAACATTTGTTCTCCCATCGTCAATCGTACTGTTAGCGGAATTCAGGATTTGGAAGGTTGATCGAGAAGTTGGAAAGGCCATCTCCCTCCATATAGTCTACCAATTCGCTAGCTGAAGAATGCTTTATGTCTAGATGTAAAGGAAAGTCCCGCTTTCAACCCACAATACTTTTTCTCCAAGCAAGGGATTCTAGATGTCGAATGGCTCTGTTGCTTATACAAAGAGCTGCATCTACATTCTTAAGACCGGCTTCACCAAAGATTGCCAGGATCACAAGACCAAGATATGCATGGTAGATGTCTGGAGGTGCTCCAGGTACCTTTCCAAATCCTCCCACTATATGTTGGGTTTTGTCGAGCAGCCAGCGCCGAATTGCTTTCTTGTCTAGAAGATCGAGGTGTCCGAGAACTTTCAAAGGCGCGCCTACCCAATAAGCATAGCACGTATCACCAATCTTGTTACATCGCCCGTTGACACCAATCCATTGCAGCTCGAAGTGAGAGGTTGGCTGTGTACGGACTGCTTGTTCGCCTGTCGCTGAAGGGTAGCTCTTGAGTTTAACGAAGGAGTGTGCATCGTGACAGGTAGCAGCCGAGTCGGTTTCGTCCCCCCGTGTGTCGAACGCATCTTCTTCGTCGATGGTCAATGTTTGTCGAGCAGCGAGCCAATGCAACGTCTGGGGTAGGTTCGTTAATCCGCGGATCTTATTGTCCGGGGTCTGATGGGCTGCGAGAGGTAGGCGATCTACAAGGTAGAGAGCATTTATTGCGCAGGAGGCAAACCCGGCATGTGCCTCGTGGAAGGCTGCTTCGCTGATGCCTCCATCGTAAGTTTCTGACGCTTGTATGCATCTTACAAACTGGTCGACGTTGATATCTGGGATCCCGTCTATGGGACCCTCCACCGTGCCCCTCAATATCCATCTGATTCCTGTTACCATATAACCGAATCTGGTGTCATTACCACCCTCAATTCGTCCATTTACTCCAATCGTCTCCCCAAAACTGCCGTCTGGCCTCTGCAGCTTAGTGAGCCAGGCGAGAATCTCGGGCCTCTTCACTTGTGCCAGATCATCTCCAAGTAAGATCAGGATCAGGAGCGCAAAGAACGTGCCTGGCACGTGAGCTGGATCCCAGATGGCATTATCATCATTCCGCGAAGAGCCAAAGTCGGTCGCGGGAGACGGTCGAAAACACCCGTTGGGAAGCTGGCACGCATACACCCATTCAATAAAGCCTTCTCGTTCTTCTGGTGACAGTGCTCCGTCCAAGTCGCCAAGAATGTCTTCAGCAGAAAGGATAAAGAAAGCAAGAGTCATGCGCATGGAATCATTGCCGGTGTAGTGATGAGGGAGAAACGTCTTCAAATTTCGGCGCCAGTATCTGATGTGTTTTGCATACTCCAAGTTGGCACCTTCATCAACTGGAACAGCCTGGGCGGAGGCCATGCTTTGCTGGTGGGGGGTGATTTTTCCCGCAATGTGTCAATCCCTAATGAATATTCTGTACACGGCGGATTGTAAGGGGATGATGTATGGTATACTGTAAGCAGTATGTGTGCTCCGATGTTCCGTGGTCAATCAATTGTGGCTGAGCACCTAGGTACGTACATACGTCTTCTGTGCGGAACTGGTACGAGTACGAAGATGCGATGATGAACAAGCTTGGAAAGAAAGTGTGGAGACTTGCCAGTGACGTTAACGCCCCAAAGCGGATCAGTCATGGAGAGATAGAAACCAGGGAGCGACCCGAGCAGCGGCATGAAAGGCCTGCCAAGACTGGCCGTAACATGGATTAACATGGATCCGCCGCAGCTGAAGAAACGGGCGACCACCCCAGGCCGCGCAGCTCTGTGCAATGTCAAAAAGCCTCCTGAAGTCTCTCATATCCACTCTGCTCCCGATCTTTTCTCCTTCTTCTTCCTCGTTACGATAATTCATCTCAGTACAAAAGTGAGGCTCCTCGCGGCTGCGCCCACCATCTCATTTGTCTTCTCCAACAGCCTCCCCCTCAGCTATCCGTCAATACCGCCTATCAAAACAACACCGCCCGCCAACGTGCCACGCCTGACGACTGCATCATCACGAGGGTTTCAAACCACCCGTGTGCTTCCCCAGACTTTCCTTCGTTAACGCTCACGCTCACGCTCACTACGACTGCTACGATTTTCCTTTCGTCCCACTGCCATTCATCGATCGTTAGCCGGGAGTTCTGTTGTTGGAATTTGATACCCTAGCGATTTTACATCATGGCTTCTGGTTTCGCTGCCTCCTTCTGGTCGAGCGACTATGCGGGTGGTAAGTTTCCTTGCACCTCGCACCGTTTCAGACCCCGCTGATTCTGTCCAGGTCTTGGTGTTCTATTTGGAAAGCTTCAGCAAGGTGTTCAGGAAAACCAGCAAGTCTTGACTATTGCTCGCTTGCGCGCCGACGCCGAAGAGACGTATGGAAACAGCCTTGCAAGCATTGGGCCTGCATCTGAGCGCGTCAGCGGTGGGTTCACCAGGGACGAAGGCGCCAGTGTGCGGAAGGTCTGTTGGGCGATGCCTTTAATGGTCTCTACGACCCAGTACTAATTTACGTTTCTAGGCTTACGAAGGTGTCCGTACTGAAATGGACTCGGCAGCTGACAGTCACCGCAAAATTGCTTCCAACATTCGCGAACTTGTCGTAAATCCTTTCGGTCGCTGGTGCGAGGCGCATGCTGCGCGTGTGCAGAATTCGCAAGACGACCTCCAATCTCGCATCAAGCTCCATGACCGCCAGGCGGATGCTGTTCGCAAATTCCGTTCGCAGTATTACAACAAGTGTAGACTTGTGGAGGACTTGGAAGAGGAAGACAAACTTGCATTCCAGGACCCTCAGCATGAAGCAAATCAAAGCCCTAAAGTGAAGGTCCCAACAATCAAGATGTCTGAGCCGGAGGAGGAAGAGGAGGAGCCCATTGATCTTGGAGACGAAACGTACCAGCCCGATCAAGTCAAAAAGATTCTCACGCATATGCTGAACAGCATCAAAATTGGAGAAGTCAAGGTTCCCATTCTCGGCACGTATCAAAACTGCTCCTCTGGATCTGACCTTGTGGAGTATATCCAGAAACATATGAATGCCACCAGCGTCAGCTATGCAGAGAGGATTGGCCAGGACATGATTACCGCTGGTTTCTTACGCCTCGTGGGGAATGTCGGGAGCACGTTCGCCAACAGCTCCAGAATGAGCTACCAATGGAAGACCAAGGTCTTCCAAATCACTGGAATCCCCGAGAAGAAACAGCCCTTGGTTCGTTCGTCCACTACTATGTCACAAGAGAGCTTCTCAGTAGACTCTCCCGTTGGCACTGTTCAGGAATATCTCGCCGGATGGAACCCTCTCAACAATCAATACCCCAACGAAACTCCGTCTGAGAGACTTCGTAGGGAGGCTCGGGAAGCCGATGAGCGCTACAAGCAATCCGTGAAGAAATTAGATTCACTCCGTTGCAATCTTGAGGAGGCCATGGTTGATCATCTGAAGTTCATGGAGCGATGCGAGTTGGACAGATTGAAGGCTATCAAGGCCGTAGTCCTCGATTTCTCCGGTGCCATCAGCAACGTTATTCCAAGCTTACAGAGTACGGTCGACAATATGATGTTGTTCCAGGAGACCGTGCAGCCACTTGGAGATCTCAGGTACCTCTTGGAAAACTACAGGACTGGGCCATTCGTGCCAAAGGTTACGACCTATGAGAACTACTACAACTCTGTTGATGGTAAGCGCGTGCTTGGACAGTCAGTGCCATTTTACTGTACTAACGATCCCCAGAACAAACCTTTGGTGTTGATCTGGAGGCAAGAGCCCGATCCGATCGAAAGCGTGTCCCCGTCATCATCACTACCATCCTCACCTTCCTCGACAACCACTATCCCGACCTTGAAGGTGACGAGGCTCGACGCGGTATCTGGCTCGTAGACGTTCCCCTTGCCCAGACGCATAGCTTGCGTGCTGCCATCAATACCGGGAAAACGTTCAATCATGAGATTCTCGACAAATACGACGTTCCTATTGTTGCTGCCGTTCTCAAGTTGTACCTCCTTGAACTGCCTGGTAAGTGGCTATGTATTCTCGTCAAATCATTGACTAACAAAATTAGATTCCCTTGTCTCATCCCACGTTTACGAAATCGTCAAGACCATCTACAGCACTACTGCTACAGACGCCTCGGAAGAGACACGTGTATCCGTCATCCAATCTACTCTCGGCCAGCTCCGCCTCGCAAACATTGCCACTCTTGATGCGATCACTACCCATTTCACGCGTCTGATCGAGTTGACATCGGCGGATGACAATTACGTAGCGGCTCTAGCCACCGCATTGGCACCATGCATCTTGAGGCCTCGCCAGGAGTCAAGCTTGACTATGAACGAACGCTACAGTTACCGCTTGATCCGCGATCTCTTCACGCACAAAGATGCTATCTTTGGAGAGCTGAAGCGTGCTAGCTCTTTGACCCACTCGGCTTCCGGCGCCCAACGACCCCGGGCCATCTCCACGGACGAAAGCAACCGCCGCGCCAACTATGAGGAGCGAAACCGTGCCATTGCTGCTCAGCGGTCTCCTCGTGCTTCCTCTCCCGCGAGGGCACCAACCGGCTCTCACCGACGTGACCGTAGTCAGACGAGATTTCCGGTCAACACGAACTCTCCGACCGCAGAGAGGAAGACCGGAACCACTCGTAACTCCCTCGAAGTTCCCGGAAATGCGGAGAGTCCTGTATCAAATGATACGAATGGTGCTCTTGAAGGCGCCCAAGAGTCCGCTGCACCTTCTAGCACTCGTGTACCTCTACCAAGGAAGCATGCTGGTAGCTTGACACGAGGCAACAGGGACTCTATGGGCAGTTTGAGGGGCGAAGATAACGCACCTCGAGGAGTTCAACTAGAGGACAAGCCAATGGATGACTAGGTGCACCTTTGAGCGTTCAACTCGTCGGACAACGCATAGACACGATTCAAAGGCTGCACAGATATGATGATCCTGGTCCTTCACACATCAACATTTGCAATCAAAGAGAAATGCCTGAGAATGCCGGGCACAATCAGGCTCGCAAATTTGGCTAGAGTCGCTAAAACACTTTCTCGGCCGTACAATGGGCGTGGACGGTGCATGTAATGTCACTAAGTGTGTACGTGGGCGATGTGCCTCCAGCCTGGACAGTCCCTCTGGTAACCCTTTTCCTTTATTATACCTTATTCAGTCGGAGACGTGACCATGAATATACATCTACCTCTAACATCTTTACTCTATGCTCTTCTCGTTGCTGTTCTACTTGAGTGATGCATACATTAGCAGCTGGTGATGAATATCACATTCAGATTTATAGAAGATTCAGTTTCCTTATCATCACCGGAACAGAAAAACCACATTCTCCACCATGTACTCCATAGCTGATAGAATCAACGTGGGCTACATACGCACCAGACCTATCTGTTCAGTATGAATTACCAAGCAACAGTTCACCACGATGCCCATACCTTTCGAAAAACATCGATGATGACGACGCTCTAGATGGGGAAAATCGAAAAAATTAACGGGCCATCGAGATCCAGCGTCACATTCCGCGGTGTCATGTATTCTCGGCGCACGCACATGATCTATCCACCCATTCATTCACTCAGCGTGTGAGGCGGTGGTGTGGCGCATGGTAGGTCATTCTTATATCCATCGTGAGGTCTTGAGGACTCATAAGAGCCTGGGGCGAGTCTGATTTTGACTCATGCATGATGTACCTTGAAGAAGAAATCGAAGATTGAAAACAGGTATGTTTTATCAAAGGAAGATCGAGGAAGTTTAAAGATCGAGTTGAGGGGATGTTGTCGGGCACGTGGATGAGGCTCAGCAGGGGGCGCGTGGGGATGTTGAGTACATGGTTGGGCTTCACGTGGAGGGTGACGATGGATCGGTTTCAGCTATGATGGGGTTTTGGGCGGGGGCTTATGGGCGGTGTCAGGCTTACTGTTGTTCTTATTGTAACTTGGTCATAGGAGTACTTGTAATTGTAGTAGCAGTGCGTGTGCATACTGGCTATACCGAAGAGAAACACCATGGATACATTTCCGAGGTTTCACAAGGTTTTCCTTGTAGGTTCAATTAGGCATTATTATTGAATTTGAGTACAGCTTGGCTGCCTACATCGTACTGTCAGCATTCATTATTGTAGCGGAAGCTATACCGATGCCCTTCTGCAGACAGAAGTCGACGGGCGCTGTCCTATCAAATTGGCAGAGGCGTCTGCATGCTTATCAAGGCAACTGTTGCAGGCGGCTCTGTCGACGCGCCCTCTGGCGTTGTCGGCCGCCTGGCTTGTCGCCACAGGCGTGCTGGATAAGAGAATCCTTGGGCCTTCTAGCGTAGGACGGATGCATGCAGATAGACTGCTGTTTGGTTAGGAATATTGGGCTTCTCCTCGTTTGAGCAGGTCGAACGAGATGGGAAGACGAGCATGTCTCACTACTATTTCACTACTGCGCGAATGTGCAATATCGCATCATCAAGGTGTCCCGGCAGGTTCCCGAGTAACGATCGGCACCACCAAGAGAGAGATACATGTTGCAGTGGGAGGGGTAGGCATACAGCCTGATCCGTCCGCCCTCGCAATACTTTAAGTCTTGTACGTAGGTTACCTTACTTATCGATACAGGACAGGGCAAGGACAGGGACAGGGAGAGATTGTTTTACCCCACGATAAGGTTGAGATGCCGGCAGGGTAGGGTGAATAATGGTCTCAGGAATAGATTCCCCAATTCTCTTGGGATGGGAAAATGGGCAGATTGTAGTCCCGGAAGCAAGCGTGATTCGCCATCGGGGACTAAGAGGCTTGTTTGGGATGGATGAGGAGGGTTCTCAATCGAGCAACCCGAATGTGCAGTGCAATGCATCCTGCAGGCCATATATCTCTCTGTGCAGTATGTACTGCGCATAACGCGAGTAGCATGGTACTCTATCACGGTCTGTAACGATGGGTCGTGTTACGTGTATGGTGGGTGGGCTCCTGAGGGTGAGTTGTTGGTCTCTTGGTAGAGCAATAACAGATACTCCGAGACTGGGTTCAAGATTCTTGTGGTTGCGCGAATGCGGGGTTTGACGAACTGATGATGAAGATACTCGTAGGACTCGTAGTTAGGACTCGTGTGTACTCCGTAGCGTGTGGGTATGAACGATTCTCAGTGCTCCCCGTAGCGTTCCCGTAGCGCATAGGTCATGGTCTTCTATTTGTATTACAAACTAAAGGTTGTAGAATGTGGTTGCTAGGTGATGATCTATCACTGGAAAGGCGGCGAGATCGGCTCCAAACGTCGATGCATCCACAGAATGCCCAGTAAGCTACGGGTACGAGTACGAGTCGTGGATGTTTGGCTGCCTTGTTGATTGTGCCTTGTCTGTCCACTCATACATACATACATGCCTATGCCTACCTACACCGTAATACTCCACTACCAGTCCGGTGAGAGGAAGCTCAGACAAGAGGCTGCAGCCCGTGTGCTGTGTGTCAGAGAAATGGCGACAGATATGGCGACAGGTGGAAGAGGTCAACAACGCATGCCTACCTACCACCCTACGGTCCCTACTCAACCCTACCCTTCCTTACCCGTATCATAGGTAACTAGTTATGTAGTATGTACATTACAAGTAGACTTCCCTTGGGCTTAGTTATGGGGTTATTAGGTATTAGAGCAACGCCGCCCGGGTGACACAAAGCGCAAGTGAGCACGACGAATTGCGTGCGATTGAACAGTCAAGGGGTCGTCATGATGGCGAAGTGGTCTGGTCCTGTGACTGTGACTTGGGGCCAGTCCACCCCGTCCACCCAGTCCGCCCAGTCAGTGGCAGTCAGTGGCAGTCTACCCAGTCTCGCAACAGACCGCAACTCGTGCTGGCCAACAAGGCCACGAGACAGACCAAGCTACGGGTTGGCAACAGCAGGGCGGCGCGCGGGGGCTTGTTGGCTGATTGATAGATGGATACCTGATACTCGTAGAATAGATACCAAGGTGTCTAGGTACCATGTACATACACTGTACTGTACTTCAAGATGGATGCCCATTATTGTTTCGAATCTTTGAAGAGTACATAGATACCTAGATACCGAGTACATACTGATCAGTACTCCTCGGATCCTTTTATTTGCCCACCTGTCCCCTGCTAACTAACGTATCTATACAGCTATCCGTCCTAGAGGGGTGGGAAGACTGTCGCCTTTCACTCATCGCTCTGATACCACGGGGAAGTCGTCATAACCATCGCCACCATCGCCATCACTGCTGCTACTGTCGTCGCTGTCGTTCTCGTTGTATGGGGTGTCGGAATCTGAAGTTGATCTCCATCGGCTCTGGATGGGAGTAGGCAGGCTGTTGTTGTTATTGTCATTGTTGGCTCTTGCGTTATCTGCTATCGTCTATCAGCACATCCGAACATCGTCTATCACTCCCACACCCCCGTAACATCAGTGCATACGACTAGCATACAATAACTGGGGGGGAGGGTCAGCTATTCACTAAACCCAATCCGACCTCTAGCGGGATGCTCTGTGACTCGTCGTAGCTTGAGAGTACAACTCCATCATCCACCGCCATCCACCCTCCACTCCCTCCGCCATTCACCATCATCCACCTCTACCCTACCCTACCAACAACATTCACTCCTCTTCCTTTTCTCTCTCCTCTCCTCTCCTCTCCCTACTACACCCCTACTACTACTTCTTCTACTTCTTCCTCCTTTGCCGTTCCTTCCGCTAAGCTTTTCTTCTTCGTTCAGACCTATTCTCTCCATCAACAACCGACTCTACTACCACTACTACCACAACCACAACCACAACCACCCGCGCTTCCATTCGTTCATTCACTCATTCATACATACAATACATACACCCTCTTCCGAGTCCTCTCTGCAATAGCTCCAGCCTGAGCTCCCATCCAGGCACAGTCCTCCACTCCCGTCACTCCGGCCACGCCCACGCTACTGCCTGCATATCTCATTCACACCCTCAACTAATAATACCCTGGTGTCCGCCGTCCTAGCCCTCGACCCTGACCTTCTTGATCCTCCAACAGTCACCTACCTTGCCCTCCACGCCGTACCTAGAACCGCCTCGAGTCCGACGTTTTATACCAATCTTCCTACTATATCTACCTCGTCCACCTCCGTACCATCTCATGTACAATATCCTAACCGCCACTCTGTATCCACAACTTCGCTGGTAGTCGAACGGACCCGTTCTGAGTCAAGCGGGCGTGAGTCGAGACAAGCTGGTCGTCCAGCGCCTCCAATATGGCGACTCCAACCCCATCGAGTCTTAAGCCGCGACGGTCGACTTCGTCGGCCCAGTCGTCGTCTTCACAACCCGCTGAAATCATCGGCCAGTTCAAGCGCATGGATCATATTGGCAAAGGCAGCTTTGCGGAGGTCTATCGAGGCATCCACATCGTAGGCCACCATTATTTCCTTCGTCCCTGTAGTTTTCCCCCTTGCGTGCTTTCTGTGAATAGGAGCATAATGTACGCTTATCACGAACAAATGCTAACGCAAGTAATGTGCAGGAAAAACGGCAAGCTGTAGCCATCAAATCCGTGAACATGAGTAAGCTCAACAAGAAGCTCAAAGATAACCTTGTCTCCGAGATCTCGATATTGCGGTCCTTGCACCATCCTCACATCGTTGCCCTTATTGACTGCAAGGAGGCACCGTCCCGTATGCACATCATCATGGAGTTCTGTGAGCTTGGTGACCTCTCGTCCTTTATCAAGAAGCGTGCCGACCTCGTCAATCATCCACAGACCCAGCGCATGATGGAAAAATACCCAAATCCTCCAGTCGGAGGTCTTAACGAAGTTATTGTGAGACACTTTGCAAAACAGATGGCTAGCGCCCTAGAGTTCTTGCGGTCCAAAAACTACATTCATCGCGACCTCAAACCACAAAACCTCTTGCTTAACCCTTCAAGCATGTATTATTCGCAGAGTGGTCTGCTAGACCGCATGCCCCTCGCCGCCGATGCTAATTCCCTCATACCTGCTACTGGCGTGGAGTCCTTGCCAATGCTCAAGATTGCCGATTTCGGGTTCGCTCGAATACTTCCACAGACATCGTTGGCAGAGACTCTGTGTGGTTCGCCACTCTACATGGCCCCTGAAATCCTTCGTTATGAGAAGTACGATGCCAAAGCTGATCTGTGGTCCGTTGGAACAGTTCTTTTCGAGATGATGTGTGCCAGGCCACCCTTTAGAGCGAACAACCATGTGGAATTGCTACGCAAGATTGAAGATCGTAAAGACCAAATCCGTTTCATCGAAGGGATTGTATCGACTAGGGCAATGAAAAATCTCATCCGAGCACTTCTCAAACGCACTCCACTCGAGCGCATGTCGTACGAGGCATTCTTCTCAGACCCGGTTATTCGCGATGAGATACCCGGGCTCGTCGAGGAAGATCTCCCGCAGGCGGCCGAGTCGATTTCCATGGAACAGTCTAAGCGAGTCCAGAAGATGCCAGCCGAGACTGATCGACGTGCGCAAGAGTCACCATACTCCCAGTCACCTCGAGAAAGGACTCCGTACGGAACGACACCTCCCTCAAGACCATCGTCACGACCACAGCACTCTGGAACTCCTCCCCGTCATGATTCCCGTCGCAGGCTTAGCAATACACCCTTGGCTACTATTGAGCAGGAACCTCCCGTGCGCGAGCGCCGGCCTACGTTGCCAAATGTCATGACAGCTCCCGCCAGGCCTGCTACTTTACAAGACCGAAATTCAAGCCCGTATGTCTCTGGAGGACGCCGTTATAGCCGCGACGAGCAGTTGCCTCCAAGTCTCCCACTCAAGGATCACCTTGAATACGAGCGTACACCCCAACGGCAAGAAGCAGGCGCAATGAGGGATGCTGCAGATCGAGCTGCTCAAGACGCTGCTCTGGATGATGGTTTCGTGTTTGTGGAGAAAAGAAGGGTAGAGATTGATGCTTTGGCAGACGAAATAGCTGCAAGCCCACACAATGCCCGCGACCGACCATCAGCTCGAGACGGTGCTATGCAGCGACGCAAGACAACTCAAGGCTCGCCTACTTCGACCACTGGTGCAACCGCTCCATCGCGTGCAATCCAGATTCAACAAAAGCAGGGAGCTGTCCATCAACGCACAGGGTCCTATGAGCGCCGGCGACAATACAGGCCTAGTTTTGAGAGCGCAACTTCTGCACTTTCTAAAGCTATGAATATGGTCAACATTCGGGGCCTAGGCTTGTCACCACCTAACATGAAGGGTGTATCCCCTCCACAAGGTTACGCAGCGTTTCCTACGTACCCCACGGCACAGAGCAGCATGCTTCTAGTCGACGTCGGCGCAAAGGCCTCTAGCAAAGACGAAGATTCTTCCCTAATTAAGAAGACTGAGGAACTTGCACAGCTAAGCCATGTAGTCTATGGATTTGCAGAAGTCAAGTACAAGCAACTGGTTCCCGTTGCACCAAGTGATCAAGGTCTCGGAATTGGTCCAAATGGTGTTGCTAGGAAACCCAGTAGTGATGGCCTGGATGATGATGATGACGATGATCTCACAGCTGATGCTATTCTCACCATCTCCGAAGAAGCTCTTGTACTCTATGTCAAGGCACTGGCTATTTTGAACAAGGCAATGGACCTGGCAGGCACTTGGTGGAATCGTCGCCAAAGGAATACTTCCCCAATTGACACCACCAGTCGGTCATCTGCACACACTGATCGACTCAATCGAGTCGTCTCTTGGGTTCGCGATCGCTTCAATGAGTGCTGTATCAAATCAGAAATCGTTGCACGAAAGCTCAAGCAAGCCCAGGTGCAACTGCCATTGGACCATCCCAGCCATCCTCAGAATCGCTCGTCTGCATCCGGGTCGGCCACCACGATAGGCTCTGCAGAGAACATTCTTCTGACTACAGGTGTCACAGCAGAGAAGTTGATGTATGAAAGAGCACTGGAAATGAGCAGGACCGCCGCTGTCAATGAATTGGTGGGAACTGACCTGGCCGGTTGCGACCTCAATTACTGGACAGCCATCCTCATGATTGAAGCTATTCTGGAAGACGAAGAAGAATCTTCCAGTCGAAGATTAGAAGGTGACGAAATCAATGGCCTCGAGTCTGAAGATCGCCAGTCCATCCAAAAATGTAAGTGGCATCAAGAACTATAAGTTGTTGATCCTGTACTAATATAAGCCAGTGTTGGAAAGTATGAAGGCCCGTCACCGAGCACTCAAGAAAAAGATCGAAAGCCAAAAGGCATTGAAACGAGCATCCATAACCAGTGCACCCGCAGCCCACCCAGCGAGTCGCAGCTCGCCTTCCTCACAAGGCACCGCGAGGTGAATGGTATCATAGAGTGCACTCGGCCCGTGGACATCTTGCTTCCACCTATTTCATCGTGCTCACTATTCACCTACATCATCGGATCGAGTCTGTTCTCATTGCATTAGCATCATGCGCACCATTTTATATTGCATTTCGCTGGAGTTACTGTGGGAGGTCTGACTTATCGCACCTCTCCACTCATATATATCGTTTTTTATTTACCTGAACGCTAGGGTTCGAGTTACTTTGTCAATACGGCGTTTCTTCCATCATGTTTACTTTCAAGGACGGCGTCGATCGGGTCGCGCATGATCAGATGATACCATAGTAGTCGCGGTTCATTCTGGCGTTCTGTTTTTCTCTTTGCAAAGCTTCGCGCGTCGGATTTCATTCATTATCTTTTCCACACCTTGCTTATGAGGGTATTTATATATGGGCGCTGGTATTGGCGCCCTGGGATGTGCGACCGCGGATTTTCTCGTCGTGTGGTACTGGGTGTGCTCGATGAGCACCATCAAATTGGATTTACTATTACAGACAATCACGGACTGAGGAATGCATTGTCTTTTACCTTTAGATTGGCAACTCATGGATTTGGAGAAGAGAAACGGATTGGTTGGCTTCTTCGCCAGATGACGATACCTATATTACTTGGTTACAGTACAATAGTGATGACGATTAATGTCATGATAGATTCATACTTCATTACACATGGATGGCATGATATGTTCCAATGACCTTCGCTCTGCTAGGATTCCTAAAGCGGAAGAATATATGCCCCAACCCATGATGAATCTTCATGGCGGCCTATGTGGGTATGATTGGATGGTTAAGTGGTAATTGGCACCCAAGTTAGATGTGATGACCAGAAGATCTCCACACAATCTTCCCGTCTCCGCATCGGCAGCCCCAGTCCAATCCAGTCCGGGGCCCAGCCCAGATCCTGCTAAACCTTCTTCAGCTCAGCCATGCGCCAACTCCCTACCACATCCTACATTGCTTTTCTTTTAAAGACTCGACACATGTATTCCATGATTATGTGACTGACTACGACCGGCTCATTGTCTCACATACTCAGTTCGTTCCTAAACCTCCTGCACTTGATGTCTTTGCCTCACAATGGGCCTCGGTATCCTTGATGACCACCACCTTGAGCACGTACCAGGTACCATCCCATCTAGCTGCCGCTAGTACTCGACCTCAACTCGAAAAGTACCTACAACTGACGATTGTATTGTTAAAGGTACTGCGCTGGTACTCGAAGATGACCGACGCAGAGACGAAGAGCAGAACGCAGCGCGCAATGCGAACCTGAAATATGACCGCACCGGCAAAATCCTGCTCGTGCCGCAGCCTTCAGATGATCCCAATGACCCACTCGTACGTCGTCGCATATATGTACCGTGAACTACATCTTTCGTACGGTCTTGTTAACATGCCACCAAGAACTGGCCATTATGGCAACGGGACTGCATCGTCTTCGTCCTGTCCCTTCTCTCTGTCATAGCGGCCACGCTGTCCCCACTCCTGGCCGCCGATACCGTTTCCCTCGCCATATACTTCCGGCGCAACTTCACGGACATGGCGCTCTTGACCGGCTATCATCTTCTCGGCGTGGGGCTCGCAGGCTTCCTCTTCGTCCCCAGCGCGCGCATCTGGGGTAAACGGCATCTATACCTCCTTGGTACTGTGATTGTGATATTCAGCAGCGCATGGGGCGGGGGCAACGGACGGTCATACAAGTCGCTTCTATGGGCGAGGATATTCCAAGGCATAGGTCTTGCGCCCTTTGAAGCGCTAGTCAATGCCAGCGTAGGCGATCTGTATCATGTTCACGAGCGGGGTGTACGAATGGCGCTGTCGAATCTGGCGCTGTTCGGAGGCGCTTTCTTCACGCCCGTGCTGGTGGGCAAGATTGCGGATACCATGGGCTATCAGTGGACATTCTACTTCGTTGCCATATTCGCTGCGGCCATGCTGCCTTTGCTGATTTTCTTCGTGCCGGAGACGAGCTACAGGAGGGAAGAGATATTCGATATCGATACAATGGGAAACTTGATCACGAGAGAAGGGAATAACGGGGGTTTAAATGACACAACGGCCAGCAGGTCTGAGGCGGCAAGTGGTGAGACTGATCGAATCGGTGTCGAAGAAGGGAAGACGGAGGGCTCCTCCAGTACCTCAGAACCGCAACCGACTACTGCTGCCACCCGTCCGCCGCCACCAGCGAAAGCGACTTGGAAGCAGAGTCTGATGCCTTTCAATGGCCGCAAAACCGACGAACGGTACCTCCATCTCTTGCTCCGACCCTTCCCCCTATTCCTCCACCCAGGAATACTATGGGTATGTTCCTTCACTTGAACCGTACGCACGCATACTTACCAAAACACGCAGGCTTGCCTCATCCAAGGCACCCTAATCGGCTGGACCGTCATGATCGGCGTGGTGCTCGCGGGAATCATGCTCGGCCCACCCCTCTGGTTCGGCGAAGTCGAGACAGGCTACATGTACACGGGGGCCTTCATCGGCGCGATCCTAGGCTTCATCCTGAGCGGCCTGATGTCCGACTCGTCGGCCCGCCTCCTGACCCGCTGGAACCACGGCGTCTACGAGCCCGAGTTCCGCATGATACTCGTCGTCCCGCAGCTCGTGCTCGGGTGCGCGGGCCTCTACGGCTTTGGGTGGACCGCCAGCGACGCGGTCAAGTATGGGTGGTTTTGGCCGGACTTCTTCTTCGCGCTGGAGGTCATGGGGATGGTGTGTGGTGCTGTTGCCAGTGCTCTTTACATCGTCGATGCGCATAGTAAGTCTGATGCGTTCCATCTCATTCTTTCTCACCCCAGACGAAAGCCAGGTTACTAACGGCAAACCTATGCAGGAGATATGTCCGTCGAAGGCTTCACCTGCCTCCTCGTGTTCAAGAACCTCTTCTCCTTTGGCCTCACGTTCAAGGGCTTCGACTGGATCATCGCAGGCCGCATAAAGCCCGTCTTCATGATCCTGGCAAGCGTCCAGGTCGGCATTTGTCTTTTGACTGTTCCCATGTGTGAGTGCATTCCCGAAGCAATCCCTCCTCCTTTTCGTCATTATCTCCCACTTCCTTGCCGGAGGCCCTCGTAGTGGCGAGATTGAGTGATTGATTCAATGGATGAGTGAATGAAGGTATGGTTGCTGACAGAGGTTGTAGACATCTTCGGCAAGAAGAACAGGAGTTTCTTCTACAGGCATAACGTCTTTTTCCGAGCTACGGATTGGATCGCGGATCGTTTGACTTTCTGGTGACACATATCGTCTTTCCGAGTAAGAGTGGATCAGAGGGAAAGAGCCTCGGCTCGTAATCGTAATGATGGGGGGTGAGATGTGCTTGTAGCGTTTTGTTTTTCGGCCTGTAATTGATGAGATATGTGCACGATATATACGTTGAGAATTGATTGAGAGGAATTTCTAACCTTGTGATAATGAACACGAAATATACTTCGATGAGACGTGATGTGTGCTATCTCAAGATTGAGGAGACAAAACATGTATGTACACGCTAAAAGAAACTCTCTAAAGATTTCTAATATCGGAATTGTTATTCTCACACGCACACTCACTCGTTCACTCACTCAATTGAGGGACACGGATTACGAATAAAACCAAAAAAAGAAATCTTTATGTCTCGTTCTTTTGAGAGTAGGTAGCTGACACTGTACAAGTATAAGACACACACTTCGCTAAACCCACTACTTCCCTCTCCTTCTAGTCACTAGTACATTTCGCCATCAATCTTCTCTCCGTTCCACCCCTAATCCTGATGGGTTATCTATGACTTCTGGTTGGGCTTGGGGAGCTTGTCGAGGATGGGGCTCCTGATCGGGGGGTTGTAGGCGATCTTCCTTGACTTGATTGGGGCCCACTTGTACCTGGATGGTTGTTAATCTGGCTCGTCGCACGCACATTTTGAGATTATCCTTACCTCTTGACCCAAATGCTGAGAGCGAACAAAACAGCGCTGACGGAGAGAACCTTCCAGCCCATCTTCTTGCGGTCATCCATCTCAGGCTCAGCAGCCCAGTTCAAGAACTCGACAACATCCTTGGCCATCTGGGAAGTAGAAGCAGTGGTTCCGTCATCGTACTCAACCAAATCGTCGTAGAGGACGCGAGCCATGGCAATTCCGGTACCGGGGAAGTAGGGGTTGAAGTTGAGACCTTCCTGGACGACAGCACCTGCAGGAGGTTCCTCAGGGTAGCCGGTCAACAAGCTGAAGATGTAGTTGCAGCCACCGTGTCTGGCCTTGACCATGAGGGATAGATCCGGAGGCAGAGCACCATTGTTGGCGGCACGGGCGGCCTCATCGTTCTTGTAGGGAGAAGGCAAATAATCAGAGAGCTTTCCGGGGCGCTTCTCGATCTCACCCTGGTCGTTGGGCTCGGTATCGTACTCGTTCTCCTCGGCAAGTGCCTTGGCCTCGTCGACGGTCATGATGTTGCCAACAAGTGCTCGGTATGGGATACGTTCTAACGAATGGCAAGAGGCGCAAACTTCCTGGTAGACCTGGAAACCACGGCGAAGACTGTAGGCCCATCTTAGTGTCTCTTTCTGGATATCCCATGAATGAAGGATACTTACGCCTGGTGATCGAATGTCTTATGCCATTTTGCGTGCTCCCATGGATACTGGGTCGGGTGTAGACTGAAATTGAGATCCATTAGCCTCCGTCCGGCCGCAAATTCCCCAGACCAAAAATATTGCCTCATCTACAGTCCATCGCTGGAATTCACTCACCCTTCTTCCGCAGGTGTCATGGCATCGACATTTCGTCCGTATAGATGGTAGTACCAGGCGACGGTTCCGATGGCGAAGGCGGAGGCACCGACTGGGAGAGCGTTTGCCGTCCAGGGCGCCGCTCCCTCGGCTGTTGAGCTGGAGGATGAGGCGGAACGCTGTTCAATCGAATTCGTCAGCAAAGAGGTCAATTGAGATGATGAAAGCAATTCCCAAATGTCCATGCCCATGATGAAGTTGTTGCAATTCGTCGAGGCCATTGACTTTGATGGGATAACGGGATTCGTACCGAAGCGGTCTTGCTGGTAGCATTGCGAGCTGCAGCGCCGGCGGAGCGCGCCGTACGCAGCGCCGATCGAGCCAACATGTTGATGTGAAGCTGGCTCGTAGGCTACGAGGAGCGGAGAGGATCAATTGGGGTGCTGGCGAAGGTGGTGGTGGTGCAGGTGTTCGGGTTAGAGGCTCCTGCCTCGCAAGTTCTTCGACTGCGCTAAGACTTGGCCTGGCTTATTGAATCAGCGAGCCTTGATTGGTCCACGCGACATGCACTGACCCTCATCCCTAATCTTCCCGCATCCATCACATCATCATCTTCATTTCACATTATTCTTCAATCGACTTCGTGCTTTTAGCATTTCTCTACGAGTTATAGTAAAGGCTTTACCTATATAGATGCTTATTTGAAACCAAGACCCTGATGCTTTGATATTCTACACAGCTTTACTTCAAGTCGCTAAATATATTTCTTGTTTATTGCCGGCATTCGGGCGCTCGATAATATTTCGGATCACACAATATCAATAGCTGTCCAAATGTAGATCTAAACATAAAACAGTTATATATTGAGAAAATTTCCTCTCAGATTACCAAAATTCTCAGCTCCTATGATCCTGGAGCATGGAGCCAAACGAGGATGCTCGTGTTAGGGTAAGGTACATAGGCGGCGGTCTCCTAACAACTTCGAACCCAGACATGTCTTAGATTCCTTTTCTCGTAAAGACGATTCGTATATTCTTATCATACTGATTCCGTATTATACCGTCGTCTTTCAAAGATGAAGCGCCCATGAGGCGACTTGCGGTTTTGTAAATTTCATCATCAACAACCCTTTCTTCATCATCATCTGCTGTTGTCGAGGAAGGATCAACATTGTCTCCAATTTCAAACGTTTTGTAGACCTGAAATTCCAGTTTCTCTAGTGGTAAATCCCTGAAAATATTCAAACGGGCGAGATCAAGACGAACTGTCGCTCCTTTGGAAAATAGGTCTGATGATACTCCGAAACGCACACACAAGGTTCTCGTTGTGGTACTTTGATAAAGTATTTCTGCTATGGTCTGAAGATCTCTGTCGAGTAGCGGATCTATTCGAGCCCGGAGATCATAAGGCGGCTCGAGTATCAATGATGATAGTTTCAATATAACTTCCTTGGTCCCCTTGCAGCATATCAGGGGTGATCTCGTACCCTGATCGGCGTATGTGCGGACCTTTTTGTCGCTACCAAATGACCAACGGGACCTGGAGTGTAGCTGGTCGAGGCCTTCGGCAAGAATACATTGACAGGTAAGTAGCCAGATCGGAAGTTTATGTGCACCATTATACTCAGCTTCACCCTTTTCGTACACGACCTGGAAACGTAGTTGTTTATAGGGAACTTTCCATACAGTCGGACTCTGCTTCCAGAGCTCATGGTATACTAAGTTCCTGAGCTCTCTCGGAATGGTGAAGAACAAGCTGTGGTTTGATGATCTGGTCCGAGGCACAGCCAACGAAGTACACTTTGTATGCCTCGATTTGGGAGCTGCAACATCGCCACGTCTGCTCTTAGATCTTGCAGTCGGATCACTGCCCCCACCGCTACGGCTTTGTTGGCGTTGTTTGTAGACCTTGAACATTCGCACTTCTACTTAAGGTTCTATAGAAGAGTATGGTCGAAGGTCGGATGGTTTAAACACCGTGGGGGTGGCAACAAAATGTGTCACTATTGTGATAAGTCACAGTCACGTAGTTCAGGCTTCCGATACGCGAAGACGAGCCGTGAAGTCACTCTGTAGATGGACCCCAGGAAGTACCTAGCTATTCGGAGTCAAGTTGAAACTAGCCAAGATTACATAATCCATGCAAGGTCACGTGGACTGGGCATTCACTCTTCCATTTTGGGACAGCTAAGTTCTTTGGGAGTGCACCTGCATAGCTTGTACAGTATGCCAAATTATCAGATCTTCTTCACACAAACTTTTGTGTACTCCCAGGCTTGGTCGCGGTGTATGGTCACATCAGATGCTGGACAAATCTGGCTGAGCGCCGTAGAGAGGGCCCAGAAGGTATTGATATTGTTTGGAAAGGCGAGCACGGGAGATAGATAGGCATTTAGTTGTAGAAACTTAATCATATTGACTTTCCCTTTTATAAACGTCATTTTCCCATCTCTCTGAATTGCCATTCTAGTGGGCTAGGGGATTCATATCCTTCAGCAGCACTGCCGCATTACGGATTCTCATCGGACCAGTGAAGCTCGTAGATAATACTAATCTTCTGTGCGTGTTTCAATACTCTGAATTCCTTCCATGGATCCAGTTTGAATCCTTGAAATGACGATAGGCACCTTACTTTCATCGTTCGCTATCACTGGCTCAGCTAGTATCCTCTGCTCCCCAAACTTTTACTAAGAGACCATAATCATCGATTCAAATGATTCAAATGAAGCACTTCATTCGGCAGTTACGAAATTACCGTTCCCTCCGGAGTGGAAATATTGTTCCAAGGGAAGACTTTGCAGAGGAGGTATGGTTGGCAGACTCCACCGACAAGGAGGCGTGCTGAAAATTGCTTTAATGCAGCTACGACCGACCAGGGCGCTTCCATCATGTTTAGATTACACATCGAACTTCAGACCATGCGGCTTCTCTTGGCACTCAGGTGATGACCTGTCGCTGGGTCTTAGTTGGGAGCTTTTCTTCCAAAACTTGATGTTTATGTTCTCCGGAAGATTTTGATAGGAGTTGTTGAAGACGAACCAAGAAAAGATCGACATCTCAAGGTCTTTTCGTCTATTTGTGGAGTGGTCCCAAACTGGAACCGAGTTCTTGAGTCCAACATCGTTTACCGAAAAGAGTTCGAGATTCAGCCTATACTTACCCCTTCCATACAACCATCGTCAAATTAAGCGAAGCAGTACATATCACGCGCGTACCCGTCCGACAACAGTGAAATATAATTATACTGCATGTTTACCCGGCTCGAATCTGTCTACACAGACAACGCCACCACACGTGCGCTAACACGGGGATGCAGTCAGCTTAACTTTACCTGGTACACATGGACTACAAGCTCCGCGTCCCAACACAGAACTAACTGACACGACGCTACACAACATGAAGACGCATGCAGATACGAAGAAAACAACGACTGTCGAGGCGTGCCTGAAAGCTCATTTGGGCAATGATATGACATATGCGGCTGCATCCAAGACCAACTTCAATACCACAGTACATGGCTCCTGGCTCTGCACAAGGAAGTTTCTGGATTTGAAGACAAACCGTTTGCTGGGTCCAGAACACCGCTTAGCTCAACTGGTATTCAATGTATCCTGACAACGCAAATGGCCGTTCTTCGGTGTGTCTTAACGGCGAAAAGCTCTTCACAGCTATGTTCTATTGGTGGAATACAACTCCTTTGACGATAACATGGGGCTCCATTATAGCTGCTAGGTTCTGGGCTGTTCTTGAGAAGTTCGTATCCTGATCTTTCACGATCAAGGGGTCGATAACTACGTCATTTGTTTTCGGAGAAGAATCAGTAGTATAAGAGAAGACAGTGATTGCTCCATGAAAAGCAGTATCTCTTCTCATTCTTAATTGCCTTTCCTTTCGATAAGCAGCTTGTTCTATCTTCATTTCGTTGAGATATACATGATGAGGTTGGCACGAGCAATAGCCATCTCAGCTGTCCTCTTTGCAGGATCAGCATACGCTGATACTTGCTCTTCTGTCGAAGCCTTGGGATACATCAATGTTACACGGCCCTTAAGTCTCGCCTATTTGGAAGAACAGAGCCAATACTGGTCTACATCATGCAGTGCACTTAAGCCGGAATGCATCATTTTTCCCAAGACCACGGAAGAGGTCTCCACCGTCGTAAAACTACTATACAACTCGACGGAAAAGTTTGCCGTCAAATCAGGGGGACATAACCCCAACAATGGCTTTGCGAGTGTCGATGGGGCTCCATTGATCGTCACTGAGCACCTTGATCAAAGCGATCTCGATCCAGCAACCGGGATTGTAGATGTTGGCCCCGGAAATAGGCTTGACGGGATCTCGGCGAAGCTGCAAGGCACAGGATGGACATTTGTTGGTGGCCGCATTGGCAACACAGGAGTTGGTGGCTTGGTTTTGGGTGGAGGACTCAGCTATATGTCTACGCAATACGGATGGGCTGCGTCCTCAGTGCTTGAGTACACAGTTGTTCTTGCCAACGGCACCATAGCCAAGGTCTCTAAAGACTCATATCCCGACTTCTTTAAAGCACTCAAGGGAGGAGGCAACAATTTCGGCATTGTGACCAACTACCGACTTCAAGCATACCGCCAGGCAAACATCTGGGGCGGAAACCTTGTCTTTCTACGTACGCCAGACAAGGATACAAAGCTCTTGAAAGCTGTCCGTGACTGGACAGAGTACAATACGGACGACAAGGCTTCAGTCATTGTCACTGCAGAGCGTGCCAACCTAAACGTTGTGGATTCATGGATCATCTTTCTCTTTTATGATGGGCCAAGTCCACCAGCTGGACTTTTCAAGAACTTTACGGACGTTGGCCCCACTTTGAATACTTGTCGCGAGCGAACATACGCCGATCTCATGGCATTCAGCAACTGGGTGGTAGTCAAGGGTTCTGTGGTACAAATTGCTACCGAGACCATACCTCTTCCTTCGGCTGAGAACAAAGTCAAGGTCATGGATGCACTCCATGCTCACTGGCGCAATGTCTCCAGTACTACCTTGGCTGTACCTGGCATTGTTGCTTCAATCGCCTGGCAACCATTCCCCAAGAAGATTGCGGAGCAGGCAAAGAGACTTAGTCCTGATCTTATTGATGCCGATGACGACGTCGATAAAATCATCATAGAGATGAACTACAGCTTTATTCCGCAGACTGAGTATAACCGCATGGCTGATACTATGGAGACCACATATTCTGGTGTTCGCAACAGGGTTGTTGGGTGGCAGGCTGACGGTACTTTGCCTGATACCTACCTCCCAGTGTTCATGAACTACGGATTTTACCGCCAGGACTATTTCGGCCGTCTTAAACCCCAGAGCAGAGCACTTGCAAAGAGGGTCGCTGAAAGCGTTGATCCAACCGGTTTCTTTAGGGATAGGACAGGAGGATGGAGGCCATAAATCCATTTGATGGCTCTTTTCAGTTGGTTTCACTCTCTAATTAGTTTCATATAGTGTGATTTCCAATGATATGTGGCGTCTCCATAGTGTCGACAGAGTATACTGTATGTAGGTAGTTAAATTAATGATCAAGCTTACCATATCATTGCATACTATTGTCATAACGATCGTGTCACAATAGAATGAGCCTCCACAATCGATGGATGGCGAGAATCACTAATCGACTTCCATTATCGCATTGTTAGTGAAATGAGTCAACCGCTCTTGACACAGTGGCTATGCTGTGGTGATGGGCAGCACTGTGATTGGCTGTTCTTATACTGGCTAGCCGTAGTCGGATAAGCTCCATAGCCAACCTCAACCTCGTGCCTCTTACCAACAGTCTCAACAGCTCAATGTACGACAAGCGAGTATAATCAACAAAGACATTCATGCAAGATCGTGCACCCGTTGGTCGAATTAATCCCGGAGAACGTCTCCGTCCATGACCAAGCTAATTGCCAACGCAGACATTGGCGCAAGTTCTTGGTCTCCATGTAAGGCTAGTTTATCAGGAGAACAAAGAGAACTATTTGAGCGTCAAAATTTTCAGGCCGCCCTTGAACCACACAACCCACCAGAGTGCTGGATTTATGTTGCCGCTGATGCTTAGCTCGTAAATAGACATCACAATGTTCGTCCGATCCGGACGCGCAAACCCTGCCCCATCTAGCAAACCCAGGTACCGAACTCTTGTTAGACATCTAGAACCAAAGTAACAACTACCTGACTAGAAGTTTTCTAGTCGTCTTATACTGCCCTCTAGGAATCTCACTTTGTATTAGCTTTTGAATTTTCAAGCCATTGAGAGAGCATCACACAATTACTACTCATCATGCCTGGTGGGATTTGAGACTGTCTCACACTTTCATCATCAGCAGTGAAGCGCCGTCTAATATGAGATCACTCCACTCAACAATGGGTTTTATAATACTGTCTGATGATGTGGAGTCTAATTCGCCTGCTCGGGCGAATAATCTGATTCAAAACCTGCTTCATCAAAGAAAATACATTGACCAGTAAGGCGTTGGGAAGCTTCGCCTCTGGAGGGTAAGACATTCGTGGAGATTACTCGACTTCGGAGGTTAACATGATGGCTTTCTGGCTTCTCTTCCAAGCTTTGCACATGCCAGTTTCTGGTCTTTAGCGAACGCCAAAGCCGTCGTAAACAGACATTCGGGTTCGGATTTCAGCATGCGTGACCTGATCCGTTCAAGTGGTAACAGCGGAAGCTGATCGGTTAACGTCTTTGTGGCTGATTTCTACCCCTCAGCCCCGGTCACTAATTTCTTTATTCTCTGAACAATTCGACAACCACCTTATAGCAGTAACCCTCCGCCGAGACGGAATTGCGCATGCTTTATAATTGCCAATCTGTTCGGCATAGGACGTACTCAACAGGAACATTCACGTCTTACTCCACGGTGTATAACCCGTAAGTCGTTGGCAGATGGGAAAACAATGGTGTAGTGCCGTGGTGATAATGAATCTTATCACTTTTTCTTTCATCGATGATTGAGATTTGAAATACATAGAATTGCGCACGGATGCTACCGGAGGTGTATCGGTTCAAGCCCCCCGCAAGCCACAAAGAACATCGGGGTCATCTCCCCTATGGACATCTAGAACTTGAGACTATGATGCACATAGCCTACCCAAGTCGGCACTTACACGTGGGAAAACTTGGTCTACCAGAAAATAGTAAGTGATAACTACGTAAAGGGAGAAGGCCTACCGTCATTCCCACCTCGCACCACCTTACTTACATAGGTACAACATACATCACGGCCCTTTTCTAGTTGCTAGTATGCGGGATGCCACGCGCCCCAAGTCTTGACCGACCAGTCAGACGGGTAATGTACAATTTGCACATTTGGTCGCCGACGATGTAGCGCCGCCTCATCCCTGCATCCTGAACTCGATAAAGTTTCCTCCTACCCCCGACGGTTCAAACCCCGTATTATACTGCTCTTTGTTGCGTCCCAGCTAGTTGGGATAAATTTTTCAAAGTACGGGAGGATATATCTTTCATAGACATTAAGCAAGTCATATGTTCATTCTGTCCACCCCTGGAGTTTCGTTTCGAGTTTTCCAAGGAGGATCACCAGAACCTAGTTTGATGTCTCACACTCCATTATGACGACCGCTCCAAAACGCAAACGTGGGGAAGTGCCTACAAGAATCGGTTCCGATCCAAAAAGAACTCGATTAAGAGTTGCCAGACCGTCATTTTTCCTTCTTCCCCGAGAATTGCGGGACCAGATCTATCACGAGATATGGAAGACTGCCGCTCCCTCCGTAGTGCAGATCAATGACTACACCTTCGATGTCGACTATGAATGTGCAAAGACACGAAATTCCGATGATCCCATACAGCCCCAAGACCAACCAAAGTCCACAAATCCAAAAAGACGAGGCCGGCCTACGAGACCACGTTCGCCGTGGTTCCAAGCCAGCAAGCAGTTCATGCAGGAGGCAATCGATCAGTTCCACAGAAGATCTCATTGGAAGCTACAAACGAAAGCAACACCACCGTCCACGCCACATAACAGACCCAAAATAACTGCCCATTCTTGCCTGCTCAATCCTTGGCATGGAAAGACCTTAGTATTGACAGACAAGTACGCCTACTGCACCATGTCAATTCAGGATGACGGGAAAGTCGGTGCCGTACTTGGGTTCACGGTTGCCAATTCTCGCTATTTTGAAGGTCTGCGAGCGTTAGCAGGTGATTCACCGAGATTGGGGCAGTTGAATGTTACTTTCGGTGTCAGCTCCCAGAGCCTTTTTGTGCTCGGTGGATTGGTGCCGAGAGTGGATTTTTCGGCTCTTGGACACCTCAACGCTCCAAATCTCCAGCATGTCAATCTAAATGTGATTTTGACAAAGGGGAACAAATTCGACGATTCGCTCAAAGGACATATCACAGCCGAGACAAAGAGCATTGGTGAGATTATCCTTGGAGGGAAAGGAAAGGAGTATTCCGCCGCCATCACTCGTGCGAATTCCGATCACTACGGAGATGCCTACTTTTCCAAAAACCCCAGAGCCATGGTATGGAAGTATAGTATCTGCAGAGTTTAAAAAGAATGCAGTGGCCCAACGCTTGGGTGCTTTGACAGCGTTATTCTTGTCAATCGATAGTTTTGCATGTTTGTAAAGAACTTCATATCACACCGGATTAGCATGAGCATATCAAATATCTACACCTTTGACTCAATACCTTAACTCTTCGTCCTTTGGAAGTGTCCCTATTTGCTCCTGTAGCCATTCGAAAAGGTACGAATGTCAAGTATTATCCAAAACACAAGAACGCCGAAACGCTGACATGATGAGGGCGAACCGATAGAAAGTATCAAGAACTTGCACATGACTCCAATGCGGACAAATTAGTTGTATTATTACATTGAAGCGGTCATGTTGATCATCTCAATCATGCAATTGTACAACCAGCTCCCTCGGGCCCCTTTCCATGATCGTCACTGTCACTGGAGCTAGAATCAGAACTGCTATCTTCGTCGCTATCCTCGCTGAAGGCCAATGCCCTTTTCTTGAGGTTTGGGTTGCTTAATTTACCCATACTAGTCGAGCTTGGGTCAAACGTTTTGCCCTTCTGTGCTGTTTTGGTGGCAGAGCGTTCCGCAAGGAGTTGCTGTTTTATGTTCGGAAATTGGTGAGTGCGGCGAGCCGTATTGAGAAGCTGTGAAGAGCGGGCAGCAGGCGTATGCGGGGTGCCCTGGGAGCTCGACGGTATTGATCTCGCGACTCCCGTTCCAGCGGAACGTGCAGCCAGAGGAAGAGGTTGCGAGCTTGAAATAGGTGGAGTTGGCGCGGACGTCGCTCCGCCGGCTTTCGCCCGTGCAGTATGAGGAGGAAGTGCCGGTGGGGAGGATGGTGGAATAGCGGGCAGATTCGTGGCTGGATTTGCAGCTGGCGTTTCGTCCTCATCGGAATCATCTTGCTCACTCTCGCTATTGGAACTACTCGTCCTAGAGTCACTGTCTTCGCTTTCTTCGCTCTCTTCTTGGTCCTCAATAGCAGTTGCTGTTTTCTCTGGTGCCGGAGTAAATTCCGGGGACTCATCTTCACCTTCTGATTGTTCCGGGGTGGGAGAGCGGCTCAAGAAGCGAGCTGGCTGGTGTGAAGCAGCTGGTGAGGATCTCGCAGATGACACTCCGCTCTCTGGAGGAGAATTCTCGCGCTCCTCTTCAGCCTCCAAATCAGAAGCAGATGTGGAAGTAGAGCGAGTGCTCGCGTCCGGTTGGTATGCCAAAGGTTTGTCTTTCCCATCGACTTCCGCGCTTTGGGTTAGAGTTCCGAAACTCCAAGATGGTGCCCGTGCTATCGGCGCCGCTGAGTTCGCATCCGTCCTTGCATTCTGTGTCTCACCAGAGTTTTCTTTACCGGTGACGCTCTCTTGGTTATCTCCACCTGCGACCTCTTGAACAGTAGCTTCTTTCATTATTTGGTCAATGTCCGAATCAACTTTATCGGACCTCATACTTCCTGTGCTCACTTGATGTTCACGGTCTTCTTCCTCATTCTCGTCGTCTTCATAGGATGACTCGGCACTAGAAACAACCATGGGATCCTCCACTGTATTCCCTGGAGATGACGGGACAGCCGCCGGGGAACCATCTAGTGCGGTCTCTTGCGTAGTCGTCTTTTGTGTTTCAGAAGACAATCCATTGACCGGTGTAAATGTCTGAGCTATTCCCATAGCACCCTGCGCCGTGGTCGAGTCCGAGCGAGGTTCTGTGGTAGGTTGATCTCTCACATTCTCTGGAACTTGAATTTGAATGCTACGGTGTTGTGCTTTTGCTGATTGGGAATCGATAGAAGCTCTCTGTGTATGCTTGCCATCGTCCGCCATGGGGTTCTTCAACTGGGGAGACACTGTTTCTTTGTTTTGAGATGGTGTCGTCGACCTGTGCTTTTGCTGTTTAGGACTAGAAAGTGCCACTTGTGATTGGCGGCCGGCCTTTGGTGCAGAATCTCGCGTGGTTTGACTTTTGGGTGTAACATGATTGCTTGAGTCTCCTATTTGCCACATGTTTTGTACTGGTGTCGACGTGGGACATTCTTGTACAAAGACAAAACCCTCAGCTTTTGGAGCAAGGCTTGTGCCAGGGGGGGGCATTTCCTGAGAAGCTTGTTCGCCGCCGAGAACCTTAGAAGGGGTGATAGCGATAGAGGTATCTGCGTCCATGTTTGTACTCATGAAAGTTTGCCATGACGATGCTGGGGTAGAAGAAATGTCCACTGGAACTCCGTCCGAATCCCGCTTGTTCTTACTTCCTCGGGGTCTCCCACGCGGCCTCTTAGCTGCCACAGGCGTATCTGCAGCAAACGAGATTGTCGCCCGAGAAGCGGCCTGTTTGGGTGTTTGCTGTTTCACGGGCGTTTCGGGCTTTGCCATCTCGTAATACTTCTTGGAAGGTTTGGGCAGTCCGGATGACCTAATTGATTTTGAGGAAGATTTATTACTGGATTTTGTTGAAGACTTTGGTGTCGAAACCTTATCGAGTCTCTGGTCTTCGTTGTGATGAACCATGGCAAGCGTCTTACTGGCATAGAAGGGTGACACTTCCCGTAGTTGATCATTAAGAGTGACTTGCGAGGAGAGCAACGAACCATTTGTGGATAGCTGATCCTCCCCACTAACTTTCCTTGCATTCTTGGGCACAGGGCGATGAGGCCTTTGAGGTTCAGATTTCTGTGTATTGACTGCACTGGCCCGGGAGGGAATGACGACCTGTACACCGCGACTGGCGTTATTGTCATTGTGGCTGTTTGATACGGCACTGCCTGAGGATTGACCATTCACACGACCGGAAATCTCCCCCTTACCAGGCGAGGGTCGTTTCGGTGATCCAGATAAGAGCACAGAAGAGCTAACGGAGTCTTCTCGTTGCACCTCGGGTTCAGAAGACTGATCATTCATACTCGATCGCTGTCTCTGGGCTGATTGAGGTGTGGATACGATTTCGTCGTCGAAAGACATTGGTATCTTGAAAGATTTGCCTCTTGTGTTGGGTGTTTTCGAAATTGCACTTTTATCGTATGTTTTCTTTTGGGGTTGACTGGATTTTTGAGCAGAATCTACCGTTCGGATATTACGACGACTACCGTAAGTGATGACTGGCCTGGTAGGTCTTAGGAATAGTTCTGGAGAGCTGGAATGTTGAACAGTCTCCTCATTGTTCGAGGGTGGTGTCAGTGGCCCATTTGCGTTCGCATCCTGTTGAGATGTGATCTCGGAGATAACTGAGGTCGCCCTGCGAGCAGATGCAGCTTGATCTACTGTATTTTCCGACCGTGTAGTCGGAACACCGAGCTCAGGCGATTCCTCCTTGATGGCAGGTGGAAAAATCGCCTCGCCAGTTTGTGAATTCTGCACGTAGATGACAGAAGCGCTTGACTTGGACCTCTGTGACTGCCCAAGAGGGCTCGGGTCTCTCGCGCCTAAAGCACCATTATCTGATTCTGTACTGAGAATTGGTCTGTCTTGTATAATCTCATCGTTGTAGTGCCCGTCAACTCGTCTTCGTTTGTTGGATTGTTCCTCGTGTGCGTCTCTGTGACGTTTCTGGGCACTGATGGGCCGTAAATTCGAAGATATGGGAACTGAGAAGTCGCGGTAGGTGAAGCTGGGGACTACCCTGATCAGTCGCTTTTGTGGATCTGTTTCGCCCTCGTATATCGAAGCTACGGTATCACTTAGATCAAGATCGCATTCGTAGGCATCTTGTAATTTCAGAATCGTGAAATGGCTACATTTCTGTTAACCCTTACGTTTGCATACCCAGAATTGCGTTGCGGGAGACTGACACTGCTTCATGAGGTTGAAGATAGTTGCGCTTGTAGCGCTCTTCAATCTGAGCCCATACTTCTTCGAGAGTTTGTTCCGATTGCACGGGCAGCGCGAATCTCCTTCCCTTCAGCGCAGCGACTGCAAGTTCACGATATTCTCTAGGCGCATGGGAGTTTTCTTCAGTAAGAGGCAGAACGTCAATGGTCAATCGCATCCGAGATGCTGCCGAAGCTGCCATGATTCAAGAACCGTAGCAGCAATGTTTGCGTTAGAAAGGCGTAACTGCATCATGTGGAGGCGGGAAGCCGTCGAAGATGCGGAGCTTGTGGTTGACCGAGTTAAAAAAGTGATAGCTCTTCTCAAGCTGCCGCAAAATCTTGGCGCGTGACTGCGCGTTGAGCAAAAGGCGCTAGCCCCCAATAGCCTTCCGCTTCGCGTCCACCTTCACCCAAAACGTCTCTCTCTCAGTTCGCCCGGCTATCCACAGTAGATGCCTTTTGGACTGAATGTCAACATTACCACTAATGCGGGCGTTGTCGATCTTCTCTCTCTTGAACGAACATCAGTGAGATTCTAAATTGCCTTTTTCTGTTACACGGGCCCAACGGGGTGGCTAACAAGTATGGAAAACTCCCACAAGCGCAAGCGCAAGCGCATTGCCTCCCCCAGCGGTTCTGACATTGTTACAAGCTCCAAGAGCGATGCCCCTCACTCAAACAGCAGGCGAGCAACTTATTTGCCAAATGTTACAGATTGGGCGTTTAGGATCAAAGTGATCTCTTCGCCTCATACCAGCGATGATTTACTTCGAGAGGCCATACAAGGCTTGATCGTTACCTGCTTCCCTGATGGTATCCTCAAAGAGCTAGGAATTGACGTTGTCCAAAAACACATGAGGGAGCAAGCCGCACCTGAAGAAAATATCCGACGAGTACAGGCCATTTTCGACCAAGAGATGATTTACCAAATAGCGCGGATGATGGCGCCTCTTCTCGGGAACGAAGACAGACTTCGAGCTGGCATTGACTCAGTCATCGCAGCAAGCTACAAATTGCATAGCGAGACTCTGGATCCAAAGAATATCATAGCAGCCATCTCCGACGTCCAGGAATCGTATGAACAACTCTTAGGCATCAAAGGTGACCCTCAACTGTGTGGGCTTGGTACTTCTGGCGCTATACGAGAATCCGAAGCACCATGGATACATGACGAGCAGGCAGCCGTAAAGCCTAAAGAAAATCCCAGCCAATCACTGACAGAAGAGACTGCGCGTGAATGCCAGGTCAGTTCAAGTCAAAGCTCCCGGAGGAAGCCTACTCGACTACTAACGAAGACCCGGAGATGGGATGTTGATGCAGCACAAGTAACGGATCACGATATTCCTCTACACTTCAAGCGGCCAAGCGACCTTTTTTCATACCATGCATACCCGGTAATCAGAAGGGATCTTGGTGACTCTGCGTCTGATTCTGAAATTCTAGCTCGAATTGAAATGCTCTTACAAGAAATGTCCAAAGCAGAGCGACAGACATGGGCACATAGCCTGCAGAAACTCTACGATGGTGACCTATCTATGCTCAAACGAGTTTCTGCGCGTGTATCGTTCATTGAAGGTAGAGCAACCCCGTTTGCTCCAATGAACAATACAGACCGTGAAAATCAACTCGAAATCTCAGGTCGTGGGATCGATCACATGCAATCCGCCATCGAGAATCAGCGTAACAATACTGCGAATATTGGGCATCCTCCAGCGGGACTAGGCGAATATAATCCCAACTCACGCCTAGTTAACATTAAAGAAGAGAACGAGCAGATTAACAGTATCTCATCTGACGTTACTTCAGTGCCTACTAACCAGAGAGAGGCGTTACTTCAGTGCCTACTAACCAGAGAGAGGCGTTACTTCAGTACCTACTAACCAGAGAGAGGCGTTACTTCAGTACCTACTAACCAGAGAGAGGC